AAATGGCGAATTGAAATGTTGCCATTTAGTAAATAAAGCACTGTTCTTTTCAAATATACGATGTTTTTTACATTTTTTCTTTGACAACAAAGTTTGGACAGTACAGTCTAACACTCTTCGTTCATTTTCTATAAAATAAATGAATAACTAATCTTTAATAACAATAAATAAAGGCGTCTAAGAAACAGATATCGGAGAAATCAGATATAATATATAAATCTGATATAAAGAAGGTCACAAAAATGTAATTCAGGTAACAGAGATAATAAACCATGGTGGCTGAATTGTAATAGGAATAATAGCCGGAAAGTTGTGCACTTTTTCGCGTACCTATGGGGTTGTTGAACGGCTGGCTGCGAATGCATTCGGTTAGTCGCCGGGACCAAACAGTCTTGCGCATAGGAGGGGTCCAGAAGATCACGTGTTTCTCATTAGTAGACCACATCTGTAATCGGATTGATGAAGACGGTGTGGTGGTTGAATATTTCCGAAATCAACAACGCAAAACAGAAGAAAAGAACTTACCATCTTTCAAGCCGATGAAGAGGGACTTCATTTACTTCGTAAGCCGCATCATTATTATGCTTGTCCTCCACCTGAACTATTGAAACATCTCGCTGCACATGACGCGGAGATATTTCGGCTTAAACTTACCAATACTATCAACAATTTAACATTCTACGTACCTTTTCCGAGTCCAGACATTGGAGGCCGAATATAAGTCCATGATTTGCAGTAGATCCAGTTCAACCTCTTATGGGCGGTGTTTCCAGGCCTTCAGCAATCGCATATCAATCTTCGTCGTCCTTTTTTGGCATCAAAGTTGTTGGTAAAACTTCATTTCTCTAGCCCAAGCGAAAAAAAGGTTCCGCAGCTTGCGCCCGAACAATTTTCAGTCGTTTTGACCGAAGAAAAGTGGCCGACAACAATAGATGGAGGTGAACCTAGCTCATTGATGAATGATAGCGAATTTTGACGAAGAAGAGCGGACCGACGCGACGAAATGTAAGTTGCCTCATTTTGCTAGCCTGTTTACGTAATTTTAGGCCTAATCTTTCCTACTTGGCCAACTGCAAACTCCATATCTGAACTTGTTTTACACCTTTCAAGCCCACTTGATGTTCGACTTCAACAGTACGTGATCGCTACAGCGATGAATTCGGACGACTTTGTGAGTTAGAATTTTTTGTTTTTAACATTTTAGATATAAATGCGACAAGAAGAATTTGGTCTCCATGGATAAGGTACTCGTGATAGTTGATGAAGCTGGATCCAGCAATGACAGGGATATTCACCACTTGTTGAATGGAAAGTAAGTAACAGTTTCATAGACTTTTGAGGGAGAAGAAAGGGATTTTTGAGGCGTTTTTGGGCTTTTCAGCGGATTGGACCTAAAGTAATATTATTTTTTGTTTGTGCAGTTTTTTGTGAGTGATGAAATACCTAGGAGACGGAGAAAGAAAGTATGAATAGTGATTTAGTTGATATTTTTGAAATTTTTTGCAGGCCTACGTCAAAACCGAGATTTTTTGAAATTTTCAGGTATCTTTGTCTAAAATAAGGTAAAATGTGCAGTTTAGTGAGTGTTTGCAGGTGCGCCAATAATAAGTAGGACCGAGAGAGTTGTTTTGAGGAGTTTTGATGTTATTTTAGATGTAAAATTTTCGAAAAGTTACTAATTTTTCCAAATTCAGCCTCAATGTCCCAAAATTGCTCTGCCAATCTCAGTAACAACGGGGAAGAAAGGGAGACCGTGAATATGGAAACGAATGCCCATGGGCAGAATCCGCCGCGGCCCTCTACATCTAAATGTAACTCGATGTTACTTGTGTTGCACATAAATATATCTGTGAAACTTGTTCTGTAAATATTTTCTTAACCTTTGTGTTAACCAGGAATGTATCTGATTTTCAATTGAATCTTCAAATGACAGCCATAGTAAGGCTAGGCGTATCACAGTTCTAAAACAAATAAAAACATGCCCAAATCACCGGAATAATGAAAAGGCAAAAATTTTCACCCAAGACAACCGTTTTCTGCAAGAAAACCACCAACTCAGCGATTGGCTCAAAATCGAGGGGGCGGGGCTTATAAACGTCGGGAAGAGCCTGCTCGCAGACGCTTCCTCTAGAAGAGAAGAAAGAGTGTGACGGCAGACGCTTTCCCAAGTGGTGAGAATCTGCTCGAGACTCTTTCGACAAAAAAAGAAAGAGGCTGAAGCATTTTTTTCAGAAGATTTTTTTCGCTCTTATTCCTTCGCTCTTATATGTTTTTTTCGCGGGATTTTCGCAACTTTTGGCGAGGCGCACCTCCAAGCCGTAAAAACTCGATTCAAATGTAGTTGGTGAGGTCCTTTAAACAATCTCCGGGAACCATTCAATTAGGCCAATTCCAAACATTTCCCCTCCGGCGAAAATGAATTTCTGCACTAACCTTTAAAGACAATACTCGTTTCAAACTCTCGGAACCGCGGCCGTAGAAACCCTTATTGCTTTAAGGAAACTTCCGAGTACTCAAACTCGTTCCGTCTTCAACAATGTGCAATTAAGACGGGGGCTTCTTAAGCATAAAGCCCTGAGGAATAGTGTCATAGAACGTCAAGAAAATTGGCGAATTAAGTTGTCATTCAAATACTCATTGAGGAAATTAATTTACACGTCATCTGTGGGAGTAAATTAAATAGGGAAAAATGCAGAAAGGAAGGATAAAGCGAGCAATTTACAGTAGACTAAGGATATTTTTGGAGTGGTGGCGTGAGGAAATACGTTCCAAGCACTGCAATAACGGATACAAATACAAGTTTGTTTTTGGCTAAGTGACCTACTATACAGCGCCATTGACATAGTCAAATTCCCAAAAAATCGCCCTTTCAAAAGTAAATTCAGAGAATAGAGTGTAACTTCATCCCCCGAAAGTGACCATGCCCGTGATGACTCAACAAAGAGGAAAAAGTAAACGGCATTCTTTCGGCCGCGCGGCCTTTCATCTTCTTAAAGGCCCTGAGGGCTTAGAAAGTTGACATTAAGAGGACAAAGGCCGCAGAGCATTTACATTTGATTTCTATTTCAAAAACTTTTCCTCAGGGAATTGGGGGCATTTTATTTGAAAAGCAAAGATGGTATCTTTATGAGAAAAGTTATGGGTTGCATAATAAGTCTAAAAAGTTGGAAAGCTGGTTAAAAAAGCTTCAATTCCATCGTATTTTATAAAGCTTTGTTATGTACAGTCCATGAGACAAAAAGCAAAATTTTTTGGCGTTCTCGAACCGATAACGAATATGATCTTCGTATTTTCTTCCCGCGATTCTAAAGTATTATTTCATACTGTGGGACTACTTGAAATAGACAAATAAACAGTACTGAAAGTACGAAAAGCCCTCTTAAATTGCATGAGCAAACACTTAGTCATCAAATATCTTCTCATCATCTAAAATTCTATCATTATATCATCAGAATAAATCTCTCACACCTCAAAACAAAACTGCGAATATTTCAAAATTCGGAATCGATTATGAGCAAAGGCTTTCCGCGCGGAATCTCCATGGAAACAACCCTATTATTAGCACCGGTTGCGTTGTCGCCCTGCCTTGTTTTGCCTATTTAAATGGCGGATTAAGGAGAGTGCGCGGAGAGAATTCTGGAAACGCGGAAACCTTAGGAAAGGATAAACAAGGGCAGACATAATATAGAAAAATTTGCCATAAAAGAAGAGAGTCTTACTGAACAGTTCCCTACACAAATTACGCCTAATCAATGAAATTACCGCCGTGTCGAAATGTGAGAGCTAATCATTCAAAAATAAAAGCTTCAGTGCAATAGATAGGTAAAAAAGTTCTATACAAAAACGTACTGTAAATTTTGGCTCTTGATTTTTTGGCAGGTTATTTTTTTTGCCTGTGGCCTCATTTTTTACCAGCCCAGTTCTGATCTAAAATCGCAGATTTTGATTTTTTCGTGCCTTTTTTAAAAATGATGCCAGGCCGTGTAAACGTATTTTTCCTTTTTTTAGACCACAGTTTTGTCCATTGTTTGTTTTCTCTCATTTGCCCTCATTACTCTCTAAGTAGATTTCAAAGTAAATGTATTTATAACGAGAAGGAACAGAACCTGAACCTAGTTCGAACCGAATCCCCTCGGTCCTTTGGGGTCGTTAGGAATATCTAATTTCCGTTTGAACTTTTTACGAGAAGTGAGTGTTCCAAAATTGTGAGTTTACAACTCCTCAGGGCAAACTAAAAATAAAAATTTTAAAAATTCCAAGTTATTTAAAAAAAATTTTACTGTAACAGATAATAAGGATTTGTCATTTACAAATGGTTTATAGTCTTTTAGGTGGGGATAACGTGAAATTTAATTATTTTACTGGGAACGGAAAGGAGTAAACAAAAACAAATTGGGATGCGGGAGGTGGTGGATCCTGGGGGTGACTTCCAGGACTGCCAAAAGTTGCAATTAGGGGGAGGATACTTGGAACGGCACATGAACGCAAATGTGAAAAGTTCTTTGGCCAAAGTTTTGACTTAAAAAAATAGAGTCACTGTTGGATAAAAAAATGGAGAACTCAAAGAGAAACTTGAACAAGGCACTAATCGTCTATTAAAATATTGTAAGCACGTTACAGGCTAAATACGAAAGAAGTGTACTGACTTGCTCAGAAGGTGTAGAATTTTAAAAAATTAATCTAAATTGCAGTTTAGTCACCACGTTGTGCAAACATAGCGTGATCTAAAAGTTCACAAAATATTCTGTCTTGTATTTTAAAAATTCTAAAATTACCATAAAACTATATTTAAATACCCTTTACGGACACCAGCAAGTACACGGCTTCTATGTACCTCAATTGTTTCTCGTCGTCATCCGACAACGTGCAGATGAATAAACACATTAGACAGTCCAGGACAGAGGTCGAGGAGATGAAACGAATACTTACAAAATCAGCCTTTCTGCCCTCCGGGAAAGGCCAAATTTCAATTGCAAAACTGTGTAATCTCATTGTAAATTATGCTTTTACATTATGTAATTCTTATCTTGTCAAGTGTAATTCTCGTTGATAGTGCCGGATTTTCAGTTCAATTGCAGAAGGTCAAAAGTGAGTGAGAGGTGTTCCTCGATCAAAATAAATAAAATTTCAGCCAATAAGACCAAAGTTCTTCAAGACGTTTACGGTCAAAAACTAAACAACAAACAGGATGTGGAGTACCGCGGAATCATGTCGCTCGGCACCCCTCCACAAAAGTTTAACGTTGTGTTTGACACGGGCTCAGACATTTTGTGGGTACCTCACAAAGGATGCAAATCTCAAGGTCCCGTAGTCAAGAATTGTAAATCTGGAGAGAATGTTTATGATGAAAAGGCATCAACGACCAGTGAGCCGACTGGGAAACAGTTTGCAATTGAATATGGGACTGGAACAGCACAGGGAAAATATTTTAAGGACGTGCTTGCGGTGAGTTTTGTCGTGAGGGATGAAAACGGGAACAGTGGTCCCAAAATCCCCGATTTTGTATGCAGTATATTGTTACAGATAGCCCATATCAACCAGACTATACGGGGTGGGCCCCTCGAAACGGCCAAGTTGTTTCTTTGAATTTCTCCGCGGAGACTCCGCCGATTTTTCCAAAATTTAGATTTTTCTGAAGCTGAGACCCGTCATTTTCAACCGACTGAATTTCAAAAAAATATATTTTTAATTGACCTTTCCATGCCTTCTCAAAGTTTTGAAAAATTATTTTCAGGCCGAAACCGCTAAAACTTTAGAAAATTTTTGGAATGATTTTTAAAACTTGGCCATTTTTCCGAGTTCTTGGGTGAAATTTTCTTTGTTTCCACCCTGTATTTTTATTTTTCTCATTGTTGAAATTAATTTTTAGTTCGGCGACCCCTCCGGACCTCAACTCAAGTTCAAGAACAAGGTTCTCTTCGGCGCCGGAACCCAAATGACCTTCTCCGACGAAGGCATCCTTGGCCTCGCTTTTCCTGTTAGAGGTGCTGAGGACACATCGATCTTTCTGCAAGCTATGAAAGAGGGCATCTTGGATAAACCAATCTTTACCACCTACATGAAAAAGTGTAATGGCAGCTGTGATGATGGAGGTTTAATTACATTCGGCGATGAGGATAAGAAGCATTGTGGAGAAGTTCGGGGATATGTAGATGTAAAGAAGAACGCGTCTCATTGGAAATTCAAGATGGATGGATTTCAAAGTAAGCAGACTAAGAGCAATTTAGCTATTCCACAGAGGCTAGTTTAATTACAACTTGATCGCTTACAATTTGAATCATGTCTTTTCTTCCAAATCCTTCATTTTCAGTCGGGAAACTCTACAAATTCAAAGTCCAAGAAGCGATTACTGACACCGGAACTTCAGTAATTGTAGTCCCCGAAAAGTTAATGGAACCCATTGCCAATGCCATCAACGCCACACCATATGGAGAGACTTACATGGTCCCATGCTCCAAAAAGTTCCAACTCGGCCTTAAACTCGGAGGCAAAACTTATTTCATCGACTCGCATCAGCTCTTATTAAATGGCGGCGGCGGTGGGTTTTGCCAGTTGGCGATTGCCCCAGGCAACTTCGGCTTTTGGATTCTGGGCGATCCATTCATTCGGCAGTTTTGCCAGGTTCATAATATGGAAAAGCGACAGGTCGGGTTCGCTCCCGCTAAATTCTGAGAAATAAAACACGAGTCTTAAACACTTCTTGGTTTATACTTTTTACGCAGAGGAAGGAAGATTGATGCAAAATGCACATCCAAAGATTTGCTCCACCGCTTCCTTGCGATACCATGGCTTTTCCAACGACTTGATAAATAACGAGAGCCAAAAAATTTTTTCCGTTTCCAAAGAGATTTCTTATTTTTCTGTTATTGCATTCGGAGGTGAAGTGTCACGAATCCTTGCGTTGCATTCTAAATTGATTAATATTTTGTAAGTAGTGATCAATTACTTATTCGTTTCCCCTCGAGGCAAGTCGTTTCATTTTGACCCCTTCAACCTCTCGAGTCCGAGCCGAGTGCATATCCACTTATTTGAATATTTCGGGCATTCCCAATTCGCATGGCCTCAAATAAATGACAACATGCACTCGAGAGTTCGCCATTCCTTTTTGCTCGGGATTTGGGAAAATAAATTTGGGCTTATGTATGTATATAAATAGAAATAAAAACCTTTTTGAATTCGGGCATATTCAGATTTAACATTTGGCTGTGATGTGTACATGTAAAACAGGCAAATATTTTTGTGGTTGTGATATCCTATGTTTTCACAAAAGAAAAAAAAAGGCTTAGGTCTTGGCCGGGATCGAACCGGCGACCTTCTGCGTGTGAAGCAGACGTGATAACCACTACACCACAAGACCACGGGTTCCCGGCTCTCTCGGTTCCCTCTGTATTGGCTATTTTTGGAGCAAGCTCTAAATCAATGCATTGTCGAAGGTAAACGCGTACGCAAAATCCGAATTAGGGTAAAGATTCAATCTGATTGAAAAACTTTTATCAAGGAATAAATTTGTGTGGGTTTATTTATGATTTTTTAACAAAACTCGCGAGATTTTCCTCTCTGTTGTCGCCACGTAATATCCATTTGCTTTCTAAGACCCAGAAGACTCGAGTCCATTTTGAGAAGCGCCGATAATTGTCGAGAATTATGCAAATTTAATCAAACTCCTTTCAAAATCCCAGCGGAAGCTTTATTGAATTTTCTCGGCGCCTCTTTTGTTCGGCAAATAAAGACCAAAACTTTTTGGGAGAAAGTTTTGCAGGAAATTTGGCTAATGGAGAGACAAAGAAGAGATGGAGAATCTAATTTGAACTTCCTTTTGTTGGCTCTGACTTTGATGTTGTTCAAAATTTGCCTGCAATTTTTCAAAATCGAAGGTAAAAATTTTACGTTTTTGGGTAATTTTTATATTTTACAAAATAAATGTTTCGCGTTTTTTTTTTAAGTCCAATTGCGTACAATCCGGATTCTAATGCAAATTTTTATCCTCAAAAAGTAATTTTCGGGCACAGTTTTCCTTTTCCAAATTCCGTTTCCGCCTTTTCCGCGGATTCAGTTTCATTGTGTTCGGAACGGCCCTTTTTTTTGCATTTTCTCACCGAATTTCCAAAGCCTTATTTATGGAGCGGAATGGAAAGGGGATCTGAGAACAGGTTTGGGCAATTATTATATCCAAAGTCAAACAATTTTTTTGTATTTTTCACAACAAATCAAGGGTTAGAAGGCGTCGGACTCGGCATCAGAGCTTGCTGATATTTTCGAGCCGCTAAAATAAGTGTCTTTAAAGATGCGTCTGAAATTCATAAAGCTGAGAGCAGAGAGCTTTTAATGTTACACTTTTTTGGAGGAGTTTTAATTTGATATTACTCTTGATTATGTCGATAGGCATAATTAACAAAATTCCAGGGTGTACACTACAATTTTGTGATGACTTTTTGACTTTTTTCCTAAGGAGATTTCAAGCTTAATCCCTTTTACATAAACAGAAAAGCCGTTAATTAATTGAATAAAGCCTTTGAGTTCCCTTTGAATGATTAAATAATCCGATTATCATGTCAATCATAATGTCAGGTGGCTTGTGAATTCTGATTCGGGAATCACCTTTATTATTCGGTTATTTTCCAGAATATCAAAAATGCTTTTAATTGATATCATTGTTTCGTATCTTGTTTACTTCGAACGTTACGCAATACCCGCAACGCACGAAGACCAATCCTTCTATTCTTACACTTTACAATTACGGGTTGTCAAAAATATTGCGTAAGTGGGAATGACCTATTATGCATGGCATTTTAATGGCTGATTTTGGATGTCATGTCGGATAATCTGGATATTTTTGAAGTAATCTGTGATTTTATCGACCATCACTATGTGGTAGACATGAGTCATAACTTCAAAGAAAAATTAGAATCGCAATTTACGTACATTTTTCATTAGTTTAGAAGAAAATCAGAGATTTATGGTCTTATGAATAATACTCTTAATACTATGAAGATATTACCATTTAGCTTCTTTACGAAGGACTTTGCATCCTGAAATATCTGTAATCCTTTCCATTTGCTGTTAAAAAATGTCGATTCCTGAAAAGCAAAATTTTGCGATTGCTTTTGCAACCGCTGTTTTTCCTTTTTAGACTCTAAATAGCATTATTTCTTCCTCGAAAACATTTTATAATAGTTGTGACGAGTACTCTTTCTCTTCCTACATGCCTTTTAATCCCCTTAATCCCGTGGACACTGACCTCAAAATTTGAAAAATTTTGATTTGATTTTTTTCGACGTCGTTGGATTAATTAGATCCAAAAAAGTTTCTTTCTTCCACACCGGATAAACGTCATCGGATGTTTGGAGATGGGGGGATTTTGATTAGGCAAAGGTCGAGGATAACAAGGGAAAGGGAGGAATGAAAGATGAGGGAAATCGGTACGTTAATCGACTGTCGACGTAGGCGACATGAGAAAGGTTGATTTAAAATTTGGCTGACAAATTTTAAGAAAAACAAAGTAATTCAGCGTGGTGTTGCGGCAGAATTATTCCAAATATAGGGTTTTATCACATGTCCTACAGTTATCTGCAACAAAAATTCGTATATCTATTCCCAGCGTACTTGAACGGACCCAAAATTGTTTCTGAATATTTTACGAACCTCCTTGTTGAAGCTACATGCACTCAGAGCCTCCCTCCGTTCTCACCTCCTCGAACAGATCAGTTATTCAGTTGACATTCCCATAGCTATCCATAACTTTGTTCACTTTGTATATGCATCTGTATTTCTCTTTCCTCAAGCCTTTACATGACTATTTTTAGTCATGTTTATTTCACCGATCCCCTATTGCGGAAATGATCGCTTTTTTATATTTCTTGAGAGTCATTTCGTCTTGAGAAATTCGAAGACAAACAAAGGATGACAAAAAAAACGTTAAACGGAGTGACCATCGCGCGTTTTACTGCGATGACACAACCCGCTGATAGGAGCTGGACCTTTTCGGAGGGCTGAGAATTTTGTGAATTCGTGATTACTAAATTCGTAAGGATTTTACGTGTACGATTATATTATGTATACATATATAAATAGACCCGGATTAGGTTGTTTAGTAAATACGAACGTGCAGGTCTAAAGCCATATACGAATATGAAAGGGCATAAAATAACAGGGGTATTAGGAAGTCTTTGATGCATTATTAGGGCGTCTTCAGGAATATTAAATTAAAACATCGGAATATTTGTCAAATCATTGGTATATATTATAGTATAGAGGTGGCAATCGGGCCGGGCCGGGCCGATTTTTGCGGCCCGGCCCGCGGGCCGAAGTGACCAGGCCGGCCCTGGGCTTTTTCAAATTTGCTCAGGCCCGGCCCGGCCCGGCCCGGTGAAAGCCCAGGCCGGCCCGGCCCGGCCCTGTTTGGCCCGCTAATACAAAAAGGTTGGATAAAAGTCTTTGCATTTTCTATTGGAAGTTTTTATGCTTTCCAGAAGGTTTATACGTGTTTATAAGTGAAATTAAAACGTCTAGTCGGATGACTGGAATAGCCGAGCAGGTACCTTAAACCTAGCCAAAAAATTGGATTGTGTCGATTTTTTTATCCCATAGGAAGTTAGTTATGTAAATATATGGACGTTATAAGGCAACATGTTTAATCAAAAACTTCTTAAACACTTTCATTTACATCAAGCCATCAAATTGCTGTGATATTTTTAAGTTTATCATCAAAAATTCGAAGATTTTCGCCCGACCCTTGCATATTTAGGTGACATTTTGCATATACATAATCAGGGATTTTAAGGAGTTTTAAAAGATAGTAAAACAGCATATAGGTCAAAAAGGTTTAATTCAATATCCATCCATCAATTCTGCAAAGCATTTGTGCTTTATTTTGCTGGTTTAATATAAAATTTTTTTACTTTTCCACCTTCCGGGCCGGGCCGGGCCGAAAGTCGCGGACCGGCCCGTGGGCCGAAGCGGTCAGGCCGGCCCAGGGCTTTTTCGAATCTGCTCAGGCCCGGCCCGGCCCGGCCCAACCACCGGGCCCGGCCGGGCCGGGCCGGGCCGGCCCAGCCCGATTGCCACCTCTATTATAGTACCGTATCACAATCACCAAATTGTGAGGGGCTAAAAGCTTATACCGTCTGGAACATTTTGAAAATAATCAATGAATACTGTTGCATCTGTCGGCTTTACTTCTAGCTCTTGACATATTTAATTTCTTATGATTTTGAGAATGTAGCGACCCACGATGAGCTATTGATTAGCTCCTTGTTTTATTTTCCCTCCGTCGTATTCGAAATGGGATTGCTTCATGTCCACTTCTCGGGGCCCCGTTTCCATCTCTTCGGACCGTCTTCTTCTTCAAATGTTTACTCACCAGAAAAGAAGCATTATAACGGACTCAGTTTCTTGTCTTCTTTCTCCTTCAAAAACCTCTTCATGGCCCCATTTTCGACCTCATTTTTTCGCCCGTTTTTCTCGCTTTTGGCCACAATGTTCTTCAAACATTATGTGAGAATGGAAAGCGGTCGGAGTGATCGAGCACAATGGTCAGTGAATTTGATTTGGGATGGTCATTCGGATATTATACTAGGTGTTCTTTGAATTCGACAAAAAGATTACATTTTTGGAGATATTTCTGGAGGCGCCCTAAATCTTTGTGACTAATAGTGCTATACTATTAACACCTCTAAATCTCTTCAAGCGTCCCATAAGATCGCTCTAAACCGATTAGTCAAAGTACCCGCAAATTTGACGAAATCATCGGGGGTTTCCATTGGCCATAGAAACCGGTCCAAAGCAAATACCAAACAAAAGATTCGCGAGTATTTACCGAGTAGCCTCTGATTCTGGCTGAAATGGTCTTTGACGTTACGTAACACCTCTTTCTTTTGCCTTGGCGACCATTTCGAGCAATCACAAGGACCAATGAGATCCTTTCTCCGGCTCTTTTGTGTGTAAGGAAAAAATTGTCTCCTGGAATGCACGTCTCTATGGATGTAATTACTCGACCATCTTAGGGTTAAAAGACGCCTACTGAGTGTTTCTTATCAACAACTCGGTGCCACCTTGCGCAAAGGTTCTTAGAGAAGAGAATAGCCAAAATCTCTGGAAATATTTTGATTTCTCAGTTCGGGCCTTTAGAAAATCCATCTCTGTTATTGGAAAACAGAAATTTGTAAATGAGATTCATAATCAGTATTCTTTTTAACGATTTTGACCAAAAAACGAATTAGGTCTTGGCCGGGATCGAACCGGCGACCTTCTGCGTGTGAAGCAGACGTGATAACCACTACACCACAAGACCACGCTTTTGTACTGGCTGGTTCCTTTCTTCTTTGCCGATTTTTCTTCAAGAGGATCAAAAACAAGCGCATTTTTTCGATTCATTACATTTACATTTACAGTATTACGGTTCTCCTACATTTACGTTTTTTGGTTACAGTAGGTATTTCCAATCCAATTTGCAGGCATTTAATCTGAACCCTTAATCCTGTTATTCGGCTCTTTTGGAGGACAAAACAATTTGACATTTAGCGTGTTTGTTTCCGGGACTGCAGGACAAAGAGATTACGTAATCAGACTTTATGTATTAGGTGCAGGAAATATGAGCGATTCCCACGTGCTGCAATAGGCGATTTAAAGGTACTATTGGAAATGAAGACAAAAATATTTAGGAAGTTTCAAAAATACAATTTTTAAAAGATGCCGCAATTTTCAATAAGTGCGTAAAACTGTTGCACAATAACATAATAACAATTCTTATCGTGGACGAGTAACTTGCCAAAAAAATTGAATTCACGCAAGCTATACCTGACTAACCCGCAACCGTCCCACATCATTCCCCCAAAACGTTTATTTTTACTTTTCAAACATAGTAAACGGCTGTAAATGAAGGCCATGTCATCCACATAATGGTCCCCCCTCCTACCAATGAATTAGGAGCTTAGACACACCTGCAGGCACTAATCCAACGAGACGGCGTTATTAATATCACAGCTATTTAATATGATTACTAACTTCTCCCCCTACGCTCGGAATCCAACATTCTTCTTTAATCTGCGACAATTTTGGCTCCGGCGACAGATTAACATTTGGTCAGCGGAGATTGTAAAGAGAGTTTACTGTGCAGGCGACTCTGGCCAAGGGAACTTCTTAGGATTTATTTGCCAAAGATAGGACTTCAGCCAGATTTGCCGGTTACTCATTGGCCCAGAATTTGTTGGGATATGAGTAATGTGGGACCATTTTATGAGTAATGCAATAAGATTTGCAGTGCTATATTTATGGAAGCTGCAGCTTAGTGGGCATTTACAATAGGTGGGAGTCATGTATCTGTGGAGTTGTGAAAGTGTAGACAGATTAAGGCCATCTCGATGATTCATGGTATTTGGGTGGTATTTCGGGAATAAAAGCCGGTGGTAGAATTGTATATCTGTGGCATTTTAGGAGCATCCCAACTGGTGTCTTGAAAATCTGCAAGTTTTTTTATCACGCGAGCTTTAGCACTGCCATTATCAACTTCGGAAAATTTTGCTTTGGCGTAATAACTAATTCTTTTAATGTATTTTTGCATAGGGGAGAATGTAAAAAATGAGGGGAAGAGAACAATGAAATGGTCTTTGCAATGTTTTCTTGAATTTTGAGGCAGAATGGGTATCAAAAAAACCCACGTAACTCGCGCCTCGAACAGGGTTCTTTAGTCCAATTTTGAGCCGAAAATATGCTATGTGCTTTGGAAAATGGTGGTTCAATTTTCAATGATTTGAATTATATACACCATGAGAGTCCCAATTCGAACAAATTTTCGAATCTTCTTCTCACAAACTTCAAAACCCTCGGAGCACTATCAAAATTACCCCACCCACTCCATCATTTCCGTCCGTGGACTACACGCGATGTCTAATGTCATATATTGTTATGAGTCCCTTCGCATCATCATCGCCGCTTCGTTAATATAAACAACATGAAGTCAATTAGATTTGCCGGATGTAGCCCGAGTCCGCAGGCTTTTTTCCCGGAGTGGCTAAATTCAATCTGACAATCCTCGAGTTCTTTCTCGAAAATTGGAGCGAACAGTCGTCCCTCCATCCTGCCTGAATATTCATGTTCCCCATTTTTATTCAAAAACTCGAACAATTTAACGGTTGTTATTTCGAGCTTTGGGGTCGAATTTTGGAGAAACGGCTAGTTTTGAATGGATGGAAAGATAAAATAGCTTTATGTCGCGTTCGGGACGACTTTTCAATTAGAATTTGGAATGGAATTTGGGCTTATTGAAGCGTTCGGGGTGCGCTTTGCCCATGATGAGTATAAAATTCAGACGGATTTGAAGTTATCGGGGCTAATGGATGATTTCATTTTATTGGAGTTTGCTGAAAAAGTACCGTAGACTAATCCCAGAGAAGCCAGCCAATTTATAATATACACCTACACCTTCGTCATAAAGCATCCGGAAAATGGCGTGTTTAATCGATATAGATTTATGTCCAAGACACATAGGGAACTCTTATTTTACAGTTACCGTTAAAACTGTTGATCTTTTTTCTTATAGCTTACAGTATTTTAACATGGTATTACATAATTCCTTATCTGGGACTTTTTGAACTGAGTACTTTGCTTTCTCTCATTATTGTGTAAGATTATATTTTAATTGTATTTTCTCGAATTATTTGAAAAACAATGTAATGCTCATCAGCAAATTGCCCCGCGACCTTTTTCTAATCGCCTTGTGGCAGTTCACAACACAGTAGTACTGTTTATAACTCTGTCATGTGATTTGTTGTAATTGGATGTAAAGAGGGCGGGGTCCAAGAGGGTACAAATTTCCAGCATTTAAATTTTAAATTTCAGATTCTAGATTTCAGTCCCTGCGGTTACATACTTACATCTTACAAGTATTATATGTAGTTTTTGACCTGCACTTCTATTGCTTTCAAAATTTTGTGATCCTTTCCCAGAATTGGGCAAAAAAAGTCTCATTATTTATGACACACAATTACTTTTACATCTCTAATAACCCCTGTCTACAGCATCATTCATTACTGTGCAAATCTTACACAAGTAATTATGCCATATTATATGGTAAGCTATCGATAATACCATGTAATTTTGTTCTTGTACGTCCAAATTCTTGATTGATCCCGGATTAAAACCAACCTAATATCCCATCCCCTAATTCCGTAATTAATTTATAATTAATGCCTGAGGGCATTTGTCCCGTCTTAAATGCCTTAATCACCGCTTACAACCCACTTACCTGTGGAGTAAACGTGTGTTTAAGTGTAATCCGAATAAAAGTGTGATTAATTCCGGCCTCGCCTTCACTAATATTTACGTAAGCGACCTGGATTTTCGAATTGTTCTAAACGGATTATGAGCGGCGGATTAATCATCGTCGTGCTGTTTCCCATCTTATATAAGAGGATTCTCGGCCAGTCGACGGGGCTTTGTCTTGTTTCTCGATGTCGCTGGCCATAGCTGGCTTGTTAACCCTTGGATGGATTAACGTGCCTTGCAGTTTTCTCATTTTAGTATCAGAATTCGTCTTCTTTTCTAGTCAAGCGTCTTTAATTCATTGAAAAAACGTGATATTTGCAACTTACTGTAGTGTGTTACACAAGTCCACAGGTTTACAAAGTTCTGACCTACTTCTTTCCTCGAAAAACCATTACAATTTACGGTTGTTCCAACCCAACCACGCGACTATATCGAACACTTTCCCGCGATGTCATATTAAACCCGAGTTGTGATATCATATTACCCCGCGTTGATGTAATTGACACCCAAATTCGACCGCTTTCCAGAAGCCAAAATGCCCAACGATAAAACCCCTTCCTCTCCGCCACGATCTCCCGGAATCCCGGTGGTTGTGTCCATCGAAGAGAAGAATAAACAAGCAGACGCTTCCAATCCCGTTCTCTCCAGTTTGCCGCAGAAGTATATTCCATCGACTCCGACTACGATGCCGTTACCTCCACCACCAGCGTACTCCGAGAGGGATCGTGAGCAGGGTTTCATTGGGAGGATGAAGAGAAAAGTGAGAAGGAACGCTAAACTCAATGAGGAAAGGGTAAGCCTCAATCTCCCATCTTTGCTACTCTAGTTTCGACTTTAAAACTTACTGTTTTCTTTTTTCAGATCAGTGCTATTTGTGTTCCAATCTTCTTGACATGGCTGTTGGTCGCTTCTTTCTTCGCTGGCCTTCTTTTCTACAGATATTTCGGTCACAGAGCGGCCGAATCGACTTTTTATCGCTGGTGTGGAACTGATTACCTGGACAGTGACATGGAAGAGCCTCAAAGATTAGAACAAAAGCTTGAGATCAACCAGGAAGAGGTGAGATTTATCATCCACATAATGCTAACTTTCTTTGTCATAAAATCTATGTTGAATACATGCTTATTGGCTTTTTTGCTTTCAGCTTTACGAGCGAATTCAAGTTCCTAAATTTGGAATCAACCGCCCAGCCGTGTTTGTGCATGATTTCCGCAAAAACATCACTGCCATCGTTGACATCCTCGGAGAACGTTGCTTCCTCAAGGATCTCGACAGGTCTCTGGTCGCCCCACCAAAGAACTTCATCGATCTTATTCAAAAAATGGAGGTAAGTAATCCTTTTGTTTACACCTTTTAATTCCTTAATATCACATTCTTCTCCTACTCAGAACACCACATAATGTTAAAGATTAGTAATTGTCAATTTCAGAAAGGTTACTACGCCCAAAATCCTCGAGTAATCCGCGAGACTTACCGAGTAGGCGATCGGTTGAATCCTCTGGAGTTGAAGGGTCTGGGATCAGCGATGGTTTCCAAACACTGTCAAGGAAAGGAGGTGTTCAGGTTGGAAAAGGTGGCCCCAACTCCGGATGAGAGATTCTACGGACAAAGGAGAAGACGAGGTAAGGAGACGCAGTAAAATTGACAACTTCAGTTGTCTTTGTAGCTAGATATTAATTTTTGTCTGCTTATTTTTGGACATCTTTGAGATCAATCAAAAATAACAAAAGTTGTGTGCCTTTTGCTGCTTCAGAATACTAACAAACCCTCTTTCAGATGCTCCAAACTCCCTGAACTTCGCAGTCCTCACTGGCGAGAACGTGGAACTCGAAAATATCATCCTCTAAGCACTCAAAATACGGATAAATCAAAAGAATTCAAATGGAAAATAAACGCGACCTTATTTATGAAACTCAAGATGTCATAGTTCAATGTATTTTATAGGACTGTATATACCACTTACTGTATTATTTATTATTGAATAATCTTTGTAATAAAATCATTTCGATTATCTTCGTTTGATTTCCAATTTTTCTCATTTCGAATTTGCAATTACTCGGCTGGTCGTCGCTTCTCAGAGAGATATGTGGTTATCAATATTCATCTTGTTCCTGATCTCTCAAGTTATGGGTGTTGAGGTCTCCAACAGCACCGGTTCGAGTGTTGAAGTCTCCAACAGTACAAGCATGAGTATTGTAGCCTCCAATAGTACACATTTAAGTGTTGAGGTCTCCAATAGTACACACACAAGTATTGAAGCCCCCAACAGTACACAAGCCACTAATGTGTCAGAAGTTCAAACCACAGCCCTCCCAGTGCAATTTACTCCACCAGCACCGATGGAATGGCCAGATAACGACGTGTTCAAAGATGCGGCCGAGAAAACAAATGTTTATTTGATGAAACTTCTGGAGGAGAGATCCAAAGAAGTTCAGCAGAGAGTCGCGGATTACAGTCAAAAAATCATGACGCATTCGCTGCTGCTGTAAGTTTCGAGGCGAAATATATACATATATATATACATTTCTTTATTCAGTCCTTTTTTATAAAATTGAAGTTCACTTATTTTCAGCATGATTATTCCGATTTTCAATACCCTGCTTTTGATCACTTTGATCTGTTCATTTATCCACGGAATGAAGCGACGAAAGCGAATCACTGTTCCTCAAATGGTCCATGAAATCCACGAAGCCTTGATGGTCAAGAATCCCCCTGGCCAAACAAATGAAGAAAAGCCAAAGGATGATCAGAAATCTGCGATAAAGGAGAACAAAACTAAGTTTGATCCTACCGAGATGTTGACTTTGAGGGGAATGATTGAGGTGGGTCAATGCTTATTTAGATAAATTGTTTCTCTGTGGTATAAATTCTTATATGTTAATTTACAGACTCGTTACAACCTGAAGACTTGTGTACAAGACCAGCAGATCTCTCGCGTCTCCCAAACTCAAGGCCCTCCAGCATTCCCTCCGACTCCAGCGCCTCTGGCAAAGGATGACACTCAAAGCACGGACCTCGCCATTAGCTTCTCCACGATCGAACGGGACCGACCACACAAGAAAATCAAGGATGCTGGGAAGAACTCGATCGTTGGAGCGACTCAAGAATCTAGTCGAGCGAAAGTCAGCGACATGAAGAATCCAACAACAATGGCAACTGATGTGAAGGCTACTCAATACAACACCGTCTTCGGAACTCAATGCAAAACCGTCTTCGGAACCCAGTACAAAACCATGCTAGGACCTGGCTAGAGACCGATCTTTAAACTTGAACCTGTTGGCCACAATAAATTTTGTTTGTATGCTTTCAATGAACTTTGAAGTTTAGCATCATTATCATTTCTCGCATTGACGCCTCAAAGACGTCCTGAATAGCACCCATTGTCTTCGCATGTCCATACCTGTTTTGATATTCGTCTCAAGCCCTAAGGGCCCTTCCCCCGAACTTATCCTTCTTCCCTCCACAAAACCTTTTCTTCAGGCAATGAGCTGTTCTTTTCATTCCCTGGTTCCCATGAAAATGTCGGAAACCGGGGCCAACCAACGCAAATCGCGGCCTACTTGGAGAAGGACCTGTAACGCTCGTTAAAAACGCGGGTTTCGGAGGTATCTTCACTCAATGGAGGGCTTCGGGGGTTTCCGGCGACGAGAAAGGCGGAATAAGCGGGGACGATGACGATATCCGGCGAAGAGGACATGACAATTTTGTGGTCGGGTCAGTGATGAAATATGTATGGCAGCAGCGGCATTATTGTCATTGAGAGCTGTATTTGTCATCAAATTGGTATTATAAACGTTGTGTCGTTTTTACGTTCTATTTGAACCTTGATTTGATCGTATACGTGCATCCTCAAGCTCCGTTTCCTTTTTCCAAACTGGCCATCCCTTCTGCCATTGACACCTCCAATTCTCCCGCCGTATATAACCATCCGTTTCCGGAGTCTATTTGTCCAATCCAGAAGGCTTCCCTTATTAGGAAGTTTGTATGCGAATCTCTCAAGTGCCAATTTCCAGAAGACGATAGATGAGATTCCTTGGTCTGTAAACGACAGGAAGGCCTCGAGACTAATCGTTTCGGAACCTCTTTCTCTCCCCTTTTCCGACATTTGAAGGGTTTACGGTGGGATATCGCCTTTTTTCGGCCGAATATGCATACTGGACGGGTACTCGTGGAGGTTGTAATCGATGATTTTAAGTTTACGAGGCCTTTTTGTTGTGATCAGTATTAATTCTGAATCTAATAAGCTTCCTTACTCTCTTAATTATCAATTTCTGCAAATCGATAGAAATCTGAAAACCTCAAAGATCCCTGTACCCTATCCCTGACCTTACATCCTCCTCCCATCCTACTTTTATAGCCCCTAGGTAAACAAAAACAGCTGAGTAGGCGTTTTGAGTAACTTCTGGTCTTCCTGAATTTCAACCCCGATGTCTATGTTGTCATTGCCAAAGTCGGGGTTCAAACCTTGCGGCTCTATCTCTGATGGCGGGCCTACACCCCTCAATTGTGTTATTAAACTCGGGCGACATGTATTTGGGTTGTAAAAAGGAGATCGATTACCTCGATTTTGCCGAGATCAATGGATATTGGGTAGGTCATGTCTGATAAAACGGCTTTCTGACTGTTTAATGGGCTAGTTCTGCAATAAAGAGCAGCTCTGATGCGATGACAGACGTCCACCGTCTTCTAGGGTCATATATAATGCCGGCCTACCTCAGCTGTTTTTTCATTCTTTATTTGAATATTTAATCCACCTACAGTGTTTTTTTTACTACTATCTTTTCCTGTATGCAAACCCAATATGAAACACCAACCCTCAACAAATTCTCCCTTCAAACCTCAAGAACTTGTCCCTTTATCGTCACCCCAACACTTTACCCTCGATGAAAGATTTATTGTGTTATTTGAGCTCGTTTCCATTGTCCTTTTTCGAATCCCCAAGTTTGTCGCGGAAAACGTGAATTCGCTGGAGCCGAAGAAACAGCGGCGCGGAAACGGGAGACGGAGAATGAGAACATACACAACCTTGAACCTCTGGCCAAACTTTTTACCTTTTAAGGCCCCGTATTTGTTCGTTGTTATATAATAATTATGTGTTTTTGAGGGGAATTGGACCGTTTGCGATCCAATAATGACTAATATATTTAGACAGTTTTACTGCATGTGATAGAATTTCAAATTTTTATTCGATTTCCCCAAAACATTTGTTTTTTTAATTTTGAAAATAATCTCCGATTGCCTTTATATAGGCTTAAAATACCATCAAAATTTTTTTAGAATACCCGCGCCGCCAAGTGCTATCACAAGGCTCTCAACACAATGGGTTTCATCCAGGACTTCATCACAACATACCGGTCGAATCGGAAGATCCTCTTGTTGATCGTTTATGTCGCTCTGTTCCTGGACAACATGTTGTTGACAACTGTTGGTAGGTTATCAAAAAACCAGTAATAAGCGGCACTTCTTGGCAGCGCGCGAGCCGTTCTCGCGTCTTTAAAATAAGTACAATTTTAACAACCGAAAACAGTGAAAGAAAGTATTAGTTTTTCGTTGTTTGTTGCTTTTTACTGTAGTTTACTGAAAAAGTTATGTTACATTTGGTATTAAACAAAATGTGGACGTCTGAGGATTCAGGGAAAAAAGAAGTTTAACATTTGGCCCAAAGTGAAAGAAGTTATAGCCAATTCAAATCTTGCCAAAAAATTCATGCATCCTGTAAAATAATGACAACTTTTAGTGCCGATTATTCCCGAATATTTGCTCCGGATCAGTCATCCAAATCAGACTGATGAACTTCTGAGCAGCGACATCAAAATCCCTCCAAATCATCAGCATGGCCGCGGGAAAAGAGAGGTCGGATGGGACGACTTGAGTGATATCGATGAGACCTGGGATGAACCAGTGCCTGGGACCGGGATGTTTAGGACCGAAGAGGAGGAAGAGGTAAGCTAAATTTTATTGTCATCAATGTACTCGGATCTTCCAATATTAGCTTCAATTTCAAATTGTTTTCTGCCCTTTAGGAGCCTACAACTCGTCGTCCCAAGTCCAAATCAAAGTCCAAGTCAAAATCCAAGCAAAGACAGAAAGGGAAAGGCGGCTCAGTTAAAGGGTACATGTATCCGGCGACCACAACTGAAGCCTACGACGACTTCGATGAAGCCGAATATATCGCAGCAGCAAAGAAACGAAGACATGAAGCGCTAACTGATGAGAATGTTCATGTCGGGTTGATGTTCGGCTCGAAGGCGCTAGTCCAGCTAATAGCCAACCCAATGGTTGGGCCTTGGACTAACAAGTGGGTAGATTATTGAGTAAAAATGTTCCTTCTTTAGGATCGGTTACACTATCCCGATGTTTACTGGGTTTGTGGTTATGTTTTTATCTACGGCTCTCTTTGCCTTTGGCTCTTCGTTCTTCACGTTGTGGATTGCCCGAGCTCTTCAAGGAGTTGGATCCGCTTGTACTAGCACGTCAGGTGAGCAAATCCTGCTATTTTTTAACCTTGATGGCTTGATTTTATATAACAAATACTCTTCAGGCATGGGAATGCTGGCGCAAGCCTATCCGGACGACGCTGAACGAGGATCAGCTATGGGAATTGCTCTGGGCGGATTGGCTCTTGGGGTACTTGTTGGCCCACCTTATGGCGGCCTGTTATATCAATGGGCCGGAAAGGAGCTTCCATTTATCCTGCTGGCTCTGTTAGCTCTACTTGATGGAAGTGAGTAGTCATGTTGAGGACTAATTTTTTAACAGCATCGATGGTTGCTTACATAAAGTAAAACGGATTTTTCAGCACTTCAATTTATGGTGCTGCAGCCAAAAGTTGACAGAGGAGAGCCCGAAGGTGCCGGTCTGAAGGAGCTGGCTCGCGATCCCTACATCATCATTGCCGCCGGCTCTATTACGATTGGAAATCTTGGTATTGCAATGTTGGAGCCTTCGCTTCCCCTGTGGATGATGGAGAGTTGGGGTGCTGGCTCTTTCGAACGAGGAGCTGCGTTCCTTCCAGCGTCCATTTCATATCTTATTGGTACAAATATCTTTGGCCCTCTGGCCCACAAAATTGGTCGGTGGTTGAGCGGATTTATCGGGCTGATCATCATAGGATTCTGTCTTCTAGCGGTAAGTAATTTCTACTAAACCCATTGAAAATAAGCTCTTCAGATCCCTTCAGCGACCAGTGTCAGTGGTCTGGTCATTCCAAACTTTTTCATGGGCTTTTCGATCGGAATGATCGACTCTTCCATGTTCCCCATGATGGGTTATATCGTTGATCTTCGTCATGTGGGAGTCTATGGGTCCATCTATGCGATCGCGGATGCTGCCTTCTGCTTCGCTTTTGCGATTGGGCCCTTCTTCAGTGGACCCTTGGTTCGATCTTTGGGATTCCCGACAATGCTATACATGATCGCGTTGATCAACTTCGCCTATGCGCCATTAATGTTCATGTTAAGAAAACTGCCGAGGACTTTGCCAGAAGATCGGAAAGAGCAAAAAGAAGTTGAAAATAACAATCAAGCTACCACTTTCTCCATTCAAAATGTAAGAACCCGCTTTCTGAAGCAATTTGTGCTTAATTTTTGGAATTATATTTCGTTTTTAGGGCCATTCCCAGTCACTGAACGCCGCCGTGCCAAATACGAATCCCTTTGCTCACGAAGCCATCCCCGGATTAAACGATCCATCCATAAAACGATTGGCTACTTCACAAGGGTATCAATACGATCCTTGGGAGTAGATGTCTGTTTTAACATCACCTTTAGGATGAAACCTAGGTAAGAATCGAAATATTATTGTATCCTTTGCCATAAAATAGCTTGAGATCTCTGCGAAGATCGGATTCAGATATATTGAGCCTCGCTTTCCTAGCGAATATTATCTTGTCAAATAACTAAAGTCGTTTGTATTTTTTAAAGTATTGCATGGTAATTTCTTTATATTTTGCGTTGTATCTTAAAAGAATAAAGAATTTAAAAATTACTCTCCTAATAAAATCAACACCTTTCTAACTAAAAAAATTTGAAAAATAATCAAATCTAGATAAAGACCACTGCATTACACGAATAACATCGCCGAATCTCTATAAATTTGTTAAGTTTATTGAGGGAAACGATTTAGAAAAAGATAATACGTATTACAGAGATTTAGAAAGGAAAGGGCGACAAAATAACGCCTACTTAAAGGATTACTCTGGGGATTTAAATGAAAATTTGCATATTGTTGAAATCAATCAATTCGAATAGTTTAGACAGATAAAAAACCAGATAGATAAGGAGATAATGGAGTTTGGAGAGAGAGAGGGAGGAGAAAGAAACAAAAAACGAACAAGGTTCGGCCGGAAAACGGCCGATAAACACACGAGAACCGGTAAATCAAAAAAATAATAAATCCTAGGAAACTCTTGAGTTAAGACGAGGGCGGAGCTGCAACGACAATTACAACGCTAGACTTTAAGCTGGCTGTGTTTACACGAAACGGAGAACTTGTTGCATAAACAGTAAGTGCTGGACTTCTATTCTTTCTTTTCCGTGGTATTACTCTAGGCCTAGACTTGGGAGGGGTCGGGGAATGCGGCGATGACCATCGGCCTCGGGGGGAAATACATCTCTACCATTCTTGAGCAACGTTCACACATGCCCCCACCCCTCTCAGTCGTTTCGTACAAAAATTCTCGTTACATAAATCGACGGGTCGGTACAAAAACGCCGACCGAAAGATCTGAGAACAAGGATAAGATAAAAGAAGTTACAAAAATTGAACAATTATTAAAGACAATAGACCCCTAAAGAATTTTTGTTTTGTCTGGCGACCCGTCCCGGTCCTTCTAGAGCTCCTTCTCCTTCTTGGCGGCGTCGTCCACCTTGAATAATTCAAAGTTCACCACGCCCAGACCGCTGATTCGATCCCTCTCGATGTTCTTGGCGTACGCCTTGCACTCGATCATCACCAAACGGTTCAATGGCAGCTTCTTGAACTTGACAACGGTCTGAAAACAAGAAAAATGTTAAATACAGACTCCACAATCGCTATTAAAATACTTCATATTCATCTAGAACTAAGACAACCCAAACAGCCGTCAATAAACATCCTGTTTTCAATTTTTGACTACCTAAACCAACAAACAATAATAGAAATTAACTTACAATTGGCTGTTGGTAGTTGTCCATCACAGCGTATGGGTAGAAACGGCCATCGATTCCCTCTGGAGGGACGTATTCAATTGGTCCTTCGTGTTCTTGATCGTGCTTGTGCTGAAAATAAATAAAAATTAATTTATCACTTTATATTATACTAGACACTAAAATCAAAATAAAAAATTATTAGCTTCGAATTGCTTACCGTTCCCGCGCAGTGGAAGGCAATGTTCTTGGCCCTGTATCTCTTGCTGACCTCCTTGGGGACATCGCCAGCTGCAAAGTCCTCTGGAACCCATCCGATCAGACGATTCAAGGACAGGACGACACACGGAGTGCCGGTCTTGAATCCGTAGTCATTGCTCTTCAAACAGCCGGCCTTCTGGAAGGGCGAGAGATCGAAACGGCAGGGCTGCATGTTGGCGTCGACCACCTTCCCGTCCTTGATGATGTCCGAGTTGGACTCGCTGCCCGAGCACACACGGGTGTTGTTATCATTCTCGTACTTGGCAAAGTACTTGTCCAACACCTCCACGTATCGTTTGTAGGTCTTCGGGTCCTTCGGGTTGAACTTGATCAACGTCGACTCGGGGTCTTCTTTCAGCCAGGGCTGGTAGCCGACACCTGAAGATATTGGGCCATAGACAATATAAAATATTGTAAATATATTGTAATCAGTTTTTTCTTGGTTTTGTTTAAAGTTTCGTTTGCCAAATTATTTCCATATTACGCTACATCAGTTCCCAAGCATGTTCTATCGGTCATTTCTTCAAAAAAAAACCGCAGAAATAACCTTTAATAAGGTCATTTTTTCATTGTATTGATGTTTATGTTCAAAAAAACGTCTACAAAATATAAAAAACTATATCCCATTGGATTTTGGCTTGGCTATCAATGTCTATGTAAAAAAAAGTCTCTCTGACATCACTCTTGTTCCTACAGTACTCCCTCTCTCATCAACCTGCACCATTAATTTTCTTCTGATACTTCCGGCCCGGAGATTTGTTTTTATTTACCCTGGCGTGGTAATTATTAAAGGCGAGCAAAAAACAGGGCATCAGACGCTTCCGATTCTCCACTTCTGTCATTCCCGATTAGTGTTATAATCGTTTTTCCCTCTTTTGAAAGCATTTTTGGAACGAAAAACGCAAGGAATTGCCCAAAAAAATAGTCTTTTCCAGACAGTCCGACCTTTGAAACAGCCAGAAAAACACTCCAAATCGAGTCAGCGACACTGCTCACAATGAATTGGACAGATCTCCGAATCTGAATATAAACTTTTGGGCTCGAAACAGTGATTAATTCATATTTGAGCGGTCAATTTCAGACGCAATGAGCTCTCAAAGCGGGGCAAAGGGGAATATCAAAGGACGACCAATCGGGAAAACTCTGCTTTCAGCGCCCGGTTATTCCCAAATCATTTAAATTAAGGCAAAATAAGGGGAAATATTAGAATTTACAGTCGCAAAAAAGTTTCTGGAAGAAGAAGTGGGTCGTTGAAGATGCAACTTTGGAGAAAAAACTCCATTTTTGGAGAAAAAAGAGCAAATTTTTGTAAAAATGGGGTAAAAATGAAGAATCTGGTTGTAAAAAAACATTTGTAAGAGCACAAACCCAAAAGAAATATCTTCAAAAATTAAAATAAAGCTTAGAATCAAGTGATGACATCAGTTTTAAGCATAAAAAATTTTGAAAAATAAATATCCATAATCATCAATTACACTATAAACACCTCAAAAATTACAGCCCAAAACTTTCAAAACCACCTTTAAAAGCTCAAACCATTTCAATTTTTCTACCGTATCCCCCACAACGTCGACCGCGGAGCAACCGCTCCCTGACCCGACTACCGTCACGACTGAAACTTTCGCCCACAACTCCCCGCGAAATATCAAAAATTGACCTGAAACCTACCCGGGTTAGCGCCGATGATAGTACCCTTCCCGTAGAAGCGAGGTAGCTGGGGATCTGTTGTCGAGAGGAAAATGTAAAGGCATCCGATCCAAAAAGCAGCCAAAATTGCATAGAAAATAATGTAGAAAATAGTTATTTGACCTGAAAAATATTCGTAAAATTAATCCTGGCGTTGATTTGCAAGGAATTTATAAGCACAAATTTTTGCTGATAAGAAAACTCAGCCCCATCTTATCTAGGAGAAGTGTTTTCCCATCAAAAAAACGTTGTTATTCCTCCTCAATGGAACACAAAGATCTTTCCGATACCTCAACAAACAGCTCAGCGACTGTCTACACTGATAACGATCTAAAGGAACACAAAGAAAAAAGTCTAGCAAGTCAATAATCAAACTAATTTTAGACCCAAAAAAATATTACAGAAGGGCCTAAGAGAATAAAAATTAATCTCAATCTACAAGATTATAATCGAAAAAGTTCAAGACAGACAGCAAACGTATGTTCCGCCAAGAAAAGTCGAAGAACAAACATTGGAAATTGGACTTACACCAGGATTTCGCGGTTCGACCCAAGCAAGTCCCCTCATTCTTGTTGTAAATGAAGCTCGAGAAGTTGTTCTGCTCCGGCTTTTTGGCTCGGCCATTCATTAACTGAAAAACATGACTCATTAAAAACAAAAGCAATAAAAATTTTAATATTTTTTTTTAAATTTTTCGAACGCTTGTCTTGTATAACATCCAAGAAAAATTTCTATGAAATCACCAAAAAATTAGAACCTTCTTTTCTTGAAATCAACTAAAAATTCCTTTATCCCACTCTGTCACGTGATATCCGCATGAAAATCCTCTGTTTCGCCAGACATTTATATTATTCATGGCAAAAATGAGAAAAGACGAGAGAAAAGTCAAAAATCCGGCAAAATTAAGCTTCGTTCAAGGGATTAGAGGCGAAATACAGCTTGGAAAAGTTAAGAACGTCTAGAAGATATCAAAATCCAGGCGTAAATATCAGAAATAAAATATTAGATACCTAAAATTTGACAACTGTAATATCCGAAAAACCGGATAAAACTACGAAAATTTAAATAACTTACGTAACGTTCGGTCTCAGCCATAGCTTGTTCTTCAACTTTATTAGGGTGATAAGACCCTTTAGCATTCCTTACTGACAGATGTATACTATTACTGCGTCTTACCATTTAGATAGTCAAAGTAATATTATTCGCGTAATAAATATCATATGGAAGGATGAAAGCTTGTAAATTGGTTAAAATTGTAACTGACGGTTGTCAAAAATGATTTGCAATTTTTTTGCAGGTAGAAACTGCTTGCAACAGAATGCCAAAATTCAGAAAATCGAGACAAGAGTAAATTTTAGGGCTGGGAAAGTTATCAGGAAAATTCGGCATAAACTTCAGAGAATTTTATGACGGATATCAACGTGAAAATCAGGATATGACATTATTTTAACCTTAGCCATCGCAAAAAATTCGAATTTTAAAATTCCCGCCAAACATGACAAATCAACTTACGGCATTATTCTCCTCGTTGAGTTTACCATTATTTTCACCCTTAGCCATTGTGTGGTTGTGGGCTCTGGGCGAGACAGAGGGTTGGACTGAAAAAAAATAATTTTTATGCCTCTTCGATGAGTTTCACGGTCATTAAATTGTAAAAAAAAATGCGAAATGGAGAGCGAAAATTGTATTAACGCCGGGGCGAGTTGTTTTCTCAAACAGCAAAAAGTATTTTCAAAAATTAAAAAAAAGAAAAAAAAGTCGCGCACCCTTCTGATTCCCCGCTTGGAAGTCGGGGCCCGCTTTAAGACAGGGTCAGGGGGCTGGGAGAACGAAACGAAGAGGGCCCTTTCCATGGCCAAGAGTTACAAAAGTAGATAAACAATAGGGAAAAAAGTTGATTGTAACAAGGCCGCGAGTGGTTTAAGCGGGTAAATACACAAGAAAAAATGACGCAAACCGAAGTTTTGCAATTTAAAATGCATTTTTTTGTCATCGTAGGGTCTTGTGGACATTCTGGGTTCAGCACAAAACCATGACAATGGGAGGGTTTGCCAAGCTCGAAGAGCAACTTTAAAAAGTGCTCGAAAGCGATTATTCAGTGTTTTCAGAAAGTGCGTAGACTCTTCGTCCCTAAGCTTTCCGCACAGTGCATTAACCTTTCGCACTGTCGCTGTGAGCTTGCTGAAGCCCACAGAAGCATTCTTACGATGCCAAAGTTTGGAAAAAAAAGCAAAATTTGTTGGCGACAAAACTTGGCAAAGAGGTCTATGCACTTTATGGAAACACAAAAATAACCGAAAAAGTAGGCAAGCAGCTTTTTGTGAAAGAAGCTTTTCAGATTAAAAAGAAAATTAACTTAAAAGGAATCTAAATCAAAACGAAATAATGAGCCGGCCCAACCCAGCCAAGGACCAACGGTTTCTTTCTTTCACCCTTAGAGTCCCCCCTCTCACTTTTGATTCTTTTACTACAAAACTATATAAAACAGTGCAAAGAACTACAATACAAAGGACTCTTGTTCCTATTTAGGGTTCGTTTTACCGAACTCCAGCAAATTCCAGGGATGGGAAAAAGAAAAACAATTTTAAATGCCCTCCAAGGAGAGCAAGTTGGAAAGAGTTTTGAGGCCCAAGGAAGTACGTTGGCCCAGAGATGTCTGGCTCCACTTGAAGGTTTGTTATTTTATCACAAGCGACCAGGCCCCCAAGAGATTTGGATTAAATAAGTGAAGAAGGGGAGAGGAGAGACGGGACATGGATAACATGGCCTGATAAGGGGGATGATATAATCTTAAAAAGGGGGTTAATTAATTTAAACAATAAACAGAACGTTCGGGATTATATATACTTTATCCCTCCGTATCTAAACAAGAGAAAAAAGAGTGTGTGACGTTAAATGAGGCTTTCGAAAGACGATGCCGAAGGGGATGAACGGGCTCACGGCTGGTCAATCCAGTGGCTCAGAATGCTCAAAGTTTTGGGATTCGCGAGACCAATTGGAACTTCTGTTTTAGCTCTGATTTTTTACGACTTTTGCAATCGATTTCAACATTACTATGTATATTTTCTTCCTAAAATTTTTTGACCCAGTTTGACCAGCGAAATTCTCAAGCCCTGAGAATTACTCTCTCTTTTTGGCCAAGGAAATAAGAAAACGCCCCCAATGGGAATAAAAAGAGATTACATTTACAAATACATCAACTCATTACACTCCGTTCCCTTTTACGCTGGTGTCCCTATTCCCCATTTCGAAGAACGTATTTCTTAAGGACGGATCTTTAGTGCGCTCTTTGCCTAACCTAACACAACTTTCTTATCGAAAAGACGTCTAAATCTAGCAAAGAATCAAACAGTGTAAACATACCATTGAAAACCTTGTGTTGGTTTATCGTGCCGTAGTCGGGAATTAGGACAGAATTCTTATAATATCCACGATACATTTTGTAAGACATCATAAGCGTTTTAGATGTCAAATTCACTTGGAAAATTTGCTAATAAAGCACAAAACAAACTGATAAATACTAGTAAAAAGAGAGTCTTCTGTGAATACCTATGAAACTGGCAAAGAGCGAGACGATAAAAAGTGCAACTGGAAATCTGTGAGGAGATAAACAAGGTTTTTGGTTTATAATTTTTATTACATTAGGTTCACTTGAAATTACGATTTGCCATCTTTAATTGGTGCCAAAAAGAAAAGAGTTGTACCCGAAGGCGAAAAATGTTTCCAGGCGCTATCACCTTTGTACCGTTTTGTCGCCTTTGTCCTCTATACACGTCCGAGAACACGGCATAAAAGGCCGATCAATGAAAACGGAAAACGAAACCCACAGCTCCGTAATAGGTATATCCGGAGGGCCTGGTATCTTCCCCAAAAACGCTGTGCTCCGGCCTCCAAGTCCCGGGAAAATCCCCAGAAGCAATTTCATTCCGTCAGCCCCAAAAAACTTTTTCCTTCAGGCCGCTTTTTTTGAGAATCCTCTTCCGGTGCCAAAAAAGACGAGTGTATCTTCGGGAAAAGCGGAGACAAAAAACCGCCAACCGTTTTGCGAAGATGGAGCCTGAACCTCGTCCCTCACCTTTCGCATACTTTGTTCGAGTCGTCTTCACGTTTTTCCCTGGGATTTCGCTGTGCGAAGAGACCCTCAGGGCATGGAAACGGAAAGGAGGGTTGGTCAATAAACGAATTGTTTGACCATGAAAAATTGATTCGAATACAGCGATTATAGACTTCAAATTGTTCATCTTTGATTTCTAAGACCCAGAACGTCTCAATTTTCCCGCTAAACGGCAGGACGTCCCGCCGTCCGGCCGTCTACGTAACGCTGAAAAAGCTCAACTCAGACAGCGCTTGGAAAAACCGCCTTTTTTCGTGCCGCCGACCAAAACCAAAAACCGGCCTAATGGCCAGGTAAACCGCTCAAAAAACCCCCACAAAATGCTGAATGTTTACCCCCAATAAAAATCTTGGAAAAAGCGGGATGAAGGGGGGAAGGAAGAGTAAGCCTTGTATAAGAAAGGCATCTAAAAGCCAGCTTGGAAGCCTTCCGTACTTTAGGCCGAAGTCTTGGCCAGAGAAAGAAGCGCAAAAAACGATCGTAGAGAGAAGAGAGCGGACAGAGGCAGAGATGCCCTTAGAACGCTGCCGAGAGTGCCGTCTAGACCGCGGGGAACCGAGAATCTGGAGAGATACACGAAATAGAGAGCCTTTAACGAACTGGGAGAGTGCCAAGACAACATGAATAGTTCAAAATATAATCCCTATTGAGATAGAGTGCCAAACAGTACTTCAGAGGGAACCGCAGAGTTCACTCCTCCTCTGCAATGGTCCAAATTTTGGTTGGAAAGCAAAGAAAACGAGGGATCTGGGCGACAAATAAAAGACAGATGCGAAACACCAACGGGATACCACTGTGTAAGCATCTAGCCGCCTGTCTGGAAGAGCCAGTGACTGAGAGAAGCAACAAAAAGACTACACAAAATGTTGGCCAAGAGGCGGTGGCCACGGGCCCAGAGAAAGAGAGGAATTGGGCCGAAATTCCATTCGAAGGAAGGCTTAAAAACGGGGATTCGGCTTGGTCCCCAACCCATCCCAGCCCCCTCTTCTAGGTTCCCCCGCTTGTAAAATTCCTTGCCCTGGGTCTTCGGGGCATGCAGACGGCGCAGTAGTCGATTTTCCCGCTGTCTCGTTATGTGTTGACAGTCGTTTCGGGCGTCCGAGAAAAAGAGCGCCGGCGGAGTGGAGAGCGGCTAGAGATAAGGCCGAGCGAAAAAGCCAAGAAGACGTTTGGCCGGACCGAAAAATAGGGCCCGGGCCCTGGGCCAGTGCAAACAAAAAAGGGTGGAAAAAGGAGGGGAATGGGGATTGGAACAAATCGAATTTTTACAGAACAAACGTGTGTTTTGTCTCTGCCAAGGAATAAATTAACTGGGCGAAATTCAAATTTATATGACAAAGTTTGTGGACATTATAGAGCTCAAAACAAACTTTCAGAAAATGGAAAATTATGACAGATGAAAAAATTCAAAAATAATCATCATTGTTGCCAAATTCACAATTAAAAGTTGCCGAAAAAGATGTAAAATTGCCTCACTCTAGTCATAATATTGAATAATGTAAGCTCGAAGAATTTCTATTCGACGTAACCCGCGTAACTTCCCACGTAATCCACCTAATTCTATAAAACAGAGCTGGTTTCTTGCGACTTCCCATCGAGGAGTACTGTCTCCTAGATGAAATGAAAAACATTTAATTTATGATTTACAATAAAACGAATTGGGATCCATCAAAAAGTCACAAAAGTTTAAAATTCTTTGACCCGAAAAGATTTTTGGGGAGGGTTTTCGGGCCGGAAATAAAAGTGGATTGATTGGTTTACCAAAAATATTGACTTTAGGTCAACTTGGCATTTTAAAAGTAAGAAATAATTATTTCTAAATAAAGAAAATTAAAAGTGGTGCGACTAAAATCATATAGAATTAATTGGGTAAAACATTTTGGTCTAAAAAGTATACAACCATATGATTAAACTGTCAGCAAGGCGGGACTTCGGAAGTATTGATCATTCATGTCAAACTATGAGTGGAAGTCATGGTTAGTTTCTACTCAGGTCATGTCAAATCAAGTTAATGTAGCTAAAACAATATTATTTTCGCAAGATTAGACTGTAATAATGATTCATAATCAGACGTCGCGGTCGGCTACTTCCGGTGTCAAGTAAGATTAAATACAACTCACTTGTCATTACGATATATTTTGTATACAAAAAATACATAAATAAAAAGCGACCTTATCGATTAAGACCCCTCAAATCCCTCATCCTTTCTTTGTTAATGTCCCCATTCCCCGAACGTCTACAAAATCCGAATTGAAGACATGAATTCGTCGCTTTTCTTTGGAACGTTCCATCGTTCCTCGGCGCCCTCCCTCTCCAAAGTAATCGCCTTTTCAGCGAGTTTTTTGGCACCGCCACGAATTCGAAAACTCAAGAATTGTGGCCAAAAACAAGCTTTGTATGGCCACTTTGCCCCAATCAGACGTCGGATCGCGTTCTGATCTATCAATAGAGAATGGTCAGGAAGGCGGTGATTAACAAATGGAGTGGAGATTAGACGAACAGAAAGGGAAATTTATGCGTTCGGAAGGGAGCCGGGGAGAGTTCGCTGCAAGAAATGTAAAGAATGGGGGAGGAAGGGACAATACTTAATACATAGTTAGTTTTCAATTACTTTTTAATTTGGTTATATCCCAATTGCAACAACAAAATTTTTGGCAAAAGAAATGTAAAGAATCTTTAACCGTAAAAGCAAAGTCCCCTTATTTTGAAGTGTTATTACTCGACAAGCCTCGACTGTACAACAAAACAGCCATTGTCAATTTCGACTCTTTTCACCTGACTTGGAACGCCATAAGATCAGATAACACGTTGTTCCGTGTTATGGCCTGTTCACTAACGATTTTTCAGTTCCAAAGGTCGAAAAATAAGTGGAAAAAAGGGTAAAAACTTGACGAAAAATACCATAGTTTCCAGCGTCCTTAAGTAAGATCGATTAAAAGAGATGTTGGCTGCGATAAGTCCACAAGTATATACAAGCAAAATATCAAGCTCTAGGAACAATAAAAATTGGAAATTGAATTGACGCCAAGCCCTCGGCATTGATATTCATGGCCAGAAAGAACCGACATTTGGAATGTGCATATGTTGGAGCGATTGCCAAAAAAGGGAATTCAATGTCACGCAATTCATAGTCCGTGCATTCGGAATAAAGGTAAGAGAAAAAGAAATATCAACAGGACAATGATGTGTGTATTCATCATCCCGAAAATGTCTGCGAAAAAATGGAATCCGGAACGACTTCTCCATTAGCCTTTGGGACAATAGACTTGTCCACGGCAAGTCAGAAATTTCAGCGACAAGAACCTTGGATTGCAAAGAAATTCGAGGGTTTTTAACGCATCTGTTTAGTGACCTGCACACTGAGCTGACATTACGTTGACCAGTCCAACTTTTGCGGCATTTCCTCTTGAGTTCCCGGCTGCAAGAGCGGCACCCAAGAATTGAGCCTTGACCAGCCAACCCTGAGCGGTCATTATTTCACCATGCCAACGGCAAAAACAACGTTGAGTTGTTGCGAAGAGAGGTGTGAGGTTAAACATAAACAAATGAGAGAGAAAATATTTAGAAGCCATATGAGATACGAAGACTTTTTGGAGCTTCTTTGTTTAGTCCATCAATATTAAAAACGATATTAGTGCAAAACAACTTATTTTGAACTCTCTCGCCCTCGGTAGACTCCTCGTTCGGCTCCCATAAACAGTACAGTTCATAATTTTCCACTCCATAAAGCAATATTTTCCCTTCGTCCAATTCCCTGACTCATTGAACCGCTGTCCAATGATCCCAAATGACCCTCAAATCGAGCCCTTTTGCCAAATCAAATCATCTTTCTAATCGCCTCAAGGTATAATGAAGAAATATTTGATGACGCAGTAAAAAGATTTGGAGAAAAGGGTCCTGAAAAGATTCTCTGTGGGCCCCATGTCTTTGGCCGGAAAGAGCTTTTTTAGGGACAACCCGGCTTCTGTTCGGTTCCGGCCCAGAGAACTCTCCGCATCTCCCTTTCCCTCCCCTCCCACCGCTCTCCCCTTATGACTTTAATTTTTGGAAAGGGATGGTAAAACAATTTTGCCGCCGTTCACAGAACATTTCCGGGTGATTTTGACTTAATGTTGTCTTAGAGACTCTTTGGGCTGAGGCGAACGCTGACCCAAAACTCGAGTTCTGGGTCTTTCGAATCTGGCATCGAAAAAGTTTAATTTCAAAATTTTGTCGCATTGTTATTCCGAAGAATTTGGCCGTAAACAGATCACGATTTCGACAAAAATTGCACAAAGGATTCTTGTCCAAATTGATTCTTTCAAAGATTTTTTTTAAATACGGTATCCGGCTGGATGTTTTTTCCCTCTAAAACTTGCAAAGAAATTGAGCAAAATGGAAATTAGGAGGGGAAAACAAAGTTTTCGCAGAGCACCCGCCGAATCCCATTCCAAACCGGCCCCGTTCCCCCATTCTGAACGGACGCAAGTGGGTTTCAATTTCAAAGTCAAATTCGAAGGGCCAATTCTTTTGGTTTCGAGCCAAATTCGGCTTCTTCAAATACTGTAGAATATTTCTATGACAATAAGCGGGGAAAAGAGATTCTTTTAGAGAAAACCGACATCAGATTCCGCAAAGTCTGAAGAGAAGGAAGATTGACATTTGTTTTGGCCGAAAACACAGAGATTCAGGCCGCCCAAACATCGATTTTGTTATTTATTTATCCTCAAAAATGGAAAAATTAAAATACGAACAGTTTTGAGGTAAAGAATGCGGCAATAACAAAAACATAACGATCTAGAGGAAGCTCTAAAAAGATTGCCAAAACACAGCCGTTCTGTAGATCATAACAGTCTGGCCATTCTGTGCCCCCATCTACGTCACCCCTGCCCCCGATGAGACAGACCTTCGACACTTGTTTCGCCCCCTTCTTTTTTAATTTCCAATGTTTTGACAAAGGAAGAGTTTTGGCCAAAACTTTTTCCGAGGAAGACCCGCGGCTTCGAAGGTGCATTGTTTATAAAAGGCATTAAAGACGGACGACGTCCCGAACAATGGAGGCCTGAACTCTTGGCCTAATTCCCTCGGCCCAGGAGCAGGAACAACACGCTGATTTTCGCCTGAAATTCTCAGGAATCTCCTCGAAACGAAGGCTCTTTTTTCCTCAAAAAAAGTTGAATTAAACCGTGGAAAAGATGTGGAGGTCTAGATCAAACAAAAAGGTCTGATCTTGAGTTTATGGGTCTGTAGAAAGTCAAAGGTTTTGCGGAGGATTTGCGAAACAAATGACGATTACGCAGGATTTTGCAAAAAAGAGGGCTTGAAAAAAGGTTGGAAGGTGGCAATAAATGAATTTACTAGCTAATAAAAGGATCAAAGTCCAGAAATAATATGTAATCGTTATCCATAAAGCTTCCAAAAATAGTCGTAGTCGCGACAGCAGACGCACAAGACTGTTATTAAAGATTGACCAGTTTGGAAAACAGACTTGATAAGAGCCGGTTATCAACGAACCACCAAATAAACATACGCATGGGGGTCTTAAGGGTCCAGGGGCATAATTTCGACGGATGATAAAAGCTTGGAGCACAAGTTTAGAGAGTATAAAACAAGGAAGTTACATAATTTTTCTATAATTTGACTATAAATATCGCTAAACTCTTTTCTCAGGCCACTAAACACCTTGAACTGAGCCTGACATCATCTCAGCAATAGCTGAAAACCCGCTTACAACCTTTATGGCATCTTTATTGACCCGATCTTGAAAAAAGAGCCATTTCGAGGCCGTCAATTCCGTCGTTTCTGGTTGGATAACTATGTGATTGCCATTGTCAATAAAATAATAATAGACTGGCGGCTATAAAAAGTCTTTTACTTATGAATTTTTATGGATCGCTTTTCCAGAGTGTGCTCGACGGGGGGCTATTACCTCTTTCCCAAATGGATCGGCAAAAATATTACATTATTCAAGCTTTCATCTGGCTGCAAAATACATGAGAAACGAACATCAGACAGTAGTGTGAACCCGCCAGCACTAAAACGAGTTTTGGCGCCGCCGTTCTCCCCCCCTTTTCTGTGCCGTGTTTCCCGTTGGCCTTGAAAATCGCATTTGAGCCGCGTTTGAGAGAGAGAGGGCCGTGACGTCGTCTAATGTGAGGTTCAGGTGAATGATGGCATAAGTCTGAGCCCCAACGAGCCCAGAACGAAGAACCAAGCAAAAAGGTGGGAACTCTGTCAGATCGGATCAATCCTCGTTCGGAAAGCAATTGCAGAAGAACGGTGAGGTATTTTTGGAACCCATGGAAGACACTAGATTCGTTAAGAGGCCAAGGCATTTGAGCAATGATCGCTTAGAGAGCTACGATTTGAATTTCCAAACTAGTCCTCAAAAATTTCAATGTTTCGTTGGTTTTTTTGTTTTTGTTCACTGTGAGTAATATGCAACATCAATCAAAAAAAGAAGGAAACACCATGCATCAGGAACAAGAGAGCTTTTATATTCCACTATTTAAGGCTGTCAAAATTAGATTTCAGACTTCAAAAATCAAGCATTGGCCATGAACTTATAATTATGAAATCACCGATTTTTAGACCCTTTATATAAACTGCGTCATCCCTTTATGCAGTTCGAAATCCGAAAAGCAAACGTCCTCGTAACATAGGAACTGAACGATTCCTTCACGGCCATATTGAATATTAATCAATGCGGGAATGTAGCAAAAATAAATATGACAAAGCAATTCATGCATATCAAAGAGTCGTAAATACTAAAAAAAATAATACAAGCATACACGCATAATTCAACCGAATATTATTGCATTCAAAGGCCATTTAGACGCTTCAACGTCGTGTTTTTGGTATTGTTTTGACCTAGAAATACTGCAAATACTCGGATTGACCGATCAACCAGTGTTTACACCAATTTGATAAAAGTCCGTTTCCTGAACAGCCAGCCAATTTTTAAGGGCTTCAATAAAATTTTAAGCAGGTTAAAAAGGAACAAAAATATTAATTCGCCTTGACAATCGTGATCAAACTCTGGTGTTTTTGTGTAAAGGAAGTCATAAAATTTGTTTGGAAACACCGAGAGGACAATCGACCGGTCAGCCGGTTGCGTCATTCCGAAAACTACAATGTTTTGTGAAGCCTTTACAACCTAAAAATGAACATGAATTGCACGTCAGGACTCGTCTTTTTATTGTGTCAAACTAACTTTATTTGGCGTTTTACATTCTGTTTTATTCTTTTGACCTTTTCCCCTCAATATTTTTGGATGATTCAAGCGTTTGAATTGCCCGCCAAAAATGGGTTCTTCAAGAAATAAATAAAATAAAAAAAACGTCTGGCCCATGAAAAACAAGGGTCCACTTCCCAATCAGTTATCCGGATCAATGAGCTCTCAAGAGGCCGTCCAATTTGTGTGCCAACCGTTCGACGGCTGGCCAAATATTGTGGATTTTAATGATTAATAAGCATCGCTTACTGGTTCCAACAGGAAATGCTCAAGAATTGACTTAAACTCCGGAAGACTAATCGATCGTCCACCCTTTCGAGTTTACCAAAAAACTTCTGCAAAGCGATCAGCCAAGAAATTGCCTGCAGCGGAAAGTAGAAGCAACTCCAATCGTCACTCCAAACGTCTACTCTTACACAAACAGAGCGAACACAGACACCGTCAAAAATCGAAAATTCTACAGGCCCTTTCGAAAACACTTGAACTTTTGAAAATACAATCCATTGTCTTGGATTTGTTATGTTCTGTAAATATTGTATAAAAAAGTGAACCTGTCGAAAAAAGGGTCACAAGAAATCCGATATGATTAAAAAGAAGTTCGGGAAAGAGGATCCAGAATCTTCTTTTGTTTGTCTTTGTCCTTTTAACTTGACTTGATTTTAATCATGTCGCAAGTAGTGTGAAAATAACAATTGCTGTCAGAATTGACATCCAAATTTTGAAGGGAACATTCAAATTCCCGAAGAAGAAGAAGAGGCCAAACTATACGGAGTTGACGGTTCGACGTCACGCATTGGCAAGGAGAAGCTCCTTTCTCTCCGTGGAAGTGGGGGAGTTCTTGCAAAGCCTCTTTCTTCGGCCGTAAAATAATTCAAGTCGAAATGTTTCGAAACAATCTTGGAAATGCCATAAAAGTTGGACGATAAGACGGAAAGGGACATGCTGACGTACTTGTGAGGTCGGCGAAATATACGTAGCTACATACGCAATAGGGCAAATTTCTTCTCATGAATAGCTATAAGCCGAACTGCAAGAACCCTGATAAAGAAATCAAAACAAACGGCACCATGAAAAATCTTTATATTAGTGATGTTTTGAATTATTTTTTCATGAAATCAACAACGAATCACTGCTTTATTAATCTCAAAGACGCACTGAATTTCTCATCCGCACATTGCGCGCTAACTTTTCCTCCCAAACTTCCCAGAGATCACATCCTTTCCAAACCACACACAATCTCGGGATTAGACACTGCATTCATCACTTTTCAAAGATCACTTCGAAGCGCAGAAGAAAGTTGGATTCTTTTCTCCAATCTCCAGTCAAGTCTTCAAATCTCTATTTCCATTTAGCTGAGCGATTTATCAGATTTGTTGCAAAATTTGTTACTTTCTTCAGCTATTTTTTAGAATCATCCCGATCTTTCTTTTGTGAAATGCGCGTCATCGTGGATTAACTTTTGAAAAGCGAAGGCCCGAAGAGAAAACAGGGAAAGCTGAAAATTTTATGGAACCGTTCTCTGTGCAGTAACATCAAAACCGTTGCTAACCGAATCAGCATCAATTCAATGGCCAAAAAAAAATTCTTTGTTAAAGAAATGATACTGCCAAACTCACTTTTATTTATTGTAAAAATTCTATTCTTCTGCGGCATGTAATTTTGTGTGATTACGACCATTAAGCCGAGAGATAATATTATTTGTCATTAACAGCTCGCTTTTTATGATCACATTTGATTCCGGCCGCACCTTTCCTCTCCTCGAGAGGAAAGTCTGTTGCCATTTCATTTTCGGTATGATGCGAGCTTGAAAAGTTTTTATCAGTTTTCTGAAAAAATCTGTAAATACCCGTGACGAACTTTCTTGTTCGTTGCGGTACCAAAAAATATTCAGCTACAATTCCTGCACAACTTTTAAAATGTCATTCAATTCTTTATTTTTCGTCACTGTTTTATTCTTTATTTACATCGATTTTACGCTAGCAGATCCATCGGAATGCAGACCTGAGGATGTACCAACTAATGATATCAAAAGGAGGATTGTGTATTTGGATCGGAACAATGGCAAATTCTTTGGTAAGATCTTCATAGTAGTTTAAAGTTTATTTTTACTAGATGCTGAGGTGATCTTTGACGTTTGCACAGATAGATTGCAAAGGGCAAAATTAAGATTTGTTATCTCACAGTGCATGTCGGCAAACCGACAATTCGCGTATCAACTTTTATGAATCATATAAAAGGAATCTTTTACAGTCATCACTTTTAAAAAAGTGAACTATAATTATGCACAGTGAGGGACCGGATCCAATGGCAAAAATCGTCTCATTTTGCATCCCGGAAGGGACCAAAATGTCTCCAAACCCTTCCCTTCTCTAAGCTAAAAAACCTCGCTTTGAAGAGCCCGCCTTGAAGGAAAGGGCGCGCTTTTCAAAGCGGAGTTTTTTTAGCTTAGAGAAGGGAAGGGTTTGGAGTCATTTTGGTCCCTTCCGGGATGCAAAAGGAGACGTTTTTTGCCATTGGATCAGGTCCCTCACTGTATATACGAAGGTCAAACCAAATTTTCCAAAAAAAAATTTAAGGTGCCCTTTTCAGCCGTGATCTCACTCGGTGTTCCCCTACAAGACTTTAATGTTGCTCTTGACTTCAACAGTGCTGTGTTATGGGTGCCCCACTCAAACTGCCGATGTGCAGACGAATGTAAACAAGGTAAGAGTTGCCGGACCTAATGCTAATGCAAAATTAAATATTTTTGTTGGAAAAAATGTTTAATTTTGCATATGTTTTCAGCGCAATTCTGCAAAGAAAACTGCAGCCAACATTGCTGTGAGCAGAACCTGCGAAACAAACGGATGAATGAAGTCTCACCGCTGACAGGGAAATGCACAAATAAGATGGCGTTCAGAGTCAAGAAATCAAGGCTTTACATGGAAAGTAAGCAAATTCTCTTTGTAACATCCATGCCCAATAATTTCAGCACGAAACTATCTTCGCGTGAAGTATGCTGGAGAAGATTTGCTGACTTTTATCAGCCTAGACCAGATGAGTTTTGGGTCGCGGCACGCCCCTGGAATCACAATTCCTCATGTCGAATTCGGCTTGCTTCGCGAGTTCCCGGAAAGTTATGAAGACGCGGTAAACGATGGAGTTCTTGGACTTGCTATCAGCGATAAGAATGGAAATCAAAGCATAATGAAGCAGCTACTGGACAGAAACTTTATACCCAACCCAATAATCACAATATGGATAAACAACGGGAAAGGCGATCTTCAGCTGGTAGATGGCTCAATGACAATTGGGGAGATTGACACAAGAGTATGCGAAAATAAGCCAGGATTCTTTAAACTTGCTTCGTTGGACAAGTGGGCGTTTTTACTAAATGGAGCATCTGTGAGCGGTAAAGAATTCCCGAGATCCAAGGTAAGATCATTGCTGTCCATATAAAGTATCGAGCTTTAGATATCAATCGATCTAGAGGCACCCAAACTTGTCGTTCCACATGAGGTGCTGGTCCATATTATAGAACTTTGCAACGCCCAGATGGACGAATCAACAGGCGATTTAATCGGAGAATGCACAGATACGGCAGTTGTTATTTCTCAAGGCGGAATTTCGATGCAAACAAATCTGATTAACTACATGACAAAATACGATAACATTTATTGTCTAATCAACGTTCGAGAAGCAACACCAGAAGATCCATCGGAGTGGGTCTTGAACGCGGGAGTGACGAAAGATTTCTGCATAATATTGGACTACTCAGGGCACCTTGGCTTTACCCCAATAAAAGCGAAAAAGTCTTGAAAATAAAAATTTATTGTAAATAATTTTTATCTTCGTACGAGCAAAACTTACAAACAACAAAAAGAATATTAAATAAGCGTTAATTAATATCCAGGAGCAGTCCGAGGATACGGGCAGTGTGAGCAGTCTCCAGGCGGTCCTTGATAGCCAGGACGGCCACTCAATCCTGTCTCCCCACGATTTCCAGGCCGTCCCGGATACCCGGGATCTCCCATCTCTCCCATTCCTCCTGGATAGCCCGGCTCTCCATCAGCTGCGGGTGGTCCAGGATAGCCGGGGTACCCAGGCGGGCCTGGAGGCCCAGGTGGACCCATTGAAGGAGGCAGGTCGTAGATCCCTCCTGGAGGCCCAGGTTCCCCGGGATATCCAGGTTCTCCTTCCATTCCTGGAGGTCCCGGTGGACCAGGATAACCAGGAGGTCCGGGTGACATGTAAACACTTTCTCCCGGGAATCCTGGCTGACCGGGAGGGCCGGGTAGACCTGGTTTACCAGGGTATCCCGGGAATCCGGGTTCACATGCGAAGCACCAATTGGGTGGAGGCGAAGGGAGTGGAGGAGGTCCATCGTATCCCGGGTTTCCGGGCATACCCGGCATTCCATCATCACCCGACAATCCAGGATAGCCGGGTGGACCAGGCGGCCCTTGTGGAGATACTCCACATCCACAGCAGCCGGTCGTGGTTGGAGTGTATCCGCCATATCGTTGAGCTTTGTATGGAGTGTACGATTCTGGGAACGGGTCGTCGGCGTAGGTTATTATTGGATACGACGGAGTCTGCTTCGACGTTCCCGAGCCTTTCTTTGGCGCACGTTTATACCGAGGGTTTACATTAAGCATAAACTGAAAACCTGCCATCAAAATGAGGTGTAACGCCTTACCTTTGTTTTTACAATTTCTCCTTTCATCATTTCCCGATTTGAACGACAAAAGTTCAGCTCGTCTAGCATTGAAGTATGCCGTTCTGTTACAACTTCATACATGAACGGAAGAGAAAATAATATTAAAACGGTGGAAACAGTGGCCAAAGTGACACCAGTTATGGCCAAGTGACGCATCTGCGAGATCTCTCGCTCAATGGTTCCATCCATCGTCGTATCATCATACGTCATCAGAGCTACCCAGCGGGAAGGAAGTGATGTAACTACCTGCCAGCCACTGACCCCGAACTTTTAATCTCGAATACTCATCGGGAACAATGTAAGACCCGTCTATTGTAAATTCCAAAAAAAACTTGTCGTCAATTCGTCGCCTTTCCAAGTTGGGTTATTCGGGCGTGATTAGCCTCACTCCGACGTTGTTCGCAGATCATTTCGAGCGCTTTCTTCCGTAATTCCTTCCAATAATTCTTTAATAAATGCAATTTGAGCGAAAGGTATGACCGTTCCGGAAATGGAGGCTAATTGTGTGAGGAGGCTCAGGACGAGACTACAATTAACTTTATCATCCTAGTAAATATCAGTGATGAGTTGAATGTCCAAAACCAAATGATGGTGAAGATATTCAGCCTTTTCGTTGAAAGAGTAGGCTGATTTTTTCTCCAGTATTGCGTGGTTTTAAATTCTTCTGCCTCTCCGTGTTGTTTGTGTCGGGAGCCAATATTTAAATGCCCAATCCAAAATTATGCAGATAAAGAAACCCATCCTTGAATGGAGGCTTTGCAATGTTGTAGTTGATGGTTGGCTGATCTGATAAGCAAGCGTAAGTGTCAAAGCAGCCATTGTGTGTTGTAGCTAGCACAGATTGCATAATAAATATTGCAATATATTGAATTATTTGATGATTTTGAAACATTGACACTATACATTAATCAGGCATCTTTGGCAATTTCTAAAATCACATTCTGACAACTTTTACGGATGTTTACATTTGTCGCAATTCTCGGAAATTCATTCAGATCAATTTATCCGTTCGAGCTGCTTCATTTTTTGCGACATCCCCAAAAAAAGTTAATTACTTTTTCTTCTCCCCATCGGAACCTCAAATTTAACAAAAGCGGAGAATGATGATTATGGATATATTGTTCTCAAAGTTGCTTCGAGAGATGTTCCACTTTAAACGCGGGGATTTAAAAGGGAGCGACGCTTACGGAGTTCTCCGGAAAAGTTGCATATGTGTATTTTTTCACGAGGTTCTTCTTGCAAGAACAGAGTTATTTCCATAGTTTCCCCCGAGTATTACACGCGAATGTGAAAGCGTGATGTAATGTCCGTTCAAGCCTTTTTTTTGCAGAAATGAAGTGTGTCGTTGTTCTCGTGGCATTCTCAGTCATCCTGGCAGTTGTACAAGCTGACAAAAAAGAGGCCAAAAAAGTCTACAATTACGTTTTTAATGTAGTGGGTGAGCGATACTTTGAACACTTTTATCTTGAACTTTTAACATGAATTTCAGAGAAACTCACAAAGGATCCAAGTTTCAAGGAAATTGCAAAGGCCGCTGCGCAAACTGACAACCCCATTGAGTACTTGGACTCGAAGAAGAGCGAGATTGTAGCGATCGAGACCAGAATTCTGAAGGAAACTGGCTTGAGCAAGGATCAAATTGATGTGATTCAGAAGCTGAGCGATGCCGAGGCTCATTTGAAGTTCGACGAATGGCTTCCAAAGTACCGGGGATTGAATGCAAACGAAAAGAAGATACTCTTCGGCATCCCAGGGTTGTAAAGTACCTCATACTGAGACTGGTTGTAATTTATAGTCGTATTTGTATATACAGAAAACATTTTGAATATAACTCTTTAATTAATTAGACTTTTCTTTGCAAATTCTATGTAAGCATCGAATTACTAAATATTCTTGTTTTTATTGCCTATGATCCCAATTTATGGCCCCATTGATCCTGTAGTTGATTGAAATAGTCCTCTCCATTGCCATTTTCATTCAAAGCGAAGTCTTTATTCTTCGTCGTCACCCCTTCTTCGGGATAAACACGAGGCAGAAGCCACGCCAAATCCTTAGACACTCGGTTGCGGATGACTGGGTGATAGTAGAAGAATATCAACTCCATAGTGAGTGCGACAAAATCAACGAACATGTGAGAGATCTGGAACGGTCGATTTTGATTTGAGGCACATTGAAAAAATATGTGGTAAGAATGCTTCTGCTAACTTACATGCGCTAAAAAGTTGATCCACCAAAGATCGGGGCTTTCGACAAACAGCGACATATAACCTGCAATCTCCATAGTTATGAGCCCACAGTTTCCGTGGATCCCAAAGCAAATTATGAACACGTAGAATAGGCATTCGAGCACTAGGACGTTTTCACTGAGCTGGTATCGAGTAGTCAACGACTCCAATGCTCTACGGTCTTCCTTTAGTCGTTTGTTGTAGACGTACAAATAAATCACCAAGGGCATAGGGCCAATGGAAAATATAGCACAGATGATAAAACTCATCGAGTCAAGGAAGGGCCAGCGATCGAGGTACATGCATTTTTTGGGGAAAGTGGCTGCAAACGAACAATTTTTATTTTTGAAGTGTCTTTGTTCGTACCTTCTACCTTGCTTCCCAGATATCCACAAACAAAATTGTAGCAGACCCCATGAATAAGCATCAGAACAGCAAATATTTTTGCCATATTGCTCTTTTGATTCTCATAATGTTTTCTGTTGTAAGTGGCCACACAACGCTCTGCGACTATTGCCAACATTGTGCAGTCGCTCAGCGCGGTCGCAAAAACATTTACAAAGTTGACTATTCGGCAGTAGGTTCCATCATGATGAAAGAATTCAAATTTGTCATTTAGGGCTCCGAGAAGCCGAGTGGATCCGACGAAGTTCAACGGCAACACGATTTGAATCTATAGTAAAGTATTACTTCGGAGTAGAACAGTATTATCTTACCAAAAAAAATCTAAGATTAGGATGTAACGCTTTGCATCGTTGAACGGTGAAGCAAAAATACGCCGTAACAAAGGTTGCACAAATAACTGTTGTCCAATTAAATGCGTCCATTAACTCGATCACTTCCATTCAAATAGCCCACAGATGGCACATGTGACTTGGCGGAATGAACACGCCCAATGTCTGCGTTCTTTTCAAAATGCGTTCATGTAACGAGCTGGCTGAAAACATTCTTTATGTTAGTCAATATGTAAACATTTGATAGCAACGGAATCATATTTGCAATAAAGTATGCGGATTACCGCCAAGTTTGAATTCAGAGATCATATACGACTATTTGAACTACTATATATAGGAGCTCCTTGACCAAAAAAAATGTGGTGTAAAATTATAATTACAAAGAATCAGTTGAATATGTTTTGTTTATGCATATTTAGATACGGCATGCACATAATGGGTGGCTGTTGTCTGCGGCGGTGTGGAAATTATCGGCAGATTTAAAGCGTCATAATTATGACACTGTTTTAATTTGTTTTTTATCCAATTTTTATTATGTTTAAGTGAATATAAATAAATAGTAATTAAACTGCGACGAATATCGTATACATAATATAAAAAAGGTACAGAAAAAACTTAAAAATAAAGGTGGTTACAAGTTACACAAAGATAAAGAAAGCAAATAACCCGAACCTTTTGCTCTAAGAACTGGGTAAGATTCCAAAAAACAGATAATCACTGCCTAATTGGAATATTTGCAATGCAAACACCACGCACGTGAAAATATCGGCGAGTTCAGCTCTATGTGGGCAGAAAATTGATGATTGAACACGGGCAGACCTTCTTCGGGCGTTCCAAAAATGAAGTGTAAACGTAGACATAGACTGTCTATATCATATGAGAAAAGGCTTGCACATTTCTTATAAACGGGAGAATGTAATCAAGACTTTATACGAATATTGCTTGAGCAAAATTAAAATAACTGACCGAGCAGAACGCAATAATAAAGTTAAAGCTGAATGCCTAATGTAACGTGTTAGGGATAATTTTAGAAGAACGTTAAGAACTCTGCGTTCGAAAATACCAACCATTTCTTTACGAGGCATCATAACAGTTGTAGTAATTGCGCTGTTATTACGATAAACAAACCCATGCCAAAGACTCCGCCGGAAACATATTTGGCTAGAAAAAAGAAGCAGTGAGCGTCCTTCTATTCGAGAAGATTGAGTCTACATACATAGCTCCGCACTTTCAAATAATTTTGCACAAGGAAATAAGTCGCTGCATTTAGCCAGTATTGCACCAGCGACGTGCACTTTTCATTATGAAGATTGTACTTTTTGCGACAAAATTTTCCGCTCTCTGCACCGAGCGTGTAATACAAAAGACTTCTTAAAACACAGTTTTTTTTGGACCTACCAATTTTGTATTGTTTTATACAGACTTTAGGAAAACGAAGATGTCAAGGGCATGATATAAAAAAGGACGAACGAGTGAGACATGTACAATAAAAAAATTTTTTGGCCTTGTTTTGAGGTGGTTTGCTTATTGCATTCTCAAGAATAGTAGAGGGCTGAAACATTGCTAGGAACCCCATAAATAATAAAGCTGTTAATAAATTCCTTAACAGATTTTTAGACATGTTTAAAAAAATCTGTAAGTCAACATTATCGACGTCGTTAAAAAATCAAAGCTTGGTTGCAACAAACGCTGTATCTTCAGTATTTCTAATAAATTCTTAATTAAACGTTTATTTTCTTCAAGACCATGTTACCCGTGAATATGAAATTTGATTTTAAATATTGCTAATAGACATAGAATACTATTACTTCCACAGAGTTTCATATTGGTTGAAGTAGTCGTCGCTGTTTCCAATCCCTTCTTTTACACATTTCCTTTGCTTTTCTCTTAACAAAAAGTCTTCTGGATAGATTTGAGGAAACCAATTGGCCAGGTCCTTGGCCACTCGACTCTGTATGGTTGGATGGCACACCATAAAAATTATCTCAAATGTCAGGCAAACGGAGTCCACGAAGATATGAGACACCTGCGAATTGTACATATTATACATACAATCTACTCTTGAATTGTGTAGTCTTTACAATAAACCACCTTCAATGCTTTTTGTGAAATAATAAAAGTAAAGTTTAGCTACAAGAACAGAGTTGAATTCTTGTTCGCACCCCTCTTGAAGTCAAATTTACGTGTAAGTAAAACTGTGAACATGATGTTTACGGAACTTACGTGGGCAAGTGCATCCAGGAGCCATAAGTCGGGGTTTTCCATAACCTTTGACATAATGCCTGATGCAGCTATACTTGAGAGTCCTAGACCTCCGTAAACAGCGAAACAAATGACGAACACTGGTAGAAAACACTTCAAAACTATGACATTTTCGTTGACTTGGAATCGGGAGGTAAGGGATTCCATTACTTGACGATTAGCGATCAGTTTTTGGTTATAAATGTAGAGGTAGGCCATAAAAGGAGCGCAGGTAAAAGAAAAGAAGCCGCACATTGAAAAACCTAAGGCGTCCAGAATGGGATGGCGATCGAGGATCATACATCTTTGCGGAAAGACTTCTAAAATTGCAATGTAAGATGGCATAATCCAGGTAATGTTTACGTATCACCATATCTAGATATCACCTTCAAGTTTTCCAGCGCAGTACCAACAGATCCCCACATATACCACGCCGTATGCAACCATAAAGAAACAATAAATCTTTGCCATTCCAGCATTTCTGTGCTCGTAATGGCTGCGCTGACAGGTTGCGATAGATCTCTCGGTTACAATCGCCAGCATTATGCAATCCCCAAGGCCTGTGGAGAAGACATTCAGACTTCCAATAAGAATACAATAGTCGCTGTTATGTGAGAACCATTTGTAATGATCGTTGAGGAAGCCGAAGAATCGAGAGATCCCGACAAAATTAAGGGGAATTACTATTTGAATCTGAAGAAATTTGTAATTCAGAACGCAACGGAATGTTCTTACTAAATAAAAGCGCAGATTTGGATGCAGAGACTGACATCTGCGCACTGTGTACACAAAATATGCTGTTGTTATGGTGCCCGCTGATATGATGAGGACGTTAAATGCCCATAAACCGTCGATCAGATCCATGGGCCGACCAGTATTATCGCTGAAAACCGAAGTAGATTTAAAACGGTAAAAGCCATGTAAAATGAAAACTGGTATCATGAACGGCCACTAAACTTCAAAAACATAAAAGAAATATATGAAATTGCCACTCATTCAAGGACCTATGTATATCATAGATGTTAGAGCACATAATCATGTCATTGACAGAAAATATCTCACAGACTCTGATTTTGCAAAAATATTTTACGAGTAAGGTGAAGGAAGCTCAAAAGAGGTTCTTTGTGCAACTGGCATCATTGCAATCATTCAAATCGGCCACAAAATTTAATTGGGCGGAATGGAGTACTTATCCATAGAATGCGAGACAACACATATTATTTTAGGATCTGAGTGTACTTTCAAGACACTTCTCCGATTACCATACCACTTTGTGAACGATGCTCTTGTCGCCTTTTCGAACAAGTACATTACCAAAGACAAAGCGTGAAATATAGCTAGTCTGTATTATTCAAATCATAAAAGTCTTGGATAAATAAAGGCAGAGGCAAAATGTAATTCTGATTAGTAGAACAACTATTTAAACCCGAGGTTGTATCCACCGCGTTCCCTTCCCTTAGGATTTACCAACTTCCCGAACTCGTAAAGCTTTCCAATGCTGCAAATTGTCATAATTTGTATGTTGAAAGCTCTCACAATGGAAGACTAGAACAATCCCTGAGGGATGATGTCCAATTTGTAGCCAAATAACTATTAATTTTTTGAACCAAAAAACGTTGAAAGAGAATGTCCAAAATAAAAAGTAAATACTATCACAAGACGTTGCGAAGTATTTCGTTCGTTAAAAATTTCTCTAAATATTTCTTTGAATACGATGATTAGACAGATGCTGAGTTGGGTTGCTGTCCCCGAAAATAATGATCACTTGTGTGCGTGAACAACAATAACAAGACAAAAAAAGTTATTTCTTGTTTACATAGTTGCCAAAAGAGAATCCAGGAATTGAAACTAAGAAAGGCAGACATAACACGTGCCTCTCGAGGGATGTGGAGGATGAGTTATTATTCTGCTGTAATTAATTTTACATACAAATTAAATGCGCGGAAGCTACCGTATGTAAACTGAAAGACTAAACATTTGGCGTGGATTTTTTAGCTATAATGGTTATGATGTTTGGAGCATACGCCTTTATAATTTTTTGATTTTAATGTTATTCGAGATCCTACAAATCTGTAATTACTTCCATTCATCTCAAATAAGTAACCCAAAATTGTTTCAGGTTTCATTCGAGTTGCGGCTTAAAGAAGCGAATAAAATTCTATGAAAAGCACGTCTGTAACAAGTCTATGGGATGAGAAATATATACATAAACATGCGTATTTACACCCACATAACATCAAATTCGTTGACCTAACGATTAGTCCCTACAAAAAAGCCAAAAAGCACAAGATTAGAAAGTAATTTTTATTTCTTTACTTTCACTTTTAAGTTTAAAAACTTCCGCAAAACAATGTGGCATTTCGTGTGGCTCAGGAACACGTTGACATGCTGTAACAATAACAAATACAAGCCATTAATATCTCTCTATCTTCCATGTATTTTCAAGCTGCTTGAAGTACTCATCAGCATCTGCACTTAGGCACATTTGTTTTCCATTACGTGTCGTGATGACGTAGACGTTTCCTTTATTTGGATGAACTCTCTGAGGTATAATTACAGAGAGCAAACATTTAGCCTTGTTACGTAGAACCGGATGGTTGAGAACAAACGTGGCTTCAAATCCAATGTCCACTGAGTCGACAGCGATGTGAGAGATCTGGAATTTTTCACTATTAATCAAACTAGTTCTTTGCGCTTCTTGAAAGTTCACTGTATCTTGCAATTATTGTGCTAAAGTTTGTGTTGCAGCAAACGCATTAGAATTTTTAAAAATGTCATCATACGGCGGCCACCTTTGCTCTTACGCTAAGAATTTATAATATGTGTAACATAAATTAAGAAACGGCCTATTTTTAAAAGATCATATTTCTCCTATTGAAGCTGCAGAGATAGTAACTAACGCCAAGAGAAAAAGTTGGCTCAGACTGGGGCCATCATTCACTGTCAGGTCGTCTAAGCTACCATACCGCTCTTTCTCTCTCTCGGATCTTACGACGTCAGGGGCAACCGTTTACAGTGGTGGACCTGATCCGGTGGCAAAAAAACGTACCATTTTGCAAGTAAGTATCAAGAATGTGGCAAAATGCTTCACTCTCCAAGTGAAAAAACTCCGATTTCAAAAGCGCGACCGCTCTTTTTGTGAGTGAGCCCTTCACACCGAAGCTTTTTCACTTGGAGAGGGAAGCATTTTGCCACATTTTTGATGCTTCTCGAATGCAAAATGGTACGTTTATTTCCACTAAATCAGGTCCCTTACTATATCTTATCCATGCTATTGGGATTCTTCAATGATCTTCAACTCATGTCAACGCCCATCAAGATCTTTGCTTATGCTTTGTGCGCATCCCAAAGTCTTTTGCAACACAAAACTGCTTACCTTCACTAATATCCTTATTGCGTTTCTGTGTTCCCTCCAATTTTCACCTGCACTCAATATTGCGGCCACTTGGATTGTCCACAGTCCCAGATTCCCAATTATTATGAAACATACGATATAAACCGGGATTAATGTCCGCATCACCATAAAGTTTTCGTTGAGTTGGAATCTTGAACTTAAAGATTCCATTTTCTGCCGATTGTTGAACAACTTCCGGTTATATAAATACAGCGCGAATGCTGGCCCGGTGCATAAGACAACAGTTACTCCGCATATGCGAAATCCTTGGGCGTCAAGCCCGGGGTACATATCAATGAGGTTACATTGATCCGGGAAGACAGCTACAAAAGGCCTCAATTTAACGTGTCTAACTCACCATGCAAAGAGTAAGAAAATTCTTCACAAATCAGCACATAGAACCCGCCGTACACAAAGATTATGCAACTGTAAACTTTGGCGTACTTATTGCTGATTTGCTCGTAATGAGTTCGATTTAAGGTGGCAATAAATCTTTCGGTGATAATACCAATCATTACGCAATCGGCCATGCCAGTTACTATCATGTTCAATGTCGAAATTACGATGCAATAATAGCCGCTGAAGTGGAAAATGTGTAATTCATCAGCCAGATCGGCCAATAATCGGGTGACTCCTACGAGATTTAAAGGAACCACTATTTGGCACTAAAAATTGTCTTAGTAAGTATTAATATATTTAATTTCATACATGTCAGAATGAAGCGACATACCAAGAAAAATCGCAAGTTTGGATGTAGCAATCGACAGTTTACAACAGTAAGCAGAAAGAGCACGGTCATCGCCGTCTCAATCAAAATGACTAGCCGGTCTATCCATTCTATCGTCGTTAAGGCGTCCATTAGTATCCAAAGTTATCAAAACTACCATGCAGAGAAACTTAGTTTAATTCAAGCAAGGTCAAAAGCAAATATTGATTCATACCTTGTAAATAAATGAAAATAAACAATGGGTTACACCCCGTTCTCATTTATTACTGGAATTTCAGCTGCTTGACGACAAATGTTATGCTAAATACATACCTTCTAGAGGATACTAATTTTGCGCCCTTTTGACCCCTGTATTTTCGTTATTATGTAATCGAGGCAACGTTGTTGACATCAGAATTAAACCAACTGTTTGCACGTAAATAGTCTAGCCGAAGTTAATCGTAAGAAAACTCTAAAAACGATGCCATCCAACCTACCACAGCCAGAGCGCAGGTTTATCTTTGATACAGTGAGGGACCAGATCCAGTGGTAAAAAACGTACCATTTTGCGTCCGGGAAGCATCGAAAATGTGGCAAAATGGTTCACTCTCCAAGTAAAAAAACTTTGTTTTGAAGGGCGCGCCCTTTTCCTCACAAAAAGAGCTAGCGCGCTTTTGAAATCGGAGTTTTTTCACTTGGAGAGGGAAGCATTTTGCCACATTTTTGATACCTCCCGGATGCAAAATGGTACGTTTTTTACCACTGGATCTGGTCCCTCACTGCGCATAATTTTGGACTGTATAAAAATGGAGTTACAAAACGAAGCTGAGTTGATGCGATCAATTTGTATATATTTAGGGTCCTTGTTGAAGAGAAAGTCGCCTCTAGCAGATGGATGGCAAAACTGGGACTCCTTTCAGTAAAGCAAAATAAATAAAGCGAATCATGAGTGAGCGAAGGAACAATAAAGAGGCATGCAAAACGAGAGAGACGGCAGAAAAATTAGGATTGACCTACTTTTGTCAAAGTGGCGTTTTATGTCAAAATTAGGATTTAGAGTCATAGCTGTACTATTTGTGGTCAGTTTTTGCTTTCACCAAATTTATTTAGACTTATTGATGTATAGTAGAATAGTTTATATCATGAATATATGTGTGTTCTTATTGCTGATCAGCAGAGCCTGCAGCAGAATCCAATAAGTTCTGACGGCATCATTTCTGTAGTCTGCAAGATTCTGTTCAGCCGAAAACACAACGAATTCTTCATTATCGATGAGTTCATAAAATCAATTATCATTTTTTCATTTTCTTTCTTTCAATTGATACACCCCACAACACTTTACAATCAACTCATTCAGTTGAAACTACCACTGGGAAAGACCCCCCATCTGCAAAACCAGAGAACACTTTGAAACCACGAAGAGATAGAGTGTGTGCAGACAGGAGAGCGGCCGAGAAAAAGAGGGCATTCCGGCTTTCTCTTAAAAGGACGGGGAATTCTCTTTTCCGATAAGGGGAGAAGATGAAGAAGGGGGTTGGGAAACAGCTTTAGAGCCCGTGAAAAGGGGGAACTCCGAATCAAAGAACCGTTGTTTTTCTTTTTTCAAAATCAGACGATAAAAAGAAAAGTCTTGTGAAATGAAGAAGAACGTCACAAGGAGAGCTGGGCCAAGAGTGGGGTTCGAAACGAAGCTATTGATTTGGCTGGGAGTTGTTTGAAGGGGGGATTTTGAGGCCGGAAGTTCGAGTTCTCTTTTATCGAACAACTCATTTTAATGACTTGTGTAACGCATTTTTATTTATTTCCTTGTATACAATTTAGTGTTGCTTCAAGATAAACGCTGCGAGAATGTTTTGCGTAACGCCATCGTTTAATTAACGGCTTCAGGGAACGGTCAAATTTATTTGTTTGCCAAGCCCCAAAAGCGAAATTTTTTGTTTTTGATCTTCGATTAATGATGAGAATGTAAAGTTTTAGTCGATATTCCGCATCTACTAGAAATTTTAGGCATATTATTTTGCCGATTTATTGTTAGTTAATCCTATAGTAGCAACGCAATTTCTCTGGTAAGTTTATATACTGCTTTGTTTATACGAAGATGTTTGATATCTGTTTTTTAGATTGTCCATAAGTGTTTATAGCAAGTGCAATGTTAAGACCAAAAAATTTCCTTTTTATATTTAATTTTTAGAGAAGCTAGACGTTGTAAACAGCGATTTCATACTAAATTACCAACAAAAAGACTACTTCTCATGATTATACAACATTATTTAACTTTTTCCGTAGTTTACGTCGTCATTTTCCGACCTTTCTCGAACACTCGGGATTCCTCAACTCCCAAAAAGATCATTCCTTATCGCGGTAGTCTGGCTTATTTTGAAACAAACACGTGATGAAGCACGCCTTTTTTGTGTCACAACGTCCAGCTAGTCATGGTTTTTGATATTAATTGCTTGCTCAAACCAACAACTTATAAAGATTGTCTGATTCGAAAGAAAGTTCTCTTCTCAAAGGAACGGATCTCCGCCATTTTAAATTTTCTTGTCGTTCGATTTGCTGATAATCGTTTCCCCCGTTCCCCGCAGAAATGCCCATTCCTGTTCAAACATCGCTCTTTTGATCGCGAAAATAGACTTTGGACTTGCTTTTTAAAAATTCTGTTTAAAAATTCATGTTTTGATTTCAGATTGCAGCCGGATTTGTAGTCCAAAACAGAGTCGAGAAGGCTGTGGAATGCCAAAAGCGGTCATCAGAGAGTCATCGTTGGATCGTCCGCTGAAATACTTCATCTCCGAAGTCTTTCTGCACTTTGATTTCTACGGCGCCCAATAAAACGGACTAAAAACACAGACTAATCAGATCAACCGAACTTAAGAAAGAAATCACAAAAATCACTGCATAGCAACCTACTTAATCGTTAATTTGAAAATTCAAAATGACGTGGGAACCAATTCGTCAAGGGCACTTTGAATTTCGAACGCCGAACTTCAATGTCCGCCCGATCAGTCCAATAAATCCATTTCCGAAGGAAGAGCAACAACCAGAAGTGTTGAGGGTGATAGAATGGGACCATATGAACTTGAAGTTGTTCTATCCGATGGCTCTGACGTCCACATGGACAGTTCGAACGCTTCTGTATCCTCTGGCAGTGCTGAGGGCGAGATTACAGTTGCAGAAGCAGACATCGGTGTATCGGAACACTTGGCATGCATTCACGAGCATCGCGAAGTACGAGGGAATCAGAGGACTTTATAAGGTATTGCATGTTCTATGTAAAGAACTTTATTTCTCATGGCAAATCTTACATTTTACTTTTTAGGGTTTCTGGGTGACTTTTCCTCAGATTGGCACCTCCTTTATTTACGCTACTGTCTACGAGAAACTCCGAGCTTACATGCTAAACGACCTTGGCTATGACTCAGTTTCGGCCATATCCTCGATTGCCGGAGGAGCTGCCTCGTTTTGTTCTCAAGTCATCTTTGTCCCCACGGATGTCGTTGTTCAGCATATGATGATCTACAATTATGCTGACAAATTTGTGGGTGGAAGCGACAAACGGATAATGGAGTATTTGCGAGCAGGAAAGGGATCCGGATTTCTGGGATTACGGACGGTCAAGGCTGTTTACCACTACGATGGATTCAAAGGATTTTATCGGTAAGAAACTTTGCTTTCCTCGATGCTATATCATATCAATCTTATTCATCTCGAATTTTTAGAGGTTTCTGGGCTTCATCGTTCGTCTATGCCCCCTCTTGTTTTGTGTTCTGGCCGGTCTACTACAAAGTGCAAGAGCTCTTGAAAAAGTTGCATAATGACAAAGGATTTCTACTGCTGGATCAAGCAGTTGCTGCGACAATTGGAGGAGCAGCTTCGACTATCGCCACCAATCCAATGGAAGTCCTAAGAATTCGGTTACAGGTAAGATTTCAACAATTTTTTAAACTATACAATCCATCATTCCCCCGGATTTTACAAATATAAAACAACCATTTTATTTTGCAGGTTCATCGCTCAAGTTACAAAGAAACCTTCGAAAGACTGATCAGAAATGAGGGATGGACCATCTTCACGAAGGGATTACCTCCCCGTCTGATCAGTAATTCCATTTACTCTTGCGTTGTGATGGTCGGATACGAAGTTGTGAAAAGATTCTGCGTTTTACCAGAATACAAAGAAGCCATTGTTTGGTAAATGGCCAATTGTAGGAACTCGAGTTCTGTGTATAATTTAATTTTTGTGATTATGTATAAAATAAATGTAGAGTATTACTACATATTGTTCAGGAAAACGTATTTAGAAAGCTAAGAACAGCGATATAGCGCGTAAAAAGAGAGAACGAAAGGCGCTAGACAAAGTCTTCTTCCTTCCCCAACCAAAATCGGCAGCCGGTTTCTCTCTCTTGCGAAACAATGCATTCACTCCTCGGTTTAATAACCCAAGTTTGAGGTTAGCTCATGTTCTGGCTCATGCAAATGTGGCTGGTTGATGAAATTTTGGAACGTTTGAGGTTATTTTCAAACAAATATAACATTTATTCATTATCGGGTTGCATACGTTCGGGAAATTACTGTATTTTACATTGTTAATTGCGATTTTAATAAACATTAGCTTACTGAACGTCAAAAATCATGATATGAGCTCGTATCTTGATCTACAATAACTTTTGAAATACCAAAAATTGCAAAATGCGTACGCCACTTGAGATTCCAAGGACGTCTCCGATCCAAGTACTAATCAAGCGCACCGTTGCTTAACTTGCCAGATCGGACGGGATGGCGTGCTTTCAACGGGCTATGGGCGTACACATTCGTCGCTCTGGTTCCATTCCATTTCTCCTCTCCTTTCCGCTAGCCGAGCAAAAAAAGTTCCCAAAGACGGCGATTTTGCCAATTCCATCGAGAGAGGAGAGAGAGGGCCAAAGAAAGAGACGCGAAGAGAAGACAGAGAAATTTGTTTTGGTTCCCCAGTTCAAAAATCGTCAGGGATGTTGATGTGGTGGAGGTGAAGGTTGATCCCGTTGCTATTTATAGCCTAATTTGAGGTTAGCTCATGTTCCAGCTCGTGAAAACGTGGCTGGAAATGGAAATTTTGGAATGTTCACGAGTTTTTTCGTGAACGAATATTCGAGATTAAAAATTTTTAATCGATTTCCCGTTGATTATTGAAGCACCGTATTTTATTCATGTCTACAGTAAATTTCTGTTATTTTCTGCAATTCAAAGTGAAATAGCGCGCAAAAGGAGAGAACGAAAAGCGCTAGACAAAGTCTCGTTCGTTCCCCAACAAAAATCGGCAGCCGGGTTCTCTCTCTTGCGAAACGATGCATTCTCTCTTCGGTTTAATAACCCAAGTTTGAGGTTAGCTCATGTTCTGGCTCATGCAAATGTGGCTGGTTGATGAAATTTTGGAACGTTTGAGGTTGTTCTCAAACAAATATCATTACAAACCTCGTTGGATTCTTTCCGTTCGGGATGTCTAGTAAGACATAAATATGAACTCGACCAAAGAGTTCGAATGACGTGTCCATTAGCTGTTTATGAAGAGCTCGCATTGAAACTCAGAAATATAATCAGCTGCTTGGCCGGCCCGATCCTTTGAGTGGGCCGGTCTTTTAAAATAACCCTCTGGCACATGTTTTTCGCCTACTACCTGATCTCACGAGCCATTCGGGAAAGAGCGGGCGATATGAAGAGAGTGGAGAGATGAGCAGATGGCAAAGGGCATCTTGAGTCCATTCCGAAGACAAAACTTTTAATCCCCCCAGGCATTGGTCTCGATTTATACCGAAAATGACCGAAACGCATGATCCTCATTTTGAAAACATTGTTAATGAGCTGAATGAGGTCACAACCATTGCGGATAAATTGGTATTCTACTCGGTTTATCTGAGGCCTCCGGCTGGGTCAAAGGACAAAGGTAAGTCGCTCTGTTGCCCGATATTCTGATAAAATTATCTCCCCAATTTCAGGACCAAATCCCCCCGCTGATGCTCTGAGCAAAGTCGACAGCTTGACCAAGATTGAAACAACTTTAAAGAAGATATCCGAGATCGACGAAAAACTGGATCAAATAGAAACTGATAACCCAGAAGTCTTCACAGATCAAGTTGAAGACTACAGAAGTGATCTGGAAGACCTTAAAAAAAGGCTGAAGAATTTAAAACAGGTGGGATCAAAAATATACTAGACATCTTCTTGAAAAACAGCCTAAAATAACATATCTTCTAGGTCATCAACTATGAGTTGCTCAACGAAGGAGATCCCAGCAAAAGCGAAGGCTCATGGCTGACTACCTATAAAAATCTTCTTGGTGCCAAACTTCACAAGGAAAAGAATGCCCTCGAGGAGATTCAAGAGTCCGAGACGAAAGATCAAGCCGAATTACAAACCTTGTGCAAAAGGTTGGATAGAATTGTGCAGACTGCTGCAATGCTACAAGAAGCAGCTCGATATCTGCATTGGTTCACCAACAGGATTGTTGAAGCCAATGAAGCCTTGCCGGACTCGAAAAAAGATTACACTTTGGAATTGGTGGCGGGCTGGATGAGGACGGAGTTGGATCGGGTCAAAGATCACGAACAAAACTGCTTTGTAAGTCGCTGTTAATATCAGTATATGTGCAAAAAATTCTGCTCTCAGAAAGTGACAAAAACTCTTTTCAGAACGTAAAATCGGAGCTCGAAGGAAAACTGTTTGAGAAGACGGAAGAGTAACATAAAATACCCGTATTTTATCTCCAATTCCATAAAGTTATTGCCCATAAAAATAAAAAATATTTAGTTTGAAGAGAATTGTTTGAAAAACAAATTTGTTTGGATCTATGAATGTTTTGTGTATGTCTTTTTCACCTCTGTGTCTTTCCTGCTATACATCCCAAATCGAAAGAATTCACCGGTTTTGTTTTGATATTTGTTCGAGGGAAACCTCAAACGTTCCAAAATTTCATCAACCAGCCACATTTGCATGAGCCAGAACATGAGCTAACCTCAAACTTGGGTTATTAAACCGAAGAGAGAATGCATCGTTTCGCAAGAGAGAGAACCCGGCTGCCGATTTTTGTTGGGGAACGAACGAGACTTTGTCTAGCGCTTTTCGTTCTCTCCTTTTGCGCGCTATTTCACATTGCATTTCAGAAAATAACAGAAATTTACTGTGGACATGACTAAAACTCGCTTTCCTCGGAAAATTGGACACAATATTTTTAATTTCAAATTTTTTTTCACAAGGAAAGTACTTTTATGGGGGCTCCTACTTTTTGACGGGACATATCTCAAAAAATCAGAAAAAATGTGCTGATCAAGGATATATAAATCTTAGCTGCCCATTTTAGGTTTTTAGGGGTGAAAACTCAATCGGAAGTTGACATAAAGTCCTATATGAACCCCTTTTCGCTTAATTTTTCACAGGTTTACAATTTTTATTTTGGCTTAAAATGATGTTTATTGGGTTTCTAAGACGTAATAAATCAGTCTTGGCCCAAAAATTTATTTTTCCGATCTTCAACTTCAAAAAAAGTTTATTCAGCCCAAAAGGGAAATCGAACCCGTGCGGCGTCATCGCTCTTGATTCCCAGACTACGGCACTAACCACTCGGCCACACCACTCTCTTCCGAAGGAAGAGACTGACTGCGCTTTTTATCGTTTCGAACGCTTGCGCCTTTTGTAGGGAAAATAAGCCAGTTTTTGGGCATTTTGACCCCTAAAAACCTAAAATGGGCAGCTAAGATTTATATATCCTTGATCAGCGCATTTTTTCTGATTTTTTGAGATATGTCCCGTCAAAAAGTAGGAGCCCCCATAAAAGTACTTTCCTTGTCAAGAAAAGCTCGTGAACATTACAAAATTTCCATTTCCAGCCAGATTTTCAAGAGCTGGAACATGAATTAACCTCAAATTAGGCGAGAAAAAGTGCCCAGATCCTACTACCACAACTGAAAAGGTTGTAAACTCTATAGTCTTGTCGCAAAGGTCATTACAAAACAATGTTTTTGTAAACAATCTCTGTTTACATAACAATACTGCCGAAGTAATAAATCCACAGGTAATAAATACTTCTTTTGTTCACAAACAAACAAGTTTTTTCATTGCATGGTCAAAAGGTGCTAAAGTGGTCTCCGAATACGATCCGCGACTCCATGGTATTCGTTTTTTTTTTTGCTTTTTCAAAGAATTCTGTTTTTGTTTTGTTGATAATCAAAATTCGATTGACTTTTGGATGTTTCTTTATGTTCATGTTTTGTTTTCTTATCAGCTAAAAATAAAGCTGATAAGAAACCTCGGGGTGTTGATAATCGAGGAATGCTGAAACTACGAATATTTTTTTCTCAGTAAAGATGATTTCTAGACTTTATGCGGTGTTTCAAAAAGCATCGAAGTCATAGGCAAAGTGACAAAAACAAATCGACTTTTGCATTGTCCGAGTAAACATAAAAATGGTGAAGTAAAGGGAGTATTTTTGGTAGTTCATGTATAAAGTCGTCAAAAAGTAATTTTAATGCAGCAAACGCTGCAGCGATTTTGGTTGACTTATGCGCTGAACAGAAAGCAAGTTAATATGACTCATAAAGTTTTGCGGATATTTTTTGATTGGATAAAAAAACAGGCGTAAAGGTGTCGATATCTTAGAGCATTACGAATGATTTTGCAGTAGGCCCCACTACTTGATACTCTTGCAAAATAGTTGTTATTGTTGAAAGGACCCTTTCCTTGGCGGTTTTTGTTATTCAAGAGTTTAATATTTTTAACGAAAACTGGAGAGTTGTACTTAATAGATCAAATTTAAAATTGGCAGAGTTGTAAACAAAAGTTCTTATTTCTTCCCATTACATTCCAACTTTCTAACTCTCCCTTTTACATACGAAATACATAATTTTTTATCTATGACGCGTTTTATAATTTCGTAGACATCAAAGATTGCAGAGCAGCAAGTTTTACCTTATTTTCTTGTTGTTTTACATTGTTTTTTTCACAATTACTGACCAAATTGAACCTTTTACTTCCTTTAAAAACACATTTTACGAACATGTACTTTTAAAAATAATCGTTTCCAAACGATACGTTCTTTGCTGTTTCTAGTCTCTATTTCTCTGCTTCTTTCCTGTTCTGTTTTGTCATCGTCGGCATTTAAAAAAAGAAAAAAAAAACGTTTGTTGTGAAGCGAGTGATCAAAGATTAAAGCATGTGAAGGGATGACAATTTTGGGGGAGTGGCTGCAAAATACAGGAAAACGAAATTAACGATGGAACAGCTCCACGAGGGATGACTAAAAGCGATGACATTGGGTTGTATATAAACAGGGAAATGAATCCAACATATATCAATTTCTATTCTATGTACTTACCAAGGGATTGCCCGGTGATTTTTTTATTGTATATAGAAAGTGCCATAGTGATTTTTATGGTGGCATATAGGAGCTATTTGCACCTTTGTTTCCTAAGCTGTTTTTTATAGTCCGTAATCTCTAGTCCTCAACGTTCGGACTTCAAAATAGCGTAAACATTCTTTCAAAACCCTTGTTTTCCCCAACGCAAATATTGAGAAAACAATGACAGAAAAGGAAAAGAAAAGCCCTCCCATCCTAGAAAAGAGCAATAAGTTTTGCTGAAACAGCGATTTTTCCATTAACTTTATCTTCACTACATTCTGATTACTGTATATTTAGTACTTGGGAGTTATTTTTAATGGGTGATTATCAGTTTGTTTTGTTTGATCTGTTTTTTTACTGAAAAGAAACTGCTTACTGTGCACTGTGTGGTCGAATAAAAAGGGCATTCGACTCCACAGTGCGGAGGATAAATTTTATTACACAGTGCGGAAGAACGGGGAGTTAAGTTCGTTGCACTGTGCAAACGAAACTCCGAACCCGATTGCGCAGTGCTGAGGTTTCAATTGGATTTTTCGCGAAATGTCACAAAGTTATTGGTCGAAAATTTGTCACTTTTCTTGGCCAGGGGTGGTCACCGGGCCGGCCCGGCGAAGCCCGGCCCGAAAGAGGTCCATTTGCCACCCCTGTTCCTGGCAATTTTTGTCAAAAGGCAACTTCTTTGTAGGGAAAATAACGGGGAAAGAGAGCTTTTTTGTAAATTTTTGAGTCTACATCATTTTTTATAGGGATTTGCCAGATTTTTGACCAATAATGTCAAAGAATTATTCAATAATATCTCGCTCGCCAAAGATTTTTGCCTTGATTTTCAGATAATCCTGCGTGTAGATGAAAAATCTTTTGTTCTGTGCATCAAAAGTCTCAAAAAATTCAAGCGTTTGTATTAAAAAAATTTACACTTTGAGTTTGGTCTTTAAAATAATATAACTTGTTTTTTCATTGTGATTTTTGATGGTAATCGGAATTTTATTGGTTCGGTAATAAAATACGAGCACTTCTTTTGGATCACTACTATTTTAATTTTTTCCAGATAAACAATTTTGAGTTCCATTTTCATCGAGAAGTCGATCAATTCCAATATGACGGACTTTGCGGCCAATCAATTGCCCAGATTTCTGGAAAGCCACAAGGTAGGGAAAATACAATATTTTTAAGTGTGCTGAAGCTATGTCAAACGAAGCGCAAGCCATTTACGAAAGTTTTTGGTTGTTTTAGATATTTTTTGTTTGTTTTAGCTAAAAAAATCATCTCCAGACTTCTGAATTTTTTTGTTATAACCAGAATAGCTTTTTCGAGTAGATCATAGTGATCTTAAAATTTTTATTCCTCTAGAATGACAAGTCGGAACGCATGACCACCTCTTATGGCGTCCCAATGCCCACCAGAACGGCCGTTTTAACCGCCGGACGCCGAGGTCCCATGCTTCTTCAAGATCATTTCTTCTTGGACGAGCTGCAGAGATTCGATAGAGAACGTAACCCCGAACGTGTTGTTCATGCCAAGGGTGCTGGAGCCCATGGATATCTGGAGATTACCCACGACATCACTCAGTATTCGAGAGCCAGCGTCTTCAGCAAAGTCGGGAAGAAAACCCCAATGTTCATCCGGTTCTCAACTGTCGGTGAGTTATATTTCTAAGCACTAGGGCGGGTTACGGTATTTTGCACTGTGCAATAATTTGTTTCTAAAATGTGTGTTTCAGGTGGCGAGCGTGGAAGTGCTGACACTGCCAGGGATCCTCGAGGCTTTGCGATGAAATTCTACACCGATGACGGTAGGTTTTTACTTTTTTAATTGAATTTTGGAGATTTTTGAGTAGCATGTCTAGTACAATATAAAATGGGAATTACTTTTTAACCAGTGGTATTACATGGTGGGAATGTGGCATTTTTATGTGTCATGAGGTGCTTTTTAATCGTACAGTCAATTTCGAACATCCTTTTTTTAATTTAAGATAGTAAATTTCGTTTTTTTTTTACTTTTGGGCAAGTGTAATGAAAAAATCTATTTTCTGTAAAATTTTAATGTCTTCAAAAAACTAACAGGATATTTGGAATCATTGTGAAATTTCACATGTAATGCATCATAAATTTTCAGGAATTTGGGATTTGGTTGGCAACAACACGCCGATTTTCTTCATCAGAGACCCCATCCTCTTCCCCTCATTTATCCACACACAGAAGAGAAATCCAGCCACAAATCTGAAGGACCCCAACATGGTGTTCGATTTCATGTCTCTCAGACCCGAAACCCTTCATCAGTTCATGTTTTTGTTCTCGGATCGCGGCACTCCCGATGGATTTAGACACATGGATGGATTCGGAAGTCATACTTACAAGTTAATCAATGAAAAGAACGAGGGATTCTGGGTAAAATTCCATTTCAAGGTAAGGGAAAGGCTTTTGGATTTGTAAAATACGTAAATTGTCCTAGAAGTCATAGAATTTGTATTGTTTTAGACATCTCAAGGGATCAAGAATCTGTCAGTTGAGGAGGCCGGACGATTGGCTGGAGACGACCCGGATTACGCCACCAGGGATCTTTATAATGCCATTGAATCTGGAAATTATCCGGAATGGAAGTTCTACATCCAGGTAGAAAATTTTTAGAAAACGATTACCTAAAATCTAGGTGATGAAAGAGTCGGAAGCCGCCGGTTGCCCGTTCAATCCGTTCGATCTGACCAAAGTCTGGCCTCACAAGGACTACCCTTTAATTCCGGTCGGAAAAATCGTCCTCAACAAAAACCCCAACAATTACTATGCAGAGGTGGAACAGGCCGCGTTTGCTCCGGCTCATATTGTCCCTGGCATCGACTTCTCTCCGGACAAGATGCTCCAAGGAAGAATCTTTTCCTACACTGACACCCAACTTCATAGATTAGGTGAGAAATTTTCATTTTGATGACTTTGTTTTAGGTAGTATTGAACAAAATATTTTGTGGTTTCTAATATTTATTTTTAACTGCTTTCATCCAAGATTTTGTGAATATTTACGTAGTATAAGGTCAAATTTTTTATCCAGTTTTATTTTTTAATCCGTTTCAGGTCCAAACTTCCAACAACTTCCGATCAACTGCCCCTTCTCGAAACCGCCCCAGAATATCCAACGCGATGGCCCCATGTGTCTATTCAAGCAAGGAGGCGAGCCCAATTATTATCCAAATTCATTCGGAAATACACCCGAACCAGAAAACAAGGAACAAGACTTGACGCATAAGTTCGAAGTCAATGGAGTCGTTCATCGATGGGAGACCCGAGATGAAGACAATTACACCCAGCCAAGGCTTTTCTGGGAAAAGGTGAGGGATAGAAATGGGATTTTTCCATTTTTTACCGCAGAGTCAATAAAAAGTTTAAAAAATTGCTAATTTTTATTTCTTCAGGTTCTCGACGAGCCCAGTCGCGACCGTCTTTGTGAAAATTTGGCTGGCCCCTTGTCTAAATGTGTTCCGCATGTCCAGGAAAGAAGTATCAAGGAGTTCACCAAGGTGCATCCAGACTTTGGAAACCAAGTCCGCCATTTGATTTGCCAAAGCGCCAAAGGAAAGGGGCAGAGTGGAGATTGCAAGAGGATGTCATAAACCAAGCCTCCGATTATTACTTATATCTTGAAAATAATTATATTGTAGTTTACTGTAGATTTGCATTTTTTCAAATTTTTTGAGATAATTAAACAATATTTGTTTTACAAAGTGGGCAATCGTTGAAATAGGCTAATCTCTTATTTTTTAAAGGCCAATAAAAATAAAACTAAAAGTCAGTGTCAAGATTTTATTAAAAATCTGAATAAATAGAACCATAATTTAAAGAAGCTCAATTTCCCTGAACATGGATGCTCTGCGACACAACAAACTTGACATTAGTCCTCCTCCGTCGATCCATTTGTTCTCTTCTCATTTCTCGGCTCCCATCAACCTTTTGAGCGGGCGCTGGCATTACGGTAATCAAGATGAGGAAAAGTAGAGAAAATAAAAAATAGAAATTCATGGTTAAACGGAAGTGATTTTACTCTCGAAAGTAATCATGCTTTATATAGCAGCGAAGAAAATCATTAAATTCTGAGAATTTAAAAAATTTTGAACAATAGAAAAGAGCAGGAAAACGAAAATTTGCGCAGAGGAAACAATAAAAAAGCGGGTAAAATTGGTCATTGTTTTTTTTCAGTAATCGAGTTTAAAATATGAAAGAATTCAAACTCAAAATTGAATTTTATAGTTATTGGTATACATAACTCAAAGAAAAACAAAGACATGTTTTTTCTGTAATAAAATCTCTGTATAATAACAAAGCGTAAAAAACATTCATTTACTTACACAAGCGTCACTTTCGCCCGGTGTATCTCAAATAGAGATGGAATCCAGCCCCATGTACCCTACTAATATGACTGGTTTAGGGGAAATTTTTGAATTTGGATCATCCGAACCATTTGAAAAGCCCCGGGTCGACAATGTTGAGCCCGTTGAAGATCTGGGCGACCTTTTTGCCACCTTCTCCAGATTGGCACCTACTTCAATTCTAGAAGAGTTCATCCGCGATGTCCCGGATCATCAATGCCCTGAGGCATTTAATTTCGGTGGCCTGCCACTGGAGATAATGTTCGAGATATTGTAGGCTAACTTTTTAAAATTGAAAAAATCATTGAAAGATTATTCTAATAAATTTTAAAAAATGCTAAAATTGATTGCTTTTTTCAGCGGCCATCTGGACAACGTTACCGCGCAAACCTTGGCCGAACTGATAGGTCTTAAAATGGACCCAAAGAAGGCGGCCGTTCAGTAAGTATTCTATGATTAAAAAAACAGAAGACCCCGTAAAGAACAAAAAAATAAAGATGTAAAACAAACCCGTCAAGAAGTCTAATCTAGATAATCTTTTCAGTGTTTTCAAGCATGAACACCGCTACCGAGAAGTGTACGATGAGGCCCTGGGGCAATATCCCCATATGAAGTGGCTCACCGTTTTGGTAAATAAGAATATTTTTTATCGCAAAATTTTTAACAAAATATCTGAATGTATTATACATATACATATCGTAGTTAAAAAAATTAAAATTTTCAAAAATGAAGTACAATAATTTTCAATTTCAGGTGGAAGTAGAGCCGGCCTATGTCCTCCAGGAAGACGCCCTCAAAAAGAGGTATGTGCGTGGCATGAAGTATTTCCACATCAGAAGATGGACCTCATTTGGCGGTCGCAAATTCTTCGTGGTTACCTATGAAGTGACGAAGAATTAGCTATATTTTTTTGATTTTGTTGTTATATATTGCATAATTTTGATTGTTGTAAAATTTGCTGAATTTAATTAAAATCGAAACACTTGGAATTATAATATATCAATGCTAGTTTAAGATCAAAAATCGCTATAAAGAAAATTTCGAATACAATAACATCTTTTCATAAAAGCCAAAGTTTTTGAGGATAGTGGATCAAAAAAGGCTGTTTAAAAAATAATGAAGCTGCCGTCTGGTGAAGCAGTTTGACGATTGTCACCAAAAATCTCAGAAAATAATCAACCTTGCGCAACTGCTTCATCGCAGCAGAAATATTTTCTTAGACCGATTTTTCTGCTATACATAAAATCTCTGTAAAGAAAAAAAGAAAGGTTACAAATGTAAAATAAAGTATTCATCGACCACCGACTTCTGGAAAAATGGACCCGTGTGTTTTTACTGTTGGATACGATGGGTTTGGTCTTCTCTGCACCAGTAGTGAACATCAAGTAGACAAATATGTACCATACGAAGATGTTGGAGAGCTACTCACGAATTTTTTCTGTATTTATCCCAAGCCACCGTTAAGTCAATTTATCGAAGAGGTCCAAGATTCGCACTGCCCGCCAAATTTCGACTTTGAAAAGCTTCCACTGGAAATAAAATTCAAAGTGTTGTAAGGTTTTTTTCATTATTATTTTGTTATTTATGCTTTGAAGTCACGCCAGCATGTTTTTAGCGAGCACTTGGACGAGCTCACAGCAGAGACTCTGGTGCGATTAACCGGCCTAAAAATTGATCCCAAAAAGGCTGCATTGCAGTAAGTTCTTTCAAAAATTATTGTTGTACCGTGTAACCCGTACAAGAACACTTTTCGAATGCTATAATATTATAAAACTGTTTTATAACGCTTTATAACGGGCTTCATCGAGATCGGTCCAGCAATGCTAAAATTGCAGTATTTTCAGCGTTTACAGACATGCTGTCAACCACGACGTCTTCGAAAAAATGTTGAATGCATATCCGTATATGAAGAAATTGACTGTATTGGTAAGTTTGAATACCTATTTACTCGCTTTCCATTAAAAGTAAATATAATATTTCTGAGTTTTAGATCAAGGATATCCCGCAATATCGAAAACAAGAAGAAGTGATTAGAACAAGGGAAGTCACAGGAATGAAATTCGACCATCTGAGGCGGTGGACAAGTCTCGAGGGAGAGGAATTCTTTGCCGTCACTTATACAGTAACCAGACATTAATATTGTGCTCTTACTCAGCAGATAAAATATTTTTTACACTTTCCATCGTTGGCCTTTTCGGTTTTCTAGCCTTCTGACGTGTTACCGATTCATAAATCTTTTTTTCATGCGGTTAAAACGCCTACACGAACTCCACACACGGACACAAATTCGACCCGGTTAGAGCTCTGACTTGTCACTTAGTCGATGAATGAACTTCCTGCCACCGATGTTTTGATTTTCGTCGTTGGCCTTGTGACGTGTTTGCTACGCTTTTGGATCTTCGCCGAATTTGAGATAAACGTCATCCTAACAGCAGTTCTTAGTGATTTGGCCAAAAGGGGGAGGACGCAATAGATCGTATTTAAGGATAAACTAAAGTTTGGCGATGGAACTGCAATGACATGCACTTTTGATGTTTTGAAAGCGGAGAGGCCGTCTAGGTCTTGTTTGTTTTGATAGTGAATACGGTATACGGTAGTCAGTGGACGAGAAGGATTGCTAAATCAAAAACAAACCTAATTTTAAACACATCTCTCTTGGTAATATGCTTTAAAAGGCGCAAGCTTATATTACGACGCCCCAGTCTTGGTTTTGGCTTTTTTGTTATTTGGGATGACCATGATCATCACAGTAATTTCTTTCTCCGAGCACGTAAACCATTTTGGATAAAGTTTCCTAAATTTTATCTCTAATCAAACCTTCTTTGCGCTATGCCCTTCAATGCGAGTACCGTACCTTAGTTAGTTTCTAAATGGATATCGTTACAGGATGACAAAGCTATTCCTGATTCTACTTGTTCTTGCCATCTCCGCAACTCAGACCCTTGCCCAATGGGGTATGGGTGGTGGTCCAATGGGCGGTATGGGAATGATGGGAGGTCCTGGCATGGGCTATGGCAGAATGGGAGGCATGGGCGGGTACGGAAGGATGGGAATGATGGGATACCCTGGCATGGGGTATGGAGGCATGGGTAAGAGTTTGAGATTTAGTATTATTGATACTTACCATAAATATCCAAAATTTTATTTTCAGGAGGATGGGGATAATTGGATCAAATGAACGAAACGAAGGATTCATACATTTAGTTTTTCTTTTACCGCTGCCATGTGTTATCACGTATATTTCATGCGGATTTATATTTATTCTGACTAATAAAAAGCTCTAAAAATTTGTTATAAATTTTCTTTGGTTTAAAGGAATCAACTTCTAGAAGTTTCTTCAAAAAAAAGTTGCAAAATTCTCTAAAATGGTCTTTTGATTGCAATGATTTCCATTCGACTTCATGGGTTGTGTCAAGCCTTACACTTTACACTTTCCAAGTTCCCGCCCACTCAACTAACATTTCTATCTTTTCAACTTTTTTAAGCTTTGGTATTACCCTTTATATTCCTTCTTTCACCACGGCGGCAATTGCCCTTACACAGGCACAAACTTGACCTCCTTAAAGCTCTGATTTGCTCTTCAGTTGATCATTACACTTTTGCCCTGCGGCACGAGTGTTTATCCGTCTTGTAATTGGGCTTCCGTTGGATTTGAAGGGCTCGGATCTTCAAAGGAGAATATCCCTTTTTATTCGGGTATTATTACTAAAACGGGAGGTCAATTCGGATCGTATTTAAGGTGGTTAGATTATTATATTTAGTGTGGGTTTGAAACAGAAGGTCTACAGGTAAAGTCAGCACTTTGGATTAGGCTGCAGCTTTGGAAGAAGGGCAGCCTTTGATTCTCAATTGCAGGCTGTTATTTAAAGGATAAGCAACAAATGTTAAAATCAAATGTTGCTTACCATTTTAAGCAGCAGCCAGAGCTACAGTTTGTTATATCCCTGCTTTTCTGCTGTCGTCGTTTTCCTTGAAAACGTCCTGAAATAATACATCTGTTTCATACAAATTTTTGGCTACTAGCAACGCTATTTTCTCCCCATATAACGTTGTTTATTCGTCTCCACAATAATATGGTGGAGATCAGTGTTCAGTCGGGGGTGTAAAGTAAAGTTAACATCCTATTTCACAATTCGGTTTGATTGATTCCTTTGATTTTTGCCGAGCCGATGATTTTAACGTGGTCACGGTAACCTTGAGCTGAAGAAAAATGGGCTAGCAAGATAAGTTTTTTACAGTGCGTGGGGTTGTGGATTGCTGGTGGAATTCCAAAACCTGTTAGCCAAGACGGTTTCTAAGGCTTACAGGTTGGAAGAGTAATGACGGACTTTCACGTCGGGAAATTTGTTTTTTTGGTACTGGAACAGCCAAAACGCTTTTTAGATCGGGAACGAAGTAGTGCAAAAGAATCCATCTTGTGAAGCGAAAAATATTTTTTTGGCTTTCTCCCAGTTTTGCCGAAAGTATATAATATACTTTTTATTCCGCTCCTATTTCGTGCAAAGTTTTATACTTGTCATAATTTCTTCAAACACTTTTCCAGGATGACAAAACTAGCGCTTATTGTTCTTCTTCTGGCTATTGCCACCACGCAGACACTCGCTCAATGGGGAATGGGTCCCCCGATGGGAGGGATGGGTCCAATGGGAGGAATGGGAATGATGGGAGGATACCCTGGGATGATGGGTCCGGGAATGGGCTATGGAGGCATGGGACCAATGGGTTACGGTGGAATGGGAATGATGAGACCCGGCATGGGAATGTACGGCCCAGGAATGGGAATGGGAATGGGACGCATGGGCGGCATGGGTACGTTGACAGATATTATTGCTAATCAATGATCACAGTAATATGTGCCTTTTATGTTGCTGGAAGCACGTTTAAATTGTGATTTTTCAGGATGGGGATAATTTCATCATGCGGCAATATCATCATATCCAATATCACAGAACCAAAAAATATTGCCAAGCCCTGGCCATCTATCTATTTAAAATCAATTTTTTAATAAGATACCATCAGGAGTTTATTTATTGTATAAAAAATGCATTGTGAATAAAACAAAAAAAGAGCTCATGTCAGTCGTCTTACAACAAAGGTTTTTAACTCAAGATGTTTATAATAGTCGGTATGTTCGCAAATCCTTAATTGAAACTTGGAAAATTCCAATCACGTTGAATTCGGCAGACCTCGGCATTACGCTGAAAATTTCGTGACTTTGATCCATTAATCATTGCTTCTCCAATAACAAAAGTTCCATTAGACCCGGAACCGACTCGTAGCCCGTAGGCAGACACAAACTCGACCCGGACAGATCTCTTCCTTGATCTTTAGTTGATCATTGTTACATCTTATCACCTGTCGGCATGAAATTTACCTTTGCCGAATTCGTTTCGAAAGCCCATTGGAGAAAAGGGAGGTCATTCCAAGTCGTATTTAATGGTACCATTTCTATGGAATGTTAAAGCCACAGTAACATGAAGCAACTTCTCCTAGTTCTATGTGTTCTTTCACTGGCTATTGCTAGGACTACTGCTCAATTTGGCCCATTGGGCATCTTGGGTGGACTATTGAATCCTGGAATGGGAATGGGAGGCATGGGAATGATGGGTCCACCAATGGGAATGGGAGGAATGGGCCCAGGGATGGGCATGGGCATGGGCCCTGGAATGATGGGCGGCGGTAAGTTCTGTCATGATTTGGGGTTATCTGACTAAAGAAGCCTTTATCAGTCGATATCCTTTTTTCAGGATGGGGATAATGTCATCGATTGCGGAGGATTTCGTTGTGACCTGCAACTTTACCAGCAATTTGTCGTTACCGACAGATCAACTGTTAAATGTTATACTACAGTAGATGCAATATACTTTCTAATCGTATTTTGCGTGGCTTACTTGTAAATTAAAAAAATAAAGAACTTAGTTATAATTAAAGCGTGTCGTTGTTTTAAAAAGATTCAGTCGGACTGCGACTTTATCACCCTATAATGGCGATATCGTTACCGTATCCAAAGATCACTTTTTCTCTCGGTCGTTACCGTAAGTTGTTACCAGTCGTCTTAAAAACGTCTGTTTCTTAACGATGACGTTTCCAAGGTCACCGTACAACGAAGAAATCACAAATCAAATGATTACTTTGTCAAATACGGTAGCTAAAAATAGATGACATCGTTTCGTTGCTCCTGACAGATCATGAATTCACAGAACGAAGACATTACGCTCCCTTCTTCTTCGCTCAATGTGACAAATAATTTCATTTACTTCGAATCCCCAGTAAATGTTGGTGTACTTTTGATTACATAGATCAAGAAACTCTCTTGCAAAAGTGATGATCTTAGGATAAGAAATACGAGATGTTGGACGGACGGTTTCAGAATTTCAAAAATATCAAAAAAGACGACTGGAATCCGCAACATAGAAAAAAAAAAGTTCCTGTTTGTTTAAAGGTAGATACAATACGTGATTCTTAATGATTATAACATTTTTTCACATAAGGTAAACAGAAATTCTCATCATTTTTCCTTTCGGGGAAAAGGAAGTTACCTCCAAGTCGTATTCTATATCACCAGTTGGGTGGATAGTAAATTGAAAGTAACATGAAGAAACTTCTTTTTATTCTACTTATTTTTGCAATTTCTCTTGCTAAAATTTCTGCTCAATTTGGATCTCTAGGCATTTTGAGTGGACTATTGTATCCAGGAATGGGAACGGGAGGTTTAGGAATGTTGATTGCGACCCCGTCACCGAGCCAAGTGTATGGAACAGGGTTGGGAATTTATGAACCAGGTAGGGTCGCCTATAAAAAGAACCTTGGCAGTTATTTTTGAAATCCATGTCATCAATGCCATTGCTTCTCAATATTGTATAAAAATTTGTGAAGCAGACCTCTGTACCTTAAGAATATTTTTTTTTCAGGATGGGGATAATGTTACAGTAAGTGCGGCCAGTGTCATGTGCAAAGTTTATATGCATATATTACAACTTCTCTAACGCTAAATTGGTATCAACATTATACATATACTTCACATAATTTGTTAAAAAATAAAGTATGTTTGATATAATACTTGAAAGTTAAACATGTCATAAAGATAATAACATTCTTTTCGCCTTTCTCCCTACAGGTGTAACAAATCATTTCATTTACTAAAGCAGATGTTTAACACCGTTAAAGGTTCTTTGATCTAAGCGCTATTAAATTGTCTTTGATCGATGATGAGAATTTCCGCTTGTGAGAAAAATAATATATTTTTGTAAAGAATTGAACAACGATTTTGCCGTTGTCTCTGATGTTAGGAATTCTACTGAACGAATCGAATCTAACTAAGAATTAACAATCTTAAGTTATGAATCAGGTCTACCAGACATATAGAAATTTCTTTTTACGGAGAGCCGCAATGACAATAAACAAAAAATATTTGTGCAGCCAGCCGTATGATCAGAAACTTTCCCTTATTGATTTTGATTTCCCTTCAAAATGTTCTTCTCACTGAATCTGGAGCTTATATTTGGAGTAATGGTGTTGTAAAATGTCATAATCAAAGCTTGAATGGAATTCATGTTGTGGTATGAATTATATAACTATTTTTTTTTTTAAATGCCCAAGATTGCTTCAGAAAGTAGAATTGTGGGATGATGACATGTTCTATGACGATCTTCTGGACGCCAAGAACGTCTCAGTTGATGGTTTCTTCAATGTGAATGCTCATCACATGGACCACCTGGGATATCACCCGTATATAAAGATGTAAGGAGTAAAAAGCTTTTCGTGCGGAGGCTTCTTTTGTTTGTTGTAGAATCGTCCGTCATAAAGGGATTAGTTGACCAAAGACGAGCTGCAGAAAAGTTTCATATGTGTTTTACAGATATCATCGATGCCACAAAGTTTCCAGTGACTTCTCATGCCAAGTTCACACAAGGTACCTTGATTACCATGAGAAATTCAAGACTTATCATAAACACTTTGATGTCATCGATCTGATGAATGTCGAGAACCTTCAAGTCAACAGTTCTTTTTGCTGGAATGACCGTTATAAAAACCAAATATAAACTTTTTTCAAAGAAAAATTTTTGGTCCTGATCGTTAAGCCTTGCTTATATGAGCGTTCGTAAGGCTTACTCTTTAGGGTAAAAATATTTCTTCGAATTTTTTCGAACTCGATAACGCTTCTTCCGCAATTCAGAATCAAAATAAAAAATAGACCCAATTTTGTAGGCTAAGACATTGGACAAAGAGGTTCGCTAAAAAGAAAGGTCCGCTGTCCGAAGAAGTCGGCTAAAAACCAGTAACTTTCTAAAAGAACGGGTGAGAGATTATGAGTCATCGATTTTTTGGAGTCTGTTTTGTCCTACAATTAATTATTTGGGAAGTCTCGGGGACATCTATTTGGGTCGATGGAGTCCTCAGATGCCGGAATCAAACATTACACGGCTTGAATAAATTTGTGAGTTTCTTGGTTTTTATGAGAGAATAAACACATTTAATAATTTTGTTTCAGAGAGTGGAATTGTGGGATGAGGAGATGCACCAATTGGATGTAAAAAATGCTTGGGAAGAGGGGGAATTCTTTCTTGATACTAGTCAATCTGATGTCTTTGGAGGTCGACCTTACATCAAAATGTAAGCAGTCGACAAAAAAAATTTTTTCTCTCGATTTCTTTCTTCTTTCGGCTATCACCGCTGTCAATCAGTTGCCCAATGCTTATCCTGCTACGTCCATAAACGACATATCGGTTACAACAAGAAGAAACACAACTATCACCTCGGGGAAATCCATCTTGAATCCGTTGACCATGAATTCCAAGACAGCACCACATGCGAAAACGGCTCTTATAACTACGAACCTTAAAATATCATTTTTACTTTTTATAAAATCGGATAAATTTAAGGGGTGATGAAGGCAGGGTAGTTGTTCTTATCCTCGAAGTTATCGAATCGGCGCCGTGCTTTTTCTTCGTCGCTTTTTCTGAAGGCAATTTTCCGGGGGACCACGACGTCATCCAAGACATCCTTGTAATCGGCGGCATTCGGAATGGGGCCCAAGTAATCCGTGTTGTAATCCTTGGCGTAGACCTGCAATTAAAAAAATGCCTGGTAAAAAATGTTGCTATTCTAAAAAAAAATTATTTTCGGAGAAAATTCGTGTGATAATACCACCACAAATCATCATTATAAATAAATAAAACTAAACTAGACTAAAAAACTAAACGTAAAACTTTTTATTGCACTTTGTTTTCCCGACTTACCGCTCTTCCGTGGGGACAATACCTACTGGTGCTGTTGCAGGGAGGAAGGACGTCTTCGACTGGTCTGATGATAAAAATTAGCAAGAAATTAAGATTTAAAAAAGTCTTTGTGAATTTTAGCCGGTGGTATGCAAGATCTTTAAACGGACCAGAAAATTGTAAGAATACCATTTCTGTGAAAAAAATTAAAAATTATGACAAAATCGTTTGTTTTTTGTCATAAAATGGTCGTTAAAAACTGAATAGAGACGTCGTTAGAAAAGATTTTGTTGATTTTTTTAATTTGTGACTTGATTTAAAATTTTAAGGCTTTCAAAAGGCAAAATTGATATAAGGTAAACTTACAGTGCACTGGAGGGTTCCAGGAGCAAGACAAAGATAAAGAGCGGGGCAAACATCACAAAGATCGTGCTTAATACTCGAGACGCGGCCGAAACGTAACCCTCAGACGACCGGAATAGCAAAACAAACAACAAAACAATCCAAGAATAATTATAAAATTTAAATAAAAAGCCAAAAAAAAAGGTAAAGGGGAAAAAATTGTAAATTTGAAAAAGCAATAGAAAATTTAAAAAAATAATATTATATTTTTATTCAATAAATTAAGCCTTTGTTTAGTTGATTATCTGTAAGGACAGCGACAAGCATGTCCAAAGATATAGAGTTCGACTGTAGTCGGGATGCATCCAAAAAATGGTGAATCAACATTAATATGTAAAGTATCTGAACTGGTGTGTTGGATCACATAAACAAGCGAAAATCATACTCTTCGAAAACAAATGAAAAATTTGACGCAAACTTTGTCGATTTGAATAAATTTTATGGTTATCTAGTGGGTGGGTTGTGAAACGGCCGTAGCGAAACTTTTTAGGACTAATTTTGTCTTCCATAAATTCTTCCGGCATTTTGATATCGAAAAAGTTTGCTCAATCGATAGGAGACAAATTGAAGATTGATGCAATATCTATTTATTGCGAAACTTGGTTACACCATGAACATCTCAAATCTCAATTTACAAAGGGAGGGGGAATGGGAGACGAGTAGCCCGGCTGACAGGGACTCCAGAGCCGGATCCGAGGCTCTCCAATTTGGCAATGATCTCCAGAAGTTTGGCAATCAATTCAGCGAGAGGGTTTTCATAAGGGAGGGTGATTCCACTGGCTACATCCCTCTTGGCACGGCCGCTCTCTTCTGAAGGGACGGTCACTTCCTCAGGGTTGATGGTGGGCAGGTGCAGAGCTTCCAAGATCTGGTTCAGGACATCGATCAGCAGGGTGAAGATTGGCTCTTCTGTGACTGGCTCGATGACATCTCTCTTGACACGGCCGGCATCGGAAGGGATGGTGACGGCTTCAGGGTTGATGGTGGGGAGATTCAGAGATTCGAGGATCTTGTTCAATAGGTCGATGATTACAACCAATGGAGAGGGGGGAAGGCCAGTGACTCCAGAAAACAGATCTCTCTTCACTCGCTCTCCTTCAAGTCCAAAGTCGGGGAAGGTGACGGCCTCGGGGTTGACGGTTGGAAGGTGGAGAACCTCCAGGATTTGGTTGAGGATTTGAACCAAAGCCTCCAAAGATGGCTCTTGTGGCTCCGGAAGAGTTACAGGTGGAAGGTGGGGAAGTGGTGGGAAGTCTTGGGCCATGGAGAAGGCCAAGAAGGAGAGGAATACAACACACTTCATTTTTGGAATTTTGGGTTTCGCTTCTTTCGAATGGATTCGAAATTACTGATGGTGAAGGCTGGTGGGGGATGGCTTATATAGCATCAGAGTTAATCTGATTCTGTTGATGATCTGCCGAGTTGGTTATTTTTGTCAATACAATATTCGTATTTGCGAGTTCAGTTTCAAAACCCACACAGATTTTTGAGGTTATGATTATGCAAATCCATTGCCTTTAACCTTTGTTACATCATTTTTAAAGCAGAGACGAGTTGTGTTCCACAACGGAATCGTTCACTTCGTTTGCTGTACTCTTATTTGAATTTTGATGCATACATTGAGAGCGGAGTGGCAACAAACGGAAAATTCGAGTCAAACTATTGGAACGGGAAAAATCTGGATTAAAACCTTACACACCAAAACAATTCAATTTTTTTGCCTAACGGTGGAACGTACTGTGGCAACGCCGATTTCCGGTGAACAGAACAATCCATGGTCACAAAATGATGAAACCAAGCATAACACGGTGACAGCTATAGTCAGTGGATTTGAATAATGGTAAAGTCAAAGATCTGTGTGGGTTTTGAAACTGAACGTACAAATAATAACATTGTATTGACAAGAATAACCAACTCGGCAGATCATCAACAGAATCATATTAACTTTGATGCTATATAAGCCATTCCCCACCAGCCTTCAACATCAGTAATTTCGAATCCATTCGAAAGAAGCGAAACCCTAAATTCCAAAAATGAAGTGTGTTGTGTTCTTGTCCTTCTTGGCCTTCTCCATGGCCCAAGACTTCCCACCACTTCCCCACCTTCCACCTGTAACTCTACCGGAGCCACAAGAGCCATCTTTGGAGGCTTTGATTCAAATTCTCAACCAAATCCTGGAGGTTCTCCACCTTCCAACCGCCAACCCCGAGGCCGTCACCTTCCCCGACTTTGGACTTGAAGGAGAGCGAGTGAAGAGAGATCTGTTTTCTGGAGTCACTGGCCTTCCCCCCTCTCCATTGGTTGTAATCATCGACCTATTGAACAAGATCCTCGAATCTCTGAATCTCCCCACCATCAACCCTGAAGCCGTCACCATCCCTTCCGATGCCGGCCGTGTCAAGAGAGATGTCATCGAGCCAGTCACAGAAGAGCCAATCTTCACCCTGCTGATCGATGTCCTGAACCAGATCTTGGAAGCTCTGCACCTGCCTACCATCAACCCTGAGGAAGTCACCGTCCCTTCAGAAGAGAGCGGCCGTGCCAAGAGGGATGTAGCCAGTGGAATCACCCTCCCTTATGAAAACCCTCTCGCTGAATTGATTGCCAAACTTCTGGAGATCATTGCCAAATTGGAGAGCCTCGGATCCGGCTCTGGAGTCCCTGTCAGCCGGGCTACTCGTCTCCCATTCCCTCTCCCATTGTAAATTGAAATTTGAAATGTTCATGGTGTAACCAAGTTTCGCAATAAATAGATATAGCATCAATTTTTTTACTTTTACGAGCTCTCTGCGCCGCCTCCGCCGGAAGTTAGAGCCTCCAACTTTCGTTTACGTTTTTTGTAAGACCCTGTAATGAAAATATGGATCGCTTACGATTAGCACAATTTTTTGGAATTAATGCTGCGTTGCTGCTATCACAGCACGAGTGTTTACCACGATGAGAACCACAACGGCGGTCCAAATTTCTAAAAAAAGTGAAGAGTTAGTTGATGTTCTCCATGAAAAATCATGATAGTTTGTATGACGGCTAAGCATGAATTTCTCAGTGACATTTTGAAATGTGTTATGATAGTCCAAGTCTATTACTTGTTTTATTGTATTACTCTATACGGTGTACATCATTTAAAGTTAAATTCAGGTATTCAAAGCTGCTTAATCTTTCTCTTCCAAATCAAATTTCATCTGAGGAACTTTTAGTCTCTCTATCACTTGAGTCATCGAAACGGCTCTGTTTCTCTTATGTTGTTGAGCATTTTCGACTGGAGTGACGTCATAGATTGGTGAAGTCTGGGCTGGAGAATATTCAACGCGAACAGAATCGATGGGCTCCATTCCAGCTGCATTTGTCTCGAGATTTTTTAGTTCGGAAGTCAGAAGAGCGATCTAAGACATGAAAACATGATTTAGTATTGTTAATAGTTCCTTGAGAGGGGCTTTGCTTTTTTCTCAGCAAATTTCGTCAAAACCTTTTAGATTATGTCAAACGGAGCTTACTTGCAACAAACAACTGTCATAATCGGTCACATTTTTTGCGAACTAAAATATTTGTGCCTTTTTAAAACTCACCTCCTGATCATTTTTATGGACTTGATCTCTCAAGGTGTCCAATTCAATCGCCTTCTCTACTGGCTCACTGTAATATCGAATCCGAAGAGAGCTCAATTTGGACCTTAATTTGGACAAATGGGCCCTTGCTTCTCTTCGTTCGTTGTAAATTCTCAAAAGCTTTGCAATCTGTGACTGAAGATGTTCTTCGCTCTGAAATTGCACTTATAGTATTTACTAAAAGTATCACCTTTTCCTGTAGAAACTTCCTTAGGTCCTGAAGAATCCTGATTCGAATACTATGGTATCTTTTCGTCATAAACTCGACAGTTTTCTTCTCCGCTTCCCTCACAATAAAGAACCTTCGTTCATCGTACTGTTTGTTCCCGTCCAATATCTTCTGTTCAATCTCGATTGTCGCCTTCGAACATTCTCGCACATATTCCTCCATATTTTTCATAACCTCCCGAGAATTTCGCTCCAATGATTCCCAATGTGAGTGCAGTTTTTCTTCCTGAAAATGGTGATATAGGAGACTCGAAGGATAAAAATATTGTCAGCACTGTAAATGTTTTGTGCTGCCGATGCAACCTCTCTATGAGATTATTAACTGCAGTGAAAGTTACGCTAAATAAAGTCTCATTTCATAGCAACAATGTTGTATCCCACATTGGTAACCAAAACCCCCACAAAATGTTTTCAAGCTTGCCATATTATCCTCCCCACAAATTTGACGAAACAGCTCGTTGAACCTTCTCTGCTGCTCCATTGCCTCCTCATATGTCCGCATTTCCTCCACCTTGCGCGCAATATCATCCAATTCTGCCATCGTATCAGCTAATTTCTTGTCTTCATCCTCGTCTTCAGCTATGAAAAAACGCTGTATTCTCTGTCGATGAGCATTTATCAAATTTAAATAAGTCTGCTTTACAGTGCGATGAGAGAACTCAGACGTAAAGGTCTGGTTGTAGACTTCTTGAAGCATCTGCAAATATTTCGTAAATGAATCAATTCGTGCAGAATTTTGCCTTTTTCGATGACTTCCATTCCTTGCGGAAAAGAAGGACCGTGAAATCAGAAACAAACAACGGTTACTTACCGGCTGAATTCCAAGATGCTCCCACCAATCGATGAATTCTTTGTCAGCAAAAGCTGGGGTCGGATCGAGAATTTCCACCATACCTTGTGCCGTTTAGTCCGAAAAGCTAAAAGCATGAAAATTCTTGTCAAGAAACAAATGTTTACGGTCAGATGGGCATGATTCCTAATCCATCTTGGGCCATTTCCATGACCCTAACTATTGATAAACGTTTGAATTGACCTCCAAAAAGGCAAGAACATCATTACGGTATCAATTCTCAGATTTACATCCCATTACACGCCGCTTTCATGCGAATAAATTATGATTTTTGTTTTTCTAAAATAGCAAGTGTAGTCAAAACGGATTCAAAAAATGATGAAACAACTTTAAAGGTCAAAGTTTTTATGTAAAGTAACCGAATCGATACGCATTATTGTACGGACGGATAAAGACTTTTCAAAAACACGTATCAAATGGACACAAACTTAGTCGATTTGAATAAATTTCATCGTTATCTAGTGGGTGGGTTGTGAAATGGCCGTAGCGAAGCTGTGGACCTTCTCGGCTATCAAGGTCGAACAGCAAGATCAACGATGAAAACGTATTAACTTTGTGCTATATAAGCAATCCCCCACCAGCCTTTACCATCAGTAATTTCGAATCCATTCGAAAGAAGCGAAACCCTAAATTCCAAAAATGAAGTGTGTTGTGTTCCTGTCCTTCTTGGCCTTCTCCATGGCCCAAGACTTCCCACCACTTCCCCACTTATCACCTGTAACTCTACCGGAGCCACAAGAGCCATCTTTGGAGGCTTTGGTTCAAATTCTCAACCAAATCCTGGAGGTTCTCCACCTTCCAACCGTCAACCCCGAGGCCGTCACCTTCCCCGACTTTGGACTTGAAGGAGAGCGAGTGAAGAGAGATCTGTTTTCTGGAGTCACTGGCCTTCCCCCCTCTCCATTGGTTGTAATCATCGACCTCTTGAACAAGATCCTCGAAGCTCTGAATCTCCCCACCATCAACCCTGAAGCCGTCACCATCCCTTCCGATGCCGGCCGTGTCAAGAGAGATGTGTTCGAGCCAGTCACCGAAGAGCCAATCTTCACCCTGCTGATCGATGTCCTGAACCAGATCTTGGAAGCTCTGCACCTGCCCACCATCAACCCTGAGGAAGTGACCGTCCCTTCAGAAGAGAGCGGCCGTGCCAAGAGGGATGTAGCCAGTGGAATCACCCTCCCTTATGAAAACCCTCTCGCTGAATTGATTGCCAAACTTCTGGAGATCATTGCCAAATTGGAGAGCCTCGGATCCGGCTCTGGAGTCCCCGTCAGCCGGGCTACTCGTCTCCCATTCCCCCTCCCTTTGTAAATTGAGATTTGAAATGTTCATGGTGTAGACAATTTTTGCAATAAACACCTCGTGCATAATTTTTACTTTCAATTTGACAATTATCTGAACACTAAAGCTCATGTTCTTGTACGTATGCCCAGTTGACGAAGTTTTGGAACGTCTGAGGTTATGTCCGAAAGAATGCCGGCCTTTCAATTTAGAAATAGAATTCATCCGGTTTAAATTAAATGGTCATTTGTTATAAGGTGGATTCATAATTATCCGGCAGTTTTATTGGCACGTTTTTTGTTAGTTAAAATTTGCGTTTTGTTAATGTTTTTTTTTATAAAAATAATCTTCTCTGGTTAGTTAATAAAATGGCAGTCGAAACCCATACTCATCTTTGCCACATTATGCTCCACCATTTCGAGAAAAGTTGGAAGTCAGCACAGTCATTTCGCGATCTCAACGGACTTTTCGGCGAAGGAACCAAAAATAGACACGATTTCCCAGTGGATGATTCCGCTTCTGTCCCACCACACATACCACGTAGCCTTCTTACAGTGGACGTCTTTTGGTACTCCTTTGGGCGAAACACCTGCCGATTTTTTCCTTTGCCGAAAAGTTCGTTGAGATCGCGAAATGACTGTGCTGACTTCCAACTTACGATCTTGAAATTTCGATCACGGTATGAGACTGGAAAAAATTATACCTTAGGTTAAACCGGGATCACACAACGGGTTACTTTTAAAAATAAATAATGAAAATAAATATTTTGACATCTTTGCGGATAACATAAAATTTCCCAACGTGAAAAGGCAGAGAATGCATCCTTTTTTCGTTGTAAAAGAAGGTACTTGGAAGAACGACCTCAAACATTCCAAAGCTTAATCAATTAGCAACATTTGCATGAGTCGGAACAAGAAATAACCTCATATTTCGGTAAGTAAGATGAAGAGAACGTAAATCGTTTCACCAGAAAGATACAACAGCCTTCTTTTGGCTGAGGAGTAGACGAGACTTCGTCGACGCCTTTTGTTCACTCTTTAGAAGTCGCTATTTTGTCGATTTTAACGAGAAATGCAAATCTGCATCTTTTGAAGAAAATTGAAAAATTAAACAATGCAATATCTATTTATTGCGAAACTTGGTTACACCATGAACGTCTCAAATCTCAATTTACAATGGGAGGGGGAATGGGAGACGAGTAGCCCGGCTGACGGGGACTCCAGAGCCGGATCCGAGGCTCTCCAATTTGGCAATGATCTCCAGAAGTTTGGCAATCAATTCAGCGAGAGGGTTTTCATAAGGGAGGGTGATTCCACTGGCTACATCCCTCTTGGCACGGCCGCTCTCTTCTGAAGGGACGGTCACTTCCTCAGGGTTGATGGTGGGCAGGTGCAGAGCTTCCAAGATCTGGTTCAGGACATCGATCAGCAGGGTGAAGATTGGCTCTTCGGTGACTGGCTCGAACACATCTCTCTTGACACGGCCGGCATCGGAAGGGATGGTGACGGCTTCAGGGTTGATGGTGGGGAGATTCAGAGATTCGAGGATCTTGTTCAAAAGGTCGATGATTACAACCAATGGAGAGGGGGGAAGGCCAGTGACTCCAGAAAACAGATCTCTCTTCACTCGCTCTCCTTCAATTCCAAAGTCGGGGAAGGTGACGGCCTCGGGGTTGACGGTTGGAAGGTGGAGAACCTCCAGGATTTGGTTGAGGATTTGAACCAAAGCCTCCAAAGATGGCTCTTGTGGCTCCGGTAGAGTTACAGGTGGAAGGTGGGGAAGTGGTGGGAAGTCTTGGGCCATAGAGAAGGCCAAGAAGGACAGGAACACAACACACTTCATTTTTGGAATTTAGGGGTTCGCTTCTTTCGAATGGATTCGAAATTACTGATGGTAAAGGATGGTGGGGGATGGTTTATATAGTCTCAGAGTTAATCTGATTGTGTCGATGATCTGCCGAGTTAGTTATTCTTGTCAACACAATGTTATTATTTGTACGTTCAGTTTCAAAACCCACACAGATCTTTGACTTTATCATTATTCAAATCCATTGACTCTAACTGTCACCGTGTTATTCATAGTTTCATCATTTTGTGACCATGGATTTCTGGCTGTCCACCGGAAGTCGACGTCACCACGGACATACCAGGTTTCACCTATAGGCAACATTTTGTCTCGTTCAGTTGTCTGGGTGTGTAAGGTTTTATTCCAGATTTTTCCCGTTGCATTACTTTGACTCGAATCTTTTTCCGGTCGTCACCACTCTGGTTTCAAAGTATACAGCTCAAACAAAATTTAAATCAGAGTACAGCAATGACGATGTGACGTCAACCTCCGTTTTGGAACACCCCTCATCTCTGTTATAAAAATGATGAAACAAAGGTTAGAGTCAATGGATTTGAATAATCATAACCTCAAAAATCTGTGTGGGTTTTGAAACTGAACCCACAAATAATAACATTGTATTGACAAAAGTAACTAACTCGGCGGATCATCGACACAATCAGATTAACTCTGATGCTATATAAGCCATCCACCACCAACCTTTACCATCAGTAATTTCGAATCCTTTCGAAAGAAGCGAAACCATAAATTCCAAAAATGAAGAGTGTTGTATTTCTGTCCTTCTTGGCCTTCTCCATGGCCCAAGACTTCCCACCACTTCCCCACTTTCCACCTGTAACTCTACCGGAGCCACAAGAGCCATCTTTGGAGGCTTTGGTTCAAATCCTCAACCAAATCCTGGAGGTTCTCCACCTTCCAACCGTCAACCCCGAGGCCGTCACCTTCCCCGACTTTGGAATTGAAGGAGAGCGAGTGAAGAGAGATCTGTTTTCTGGAGTCACTGGCCTTCCCCCCTCTCCATTGGTTGTAATCATCGACCTCTTGAACAAGATCCTCGAATCTCTGAATCTCCCCACCATCAACCCTGAAGCCGTCACCATCCCTTCCGATGCCGGCCGTGTCAAGAGAGATGTCATCGAGCCAGTCACCGAAGAGCCAATCTTCACCCTGCTGATCGATGTCCTGAACCAGATCTTGGAAGCTCTGCACCTGCCCACCATCAACCCTGAGGAAGTGACCGTCCCTTCAGAAGAGAGCGGCCGTGCCAAGAGGGATGTAGCCAGTGGAATCACCCTCCCTTATGAAAACCCTCTCGCTGAATTGATTGCCAAACTTCTGGAGATCATTGCCAAATTGGAGAGCCTCGGATCCGGCTCTGGAGTCCCCGTCAGCCGGGCTACTCGTCTCCCATTCCCCCTCCCATTGTAAATTGAGATTTGAAACGTTTATGGTGTAACGAAGTTTCGCAATAAATAATTTTTGCATCATCTTTGTTTCCTTTTTTAGACTGTTTAATTCGCGGTATCAAAATATGTAAATAGGAAATATTACCCATCTCCTATTATTTTCTCAAAGTTCAAAACAAGTCTATAAATTTAATTTGATGTTCACCAAGGATACATATAAAAACACAGGTTATAACAATGCAATTTATCACTTTAACCACTGATAGTTGAATCCAGTTGTACCCGTTCGAAGCTGGATGGTGGGCATTGGTTAGAAGCGAGGAGGACGTCCCCATTTCGACGAGACACGAACAGCGCCAGGCCTCGTTTGGTCTTTTTGGGGGTTACAAGGGGTTCGGGGGTGGGGTCCGATTCCTCGGCGGAATGGTCCAGATTTATCGACCGATCCTCCGAGTCGTCGGGGTCTTGGGCCGCGGCCTCAGCCAACACTTCTTCAATGACCGAGTCTGCGTCACGGCGAGTTTGTTGGACGCGGTTGGAGACATTAGGATGAGTGGGGAGTCGGTCTTCAGAAAGGCGGCGCATTTGACAGTTTCTTCGCATCTCCAGATATTGTGGATCATTGGAGAAGCCTAAACCATAAAAATTAACGCCGTAAAAAACAAAAGTCCCTCCATAAACCTGTCAAAAGGGATTTCAATAATCCCTTTCCGTACTGTTTACTCTAAATTTCCCAACGTTTACCTAAATTCCCACAAATTTAAAAAAAAAAGATTGTTCCTTACCACTTCCAACCGTCGAGGATGCTTTCTGTTCCGTTCCAGCATGCCAACTCGTTCGTTCAACCGAACTCTGAGGGGCTGACGGTCTTCTCTCGCCCAATAAGAACGGATGGCTGTATCTGTTGGCCGGGGTATTCGATACACCCCCTGTTGGTGGTGGTGGAGATGGATTTGGAGCGCACCCTTGGTCCGAATTCAACGATGCAAGAGTCGATGAGTGGGGGAGATTGGGAGTAGCTACACCTGGAGTGGGCTGCGTGCTCTGAGGCCTAGCCTCTTCTTCGGCCAGTTCAAGGGTATCTAAACGAGGGTCTAGTCGTCGGCGAATTTCTTCGTCATTGGGTCGATTAGTCATCGACGGGGGCTGATTATGCGATGGGGCCTTTCTATCGACTGGATTCAGCAAATGCGAGGGGGTTTCTTGCATATGGATGGCGGTGCTCGGGCTAAAATTCAACAACATTATATTATTCATCATCATTGTTATAAAAAAATGTCAACTATTTTTACTTTAACCGCAGAAGACATCCCAAAACTCCACTTACACTTTAAACAGCGGATCTGACATCTGATGGAACATTCTGATGGCCAAGTGGACTCGAGTGTTGTCCTGCCGTTGTCTCCCGGTGTATCCATCCAACAGATAACTCTGTTGAATTGGAGTCGAGCCCGAGGCTGCATACTCCGAGAGATTTACAATGACAAATCCGAGTTTTGTTGGGGGTCGACCAGCTCTTTCCGTTTTCCTTATCGAGATTTTACATCGGCATTCTTCCAGCTCTCCAGTCTGATCGTTATACGGGATTCGGCATTGGAATCGGAAGGGTTGTTCCTTAGGGTCTTCGGAATGCCCGGTTGGGCGATTTTCCGTGTCTTCCGAGTCTGGAGATGGCGGGTCTGGGAAAAGGAATCTATCGGATTCAGTTGACGTATGTGGAGAATAAAGATGACAGATGTGATTCCGCAACTCGTTTGACGTTGTACAGGCCTCGAATGATCCACAATCTAATAGCCGTACCTAAAAAAATCATCTTAGGTCGTTTCCAGACAAAAATTTTTTTATATTATACATGTGGGTACCTAAAATCTGAATCCACAAAAATAATAAAAGCAGTTCTTACCTTCGCGAATAAGTTTGCATTTAGCAGCGACACATCTGTGAGTTTGTCCACCACCAACTCAACCGAAAACTTTATGCGTTTCTTCCGGAGAAATGCCATGATTCGTTTGATGAGAAACAATGTACAAGAGTAAGCAACAAATTTTAGTAGATTATGCTGGGTTAATGTTTTTCAGGGGGTTAGGTGCTTTCAGCTACAAGAGGTCGTCGTTTCTAAGGCATCTGTAACAATAAGTCGTTAGAAAATCAAGGATAACTTCAAAAATTTTTCGCGAAAAAACGGATCCGCGGAAAACCGCAAAAATACCATGTAAATTGTTAAAGATAGGTATAAACCGACCGTTCCGCAAGGCTTAATTAATTTTTCATTTAAAAATTTTTGATTAAACACAATAAATAATATCCCGAATTGAATGTTCTCAAAGTTCAACCCCATTGGACTTCCGAATCACGAGCCTTCCGTTGTATCATGCACTTAATTTGCTCGTTAAGCAGACATAAAAAAAGCAAAGAATCACCCAAATATTCATGGCTCACCTGCACTCTCGTTTAAAATTCGCGTCATGCGAGTAAAATTGGACAGGATTTCACGGATTAGTGCGCCAAATCTCTATTTTCGCTGACCGGAGGGTAATTTCGGCGAGTGGGGGCTAATAATCGTGCCTCGAAAAGCGGGAAGTGAGTTGAGATAAACAGTAATTTCTAAGCTAATACGGTGTGATACGGTCCGAGTTTAGATGGGATAGGTGTTTAGCAGTAGTGCAATAAGGCCTATTTAATAGCTTGAACGAAGCGGCGATTAAATTGAACTTATTATCCGGGATTAAATTTCATGTTTTCTACATTATCCATGATGACTAAAGTAGTCAAAATCGAACATCCCATAAAAGCTTAAATTTGTAAATTTCCGTATCTCCTAGGCTACAAAATGACGTCCCGTTTGTCCGAAGAAAAAATCCCAATAATCCCCATGATCTACGGTCGGACGACACAAAGACAACATGGCCGTGAGATACTCGGAAACGGGCGAAAACTCAACGATTTAATTCTATTTAACGCACAAACTCTTTTCCTCCTCTAACCAACCGTTCTTTCGGCATGTTTTCGACTAATTTTGGCGGAACAGCAGTTCAAATAAGAGTTTTGCCTGGAAGAACACCAACTCAGGAGAAACCACTCTAACGGAAAACGATGGCCTAATGTGTTCAAACAAAAAAGAGCCACATTAACGGAAAAACAAAAAAAAATCTTTTTTATAATAAATTTGGATCAAAAAATGTCAAGTATAATATCCAACATCTGCTCTACTTCAAAGACAAAGAGGAGAACGTCGGGATCTATCAAAAAAAGGTTAGTGACCAGATTCGGCGTCGGAATGCAAACATCCGTCGCTCTCGGTTTCACATTCAGACGGCGAAACGAGGTCGTCACAAATTCCGTGCGTGGGGCAAAGATGAAGCAATAGGTTTGACTCACGTTTACTTTATCAAAATTCTATTGCATACGAATTTTTGGGATTTTATGACATTCCAATTACCATATTCCCGGAAATACCGTTTTCAATTTTATTGCCCTAAATGATCGGAGAATAATGGAGAGTAAACAGAGGAGGGACATAAAAGTCTTCAAGGCATTACGATATCGGAACAGTGTTAGTTATATACAATTAGTTCCCTGGCTAGCCATTATCGCGAAAATTTCAACATTTTCTATACCTAATGATATGAATAACATGAAACTTTATCCGGTACATATAAACAATGAAAAATACTCCATAACCATCCTTCCCTATTTCTCTCAAAACCCATCAAATCCAACTTTCACCCGCATTACAAACAGCCATTTTGGTCGGATTACTCATTTAAATTTCGAATCCCGCACAAATCGGACCGAACCCATCGAGTAATAATAACAATAACAAACTTTACAAGAGGCCTCCCTGTTCTTCAATTACCCATCACGTTCGACTGTATTATAAAGGAGAACAAATGATTTTATATCGAGTGGGTGCGTCGAGTGCGAGGCCTTCATTCCCGAACATCTACACGACGAACAAGAGCATGCTGAATGAGTAAATAACATATGAGTCATTCACATCTAGCGAAAAGAGAACGTTCTCCGTACTAGGCATAGGTTCGAAAACGATGTGTCATAAAAAAATACAGCAAACTCAACATGGGATGATGTATTCTCTTAAACTTATTTTTTGATAAAAATGTCACTTGAATAATTCCTGTTGACGCAAAGACTTTAATTAGAGCAGTTCTGTCAGAAACTAGTGAATGACGAGTAGCCTGTCATGTTCACATGGCCATCAATTCCGCTCGATGAGAATTCGGGATTAAAAGGCGTGGAAAAATAAGCCCTTACAAGGGGGTCGCAAAACACACGTCTTCGGTGTGCTAATCCGAAAGTGGGGGCGGACTTCTTGACCCACCCGAAAGAGGTTCTTCAACATTTCCCAGACCTTTTTTGTCGCCGTAATTAATCGAACCGAGCGCAATCTCTTGCGTTCACTTCGTGTTATAAGATGAAAGCGGTTATTTCAACAAAACTCAAGAGCAAAAAAGTCGATTTCCAGCCAAAAGTAAACAATTTATGAGCCAAAGACACTAAGCCATCCAAACCCATCAACCTTGAATCAAAAAAAAGGTTGAAGATAATCACTCGGCCTCGACGGCTGGCCAAACAATGCGGCCGATCGTCTTTCTATTGTTCTATAGAGCGAAAAAGAAAAAGTTCCAATATAATGGAAAGAGCGTAAAATGTAACGCTCTTTCCGGGGCAAAGGATGACGTCGGAAACCACAGAATTCTACAAACGAACTTGCGTCAGCTCTCTTATCGACCGAGCCGCTACAAATTGCTAAAAGATGCCTCATACTTTTCGAAGAACAACTTTTATAGGAGTGCTCGCTTTTTACCGAACATATAATTTTCCAATCTTAACAACCCTATAAAGCTTCGTTACAAACAAAGGGAAGTATTCATAACATTGACGATATTTTCAACACTCCCACAGCCAGATTCTCAAACAGAAATTTTTTGTTTGAGAATCTGGCTGTGATTCTCACGTCGATTTTCAACCTGCATAATATTCGTGCCAATTTTTGGGAATTGAGGTCTATTCCCACCCCGGAAAAAAGAATTAACGAACACATTGATCGATTGTGCGAAAGCGGTTTGGAAAAAAAAAGTTTTGAATTTCAAGGTGCTGCAAGGTATTCTAGTTGCTATTGTTTTCCGCAGGCTCAATTTACGCAAACATTCAAAGTTTTAACTCGAAAACCCAAAAAAGAGAACCAGTGTTCAATATCCGAGTACATAAGCGCAGGTTTAAAACAAACATAACCCTAAAAGGACAAAGCAATCCGGCCTAAGTCCAAACATCTGCAAATCCGAGCCCATAAACTCCAACGGCCTCACATGAAGGGCCCAGAAAAGTGGTTTAGACCAATTTGTGACGTGCCCAGAAGCACGATAAATTCGTTTCGTCGTATCTGGAACGGCTTTGCTAGACTCGCTTTTTGATGTCCCTATCCCTTCCGAATAACGCGAGCCAAATTAAACAATTTGAGACTATTTTTGGGAGGCTACTGCGGGCGGGTATTTTTTGAAAATGTGACGTTTTACAAGGAAGAAGAAGCGGTGATAAACAACATATGAATTACAAGCTCACACATCATCTTAGGGAAAAAATCGCAAAAATTTATGGGAACGGCTAACTATCACTAAAAAACTTGAAGAATTAAAAAATTAAAAGGCCAGAGAGCAGGACAAGCGTGCAGAATGATTTATTTTAGAGAGGACCAAATTCGCATGGATAAATGATTGCCCTTGGACACGACCCTACATTGCCAGCGTCGGAATTAATGAGCAGTTTTTGCAACATTTCCCCTCGTTTCTATGGCATTCCCAAGGTTTTTTCGATAACTGAAAAACACTTTGCAAGCCGGAAGCTGTTCAAAAGAAAGAGAAAAAACGACTCGAACTCGAGCGAAAACCTCCGCAACGACTTTAGCAAAAGAAAAAAATTTGAAATTCATATAGGAAACACCCTCTCTCCCCAACCGAGATCTAGTTTTTCGTAGTTTGACTAACTCAGAAGACTGCGAGAACAAGATAGAAGGATTTTTTGAGAAAAAAACTACCTTATCCTGACAAAAACACCTTCTAGTCACATAATCGTGGCCCAACCCATAAACTACATAAAAATCCATTAAATCTTCGATCTCGGAATGCAATGACGACAATTCGGCGTTACTTTTTAAAAACGAGGACGCTTCAAGGTCAACAGATTTGAATTCCGATCAAATCTTGGGCTGAATAGAGGATTATATCGCACGCTAGAGTTGTCGAAATAAAGCGTAAGCCGAGGGCACCAGCAACTGATGGAAACAAACATAAACCCCGGAACTAAACTCGATCTATATGTTGTTGTTTTACAGTTCTGGAAAGCAGTTTTTATGGCGAGCGAGGATTTTCGGATGCCATAAAATCTATGGAAACCACTCATTAGTCGTAAATTTCGTAATATTTTGCGGAATCGCGGCAAATAAGTCGTCTGGAAGACTAACAATAAAGTAATCTTACGTTATCCGTGCGACTATGACAGAATAGTTTTGAAAATTAAAGACCTTCAATTGGTTTACTTTACAAAACCTCACAGAAAAAGCACCTCCTCACAGAGACGAACTTTAAAAGCAGAGGAACGTCCGGGTTATGTGGTGATAACAATCTGCCATTAAGAAGACCCATGACAAAACTGCCGCATATTACAATGGAATCAAAGTCCAACTGCTGAATAATACCCTCCTTGTAAGCAGGAACACCTATATTAAGGCCTTCGAACCCTATATTCGATCGTTTTGGAGCTTTGATCGTTTTGAAAATGCGAAATGTCTGACCTTGAAATTCCCGCGGGATTATTTTCTAAAATACAACAAAATAACAAAAAGCCCTTACCTCTTTCAGTTGAAGACCCCTAACGGTTACAAGAGCATCATTGATGCATCAAGAGTTTAATATTTTCCCCGAATTGTCAAGGTTATTATCAATAAATCCCCGAAAACTCGACAATTCTCCATGAAAAACACCATTTCGTATGTCGTATCTCAATAAAAACGCTGAACTTTGCGATAAAAAGCCGTTAAGTATCTAATCCTAAGCGAATTCGATTAAAACCAACGCCTTTCCGACCAAAAACCCGTTCAAAACAGCCCGTAAAGATAAAATACTCTCTTCGCCCATCCCAGAACTTCTCGGATCAGCTGAAAAGACAAACGGTTTGGTCGGAGAAAGACAAAACTCCTCTTTCCTCCGTCTTCGATCGACTTTTTATTTTCCTTCCACCGAAAAGCCACTTGAAACGAAATGTCACAAGATTATCGATTGCTGCAAAATGTCACAAAGTTATTGGAATTTGCAAAAGTGGATAAACTTTGTTTTTCCTGTGCTTTTCATGGCGAGAGGAAAGAATCAACCACGAAAGATGAAGTTTGCTGCTGAGTTGGAGCAAGTTTTCGTAAGATTTCCAATGCGTAGGACAAAGAACAGCGGAAATAATCGATTTAGAAAAGTTTTGCGGAAGAATGGGCCGGTTTTTGGGATCTTAGGTTGGATAGACATACGGAATTCAAAGCATAATGAATCAGACCATGAAACATATGGAAGAGAGATAAATGCGGAGACGAAAATAGCTTTAAAACTTTGGTCCAGAATATTTTCGATAAAATATTGAGAAATTCACTCTATTTTATCTTACTCTTTGGACAAACCTCTGATTTATAAGCGAAATCAGACATTCTCTTACAAGGGATCGGGAAAACCGCGCATCCTGGTTTTTTCTTGAAACATATACCATTTGAAAGAGCGTAAAAAACTGGTCTAGGATCACCTTTTATTAGCTGCTATTTTTGCTCTACGCCCTAGCTAGCGAGCATTTTTTTAAAATTCCCAGTTGGATTTCACGACTCTTTGTTTATGAGAGGCTAAAGAGATTGAAGAATTACTTGTGATATGTCTCATACGTACCTATGACGTCCAACGCCTCACCCAATGCCAATAAATACATACTTTTTTCGGACCTTGGGATACCCAAGTCGATGTTCATAATGTGTGATCACGCGATCTTTTAGGTCCTGTAACCCAATGTAAAATAGCAGGTAAAAAACATAGAAACCGTTTTCAGAGTCAATTTTAGCGTACTTTCCGCTACCGGGCTTTACTCGTAAAAATCTGGAAGCCGTTGAAAGTTTCAGCCATAGAAGATACCCACTAGTGGCCAATTCAAGGGCAGGGACTACAAATTCGAAAAAATAAAAAATAAACCTCCTTTTTTTCTTAAAAAACGGATCCTGTTATACTGCAAATATCTATACGAAACTCAAAAACTACTTCCAGACTTTATTTGGTTTGTAATATTGAAAAAATCAAAAAAAATCAAAAGGGGTTTCGAACCCGGTCCGCAGGTCCGCCTCGTTCAGCGCCTTACCCCACTAGGCCACCGAAGCACTGCTGCGCTGCGCTTTGGAAATCGTTCGGATTTGTTTCCTCGGAAAGGGCGAGATAAGCCTAGAACTAAGGAGTGCTTGCTAGCTAAGGCGTAGAGCAAAAATAGCAGCTAATAAAATGTGACCCTAGACCAGTTTTTTACGCTCTTTCAAATGGTGTATGTCTCAAGAAAAAACCAGGATGCGCGATTTTGCCGATCCCTTATTAGACATAAATGCCTTTGACAGACCCCTAACTGTGTCTGTGAGGAATTGCAGCCGCATAATTAATTTGGATTTGGCCAGGAAATAACAAATTACTGCGACAAAACCTACTTTTTCCCAATTTTCAGCCGTTACTGCCAACATAATTTTTGAGCACCTGCGGGTTGCAAAAAAAGGTGTCACACCAGAAATTTCTTTAAATGTCACGGTATTTGCGGGGAAAGGGACTTAGCACGGAGAGTGCAGAAAGAGGGGGTGTAGGGAAGGGTAAGGCCAAACAGGGATTAGTACAACCGTAGACCTTATTTTGAGTTGATTGGAAAATTAAACAGGCCGAAAATAGAACTCCAATTGTGTTTTTTTATTAGTTAGTTTTGGATATTGGAATTGGACAAATTGGTCAAAGAATTTTAGAAATTTTAATGTTCGTAAAATAATATTATAGTGGCTAAAGGCAACATAAATTTCCTCGAAATTAAATTTCATACCCAGTTTGGCACCAAAAATATCAGAAGGCACTGGCTTATGAAGTCTCCATGAAAAAATTGGATGCACTTTTTTTAGCCCACGGTGAGTAATGTGTTCCCTCTCAAAACCAAATATTATTTTACCTAAAGGCCGAGTGAAGAAGCTCTTCGCTCTTATCTACAGCTATTTTTAGCGCCTTCTGGGAGAGTTTTGTCAACAAAGCGTATAGTAATTTTTTTGAAAGGAAATTGGGTGTTTCCCGGAAACTATAGTGCAAAATATCATAAAACAAGGTCAGTAATCCAAGAAATTCTGCGAAAACATTGGTGATTATGTACGAAACGAGTCATGAATTTAAATGCGTGAGAAAAGTCGTAAACCGGCGGTCCCTTTTGCCTCTCCTCTGTCCAGCGGTTATAAAAAAAGGCCCGACTCGTCTCAGACGAGACCCTCAGAAATTTCGCCCGCAGCAAAACCCGTGGAACATTACGTTTTGGGGCTGGTGTACAATGGTCATTGTAGACCGAAGTTCTTCCCTTTGTGGAAATGTTTTTTGTATGCCATAAATCAAAGAATGCAAACAGATAAATGTCTGAGGATGTTTATTCAGATCCGAAATATACAGTAAATAGCAAAAGGAGACCATACTTAATATCCGGGGGCAGTACGTGGGGGAGGACAATGGTCACACGCTCCCTTGGGGCCGCTCTCTCCGGGCTGTCCTGGCTGTCCATCGCCTCCGGGCAATCCTGGGGTGCCTGGTGGTCCGCCTTCTCCTGGTGGTCCTTGTCCTCCGGGTTGTCCGGCGTTTCCTGGTCCTCCAGCTGGGCCGAGTGGTCCTGGGCCTCCGGGTGGTCCGGCTGGGCCTGGTGGTCCGACGGATGGTGGGCCTTGCTTAACTTGTCCTGGAGCTCCGGGCTGTCCTGGTTGTCCTGGGCCTCCTGGTGGTCCTCCGGGTCCGGGTGGTCCAGCTGGGCCGGGTGGTCCTTGGCCGCCTCCTTGGGCTGGAGCACCGGGCTGACCGGCTCCTCCGGGTGGTCCCTTAGGTCCGGGCTGTCCTGGAGCACCGGCTTGAGCTGGGGCGCAGGTCTGGCATGGCTCAATGTGTTGTTGTTGGCGAACAGCGGGTGGGCCTGGTGGTCCAGCCTGTCCTGGGGCTCCGGGCTGTCCGTCGTTTCCAGGTTGTCCATCGGGTCCAGGTGGGCCGGGAGGTCCTGCTGGCGAGACTCCGCATCCACAACAGCCACCGCCGCTCTGTCGCTCGAAACGAGGGGCTTGGTGGAGACCGAATCTGTGGCTGGCGCCGATGGCGCGACGGTGATGACGGATTCCACGAGCTTCACGTGGATGAACGTCGGAGAGAACCTGAGTCCTGGTCACTTCCTTCCACATGTTGCCACTGCGGGACTTGCAGAAGTCGAGTTCGTTCTGCATGTTCGTCTGCATGAACTGCACGTGGTTGTAGAACATAGGGACCAAAAGCATGGCCAAAACAGTAGCGGCGGTTGAAAGAACAACGCCGGTGAAGGCAAAGCGCCGGAGGCTCTCGGCCTGCTCCTGTACTTGCTTCTCAGCCATTTCCAGAGGGGTTGGTTTGGCTGTGGAAACAGACGACTTCCATCCAGGTAATCAGCCCACTTATATAGGGCACAAACATGGTAAGGCCCCGTATTGTAAACTGTTTTGGGGCGTCTTCCCGGAAATTAGTCAAACCGTTTAAGAAACGGGGGACAGCGAAAGGGGACGTTTCGCGCTTCAATTTTACAAAGCCGTTTCTTCCCAGCGACGACTATAGTTAGTGCGGAAAAAATACTTGGATGGTGATCAAGAACGCGCAAGAATTTTACACAAGATACTACCTTTACTACTTTCCCATTCAAGTTCCCTTGTTACGGAAGAGATGGTTACATGATAAATGTTGGAGAGAGTCGCAAAAAGCGAAAGGTTTGTGAGGTCAGTTCCGGATTTGAAGATGCAAAATCATGAGTTTGGGATAGGCGAGGAAACAGAGGGTAGTTCGAGAAAAGTGTTGGCAAAAGGTTTGTGTTGTTTGGGGATCGTGAAGGAAGAAAGCGAAAATAAAATTTATTTTAGGCAATTTTGTAAAATCTGCTGATTAATGGCAACTTATTTTTGCAAGAGGAACCTATGTAAAGTAAAATTACTGAAAAAGGGCAAAAAGATCAAGACGGCCTTGATTTGATTACAAAAGGTGGCATGGCAGCTAAAAATGTTTCTTTAGAAAAGTTATGGCAACTTTTCGAACGTTCTTCATGTCGCTGAAGATCTCCTGTAAAAAAATCTTTACTTCTAAAAGTACCCTTCTCTCTTTCCTTCTGTGATGCTTTTTGATAACAAATTTGCCATCTTGGCCGTCTTTCGACCTTTTTGCGTACTGCCAGGTATAAGTCTTCTAAATCCCATTTTTAATTCCAAATTTGCATTTTGTTTTGAATTGCGCAACTCTACGAATTTCTTGTTTTCTGGAGCTACTATCAGCGACATCATCTTGAACTCTTTTCGCAGTTCGTATTCATCAAAACCAGTTGTAACCGTTCGCCAACGCCCGCGATCTTTGCTCCAGATAATCGAACTCAAAAAGGACGGAAGAAAGTATCCAAATAAGTGGTCAGTGTACTGAATGACAAGAGAAATAAAAATATTCATAAGTCGAATGAATTACGAGCTGAACGAGAAGGTATTCTCAATTTGAATGTTTTTGTGCCGCTTGTAAGAAATGGCAATTTGCACACTCAGGCTCCCAGCTTGTGTTAATTAGACCCTAGGTCTTATAAATATATTTGTAGGTCTTGCGTGTAAGTGTAATTGCACCCTCTTTTTGCCTGTTTATCAACAAGTTTAGGCGTTCTTTTCAATTCCTGTAATAAATCGTCTTTTATCGTTCTTATGGATTTTTCTTTGTTTACTACTCTGGAAGGGAGAACCCCATTTCGAACGTAGGTAACTTTACTTTGCAAAAAATTTGTTGTCTAAATTGATAGTACTTGTTGTCCGTTGATTTTGGTTTTTCCTCCAGCTCGGTAAACAAATTGGAAAAAGAGATCCAGAAAACAAAAAATCGGGATCAAGGAGACACACATAAGAAATCTGCTGGGTTTGGGGAGGGATTGACAAGACACACTTTTGAGACTTCAAGAATGCCTCAAAAGTTATCCAAAGAGTCTCCAAAAGTGACGTTTTTTGTGTGATACTTTTTGACGTAAAATTTTGGTCTCCTGGATTTCTTTTTAAAATTTTTAATTAACCAATGGAGGTCACAAACTTTACGTAAATACGTGTTTTCATAAAATTCATATCATTCACCCGACGATAAAGCTGTAAACTCGATTTTAAAAGTTGTTTTCATTAAGCAATTTTGAGAAATTGTTTTTTCGTAAAATAACTGTCAAATTTTTACACTCTTCCCATTCGTCGGCGGACGAAGCGGCGTCGTAAAAACATCGCTGTCTCATCGCTTGTACGCATCAATTATAACAGATGTGCGAATTAAAAGGGCCGTTTTTCAAATTAGTAGTAAGACTCCGTTCGGGGTCGAGTTTTTTGATTTTTTTTGTTTCTCCGCCCACGTAATTTACAACCGAAAACATTTTAATGCGTGAACGCGAATGGATCACCATCTCTGGAAGGGGGTTTTGTTTATTTCTTCTTCAGAGTTCGGTGCAATTTACAATCTACGAAAGGAACAAATTGTTGGACTTTAAAGTTTTCCAAGAAAACTGGTGTTTTTGGGACAAACTTGAGCAGGTTTAACCTCCGAAGCGATCAGAGGCCAGGTTTCGGTTTAAAATTACAATTCACACATGGTTAATATAAACTTTGTATTTTTGAGCTTGCGGAAGTCTTCGGAAGGCAGAAATTTAAAGATTGTTGCAGCACTGGATAAATAAGAAGCCAAAAGATCACAATTTTTCTTCTTACCGTCTCTCCTCACTGCCAAAAATTCACCAAATTCTTGTCGTTTTTTGAAGTCGATTTATTTTAAAATAATAAATCAAAAAAAAAGATTACACCGAGGCATGACTATATACAATATTAAGGCTGGCATTTACAACAAATTTTTAAACTTTGATATAGAAATATTAAAAACTCTTGACTGCTTGAGCACGTTCATTACCGCATATTATTTTGGACTTAGCCGCCGGGAATTTTGGGTTCTTAGAGTGTGGAAATTGTTGTTGTACACAATGGATATCATTGTTGTCTAGACCCTTCGTTTCACATAAGAATCAAATCCACAGTCAGTAACGGACTCTTCGGGAAGACAATCGGTGAATTCGGTGAAGTGATCGGTGTTAATGTCGTCGATTAGGGAGCGGGATTTCATCTCTTTGATGGTTTGACGGAATATCCGATAACGATGACGGAGCTCGTCCTCATCGGCGTAGGAACGGCGGTATCTGAAAGTGAGAGGCTAGTGGTTTTATTGGCTGACGGTGAGCAGGTAAAACTTTGATTTTTGAAAGGATGCTAGTGCGGTAGAGCGTCATGTTAGGGTTAATCGTATGTCTGATAAAATCAGTCGTTATAAAGTAACCTCTTTATAAAACCACGTTTTACTTAGAGGAGATATTATTAATTTAGTGGAGGAAATTTGAACACATTTTTGCGATTTTTGGCCCAAATAATTGACGAAAATGCCGACTCAGATTACAAGAGAAGGCCTTAAAATGAGACTCTAAAACTTTGCATGCATGTTGAGAGACCAAAGATCTATAATATTAGTGGAACTTTTATTCCACTGTCTCATAGCAGCAGACGTTTTGAACCATATTAAGAGTCCAATAGAAAATGAAGGGAAGAGAACTGTAAATTACTTACTTTGACATGTATTCCGTGAATTTATCAAAGATTTTTTGATCCGATCCGGACAACGATTTCCTCAGCTCGTCCACGGCCACATGGCTGACGGTGATCCCGTCGTGCGAGCTTTGCCTGGGGCCAAACATTCTACTCTCTGAAACATTTTCACATTCATTTTTACTGAAGCGGAAACACGAAAGAGCTACTTTTCATTTGACTCCGTGGTAAGTCTGCAATAAAAACGACGTGCATTTAAAATTAAAAGTCACGATATCTCATTTCTCGGCCCATTCTTTGGCCATTTTCTAGTAGGGGGTTAAAAATAGAACGTGCACTTGAAAAAATACCCGCGGGCAACGAAACATTGGCCTAATCAAGTTCGAGTGTACTGGGAAATGTAGAAAACATAAGCGGATAATTGCGCCGAAATCGAATATCCCCCCGTTTGCGAAGGCAAGAGAGCGATATAAATAATAAAATTGAGGTCTTGCCGACACGAAGAAGGATGTCTGGACAAGTTTTTTGACACTTCCCACTGTCAAAATGGCCATCATAGGACATCAAAAATCGAAGAAGGAAGGCTTTTTTCAATTTTTTAGAAATCGTTGAGGATATCACATACGTTCGTAAAAATGAGGCTATGATTTTACATGGCCTCTGGCCCGTTTTACACGCCTCGCGCCTGCAGGGATATTAAGTAAATTTAAGCTCAAATTTTAAGGAATTGATGAACTAAATCGAGCAGTCGGACAAGATTTGAACAGGATCTTTCATTCCCTACAGTATGCATTATGATAATCGCAGAAGGTATTGGTCGACCCTCTATCTATTTGCCCTTATATATGTGCCAACTACATAGTGAAAACGCACGTCTCCCATAACGCATTGAACCGTTGGAAATGGAGGATTCGTTAAATAGGGCTCGAGTTTTGAGCCAAAAAAAGTGACCCAAATAAAAAGCGATGGTAAATTTACTCGAGAGACATTCTAAACTAAGTAATAGTAAAGACGGCACTCATAAAGAGTAGACTAAAGTCCCAAAGAAACTCCCGAAAAACTGTACGTGGATAAAAAAGAAGCCGCCTAATCCCGGCGTCCTCATAAATACGTAAATATTCGAATCTCACACGGAACATTTTGGCTTATAAATAGTCAAAACGGCCCCCATTAATTCCATAAATCTGTTTTCACAAATGCTATGCACGTGATGTATTATCAGAGAATGGGATATACATACGTTTATGTGAATATTTGCAATCGGTCATAGTACTGGTATAATCAGAATGGCAAGGGCAAAGAAAGGGCAAGTTTAGCTAGACCAAGAGACAGAAATAATAAAAGGAAGGGAATAAAACGATTGAGAGTCGAATAAAAATAAACTAAAAATATCACGGGCTGGGCCAAAGCTATATTTGGAATACAGTGCACAGTTTGCAAAAGGCCACAAATATTTTGTTTTTTTTCGATTAAAGTTTTTTATGTTATAAATATTTACCTTGGTTTTAAATAGGTGTTAATGATTTCTGCAATGTGGCTATTGAAAAATAGATATGTTTGCAGACGAAGGGCTGTGAAATACGAAGAGAAAATCTCACTACTAACCAAAATTCCGAAAGCAATGTCATTCTAAACTTATCCCTCTTCAAGTTTCTTAGATTTTGAGCGTCACTTTCTGGTTCACAAAAAGCACATAATTCTTTTCCCACGTTTACTTCTGCAGAAGTCTTAGCAACTCAAGAGTATGAAGTTTTCAAAAATTTTTGAAAAATTCCGGGAAGACTTCTTACTGTACCATACAAACCACTTTCCCACCGAAACTCACGCCACTACAATCTTGTTCGGCTAGTTTATTAACCAGTGTTTACAATCGATCCCCCTTTTATAACACTTACAAAACGGCGAGCAGCCCAAATAACGCGTGATTGTGGTTTTTATACCCAGAAAAAACAAAAGAAAGAAAATAAAACATTTCATTTTACCTTTATCGATCAATAAAACGTGGGTACAAGGTCAGAACGCCGTTTATACGGAGCTGCCTGAAGAATTTAAAGGATCGTTAAAGGCGCCGTGAGAGAATTAACTTGAGAGGGAGAGTACTCCAAGTGCGACGCTCAGATCTTGATGGAGGTTGGCACAAATTTAGAATAATTTTTCGAAGGCATATGCAAGGCTCGCGCTTTACAGGAACGACAGAGATTTCTAGATCGAAAGTTTACAAAATATGGCATTTTTTGTGAATTTTGCCATAAAAACTGAAACCTACACAAAATTTTAAGAAAATCTTTACGTCACATTTGGATTGCTTCCTCTGTGAGTCGAAACGCCGGACAAATCTGCAGTCTAACAATAAGGAGATTGCGGGGGATTACCACACCTTTTTGAAGGTGTTTTGATGTGAAAATATAGAAAAATTTGGGGAAGAGACCTAAAAATGATGATGTCATATACTCCGCCGATTTAATTTGGACCAGTCTGAAACTTGAAAACGGTTATAGATATGAACTCCATTCCTTCAACAAGTTTGATCACCAGTCGACTCTATGTTCAACTGTAGCCAAATATTTCCTCTGCCTTGAGGCACAAGAAAAATATTGGGATTTTGTAATTTTTTCTGTCGAAAAAGTTTGGACCAGGGCAACAAAAATTTGCATTTCTTTATCACTAGGTGGGGTGAAACCATGATAACTTGTGAAAATAATTGTGATTCCCTGCTGATTCTAACGAGCAGGGAATTCCGAGATTAGCGCTGTGTTTAAGGCCCTGAGGGCAATTTTTAAGAAAATTCAAAAAATTCCAGAATTTTTTCGCCCTGGCGCTTGAGTAAGAAGCGTAAATCGTCTTAAATTAGTTTCTGTGCAACCACAGTATAGTGTACATCTAATTGGATGACGTTATAAAATAGTTTTACATCTAAAATTTTTTGTTCTTGGAGGATTTGCGACTTTGAAACTTGGGTTGGCGATAATAGCGAGGCCACTGCGCTCAAACAACTGCTAAATCATACAGCGTTTTGCTTGGGACATATGAGGGGCATGCCACACTTTCCTTCTGTGTCAAAACAATATCCGATTTACACGCGACAAATGCACAATAGACCGAACACTTTGATAAAAAAATTTAAGAAGAGGGTGCTTACTTAAAAGTTTTCCAAAGTGAAAAAAGATGTTCCTATATGTACATTGTACGTTTATTCCGCTATGAGGTGCTAGCCAGACCTGATAGAACTTAATTTGATGCACATTAAATTGTTTTTTCTCAACATGTTTCGACTGGGCCAACGAAAACTTTTTTTATCAAATTCTTCGGTCTATTGTGCATTTGTCGCGTGTAAATTGGATATTGTTTTGACGCAGAAGGAAAGTGTGGCATGCCCCTCATATGTCCCGAGCAAAACGCTGTATGATTTAGCAGTTGTTTGAGCGCAGTGGTCTCGCTATTATCGCCAACCCAAGTTTCAAAGTCGCAAATCCTCCAAGAACAAAAAATTTTAGATGTAAAACTATTTTATAACGTCATCCAATTAGATGTACACTATACTGTGGTTGCACAGAAACTAATTTAAGACGATTTACGCTTCTTACTCAAGCGCCAGGGCGAAAAAATTCTGGAATTTTTTGAATTTTCTTAAAAATTGCCCTCAGGGCCTTAAACACAGCGCTAATCTCGGAATTCCCTGCTCGTTAGAATCAGCAGGGAATCACAATTATTTTCACAAGTTATCATGGTTTCACCCCACCGAGTGATAAAGAAATGCAAATTTTTGTTGCCCTGGTCCAAACTTTTTCGACAGAAAAAATTACAAAATCCGAATATTTTTCTTGTGCCTCAAGGCAGAGGAAATATTTGGCTACAGTTGAACATAGAGTCGACTGGTGATCAAACTTGTTGAAGGAATGGAGTTCATATCTATAACCGTTTTCAAGTTTCAGACTGGTCCAAATTAAATCGGCGGAGTATAGGTATAAAATCATGACTTCATGCATGGGCGTATTAGGAAAAAATTCTTTTTGAAGTCCACGCATTTTTGAATCCCCGATCTTTATAATACTGGGCTACGTACAGTATGTTTTTGAAAGAACCACTTTGCACGATGACAACAAAAGGTCAAATAAAATCACCCCATATTTTGAACGCACTTCCAAATCCCTCTGATATATACTTTACTAAGGTAAACAAACTTGAATGAATCAACCATAAACCTGCACCTTCTGAAAAATTGATCTCATTTTTTATGATGATCAGGATCCTTAAGCAGGTTGAAATTAATCAAAACAGAGAGAGCTGCGATCGATGTTTGGACATGTTACCGTCAAAATGAGAAACTCTGACATTCGAAAACGAATACATCATTTTTGCGCTATTTTAGGGACAGAAAATGCCGCCGTTTTTCTTGGAAGAAGGATGTAAACATTTTGCCGATTTTTTGCAAAAGAAGAAGATTTATCGTTTTGAACATACAGCCATGGATTTGTCAATTAGAATTTCCTGAATAAATTGAAATTTCGGGGGCATCTACATTCTCAAACTGAGAACATAAATTTCCAAGATATATGGGAGAGGTTCAGCGCGTTGAAAAACGAGTTCCGCTTTGACCATTACTCCGGATTTGCCCAAGTGAATCGCCTACAAAAAAGCGTTCAATATCTCAATTTAAGACAAACAAAAGACTGTTTTTTTGCGTCTTGAACGAGGAACGTAGAGTATCGAGAAGTACAGTAATAAAGAATTTGAGAGGATAAAGAAACGATGACTACATTTTTTGGCTCTATTGGTCGTATAACCCGAAAGCAATTTCGTTAGTGGTTTGACCTTATAAATCAACAAACTATGGGATATTTGCAAACTTACTTTTAATTTTATAGTCGTCCTCGGAAAAGTATCCCCACCCGTAACTTGACTCACCCTTGTTCCCAGAATGTTGCCTTCCCCAGATCCCTAAACAGATTTAATTCGTATTAGTCACCCCCGTTCTAAATTTATACGAATGGTTATAAAATCAGTACTATCTCTCAGCGAGATGGGCGACTCTCTTTCCCCGGAGGGTTCGCCCTTTGTTTTTCCCGAAAAAAAGATAAAAATACTTTTTTCTCCCGTTCTTAATCTTTGTTTTCCCCCCCTATTTTTCGAAATTTTTTTTTGTTTTTAAACCTTCTTTTGTACACATATATCATGCTATTCAGCAAGATTAAATTGTAAACAGATATTTCCAAAAAGAATACAAAATTGAATGTGAAAAGGGGCATAAGCAGGTGTAATAAAGCGGGGACAAATGAAGGGCGATTTCGAAAATTGAAGCATGAAACTTTGGGGAAAATAAGGGGATCAAACGAGGGAAAACGAGCTCGTTATGACAGACGCTGTGGATCGAGGTTGTCAACAAAACTATCAAAGGAAACCAGGTGATCGGAGATGCAAATAACACGCGGTTATTAACAAGGGAGTTGGAAATACGTTTTGACGGAAACTGGAGCATATTTCAACTCCAATTTTCTTGAGCAGATCACGATTTTCTGATCGGAAACGGCTTAGATTTTGAGGCAAAGGCTGCAAAAACATAACTTGTTTTCTTGAATAATATAAATTCGCAGTAGGCACCGTCGCTTTCCACCTTACACTGCCCAAAATTCGTATGACACAAGTTCCAAAAACAGAAAGTTTTATCAGGACCCATCAGTTTTTAATCGTTAGAAGTGTATGCGTTTTACACTTGATGATTAGATATTTGACCTTGGAATTTATCAGAAACCCAGAGAAGAAGAAGTCAAATGTTGTTGCAATTCCTTATTGAGAATTTGTCGGCTAAATTTGACCGGAGCTTGCAAAAAAAAATGATTTTAAAATTACCGAAAAATTGAATTTCGACAACTTCTGACCAAAAAATTCTTGCCAGTTTCCGCAAAGTTAAATACGAAGCTTTTAGACTTGACTCCGAAGATCATAGCCTAAATTTATGCCGAATTTCACGAAAATCTCATCACTTCCTAAATTTACCCATTCAAAAATTAACCGAAAACTTATCCCAAAGTATTATATTATAACAAAAAAATCTTTTCTATCGTATTTTGAAAAAAGTCAAAATCTATTTTATTAGCTTTATCATCTGTTCTACAGTAGCTCACCACTCCTTCTTTACAAAACAAAATCGTACAAAGAAAAAAGGGGCTAATCAAGCGGAAGTTCCAAACCTCTCCTTTCCCAAAAATTTCCCGGTTATGATTGACAGTGCATGACGTCAGCGGAGTCACAAGCCCCTTACTGATAACCGATCACATTGCTGGACAAAAATTTAGTAAAAAACGGCTTTTATGGCCTTTAATGTCCATTAAGTTTTGTCAGCCCACTTACAAAAGCTTTTGCAAAGGGTACTGTTCGAAAATATTTATTTTTATTGCGTAATGTGTCGTAATAAAATTTGAGAAAGGCAATCAGAGATCAGAGATGATTGGAAATTTGATGATGAGAATTTTGCGAAAGTTTGGACTGTAAAATCATTTTTAATTTCACAAAGTTAGTAAGTTTTTTGGACCATATACGAAACTTTTAGCCCCGCTTTTTCGGAAATAGTCAGAAATTTTAGAAATAATCACTCGAGAATATTGCAAGACTACGACCAAAATAGCTACATTTGAATCTCGATTTTACGGATTTGACTTTTTTTATGTCACAAAATTATTGCAGTCTCTCATCGTAGAGATAAAACATATTGTAAAGTACGGTTTCAAAAGTCATAAAATCATTTCTACTTTGTTTTCAAGGCGTGGAACAACAAATTCTGTGACCTTTCTTCTTCCAAGCCGTAAAAACGAAATTCTTAATGTATGTACTAGTTTTTCCGGGAAGTCGCCGGACTGATTTTTGTCGCTCGCACTGTGAAAAAATCAGGTTGCGAGCGACAGCCCAAACATAACTATTGCACGGTGCAAAAGCAAGAAATCGCACAGTGCGTGTTATTATAGTCCGGCGACATTCCGGAAGAACTAATAGTTGTTGTGGTCCTTTCAGAAAACAAAAAAATGTCTGGTCTTCCTCCAGAAGAAGAAAAATAATAGAATTCCAAGAGTTCCTGGCATTCGCAAACATCCGGATAGGACGTTTTTTTACAGAATGAAAATTTTCAAACTCTACATATTACAAGGAAAGTACTTTTATGGGGGCTCCTACTTTTTGACGGGACATACCTCAAAAAATCAGAAAAAATGTGCTGATCAAGGATATATAAATCTTGGCTGCCCATTTTGGGCTTTTAGGGGTGAAAATGCCCAAAAACTGGCTCAATTTCCCTACAAAAGGCGCATGCATTCGAAACGATAAAAAGCGCAGTCGGTCTCTTCCTTCGGAAGAGAGCGGTGTGGCCGAGTGGCTAGTGCCGTAGTCTGGGAATCAATAGGGGGGACGCCGCACGGGTTCGATTTCCCTTTTGGGCTGAATCAACTTTTTTTGAAGATGAAGGTCGGAAAAATAAATTTTTGTGCCAAACTGATTTATTACGTCTTAGAAACTCAATAAACATCATTTTAAGCCAAAATAAAAATTGTAAACCCGTGAAAAATTAGGCAGAAAGGGGTTCATATAGGATTTTAAGTCAACTTCCGATTGAGTTTTCACCCCTAAAAACCTAAAATGGGCAGCTAAGATTTATATATCCTTGATCAGCACATTTTTTCTGATTTTTTGAGATATGTCCCGTCAAAAAGTAGGAGCCCCCATAAAAGTACTTTCCTTGTTAGACAAGAAGTTTACCCGGACCTGGAGGGCCGGGCTTGGAAATTTGGGCCCGGACTTGTTGCCCGGGTTGCAGCCATGCTTGGTCACAATTTGGTATTGCATAACCATTCAACTTTTGAAGTCGTGTTGTGGAAATCAAAATGTTTATAATCAGAGATATCTTCATAGTGGTTCCAATTTTGTGACACCAATCTCTGACATATTTCGTATTAGCTTGAACTTGATTATGAGGTTGATCATGACCTCAATTTCAAGACTTCGATGGCAAGAGACGTCTCCCCAATACACATAACGACCTCAATTTTTAAATTAAAAGTAGAACTTAAAAGTTCTACATATTTTTTGTATGGGCTGTGCTTTCGTATGTTGTTCTTTCGTTGAGAGTAATCTGATATACACTGAAACTTTTATTTTTGGATTTCCATAATGTTGATTTGCCGTTCTGCTTGAGGTGTAAAGTACAAAGTTTCAGCAAAAAATGACGTTGAAAAATGTGAATACTGTGTGTGCTGCTCAGTTTTTCCTTTTTTTCTCTAACTGATGTTTTACAGACCGTTGAATCGGCCTCTGCAAAATAAAATGCATAATTTTAAGTAGATAAAAGATGGTCTTAAACCTTCGTAAAAGAATCTGAGTCAAGCAAAAAAAGCAGTAAATTTCTTGTCAGCAGATTTCAAAATGAAATCCCTTCTTTGTAAGCTTCCTCGTTGTGGTGATCAGCAACTAATTTCTCCTGCGAAAAGGATCACAGATTACCACACAATAGCCCATGCTCAATATCCGAGACATTACTCATGTCCGGCTCATAGCCAAAAGAATAAAACATTACTCGAAAAGAACTACGTCACCCAAAGTAAATGACTAAAAGCACTTTGAATAAGGCTCCGAGCAAGTATATAAGTCAGCAAGTATATAAGTCTGCAACATTTGCGTGGAAACCATATCACATTCGCCATCCCCTTCCATCTCAACCATCATGTTCTCCAAGATTGCTCTGTTCTTCTTCGCTCTCCTGGCTGTCATCATCAGCAATGGACAAGTTGAGGTAAAAATACAGTAATTGGATAAAAATTTTTCTCATTATTGTTTTTCTTTTCTGTTTCTTGTACTCTGAAGATTTTGTATGATCAAGAAATTCGTTCGTATTTTAAAACCAAAATCTAATGCCATCGCATTTCAGGCCTGCCGCGGAGGTACCCCCGTTGATATCTGGCAAACCCCTTATGGCAATGGATACAACTACAACCAATTCTATCCTCCAACTGACGGCTTCCGACTTCGTCGTGCCTACCGTGATATGATTCGCCAAACCACCGCCGTTCCCGCTCAAACTGACACCAACACCGCCTAAGATTACCATTGTGCCGTATATCAAGGATTTACCTGATACTTCATTTTGAAATCTTCGAAAATTAGTGTTGTCTGTAAGATAAACTGGAATAAAAATCTTGTTTAATTCGAAAAATATAAATAACTTTTGCTAAGATACCTGTTAAGGCCCTACGAGTCCTCAGCTTACATTTTTTCACCTTCTTGCATCATACGAGCCCTGTGGCAAGTCAATTCCCTTCACACTATAACTGACGCAAACCCCCGGCAAATTATGCAAATCTCTTCGCAAAATACTAACTATTTTTGAAAATTCCAAGTAAATCGAATTGTTTGATGCCTGCGGGTTTGACTCCCTTTACATCTGACTATTAAAAGCATAGCGTTATCCCAAGGTATGTTTTTTCTTGTTTTGGGGTGGATGGGTTTGAGGGTAAATACACGGTAATTGTAAATACGGTGTAGATGGATTTGATCGTGAATAAACGGTAGAAAATTATTGTTGAATGGTAAGATAATTTCTTTCTTGTATTGTGTGTCGCTTTCGAATTCCCAAGAAATTCATTGTGAATTAAAATCGGCAACTATTTTTTCAAACCATTGTTGAGTAAAAGTTGCGAATTTGATTAGAAAATTTACGGATGCGAGACCATTCTTCTCCAAAAATTTCAGTTTTGGCAACAGCCATAACTTCTCCTTAAGTGTAAAATAAATTAACTTATGTCTTCCAGAAGCCTCCGTAATGTCATTAGACCGAAAAATCAGTCCACTGGCGGATCCCCAGAACATTTTCGCCGCATTCCCGCCGGCTCCACCAATCATTCAACCCAAAACACCATGGATTTCTGTGGCTGTCACCGGATTTCTCACTTTTGTAAATGCCCTACATTTTTCGATGTTTTTTGCTCCAGTCTGGCCATACATGCAGATTGTAAGCATTTTTTTAAATCGTATTTTTTAACAAACTTTAGTATTGCATAAGGCAGAAATTTGAAAATTTAGCCTTCACTCTGCATTGTGCAAACCTAAACCTAAAAATTCTCAAAAAGCGGTAAATCTTCAAATTCAGATGGACTCGTCAGCAACAGAAACTTTCTATGGTGTTGTAGTTGCTTCGTACAGTATGGGCCAGCTCTGTTCGGCTCCCATAATGGGCTGGTGGTCGCATCGACGTAAAAGTATATATCTGCCCACATTTTGTTGTGTTTTGGCCTGTCTTTGCGGTAATATTTTGTACGTTTGTGCCGGACTATTACCTTCCAATCGAAAATACGCAGTTTTGGCAGCAAGATTCATGGCTGGAATGGGAGAAAGTAAGGTGTTTTATCATCAACTATCAACCTTTTGAGTTTTACACAGTAATTTCGAAATTTCTTTTATTTTCGTTCAAAAAATATTAAATTTTCAGCGTCCATGAGCCTGATGAGGACCTATATTTCGATGGCATCGCTGCCAAAAGACCGCTCGAGAGCATTGGCTACCATGAGTTTCGGTTTGGGAATGGGAACAACATTAGGACCGAGTAAAAAATATTTAAATTTACAAATAATAATACACTGTTTTAGTCATCCAACTATTCCTCATCCCCATTGGCTACCCGGGTATTCAATTCACAAAACTCTTTGGGATCAACATGTACACGGCACCCGCGTACTTCTGCATGGTCGGGAATTTGTTGTCAATTTTGAGTTGGCTCTGTATTTTCAAGGAGAAATACGAAAACATGTCACACCATGGACCTGGTAAGCCATACAATTAAATAGTAGATTTTAGGAATAATTATTTGTTTGGGATTACTGTAATTTCCAATCTTTTTATATCCAAAACAAAAGCCCATTCTAAATAGACGGTTTGTTTCGAGAACAATTACATTGGACTAGACCCTGTTAAAATTGTCATAACCAAAAAAATATGGTACCAATGTAATCAAAAATTCCTAAAATCGTTACTCACAATATAGGCTTTATTAAAGCTAAATACCATTAAACAATCATCACTTTCATATAAAATATACTCCTTAATTTTTTCAGCGAACAACCCTACCCATTCCTTACCTCCGGCCGACAAGAAGGCACTCTCGCTGTGTTACCTCACCCGGTTTACTCAATTCTTTGTTCTGACCAATTTAGAGACTATCGGAGCCACATACGTGATGGTAATGTTTGCTTTGAATAAGCAAGATACCGTCCAATACATGTCCACGGCTCACATTGGAATGGGAATAATGGCGCTGCTAATGTACACGGTCTTCATCAGCGGACGACATGATTCGAAGTGGGTTTTGAAAGAAAGATTGTAGCAAACTTGCAACCTTTTTTCCTTTGAATATGGTGTTAGATTGTCCCAGGATGTTTCTACGCTGAATTTGGAGGTTCTAGGCCCTGCGGTTCCCGAGATACGAGGTGGAAAGAAAAATTTGTCAACCAGTATAAATACTGTAACCGATTCGTTTCAGAGTAGATTTTCGAATAGTCGCAGTAGTCGCTATCGTTGTGATGTTATCATTCCACCTGATCACATTCTCCTGGCCATTCCTTGGAACCCAGCTCAAGACGTATTCAGAAAACGGTAAGATATATTTTAATTTCAGATACGTTATGCCTAACTTCTCATTTTTGTAGATTGCAAACAATTTATTAATATCCCAAAGAACGTTTCAGATTACCTTTCGTATTTGGCCGGAAATCGCTCCTCCGAGCCCTTAGGCTGCAATACCGACCATTTCACCTGGTGTTATTCGATCTCTCCCACCAATATTTGGCTGTATTTTATTAGTTTCGGTGTGATGATTGGCTATGCCTTCTCGACTATCAACATCTCCGTGTCGACCCTAATGTCCAATATAATTGGACCCCGAAATCAGGCCAGAGAACAGTCTGTTTTCCAAATGATGCAGTCCATCGCCAGATTACTCGGCCCCATCGCAATCAGTTCTCTTTACACAAGCTTTGGACCCATGCTTGCTTGGTTATTGGAGATTGTTGTACTTGGCCTCACTTTACTGGCTTGGGCTCTGTTTTATAAAAGAATGGTCCCACTGAAGATTGTACAGACCATTCCTCAAAAGCCGAGCTTTGTCTTCACTATGGACGACTATTCGGACGACTCGTTTACTTTCGAGAAGGAAAAAGAACCCGGAAGTGTATATCGATTATGAATACGATGAAACAAAATGTATCATATTTATAAATTAAAATTACATCATGAAAATAAAAACTCGAGGATCTAGGTGCACAAAATATAAAGCTAAATCAAGCCAACACAACTCTTTGTCTATTTATCTTCCATTCATAAAAAATCAATAGTCCGTTTGCCTCTTATTTACATGAAGTGAATACGTTTATTATGGAGCGGGCGATGCCTCCGGAGCAGGCGACGCCCCTGGCGCAGGCGATGCCCCCGGCGCGGGCGATGCCTCCGGCGCAGGCTGCTTTGGCAGAGTGCGAACGGAGTCCCCAACTTCGCGGTTACGATGGCGTTCCTTCTTTCCAAAACATTCGAATAAAATCACCGTGCTGACCAACTGAAGAATAAATGGATAATTACGGACTACATATAATATAAAGGATACTGTAACTTACGCAAACATACCACAGACCAGAAACGATCAAAAGGACGGTCATCGTCGACAAGGGAGGTATGAGCAACCGTTTTTCGGATAGGTTTTTGATTTGCAATTAGTTTGAAATTCAAATTTTCCATTTCGCAAAGGAAACAATGGGTCCCGCAACGATCAATTGTAATGCTAACGCTCAGCATGGCATTCCGCGTCAAGCGATTTTTCCTTGATTTTTTTGTTCTAGCAAGTACAAGGTGGTTTGCCGAACATGTTGTACTGTTTTTTGGGTTGTTTTTTGCGTAATATTTACTAGACAAGCGTATTTTATAGTCTTAAATCATAATTGATCTTTTTCTCCACGTTTTTATAATTTTTATCTTGTCCTATTTGCAGATGGCTGCGGAGAATCCGCCGGAAAAGCAGCTTACGGCCACACAACTTCGTAGGTTGAAGGACCGCGAGGCTTGGGATGCCTACTGGAACATCAGGGACTTGGATTCTCGGGGAACTTATTTCCATCGCATGAAGTACTACGCCCATCGACTTTTCGATTTTCCGGTCACTTTTATTCGCGAGAATCTGATCGAGCCTTTGAACGACAAGTACCGACCTGTTTATTATCATCGGAAGCTGACGAGGGTTCCTGACATTGATCAATGCGGGGTCACCGATGAGGTGAGAGATTTTAAATTTTTTGTCTATGTTTTAGATGTTGAAGTTGTTGAGATTGCGATGGATAGGGAAGCAGACGAAGAGTCTATGAAAAGCCTTTTATTTCAGCCAACATGAGCAGAAATTTGGGGCATTTTTGATTTATAATACCTAGTGTAAGATAAAGCATTGTTGGATTAGATATTGCGGATAGTTTTTGATGTAGGAATGGGATTGTCAATTCTTTATGAAGTGCTGGTGAAGCTATCAGCTTGTTCTGTTTTATTAAAAATGTTGCTTTAAACGTATATACTTCCTCTCTTCCAGGCATGTCTCTATGAAGCTCAAGCACAATATCGATTGGACAAGATGGTTGATACCTATATTCTGGAGATCCTTTTCGAACGTGCCCATCGCTGTTACATCCTCAACCAACCGTATCTCAAGCCGTGTGCTCCAGCTATAGAAGATTACGAAGAAGCTGAGCTCAATTGGTTCATCAAATACGGAGAAATCAGTCATGTTGGTGATGCGAAGGATGTGTACATGAAGCAAAAGCATCGGATGATCTGGGAACGCCGGAATCCCGAGATTATGGCCGAGCGCGAGGCCAAGTACAAAAAACATAAAGAGGAACTGGCCAACGGGAACTTTGACCACTCATTCTGGAAAGGAGGTATATTCTACATGGACAAGAAGAACTACGAACCTCCATACGACCAGCAAGTCTCCAAGGGCACCAATGAAGGCGATAAACCCCTCTCCAAAAACTGGGAATACTACAAAAAGCTGGCCCAGGATCCGGAATTCGACAAAAAACAAGGCAAACAAACGAATGTCCCCTTGTTCCCCTTCGTCGGTTGATGTCATCCCTTTCGATGGGTGTCTGACCTGGATTCTGATCGCTTTTTTTGGTTCCACCCTTCTAGGAATGATATTGTAGTAGTTGTATGTGTGTTTTTAAATAAAGTTTATGATGATACATGGTAGTTTCTGAGCATTTGTGATAAGAAAATGCAGATGGGCGCTTGTTACGCAAAAAGCGACAAATTCGGACGAACTGTTTTTCGATTTCCGCGCGAAGAAATATTTTCGAAGCTCGAAAGATGGCTGGAAATAATTTTTCTCTTCGAAAGTCTGCTCTTTTCTCCGTCTACACTGTATTTTTGTTATCTTTCTGCCTGCCAGCTTAATTAGAATAGACCTTCCTTACCCAAAAAGGTTCAATTGGACCAAATCCGCGGTTTTTTGATGTTTTTCCTTCGTTTTTACCGGAAATTCCGTCATTTTCCAGGACAAGGAACTCTCAAACTGCTGGTAAAAATGACTGACGTCAAGGAGAACCAGGTTCCCGTCGACGTGCAGATGAAGAACGTTGAGGAGACCGAGAAAAATGTGGATGAATTGAATTATCTCAACCAAATCAGAGAGATCTTGATGAAAGGAGATGAAAAAGGCGATAGGACTGGTACTGGGACGATTTCTTACTTTGGAATGCAAGCAAGGTACTCACTGAGGAACGGTAAGTCCTTTTCAAGTTTTTGTTTGTGATTTAGGAACTTTTTGATGTTACACTAGAAGTAAAATCGGAAAATGCACAAGATCGCTTATGAACATGGTGTAGTGGTGTTGTAGGTACGATGCCTCTTCTGACAACCAAAAGAGTGGCATGGAAAGCAATTGTTGAAGAACTTTTGTGGTTTATCAGAGGTGAAACCAATTCCAAGACCTTATCGGCCAAAGGAGTAAAGATCTGGGATGCTAATGGATCCCGAGAGTTTTTGGATCAATATGGCTTCAAACATCGGGAGGAAGGAGATTTGGGACCAATTTATGGGTTTCAGGTAAGTCTTTTCTGACTTTTTTATGAGTCATTCCTTACCCTCATCTAGGTATCAAGCATAACATTCGCTTTTAGTGGCGTCATTTTGGAGCTGAATACGAAGGGCCTAATGCGGACTATACTGGAAAGGGCGTAGATCAACTGGCCGAGCTTATTCAGCAGATCAAAACCACTCCCGACTCAAGGCGACTGATTCTTTGCGCTTGGAATGTGAAAGGTACGGTAATTTATGTTTCGATAAAAGGTCTTTTTCGTGACACTACTGACCTAACGGTACTTTTAGACGTTCCTCAGATGGCGTTACCACCATGTCACACACTTTGCCAATTCTATGTTCAAAATGGTCGACTTTCTTGCCAATTATATCAACGTTCCGGTGATATGGGACTGGGTGTTCCTTTTAATATCGCCAGTTATTCTTTGTTGACCCACATGATTGCCCATGTTTGTGGACTCGAAGCTGGCGAATTCGTGCACACTTTGGGCGATGCTCACATCTACAGTAATCATGTTGAAGCCTTGAAGGAACAGGTTAGTTTTGGGATGACATTTAAGGTTTATCGATAAAATCTGACGTTTTTGTTGGGTTTTGCCAGAGTTTTTGTTGGTGTAAATGATAACTTTTTTTGTACATTCCAGCTCAAACGCGAGCCGCGGCCATTCCCAAAGATCAGATTTGTCGGAGATATCAAGTCCATTGATGATTTCACTTTCGACTCCATCCAACTTGACGCTTATAACCCGTATCCGCCAATCAAAATGGCCATGGCGGTATAATTTACATTTCCTCAAAATCATACCCTAAGGGTTTGTCTAACTTTCCGTTACCTTTCCAACTTTTGAGTTCTTTTATTTTATTGAAAAATTTGAATTTTTCTATGTAAACTCTGAGTAAACGACGAGATTGACGGAATGAAGCGTTTCTAGCCTTGCTGTTTTTCCATAGTCGCGGCTAAAGTGGGAACAGCCTGTCGGATCTTGTTCTTGCTGGCTTCATCAAGACCAATCCATTTTTTCCTGAAGTCGGCTTGAGCTTTAGCCCGAATTTCAGGCGTAATTGGAGCCTTAGAACTTCCTTGATCAGCTCCTAGCTGGAGGATCTGAAATTTATGAACGGTGTGTTGAGTTTTTTCGAGATTTTACTCTCATAAAAAATTGCTTTGCAGATGTTTTTCGGGATATTTAAACTAGCAATATTCCTCACAGCGATGACAAAATCGGCCAATTTTGGATCATTCCCATTCTCGATGAAGATCTCTTTCATATATTTTTCAAATACATCCAGATGCTCCAAGAAGAAAGGCTTCCTGATATGATTTTTCTCGGCTTCTTCAGCTAGTTTCTCCAGTTCTGGATGAGCTTCCATTTTCTTCTCCATTTCTTCTAAAAATATCAGAAGCAATCTAAAATGCGGCGTTCTAGATGACCGTCACTACCTTGAAAGTTTGGAGCTAACGCCTGAAATAGAGCGTATTCGATTGGGGGTCCAGCTGAACTTACAATAGTTAGAGCAAGTATAATACAAGCCGACTGAACCTTCATGATTCACTAATTAAACTAAACCTCTCAAAGAACGGAAAGTAGGTTAAAGAAGAAGGTGATTTCCTACAGTGTAATAAAAAAGTTGTTCGATCACTAAACAAAAAGGTATTGCTGGAAAATGTAAAATGTAATTGCACAGTGCAATTTAATTTTTTTTTTTTTTTTTTTGAAAAGTTCAAAAGTAAGGCAAAATAAATATTTTTAGTCTGAATGTGCTGGCCACCTAGGCCTGGGTGCACCTCCCATTTCTACCACGTTTACAGTACTAGTCGCGGAAAAAAGTCCTTACAGGGGAAGTACTTCAAGTGTGACGCTCAGATTTTCTTTAAATTTTGCACACACATCGGGTATGGACTAAATATCAATTCCTGAAAGTTTTAGCTCGCGCTTTGCGGGCGCCGCCTAGATATTGAACGATTTTTGCCGCCGAGAGAGCACGCTCAACGTGGAGAGCGGTCAGAGAGAAAACCGCTTTTTGGCCATAACTTTGGCAGTTTCGTGCGGAAAAATTTGATTTTTTGTAGAAACATTATTCTTTACGGTTGAAATAGGCATGAAACTTTTCGTGCCGAAATTCGGCAAAAAGTCCCAAATTTTCGTCTACTTTCGATCTAAAAATCTCGGTTGTTTCTGCAAAGCGCGAGCTAGGATTCCCGCATATATCTTAGAAAAAATTATTTTAAATTTGTGCCAAGTTTCATCAAAATCTGAGCGTCACACTTCAAGTACTTCCCTTGTTAGAATTTTTCGCGACCCCCAAATCCCGTCGCACCCCGAAAAGTCGATTTGTCGCTGAGAGAAATGGGAATCGCGCGCGACAATAAGGCAAAAAAAACAAAATTGCACTGTGCAAAAGCACTTTTCGGGCCGGATGCACGGTGCAAAATGTATTTTCGTGTGAATGCACAGTGCAGAGTCGCAGAAAATTCTAAGGACTTTTTTCCGCGACTAGTATTATGCATGTTTCCTCGTACAAAATGTTTATTAGAAGCTAGGGCGCAAGCTGGTGGGGGAAATAATCGATTTATCGCTTCTGAATAATACAGTCGGATAAAACCCGAATTCCGCGTACCTTTTCACCATAAATTATCAAAAATCAACCTCGGAAAGTGAAAACAATGGAGCTCCATCAATCGCTCTTATTTGGTCGATTCCTCGTTGGAAGAACGGTCGCTTTTCTATAGATTCTGCTTAGCTCCAGCCGTTAGCTTGAATTATGGGCTGTGATGTGGGTCTTGGGAGCAGATCACGATCTAAAGGTGGGGAGAAACAGCAAGGAAGGTAGGTGAATATAACTTGATGTGTAATGTCTGAACAAAAATCTTTAGCGTTGTTTTCGTCTTATTCGTATTTTTGACAGTAATGAAATTATATTTGTTGTAGACATGCCAATGGCACGAATGTTGTCGGTCTTCGTTTCCGTGCTTCTTTGGATCAGGTGCCGGGAGAAACAGAGACTCGGTAGGTTACTCAGGTGTCTTGAAATAATATCTTGTCTCTCTAAAATGCAAGGTTGCATCGCTGTCTTGCTTCTACGCCTTTTGAGTTGTATTCTAGACCTCTCAGGCACAGCTTTAAAAAAAAGTTTATGGCCTTTGGTACCTAAAATTAGATTTATATTTTTATAGCCGAAAATTTGATCTGAAGGTGGCCACAAGGGGCAAGAAAAAGTCGAAAGCGTCGTCGACATCTCTCAGCGATACTGCAAGCCGTCATGGTCGCCGGGAATGGCTAGCTGGAGATCCTCGGGCCAGGCATGCCACGAGAAAGTTGAGCAGCGATAATTGTAAGTCTCTTGCTTTGTTTTTGGTTTTTAGATGCTTCTGAATCTTAGGGTCTGTTTCTAGCTCAACGAGTCCTGATCCTCGGGGCAAGCCCGCTTCGTCGGAGTTCGAAATCCTCGCGCGAAAGAGATTTTCGTACCTCTTCTGTTTCGGACTGTTTGGGGAGTTCCTCCGACAAACCTTTTGATAGCTTGGAAAACCCCAGAGAGAAGAGTAGAAGCAAGAGTGCAGTGGATTTGTCTAGGAAACAAAGGGGTGGAAGGAAGAGCAAAGGAAAGGACACGAAGAAGAGAAGAAAGAACACGGAAGCCGGTTCTGAAGTTGTAAGATTTTGATTCTTACGGTCAAACATGACTTTTGCGAAGCGATTTTTCGATTATTTTACCCAGATTTGCTTTGTACCTTAATTTGTGGCTTTTATACTTGTATTTCAGAGATGTAGTGTTAAATGCAGCAGAAGCTGTTCAAAAACCAAAGAATCAAATGTCGATTCTGCACCGAAATCCAAAAAGAAGCCAAAACCCAGAAGAGAGCCCTCCCATTGTGAGCGGATGAGGGAGATGTTGAGAGAAAGGTGTTCCGATCAGGAGGATTCCTGCAGCTTGAATCGTACAAGTTGTCAGACTGCGGTGAGTGAGCTGCGTTTACTGTAATTTTTATTTTCCTCATTTTTTGATATAGCCTATGACCTATACCTATATTATTTTTTCAGCGGGAGACCTACTGTCTAAATACCCAACATGGTAAAGCTTTTCGAGAAGCCGAGATTATTCGATTGCCCGGCGCTCCGTCACCTGGATCCTCTATGACCCCGTCAAGTTTTGCTGTGAGATCTACAACAACTACTCCAGATACAGGGCATTTGGTGAATTACAAACTCACGGCGAATGTTCTGATTCTCATGAGAGACGAGGAGAATCCTTTGGAATTGGTTTATCATTTCTGGAGAGGCCAAGACTTGTGGTGTGATGAGAGTTTGTACTCGTTGATCAAGAGAATTTCGGGTGACTTGGGGACTAAGTAAGCGAAGTTTGAGAGGAATATTTTGTAAATTATTATTTAGTTTAAAATTTATTTGAATAATTTTAGGATCCGGAAAGGCGAAGAGGTTTGGAGAATGGATATGGCAAAGAAGCCCCTCGAATCGTACATCAAACTCCACCTCCGCGAAGGCCGTCATCCTCTCTGGAAGTACACTCATAAACGCAGCGACAGCCTCTCTTTGATTTTGGATTATGCTCATGCGGAAAAGGTTGAAGAGATCCCCAACAACCCCTTGTTGGACTACAAACATGCTCTGGTCCTTTGGATGAATCCGCATGAGGAATAGAACAATTGGAGTGAATGAAAAGGGTGTGGAACACATTTCATTTTCTATGGGATAATTTTTGTATTATACTTGATGACGTAAAGTAAAGTACAGCTGGAATATTGACCCATTTTTTCCATTCCGTACGGATATACTGATTTTTTTTGAAATGCTCGTCATTGCACAACGTGATCCAATTAAATTACCCAATCAAACTGACGGTTTTCCTCTGCACAGTGCACCTGTTTCTTCCGCACTGTGCGTTTTCCCGAAATCACTTTTTTTATCGCACAGTGCAAATTCTTTTTTCAACTGCACTGTGCGTTTTCTCTCTTCCAACGCTGCACAGTGCAACCAACCCACGTTTCTTGTCTGCACAGTGCGATCAAAAATCGGGAATTCGTAACGACCGAAACTCCGAAATGTCCGGCAATTGTTCCATTAAAAAAAGACAGCTGCCGGCGAAGATTATGACGGGACTTGAGGGAAGAGGAATTATGACACATTGGAAGTGATTTTTTGCTTGTGCCCGGAGGCGGGCTTTCGGTTTATCTGCTTGTTCTGCCGAGCCGGCGCCGGTCTTTGGCTCTTTTTGCAACATGGCCGACGGCATGATCATACTGATTTTATTGGCTATATGTCTATCGGCACATGGTAGGTATAAAAATCTTCGTCTAAATACCTAGTATAATATAATTTTAGCGTCGAACCTGACCATTTCCATCGACGAGGAGTTGGCCCTCCACAGAGAACGCCGAGCTTGTCCCAGGATCGTCCGCGTCGAGCCGCGGCCTTATGGCGAATGGTCCCGGTGGTCTTCTTGTTCGAAGACTTGCGGCGGAGGCGGAATTCAGCATCGCCGCAGGCAATGTGTAGTGGAGAATTGCCAGACCAGCGAGTCAAGAGCCTGCGGCAATATTCCATGTGCATTAGGATGGTCGGAATGGTGTGAATGGGGCCATTGTCGAGCGACTTGCGGCCAGGGAGAGCGGATGAGGATAAGATATTGCGAAGCCGGTAGGGTTTATTGTAGAAAGAGACATACTATGACGCTATTTGACTGATAAAAATCTCGACCTTCTCAGAAATTTTACACGTCATTTTTTTTTGGAATGCCTCATTCATTAAAAAAATGCATTTGCACTGTGCAATTTGAAAAAACGACCTTCCGCACTGTGCAAGACTGTTTTTTCAACATCCATTTCGTGTGCACCGTGCAGCCATTGACGACGCTTTTGTCCGCCACAGTGCATGTGGGACAAAATCCAAAGTGAAAGTGATCGATATTTATTCAAAATTCGGGGGGTTTATATAGTGGGATTTGGCCAGGGAGAGGGGGTTGTCCTTTGGCCTAGAAAGAGCCTTTCTTCGGCCAAATGGGGAGATGTCGTTGACAGATCGCGACTCGCGACGCCTTCCTTTCGATCGTTCTTTGGTTCCGATTCCATTCGAACGGACACTCGCGCGGCGACGCCTGATGACCAACCATTTGAATTAAACATTACAAGGCGATCCCCAAAAATCCAACGGGCGACCATCCGGAGTTCTTCTTTGCGGAGGACTTTCGCGGCGCGGTTTTTGGGCAATGTCTGGCTCTTTGACTTGTGGCGCAGATACCATTCTCGCCCATCTGATGAACTGAATAATATTGATGGCCACAACCAGCGTCACCATAAATCGCCACGTGGCGTCGAGGGTCCTCCAAACCCACCAAGGAATGAGGAATTCCTCAACCTCGTCCTCGATCTTCTGTGGATTGGAAGAGCGGCGGATCGGACCCAGCTGTCGTTGAACTTCCGCTGCCTTGTGCATGTCGGCGATTATTTGTCGCATGGTGACATCACTCGAAGCAAGTTCCCAGTTCTTGATTATCGCTTCGTCGTCCAAAATCTTTATCAAGAGCGGTGCTTGTTGTTGGACCTTGAAGGGGCGCAGCAATCCGGTCTGGTGATCCAGTTCGACAAAGCTTCCGTTCCAGTGCATGGTCTTGTTTGATGCGCAATTGTTGATGTGTTGAGGTTTTTCCACAATTTCCAGTGTTCCTGGTTTGATGACCCACTGTGTGTGGTTTGGCAAGTGGGCTGACACAACTGGGGGCCATTCACGGCACTCAGAGGTCGGTACAAACTTGACATCTGGTAATTCGGTACATATCTGCACTTCGAAAAGTGCGTCAGCCAGTTTGCGTACCTTGACTGCACTGGTATTGAATGCGATCTTTAACAGTGGTACCGGATTTTCGTCGGACATTGATCTGACGATCTTGGCCAATTTTTTCGTCAATTCGCAGAAATGTGAGGCCATTCGAGCGGATCGTTGGTAGTCACGAAATTCAGTGTACTGTTCTCGTGCCGCGCGCTCTTCACCGATACCTCGTTGATGTCGGGAGGTTATGATGATTGCGAAACCTTGATTGGTCAGCAATGCCTCCTTTCCATTAATCAGCACCGTCTTGTTTTGGAACGTGAACCGTCGGCTGTTCTTAAAGTCGTTGAAGGAAGAATTATTGTCGGTTACTCCTTCGATTTCTTCAATAAACCGGAATTCGTCAGCTTGATGAGGATTAGGTTCCCAAACAAGGATTTCCTGGTCGCTGATTCTGCATTTTCCATTTCCATAGCTGCAATCCTTCAGCTCGGCATCGGTCGCAAATGGTGTTACATTTCGGTGCGTCGCGTAGACATTGAGATGGTCGAGAATGCAGTTCTTTGTCTCGATGATTTTAGCCGAAAACAGGCTGTAGAACCGTCCAGGAAATTCGTCATTGCTTAGTTCTTCAGCGGTCTTCCAGATTGACCCTCGTTGTTGAAGGGAGCCATATCTGCATGTCCCTTGAGCTTCCATTTGCCGGCATTCCGTGGTGGTTATCGGCGTTTCTGGCGCGATTCTTCTCGCTTCCGAACGTTGTCGGCCGTTGGGATCTGTCCAGAGCTCAAACCGGTCGTGATGTATTCGACATCGTGTGGCCTTTGTGGTAAATGTAGCTCTGTTGTGCTCGAACAGTTTCGCCGTTGCAGGAATCATCTTCTTGTTGGTGATTTCTTGGCAGTCTGGTATAATTGGTGGCGGGGTCCAGATGACCGTTTTCCCGCCGTGTGCGCAGACAAAAGGCGATTGTCCCTGTGCTATTGATATGCATCCGCTAAGCGTTACAATTGTCAACAACAGCGCAGCCCATTGTTTGATGTTGTTTTTGGCGCTGCGGCGAGCTGCGCGCTGGGGCCGCGCACTGACGTCATCTGGAGGACTGGCTGGTTCTGTAGAAGGCACCAGAGGTGCGGGTTGGCCGGTTTGGGCAGTGCCTGAAGACGTATGTGCGGATGCGGGTTGGACATCGTCTTCGGTGTCAGAAGCCTCGTCTGTTTCTTGTTTTGGTGGCGGGCGTATTTCCAACGGATACAGGTGCGGCAAGGCGCGTTGTAATTCCTTTCCGTCTGGTAAGGCGATTGTGGCCACTCGGTGAACTCCGTCGCGATCGGGCTGACAAGACTTTACTGTACCGTACTTCCAATTGGAGCGGGGCTGGGTGTCGTCATGAATGAGCACAGTCTCTCCGATTCTAGGGGTGGTTCGTTGGGTTTTGGTGTTGCTAGCTTGATGTTCGTTTGTGGCGATAGACTGCAGATAGGCTGTCTTCCAAATGGTCCAGAACTTATCCAAGTTCTTCTCTTGTAGCCCTTTGAGCCTTTGAAGACGCTGCTCAAGCCGATCTTGCGGTACCCATTCAGGATCGTCTGGATAGTGTTCCGTCGACGGAGGCTCCAAGGACTTTGTGCCAGCTGGTAACAGGAAGTCAATCGGGCGCAAAATGGCTGCGTTGGAACCAGGACTGATGAGTGGGCGGTAGTTGACCACAGCTTCTGATCGGACGACCAGGGCTTCGAGCTGTCTCATGGGCCATTTTTGTCTGCCAATCGTGCGTTTGATGGATCGCTTCAACGGAGAAATGAGCCGTTCCCAAAGTCCACCGTGCCAGGCAGCTTTCGGAGTGCTGAAGGTCCAATATTTGCACAGTGCAAAGGCGATTCTTTTCTTTCCGCGAAAGGTCAACTTTCTCCTTCGAAAGTTGGTTGTCGCAACCAACGTCGCTGCGACAAGCAACCCAAATTTTCGATTCGTCGCTGAAGAAAAAAAGGAAAATTCAAAATGTCGCTGTAACCCGATTTCGCAAGAAGGAGATCGCGGAGAGAATGAGTTTGTCGCTTGCAACGTTCATTTTCGCCTGATCCGCACTGTGCGAAGTCCTGGGGATGATTGAAGAAAATTGAAGGTCGTTTGTTTCTTTTGCACTGTGCAGAGGAAGGAAAAGGTTTTCGATCTGCACGGTGCGGGAGAGGAAAGAGTTTTTTTTCTGTGCACTGTGCAAAAAAAGATAAACGTTGCTGTTTTTACTTACTTTGGACTTATCGCCCAATTTTTATCCGAGACATCCAAAAAATTGTAGACTTCTAAGAATTACCTTATTTCAGGAACTCTCCGTTGCCCAGGAAAAGATTACGAGATCTCCCGCTGTCAAGCCCCCATTCCCTGCGAAGGCTGGACTGATTGGTCCGACTGGACCCCTTGTTCAGTATCCTGTGGCTTGGGAAGACAGCGGAGGGAGAGACGATGCACTAATCGGGATCAATGTCGCGGGGCGTCGACGGAAGAAAAGGAATGTAATCAGATCTGTCATGGAGATTGGAGTGCCTGGGGAGGCTGGTCTCAATGCGACCGACCGTGTGGAGGGGGTGTGGAACAACGGCACAGAGTCTGTCAGAGCACCAGAAGCAAGTTTTGACTGTTTGAAATTTGAGTGCACAGTGCAATAATGAGTGAGGTTGGAATTGCACTATGCAGATTTTCGAAAATAGGGATTGCACTGTGCAGATTTTTGAAAATAGGGATTGCACTGTGCAGATTTTTGAAAATAGGGATTGCACTGTGCAGATTTTTGAAAATAAGGATCGCACTGTGCAGATCTGTGAAAAATTTTTATTCCCAAACCCAAAAAAACTAGCGCTAACAAAAAATTTGCAGTCCGTTGCCCCGGCCCTGACCGCGAGCGTCGTCGCTGCAACGACCACGCCTGTCCAGCCCAAAGTCCGTACCGCCCCCGGCAACCAATTTCCACTCGCTGTCAATGGACGGGCTGGTCTCGTTTCACTGATTGTGTCCCTCCACGCAACTACAGATGCGATCTCTCACAATATATTGGGGTGGGAGTTCGTCAACGGACCCGTCAATGTGTTGGAAATGGGGTTCAATGCCATGAGCAGCACTGCGGAGGAGCATCTACTGAACGCCAAAGCTGTCGATTGGATCCCAGAAGGGATCCTTGCTACGTTGTAAACTGAAGAGCACTCTTTAAGGGTCCTTTACATGGGCTTACAGTATAAATTTTGTGTTTTTTTGCGATGACTTGAAATTTTGAAAATAAAGTAATGGCGCAACACACGGCAAGAAACTTCACATACATCTCCACTTACGATAATCAATCCTCCATACATTGATTTATTCCATTAACTTAGAAAAAGCACCAAAAAAATCAAAAAAACGACCCGGTTACCTACTACAATATCACACTTCATTCTCTGCCCCTTCGTCCTCGTCCTCAGATCCCTCCACGTTTTGCAAACTAAGCATTTCCAAAAGTTTTTTCTCATCAAAGGGAACTAATTGATCTTCGAAAATGGCTAATTCTCGCCGTGCACTGGCTTCAGAATCTGCTCCATGAGCTGAATTCCTGACATCAGATAAGGCGTACTTCCATCTGAGTGTGGAGGAAGATTCTGGTTCCGGATATCCTTTTAGTAACTTGGAGGGGCCTAGCATCGATCGCCATTCGGATATTGGATCAACGGTGGAGGAGGATTCTGAAATTTGAGATTAAAGTACGCGCGTCGCCATAACTAGGGAACACTTGGCCATTTTTTAAAATAAATCGCGTCGGGACCAAAATTAACTTGAAATCGTACGTGTGTACGGTAGAAAAATAATTTTTTCGCGGCTGCAGCCGGAAATTTTGTTGTTTGATATCGCGATGGATTTATCTCAGTAAGTTGTTTTATATCTATTTTCACTTGTTTCTAGAGCTCAGGGACCGTTGGAGAAAGTTGTTTACTATCTGTTCTTTGTGATTTTTTTCAAAATCTGTCGGATTTTCTTTCTCCTCGTGAATAATGCTATCTTATCCATGATTTGTTAGTATTATCGTCAAAAGAAGCTGTAAAAAACATGAGCAAGCTCTCTCATATTCTCTTCTGTCAGTTTAAATTTCGACTGAAGAACCATTTATTGATAAAATTCCGACATTATCCACTTATTTTCTTTGAATTTTTCAGTTTTTGGACAGCATTCACGTCGACCAATAACACAACGCCCACTACAGCACCTTCTTCCCTCCAACTTTTTCAGAATCAAGATTTATAATAAAATAAATTTATTAACCTTCAGAATGCTTATTTTTGATATTATTATTCAACGCATTATATAAGTCTCCACTGGGGCATGTGAACTCTGCGACGGCACCGGCTTCATCAAGATCCAGACCACTTGATCATGCGTGAGATTCTATTGGAGCGAGAGGCGGGCCCTTCCAGGACCTTGTCATTTTTGACACGTTCGCAGAGATCCTAAAACCGAGTAATCAATGTCAAAAACATTGAACTTACTTCATGATGAGGTGGTCAGGGTTGATCTCCAAATTTTTCTTGGAACCGATATATCTATCCCATGTTTAACTAGCCAACAAAAGTCTGATCCTTCATGATTCTCTGAATCTTGACCTTTTTCTGCAAAATTGTGCTTTTCCTATTCGAATTCATGGAGTTCAAGACTTCCGCGGAGCATTTACTTTACATCGAACTCCTTCCGTTGCCGGACATCGTACTCATCAACGCACGTGAACCCGTAGATGACCTCGTCTTCACGTTTCTTGCCTAAAATTCGGACCGAAAACATTAGTTTTCGTTTAAAAAAAATCTAAAATACAGCTAAATATGCACGAACCACAAACGATTTATTTATACAAATTATAAAGACACTGATCCACGAATCCGACAATTCGTCAACAACGCAACAAATAATTCTCGGCTCCAGCCGCAGAAAAATTATTTTTCTACCGTACACACGTACGATTTCAAGTTAATTTTGGTCCCGACGCGATTTATTTTAAAAAATGGCCAAGTGTTCCCTAGTTATGGCGACGCGCGTACTTTAAATATGATATTATTTTGGGTCATTCGAAATCAGCACTCTCGAAAACCCCTAAAACGAGTATTTTTACAAGGAAAGTACTTCTATGGGGTGTGGAGTTGCAGGTCGAGATATATATCAAAAAATTCGCAAAAATTTTCTGATTCCGAATATATAAAAATTAGCTGCCTAATTTTGGTCTGATGACATGTTTTTGTCCTCAGAAGTTTTCTCGCGACACCATGCAAGTGTCTTTTTGACCGTGTTTTTAATAATAAAAAAAATTTGTGTTGTGCTAAAATAAATTCTGAGGCCTTGACAAGCCTTAAAATATCAAATTGGATTACAACTACACCTTAAAAGTAGTTCCAATGTAAAAAAACGGGTTCTGTGGCAAAAGGAATCGAACCCGCTCCCTTCGGATTCCCAATCCAGCGCTCTAACCACTCGGCCACACCGCTCTCTTCCGAAGGAAGAGACCGAGCGCGCTTTTGTTGCCGCAGATTTTTTTCCTCGAGAAATACATTTATTGATAAAACTCGTTGATAGACCAAAATTAGGCAGCTAATTTTTATATATTCGGAATCAGAAAATTTTTGCGAATTTTTTGATATATATCTCGACCTGTAACTCCACACCCCATAGAAGTACTTTCCTTGTTAGAAAAAAGTCAAAATTACTTTTTAACACCACTACTTAAAAAAAGTAACAATCAAAAGAAAAAAATAAAAAAAATCCGTAGTTTAAACTACCTTTCACTCCCATCTCCATGAGTAAGACTGGGCCCGATCCCATCGTCCTTATTAATCGATTATGATAGAACCTTCCCTCATGCTCTTTATAAAGCTGCCTTAACCTCGACTTATCCGCCTTCTCTATCAATGCCATCCTCGTTATCCTCAATTTTGATGACAATATTTGTCGAAGTGCCTGTAGAGCCAAAGGTGGACATGAAACCAGGTCCGGCTTCAAAATGGCAAATGTTTTGGACATCTAGAAAAATCCCAGTTATTGTTACCTTAATTTTGCAATTATTAACATAAAAAAATAATAGAAATGAGAAAAAGGAGACAACCCCGCCCACAATTAAATGATAGACCCCATATATCCAAGATCATCAACTTTTTTCCCAAACTCCAAGCAAAACCGCCTAAAACCATCAAAGATATCTAGTTTATTCCTCCTCTTTACATATCGGGGTAACATAAAGACGAATTAACCTAATGTCACGGCGATTTAGAGCTGATCGACGTATGGGACTTGGTTCACACGGCCGTACGCCGCAACGGACGGTTTCTGGACAATTTTTTGAGCGGCCTTTTTCACATCTTCCACGGAAACTTTGCTGATTTCGGCTGCAAAATCCAATGGCGAGGTTACGGTGGCGTTGACGAGGACATCAGCGGCGGTTTCAAGGGCCAAACTGGCTGGGTTTTCCAACGCCAACAGGGTGTTGAGTTTAGCGTTGGCTTTGGCGGCTTCAAAAACGGCCGTTTCAACGCCTGAAGCGATCTTCTTCAAGCCATCAAAAGCGGCGCGGACTACAGGTTCGGCGTATTGGCCTTCAACAACAACATAAACTCCAGCAAGACCAGTTTCGGAGTGGTTCACATCGACAGCCGAAATTCCGACCGGTCTTTGGTTGGCGGCCTTCTGAACAGTCGCGCCCACAACTCCGCTGCCCGCGGATCCACTAAACTTGACTTCGGCGGCTAAAAGTTGAAAGCAATAATCCTCAAGACTTTACACTCACTTTGTCCAACCAGAGCAGCCAAAACTCTCTGAACAGCAACAGCTTTGGTGTCCTTGAGCCCGGCACCTTCTCCAGCAATAACAACATGAGCGATGCTGGATGGGCCAACAGTTCGAGCATCCCCGCCAAGATAGGGAGAAGGAACAGCGTCTTTACCACGACCTTCAGAAATCACATTCTGAGCTTGGGCGTATCCGAGAAGATCAGAATGTTCAACATTGACACCAAGAAGAACAGCTTCTCCGGAGACCAAACGGGAAGCAGAGAAGGCTTCCAATTGTTTGACGGAGATCTTTCCGACTTCATGGGGACGGGCGTTCACTGAATTGGCCAATGGGCCGTTTCTAAAGACAGAATTTCAAAATATTAAAATGGGCATACCTGTAAGCAGCGCGATGGACAAGGTCAACGACAACATCGAAAGGCTGTTGAACGGTCAAATCAACTGGAAGAGTCTCAGTGGCTTCCTCAACATCCCAAGGCTTTAAGGCGGGCTTGGCAAGTTCTCCAAGAACGGAAACGGCGACGGCCGAACCGTCTCGGATCTAGATTGGACTTGTTAAAAATTTTTTACGTTAACATCGAAAATACCAAATAAGTGGAGACAAAAACCAAACAATACTGAGTCAAATCAACTTACCACATTGGTCTGAACGGCCAAGAAGTCTTTTCCGTGAGAAGCGGTCACATTTCCACCAACTGAACCCAATTGCCAAAGCAATTTCAACCCAAGATAACTGGCGGAATCCTTGCCGAAGTTGTTACGCAAATGATGGACCAAACCATTCTCATCCGGCTGCTGATAACGGGATCCAGCTCTGTAAGCCAGAACAAGTGAAGACACGGGTCCATTCGTTTCGATTGAGGCCACCGAAAGACCGTTGGGAAGACGCGTGACTTTGGTCTCGACAGCGCCCACCAGAGGGCTGGAATGGGCAGCGGCGGCAGAGGCTAGCCGTCTCTGTACCAACGACTTTGATGCCAACATCCTATAGGCAAACCTGAAAGAAGAGGGTAGAAAACAATATTAGCCATCAAAAACCTATGTATAAAACGATATCCGAACATGATTGTAAAGGCCGATTCGAATAAAAATGTAAAGGGCACTATTTGAACATAAACTATTGTAAAAGTACTATCAGTCTGTCGGGAAAATAACGGCGGATCGTCGCGCCTCGGAATCGCCCATCATCGCTGTGCGACTGCAAGCCGCGGCTTGGGATTTGGTGCGCGACAGCGGCGAGGCGAGACATTTCGCTGCGACAATCCGCCGTTATTTTTCCGACAGACTGATAAGTTATACAAAAAATCGACCAAAAACGAGAAAATATCGCAAGAAAAATATACGTGAAACACAACGCCAAGAAAATTTCGGTTTGGCATTCATTGTTTTCGCTTCGATGTACATGTTTTGCAGGTTGCGCGTAAATAACGTCAGAAATGCGCAGCTTGCGCCCAAATTATTTTTGGAATATCGAATGTAATTTTCAATCATCTTTTGCCGAAGTTACTGTTGCGTACCATACTACATCAATATTATCCTTCATCTTTATACCTGAATGAGTGAGGCATGGGATTTTGGTGTGATCATTGCCTCCCAATTGGCCTTCTTCGGTCTCGGATGGGTCTTTTTCATGAAGCAACTCTTTAAAGACTATGAGGTTCATGAGAGATATGTTCAAGCTATCTTCAGCGTCATGTTTGCCTTATCGTGTACAATGTTTGAGCTGATAATCTTCGAAATCATCGATGTTATGCAACCACAACATCGGTTCTTGACGTGGAAGATTGGATTGCATACGATGCTGGTCACACTCATCTTTTTCTTGCCCTTTTTGATTAGTTATTCGTTGGTCAAGTCAATTCGATTGGGTGAGTTTTTATTTTTGTTGGTTTTGGTTTTTAGGTCGAGATTGAAACACAGTTGTCTGAAGGTTAAGATGAATATTGCTTGGAGTTGCTTAGGCGGCAGGAATTGTCGTATTCGTCATGGTTTAGAGGATCTAATTATCTTATGTTTCAGTTCCAATTACATGGATTTTGCCAATGACAATCATTTCTTGGCTTATATTTATCTATTTCTTCTGGAAGATTGGAGATAACTTCCCAATTCTCAGCCAAAAACACGGAATCTTTTCGATAGAACAAGCCATCAGCCGCATCGGGATTATTGGAGTAACAGTGATGGCATTACTCTCTGGATTTGGTGCTGTGAATGCACCTTATACTTGTATGGCCTACTTTGCTCGGCAAGTCACACCGGAAGATCTACAAATTTTGGAGAAGAAATTGAAGCAGACTTTGGATATGATCGTGGTGAAGAAGCGCAAAATGCTGATGAAAGAGATTGAAATTAAAAACAGTGCCTTTTCCAAGGGTGGATATTTGGGTGGAGGACTTTTTAATCGAGTTCTGGGGACTTTTACGAACCGAGGAAGCAATGAGCAGCTAGAGTAAGTTGAATGGGACGTAACATAGGACCTAAACTTATTAATTCAGATACCCTTTCATCATTTTTTGTTTGCTTGGTTTTATATTTTATTGCATCTCGATACGTAATCCGTCAATTTTAGGATAATGGAGTCGGAAATAGCGCCATTGGAGGAGTTTAGTCGTCATTTGTTTCTGGAATTGGTCGAGTTGGACAACATGAAGGTAAGAGTGGTTAATAACGATTAAGTTTTATTGCAATCGCATGTTTTATCGACGTCCGGAGGGTGAGAGATGATGTCCGTGATAGTTTTATGACAAACTTTTATAGTTATGACATAATTCTTGGTCTGGGTAGGGGTCGTTAAGAATTTTATGGAATTTGGAAGATGTGATGAGATGAGAAAACTGTGTGGCTTTGTTTTTGGGAAGTTTAAGCTGTCTGGATGCCATATTTACTTAAAATTATTTATTTCTCATTTGGTAATTCTCCGTTACCGACTATTTTAGATGTCAACCTCATGTGGAAAAAAATTATTTTCCCAAAGATTCTATTTTTTAATTTCAGCTCCGAAATGAATACGGTAAGACTCTGCAGGGCCGATACTTCAATCTGATGGGTTATTTCTTCTCCTTGTATTGTGTGTGGAAGATTTTTATTTCAACGGTCAACATTGTTTTTGATCGAGTGGGAAAAGTGGATCCTGTGACTCGAGGAATCGAAATCGCCGTCCATCATATGGGATTCTCAATGGATGTTCGGTTCTGGTCCCAACAGATCTCATTCTTACTTATTGGCATCATCGCGGTCACTTCAATCCGAGGTCTTCTGATTACAATTGCCAAGTTCTTCAATGCGATATCCAGTCGGAAATCGTCGAATGTGATTGTGCTGGCATTAGCTCATGTAATGGTAAGCTATCTGAGTATTTTTTATTTGTAAATACGGAATATTTTATTCTTGAATTTTCAGGGTATGTACTTTGTATCAAGTGTGCTATTAATTCGGATGAACATGCCCCTAAAGTACCGAAAAATTATCACCGAAGTGCTAGGCGAACTACAATTTAACTTCTATCATCGCTGGTTCGATCTGATCTTCCTCATCGCCGCACTGTGCAGTATATTATTCTTGTACCTGGCGCACAAAAAGACCCCAATCCATCGATGAAAAACATCATCTAGTGCTTAATTTATTATTAGTATTTTAGAGACCGTTCTGTGATATTTTGTTTCACTTATTTTGTTGATTTTTTATTTATTTATAAATATTTAAAAGTATCACAGTTGGAAGGATCACAATTTCTAGGCTTGTTGCGCCAAAAGCTGTTCCCATTTCTGATGCCGTAGAGTCTGCTGGTATTCACGGAACCTCCGTATTGTCTCGGTTTCTTTTACTTTTTGCTCTACGATTCCCTAAAGACAAAAGAATGTTAATCATGATGATTAATATAAAAATTATTCTTACCTGAGTGATAACATGCATTTGATACCTCAAAATAGCCTTGAAAAGGTGTGGAAAGTCGAAATCTGGCCATAGGACATCATCGAAATGAAGGAAACACTCTTTTGTTGAGGTCTGCCACAGCAAAAAGTCGCTGAGCCGTTTTTCCCCCGAGGTCCTGATGAGCATATCGACCGGTAATGATGAGCCTGTGTCAAGAGAGTGGTTTAGGAGGTCTTCTGTGATGTCTCTATAATTTTTGGGCCATAAGATTAAACATTAGACCTACTCTTCTTGAATTATCCCATCATTCTTGGCTTGTCGAATTTTTTCCATCCCTCGAACGATTTCATCCTGTGATGTGTAGGACAAACACACATTCAAAAAAGCTCTAAATTGAAGATAGTAATGATAAAGCAACTAACCGGTCAAAATCCTTTGTGTACAACTCAATCTCGGCCATAAGACATTGAAGTTTGGTGGGAAGGCGATCAAGATTGCCGAAAAATCTGAATTTCACTTGTCGTTCGGCCAATTTCTCTCTGAAATATAATTGAAAATACGCAACTTTTGTAAATACGAATGTTCGGACTTTACGAACTTAAACGCACATAAATCAACTTGATGACAAAGATGAGGTAATGGTTTTTGGCTATCCTAAATATTCGAAAATCAAAACAAGTCTTTACTTTTCTTCCAGTAATCGTGTGAACTTCTGCTCAGCCATCTGGAGCAATCCATCGACCTCTTCTTTTGATCTCTTGAAATTTTCGATACTGAAGGCATAACATGTAATTTCCCGGACGCCTAGTTGATTGCACCAATCCAACACCTATAAAAACTCAATACATTGCAAGTCGGAGAAACAAAGGTTAAACACATTAATCTTCCGTATTCGGACTGGAATTTTATCTAATCTTGCCTTTGTCAGTTGATCGAAACCTCGGAAATGCCCTTTGACAACAGATCCCATGTTGTTGCTATGTGCATAACGCCGATTTCCATCCATGATAAAGGCAATATGCCTTGGTATTCTGTTCAGCTAAAAATAAAAGCGTTTTAGGCGAGAGAACAGTTTTTTGGGCCAACAAAGGATAAAACGCTATAAAATAGATAATACTTTTAGCATTTACAACATAAAAAGTATTTCAGGTCATTGCCAGAGTCTCTTCCTCGAGTTAAAATGAACCTAAACACCAACAAAAAAGATAAAACAACTTACTTTCAAGAATTTAATGGCCATTGGACCCCAAAATGGAACTGGAGCACTCTCACCGAACCAGCCGCTTCCTTCAGCCGAAGTATCAGCATCTTCCTGACGAACTTCCTCAGCCATTTGGATACGTCAATCTACAGAACAACTGGAAGTTCACGACCAAAAAATAATTTTTTATTTCCACCAAAAAAGCCAGGGCGCAGTTCGCAAAGGTAGCTGTTCTTGTTTGATAGACGTCACATACCATGAAACGAAATCGAGAGGTCATTCAGATCAAAGTACAGCCTGAGAGTCATCTGTTGGCCGATATTGGCCCTGTCTTGGGGTCTGATGAGGGGCCGATCTTATCCATGCCACGAGTGATGTCAGCGGCCGAAAAAACTGTCAAAATACACGATTCAAATACCAAAAGCCCGAGTGATTCCAATGTTCAGAGGCAAGAACAGTGCGAGTCATGCGGAATGCTGCCGGTTTTGGATACACGAGATACAAGCGCATGATTACAGCCTTTCCCACTTTGTTGATTTTTGATGAAACTTGATGAATCACTGATCTCGTGATCAAATTCGATGACGATTTCGATTACAATAACAACACATCAGTTCATGATTTCCCAAACTTTTCACGTATTCTCGATTTTCCAGTTGAACCCCCCAATTTCCAAAAAAAGATTCCGATTTCGACTACCCCATGGACAAATTTACTGTCAATGGACGCGAAAAAACAGTGTCGTATGGTTGCATAAAAAGAACACAATATAATTAACGAAGAGAAGATGCATCAAATATCCACAAGATCAGAATTTTTCCATTGTTTTGTTTCCGGCAGAAACAAAAAACATTGTGTGGTTTCGAGAGACGACAGAGAGAAAACTTTGGACATTATAGAAGGAGGAGGGCTGGATGAAATAAAATAGTCTGGTTATTTGATTAAAATTTAATTCAAAATTTAAAACAAAAAAGACGAGGGGGAAATACAAGGAGATTTAGAGGGACCGCAAACTAGAGGTTGTACAAGGGGGATGGTTGGTCTCGCCGTGTACAGACTTTAGCCGATAATTTAGTTGCCTCCAGTCTCTCCCGTCTCGTTGCCTCCTTCCTGCTCTTCTCCGGCGGTGTCACTCGTCCACAGGGTCAGGTTGTCTCTGAGGAGTTGCATGATCAAGGTCGAGTCCTTGTAAGAGTCCTCGTTCAGGGTGTCGAGCTCAGCAATGGCGTCATCGAAGGCCTGCAAGCAAAGGAGTTAGTATAACATATTCTGGAGTTGTCCCACGGCCATCAAATGACCAAAAATAAAAGAAAAACGGGGTTCAACGAGACAGAGGCTAGTATAATAAAATATTAATGCCTCGGTCCGTCTCCCACTCATTCCGTCTTCTCCTCTTCAACACCTGTTTGGCTAGCTGGCACGCCCGGTCGGGCGAGGAGGCAATCTCATAGTAGAAGACCGAGAAGTTGAGTGCCAATCCCAAGCGAATCGGGTCGGTGGGCTGGAGCTGCTTCTTGGCCATTTCCAGCGCAGCCGAATACTCGGCTTCTCCGGTTTGGGCCGCGGCTGAAACCCCAAAAACGATTAGTCCGAAGGATTACCTGCTTGGCAAGCTGGCACGCCTTGTCAGGTGCATTCAAAATCTCATAATAGAACACAGAGAAGTTGAGGGCCAAGCCCAGGCGGATCGGGTGGGTTGGCTGCATCTTGTCCTTGGCAATGTCGAAGGCCTCCTGGTACGAGTGCTGCGACTTCTCAACAACGGCTAAAACAAACAGAAATTCACACAAAAGAATCGATGCCAAAGAAAGCCGCGTGTGAGTGCTCGCAAACTGTCAGTGGTGCTGTTTAGTACTGTTTGGACAGGGAAAAGCAAAAGGAAATTCCTGTTTTAGTAGCGTTTCCAAATTCTTTTATGACAAAAAAAAACAATTTTTAGAAAAAATTTCATTTTCCAAGCTCTTCGGTAAACAAAAACGTAATTTCTCCTTGAAAAAGTATTATTTTCCATCCGAAATCAGTTCTCTAAGCACACTCACATCACACTTTCTCATAATAACAAAGCACTCACCGTTGCGGTCATCTCCGGTGGCGACCTCGGCCAAATAACGGTAGTAATCTCCCTTCATCTTCAAGTAGAACACCTTGCTCTCTGGGTTGCCGGCCTTGGGAATGAGGAACTTGTCCAACAAGTCGAGGACATCGTGGCAAATGTCGCGGAGCTCACGTTCGACCTTCTCGCGGTATTCCTTGGCCATCTGTTGCTTCTTCTCGGATCCTTCGGTCTTCTGTTCGATGGACGAGATCACCCTCCAGGAGGAACGACGAGCACCGACCACGTTCTTGTAGGCGACCGAGAGCAAGTTACGCTCCTCGTTGGAAAGCTCGGAGCCGAGTTCGGTGACCTTCTTCATGGACTGGGCCATGTCATCGTAACGTTCGGCCTGAAAGCAAGAAAAAAATAAAAATATTAGCCTTTTCGCTACATCATCCTACAAATCCCAAAAAAATTTGACTTTCGATGAATTTCGATTTTACACTAGACAAAATAACAACATTTGCAGGCAAAAACTTACTTGTTCGGCCAACTTGGCGCGTTGCACGAGTTCGTCCTTTCCGTCAGACATTGTTTCAAAGTGTTAGAGATTTTAGAACTGAACCTGGAACGGAGTCAAACGAATGAATGAGTCGAAGATCGGAACGCGGCAAAAAGAAACGCGAAAAAACGCGCCAAAGTGGATTCAAAAAGAAAAGTAAGCATTTCGAAGGCGAAAAACTTTCTCACAAGGAGGCGAAAAAAACTATTCTCGAATCTTCGCTCTTTCTTTCCTATTTTGAGGAGTGACTCGCACGACGAAAACGTTCTGTGCCAAAAAGTTTTGGCGTTCTGCAATATTCGGAAAAATCATTTTATTTTTGATAAAAATGGAAAATAAATTGAGATTTTAGTGATAATTACGATAAAAGCAGCGTGAAACTTGCATAGAACACAAAAATCGTTTCTTTCTTTTGAATCAGGATCATTTTTATCTACTACAATATAACTTTATAAATTAATCAAAACCTTTCAATCGAAAAAGGCAGAAACTTTAGTCAAACGTTAATCACACTTTCGTAGAGCTAAGCATTGTTGAGGTTGTAGAAATTTATCCGATTTTTTAAGTGAAATCTGTTTTATACTATGTCTTCTGCGAAACTCGGCAAGAAAACGGTGAAATCAATGCTCGTTGGTATGGTTACCAAAATAAGGCCAATTAAACTTTGTGGAGGCTGTGAAACCCTGCGTAAGATCATTATCCGCTCGAAACGTGGGGCTTTTGTAGTGTTGTACTTCGCAGTCAAAGCGGCGAGGAATATGCGCACAGTGCGTCCTGCGGGGCCAAATGCGGAACGTCCGTCACGCAGAGAGCGCGAATCGGCCTTGTTCGTCGCCTCACTGCCCTCTCCGCCACGCCGCCCCAAGACCTTTAGAGACATCGAGGCGGCGAAAGACGGACTGAAATAAGTCCCGTCCTCTCGTCCGGCGGCTTTTTCGCTCTCAGCCCCGAGAACCACCGACCAGCCCGGGGCTTTTGTGGGGGGCGCTAGTCTCCAAGGCCCTTGAGAAATGGGAGAAGGGGAGAAAAAAAGAGAGGAGCGAAGACTCCGCCGGTCCACATCAAAATCAGAATGCAGCCCGCGGCTCGGATCGCAATTGTCCGGGAATGAGGTCGTGCCCTCTGGCATTTACCCGATCGGCTAGTCCATAGGTCCAATCATCTTTTCGAATTTATTTCCTCACTAATGAAACCATTTCCCGGATGACACAACAAAAAAAGCATGGATAAAATGAAGAAGGGAAGTGTGGAAGAAAAGCCCAGAAAGTGCTCTGACTCATGCAGAATGCTCCTCAATTTCGAATAAATGTTCGATACTCGATTTATACGCAGCCAAAACAACGAGTTCAGCAGGCAGTTGCACTCAATACATATCAACCGATATTATGCTAGACATCCCACGGTCAAAACGAACCAAAGTACAACAAAAACCTATTTCAAACCCATGATTCATATGACATTAGGTACCGCCGGGCCTCGCGCCGCTTCGAGAAGCTAATTCGCGCGGTCTAGCCGGTGTTCCCGGGCATGGGCGCGCAAATTTGCATGAGTGGCAGGACTTGGCCAAAAAGGCGCAGCGCTCCTCGCCAAAGCCAGACCAACCGACTGACGGTTCTGGCAGAAAAGAGAACTGAGGGGTTCGACGGAAGAGAGTCAGATGAAAATGGGGGGTCGGCAGGGTCGGTGGCTGCAGCGCCGAGGCCTGAATGTTATTATTGCGACGGGAAGACGGCGAAAAACGTATGAAAAGAGCGCTCGCGATCTGCGAAGGAGAGTGGAAACGAGAGAAACGAGCGGGAAAGGCCGAGAGAGAAGTGGGGTGCTGAATTCCGGGGACCGTCTGACACAAACAACCCCGCCCCACCCCATTGGGGCCCGTCTCCTCACTGCCGCCGGACCGAAAAACAACGACAAAACGCGAAAACCAGCACGATGGTGCAAAAGTTTGGCCGAAAAGCGATTGTCGACTACGAAATCCAAAAAAAAATGCGCACACGGCCTTGGGCCACCAAGATGATTTCGCATTTTCAAGTTGAAGACGGCCGGAAAGTCAGGGAATTGGCGCCAAATCAAAGAATTCGAATATTCCTCACGAAAATTTCGCAAGTTTTTACCGTAACCGATATGAAAGCGGTCAAAACATCTGGAGTTGGCGAAATTACGTTGTTTTTTGCAATATACGAACATCAGGGAGTAGGAGTGACGAAATTTGTAAGCTTCTTCAGGCTGATGTGTGATTTCCTGGATTAAAAGTTTCTCGAAATTACATGAATAACTTGACGACAAAAGCTTTAATCAGTAGTTAAGCGGCCTATATTTGCCTTTTATGTTCTATAAATGTATTTTTCGCGACTTTTCTGATCATTTGCAATTTCTGTATTCAAATTTTTTGGATTTCAACATAATTGAAATCATGCTTTTCGGAGTTTTTTTGGGTGATTCAGAGAGTGTTTTGGGGTTTTACGAAACGTCCGCAAAAAACCGAGTTAGGATAGCATAAACTCGGATTTTTTCTTTACGGATACTATGCAAATCGGTGGTAAATTGCCTGAGGCGTTGTTGGATGATCGGAGTCTGTGACATCGGTGATGGCCTCGTTGTGCGGTGCTCACATGAATGGTGATTGGGGTCGCGTTCTGGAGGCATTCGGAGAGCGGCAGTTGAATAAGGTCGTCTTGGGGGGTGCTGAATTCCGGGGACTGGCGAGCGAATTTCCATCGGACAGGCGAAGGGGGGCTTGGGAGGGTCGGTCGGGGGGACTGCTCGTGTTGGGGGGCCTCTGCCGGCGTTCATGCGGTCCTGGCGAGGGGCGGGTTCGGCGCGCCTCCATCGTATCACCGGACGTTGTACATGTGCCCGGGTGCTGAGTGTGCGGCCTCCGTCCGTGAGGCCGTCCGGGGGGAAGAGCGAAGCGCGGAAAGCCGGGACATGAGGCGGGCAGTCCCAAAATAAACGTTATTCACATTCTCGCACCGTTTTCCCTCCGTCGGCGGAAGGAGTGCGCCGACAGCGGAGGGGATGAAAAGAAAAAGGAGAAAGTAATTTACACTTTAGGGTGTAGGATGGCTACAGTAGAGCTACATGACTATTGGAAAGGACTGTATATTTGATGTCGAATACTTGAGGTCTTCCAATTTTTACCTGCCCTTTGTTATCATATTATTAGCGACAACAAGGCTTCTTTGTCTTGTCGAACCAGGAAGCCGAGAGTTTATGGATAAGCAGTGGGAAGCCACCGCTGGAAAGTATTATTATTCACAGTTGTAGAAATTGTTTGAACAGCTAACAACCATCCCCTGCCGAAATCTTCGATTTGATTTCTCACCTACGTATTACACTTGGCAAATTGGTCTTTTATAATCTCTCCCTGCGTTTCTTTTTTGGGTTAACGTGTGAATCACGCTTCAAGACAGTTCTTCTTTCTATTTACAGCAAGCAATGTAATAATTTTCTTTTTTATTCTGGCTGTTCTTTAATTACTTCTTTACGTTGTACTATGCAGATAAAACGGATGTAACTGTGTAAACTGAAGGGAAGTTATCTTCATAATTAAGCGTATTATGTTCTTTTCGGCGGATTCTTTGGATTAATGTTCAAATAATCCGGTACAATTAACATTTCTTTGTAAAGATCATGTCCATTTTGATGAAATTAAAAAGAATATTCTTGCGTTTTATAGTCTGAAAAATAAGTAAGTAAATTATTTCTGACAGCGATAGACACCAAACATTGATTACCATTAGTCTCGCAAAACTTTGTAATACCCGGAAATGTTGATTAAAAGGTTTCTTTTCCTTCCTTTGTCCTCCAAAACCGATTCAAATGCAGCTGTCAGGTGTGGCAAAGGAGATTTGGCTGATTACAATCGAAAAAGTGCATTTTGAAAGGGGTTCGGTCTGGAACATGTGACTGGCTTGAAATGCATCGGTTGCGCCGTCGATTACTGTAGCCTGTGGGATTAGCTTAAGGGAAATTTGGCGGCAAAACTCGTGGTTCTTCTTGCCGCCAAGAGAATTTGTATTTTTTGAAGAGTTGAGGACAGATGGTAGTGCAGTTACCTGGCCGAAAACCCCGACCCGGCCTGTTTCAAATTGGACTTTCCACGGCCTGAGAGCCATGTCTACTCCCACCAAAGTCGAATCCCAATTGTACATACGATTAGTTGCTACGGTAAGCCCGAAATACCCTCTATTCGGTTGCTATGACGATAATCCGCTCTCTACTTGCTGCTTCAAATGTTTCCCCTCATCTTGCGGGTGGGTAAACCGAGGTTTTTAAGGGCACAGAGTAATGCCGTAGAAGACGAATAAAAGGCTACGGTCGAGGATTCCGATAACATGGATTTACAAAGGTATTGGCAGTAAAAAGGCGAAAGATTAGGTCTTACGGCTAGATACTAGGAAAGGGCATCGCAATAAAGAAGACCGTCCACCGATATACAAAATATTTTTAGGACAATCAGACTCATAATAAAGCATTCTTTGACAACTGTCTTCGTTTTTTATATTATCCATGAAGGTCGATGTAAGGTCATCCCAAAAACTACATTTCTGCACGAATATTATTTTTGTATTATAACCAGCAGCCGTCCTCCTTTCAAATTAATGCTCAGTATACCGTATTTTGGCCAAAGGATCTTTGTCCTTCTGTTTTTTTCTTTTCCCCGCCACGCAATGGTGATAACTTTGTAGTGTCTGGGTCTGTTGACTTGTCCTTTCTGTTGTCTATAATTTCGTGGTATATTTGTACGTATTTTGTCTACCTTGTTTTGACGGTAAGTGGAGCTTTCGTGGAAGCGCAGAGAGGATCTGTACTATACTTTTCTATTTGGTGAGATAAATTTTGTTTTTAGTAGTTTTTTGGCATCTTGGGATCTCAACAACGTCAATTATTCGACATTTTGATTTCCCGAATTCCCCGATATAGATTGTAAAGCATTACAGGGCTTCCGTTCCCCCAACCGCAGCTAAAATAATATTGTTTTACCCTTAAACGTCCCTCCAAACCTCTTCCTCTCCCATCCGACAGCCATAAACTCCCTCGAGGTCGCTCCAAGCCAAAGAACGTCGCTTTCCCAGAGCACCCGCCGGCAATAACACTCAATTCCGGGGTGTTCGGATTGACATTTAATTCCCCGTTTAAAACATTTGTGCCTCAACCTGAGATCGGAAAACAAAATGCCGGAGGGCCTTGGTCATTCGGTTCGTCAAATGACCTGAGGGCTTCCGGGTCTTGAGATCTCGGCTCGGAGTGCTCCGAAGTATCCGCCAAAACTAAGATCTATAGTCGAGGCGCCCGAAAATAGATTGCCTATTTTTAGGATACGATAATATAATCGGGGGTCTTCTTGGGATTTCGAAACGAGGAGTCAAATGCCTCAATTTCGGCTAATTTCCGGCCCCAAAACAAATGCAAAAAAAAGGCCTGCAAGAGGATCTTGTACGGAACATGGTGTTTTCGGCCGCCTCGAAACGATTGGAAATTGAAGTTGACGGGAAATTTTGGCCGAATTTGGAGGGTTCTCGAGGCCAAGGGGACTAAGCGCATCAAAGGGCATGTTGCAAAACAAAGGCGAAAGATTAACAAATACATAGATCAAAAAAATAAGAAAAATCTTAAAGGCTTGATACAGTAAAACAATTAGAAAGACGATGACAAAATATTGTTTTTATTAATGCATGAAATGAAGTACATGTTTGAATGGATTTTCGATTGTCTTCTCGGCAAACACAGTTGCTACTGCAGTCACAACTTGGACTTCCGTTACTGATGAAGTTGACTTTCCTGAAAGAGAAAAAATTATCAAAGCTTTCTGAGGCATCACAGTAACCTTGAGAGGACATAAAATTGCTTATTTTAAAGTAAAATAAAGAAGAAATTAGGTCATCAAAAAAAAAATTTTCAAAAATATTCCGTACCCATCTCCTTGATCATGCCCATCCACTCGCTTGGTCTTAAAATTCTGAACAGAACAACTCCATCTTCATGAAGGTCTGGCAAGAAATGTAACCCTTTCCCCAACGGCTTGTCCTCTTCGTTCACCGGTCCCTCAGGGTAGATTCTTCCAATCGGCTTTTTACTCAATGTTGGATAAACCTTTCTCGCTTCTTCAAATGATGGATTTGGAAGAATCAGCGGCAAAACATCATCGAATTTTAGATTGAAGTTGTATTTGAAAGGCTTGAGAGTTAGGTTCTGGTATAATTGATACTCGGTTTGATTAACAACTCTTAAGGCCATAAACAGATCGGATTCCGAGTGATTGAAGATCGGTAGAAGATGTTGTTGTGGCTTCAGCGGGTCTCCAGATTTTAAAGTCGCGCCTTTATCGGTGATGATGCCTTCAGGTTTGGAGAGGATATCGGGAATTATCTGAAAAAATGATGATTATGAAAATTTAATCAAACTTATTGCTAACAGAATACGTTTGGTTACGCTTCAATCAAGTTTCCTGTATTTGTCAAATAATAAATTTTAAAAAAATCTCAGAAGACCCAAATTTGGTATCACGAAGTATCAAAATTCCGCTTTTCCTTTGGATTGACAGTGAAAGGTCTCATAGCGATCTTACCTTTTTAATTTCATCGATGTCCGGAGTAAAGTCTGCTCCCAGCAAAAATTTTGGTGATTCTGTGACCTTTAGTTTTGGGGTAACCTTTTTTGTTGTTGTCTTCTCAACCGATTTTATTGTAGTCGTGATACCCTTTTTTGACAATGCTGATGTGGCAGTGATGCTCTTGTTGGCTTTCAATAAGCTTGAAAGGCCCTTCAAATTCAACAAAGTTGTCAGTTCTGATTTTCCAGTAGCTTTCGTACTCTTCTTCTTATCGACCTTCTTAGTTGTTGACTTCAGTTTCTGTGGCGTTGCTGTCGACTCTGTTTGATTTTTGATGGTCTTGTATTGCGTCTGTGTCGTTTTCCCATATTTGTCACCCGTTCCAGCCACTTTAGTCAATAATTTTGTTGTTTTTGCAAATTCCCCTTTACTCTCGGCCGCTGTAATTGTTTTGCTCGACCTTGCAGTCAAACCCAAAGTTGTTTTTCGATTCAAAATCTCTTCCAAATATTGATGACCACTTTTTTCATCCTTTGCAGCTTTCAAGTTCAAATTCTGGGGACCTGTGATCGGAACTACCGTCGAAATTGGTGAAACCGGGGCATCCGTAGTCGTAAAAGTTGTTGTTGTAGTTATTGTGGTAGTTGTTGGTGGGAAAGTTACTGTTGTAAATGTTGTAGTGCTAGTTGTGAAAGTTGTTGTAGTAGTCATCGTGGTAGTTGTTGGTGGGAAAGTTAACGTTGTAAATGTTGTAGTGCTAGTTGTAAAAGTGCTACTACTGGTGCTCATAGTTGTTGAAGGACTCGTAGTAGTAATAATCATCGTTGTGGAGGATGGAAACGGTGTTACTGTAACTACTGGCACTGAATATTGCGGCCCACAATCGATGACTGTGATTGAGCTTGGAATGTTGCAATTGCTCTCCCATGGGTTAATGTAATTTGCGGCCAAATTTGATAGAGAATTACCTGAGGGCATAACTGACATCCCGCCAGAAAATATCGGCTGATTTGGAAGAGCTGGCGGAGAAATATATTGACTTAGAAGATCAGCTGATTGATCAAAGTTAGTGACGAAGCTCGGATAAATAAGCGGATGAGGGTGTGGGCTGCCTGACTGAAGATTTAATATCCCATTATCTCCCAGATTTGGATTTAAATTTTGCCCAGGATAGACAAAAACTGCCGGTTTACCACTTTCTCCCTGCAGCACCAGACGTCCTGAATTCAAATTATTCCAATTCTGGCCGGCTTGAGCTCCCAAAATAATCGTTCCTGGCTGTATTGGGTACCCAGGTGCTCCAGGAATCTGCACTGTACAAGGCTGGTTGGGAATTATAATTCCACCGGGCTGAATTGGCAAATATGGGGAGTTTGGAGTCAAAATTTGCCCGTTAATCGGAACAATAATGATCCCCGGCTGGCCTGGGATGATCACTGTGCCCGGCTGGATGGATATCGATGGCTGTCCGGGCACTAAAATTGGTCCACAAGGAGTCGGGATCAAAATGCTGCAGGGTGAAATTGGGGGGCCAATGGGAGGAGGAGCTTGGCAAGCCGGATTTAGCCGGTTATTTCCTCGGTTTGCTTGGACCATAAGTAAAATATAGTCTCCACCATTAATGATAGGAGGGATATACATTAGTTTAGGGCCAAAAGAAGGCCGAGGGCGTTGACAGCCACATGCAACGAACTGTTGACGATCCGCACAAAGAGCTTGCTGCGCTTGGTAAACGGAAACGTTGATGACTCGATAAATCACATTGCCAGCAGCATCTAGTCCGTCAGCCACTAAAAATCCTCCTTGTGGAAGATTGGAACCGTCAGCCAACGTGATGACGCCTGAGGGTTGAATTTTCCCTAACGGAAAAATTGAATAAAGTTGGCGTTGGCCTTGTTGAATCCATTGTTGTTGATATGTGACCAGTGGAACGAGGGTGTAGATTACTTTGCCTTGACCTGTGATCCCATCGACTTGAAGAACCTGTCCTGGGGGAATTGGAGGGGCAGGAATGACTTGGCCTAACGCCAAGTGTAATATCGGAACCAAAAGAAGAATGTAGGTGAAGAGAAACATCCTGCGGACAAAAATGAAATTATTTGGATGAATTTTAAATAACGGTTAAGGCTCTATAAGATTTACGCGGAAACGTCTTAAACCGGCCGATTAAAAAATAAACCCGAACAGTTTCATGCATTTCAGAAATCATAATCACCTATCATATTCCAATTCGATAACCAGCAACTAATTTTCTCTCCAATTATGCATGATTGGTCTATTACCATATACATATTAAATACATTAATTAAATGCCTATAGAAAGCACGTCGCATCACCTAGCTAAAAATTTACATCTCTTTCTGAGACATTGTGCTCTTTTCTTTATTTTTGTCATTTCCTTTCGGCTATGACAAGAATTATACATACATATCTTCCATGATGAACATCAAAAAATTTATTTTCCAAGGAAACGATGAGAATTCAATTTGACTACTGCTTGGCTCCTTTGCAAGGTTTCAGCTTGGTGGGGTCATGATCCGCGTGGATATCGTACTCGGTATGCTGCTCGGCCAATGTCAAGGTCGAGTTTTTCCTGGGCGCCCCTCTTTTGGACAAAACTTTTGGAGCGGCTTTCACGGTTTTGTTTTTGATCGCGTTGATCTGAAATTTAATTGCAGTAAGGTATCATCACAAAGTTACTTGTCTTCCAACATTCACATCAGTCCGACATCTAACTAATCAACTTACAGACTAATTTATATTGTACACGCCTAGTCTAATAAAATCTGCTCACCTGTTTCTGCGCAATGTCCATCACGTCTTGCGAGGTATCAACAAGATCTCTGATGGCATCATCTCCGCTGACCAGCCGTTCAATATTCAGTTGGACCGACTCTCCTTTCGTAACAGCATCATTTATCCAGAACTTCAACATGGCCTTGCTGGAGATGGGATGTTCATTCACGTCCTTGATAATATCACCAGCTCGGAGATGGACTGCCCCTATACCACTCGGGTCACAGTGGGCTACTTGCACGCGTTCGCGGGCATCATAACGGACTGCGAATTTAAGGATTTCCGATTTTCTATCATCATCCGAATCTTTGGGGATATTGGGGATGAAAAAGTGGATCTGAAAGGAGGTGAAATAAGTTGTGAGAACGATAAGGATATTTGCTGCTCATTTACAAACAATTTTCAATCTCTGAACTTCAAAAAGTCACCGGAATCGTAACAAAAATATATTACTTTAGGTTCGTACTTTCAACCAAAAAAAAATCCCAAAATAATTCCTCCTCAAAAAATTTCTTCCCCCAAATCCCCTGCAAACCTACGGTAAATAGATTGACGGCCCTGCCAGTAGTCTTGAACACCTCTTTATCCAACTGCAACCTCTCCACACTCGCTCCCAGAAACGTGCAATACGAAAAGAAGGCGTGTTTGAACTGAACGATCACAGTTTTCTTCTTCTCCGCCAATTTTTTCGACAAAAAGTCGGCCGTTTTGATCGGCTGACCATCGATGGCGACCAGTTGATCACCAACAAAGGCTCGGTTGAGTAACGGCGAGTTGGTTTCGACATACGTTACGCGAAAAGAGGTCTTGTTGATTCGAGCCGCCAGGGGTTTCGGGACAGAAAATGACTCCTAAAGTACCAATTTAGACGAATTTTATGCTGGAGGGGGCCGGAAAAAATCATAATCCAGAGTGAAATTACCAAGTACTCCGTTGGTGCCGGCAAAATTCGGTAGGTTTCTCTGAGCGACATGGCTAAATCGACCAATTCTGATACGGGACTTTGATGAAATGAGGATGAAGAAGGTTTTTTAGAGATTTTGAAGGACACTTATAATCATTTTATGTTTGATTTTGCTCAAAATTTGCGTAAGTATTTTCCCAAAAAAATCTTAATTTTGAATTTTTTACATCCATCTTATTTTACCGCTAGCGGCCGCCCAAAAAAGGGTATAGCCACAGTAGAGCCGAATGAATTTCTTGAATAAAACTCCCCAAAGTTTTTTTTTACACTACTCTTCTTCATGCTCCATTCTAATCTCACCCAAAACTTCCAATTTGTTCAGCACGATTTTATTTTGATACTATAACAACAAGTATAACATAACATCAAACAAACAGATGGCATTAAGTAAGGAAAACAATTCAAGAACAATTTTTACAGCACCTCAGAGGCTAAATTACATCTAGCTCAAATAACTAACAACAAAAACATGAGAAAGAATGAAAAATATATTAGTTTAGTCTGTACAAGACCCGAATTTAGGAATTATATCTATAATAGATTTCAACCCACAGAAACCTCAATAAAACTCGATTTTATCCTTCTATAGTCCTGCTATAGTCTAATCGGCGGACTTATACGAGCTGTTTTGCCTGCAATAATCGATAAAATTCCTCCATGAATCATGTTGTCTGAGGGCTGCTGCATTTCCGACCACAACCAGGAGTTGCTGGGCTCTCGTGATCGAAGTGTTCAGCCGTAGAGCGCACGCGACAAAGCCGAGTTGTCTGGTTCTTGTGCAGGTCATGAAGATGACCTTCCTTTCCGATCCTTGGAATCTTTCCACCGAGTCAACGGTGAGTTCATCAATGTGTTTGGCCAATCTCTCGTCCTTCTTCAATTCCTCCATGATCATTCTGGACTGGTAGCGGTATGGGGAGATGATACCGATGTCCGTCGCCGCCACGTCTAGATCCCTCATCAGAGCGATCACTCCTTCTGTAATATAGGCCCTTTCCGAGGCATTTCCATACGAATTTCCACTTGGCTCACGCTCCTCTTGGCCTGATTTCACATCGATGAACATTACCGGGAATCCCTGAAACAAATCCATCAATATTTTATTATCTTATTTTAGACTCAAAAAACCTTATTTAAAAAATGCTCTGTATAACTCCAAAAATAATGGTAGTCAATCCTCTGTCGCATTTATCTCCAAAAAACATACCGGTTTCGACAAGAATCCCCAATGTTCCAATTCGGCCTTGAACTTCGCATCTCCACCCGGTCTGAGGGTATTTTGGTAGAAAAGTTTGGATGTGATGTGTACAATGGCGTCGTGGCAACGGAAACATTCTCGAAGTTGGACGCAAATTCGCCTGAAATTGACTCAGATCAGTATAATGATAAACAAACAAACAGTCCTTAAACGTCGTCAATTGTTTCCTTAAAACTTCAATTTTACAAGTGAAAACGATTTGTTATAAAAACCAAAAATACTCCAAAAAAACTCTCTCCCTAATCTCGTTCCCTATGCGAGATTTAACAACCCTCCAAATTTCAAATTAAAACTTATATTGTAATACTTACTTATCCCTCAGATACTGTTTGTTCTGCATGAATCTGTACAACGGCGAAATAAACTTGTCGGTCATGTACTTGGGGAGGTTTAGAGTTATTACCGGTCCCAGTTGCTTCGGATCTCCACATAGGACAACAGAAGTTCGCTTATCGGCCAGGCCTCCCAATGGGATCCAAACTTCGGCTTCCGATGCCTGACCTGCTTCATCGATGAGGATGTAACTGAAAGATCAAGTCCATCAGAATTTCATAAACCCATTTCCAATTCAAATATCTCAAAGCATAATTGAAACCTACTCAAAATGTCCTCGAGGAATTAAGTTGTTGATCAGGTGGGTAGAGCAAGCCAATGTGGACACAATCACTCGCTTCTGCATCATCTCCAACCTCGACGGAATGGTAAACTTCCGGAGGGCAGGGTGGCTAAAACAAAAAATTTATACACAATAAAAACCAACACAGTTATGGTTTTTATATTACACTTACACCGAGGTGATTTTATCAAATTTTTTATCACGTTTTTCATAGTCCGTCGCACAGGAGAACATTCTCAGCAAATTTTGTGGGTACAAGACGTCATTATACGTCCTTCCAAAGTGTTCCATCAGCTTTTCCGCGACTCGGTTTGCGGCCATGTTCGACGGGGTGCAGATCAAGATTTTGGTGTCCGGATTCTTCTTCAGCAACGTCATAACTAATGCCGAAATAGTTTCCGTTTTACCTGAAAATATGCCCAATTCACTACTGTTCAAGATTAAATTCAAAAATCCCAAAAAATAAAAAAAAAAAAAATTTTTTTAATCACCATGAGGTGTCCAAAACAACATAAACCTGCTAAATCTCCCAAAATCCTTACCCGTTCCAGGCGGGCCATACAAAATAAAGGGGAATCCTTCATTGGCTCGCTTTTCAACCGCATAAACAACAGCTTTTTGTTCATCATTCAGGAAAGAAAGATGTTTTTCGTTGTTGTACTTGGCAATAGCACTTGGCAAAGCGTCAGCGTATTCTTGAAGCCCCTAAAACATCCACATTAGGTTCAAAAAACTCTATAACAACATTTGTCTTTTACTTACGCGTTCTCCTGGATGGGGCATCAAAACGGAGTCAATGAGGCCCATTTTAACACCTTGGACGGCACACAACATTGCTTGTGGGACGAATTCATTTGGCTCTTCGAAGATGTCGACTTCCATGGAAGTAACCGTGGTCAACTGATTGGTCAGCTCCTCAGACATCTTGTCCGTCTTTATGATGATTTCTTGATCCGTTTTTCGGACTACATATCCCTAAAAACCAAAGCCTTATTCCACTCATCCAAAATCCGACTATTCCAAAACTAAACCTCAACAAAAAAGTTCTTCACAAGACTAACCCGGAACAGCAAAATCCCTTCTCTGATGATACTGAGCTGGTTCACTCTTGCTTGTGGTGGTCTGAAGTCGGCGCTCTTCTTTTCTTTAGGTAAGGCCAAGGCGAAGTATGTAATCACACCCCTCTTTTCTTGCTTCCCTTCCATATATTTGACGACTTTGTGTTCCTTGTAGCTAAGAATGGCTCCGAGAAAGACTGGTTGCCGACTTTCGATGATTCCTTGGGCCCAATACAAGCAGATGATTCCAATTTGCTTCTGGATAAGGTCTTCCATAGAGGTCTGTTCTCGCATTAAATAGTCGTACAAGACCTGAAATCAATATTACGTAATTCTACTTTCGTTTCACCCAACTTTCCGTCAAAGCAAAAATAAATTTCGAAGAATTTTCGAAATTACATTAGATTGATCAAGTATGATATTAGAAACAATGCTTACTCTGCTCCTTTTGACGGCTTCTTCATCAATCCTTCTCAAACTCGTTAGATATGCATATTCACTCGGAAACCGTGTATCCACTTGCACGAATGACCTGAAATGCGAAATTGTACTTTACTGTGGTAACAAGAGCCACAAATCCAAATTATAACCCTAATCAAAGCGTTAAGCCTTTCAAACCCATATAATAAACACAGGAATCATTCCTAGAAGAATGACAGCATTTCATCAAATTTTTTACAAAATTTTGGCATTTGTATAAAGTCTTACCATTGTTTTTTCAATGCCACAATCGGCTTAAAGAGCTTTCCAACGAACTCGGATACAAAGAATAGTATGCAAAATATAACCCCCCAGACCGGAGGCGGAGCAGCAGGAATTTGTTGAAAATGTCTCCCACGTCTCACAATAGTCATCTCAAATATACAGATTCAGTCAACAAAATTCTACACACAGATCCTGGCACGCATAAAAATAATAAATATTTTTTTGTGACAGATAACACTGATCCTTTCCTCGAAATCAAAAGCTACCGGCAAATGTTTTCGAAAAACAATGCCGGTTTTCCTAGCGGGGATATTACCCTACCGCGAAGCTATTATCCATGACAAATGTGATCCAAATCCTTATCTTTTAAAGGTAAATTAAAAGAAAAGGGCCCAATATCTGCACCTCGGACATTACCAGAAAAATGGAACAACGTTTTCGGATCGATCTGCATTTTATTCCATCCATTCTCGTGTTTATTCCACACACCTTCTTCTCTCTACACAATTGATTCAAACAGAAAGCGGGGACAAAGTGAGAAGGCGGGAAGCGAAGAAATTTACAAGATGATTAATCTCTAACTTGCCAAATTTGCCTATAATAAGCAATCAAATGCTTCAAAACCTAGTTTAGAACATCTGCTCCCCATTTCCAACCATTAATCTGATCAAAGCCCTCATTTTGGAACTGTTTCATCCCACCCAGTCCCTTGCATTTACCATTTCTGTTCCTTTATATTAATCGTGGCTCGTTTGAAATCCTCATCCAGTCGACTCACATCGTTTACGCGTCTATCTTGCACAAAAAGTTCGCTTCTCGCTTCTGAAGCTCCACTCTGCCTCGAAGCCGGCCATCTGGACCTGATTTCGCTTCTCTGCCAATGTCCAATTTCTACCAAAAATGCTTCATAATCTCTAGATTCACGTTCCAATCTTCGCTGAGCTGGTTCCTCATACACTGAGCCCTCCGAGCAGCAAGCGCTAGTACAATTGCCCATATTTACTGCTACCTACTTTCTGGGACCTTGAATCGTAAGCTTTAAAATCCCGTTGAGAATCCACGACACGCAAAGACGACCATATAGCCTAACAAAAAATATACTATTTAAACAAATCGAATCAATTCTTATTCCAAGTCCACTTTACCCCTAAAAAATAAATAGCTGTTTCGCCAAGCTATTTATTCTTTCGGAAAATTTTATTTTCGCGACCTGCGTCTGAGGACGCAGACTGCGCAACTACTTTGCAAATTTTATCACAGCAATCGTTCCAATTTGACACTGGACTAACCAGGAGACCGCGCAGAGACCTAAAGTTCCCCACAGCATCCGATTATTCCCAACTAGCATTCGAGATCTAACTCAGTATAAAACTTTCTTTTTCTGTCATTCTCCTTGCCATATTTCATTTCCATACCCTCCAGTCCCTCTAAAGACAATCAGACTTACCCATTTTTCTGCTTCTGTACTTCATAGTCATCATCCCACCAATTGGATTTTTTCTCCTGTTGATCCAAGTTGGTGGACTGCATGAGATCCAGGAGTTCATCAAAGTTCTCGTGGTCATCCATCATTTCTTGTTTTACTTGTACTCGATCCCAGCGAAAACCCTCGGATTCACTCTCATACGGATTAGAGTCAAGTTTTAATTTCTGAAAATAAAATACGATCCTGAGGCATTCTAAAATCTTCTATACGCTGTGTACGTTGTCTACCATCAAATTTCGCGATCAAAAATTTAGAAAAGGCTCAAACTTTCATCATAAATTTTTTTAACGAAATATAAAAGATGATTCATTTACCCACTTTGGATTATCCGTTTTCGTTATTTGCAACAACAGCTATCGCTCGAACAACGTCTGACAACGAAGATGAGAAACAAAATAAGTAAAAACGAATGTTTCCGTCAAAACAAAAGTCGATCAAATTTGCATAAAATCGATAATTTTCGAAATTCGAGAAGAAAACGAAATCAAAACAGTTTCATGTCGATGCTGATGCCGCAAAAAATGCAAAATTTACCTTGACTCCCTCCATTTCGGCGTACAATCCATCTAGGCCGTCGTCTGTCATGATGGAATCGACATCAGAATCATCTGTAATTTCACCTTCTTCCTTGACTTCCATCGGCTCAGCCTGCTGCTCCACGGTCTTTATGAGATTCTGAACCCGTTTATAATCTTCTCCGAGGCTATCTTCATCATCGGTGAGGAATTCGTTATCACTAAAATATTGCACTATAGAACATTTAAAAATGTGTCATAACTTTTGAATGCCTTACCGAAACAAAAAAATCAAACACAAAATAAACTAGGCACGTTAAAAAATAGTTTTGCCATAAAATCTCCCATCTACCCCCTTCAGATTTCTCACAAAATCGCCCCGGACTTACTTATTGCGATATGTGGTAAAGTTCCCGTTTTGCTGTCTGTTCCTGAGATCGTTATTTGTTGGTAAGCCGTTTAGAATATGATGGGTAGCAGACGAGGTCGGCCCGCTCTGCTCGTTACCCATGGCTGCAACTTTTAATTACTGATGTTCATGCCATTACCATCACAATATTCATATGGAATATAACCACAAATCAATTCAAAAAACAGAGGCTTGCGCGCAATAAAACTACACTTTATTCAATGAGAACATGGTGATATTTACATAGTTAAATCAAAATTCGAATAAAAAAGTCATAAATATAATAAATACAAATAATGTTAAAAAAACTGCCATAAAATTAAAAGCAAATGTGTGAAACTGTAATCATATGAATTATAATACCGTAAGTTCTTCCAAGACGAGCATGTTTCAAAGTAAACACTAAGATCCCCCAAAAAAATAAAAAATCCGACTACAACAGCCAAAAACAAGGTAAAAAAATGTCCATAATACCAGTTTTATCGCCAGTCTGGATCCTCATCGCCGATATCTGGCTCCAAGTCAACATCAAACTCGGTACCAATATTCTGATCTCTTTGAGTTTCATCATTCGGTTGGGTATCAAAGACAAGTTTAAGGTGGGAATCCGAGTGAGATGAGTAGATATGAACCTGTCGCAGGGTCGCTTGGCTCTCAGCTTGTTCTATTTGAAAGTTCGAGGTTAAATAGTACATATAAAAATTGGATGGGATCACATGACCTTCATCTTCTTTGTCTTTTCGAAATTGCTCGGCTTGAGCGGTTTGTCGGAGGTAATAGCTGAGATGTTTAACTGAAAAAATAAAATTCTCCATCTAATACATCATAATCTAGTTTCTTAGCAATCAAAAACAGACAAATCCCGCATGGTTTTTCCTAATCTCCACATCTGATAGCCTAGTATAATATAATCTCTCTTACTTGTACAATCCAAGGTGGTTTTGATAAACCTCGGCCTTCGCACCGACGGATGAATGTCCAGTCTCTTTCTCAGCGACTTTGCCGGAGCCAATTCGAGTTCAATATCTTCGGAGATCAGTTGGGAGGACGAGGTTTCAGGTATCTAAACTTAGGTAATCCAATACATCGATTGTCATACCATATTCAAGTCATCCGGAGATCCATCACGGGCCTGTTCCAGATTGAGATCTGCCAATTTGTCAACACTATTCTGCAAGGAGACCTCTGGTTTCCGGTGCTCTCCATCGTCTTCCGTACTTTTACTACTGCTGTCGAGATCACTCGAATCGGTGATTGAGGACGATAAAGAGCTGGTTTCATCTGCAAAAAAAATTTAACTCTTTGCAAGCAGAAGTTTTAGTATTCTCCGCCTAAAATTAAACAAGATAATAAAAAACCTTACCAGTATCATCGGAATCGCTTGAACTTGCGACGTCCTCTTCTTGAGACTGTGGCTGTGATTCGTCCATGGGCTCGAGAGTAGAATCATCATGATTTGTTGGGGAAAGTTCAGGACTTTCTTCTTCCCCATCTCCATTTTTCCTTCGCTTGCATTTTTTCTCTGAAACAAATACCCAGGGTTAAGAAAATGCATCAACAAAGAAGAAACAATCACTTCTATAGCAGCCAGTTTTCTTACTTTCATAATCATACGATCCCACAACTCTCTGCCGCCGATTCTTTGCTTGAGCTTTGATGCCAATCTCGATCGATTTCTGAAGCGCTGCAACTGAGGTCTCAGCTTGATAATGCTGCAAGGCAGCACTCTGCATCTCATCATAGAGCCTTCTCTCTGGCCATAACTAAAAAATCAAACAACAAATTTTATTCTCTTACGTTGTTGATCAAGATGTCCATGTTCTCATCCGGTCGCAGAGACCTCTTCGAAACGATCTTTTTTCGACATGTAGGACATTCTCGGTTATTTCTCAACAAAGCAGTCGAAATGCACTCGGAACAGAAGCGATGAAGACACTCCTAAAAAAAAAATAAAAAATAAAATGAACCTTACTTTAGTTCCCATTGTTGAGGTGAAAAGATCAAGGCAAATTGGACAAGTAATCTCAGTGGAGAGAGTTCTCGAGCCCAGCTTGACCATGGTGTTGTCTGTGATCGCGGGATGAGGCTTTCTTTGCTGGAAACAAGATTTGTATTGTACTAGAAGAACAATCCTTACTCTGTCATAATCGTTCAATTCCAGAAGTTTAACCCCTGTTATAGTCTCTTGCGCTGCTGGTCCGGCAATACTGTTGCTCATAATGGCAGTTTATGGAAGAAATCTGCAAGTTTTCAAAGGATAACACCAAAAAATCGGCAAAAAGATTAAGTTCAGGGTATTAAAATAGGAAAATAACAATATACAAAAAAAAATTAAAAGTTTGTACCTGGTCTAAACAAAATTTAAAGACAATAAGCAAGTTCTACCACCCAATTCAGAGACTTACATCTAATTTCGACGCAAAAAAATGGAAAAAAACTTAAGGAGAAGAGTTGACACATAATTTGCGAAATGAGTCAACTCTTTCTCTTGGTTCGAAAAGGTGGGGTTACTGTAGCAGAGTTATAAAAACGACGGCTTTGAAGGCAAATAGAGACTAGACAGAAGGAATATCAGTATTCTGAATATTTCCTTTACCGACTTTAAGATTACGCAATCAAAAGCAAGGGTATTTGATGACTCACGAATGTCTCCATCCCGCCAAGCAGCTACATACAATATTTCTGGTTCGCCATGGATATTAAACGCCTCTCTGACCAATTTCATGGATTCTTCTTTTACCTGGACAAACATTTCCTTTTCCCTTGTGGCTAAATTTGTCGCTACTTTTATATTGCGTAATATTGTAAGAAATGTCGTCGCCGAAACCGGGCAGGAAAAAGATCACGACAAAACGAATGGATATTAAGAGTGCCGAAGGCAAATTGTTGGCTACTACTCTGCAAGTGGGTTAATTTTTGGGGTTCTTTACATAATTTTTTTTAATTGTTTTACGATTTGTGTTTAAAAAGGGGTACTGTTTTTTTTTTGAAATAAAAAATGTGTTTTTACTATCATTTGCCGTATTTCACATCTAATTACGTCATTCCCTCTCCAGAAAACCATAATTTACCTCGATGAAAAAGGCGCTTCCGCTATTGACCCTGAGGCGTTATGGCCATCAATGGACTCCCAAACTACTACAACTAAATCTCCACCGGATTCCAATGACAAAACCATAAAATTTACCGACTCATCGAGGTCTCCCTACCAGTATGGACAGAATTATGAGAAGCTCCCGTTGCCTCCAGAGCTCCCAAATTCCCAACTTTTTCCGCTTTCCGATTTTCATATTGATGGCAGCAGTAGAGGCTATTCTGAGGGGAATTCCGATGTAGATTTGAGGAAGTCTGAGTACATCAAATTTATTGGGAAAAGAGATTTGGAAATTGGAGGACATCGGGAAAATAGTTTCGAGGAGAGAAAGGGTGAGTGGTAGTGTAAAATAATATGTGGTTATGGTCTAACAGGCTTCAAATTAAATGCCTATATTGCCACCTCAAATTTGGCATGCCTTAGCTAAATCTAAAAATTAAAAATCGACATTTTTATATATTTTTACCCATGACATTTTCGGCCTATTTTAGAGAAAAACTTTATCTGCTAATTATGTACTGTAAATAACTGCAAATAGCATTTTACACCTTCAGGGACAATTCGCGGCAGAGCAATCCTAGTGAATAGACAAGAAAGAGAAGATCCATTACTTATCCAGCTAATCATCAATGATATTCAAGCCGAAAGACGGCTGAACCATGCTCGCGAGTTTACAGTCGATGAAGTTCTCATGAGGACAGCAAAAGAACTTGCAAAGGAAACCTTGGATCGGCGAAGAATACGGTTAGTGATTACATACTTTATAATATTTAATTTTCGGTTAGATACAGTGCCGGAATTTAGTAATCATTTGCTTTAGACTAAATGGAAGGGAGTCGAATATCTGGATCGGCGGGGCAAATGTGGAAAGCAGGAAGGTTGTGGACGAATGGAGTCGAGAAATGGCGATTTCAAGGAAGAATTACTTCAAATCGAGGGACTTTCATCTGATCGGAGTTGGGATGGCGACCGATGAAAATGAAGATCCGTTGACCGTAATTGTGGCCTTGTATGAATAAAAAAGCTCTTTTTTGTCTATTCCCTCAATAACAGCGAAAAAATCATATTCGGAGCACGTTTTTTGAGGGTTTGATAACTATAAATCATGACTGACATCCAGTATAATATAAAAGTTTATAACCTAATACTCAATCTCCAAATCCTTTGAAATATTCGTGCATTTAGTCTCCAACTCCACTATCTTTCGTCTCGCAGTGAAAACGGGTCTGATGAACGCCTTCACATAAGGATTTCCATTTTTGCAACAAGGGTTCCGACTAAAATAAATTCAAAATTAAAAAAAAATTGCAAACAACTCACAATATCATGAAAAAGTGGGGTAGTTCGAGGACAGACCATCCCCAACTCTCCAGATGAAGAAACCCTTTGGTCGACGTTTTATTCATCGCGGAATAGGTATGCCAGCTGTAAGAGCTATTTTGATATAGTTCAACCGACTGAAATTAAAGATTTTTTGATAATAACGGTGGTTTACGGCAAAGGAATAGGTCATTACCAAGTTTCTAACGGGCTCTCCTTTGCATTTGAAGAAGAGGTCCAGGTATACTTCTCGTACATAACATGAACATCCAAAAACACATAAAACAATAAAGAAAACCTGCCGAATCATTGTAAAATATGTGCCAGAATGCGTATAAATTTTGATAGAAGACTTATCTGAATTAATTTTATTCAAATTTGCCCATTTTCGGATTTTTGATTGGCGCCCACCACGAAAACAATAAAGTCTTGGCATTGTGCAATAAGCGAATTTTTAGCATTTTCCCGTTTTGAAATCGCAGCTTGTGCAAAATCCAAGAAGCTCTCGGCAGATTATTGTAATTTTTTGTAGAAGGATAATGTCAGCCATCCAGCCATTGAATCCGAAGCCATTCCTGAATCAACTCACGGGAAAGCAGGTCATCTGCCGACTTAAATGGGGCATGGAATACCGAGGTAGGGTTGTTTCGTTGCGGAATTGTGTTGTTTAGATAGATGAAGACATAAACTAGCGATATGAGCAGTTGTGAACCTATCAGTTCAACGTCTTCCCTGAATTTTTGACGATATATCCAAACTTGCTTCAGGTTTCCTAGTCTCCATCGACTCGTACATGAACCTCCAGCTGCAGAACACCGAGGAGTACATTGACGGTGTGAATACTGGTGTGTTGGGCGAAGTTCTTATCCGCTGTAACAATGTTTTGTGGGTTTCTGGCGTGGATGAAGATTAGTTGGTGATCTCTCGAATTTGTTATTTATACTTTGCATTGTTCTTCAATTTAATGAAAGTAAACGTTGATAATTTTATGTGGAGCTTCTTTTTCATTGGTCGGACTGAAGTGCTGTCCAGAATTATATTAAACATGAGGTCTTCAAAAAAATTGTTGCAAAGTGTGAAAAGCAGCACAAAAAGGCATAAACATGAATATGTAATTTGAAAACGGCGGAAACATTCGTATTTTACATTCAGTTATTTACATTCGAACTTCGGTCAGGTCCGACAATTTCAAGGATTAAGTTCGAAGGACCTTGAATACTTTACTGTAGCTTATTTTCCACTCACTCTGTAACAGATGACCCGCTGATTCGATCGTTTTGTTATTCAAGACTGAAGAAGAAGGTCGGACTCCATTTTTTGGCGCCATTTTTCTTTTCGAAAGCTTTGCACTCCAATTTTCGTGAAAAAAATTCTTTTCTTTTATTTGGAAATTTTAGATGTTCCTCTTGCTTTACCGTGAAAATATCCCTGTAAAATATCGAAGTTTAAAAAGTAAAGTAATTTCAGGGTTATGCCACCTCGAAATATTGAGATCTCTCCGCCTTCTTTGATTTCTTCATCTCAATCCAAAAATGCCAGCTCAAGGATAACATTTGCGGTGAAAGAGACCGAAAAAGAGGTGGAACTCCGTCAACAATGTTTGGATCCGGATCCTAGAGTTAGAACGGAAGCTATACAATCGTTTGAGAAGATGTGCAAGGACGGGAAAATGATTTCAATCGAGAGTTATTCATTGCTTTCGGAGCTGTCTACAAATTCGGCCAAGAATGTGAGACTGAGTGCGCTGCGATTGGTACAACTGTTTGCGGAGAGATATCCTGAATAGTTAGTTGATTTTGAATTATTTCTTTTGGATTTTAGGTAGGACCAGGGCTGTGAAGGGGTGATATTACACTTGATGCCTGTTTATAGTATTGCTATAACTTTTGACATTGTTGGCAAAATTGGATGGCTTTGGTCTTAAAATACTCTACGATCTACGTAGGGAATATAGTAGTTTCTTTGAACTGGGCCAAATAAGCTGCAGAACTCACACGATTATATTTTCAGTCAAGTCAAAACCGAACGAGGATTCCAAATCCGTCTTCATGATGATGCTTTTGTTCAAGTGTGTCATGCCGTAAACGACATTGAAACTGAAGTCCGCGAAGAAGCTGCCCGACTTCTTGGTCTTTTCACATGCGTCTCAGATCAGTTTCTTGAGCAAACCCTGGATAAGAAGGTCATGAAGACAATGCAATTTGCATATGACCAGAATAAACTGCAGAGCCAGACCAAGTTTAGGCCTTCAAGTGGATGGTCGGTGGGAAAGAAGCTTGGTGAAGATGTGCCTGCCGAGATGGAGGACGACGAGAAGGACGCCATGATTCCGATGGGAGCTTGCGGGGCATTTGTTTCTGGTCTGGAGGACGAGTTTATGTGTAGGTCCAGTTTTTTTGATGATCATGTTCAAAGCATAGGTTTTCTGAAGATTCTGGTTTGATGGTTTTACAAAAAGTTGATGTCGTTATGAAGGTCCATTTTAGCTGTCCGTCAAGCAGCCGTCTTCTCCCTGGGCCGTCTAGCCGCCAGCCGGTCGGATTTTGCCCGGCTCTCCATCGACCATCTCGCAGATATGTTTAACGATGAAATGCAACAAATACGACTAGATGCGATCAAGGCAATGACCCCATTGATAGTTCATGGCACACTGGAAAGGGAACAGCTACACACAATATTGAGCGTTTTGTCAGACGCCATCCCAGACAATCGCTTGGCCTTACATTCTCTACTTGGAATGGCTAATTTCGCCGAGTATTCTTGCATTTTGCAAGTTATGAAGGCCTTGCAAGACTCGATGAGGAGGTTCCCGAGGGATCGCGATTCCATTTTTAGGTAGGAATTTTGCGATGGGCCGGGTTCATGAGTGATATAACAATATCGGGAAAGTTTTAATTTATTTTATTTCAGCTGTCTGAGTAAGATTGGCCATCGGCATGCCATTTTTGTCCAGCCATTGGTACCAGAACTTCTCAATATTCACCCGATTTTTGATGCTCATGAACAAGATGTTAATGATGATTTTTGTAAGGATTTTTGTTTTGAAATTTTATTATTATTGTCTTTAGATCTTTGCAATCTGATCCTAGTACTGAACGCGGCTCATGTCCAGCCTCAGATATGCTCCTTGATACCAGAATACATCATTAAACATTATCGATATCTAAGGCATTCAAGTTTGGAATTGATCCCGGAGATTGAAGCGTTTGAAAGGCGAAGGGGATCTACACAGCCCAGTTTTAGCAGGAATAGCCTGAACATGAAGGCTTGTCAGGAAGGCATCATAAAACATCTTCATCTTGTTTATCACCGAATGTTCGAAGCTTGCTCCAACCCTGATTTTGAGGATAAAATGGAACTTCTCAAGATTATTTTGAAGTAAGAGGGAGTTTTTTGTTTATATTTTTGTGTATGTTTTTTATGAAATCTTTTTTTTATCTGGGATGACCTAAAAATGTGATTTTGGCATAAGGTAATGCCAAGTGTAATAATTGTGAGTTACTTTCAGAGACCTAAAGGTAACAGACAATAGTGAAGAAGGGTTCTCTTGCTCTCTACAATTTTTGAAGCACATTGGAGAAGTAATTGTAAATTATAATTTGTGCGCTAGAAGGCAGTATGACGAAGGAAATGTGTTGAATATCATTGAAGAGGTGGGTTTAGAGTGTTGAGTTTTTTTAAAAGTAGTTTCAAAGCATGGTGAAGATGAGTAATTTATTTTTGAGTTATTTGAGCACCTAGGGTTGTAGTTACGACCATTTTCTACGATAGCGTACAAAAAATCGTCATTCTTATTTCCTGGAATCGTAAATTTTGTGGGATGTAAGCCTATGGCTGTAGAAAAAGCTCTATAATTTGGTTTAAAATTCTTTATTTCCAGTGTATGACAATAATTTCCCAGTTGAAAGTGCTTTTCTGTGGAGTTGACAAGCGAATTCGCGCATTCTTGGCGGAAATCGAATTTCAATTGCAATTGTTACACCTGTTCAAGAAGATGGGCCTGGATCAGAATTCGGATTGGGCTGGAATCAACCAGCTTGTCGAAGCTTTGGTCTCAAATGTTCAGACGTAAGAATGTATATTGTTGCAGGGGATCTGAAAAATATTTTAGTTTTTCTGTTGGGTCTTGAAAAATGTAATGGAAAGGTGAATATACTACGTTAGTAAGGGTATATTTAGCCTTTGGTTAGTATATATTGACCTTTTTAGGACTGTCTTTGTTGAAATCTTTCATTGTATTTTTTGCAGTCAAGTCATCGAGCTAGAAGTTGACCCTTCCCCATCATGCAGTTCCCTCTGCACATGGCTAAATGAGTTCACAAAGACTCACCAGGACACTCCAAGAGACACCAAGCCCCCAAAAGCGAAGAAGCTAGCCATTCTACCACTATTATCAGCATCGACTTCAAAAGTAATTGAGGAAGTCGCAAAAAATCCCATAAATTTGCCTCCATTGAGCTTTGACCTAGCCAGACTGAGGAGAAAATCATGCACGAACCTAGAGTTTTGGCATGCTGGGAATTGGCTGAGTTATGAGAATGGGACGCTGAGATTTGTGGCTGGTATCCCGGCTGGACTGGATGTTTATTCGACCTTGTTTAACTTGGAAGAGCAAGATAAGAAGAGGTTTAGAGTTGAGGTGAGTGGTGGGAGTAGTTTAAGAATCAGTGAACGTCCAGGCTTACTGTAAATTAAAGATTTTTTCGAATTGTTTACGGAATTGTCGCTATTTTTTTAAAAAGTTTGAGAAGTCGTGGAGAAGGTAAAGTTGAGTCAGTTGATGTTCGTATAGCTTGGTAATAACATATTTGACAAATTATTCATTACTTGAAACAAAATGTTTAGGTACGGTACCCAGACAAACGCCGCTATTACCATCAACCAGTCCCATCCGACTTCCTGGAACTTGCTGATCGCCAAATCCGATTTCAAAGCACAGTCTTCATAATTTCGGAGGAGCCCTGGGCTGTGGCGTCGGATGTGCGGTTGTCCTGTGGACTGCTGATCGACTCGGATTTGGATGGATTTGCCTCAAATCCAGACGAATCCAAATCTTTTGTCCCTCTAATGAGTTACAAACATCCGGCGAGGGAACAGTATTCGGAGCTCAGAATATTCCCAATGACTCGATGTTAGAATTGAAAAAGGATTTTGGGTTGATTTTCAAGTTTAAAGGATTTTAATTTATATTATACTAGACACCTTGGTGAAAATTTGGTCTGAAAATTTGGATGACGGTGATATTCTGAAATTATTGTAATTATGATGTATAGAGAATATAAATTTTTGATACCATTTGCAACTTTTTCTTGATTTATGTTTGGTTGAGACCAATTATGTTATACTTGTTGATTTTTATATTTATCTTTTTCTTCTTGGTTTTGTTTTGGTGCGTTTGATTGTGCAACTTGGTAACAGACGTCTTATTTATGATTTTTAATTTTTTTTTCGTTTTAGCCGTGGTTTTGTCCACTTAACATTTTTGGATTTTACGGGTTTCCGGAAAGATTTTGGCTAATACGTAGTGGAAATGAATGTTAATGGAGGTAAGTGATGCTTTAATATTTGTGTTGCCATATTTTTTTTTACTATTTATTTTGATTTAGCGGTTAAATAATCTTTTGATTTTACATGTTTGACCAAAAAATTGTCATGAATAATATAAAAATTAAAAAAAAATGTTTCCAGGTTTCTCCAAGTCCAACGAGCCCCCCTCAATTCGACGTTGCCATGAACTGAACTGCCCATCCACGCATTGCCATCACAATAGTAATGAAGCCAGGCCGAGAATCATATCCGCTCCGAGCAGCCCAATACCTCAACGGCCGGTCATTTATTTGGATCAAATATCGCGAGGGAAATCATTTACAAGAAAAGAAACTCAACTGTCGTCAAATGGAGAAGGATTTGAATGGATGGAATTGCCAAAAAGCCCCAGGGGAATGAAGTCGCCGGGACATACACCAATGAGATTTCCGAAGGGAAAAGAAAACGATCCTGCACTTGAAGGTGGGTTAATCGGGTTGACAATCATAGAATAGGATGTGATAGTTATGTTAATTAATGTTTGGTAGTATATTAAGTGCTAGGTATACGTTTTTAGATCATTTTTTATATTGTACTGGATCCTTTTTAAAAAATATTTTTCGATTTTTTTAAACTTTTTATATTACTTTTTGAGGTTTCAGATCGTATAGACTTTGATGCCACCCAAACCATTGAACCAGACCGCGATCTCACCCCAACATTGCCCACAACACCTATGGGCACACTTAAACCCTCCGGTTTCTTCAGCTCCCCACCCGAATTACAGAAGTCCGATCTGTTGGCTGAGGTCTGTAAAAGCCTAGAAAGAACTCAAGACACCCTCCGAAAATGCAGAACTCCAGTTATGGAGGAAGGAAGAAGCCAGTATGATTTTAGGCATGAGAAGCCAAATGATGAACGAAAGAGAGACAACACATCGCCAGTGAAGGCCTCCAGAACCTTGAGATTCGACCCCAACCCTCAGATTAGAATGAGAACGAGCAGTGATGTCAGCAGTGAAGAATGGGGTGCCCAAGGGAGCTCGAAAGATCATGGAGAATATAAAAAGACGGACAAAATTACTTCTCCCAGGGATGTTAGAGCTCTCAGTCGAAAACAGGGCCCGGGAATACTGATGAATCAAAGCAGAAGCCCCGGATCGAATTTCGAATCCAGTTTGAGGTCAAGAAGTCATGGGGAAGATCCGAATCACCCCCTAGACCCCTTACTAGATGCCTCTGGAGAAGTTTACGACTCGTTGGTAATGCGAAAGCAAGAATCAATTGAAAATGACAGAAGTCAGAGTGAAATCTTGGTCGAAAGAGAGGACACAATCCCATCTCGAGAGGAATTTGATCAGAGTCAGGGAAGAAGTGACGTCATCTCCCCATACCGACAGATTTTGTTGAGAAATCGGGAACTTTTTGAGAGAATTAAGCCAAGAAAACTGGACTTTGAGGGGAATACAAGTGTAAACGAGAGAAATAATGGGAAAAATGCAAAGTTTAAACAGATTCCGATCAGACCAAAGGATATTATGGACAGGAGAATCATGAATGTAAGGGTTTTGGGCACTTTCATCGATTTTTTCTGTGAAAATGGGTACTTTTTGAAGAAAATTTTGATTTTTTTACAAAAAAAAAAATGAAAGACCTTGTAAAATTTTTGATTTTTTGATCGAAAAATTGAATTTTAATTTCTCTGTGAGTCGGGATTTTTTTTCAGCCGACCCGGTTGGAAGGCCCTCCCTCTCACCGAACCATGGCAGCACCCACCCATTTCCATGTCCATCAACACTTTGAAGCCAATTTTTCAAGCGCCAAACCAACTTCTAAGGACACCGTAACCCCAAAGCAACAATACCTCCGGATTCTGAAGAACATTTACTCCCATAAAGTGGACCTTTTGATCCAAGAAGAGAAGGAAGCGCAGATCAGACAAGACCGCAAAATGGAACTGATGGTGATCCAGAAAAAGAAGAATGTTGTCAAGGAATTGGCCGAGAGAATCCAGCAATTCAAGGCGGATTGCAAACACAAGAGATTCTCGGAGGTGGGAAGGGAATTTTTTGGGAATTTTATTTCGTATTTTAGGCACAAATTGAGCGAATGATAAGCAAAGAGCAGAGCAATTTGGATGAGATGGAAAGCAAAGTCGAGGGATTGCTGGAAGCCGCCAGAAAACGAAATGAAATCTTGATGATGAAGAAGGGACACAAAGGAGAATATTCGAACTACTCACAGTATAGTAGCCTGGAAAGCACCAAAAAACGTAAGATTTTTGAGGGTTTTGGGAATCTCGGGCAATTTGATGACTAAAAGAAGGTTTTTCACGGCTTTTATGTAATGGGAGTTATTTTAGCACCCCATAAGTTGGACGCCGGCACCTCTCCCCATCTCCCAGGCCAAGTGTCGGATCGTTTTGAAAAGGAGAAATTCAAGTTTGAGCCGAAAAAGAGCTCTTCCTCCACCATTTTTGAAGCCAATATCCGAGAAAAAGGCGATAAAATTGGATCAGCGGAGCCTCCAGACTCTTCGAGGTCAACGCAATATGATATAACGAGTATTGAGACGGACCCATCCACTCCAATTCAAAAATCACCAATTGATCATGGAGAAGATGGCGAAAAGACCCCGATTCTTGCCGAAACCTCGGAAAAGGAACTCAGAGCGTTTTCAGAGGAGGACAGAACCGATGATTTGTTCCACACCCCGAAGAAAAATCGAGGATTTGGAGGTTTTCAGATCCCCAAACTCAATTTGGACTTTCTGGATGATGGAAGTGGAATTGATGATACTATGAAGGCACTGGGAATGGAGAAACAGAAAGAAGCTGAAAAAGGAACTCAAGATGTCCTAGAAGAACTTGAGAATCAGCAGACGGAGCCTGACAGCAGCCAAAATCAGCAGCAGGAGTCTGAAGTGACTCAAGTAGAATATAGTGAACGTCAAGAAAGACCCTCGAGTGTTCTGGGTAATGACAACACATTGGATTCTACGTTCAAACGAGCCATGGAGGAGTCGTTCCTGGGTGGGATAGGCATTGACTTCCGTTTGGGTGAACCAGGAAAGGGAGCACCAACTATAGTTCAAGAAAAGGATATATCGGGGAAGAAAGACCATGAGGATGTGGAAAAAATTGAGGAAGAAAAGGAGTATGAAGGTGGAAGAAAAATGGGAAGCAGTTTGGAGCCAGAGGTGGCTATCGAAATGAGTAATGAAGCAATAACGGATGCTGTCCGTGAAGTTACCCCCAGTGGAAAGATTGAAGAAAAGGAAGATGATCTGGGTGTAAAAACGGCTGAATTATTGGATAAAAAGGAAGATCAAGGTACGATTGAACGTGCTGAAGTAATTGAAGCTGGATTGGAAGACACTGAGACCAAGAAAAGTCAAGGAAAAATGGGGCAACATCAAGAAGTTGATGATGAATCGGAAAAGCGACAAGACGCTCAGGAAGTCCCTGTGGAAGAAGAGGAAGCCCAGGAGACGACAGCTAGTGAAGATGTGAACCAATTATCAACTGCAATTCAAGATTTTCATTTGGAAACCTTTGAAAAACAACATGGAAAGTCAGAGGAGAAAGAGGAATTTGAGGAAAACGCTCAAGAAAAGATTGAAGAGGTATGTAGCTTGAGGAAAAACGAGTGTTTTATGAATTTTTCAGCCAGTTCAAAGCGATTCCCCCTCGGTTTTCTCGTCCCTTCGCTCGGATCTCCCAATTTCCGAAGATTTGGGACTAGAATCGCCGAAAATTGATGGTGAAATTGATGAAGGAGTTGAACAAAAAGATAAAATGGGAGGTGAAGTGGAGGAAGAACTTGCAAGCCCTCAGAGAGAACCCACAGAATCGTCAGAAGAGCCGAAGAGCCAGCCAGAGTCTGCGGAAAGCCGTGGTCGATCCTCGGATTCAAATGGAAGCCATAGAAGAAGAAGGTAAATTTTTATGCTTTTTTGGGTTAAACTAGGTTGGGTGGAAGGGTAACTTTGAGTATTTTAGATCTCTAATCCCTCAACTTCAACGTCTCGACTCTGGTTCAACGGTTTTGCCCACCACATCGGTTGGTTCTCCAGATCCTCAGCCCTCGCATAAGTCCAAAATTCCAAGAAGAAGATCTTCGGTTGGTTCAGAACTCCCTGAATCTACGATAAATGAACCAACAACGGCTTCGTCGACTCAGTCATCAATCCCGGAACAATTGGAAACCGCAAAAAGCTCGAGTTCGGAGAGCACGGCTAAAGGGAGCACAAGTTCAAGCGAACAGCCGAGTCGGCAGAGCACTCAAAGAACATCTACCGACTCTGGAGATCCATCAGGAGGTCAGGGTGGATCGAAGGGAAGCTCGGCAAGGTCGGGACAAGGAACAATGAACAGCGGAAGCGACAGCATTCCGGAGGTGGGTATCTTGATTAGAGATAGATTTAGTGGCATGGGTAAGATAAATTTGGTGATAATAGTGACGATTTTTTATTGATGAGAAGTTAGGTTTTTGGTACCGTAGCGTGTTTTAAGATTACAAGCTTTTTTTTTATAAAAAGGGGTATCTTTAATTAAAGGAGGTCTGAAGATTGTGATTTTTAGGATGTAACGACCGCCAGAGACTCGGATTCTCCTCATTCCACCTCACTTACAGTCCCAACCCCGCCTTCCGGTCAATCTGATAGCGCCATTTCAAGCCTCTCAACCCCGAGGATCTTCAGTCTTTCACATCCAAACGCGATGAGGTCCCCAAAAGAAAGGACCTTGACGGTCTGGCCGAAAGCACAGCGATCCACGGACAACAACTCGTTGTTGTCGGCATCGATCAACTCTTCAAGAGCCAATGACAGTTTGCTGCACACGGGAGAAGTGAACCCGAGACGGAATGGCTTGGCCGATATAGTGGAAATGAACTCGTTTAGTCATCTGGATTATGTCGATAAAATGCAGTCTTGGCACACGAATGAGAGAGTCGACGCTCTCATTGAGTATTTCACGATCAGATTCTATCAGAAGCACGTCTATAAGTACAGGAAAAGACTTTTGAATCTTGAGAAAATTGAGAACTTTAGAGAGGTTCAAGTTGATGACGAGTTTTTGGAAAAAGAGGTCCCAGAGGAGGATATGCTCGAAGTTGTGTGAGTTTTTGAGATGAACGGGAAGATTATGGAATGATTTATCGATTCAGGTTGATTGTTGCGGATCATGTGGCCTACTTTATGAACCAAGCCGTCAAGAATCAAATGATCCCATCAGAAAGAACCAAGGAACTTTATGATGCTTTCAGGGGTCCGAATGATGAGAACATGGTCAAGTTTATTAAGAAAAAGATGAGACTTCTGACTGAGATTTATCCGCAACCATGCCGTAAGTTTGTAAAATTTGGGTATTTTGGGGATGCCTTTATATTGTAGTAGGTGGAGGTTAAAATTTTTGATGATTTTTTATTGTTGGGGGTGATAGGATATGAGTTTTCGGATTTTTAGGCTACTTGGAGATTGTGTGATATTGGAGAATGTATTTTGTAACGACTGGAGAGTAAAATTATATTGTACTTGACATTATTTGATGAGTTATTAAAAATGTTTGTTTTTGTAAAGTGAGATAGTAGGTTTAGAAGTTATTTTATCCGATTATGATTTAGTTATTTGTTTTTTTAGTCCGATCAAAATGGGAATTGACCTCAATTGAACGCAAAGTCGACTACATTCCGGCCGAAGAGCGCTTCCAAAACAACTTTATCAACGGCAAAATTGCTGAGCGCGTCTTAAAACCACCCATTCCATATCCCTAAATGATATCTGAAATATACTGAATATTTATAATGCTAACTGTATTTTTATTGACTGCCGCGCTCAATGGAAAAACATTGTTTTTTGCACTGTGCGAAATTTGAAAACGTTTAATTTCGTTTCAAAAATGTTGAAGATGTAACGTGTACTACTGTATAAACTTATTTTTGAAGATTGTTTTATTTATTTTTTGGGTTTTTTTTGGGTATTTCGAGAGATTTTTCGGACAAAAATAATGATTATATTAACCATGTACAGTATAATTGAAGAAAGTTCCAAAAGGCGGCAAAATTACCCGAAATTTGAACTTCTAGACCTTGACAGTGCATTTGGGATACCTGTAAATGGAGTCGGGCACTCCGGGGATAGTTTTCGGACCGGAAACGACCTCAACTCGCCCATTAATCGGCTTTATTAGAGCCGAAATGACCTTTCAATGGGCGTAAATGAGGTTTTTATTACTCGAAAAGGTGCGTTTTACGGTCCACGGTGAAAGCTCGGCAACTCTTTGCCATATTTTGGAGACGGGTTTATTTGGAAAACTTTACCTTATTTTTGGTAGGATTTGCCGCAAAATCTCGATTTTCACCTCGCTTAAAATTGGCTGAAATTTTGGGTGAATGGACTCAGCGCGATAAGTATTTGCATATTTGCTTGGGGCCCTAATTCTTGAGATTTTCGCTGCGCCTTTCTTTCTCTTCGTCCCTTTGTTTGTGCGTTTGGCAAAAAGCCAAATGGATTTACGGCCTCGAAACAAAGCGCGACAGAGAGCTGGCCAAGTGGGTGGGTTGTAAGGCAGACGGTGGGCTTGTGGATTTTCGCCAAGGAAATATGGCCATATGTCTTGAAATGTGCTGTATTTCCTATATTGAACATGATACATCCATGTGATTTTGATTTTTTATCGCATCTTGCATCAAGTTTGATTGCAAAACTTTTGCATTTTGAGCTCCTTGGCTCTTGATGGACCCTGAATTTGAATACTGAGCAAATAGAGAGAAGAGGAAGATCTCTTTGTTTACAATGATGAATCTTTCTTCTTTTGTTAGGTGAAAATCCCCGTCGCGGGCTGAAGGGAAATTGGTTCTTCTTTATGCAAATTTTTGTGATTTCCTTAGGTCACAGGGTCGAAAGAGTGGAAGGCATCTTTCAACCCGTATTTTGGCCTATTATGGTCTTTGAAAAAAGGTTTTTTAAAAAATTTGAACCGTAGGTTGATGTCTAATAGTATAAGGTTATTTTTGGAATGTTCGCTAATTTTGTTTAGGTATAATGCGCTCTTAGGTACATATAGATACGTTATTACAATTTCTAAACCCTTATTTGCCCTTCTAATGACTTGGTTTGCCCAGTTGTCATCAAAAAAATGACCCATTTCCGATTCCACTCATCCCTAATAAATCTCGCGCCCTGAGGCGGCGTTGACCCTCACCGAAATCCTAATTATAGCCTCGGCTAGCTGACGGGTTGTGCATGCAAATTTTCGCCATTGCACTCTCGCCCTCCTCTGTTCCTCTTTCTCCGCAATTTCCATCTCTGATTGATGGGCCTTTTTTATTCTAATTCCCTGGAAAACGCGATGCCAATTCTTGCGAGCGAAAACAGGCGCTCTGCTGCTGCTGCCCGGCACAACAGAAGAGTGGGCATTCGCAGTGTCCGGATGTTCGGACCAACGGCGCTTTGGAGGTCAGTGGCAATCGGATATTCGGAAAGGGCCTCTCCGGGGGAGTTTTATTAAAATTGGAGGTAAAGGGTGTTAATGGGCGGGCGGAACAAGCGTTCAATTGATTTGGGGTGAGGCTGGAAGGTCAGTTTGTTTATTGCTGCATAAGATTTTTGATTGCGAAATTTTTAGGGACTGAAAATTTAGATTCATCGAGTTTTGGAACAAAATATGACGATTTCTATCGTGAAATCTTAATTTTTATATTTTGAAAATTAAATTTTGAGATTTTTTAAAAGTTGTCCCAAAACCATGACTTTTCACGTCTATTTTTGGCGTTGCGAAAGGCCAGCCTGCACTTTTATACCCTTACCCAGACTTCCAATTCCATATTTGCCGAGTATCAATCGCCTCCGGCCATTACCTCAGGCCTCCTCACCGCTCTCGCACCATTATTTGCGATTTCCGGCCGCTGCTCCCAGGATAATCGATATCGCGGTGTTTATTTTCGTTCACATGACATTTCATGTGTGTTGTTTGCGAGTGGAGTTCCTCTTCGCCCGCTCCTACTAGCGTTTTCTGAATGGCCTTCGCTTGTTTTGCCTCCCCTCTTGTTGTTGTTTATGAGGATTGAAGGGTGGGCCGAGGAAAAACGAAGAATTCGAGTTTCAGAATGTTTAAAGGCTTTGTGGAAGATGTTGTGTCGAGAGAGAATAGAAGCTTTGTTGAAAACGGGAAATGAATTTGGAGGTATTGATCCATGAATGACAGTATTATTTTATATTATACTAGAAGTGGGGACGTTTTTCTCGACCCTTTTTATTGTCAAGATATTTTTGCCCCTGGCCATTTCTGTCCTCACAGATATAAGGGGTTGGTCCCTGTTTTTTGACGGATCTTGAAGATGTCAGTCGGCGGAATCTCGGCTTTTTTTGTTTTTTTCATCGTTTGCTTATTTTTTTACTATTTTTCAAATTGATGGAAAAATTAATAACCGGTTTGGTTTGGCACTCAATATACAGGGCAGTCTATATAAGCATCGTATTTTACCCATGTTTTTAAAAATTTCAAAATTTTTCCTGTTTTAATGTTTCTGTTTCTTTCTAATGGCGTAATGTATTGCGCAACCGATGTGTGATCCTTGTCAACAAGATGGCAAGACCGCTCTTTGATGCTTTGATCTCCCTAAAAAAGAATAAACGTTGCAATGTGCATAACATGTTTTTGCAAGAAAACATTTCGTGATTCCTAATAAAAACTTTGTAAGATTTTCGATAATTACAGCATATTTTTTTCAGAGATTTGCATATATAATCTACTCCGAGAAAAACACAAGAATATATTAAAAATAGCCGTGAGTGATGACATTCTCGATTACCGAGTACTTTGGGGACCTTTCCCTTCTCCCACACGCTCTTTTGTTCCTGCATCTTCTGGGATCCGTGCTTCCGACCAAGTACCAGAAGCAGGCCCAGATCTCGTTCCACGCAATCTACGCCGCTTTCTTGCTGATCAGCCCCAATTGTCTTTATGGACCCAAAACTGGAAAGGATTTGGATGCGGTTCATGCGTTCTTGGCCAGATTTATCGGCGCTTATCAGGTCAGTGTTCAACCCCATTTTTCTCGTTTTTTTCATTTTGAGCTGAACTCTTTTAAGAAGGAAATTAACCCCTTTCCGTTGCAATTTACATGCTGAAATTTTTAAGCCGCGTTTTGCAGATACTGGCGAGATTTTGAGGTCGAAAGAATCTCCAAAAATGGTCATTTTTTTGCAAAATTTCGACCATGATTTCAAGACGATACCTTAAAAGTTCCGCTTAAAATTTTAGCATTTGCTTTACAATGCCATGATCTTAATTTTTGCCAAGTTTTATAGAGATTTGAGGCTTAAATTTTGAAAAATTTCACCTTGAAAAGATTAAGCCAAAAGATGACTAAAAATTTCAAAGCCCAAAAGTTAAACTATAATATGATATTTTTATGGTCTAAAGTATTCATCGAAAAAATGAGTTAATGTATGAGGACCAATCAAAAAAGCTTTGCTCATTTCAACCATCATTTTCAGTTCGGCTTCTTTGTTTTCCACTTCCTCAGCCGTCGTGATAGCTTCCGCCCCGAAGCGGCCGTTGCCCTTTCCAAGGCTCTCACCGCTGGCCTCGTATTTTTCCTCGAACTCCGATCGGCTCAACGTCCCAATGTAGAGCGTGGCCTTCACTTGGATTCCTCCAGTTTCGTCTACGCTTTGATTCTGATCGATTTTACCTACTTTTTGATCGAGTCCGTCAAGTACGTCAAGCTGGTCAATCAAACTTCCGCAACTGATGAGATCGACATCATGTGCAAGAAGACTCAACAGGCTATCCAGAATGCCGGAGCTTTCTCCATTCAGCATTACTTCTGGGCCGATGCCGTTGTTTCTTTTCTGTACGCGGTGGCTTCCATCGGAAGCAGCGAGTATTTGTACGAAAATGTGGTAAGGAGAATAAAACTGGTTGTAAGATTAAAATCAACTGATTTTAGATCAAGCAGGAGATCAAACTCGACAGTTTACATCGTATTTTGACCCATGAATTCGGATACTACGCTCTTGGCGCCGGAATTACTTCGCTGCTGGCCTTCCAATTCTCGCCAGTACAGCAGAAACATTATGCTTTCCAGAGACTTGTGGTAAGTTTGAGATAGAAAAATTGAGTTTTTGAAGTACTATGTGGAAATTTGCAGAGTTTAACATAGAAGCTTAGAGTTCTGGAGACGATTTTTTAATAGGTATTGCAAAAGATTAACCAACAAAAAATTGACATTTTGTCAAAAAAATCAATCATTTTTTTGAGGGATATGTGTCAAATTAAAATCTTATTCTTCAATTTAGATTTGCAGAACATTTTTGGCAATGAAATTCGACAAAAAACCCTAAAAATTATAAATTTTCTATTCAAAATCATCAATTTTCAGACCCACGCCATTACCATCGCAATTCATGCCTCCGGCTACTTCCATTTCTACTATCACGCCGTCTTCTCCCCGCTGATCATCGCCCTGCTCACCGTTTATCCCATCGTCATCGTCACCGACAAGATCAAGCGGCAGGAAGTGGCCGCGGATGACGATAAAAATGGTACACTTAAGACTTTACGTAAAGGCGTCAAATCCAACTAACCAAGACAGGTATTTGATGCTTTGATCATGGGGAAATAAAAACAAAGGGGATCGGAATTTTACCTAGAGGTTTCGAAAAGTTTTTTTGGGGAAAAAAGTTTTGTGTTTTGTTAGTAGGGGTTCAGAGAATTGAAATTTAGGCAAAAGGAAGCTGTTAGAAACCGCTGAAATTGATGGATATAGGTGTCTGTTGGTGCTTAAGGACACTTAGGGCATGCCTTACTAAAAAGTACGGCAAGATGGGACCAAAAACTACATTTTTATTCAAAATGGTCCTCCCTTACCATAACTCAATTTTTTTTTGAATTTTCTCACGCCGTACCGGTCCCAGATCACCTTAACAGTCGTTTAATATAACCCGAATCTTCTACTATCCATTTCTTTCCAGATATTTCATTGTCAATACAATTTTTGTAATTTTCATCCATTTTCAGCGTCCTCCTCCGTCTTCGCTACAGCCCCGGAAACCGAAATAAATCTCGACCTAAACCAAGAAATCGTTGAACAAGAGTTGGATGAGCAGATTCATGAGATTGTTGGAGAGAATGACGTCACCGAAGAGAAGGTGGAAAAGGTGGAACTAACAGTTCAAGAGCCTGCCAAAAGTAAAAAAGGGTTGTTTAAAATTAAAAAATCAAAAAAATAATCGGCGAATGCTCCCGTATCTTACTTTCTATCTCGTTCTACTGCCACCATGCTTCGTATTTTAGCCAATGAAAAAAATTTTTTGAGCGAAAAGTTTGGAAAATTCAATTTTTAAGACGAAATTTGGATAAAAATATAAGTAATGTTTGCATTGGCTAAAATACGAAAACCCTGTAATATCGGTCATAACTTTTATCGAAAACGTCATCTACGTCACAACTCTCATCCTGTTTCACCTCATTTCGACTCCCAGTTCAACGATTCTTCCCTGTTTTTGCCTTTTTTCGCTGAAAGTTTCAATTTTTTGTAATTTTAAAATTTTTTTCTTTACGTTTTTATAGCCTCAGTAGTCCTCTCTCACCGTAGGCGCCCGTAAAATGATGAGTGGATCGAGCAGACCCAATTTTTTGGTCTATCTCCACGACCAACTACCTCAGGATTGTATAGCCCCAGCTCTGTTGCTTCGTCTTTGATAACAGCTTTAATTTGTACAGGATTTTATTTTTTTTCAATTATTTTTTGTATTTTACCGCAGCGGCTGGCCCGCTCTTCCCACCGCCACAGTGTAATCTCATCGCATCGGAACTCAGTATAACCTCATGATCGCCTTCTTTTTTAAATTTTTTTTGTAATTTTATTCATTGTGTTTCAATTTTCAACGAAAACATAAACTTTTCTGTAAGGGAATTAAATTTTCTTGTCTTAAAATAACATAATGGCAAATAAAGAGCAATGGAAATACGGATAAAATGATTACAAATTTGCTCAGAGGATGACGTCAAGCTCACACAGTCATCTCGCTTAACGTCCCCATTTTTGCAGTCTTTGGATGTTCGACCAATTTTTTTCCATTTAAAATACGACTATAGCAGCGAACACCTTATAAAAAAGCAATAATTTTAACTCTGTAGCATAAGCAATGTCAAAGACTAGAACAGGAAAGCCGAGGTTTCATTTCAACTACGCAATTATTAGTATGTATTTTTAGTAATTTTTCCGTTGCCTTTAACTTTTTTAACACTTATTTATAAAAGTTGAACATGAGCAATTTAAAGGTAAATGGAGAAAACAGTCAAAACAAGGCCAAGGTTGATCAATGTGGTTGCAGAAGCTGAGGGCTCGGTCTGCGCATCTGCACTTCTTGGTGAAGAAGACGGTATGACGGCTTGGCCAGACGTATTATTTGGAGAGGATTGTGACTCTGCGTCCGATCGACTATCATTTGATGCGGGCAGATTTGAGTTTGATCCATTGACAGGTGCTGCAGGTGCGTTCGGGTCACTTCCATTCAGTGTTCGATTAGCTGAGAAAAGTACTTGATTCATACAGAAAATGGAAATTTCTGGTACGAAATAGCTGTGAAAGTAAGTGTTTTCCCTGGACTTAACTTTTTATTATCTCTTTAATAGACCCTTATATGCCTAGTAAGATCTGTGCTGAATTTGAATCAAAATTTATATTAATTTAGCCATCACCACTCGAAAACGTCTTTTTTGCCATAAAAGTTAGTAAAAGACTATTCTTTCAAAAAAGTCCAACCGTTTTGCTCCAATTACACTACAAACTCAATGAAGATTAAATCCGAGAATACGGTCAACTCACCGGAAACGCTACACGCCATCAGAAGGCACAGAAACAAGGCCATACCAGTCATCCCCTTCATTTCTCCAAATCGATTAGTGTAATGAGCGTAATAGCTGGGCCCTCGGCTTTTAAGGGCCATTAATTAGCGTTGAATCACGATCGCGAAATTCCGGATGTGTAATCGCATGTATCAGATCAGGGACTTTGTTATGTTTTTTGGTTGGCCCGGGCAGGAAGGCGGAATGCAAATGAAGTCATTTGGAGAACTCTATCATGCAGTGATTACACATCTTCGAAGACTCATGTTAAGGCAACGTCTTTTGCTTCCCGAGGTTTACAAAAATGTTGGAAATTTTGGTAATGTCACAGAATATTAATTTCAGGATTGCGTCAAGTAAATTGATGAGCAAACAGGAAAAGAATCGGCTGCTTCAAGAAAACGATGATTTAAGAATGAAGAGCGAAATTTAGTCAAAAAAGAGTTTCTGACAAAATTTTTTAGAGCAACCAAACAATTGCTGTTATGAACATGGCTGTACATTATCATTATCCTACAGTAAAAATAGACATAATAAAAAGAAGATATTGATCTTGATGTGTAGGCCTAGGATTTGCTGGTGTTCTTTGTTAACTTATCCACAGCTAGGCGGCAATTGACCATGTCGATTTTTGTGGCCCTGCGTTTGCAATTTTCTTCAGCCCAGCCCTGAAGTGCCTGAGAATTGCGTCTAGGCCCAGACTTGCCTTGTTATGCCCGCAAGTGCGCTCTAATGTAATAACAGGTTCAAGTCGGGAAAAACAAATAAAAATTTTCAAACCTATTATTATACCATATGTGTGTAAGCGAGTAGGTTTATGATTTGACGATTTTACAAATCGTCTTGATTTTATTTCTCCGTTGTTGGCGTTAAAATTTCGATGAATTTTTTAGTTGGGTCTAAGTTTTGGGCCTGCTTTCAACATTAGCTCACAGTCGGCCTATAACCGCCTTTTTCCGCCGTACATACCCCCTTTTAATGATGACTCATTTAAAGAAAAATTGGATCCAAAAATCGAAAGATGTTATGAAAAAAGGCCTAACATAAGATTATTGCAAAAGTTTTTGCTCTCTTGAATTCTTCCATCTACACTCCATCAGGTTTTCTTAAGGCCACAGCGGTACTTGAAACCATCATTTTAACGAAATGTCAACGAAGGAAGTTGTATTTACTGCATCTCTGCTGGCCATGATCGGACTTACAGTATTTGCGATAGTGTTTTACTGTAAACAAAAGGCGTTTGGCAATAGCTAAGAAACCGTGAAAATAAATCTGCCTCTCCACAATTCGTTGGCTTTATTTTTAATACAAAACTCTCAAGAAAGCGCAGAGTGTGATAATTTTGATTCCACTGAAGATCGCAGCGGCTGACTTTGGCTTGGGAGTGGTTGTCGTGCAGTCATCAGCCGGAGGAATTGGCTTGGCATATGTGTCTTTGGCAACTCTGGCACTTCTGGTCGTTCTCTTCAAAACACGTTTTTTGGTTGTGGGATCCAAGGCTTTCACTGGCTTGGATTTTGTGGTCAAAGCATCAACTGTAATCTCATTCTTAGCTGATAACTTAACGGAATTAGCAGTAGTGTTGGTCAGAGGTATGATGGAAGGAGTAGTAACCTTTTCGTCGGATGAATCTTCATCGTCCGAGGATTTCTTTGGCTTACTATCTTTGCTGGTCTTGTTGGTTCTTAATTTCTCTAAAATACGAGTTAAAAGAATAGTTTGATAGTAAGGTGAAAATTGAAGGCTACTTACTCTTGTTGTCGTTACAGAAATCTTGTACGCAAACATGGAACTTTGCCTTTTTGCCGTCAATTTCTTTAGGGAACGCCTGCAAAATTACTTTTATAACGTGGAAATATTACTTATTCTACTATTAACTATTTGGTGGTGCAATTTTTCATCAAATGTCATCAAAATTGCGATCAGTTATCGAGTATTTCTCCCCGTAAAATAACTTTATCCCTTACCGTGTCTCCATCGAAACAGCCACTGGCAACTGCGACTCGATTCCCTTGTTCATCTTCTACTGTACCAGTAGCACATATGTGAGGGCATCTTTCGACCACTCCAGTTGGCTTACCACAATCCTTGTCTTCGTATTCCGCCAGTTCTGGATTGCTTCCGCGCATCAGTTTCTGCAGAGCCATAGCTTCTTTTTCGCTTCCGTAGTGGCACACATAGCAATGTTCAACTAGAAAACAGATGTTTTAATTACAAACAGAGGTACTCTTACCCTTAGAAAAGACCGATGACACTGTAACTGCAAGCAAGATGATGGTAATCATGTTTGCGAGGGACCGTTCTGCTGATGACATCAACAGCTCCTCAGACAATTTATAATCATTTCTGATTTCTCGGAAATCTGTGATTCATTCTAAATTACTATCCTCGAGACAAACAGTTTTTACGAATAACAATGACATCTTCACTTGAAATGAATAGCGGCGAATACGAAGGTTCTACGGAGATGATTCAAATATCAGTCGGTGTTCCACGGAATAGAGAACTAAATAGTTTTCAAGTTGAGAATAGTAATGTGGAGATGAGGAGCTGAAAAACTTGCTTCCTACAGAACTACTGAAGTTTCAATTTAATTTTTTTGTACGAACGTGGAGATAAGCGGTCAGAAATAAAGTTGTTATCTAGTTGCATCTCTATGTTGCACGAAAATTTTTTTTATGGCATTATTGTGCCATACGTATCTGACAAAGAATCTCTCCAATTCATTGAATATCCATTGGTCTCTGCGCACCAAGTGCCAACAAAACCTACCTATAGCAACTCGAGGACATCTCTAGCCGTCATCTTTTTATAAAACGACCTACATAAGAATATAGTCATCATAAAAGGATTTATTCTCTATAAAATGATTTACAACACATAATGTATAATAGGATAAACTCGTTTTTAAAAGTTTTTTAAAATAGGATTAATGATCAAAATCTCAAGTGCCGGTTAGAGGAAGGCCATACACTTGAGGATCGCTAGTATAAAAAAGAAAGAGTAACCAGTGGGAGGATGAAGTTCCAGAAAGTGAATCCATCTGGGCTTGCGGATGGCTCAGCTGTGGTGGTCGTTTCTTCTTCCGAAGAAGAGTCTTCATCGGTAACTTCAGTCGTATCGAAAAGACGAGTTGTGGTCGGTGGAATGGTCGTTGGAGGTGGGGTCATTGTCCTGGTACGGTTTTCTTGAGCACTTTCTGAAAATGAAGGGCGTTGAATGCAAATGATAGTTATAATATTGTATAATAAATAATCTCGGCGAACAAAGAGAACGCCACAAAGCTTCAGCTATGACAGAAGCTCAAGTTTTTTAAAGCAAACTCAAAAAATTACCTAGGGCAGCATTGCACTCATCCATGCTGCAAGGGTAGATGTTCAACTCCTTGCTGACTCCCTTAGCTTCGATTATAATCGGGCTCGGTGGCTAAAACAGCAAAATTTAACAGGAAATCGATGAAACGAATTTAAACATAGTGAACCTACAGCGCTCTCATCATAGCAGCCAGTAGCAATGGAAGTGACATTAGTTTCAAAATTCATCATTGTGCCGTAGGCACACTGTCCAGCACAACTGATATATTTCAGCGAAGTAGCATTCTCTTTGCCACAGTCATCATGAGAGTTTTCCTTGTAAAAATACGAGTCAAAACTCATAAAACGATAGAGCGAGGCGACATCCAGCTCATCTCCTTTATGACAGTAGACGCAAGATACTGAAAACAGAATTTTTACGAAAAATATTGCTTTGTTTGGCAGCAATTAGGACTAATTGTAATAAAAATGACTTACGCTGAGCTTCAGTTGATCCAACTTTGAGTAAGATTAGCGCGATAAAAAGATGAGCCATACTGTGCATTTTATAAATATACGAGAAAATTTGAGAAATAACTGAATTCAATATCAAACTCAGCTCAAAATGAAGGAGATCCGGCGAATCCGAGGCCCAATCTTGCCGAACGATGGCTGTTCAAACAAAAACAGTTACGCAATTACGGGACTTGTTTTTTTTTGAATTCATCCGATTTTTAGGGATAACATGGCCGGATGAGTAATATTGCCGTTTCCAAAGCGAAGTCGTGCGCTTTGGAAACGGTAGCATCACAGGATACGATGTTCAAGAAAAAAGTTTGGGATGTAATTCCATGGGAGTGGTCTATCTTTTGTACATTTGCATCTTGATTGGCTCAAATCTATTACTTGAGGACATAAGACAGATACTAAATAATTGGGGCTCAGCTTCCACAAAGGATTGCGGCTATTCCCATGGCTTTGGGATGGGAAATTGGCACGACTTTTGCTTTGACCGGCTATCCTTCTTTTGTGTCTCTTATTCACTGATCATAGAACCTCCCGTTTCTTCCTAGAAGATTGCGAGGCCGGAGATCATCCGTTTGAAGCTTGTTTCTGCCCGGCCCAGCTCGGTGATAGTCCAGCCCGGGTTGGCCCTATTTCTTTTTTTTAGTACTATCTTTCTTTCTCTTGCTGTTATACATTTGTGTTTACTAGACACTAAATTTGCTTCAACCTGTTCGTTTCACCGCTGGAGCCAGATCTAATTTTATCTCAAAGTTCTTTGCTCTTGCAAGATTTTGAAAAAAAGTTGTTTCTTACCGGGAATACCTTCTATAAATGGCGGAACTTAAAAAACAGCTCTCTTTAAACATACTTCAAAAACACTGTGAAGGCAGCATAATTGAGGTGACCATTTGGACGGTTGTTCGCATTTATATATTACATGTTCATTCATGTAACCGCGAGGCCTAATTTCAGAGTAAACAGCCTCGTGCCTTTGATTTCGAGAACGTTTTTACTGTTTGAGGAAGTGAAAGTTTGTTGTTTTCGAATTTATTAGAATTAAATTTGAATTTCGAAACATGAAAATCTTGGCCGATTTTCGTTCTGCATTTGTTTTGTTTGGTGTCTCATAATGTTTTGGAGACTCTTTGGAAACCCTGCTTCACTTTTTGATTGTATTTTGATTCATCACATGGGCTACCTTTGAAATATTCTTATTTATAAGAGCATTTCCAGAATTTCGCATTTTTTCGATTATTCTTTCATGCTAAAAAGATTTTTTTATTTTATTAAAATATTTTTAAATTTGAAAAATTTGCATAATTTGAGTTTACTGTAAATTTCACATTCAAATTTTCGATTTTTTTTTATTTTTTAAACCTTAAAATTTAATTTTTTAATTTGAATATTCATATTTTCTAATATTCTTGCAATTCAGCAAAAAATAAATAAAATGTCTTTTGTCAAGTTTTCGCTTTTAACCTTCTGGTTTTCGTATTCAAAATTTCACAAAAAAGCCATGGTGAAACTTTTCATATTCAAATGTAACTTCCTTCATCTCCGAGGAACATCTTCCCCAGATCCCAGACTTTGGTCGGTTGAATCACCTGACCGTGGGTGCTCGGCTTGTTGACATTCGGCCTTAGCGGGCTGTTTGAATAGAGTTGAACTTCAAGAGTTATTAATCACACAAATATAAATAGGGCCATATATATTTATGGCCACACCTTCCTCCGGGAATAACCTTCAGAGTCCTTTTTCTGTTCGGATTCCGACAAATTTTTGGTGGGATATATTGTACTGACGTTAGTAATTTACAAACGTTTTTCGTTTTTTAATGTTATGTATTGCTGTACAGCTCTCATTATGCTCGTCGTGGAATGCTCGGAATTCCCTTTATAGTAAAGCCATGTTGGAAATAGTAAGGGCCTCTTTGAAGGATCGAAAGTTCAAAGGGTGGGTCTGAATAAAGGTTTTGTCATCATTCAGAGCCCAATTCTTGTGGAGGATGAAACATTGTTTTTGGGGAGGAGAAGATCGGCTTGTATTTTTCTTTTGGAATGTGGAGTATGCTCGTAATCTGGCTCTTACAATGTCAGCCAAGAATTCATAAATCTTTTGGCTAACCGAGGCAAGCTTAGTCGCAGGACTCCAATGTTATTTTAATTTAGTCCAGAGATCTATTTTGGATACTTTTCTTGGCTTCTGAGTTGTAGGAGCGGCCAAGATATTCAGTAATCGATAGATTGCGAAAATGAGGAGAGACGGCCAGAGGAAAAAGTTTTTTGGTCGTATTTTTGGCATTTTCATGGAAATTTTTAAAGCAAGAGCCAAAATTTTGAGCAATTGACTTGCAACATTGCTAAAAATTTCATAAGAAATCTCACAAAGACCTCAGAGTCGTCCTTTCACGCTGACCGAAATAAGAGGTAACTCAGCGACTTTTCACGACAGTATTCCCCGAAAATATCACCGTTCCCACCGCCATTAGCAACGTTGTATGAGTCCTCCGTTAGCATAATGCGAAGAATTCCGTTTCAATAACATTCCCCCTCCCGATGTATGATTTATGTTAATTTTATTGATAACAGTCCGACTTGTTCCGATTTTCAATTTTTCGGACCGAAGATTTTTTACTGGCCCAAATTTACTTTGATTAATCGGAGATTTCCAAACACCTGCGCTAGGAAATGTGCTATAGTTCTGTTTGAGGTAATTGGTATCAGGGGAATTCATTGCCGACTAAAAGATATTCATAGTCAAAGTTTTAGTTTTTTTTCTGGTTCCGGGTCACATTTTTTCGGCTTTATGGCGGAGATTTCGTCTATATAAGGTAGGCATGCCATGTTGCGTGGGCATAAAACGAAATCGTTGAAAGATTGCGTAATTTACGGGTGTTTGATACTTTTAAACCTTGTGTTTTCATTATTAAAAAATTTCAGACAGTGTTATTCACTGGGGTCAAAAAAATCTTTTGATCATTGTCAATTCCTCCGAAGTTATTTTTTGTAAAGTCTGCCACATATAGATCGTGATATACCCAATCAAAGAGGTCCCCTTCCGCTATCACCTTTCATTACATCTCTTCCAAGCTTTACATTAAACTGTGAGGCCTCGATGTAATGTCTACGTCCCATTGGACCACCATTTTACACGGCTTCCCACTCGGCTCTTAAAATTAATATAGCCATTAAAATGCCGTGAATTTAATGGGCATTTCTGAGCTAGATTTCGCGATGTGTTCGAAAATTCCTTTGAATTTTGTTTTCCAGTACCCGCGGCTATCATTTTTACATATATATAACATTTATTTTCAGATGATCTTTTGTTGCTGTCCCAAAAAATCGACCGACAAAGTTGAGTCGACCAAAGAGGAGGGCCAAATAGTTCCTCCGGCAGAATTTGCTCCAGATGAAGAGAACGTTATTACAGTTGAACCCGCTCCTTCAAAGCCATCTTCTCCTCCGCCAGCTCCGCCGTTGCCTCCGCCAAAAAGCCCAAGGGGAGATAGTGTGGGAAATGGAGAGGCGAACGGAAATATTGGGCAAAATGAAGATAGTGGTCAGAGAATTGAAGAAAATACGGAGAATATCGGAGGAGGAAGCCATATTGAGCATAATGCGCATGTAGAACGTGTTTATGTTGAGCAGGCCGAGCATGGACAACCAGTAGATCATCATGAATATCCAGATGAGCCTGCGCCGGACTATGAACCAAGTGTGCCTCCGGTGGATTATGATGATCAGTATTCAGAGCATGCAGGAGACCACAAAGGACATGAGGAGCATGGAGATCATGAACAAGTTCAAGGAGCTCAAGAAAGGATTATTGAACAACATCATCAAGAAGAACATTTAGATCATCATCATCATGAACCTGATGACCATCACGATCATGTAGATCATAATGAACATATTCTTCATGAACAAAATCTTCATGAACATGTTCATGAAGAATATGACCATCCTCCATATGAGCCACAACAACAGGCAGAAGACCGTTCCCACAACGTGATATCCTCTCAAAACAGCACTGCGACACCTCCAATGACTCCTAAAGAAGACACCCCGGAAGATAGGGAACTCCACGATCATATCAAGGAAGTATTGTCAACGACTGTCGAGAGTCTACAACATCAGACGAAAGATGACCAAAATGCTTTTAGATTCAAGAATGATGAGTATTTGCCCGCGGATTCAGATGCAAGGTAAGGCATGTTGTTGGTGGAATTGTTGGCAGTAGTTTGTTGTTGGAGGTTGCAGTGTTACACTTAAAGAATACACATTTCTTTCTGTGCACGGAGGTTTTTTTTTTGAAATTTGAGGTTTAAATATATATGTCTCTAGTCGAATCTAGGCTTGCAAACGATTGTTATGATTATGTCACTCATTTATGACCATAATCATAACGTTTTTGATACACAGAAATATAAAGTTGCGTAGCCAAAACATCTCTAAACACAAGATAAATGCGTCACTTCGGAAGAATCGTGCAGACGAATCATCTGATGACGTCTTTGCCCAATATTTTGTATGGTATGTTATATAAACATCTAGTTTGTACGTACCATTGTGTGCTTATCTACAAGTTGACCTTGAAGATACGACCATAACTTATTGATAAAAACACTTCCAACAAAAACATTTTTTTTGAGAAAAAAGATTTGTAAACAAAAACATCTTAAAAAATTGTAAAAAGTAATTGTAATACTGCAACTTCCATTTATTGCATCCAATTATTACTGCATGCCACCACTGAATATCGTGTTTTCCTTTCCAGAAATTAACATTCGTAATCCACATGTCGATCATAAACTGTGCCTTAAAAGCCTTGAATTCTGTTTGATATTTGATTGTAGTAACCCGAATAAATCATGATAATGTACTCTTTTTGTGGTAGTTCTTTGTTGTTCTTTCTGTTTATTGTAACGTGAGATTAGACCACACAAAATTGCATCATATAAAAAATGAAGCCAATGAGAGGAGTCGGTTATCTCCACCGACCGGGTATAATATAAAAACTGTAAACAAAGAGGGAGAACGTCAAGGTCAGATGTTGGCATTTGATACGGCTCAGAGTTGGGAGAGGGCACCTCAATTCTGCCTTTACTGAGTGCTAAGAGTAGCTATTTTTTTAATTGTGTCTAGTAGTTTTAGCAAGTTTTGAAGGCTTGCCTGCATTGCGTGATGTGGGTGGAAGGCGGTTCAACTCCTGCGAAATGCAGGGAAAAGTTTGAATATTTACCACAATTTTTCTGAGACTTGACATTTTTTGATCTTTGCGTTGAAACTTATATATCTTCAAATCTGTGTAGAAGCGACGTGCTTGCAAAACAACTGTTTTTATTAGGAAGTTGATACCCCTAATGAAGACATACTGCTGAAAAATAACGTTTAATCATGATACAATAAAAATAAGCGTTCTCACGTAAATGGTGCTAATTGATCTCAAATATGTAGCTTTAGCGGAGAAAACGGCTCCTAAACCTATTCGAAAAACATCAAAAACAAGGTGATCTACCAAGATTATATACTGATTTATCATTAATAAATTTTTGAAAACTTGTTGCCTTTCTTGTTGTCTCACCACCAAAAAATTTGTATATCGATTGCTGAGATTGCGTTTTTGGCTTTTAGTCTAGTTTGTGCCCCTGAAAATCAATCCCACGTCAATAAACAAATGATAAGAACTATTATTTAGTAATCAAAAGTAGGCCGTTATCTTGGGTATCTTGACCTCAAGCTTGTTAATTGGGTCTCGACTCTATTTATTGCCGCCTTTACTGCTTTATTAACATAATAAAAAAGCGGGGAAAAAACAGCGACCGACTGAGACCCTTAGGGCAAAATATGAAATTTGTGGTCAAAATTAGCTATTGAAAAAGATCATTTTTATGTTGTAAAACAAAATTAAAAAAATCAGTTTTTGTGATTTACTGTAACCGACCGATCTTTTGCCCTTAAAAGTCCAAAAGCATCAATAAAAACAATTTTTAAAAATCGAATTTTCTCGGCAACGTGATTTTTGAGTGCAAAAAATGGGAACCACCACAGAAACGAGTAATTACGCTCATTCGGCCCGTTTTCGCTCCCTGATGGATGGTCTGTAATCTGTTGGTGGTTGTAGACAACGTGCTTTTAAAACAACCTGTTGATCGTTGTGAAGTCAGTGAATAGCAGCAAAATGATCGAGTCGTTGACGGATTACTTCAGCTCGTTGACATCCCGCAAGCCCTCTGCTTGTTGCGATGGAGGAAACAAGAGGAATATCTGCTTTGCGACGCCTGAAGAGGCCATGAAAGTGGCCAAGGAGAAAGTGATCTTTGTGACTTGTATCAATACCAGAGAGGATAAGAAACCGGACGCGCTGATGGCCGTGGATGTGGATCCGGAGAGCAAGACTTATTGTCAAGTAAGTGGGAGTAGCTGATTGAGTCATCATTACTGGTAGATTAATCATAGTAGTGATGACACGTTCTTAGCAGTGGCGGACCTGATCCATTGGCAAAATACGTACCATTTTGGATCCGGGAAGTGTCAAAAATGCAGCAAAATACCTCCCTCTCCAAGTGAAAAAACTCAGATTTCACAGTCAAAATTGTGAAAAGCGCGACCACTCTTTTTTTGAGTAAAAGGGCGCGCATTTCAAAACGGAATTCTTTTTTATTGTAGTGGGAGGTATTTTGCCACATCTTTCATACTTCTCGGATGCAAAATTATACGTTTTTTGCCAGGTCCCTCACTGCATTCTTTTTTAAGCTTGAAGCTGAAGGGAACAATCAAGAGATTGAATTTTTGTTTTCCAGATCCTCTGCAGACTCCCCATGCCTTCCGTGAACGATGAAATCCACCACTCTGGTTGGAATGCCTGTGCTGGCTGTGTGTATGACACCTCAGCCTGCCGTACTCACCTCTTGTTGCCTTGCCTCCATTCCTCAAACCTCTATGTAATCGATACTGCCGATCCAAAGGACCTCAAAATCCACAAAGTAAATTTTGATAGCAAAATAAGCCTTTGCTGAACCACGTATTCTAAATACAACGAAAATTTTTTTGATGCGGTTATTTTAGACTATTACCCACAAAGACATATCTCATTTGAATGTATCTTTTCTCCATACCACTCACTGCATGCCCTCGGGCGATGTGATGATCAGCACGTTGGGAGATAACGAAGGAAACCGTAAATGTATGGTTTGGCTTTTCGAATTTCACAAAACTCTCTCTTAGGCGACATGATTTTATTGGACAGCAAGACCTTCGAAGTCAAGAGAAGCTGGTGTAAGGTACCGAGCAACGTTCCAGCGCCTAAATTCCATTATGATTTTTGGTATCAACCCAAGTTTAACGTTCTCTTGTCCACGGAGTGGGGTACTCCGAATAACATCAAGAAGGGATTCAACCCGGCCGATGTTAGTGCTGGTAAGAAATTTTTTGCTTTTTAAGGGTTTTACAAGTCATCAAAAACTTCTCTTCATAATTTTCTACAAGCTATAAAAATGTAGCTTCACTTCCAAACAAAAATTGGCATTATTTTACATTCCAGGCTTTTACGGCAATGCTGTTCATGTCTGGGAATACACGACCGGAAAGCTGCTGCAGACTATTACCTTCCACGGAGATACTGGCTATATGCCTTTGGAGGTTCGCTTCAAACATTCGCCAGATCAGCCGCACGCTTTTGTTGGAACTGCCCTGGGAACTGCAATTTACCATATTTATAAGGAAAATGTAAGTGAAATCATTACTACGGTTACATCCGAAGGAAATTCTAGTATAACCGGCTATTTTTATGACTATTCTGGTTTGGAATTTTTAGTTTTTTTTGGTTTTTTTTTAATTTCAAATTCCGACCAATTATTAACGCCTCAATTTTTACATCCCATTACTCCCAATTTTTTAGAGCCTCGATCCTTGGCAACATGAACTTTCCGTGGCCATCCCAGCCAAAGAAGTTGAAGGCTGGGCTCTCCCGAAGATGCCTGGTTTGGTGACTGATATCATCATGTCAATGGATGATAAGTTCCTCTATGTTTCCCTCTGGCTCTTTGGAGAAGTTCGCCAATATAATATCGAGGACCCATTCAAGATCAAGTTGACTGCAACTGCCTTCATTGGAGGGTTGATTACTACCGAAAGTGAGGTCAAAGTTACTCATGATCCGGAAAAGGGGGTAAGTTGGTGGCTTCTCTGATTGAGTCAGTGGTAAATCAGAGGCTAACTAATTTATTTCCAGGAGCGCCAACCTCCATTGAGAATCCAACACAAGAAGATCGAAGGAGGACCTCAAATGATGCAGTTGAGCTTGGATGGAAAGAGATTGTATGTCACCAATTCGCTGTATTCGGTCTGGGACAAGGGATTCTATCCGGAAATGTCCAAGTAAGTCTATTTATTGCCTCCTCGCAGAAAGTTTTCCCAAAATATCCATTTTTTGTGATCGTATGTTTTCTTTTTTCAATTTCAGAAACGGCGGTCAGATGGTCAAGATTGACGTGGATACAGTGAATGGTGGAATGCAGGTGGATCCTCAGTTTCTGATCGATTTTGGAAAAGTTGAGGATGGTCCCTATTGTCCGCATGAGATGAGATACCCCGGAGGCGATTGCACTTCCGATATTTTCGTTCCGTCAAAGTAAAATACGCCTTTTTTGAAGAGAAAGTAAAGATCTCTAAAATATTTATAAAGAAATAAAATTTTATTTGCTCAAATGAAAGATTTTATTGTAATTTTCGAAAAATGAATGTTTAGTTGGTTTGAGGAAGAAGCTCGTGGGTGCTGCAGATGATCGACCCGTTTGAACCCTTTTTGCATTAAAATCGCCCATTTCCCTCAAAAATTGCCTATAAAATTCGCTGTTTTACATACATATTTTGTCATCATACAGCTACAGGAGAGGATTTGGCAATTGCACAATAAATTTATTCGGGTTTCAATTTTTTTTCATTTTTTTCCTTTTTTATTGCGAATTCGATTTTTTTTTGCAATTTCATTACAGTCTCCCCATCTCAGTCTTCCCTCAGACCTTGGTAATATCTTCACAGGATGTTCAAAGGGATCAGCAAACGGCTCAGTTCAAAGAAAGAGCCCTCCTCATGCCATAGCTGTCATGGAAAACGCGACAGGAATATTTGTTTCGCGACTCCAGAGGAGGCAACGAAACAGCCGCCAGAAGAATACATCTTTGTCAATTGCATCAACACCAGGCAAGTCAAAGACAATGAGAAGAAGCCGCCTGATGCCCTCATGACGGTGGATGTGAACCCACAAAGCAAAACATACGGCCAGGCAAGTTTAGAAGAGATCGTAATGTGTGAATTTGACACTTTGCAGGTTATCTCCACACTCAAGATGCAGGGCCCCGACGACGAATTGCATCACTCGGGCTGGAATGCCTGTGCTGGCTGTATCCATGACCAGTCTGCGTGCCGAACTCATCTGTTGCTACCGACCCTACGATCCAACAAGATCTATGTCATCGAAACTGCTGATCCCAAAAACCTCACAATCCACAAAGTAACCCACAGTATACTATGCATAGTGTACTGTTTACAGCCCCATACTGTCTCCTTTCGTTATTTTTAGACAATTTCCCAAGCGGAACTGGCCAAGCTTGATGTGACCTTTCCCCATACCACTCATTGTCTGCCCACTGGCGATGTCATGATCAGCACGTTGGGCGACAAAAATGGAAATCCAAAATGTAATATGTCGTAAAAGCGATTTCTAAACTAACAGGGGAAGTACTCCAAGTGCGACGCTCAGATTTTCTTTAAATTTTGCACACACGTCGGGTATGGACTAAATATCAATTCCTGAAAGGTTTAGCTCGCGCTTTGCAAGCGCCGCCGAGATATCGACCGATTTTCTCTGCCGAGAGAGCACGCTAAACGTGGAGAGCGGTCAGAGAGAAAAAAATTTTTGGCGATAACTTTGGCAGTTTCGTGAGGAAAAATTTGATTTTTTGTATAAACATTATCCTTTACGGTAGAAATAGGCATGAAACTTTTCGTGCCGAAATTCGGCAAAAAGTCCTAAATTTTTGTCGACTTTCGATCTTAAAATCTCGGTTGTTTCTGCAAAGCGCGAGCTAGGATTCTCGTATATATCTTTAAGAAAATTATTCTAAATTTGTGCCAAGTTCCATCAAAATCTGAGCGTCGCACTTGGAGTACTTTCCTTGTAAAATTGATTTCAGGCGATATGATTCTCTTGGACAGCAAGACCTTCGAAGTGAAGAGAAGCTGGCCAAAGCCCCCTACAAACAATATAAGCCCACCTCAGTTCGGATACGACTTTTGGTACCAGCCCAAGTTCAACGTTCTGTTGTCCTCTGAATGGGGGTCGCCGAATGCGATCATAAAAGGCTTCAATCCAGAAGACATTAAGAAAGGTACGAAAACAGGGTTATCTGGTACCATAGAACAGTACATTTAAAAGATATAATTTACAGGAAAATACGGCAAATCGGTTCATATGTGGAACTTTGAGACCGGAGAGCTCCTTCAAAACATTCCATTTGACGATGCAACCGGCTTCTTGCCTCTGGAAGTCCGCTTCAAACATGCAGTAAATGACAGTAATGCTTTCATCGGAACGGCTCTAGGATCCGCAATTTATCATGTTTACAAGGAAGACGGTGATGATGTAAGTGTTATATTTTATCAGCATTTTTTGTGGGCTTCTTTATTACAGACTTGGAAATCGCGATGCGCTTATTCCTTTGAGCCACTTGTATTCCACGAAAAGACGATTCCCGCCTTGGTGACTGACATCCTCATATCGATGGACGATCGTTTCCTCTACGTTTCCTTGTGGTTCCAGGGGGAAATACAAAAATTAGATATTTCCGATCCATTCAACATCCGTCCGGTTGGAACTGTTTCCATTTCTGGCCTGATTGGAACTCCATTGGTTGTGAAAAGCGTAGTAATTCAAGGGGGTCCACAAATGTTGCAATTGAGCCTGGATGGGAAGAGATTGTATGTGACGAATTCATTGTTCTCCATTTGGGACAAACAATTCTATCCAAATTTGCCCAAGTAAGTGACCATTCTCATTGTCAATCCATCCATAATTTTTTGCTATTTTTATTAGGGTGAACCAAAAGTTTTTTCCGATTTTTTATTAAAAATTTAAACATAATTTTACAAAAAATGAAAACCAGTTAAGTTTCAAAGTAAAGGCCATTTGAATCAATGGCTTGAACCCATCTATGTATCATAAAAGTTTTGGTTCACACTATTAATTCTAGAAACGGTGGGCAGATGCTGAAGATAAATACGGACGACATGAGTGTCGACCCCAACTTTGTGGTGGATTTTGGAGACCCCTTACGTTTCTCGGAAGGTCCCTATTGTCCCCATGAAATGAGGTACCCCGGAGGAGATTGCACTTCCGATATTTTTGTTCCTCCAAAGTAAAATACGCCTAATTAATCACAAAGATTATTATAAGAGCAGAATAAATTGATTCGTGTGTTGATAAATGCTGTTTGATCAAACAAATTTCAAAATAAATTTCATAAAGTTGTTTGTTTTACTTTGTAAACACAAACAAGCCATTGCTAATAAAAACAGTTTTTTCTGTCACTGTTTTACTAGTTAACCTTTTAAATATGAGCAATGAGAAAGGCTGTGACAACGGGATTTGTTTTACGAGTCCAGAAGACGCGATCAAAGCGCCGAGAGAAAGGGTGCTGATTATTAATTGTGTGAACACTGCGGAAGAAAGAAAACCAGACGCGTTAATTACCGTCGATGTAGATCCGGGGAGCCAGAGCTATGGAAAGGTACGTAAGCAAAGTTTACAGTACGAACGTTGGGGAACATACAGCCAAAATACTGCCAAGATTTGATCTTTTTTATTCAGAATACATCATAAAGTCGAGTGTGCAATGTTACGGAACAAAAAGTGATTTTTCCCCGGCCAAAATTTGCTTAAACTATGATAAAATAAAGACATTATGTTCTGTAGATTCTTTGCAAGCTCGATATGCCCAACGTCGGCGACGAGCTTCATCATTCTGGCTGGAATGCCTGCGCTGGATGCAGGGATGACGATTCCGCTCGCAGATCACACCTGGTTCTACCTTGCCTTCATTCTTCTCGAGTTTATATTATTGATACTCGTGATCCACAGGCTCTGAAGATTCATAAGGTAAAATACGTTATGAATTAAGGTTTGCTTTGCTATAGCGAAATGTAATTCTTACGCTTTCCAGATAATTGAGCCCAAAGAATTTGAGAAATTGAATGCCACGGCTTTTCACACTCCTCATTGCACCCCCGAAGGAGAAGTTGTTATTGGCGCCTTGGGGGATAATGACGGCAACAATAAAGGTAAAATACGGTCACCTTTTTTGGGTGTAGCATCTACTTCAGGGGATCTAATCGTTTTGGACAGTAAAACGTTTGAAGTAAAGGGAAATTGGCCCAGCACAGGGATGCTCCCAAAATTTCATTATGATTTTTGGTACCAACCGAGACATAATGTGCTGTTATCATCGGAATGGGCAGCTCCCAAAACTTTCAAAAATGGGTTCAGCATGATGGATGTTCTTCAGGGTAAGGAGGCGACAGCTGTATATCTCAATTGTTACTACAAAAAATCAACTTAAATCTATAGTATTTAGGGTAAATTAAGATTATTTGGAAAAGAGTGTTTTTACTCCGTAAAAAAGTGTTGTTGTTCTGTATAGTCATAACTAGTTGTATATTTTAGGCAAATATGGAAAGAACATCCATTTATGGGACTACAACAGACGGCAAATTATGCAAACGCTAGAACTTGACAACGTCACTGGCCAACTCCCATTTGAAGTGCGATTCAAACATAACCCGGACGAACCACATGCCTTTATTGGCACTGCCTTAGGCTCGTCTTTAATCCATGTATACAAAGACAATGTAAATTTTTTAATTGTGTTTCTTATTTTATTTACTTTAGTTCCAAGACCCATGGAAACATGAAGTTTCAATTACAATTCCGCCAAAAGTTGTGGCCAGTTGGACCTTGCCAACCCTCCCAGCGATGATAACGGATATTTTGATCTCAATGGATGACAAATATCTGTATGCTTCTTGTTGGTTCTTCGGCGAAGTTCGTCAATATAATATCGAAGATCCTTACAATATCAAGTTGACTGGAAGAATTTCTACTGGAGGAATGATCAGCAAGGATTACGGACTCGCAGTGTTGTATGATCCGGAGGGGCACGTAAGTCATTTTTTGGATCTTACATTAGTCCGTTAGACAGGTCATCCTTACAAAATTCGAAGTATACTAGTCGCGGAAAAAAGTCCTGGGAATTTCTCGCGCCCCCCAAATTCCGTCGCGCACCGAAAAGTTGATTTGTCGCGGGAATCGCGCGCGACAATAAGGCAAAATCAACAAAATTGCACTGTGCAAAAGCACTTTTCGGGTTCATGCACAGTGCAGAGTCGCAGAAAATTCCCAGGACTTTTTTCCGCGACTAGTATCTTACAAATCTTTTGACATATATGTATTTTATAACACTTTTTGGGCACTACAAAAAACCCCATAAGAGCTCCAAAAAATCTGTTTTTTTACTCTTTAGGACACAGTTCCACAACTCGAAATCAAGGGCGTCAAGTTCCAAGGTGGCCCACAAATGATCCAACTGAGCCTTGACGGACGCCGTCTTTACATTACAAATTCTTTGTACTCGGTTTGGGACAAGCAGTTCTATCCGGATATGTCGAAGTAAGAAACTTGTTGCATAATGGACATTTGTTATAATCAGATTTCTCTCTTATTCTTATCTCTATGATCTTCAGAAAAGGCGGCCAACTTATCAAAGCCGACATTGACATTGAACATGGCGGGATGAAGATTGATCCCAAATTTATTGTCGACTTTGGCTCTCTTGAAGACGGGCCATATGGTCCTCATGATATGAGGTACCCTGGAGGCGACTGTACCTCTGATATTTTTGTGTAAAATACGATTTCTGCACTATTTTTTATTTTTTGATTCTAACCGTATTTTTTTACTCTGATTTACATTTTTCGAATAAATCTTTTTTTCCTGTGAAGACTACGTTTTCTAGCTCTCGAATAAAATCCATCCATCAACGAATCGCCAGCGTCTTTTGTTATTTCAACAGCCATAACTTTAAAACCAGCTGATTCCGGAATGCTCTTCGATTCACTGAACCCGCAAATTGTAAGCTTTTCACGTGGTTCGACTTTTAAAGATGCAAAAGAAATAACACTTATTGCGGGAAATTTAGCGAAGAGAATTCAGGGGTATCAACATAGTCAAAATAATTAAAATTTATATCATCAAGCGATTTTGGGAGCTATAGAAAACGTTGAAGGTGGTAATTGGGGTGAGAAACGGCTCTACCAAACGGTCTAATGGGCCCTTCTTGAACTTGTTTTGACCGGGCTCGGCTCGCGATTTATGTCTAAATTCTGTGGGGGAGATTATTACTGCAGTGTAGTTTAAAGTTAAGTACACTTCGCGAGCTTGGTATGTGCAAAAATTCATGAGAAATGCGTATCATTGACGCCGAAAGGAAAGTGCTTTACAAGGATATTTATTGCTTGTTATTTAAAACGCGGAGCTCTCCCGCTTCTTAAGTTTTAAACTTGAGACTACTGTAACTCCATATACTTATATTTTTTGTCTTTCTTACCGTGATACGTTCCATTTTCGTTTGGCTAACAATAACTAAAAATAACTTGTAAAAAATACGGTAGTTCAGTAAATGAAGGGCAAGGTCGCCGAATTCAGCGCGCTGCAGCGTGTGTTTTTCGTGATAGTTAATTAAAAATAGCTTTTTTAAAAAGCCCTTTGGAATCACTTGAAAAGCGAGATGGCCTCTGATTAATCTTGACCTTATCAGATGAGGTTTTTATTATTTATTTATTTCTAATTTGTCAACATTTACAATCATCGCGGCGATCATCTTTAAAAATCATTTTTTAGCTGTCTGAAAGTTCAACAGGATCCCAAAAAAGGCTAAAAAATGTTTTGCCCTAGACTTTTTGATGGATTGCATATCACTGTAAATGTAGCGACTTTCTTAAAACCTGCAAAAATTGCAACGGACTTTAGTGAGATTCCTTTCTAGATTTTGTTCAAGTCATGCAATGATATAATTATCTTACAATCCTCTACGTTTATATTTTCAAACTGCTTCCAAACCATCACAAAATATTATTCCAAGCGCTAAAGTTCAGCTGTCAAATGCGTGCTGAACTGGGGATCTCGAAGCAAACAAGTGGATTAGCTCGAACCAAAATGTGATTTCAATCCGAATGTTTTCGATTATAAATAGCTCAGCGTTCTAATCACAAAGCCCACGTGAGCATGCGTATATCATCAGCGATATTCGGTCTTTTTGAAAACTTTGCCAACGTTCTTATTTACCGTTTTTTATTTTTACCGTACTTATTTAAAAAAAGGTGATAAAGACGGCGATAAAATTCCATGATTTCGTTACCGCAATGTAACTCTGTTTACATGTTTCAGAGAGTTTTCCTCTCGCTCTTCGCTCACCCAATATTTAATAATTCCCGCGCTCCAAACATCACGATTAAAAACGAAAATAAACGCAACCTTTAAAGGTGGATAGAAACTTTGTAAGAGCCAAAGTTTTTTCGGTTATTTTGAGCGTAATTGAGCCGCGATTTGTAGGTGAGCGGATCAGGTGAAGTTTTTGAAGTCTACTTGCGGTGGTGACAAGGCTTTGTATAGTGAAATACAAAATAATATAAGGCTTGTTTGTTATGGAAAGGCTTGTCTTTTTATCAAATTTGGAATGAGAGATAAATGGTGAATACTTTTTTTGAGATTTTGAAGGCATGGCTATGTTTCATCGAAATTCGAACACTTCAATTGTATTTTTTCCACAGTAAAATTAATCTTCATTCTTCTCGTAGAACGAGATCATCGAACAATTTTTAATTCTGCTTTATCACATCAAAATTTTTTTGTATTCTGTCACCAGTCCATCAACGTGTTCATTACCTTGCTCATTTTTCACTCAGTAAACCCTTACCAATAAGGCCTTACTGGAAAGTAATAAAAACAAAATGTTCAAGGGATTATTTGATTTGGTGTCCATTCAACGTCACAACGCTCGTTTTGTTATTTTAGGGAATCACGAGGAATTAACAACGTGGAATTCGCATTTTTAAAAACTTTCCAAACGATTTTTGAAAAGAACCAAAAAATGGCAAATATTTGAGCACTGTAAAATAAGGGTCCCGTATTTGACTTTTAAAGGTTGTTGATACAACAAACGCGTGGTTAAAAGTAAATACAGAAATCGGTATTGTAATTGCAAAAAATCATGGTGTGAAATGTGTTGTAGAAGCATTGAATTGACCGTGATGTTTGATGGAATAGAGAAAGTTTCTTTTGTAGTGCCCTTTTTTAGTGTTGAATTGAACAGTTGGAGTTGCCTGGTTTTGTTTGAATTTTGGAACAAATCTAGTCAGAAGGTACACCTGTCAGCCTATGTTCTTGGGGCGTGAGTGGAACGTACTGAAAAGAAACCTTAACTACTTTAGTTATTGTGATTTTAAGTTAGCGAATAGAGCCCGAAGAAATTGTTCGTTCAATATCAAGCCTTGTTACTCACTTAGAACCAGTTAAATCCATGTCTAAGCGCTACATTAAGCTCCGACTACCTCCCAAATCGAAGAACAATTTTTCTCTCATCAAAGGCTCATTTTGCGATCACAAAGATTCCATGCGTTTGTCTCGCTGTCCGCAAAGTTCCATCAAAATTTGTAACGTTCAAAAAATACTCTCATGATCTTTAAAAAGCGCTCTGATCACCGCTTATTATGATCATTTATTTTTTGTATGCTTGCTTATCACAGCTGTGATAACCCGGAGGTATTATAGGAACTAGCCGCATTCCATTTTAAAAATATTACTGATAAACAGGAACAGGAATTTGTTATCACTGTGCCCAATTTGCTTATAATTTAAATTATATAAAGCATAGATTTTGACAGACAAATACATACGTAGGCTTTGTATCTTACTGTTTGCAAAACTGTAAATTTAGAATCCGATGACCTTTGGCCACATGGTTAACATTTCTGCTATCCTGTGCATGGTACAATGTGACGCAATTTCTGAGTTGATCTCTTATCTTGTTCTCTTTAAAAGTCAGCACATGACACGTCCCAGCTAATGTATTCAAATACCCTAAACAATCTCCGCAGGGCTTATATTGAGGGCTGCTCAGCAAGTCAAAGTTCTGCGGCGCTCATTGTAAACATTTGCCGATGTGGTGAGTGATCTTCAGTATGGGGCTGTGGTTTTATGCAATCCTCTTTGGGTTAGGATGCTCTTGTTCTCATGAGGTTATGCATAGGCATGTTTTCGTGCCTCAAGTGTTAAAATATTGGATTTTTTTCCAAGGGTAACCGGACTATTCAAGTCTTTGTACCGAAGGTTTACGGTAATGAAGATAGTAGGTCAGAGAAAATATTTTAGGCCATATGCTTGTAAGCAGTGAGTGAGAAAAAGTCTCTATGTTCTGCTACGTTTAAATGTACTCTATTTAAACACTCATTACCAAAAATAAACTCATGCTGCCCCGACTCTGCCATTAAAAAAAACTTCGTGTTATGTCATTGCATCTTCTTTCCATGTATTCGCTTCATCCTCATCCTCTACTCCAAATATTTTTCAGCATTTTGAACAGCCATTTACTGGACTGCAAGCTTTTCCGAAGAAAACTTGGGCAGCAGCGCGTCGTGTATAGAACCCAGCACACATCATGGTGGGCATAGCCACAGTTGCCGATGGAATCAATGAAAATCGACCCAAAACACAGCCCCGAGTCACTGGATTCGTCTGGTTGCTGGCTTCAATGTCAGTTGTTGGCGGATTTTTGTTTGGGTATGACACGGGTATAGTGTCATCAGCGATGTTATACGTTGTAAATAATGGCGCGATGAGGCCGATGAATCATTTATGGCAGGAATTAATCATCGCCATAACTCCGGGTAAGCGAAAAATCTATATAGCATGTAATGGTTTGATACTTCTATAGCGTGTGTATTATAGAAATATATCGCATTATGTATTTAGTAATATTTTTACGTTATTTTAGCCTTCGCTGCGGTAGGATCTCTGTTCTCAGGAAAATTTGGTGATCGGTTTGGTCGAAAGAAGTCAATTATAGTGTCCAGCTTTATCTTCTCCATTGGAGCCTTACTTTGTGGAGTAGCTACTTCAAAAGCAGTCCTTCTGATTGGACGGATTTTACTCGGACTGGCTATTGGTAAGAGACTAATTTGTACAGTAAAACATCACTGCACACGCAAAAAGACCCTAACATAAATCAGGGAAATTCTGCGTCACCTTTGAACCGGAGAACAGTTTCATTTACCATCTATACAATTGCAGGAGTAGCCTCGATGATTGTCCCGGTCTACGTCGGAGAATGCTCTCCAACTCATGTCCGTGGAAAACTCGTTACAAGTTTCAACATGATGGTCTGTTTCGGTCAATTCGCAGCCAGCATTGTCGCTGGGGGCCTGGCTTACATTGATCCCTATAACATTGGATGGAGATTGATGTTCGGAGTGGCCGTGATCCCAGCGGTCTTCCAATTCTTCGGATTCTTTTTCTTGCCTGAAAGCCCAAGGTGGCTCTACCGACATAGAACTGCTAAACAGAGTCGAAAGGTGGGCTTAAATTGCGTTGAGAGTTGCACAATTTGGGTTAGGTAATAAAGGCGAGGTTTGTTTTAGGTTCTGGAACGGGTCTATGGTGGAGATCAGGAATGGATCAACTACGAACTTGGAGAAATTGCTGCTCTTCATGAGCAGGAAGAAAGAGCCAGAGCGGAGCAAGGTAAGGATAAGATTTTTGTTAAAATTTGTACAGGGTGTCCAGAGAAATGTGCCGGAAAGTTTTTGTCGATTTCTTGGCGCTCAATAAAGATATCCGAAAAATTCTTTTTGCAGGATAAAGAAGAATTTGGGCGGTTTTTTGTCCGAAAGAATCATTTTTTCCGCCAGCGCGGAAGGCAGTGTATTCGGCGGAGACTTTTGATCGCTTTTTTGGCCATCACACCAATTTTAAACGCATTATTATGATGCTGAAACTTCCGGAAAGTCTTCAAATTTTTGACGCAATAAATCACACAGACAGCGACATCGCAATGCGATCCCATGTAGCGACTGCACGGTGCAGCCTGTCGCTGCAACACCGATAAAGTCCGAGTGCACCGTGCGGAGGTTTGAAACAGCAAGGCAAAAGGAAATTTGAACAAAAAATTTTTTGTTGTTTTCTGGTGCACCAAGTGGTTTTCCGATGGCTTAGCTTCTGCCAAAGCTTGGTGACAAAATTTTCGAAGGCATACGAAGCCAGCAGGGTGTTCAAGCCAGGCCATAAAAATTGTGTTGGACCATGTCTTGTCCGCAGCTGAGTTATGGCCTCCGCCGATTCGGCGAGCGTCCGCCATACCTTCGCCGAACACTTGGTAAACATGAAAATATGCAAATATCTTTGTTTCAACCATCAAAGTTCATAATAAAGCGTTTAAAGTTGGTGTGATGATCAAAAAAGCTATCAAAAGTCTCCGCCGAATACACTGCCTTCCGCGCTGGCGGAGAAAATGATCCTTTTGCACAAAAAACCGCCCATATTCTTCTTTATCCTGCAAAAAGAATCTTTCGGATATCTTGATTGAGCGCCAAGAAATCGACAAAAACTTTCCGGCACATTTCTCTGGACGCCCTGTATTAATAGAGTCGAAGAGGTTTGCTAAAATTTCAGCAATTCATGCATACACTTTATAGACTTATTTGCAGAATTTCGGAGGCATCGAAGCTTCGAATCAAGTTTAAAATAAAATTCCCCCCATTTCAGGCAAACAAAACGTCCTCGTCAAGATCTGGAACACCCCTCACGTCCGTCGTGCCTTAATCCTCGGTTGCAGTCTTCAATATTTCAACCAGCTTGCCGGAATCAACACAATCATGTACTACACCGGGACAATCATCAAGTCAACGGGCGTTAGAGACAACCATGAGGCTATCTGGCTGTCTTGTATCACATCTTTCTTCAATTTCGCCGCAAATCTATTGCCATTCTTCATTGTGGAGAGGTTTGGAAGACGTCCGGTAATTCTGTCATCGATGGTCGCGGTCACCGTTTCATTGTGTTTAATGGCGATTTCTTTCATGATGGTGAATCGGGACACATTGCCGACGATGAGTCCCGCTCAAATGGAGCAAATTACAGGTAATTTGGGGATCTATTGAGGCAGCCTAGGCCTAAAATATTATGCTTGTTCGAAAAAATTCTAGTGTTCAGTTGATCAACATCTTGAAAAGTGACTTTTCAGGAGCCCATCCACACTTGAACCTTGCTGATCCGCATGTTCAGAAATGCTTGGCCTTCACCAATTGTGACTTCTGTGTTACCGATGATTCTTGTGGTTTCTGTGGGGCCACAGCCTTTGCTAATGAAGGAGGAGTGTGTTTGCCATTGGATGAACTTCATTCGGATATCAGATCTGCTGATGGTGAGTCATAAAATAATCTGTGCGACATACAAGAAATGGCGTATTTTACAACAGAAATTTTTTTCCAAAACTCGCATTTTTTTAGGATTCTGCTCCTCCGAAGCCCCGAGTTTCATGCACAATGTTTCCGGCGTTGAATTTGAATGGACTGACGTTTTCTGCGAAAACAAATACACGATGCTGCCCTTGATTCTCATGGTTATTTACCTCATCAGCTTCTCATCCGGATTATCGCCCATGCCTTGGGTTTTGAACGCTGAATTTTATCCGATTTGGGCTCGGGGAATGTGCGTTTCATTGTCGACGTTCTCTAATTGGATCGCAAATTTGGCGGTTTCCATGACATACCTGACGTTGACTACCACTATTACTAGATACGGTAAGGAATAAAATTTGATAAAAACTAAAAATTTTTTTGGGAAATCGAACCTGTGTTTTACCTTTATAAATATAAAGACAGTACAAAAAATTAAATTTTTTCAGGGACCTTCTTCCTGTATGCCGCAATTACTGCTTTCGGCTTTGTAATCGCCTACTTTTATGTCCCCGAAACCAAGAATCACTCTCTGGATGAGGTGGAGACATTGTTCATGACACAGGAAGAGCGTCTCCGGCACAAAACCTCGCTTCAAAACCTCCAGACCCCCAAGGTATCACAACAAGTCGAGTTAAAAGAGACCAAAGCATAAGATGTTTAATGAACAACTCTGTAGATACCAAGAATAGTCGTGTAATATATTTTTGTCATTTTCCTATAATAAAATTTTACAACGTTTTTTGTGACTTTTTGATCGAAAAATAAGATTTTTTGGGCAATTCGGGATAGCCGGAAGGCAACTCATTATTCCGGAAGAGAACAATAAAATTAACATTAAAATGCTTGTCAACACATATTACGTCAAACATATTGAAACAGAAAACGTAAAATAAAATAAATTTTGATTTTTTCGGGAAATTTGGGGACTTGATTTTTTGAAAAAATACGGCAAAATTTGTTTAAAACAATTTGTTAAAAAACAACCTCATATTATAAACAAATTACAGCAGCTATTAGCATCTTTTTAGTCGAAAAATCATCAGTGCCTTGGACTTTAAAACTTTTTTCTTTAAGTTCGCCTCCAAATTATTCAAATTTCCCAAAGTTTTCATGTCCTTTTCTTGTTTCAAATCGAACTTCGCTCCTTTCCTACCACCCCTCTCAGTTAGTGGTCGTTTCCGGTCGCCGTGCTGACCGTCTTTCTTCGCCGATGTTGTTGTCCAAGAAACTCCCGGTTCTCTCGAATCTCCGCGCCCTCCGATCTCTCCGCCTCAAGCACACGGCAGCTGATGGCAGCAAACTGATGAGTTATGTGCATCAGACCTCGGACATCCCTCTGATGCACAAAACCATCGGCCAACAGGTCAGGGAGTTCACGGAGAAGCACCCGGACAAGGAATTGTTCGTCTTCAAGGAGCAGAACATCAGCAAGACCTATCAGGAAGTCTACAATGATGTGAGTTGAAGAAATTTTGTTGGCAAAAATTCATATCAACTCTAATAAGATGGAAGCCAAAACCCACAGGAATTGGTATTTGAGAAGACTGTCGTTTTAATTTTTTCGGATTTTTCCCGAGCTGCGCCCGAGACTCCAAATTATAATAATTTTTATGGGACTTTTTTTCCTCTAACATCTCTCAAAACTGCCTTCATTGTTATTCCAATTAAAAAATTTTATTTTCAGGCCCGTAAACTTGCCCTTGGCCTGATCCACCTGGGGATCAAACGTGGAGATCGTGTTGGAATCTGGGGTCCCAATTATTACGAATGGACCGTCGCTCAATACGGCGCGGCTCTTGCTGGGATTGTCCTGGTAGGTAAAAGGGTTATGTAAAACGGCATCATCGTGAGAGACACCTCATTTTTTGAAAGAGGACGTTTCATACGATAAAACAGGCACAGAACAGATTTCATCGCACGACATCCCTCTTTAAAGAAGATGGTATAACATAACCACCTTGTGACATACAGTATTTATTTTTAGGTGAATGTAAACCCGGCGTATCAAACCGAAGAGTTCCGCTATGCCATGAGGAAGGTCGGCGTCAAGGCGTTGATCACCCCACCAAGATTCAGAAAGACCAATTACTATGAGTAAGTCGAGCCAACAAAGCTTGATGTTCACCAATTTTCCAGTATCATCTGCGGATTGTCCCATGATCAAAAAAAAGCCCCTAAGGGCATGGGAATTGTTCAATCGCAAGCCTTGCCGGATCTCAAGCATTTGATCATGTTCGACCCGGATAACCCGAATCACGAAAGTTTCAAGTAAGTCAAGGAAAACTTTTTTCAGCATGAAATGCTAGTAAATTTGTGGCAAAATTTTTTGGTAGTCATTTACCCACCTTCCAAATACACATGGTAAAAATCGCTCCACGTCAACCCAAAATATAATAGAAGAAAAAATTTCCCGCCCCTTTTTGGTGATTCGTTCAAAACGAAATGTCACTATCCGATAAAAAGCATTTTCTTACCTTTCTTCTTCCTTTTCGAGAAAAAGCAATTATTTCGGGCGAGAAAAAGTGCCGATAATTTCGCGGCATTTCGTCTCTATTTTAAACCAATGAAAACGATACAAAGTTTCGAAACGGTTCAGGCAATGCGCTGGATTGACGTGCGCTTCTTTTTAGTGGCGCTTGGAACTTCCGTGACATTCTCTGCTCCGGCGGCTCGGAAGCCGAGGATTATCTGGAGTTCTGTCAGCGCCGCACCCGCCCCGACGACCCCGCCAACATCCAATACACTTCTGGGACGACGGGCATCCAGAAGGCCGCCACGATCACCCACTTTGGAATGCTGAATGCGGCCCATTTCACGGGTGTTTTGATGGGATACGATCAGAACACGAAGCTCTGCCTCCCCAACCCCCTCTTCCATTGCTTTGGATGTGTGATTGGAACGCTGACAGTGCCCATGCTGGGAGGCGGAGTCTACTTCCCGGCATCTTGGTTCAATGCGGCAAAAGTGGCGGAGATGATCCAGGAACACAAGTGCACTGCTTTGTATGGGACACCGACCATGTTTGTGGATGTGCTGAATCATGCCAAAATCAACAAGCTGGACATTTCGTCGGCAAAAAAGGGTAGGTCAGAATTGAGGAAATTAGGGTGGAACTTTTTGAATTTTCGAATATACAGTGGGGGACCTGATCCGAAGTGAAAAAACTCCGATTTCAAAAGCGCGCCCACTCTTTTTGTCAGAGAAAAGGCGTGCCGTTCAAAACGGAGTTTTTTTGTTGGGGATGGAAGCATTTTGCCACATTTTTGATACTTCCCGGATGCAAAATGATACGTTTTTTGCCACTGGATCAGGTTCCTCACTGTGAGCTCATGTAATAGTATCCGCAGGAAAATCAAACTTTTAAAGGACGAGATTTACGAAAAAGCTTCCATCTTATGTTAGTCCAACTAACCTACAATTTTTTCAGGTGTCATTGGAGGATCTCCCTGCCCAATTACCCTTTGCCAGCAACTGGTCGAAGCCGGAATGACCGAACTTTGTCCCTGTTACGGCACCACCGAGATGAGTTCGGCCGTAACTTTGGCCCGATATCAAGACGATCCCTTGGAGAGAGTGAAGAATGTCGGATACGTGCTTCCCCACTCGGAGATCGCCATCATGGACAATCGCGGAAGGGTTGTGCCTCGAGGCGAACAAGGAGAGATTTGGGTTCGAAGCTTTGGAGTCATGCGCCATTACTACGACGAGCCTGGGGAGACCGCAAAAGCTATCAGCGAGGATCGTTGGTATCATACTGGGTAGGCAGTAGTTGTCAAGTATTGAGAGTAATTTATCGTACTTTAGAGACATGGGCTATATGAATGACGATGGAGCAGTTGTAATCTCGGGCCGCCTCCGTGAAATGATCATCAGAGGTGGCGAGAACATCTATCCAGCCGAGATTGAACAATTCTTGTTCAAACATCCATCCATCCTCAATGCCTATGTAAGTCTAGACATTTTACGGTCAATTTCGTGTATGAAATTTCGCAAATTTTTAGCAATTATGATTGTGCTCTCTGTATAGAATCTTACGGGGATCCTTTTCATGGCGGAGACATTTTATACGATGAGATATGTCCAAAACATATTATATCGTATAACATGTCTCATAGGTGAAATTTTGGTTTCAAGCTGCTTAGGGTTGTGGCCTGCTCGTTTTAAAGTCTAAAAAATCTTTTTTTTCAGGTCGTCGGAATCCCGGATGAACGTTGGGGCGAAGAAGTTTGCGCTGTGATCCGTCTCCGAGAGGGCGAGAAACCGCTCAGCGAACAGGACGTCAAAGACTTCTGTCGCGGCAAGATCTCCCACTATAAGGTCCCACAATACGTACTCTTCAAAGACGAGAGCTTTATCCCCATGACGCCCTCCGGCAAGGTGCGCAAATTCATGCTGACCGAGTCCTGTCGCAAGGAACTCGGAAAGGACAAAAAGTCGGCCTTTGATTGAGAAGAATGCCTCAGGCAATAGATCAAGTGCGGCTATAGTAGTCTAGTTTTGGGAAAATAAATCCTACTGATTACGGAATTGGTTTAGTCCATACTTTGCATGGAATATTTATTGGAAATCTCTAAAATGTGAGGGAATGAACAATATTTTTGATGAAAAGACCCAAAAAAGATGAACTGTTGCATAATATGTATAAACAAAGGCACAACATGCTTTTGTAACAACACTGTAGGCCTAAAAGACCTTGGATATAAAATATTCAAAGATTTAAAAACCCCAAAGATCATGAAATTTCTGATTTTTTAAAAACTCTAAATCTAAAAAAAATTAGACTTCATGAGCAATCTAGACACGTCCGGCTTAACAGTCGTTGTCAGGCCTTGTTTTGTAGAAACTGCAACATCAACGAATCCAATTGCCAAATATCAAAAAATTGGACTTGATGATGACTTTCGACGAAATTTGTGGCTGTATCCTAAAAAAATTTAGACTATTTTGTCACTATAAGACAATCAAAGCTTCGAGGTATATTTAAAACCATGAGTTCGATTAAAAAATTCAGTAAAACTTACAAAAATTGGCGACAAAAGCATTAAAATGTTGCCGATTCTCTCGGCCCTCGTCAATTGTCCATAAGAATCGGGGTAATTCTGATGCAAACACTGAATTATGTTGTCGACTTGGGAATTTAGAATCCTTTTCGCTTCTAACGAGACGTCAGGAATGGCTGAATACATTATTTTAGAAACCAAAATTTTGCATTTTGGTGAGAAATGAGGATGATAAAAACACCGCATTTCACAAGAAAAAAGGGAAGAGAAAAAAATAAAATTGTAAAAACCGACAAAAAAATGGAATGCTGTTACTAAAATTAACAGCAAACTTACTCATTTGCATTGTGATCAAAGCTTTTAAGGCCACAAATTCATCAAAACTTAGGTCCAAAACGAAGAATTGATCCAATATATCCGACTTAATCCGGTTTAGCAACGGCCAGTATATCCTAAAATACGCCTATTAAACCTCTTAACACTTCAAATTGGCAAAGAAAACCAAAAATTACAAAAAAAAATTTTTTGAGACAAGATAAAAATCTTGCTTTCAAATTGAAAAATCATAAGCGTAAGCCATATTTTAATCTCCAAATAATATTTCAACTCGTATTTTTCCCTCCCCAACTTACAATTTCTTGTTATCCCGGCTGATTTCCTTCTCATCCTCCCACCCATCGTCAGATTCATTAGTCGTCGAAACATATCCCCCATTCGGAAGAACGAATTTACTTCGATCTTTCAACTGCAGGGAAATGAAGCACGGGTCCAAAAGAGTGTGATACAACGCGCATTTCCGGAAGCATGTCACTTTGTCCTCGTGGCTGAACAAGTGATAGGCAGGCCAAACTCGGAGCCATTCGTAAATTATGAGGAGATGGGTGCGGATCGATTTTCGGAAACTCCGGAATTTCAGAGGCCTGATGTCAGCCATGTTGAAGCACTGAAAATTTTATAAAAACGTCTTCGAAATCAAAAAGCTTATTTTAGGTCTTGGATTCGTCCAAAAATGTTACTTTAGCCAAGTTCAGCCAAGTTTTTTTAGATCTCAACTTGCCTGATGTCAAGTGTAATATAAAATTTTTGTTTTCGAAGACCGAAAAAAATCAATCTCAAAGTTTAAGTTTACTATTCAACTTACACATTCTTTGGTCTGCCCGACCAGACTAGCCACCGGTCGCTCACAAAACATGATTCTCCGTCTTTCGCCGATCTTCATCTCTTCCTCAATAAAAACTTTTAACAAATTCTCGTCCGGCTTTAACCTAGGACTTGGAATTGAGGATTCTGGGGAATTGCGAGGCTGGGAATTGGCGTGGGACGACGAGCAAGAGGGCAGATCTTCATCTGGAACGTCCTCGGCCTTGATATGAGGCAACTCATTCGGCGAATTCACAGCCGAGTTGATGGCTTTCAATTTTGCCTAAAAACAAAAAAAATGTCCATAGATGAAATAAAATATTCAATTTTAAAAATATTGTATATTTAGTCATAGGGTACCTCATTTAATCCGAATCTTTTATTCCTCCGGAGACCTGATTGGGTGTAATAAGAGCGAGTTTTATGGGACTTTGACGCCGATGTAGTTTGAACACCTGCAAAATAATAATGCAAAGCAAATTTAAAATTAACATTAAGCACTTAAATAATAAAAATAATATCAGAAATTAACGTTTTACCTATTTTCTTCAATTAGTCATCAAAAAATGCCAAAAAAATCGCTTAAAACCCGATTCCATGCTATTATTACACTAAATATCACTGCTTAGCAATCTCAAAGCCTTACAAAATCAACTTACTTTCCTTTTTCATCCCCACTTTGAGACATTTTTCCATCCGGCAGGCTCGGCAAAGAGCTCTTTCAGCTAAAAAAATATCAAAAAAAAATCACCAAAACTTACTGTACAATATATTGCAGGCATTATTTCCGGTAACACAAGTGTAGTCGCGGCTCAACGACACCGCTCGGCGGAAAAATGCGGCGCAAGCGGAGCCTGGAAATCAAGGATTATATTATGAACAACACAACAAAATAATGAGAAAAGTTTAAAAAATCAATAGCTGTCTAAACTAGTTTTACTAGCAAGGTGAGAACGTATTCTTATTAGGACCACTGCTTCAAAGTAATCACTACTTACATGACTGAGCATCAAAATGGAATCCAGTTGCATGGGCGGAGCAGACCTTGCAGTCATATTGCTCGGGTTCCACTGAAAATACGGTAATCTCATAGGCTAATTACTATCAAATAATTTCAACAAGTGTCCGCAATATTTCTAGACCATAATTCTTACCACTTTCCACATCTACATGCTCATTTTCCTCGCTCAGGCTCCTCCCATCCATTTGATCTAAAACAAGGACGATCAAGACGGCTGTAACTTTTTTATACGACAAAATCTCGAAAAATCATCTTGACAGTAGATTCTCCAAACATTCTAGTATGGTAAAACAAAAGGAATTAACATATAGATAATCTGAGATTCGGAAATTTCAGCTTCAAGTCCAACAGATCAAGAATAAGGTTTTCAAAAAATTACTGCAACTTTTTCCCCGCCATATCTAAAAAACTAGTACGGTACACTACAGTAAAAACATGTCTTTAGATTACACTTTTAAAGTGTACATCAATTCATTAATTCCATTATTCCACATTCTCGTAGGTCCCTTCAAAAGCTACACTGCAACATCAGACACGAAATATCAAAAAAAAAAATTCTCAGAAGGCTCATCTTCTCTTACCTAAATTGCCCTTCAATCCCTCCTTATCTCTCATCTTCTGCAACCATCTCAAGCAAAACTATCAAACTTGACCCATCCAAAAACAGGAAAAATCCCCATTTTCTGTCATTTTCCCATAAAAAAGCGTCCGAAAAATACGACAAAAAATCGGCTGATCACAGATCACCTCGACCTTATATCAACAGGGATTTTTTTCGAAAAGACTCGTTATTACGCAATATTTTGTAATAAACACGATTTTTTGACAACTTTTTTTAAAGAAAAACGATTTTGCCCTGAGGGCAAGTATCTTTCCATTTAATTTTAAACACTTTGAAATAGTAGAAAACGACTTCTTTATCAGTGATAAGTAAAAACTTCATTCTTCAATCAAAAATATTCAAAAAATCCGAGAAACTTTCAACTCTTTTCACGTAATTTGTCTTATTTTCTTCGAAAAAACAAAACTTTTTTGTTATAAAACCCTAAACACTTGTGAATGACTTGAAAAAAGTGGGAAATTAGCAGTGAAAAGGGAAACCAAGAGTCCCGAAGACTTTGAACCTTCAAAAATGGCGAGATTTTCGCTCAATTTTCGGTGATAATCATAAGAAGTGTGGTTTGAACTGCCCTACAACTCTTTCAAATCAATGTTTACAATAAAATTATTGGATTTTTACCAAGATTTACTCCAAAAACCACTAAAAATGGGAGAAATCGGCTCGATTTAATTAAATCAGTGGTGGGTAAGGTGACGCCGCGCCTGTGTGGGGCCGAAAATTGTTTTAAAACACCCGATTGCCTTTTGTATTTGATAAAAATTACCCACAAACCGGCGACGGATTGGAAAATTCGGTCCGAAATTTCTCTGATTGAACGTTGAGAAGGGAATTCGGAGCGTTGGCGCCCTTATCAGGCCGTTTTCGAAGAGTTTGCGGGCTCCAAAGGTCAGCGGAAATTGCATAATTCCAAGGGTTGGCGTGAAATTTGAACGAATAATGGGAGGAAAATGCAGGAAAATGACGACTTCTGCAGATAAAAAATTAATGATAAGTCCTTGCAAGAGCAGAAAAGGACAATCTGGAGCATAAAAATTCAATTGCGACATCGAATATATTAATTTTTCACTGAATTTATGACCAACAATGTCATCATTTTAAAAAAATTTGAGAAAATTGCTGGAATTCAGTCGGACCACATATAAATAAGGTAAGACAAATTTAATTCTCATGTAAAACAGGACATGTATTTTTTTCAGGATTGAGGGCAAAATCCCCAAAAATTCGTAAAAGCTTTCCCTTTCGAAATGCCAAAAGAAACGGAGAGAAATTCAGCCGTGGTGAGATGGCCGAGTGGTCTAAGGCGCTGGTTTAAGGCACCAGTCTCTTCGGAGGCGTGGGTTCGAATCCCACTCTCATCAGAAAATTTTTTTCTTTTTTTAAAGTCAAACTTACTGTTTAGGTAAAATAAATCTACCCACAATTTTTCAGACATCAATGCCATTATGACTTTTTTAAATAATCTCATAAAATTCACCATAAATTCCCGGGAAAATCGACGTTTTTACGCAATTGCTCGTAATATAACAATAGAATCAACTACATTCAATTTCAATCAGCAGGTAATCAGTAAATATTTATACATATCGAGGTTCACATGGGTATATACCAGTAATTACATGAGTTAGTATCAAATACAATTGCAGTTATAAATTGTTGATGTTGTTTTTGAGCCACTGAATACTCGCAGCGTCAATTCCATGCAAAACAGACTTCTGGTGCGCGGAAGGGAGTTCCCTGAGACGGAGGAGAGACTGAAAGCAAAAAAGTGAAAATCGACCAAAAGCAATATCTCATTTGATAAATTATGCTACACCTAGTACCGAAAGGAATAATTTAATGGCTCACCTGACTCAATGTCTTTTCTAACTTCAGTGATTCAATCCTCAGGCCCGCTGCTTCGAAAAGCTCCCTCTTTGATCCATGCGGATCGGGCGATTTCATCCGCCTCGACTCATGAAACGGCCGAAACTTGACCTCCTGGACCCTATCCAAGATCTGCATCATTCGAAGAAATTCATCACGATTATTAGGATCCAATTCGAATAGGTTCTTCTGCAGCAAATCTCGGAATTTAAAGGAAAAAAAGAAAAATTCTGCCTACCTCTTCCACCGGCTTCCCCTTGCTGAAAGTCAAATTCGGATCCAAAGCGTCATCAGACCTGGCAAAGATATTCATATTCCTTCGAGTCGGAGTAGCCGCGGGATTGAGTGGAGCTCTTTTGCAACGTGCTGGAGTCCTTTCACAATGTCTTGGAGATTGGGACGCACACCGACGATAGCGATGGGGCTGCTGGGCTCGAGACCGCCTATATGTCAAGCAAAACATAGAAATTGAGGAAACAACTCACTCTGTGTAGACTTCTCGTGCTGCTTTCATCCATTGTACTCTCTCTTCACGTGTAGGGGTGTTCGAGCGTTCCATCTCAGAAAACGACCACTTCTCGGCGCAAAAACCACTGAAATAAAAAATGTCTATGATTCAACGAACACAAATGAGTAACAACAACCATTTAAAGGCCGCGTTTCACGTAACTTTACACTTCAAAACTTTGCAACAACTTTGATTTGGCCGAAAATCTATGTTTCGACGGTAGCCAGGGCGCGAGCTGCCGACCTGTTATCTCCGCCGGCCGACTTGTTATCCGCCGTATGGCCTTTGTCCAAATTATTAAATTTTTTAACAAAACTATCCAATATCTCTTCAAAAATCTATTCCATAAAGTCGATACGAATTATAACTTTATACAAAAACAACAGAACCCGAGATCCTGAGGTAAAAAATACAAAGCGTAATATTTCAGAAAATTAAGTCATACATTGTTCAAATTACATCAAAAGACATGACTTGTCGGGTCGTGGAGCTGAGGATCGTTTGGTAGCCTTTGGATTAGGCTCGACGGGAATAAAGTGCTCCTCTGATTCGTCGATTTTAGCTGACTTTCTGGCGGGCTAAAATACGAAAGCGATTTAAACAGTATTAAATGTAATGACAGAGTCGTAAACGGCATAATGAAACAAAAAAAGGCTGATTGATGCCTACACAAGGCATACAGGCTTTCTTGGCTCAATAAAAATATAAACTCCCTTACTTCTTCATCTCCACGCCCATCATTTTCCTTGGTTCCATCAAATCTGGATTCCCAGGCATACAAATCCAACTTCCATTGTTTCACCGCCGCATCCCAAGCTCTCCGCGGGCATTCCTGGTATTTGTTCGGTGTTCGAGGACATTGCCGATCTCTCTTGTGGTTGGGAACTTCTCTGGTGTACTTTTTGTACACTTCTTTCTCTTTAGCCTTCTCAATTTCCTTGGTTCTTCTGGCTAAGACTTCTTCGGAAATGTTGCACTTGCGACGGTCACCAAATCCATCGATTTTTCGACTAAAATAATAAAAATAATAGAGATACGGCCGGATGTCAACTCCCAAATGGTCTCAGGAGTCGCGAGGGACAACTTTGCGACAACCGAAACATGTACAACAATCCACAACACCTTAACTTTACAAAATTTGACTAACATTATATTATCCATGACAAAAGATGGATATTATTGCTTAAAATTATTCCATGCTGCTAATAAACTGTTGTAAGTAGCAAATTAGAATTATGAACATCCAATACATTGAAAAGTACTTACTCCTTCCGAGCATACAGCCATTTAACATCTTCATATTCTTTTCCGGGTGTCCGGATCAAAAACTTGCAATCCTTCGGGATCACGGCCAACTTCTTGCCAGAATTGAACCATTCCTCTTCGGACTTGATGTACAAAACGTCTAGAAGATCGTCGTCGCCATAGTAGTACGCTGGCTCCTCAACGGAAAGGCTTTCGACCTGAACAAAATGACGAATAAATTAAACGTAAACGTCAGCTTTAAACGACGGTTTCATCAACCTAAATGTCAAGACAGAAAGAAAACCGGTAAAAACTTACTTTACCACAGATCTCATTGACGACTTCAGCCACTTCCGACGACATTATGCTGCTGATTCCAAGTGTAATATCCGGGATTTACAATTCGAGGTATGGTTGACGAACAATTCTCGCGGAATTTCGTCGACGAAAACAAGCTTATTTTCGTAAACGAAAGAATATTTTTTCCAGCTTTGAGCAGATTTTGCGCGCCTTTGGCGTTTCGTTTCAGTTTTCGTTGCGGGACTCAGCGAGGATGAAGGCGAGGGTTTGCTGATCTTTGAAACACGCAAGCATGGAGTACCAAGCTTAATTTACAACTTGCAATATACAACTTTAAAAATCACGATGCAGAATTTGCATATTGAACCTAGGGTTAAAGAAAATCATTCTTCTTTTATTTTCAACAACTTTCTTCATGAACGACGGTGGTTATGGGATCGTTATTGGTATCTTTGTTGGTGTTCTGATAGCATGGACTTGTCGAAAGCGTAATCGAATGCAATGGTCGGAGAAAATTTTTGGTTCTCAATTTACGGATGATCATAGGCAAGATTTTGATATTTTTTTAATTTGAGTCACTCCGTACTCTAATTCGACATCAATTCCATTATGTCTTATTCTGCTTCCTTTTTATGTCCAATCGACTTGAATCTCAAAATTTTGAGATTTTCTCGATCCTAATCCCAATTTGACTTGTTACAGTAACCCCATCAATCTTCGCACCTGTCAAGAAGCACTTCAAAGTCGGATCAACGAGATAGAAAGGAATCTAAAGCAGATTTCATTGTCTAAAACCATGCCAAGAAAGCAACTCCAAAAGTTTGTTGAGGAGGAAAGAAAAGCTCTGGATTGTCTCTCACTCGAACTGGAACATCTGAAAGAGGGAAAGCCATCAAAGTGTTTGCTTCAAGCATGGGTTATTGCTAGTCAACGGGGCGAGGACAACACCATCATTTTACGATATTAATTTTTCCTGGATTTTGATTATTTGTGGTAAATAAATGATGATTAAAATTTGTCGTGCATTTAAAGATCGAAGAATTTTAAAACTCCTAAAATGACGTCATTAATCTCATCGATCAAGGAAATTGTAATGGTTGTAAAATACGCGCTTGTTCTTTTTTCTATTTATAAAAAATCATCCCAAATTTTCAAATTTCCGAAGATTTCGTAAACCCAATTTCACACCTCCATCCAAATTCCATTCCCACATCCAGCGCAGCTCTTGGCCAGTCGGTCGAATTCCTCGTTCCATGTACTATTTCGCCGTCCTCTCCGGCGCCGGGATTGCTTTGACTTTCGCCTGGAGTTGCGGGAAAAATCGCCGAAATTCGCTGAAAAAACGAATCCCCAAAGCACTGTCAATAAGTAATAGATCCAAAAAGTCGAAGAAATCAGCCAGAACTCCATCACAAGGACAAAGCGATCGGAAGAATGTGCCGGGTGGATTCGGATCGGTGAAATCTTCGAATCGAGTGAAGAAAACCACGAGAAAAGAGAGGGATGAGAAGAAGGAGAGGAAACAAAAGAGTTCGAAGGGCCAGCGGAACAATGGAGATCGGAGTAAAAGGTAATATGGAAGAAATTATGGTAAAATCTCGCTTCTAGTTCGAAAAAAATCAAGACCCAAAGCTTTGGCGAATTCTTTGATACGCATTTTTTGATTGTAAAATACTTTTTTGATGTAAAATACAAAAATTAAAAACGGTCTTTATAGCGGAGAGACCATGGGAAATGAGGAGAGACGGTCAGAGAAAAGATTTTTTGAGTGTTTCTTCCATAAGTTTTCGGAGAGATAGTCGATTTTTTGTTGGGCCAAATGACTTCATAACTATTTCATAAGCATATAAAAAATAGTTTTTTTCTCCGAAAAAGTTGCTTCTTCAGCCGCCGTTCATCAAACTCATCCTCCAAATCCAATAAGTCCCAATCATCCCAAAAATCGGCCCGCAAGTTGCGACGTTCCAAGTCCAATGGAAATGACATTAGTGGCAAAGATGACGGTGAAAAATCGGCTTCTACAAGCCAGAAATCACAAGACAAAACGGAGAAAGATTTCAGTGGAAGAAGTTGGAGAAAGTCGCTGCAAGATAACGATGACTCGTAAGTCCAACTTTGGAATTTCATGAATTAAAATTTAAATTTTAGATCCAAACAGATGGTTGCACCTACAAGACAGCATGAAGTTGACATTGATGAGGACGATCGGAGTATGAAACCGCAGAAGCCAAAGCTCAAAAAACGATCCAAATTGTCGAAGAAGCCCGAAAAGTCAGACACTTCGAAGAAGGATGAAAAAAGTATTAAAAAGTAGGGAAGTTGAAATTTTATAATTGAAATTAAACGAAAAACTAGGCTTATAGCCAATTTAATTAATGATTTTTGATCAAAAACAAACCCAAAAATCCTAGGGTACTGTAAATTTTGGAAAAGTTTTGATGACTTTTTCGCACAAAAAAATAGAAAATATAATAGAATAAATACAAAAAGAAACGCAATAATAAAAAATTATCGTCAAAATTTTTGGATTTGCTAACATTTAACCTTAGGGCAGCTCCGACCGCATCAGGAACGGTAGTGGTTGAACCGGAACAGGCGGAACAACAGAAGGACCCACATGTCGACGGAGTCATCAGCCAGCGATTCAAAATTTCGTCTGACAGTCTGATTACGGTGAGAATTCGTTTTATACAAAAAAATAAAAAAAAAATCAAAAGTCGATTTTTTTTGTTTTGTTGCAACAAATTGTTGTAAAATACGATGTAGTCTCTGTCCGCCAACTTTATTTCGTACCCACAATTTTTTAATAATTTTTCAATTTGAAATGTTCAGCCAACTCCGACCAAAGCCTCGGATAGCAGCACCTCATCCGCGAAGCCGGCTCAGCCTCTGAAAACCATCGCCAATGCTCCAAATCCAATGAAGAATCAGGCCGGAACGAATACGTCATCCATAAGCAAGAAGAATGAGAGTGTGGGAACAAAGAAGTTGAGATATAGGCAAATCCCGTAAGGAAAATTTCAAACAATCCTAAAAAAAATTTTTTTAAAGATTAGAAAAGCCGCAAAAAATAAACTACTATTTTAAAAAAATCAAAACATTATAAACTTAATTTTTTTAATTTCAGCTCAAGAGGAAAACGAACTTTACATGCCCCAAAGAAATCCAAATTCCGTTGGTTCAGATCGAAAGCGGCCAAAGAAAAGACGTAGAATAAAATTGTGAGCTTTATTTTTGCTCAATAAATGATACGAGGATACTGAATCGGGAAATGTTTGTAGAAAAAGCTTGGTAAAATACGCACATGGCAATTTTGCAAAAATGGATGAAAGAAAGAAAAACATTTTTGAAAGTATTCGTATTTTATATACCTTCCCATTAGTCCCCGTTTGAGCCCTCATTCGGAAATCGCCCGAAGAATCAGGGGAATTTGGATTTCCGTTTCTGTCGATGACCTTCATCCATTTATTTCTTCCACGAGCCGGGAAAACGGGGCGAGAAAAGCCCCGGTAATGGCTGATTTTCTTGTTTTTAGCAACTGACTGCAAGTTTATGGGCTGTCGATGCAAAACGATTTTACAATTTGGGGTGTTCCGAGTTGAAAAAAGAGGTGAGGATTGCTTCGAATAAAGGCCTGGCAAGCCTCGAATACAAGGGTTTCCTTGTATCCCAATGAGTTTTACAGCTGGAAAAATCATTGTGATGCAACGGTTAGATGTAACGTAATCTTTTTCCTATATAATTTGAAAAGGCTGCAAGTCAATTTTTGAAAAATTTTGTTCGTGATTCGCAGGGATAATAAAGATCTTGAACAATCTTTGTAAACAAGAGACTATGAATGAAGAACATAATAACTTTTTTCGGCCTTGCCCTTGCTAGTCATATGTCGTGCTAAAACTTGAAGCCTAATTAAGTCTTTCATTTTTCACCAAGTTCCGGCTAACACAAGTGCAAAGATGGAAGCGCTGTTGTAGCTCCTCGATAGTTCTAACTCCTCCTCTGATCATCTTCTTAAAAATAGCTTCTATTTCCCTTCACTTCCCCCGCAAACATAACTTCTCTCTAATGAATTCTACTCATTTTCGCATTCCATCTTCCAATCACTCTCTTTGCAACATTACCTTCAAAAACGGAAACTGATATATCTTTTTTGCTGAATCTACCCCACATTCCGTTCAATTTTATCGCGCTTACACGGGGTGATTTGTTTGTTTCGGAAGTGTTATGATCGGGAAAGAAAAACACAACGGTTTCGAGCGATTATTTCTCTTTTCTCGGGTCAACGAGATTAACGAGTCAAACGGTGTGTTCGAGATGTTTGCAGAGGGGGGTAAAGTTGCGAGAGATTCGGGGGAAATGCTGAAATTGTTGGATAAAAGACAATAATTTGGATGATTGATGTTAAAGCAAGTATAGGTTTCAGTATGTAGTGTTAGAAAGAAATGTGGCTTAGAGGCCTTGAAGGTGAACTTTAAGGAAAGGCAAGTGATTGCTGTACAGTTGAAAGATGCTTGTTTCAAAATCTCATAAGAGTTATATCAGGTTACGGTAACAGAGTTGCCATAACCCGAAACCTCCGAAGGTATGAAACTTTTCTTTTGTGACTCAAATTCCCTAATATAACAGCGAATGAGCCTCGAAACATCCCGTGTTACCTTTCATTACCCTTACCCAATAACATTTTATCAAAGCGTTCTTCCAAGTTCACTTGCCTTTCGATGACTAAAACCCGCCGGAATTAAGGTTGTTTGAAGAAATCGGGTAATGAGTCCGAAAGGTCGGTTGTTTTTATTCATCTTACGGCGACTCCAGCAGCTTCAACTGGGAATCGGAATGGATTTTCGGGCAAATGCCTGTAAATTTTATTTTCTTTTGGTTGGAATTGCGCCCTGTGGGCTGTAAAGGGAGTTTCAGGGTATTAAAGGATTTGGAAGACATTTCGACAAGATTGTAGATGATTTCGTGGGATTTTAAGTAAAATTTTATATTGCAGGAGGCAGATGTTTCAAGGGTAATATAAATTGACATTTTGCAAAGTTTTTTCCAATTTCGCGATCGAATTCGCACCCCCTGACCAACAACATGTCCTTTTAAAATATTAATCTATCGCAGTCACTTTTCTCATTCATTTTTTGGACCATATTCGGAATACCCCCTCCGGGCATTCGAGGCTCGCTTTCGGAGCGGGAAATGCCCCGGAGTTTGGGCCGTTTCCGGTTTTTCTTCCAGACGCCGAGGTGAGATGCTTCTGAATGCTCTTTCCGAGCTGTTTTTGAAAGAAAAAAAAACTTTTTTTCTCCCAGAAAACGCCCCGGGAGACTTTAAATGGGCAAGCAGAAAGACTTGACCCTTTGAGCGGGGGATCGGCTCCGAATTGGAACGCTGATGAGTCGTTCGTGCGGAATAGAGGGTAAAGTGTGAATTGTCACAATGTAAGGGATATTGAGCTCGGGTTTGAGCCAATATTATGGATATATTGCACTTGAGTAGTAGAGGGATGTACAAAATTCGAAACCGATTTATTAATCTCTCAGATAGCCACTAATATATGACTAATTTGTATTGGATAAAAGAGGTCATTAGGTACCTCTATGTTCATTTTTAGGCATAATATTGACGTGATGCTACTGTTAAGCCTACAATTTTGCGAGTACCAATTTCCGACCGGAACTCCTTAGTTTGAACCCAAAAGACTATTTTTTGAGTGGAATAGTGCAGCCGTGATGTCGGTAGCAGTTCCATAACAATATTCATAACTTTGGACTCATGCCCTTAGGCAATTCCTAACCTTATTTGGTTTTTTTTGCAGTTTATTCTCTCACATTAATCTTAGTTTGTGATCAAGCTCTGTATTAACGCTCTCGCATGACTGTTTAAACAAAATTCGAGTCCCGTCGTCCTTATTCATGTCAATAGACCTGAAACATCCCATATTCCCCAAAAAATTGATATTTTTTTATTAACAGCTGATTTACACATCAGAGTTTTGCATTTTTCCGAAATTTTGACCTCCTGCCACAATTTGTATCATTTTCTGGCCGATCACAAACAATTTTAGAACCCATCAATCACGCCGTGGCCAGATTTTGACTTGAAAACGTCAGGATTTCGTTAATTCGGGTCAACACTCCCTTTTCGGGGAACCACTTGACACATCCAGATTTTTTTGCCGTTTTCGATTTTCTTGCGGTCAAAGTGGTGGAAAAGGAGAAAAAGGAAGAACCACCAAAGTGTTTTTTGTAACTTCACCGATCTCAACAAATGTTTTATTAGTTTTTTCCATGTGCTTGACAATAACGATGGTTAGACTTGGAATTTCAACGATTTGGGTTGAATATTGAGCTTTTTTGAGCTATTTTTTGATGGTGAAAACAACCAAGGTGATTCACTATGCGTTGATGCGGGTTTATCAATTTTATTACTGATTTTATGCGTTCTTCTAATGCACTTAAAATTTCGTTTTTTGCAAATGATACCGCGCAGAAGTCGTTGATTTGGTAGTCTTCTTTCATCTTAAGTTTTTTTAGGGTGTAATTAACATCTTTTGATGTCGATCGAATTTGTTTTGACCGGAAGTTCGCTGTTTTCAGATAATTGTAGTTAATTTTTTTTAAACTGTATTTTCTTATGTTTACTACCTAAAAATTTTGGCGATTTGCTGTTGCTTGTAAAACCATGCCATGAGTTTCTTTTTTTAAATTTCCAATTCGATGTATTAACATCGAGAAAGTGATAATTTTCTTATCTTCTCCCTCTAATCTTTTCCCTCCAAATTTTTTGCCGTAATATTCAAATGAAATCATAATGTCGCGCGCAGAACACGTTATGATATTATTTATAGACTCCTTCAATGATCGCTTTGCTTTCAGGTGTAGCCGGGATTCGATTTAGTTCTTTTTTTCTCGTTTATTTTTGTTCGGAAATAAGAGAGAGAATAGAATTTTTATAATCTTCTGTGTGAATGGTAAGTCCTATGATTATCATTTTGATGCTTTCGGTGTTTAGAAGGACTAGTTGATGGTTGGAATGGCTGCAGAAGACCAACGGCCCATCAATGTTGCGGATTACAATTTTGAAGAGGTATGGTTAATTAAGGCTTGCGGTCTATAGTGGGAAATGAATAGATTTTGGAAGGAAATTACCAAAATCTTGCAGTTTGCAAGATTTTGTATAATGACGGTAGGACAAAAAGTGCTATTGTTTTTGGTCTTGTATATTTTTAGGTATCTAAATTGCAAACTTTTTTAATACGAAATTTAAACTATTCGTAGCATCTAATAAAGCTATTTTTATTCCAGGGAAAACTCGTAGCCTCGGTTCGTTGGCTGATTACCAAGATCTATGAAGACAATGATATTCCCGACAAACTTCAGCGGCTTTTCCTACGAGATGATGAGGTTTGTTTTTATTCTCGCTTTGTTTTGTTTTTAGAAAAAGATTAGCTTTGTATTTTTCAATTTTAAGCGGCTACTCCACTTGTCCCCGAATCTGGTGGGTGCTTTGGTAAACGGGTCATTGTACAGTCAAGCAGCCTCCAAGATTCTTCAAGATCCTTCGTTACTGACTGTAAGATTGCTTCAGACATATTAGAAACCTTTATCGTATTTTAGAAGTCAGTTGGAGCCGTTTTGAAAGCTTTAGCATCGGCTGATATTGAGGTCCGGGATGCGGAAGGTGGAATGATTGTGGAGGAACAATTGGTTACGGAAAATCCTTTCAAATTGGTGAGTAAAACGCAAGATTTTTTATGTGTTACATGTTTAGACTATTCATCTTACACTTATGGATGCATTGATGACAGCTCACATGAAATCGATTATATCCATTGAAAGGGTTGTCCAGGCTGTCTCGTAAGTGTCTTAAATTGAACGTCATTCTCAAAAAACTGGGAATTGTTATATTTTTTCGAAAAAACAGAATGGAAAACAAAAATCTCTCGTTGTTATGATAATTATTAGCGGAGTCTAACATATAAAGTTATTTCAGGACCTATACGTCAGTCGACAAGCGCGAAGAGCCCCTGGATTGTGTAGACGCCCTCCTTTTTTGGATAAATAAGATCTGCCTCTTGGTCCGAGACGATGTGGAAAGACAAGGGATTGCTCTGAGAGGATCAGAAGAAGGCGCAGAACCCACGATTCCCGAGATGGAGGATCTTTATGAAGATCTGTGTGATGGAACTTGTGTCTGTTCCCTCGCTGCTTTCTATAGACCACATGAAGTTAATTTGAAAGGTAAGATAACGGGGAAGATGGGAATTTTTGGGGATAAAAGAGAGAAATAAGGTTTCATATGGTGTAATTGACAAATTATATCGTTTTTTGTCCAAAAATTTTATAACAGATTACCGGTAGTTCTTGATTACTAGTAAAAAATTCCTGGCAGTTTGGTTCGCTCCAAAAATGGAACTTAAGCCCTTCCACCACGACAAGGCTGCCAGATCAGAAGGGATTTTTTTTTGTTTTTTTTTTTATTTTTATTACTTTTTTTTGATTTTTTTTTTGTTTTTTGGGAAAATTAGTTATAATAGTGGGGTAAAAATTACTTGCCAAAAAAAAGTAAGATTGGATGCAAAATGTAATTGTCAAAAAGTATCATGAAAAATGTTTTGATAAAATGAAAACCGAAAAATAAGAATATTAACCGAAAAAGGATGATAAAAGGTATAAAAAATTAATTAAAAATAATAACAACCGTTTAAAATTCTTACCGTATGAAATCTGGGCACCTGAAGATAGATTGTGAGGCCATTTCTCACAACTTCCTGCACCTCGATCCTCTGAATCACCTTGATCTCGTCTTGGATCTCCCCAAACGGCCGATCACAGAGAGTCGAGTCAGGGATTGGAGTAGGAGTTGGCCTGGGGACACAAGGGCTCTCCTCATCCTCACTGGCCCAGATTGGATCTGAAAAAAGGGATTGGAACTTACCTTGATTGGAAGATGACGAAAAAGAGTCATCGGATGGGGGCAGAGGGGATTTGGGGAGGCTGTCCTCAAAGAGGAAGTCGACCACGGATTGGACAGTGAAGGAAGCACTAGACATTGTTGAAACAATTCGAAACAATGAGAAAAATTTGTAAAAATCAGTTATGTAGGGCTCACAGACAAATTTAGAACAGAATTTCAGAAATTTCTGCTCTTAAAATTACCCTGGGTTGTTTTCGCAGATTTTTTTTTGAATTTTGCGCAATTTTAGAGCAGAAAAAAATCGAACTTACGGATTGCATAGTTGCGCGGATTTGAATTGAAATTTGAAATTTATAGTTGAAATACAATGATTATACAATTATTACAAGATGCAGTATTTACAAAGCACTTTGATAATGAAATTGAATCGTATTTTAGGATTTTTTAGCACTTTTTATAGGGCTTACTTACTTTGTTAAGATTTCAGTGAGAATTGTAATTTTTAGTCTTGTTTTTGATGGTAAAATACGGAAATATCGATTGATTCGTCAATCCAGGTCGTATTTTAGAGTAATGACGACATATTGGGCAAACTGTTTTATATTCATTAATTGGAGAGCTGTTTTTAGCTCATAAATGCTCCCATATTTCTCCCCCTTTTTGGTAACCGATCCAGTGGAGACTTCACACGAGTTCATCCTCAAATAATATTAGTCTTCCCTCTTTTCTTCCACTCTCAGCCTCCCACTTAAGTGCGGTTTGGGTCAGTAATGAAAAACCCGGAGGAAATATGACCATTAAACATTTTGCACGTTCGTTTTAGGGTCCTGGGGCAAAATTAAGATAAAGAAATGGGGTTTTGAGTGGATTGAGAAGGGAACTGATCATGGATCAGGTAGTCGGAGAGTGGAGAAGGCTTAAAGCGAGAGAATGTTCAGTTTAGAGAGGAAGGGATACTGTTTTATAAAAAGATTTCTAATTTTTTGGGGAAGTTTTGTATTATTGTAAAATCTTTGCAGATATCTACTTCAATGATCCGATATCCATCAACGACTGTCGTTATAACCTTGGTATTTTGAAGTAAGTTGAAAAAATAATAAGAATGGTCGGAAAATTGGGAAAGGGGGGTTTTTTATTAATTATTTTTGAAAATTTAAATATAAAATTTTCTGAAGCAATATCACCTTTTTGAACTTCAGGGAGTTTTGCTCAACCTGCCTGCCTTACAACCCGTTCCACTTTGAGATCGAGGACATTTTATACCTCCACGAAAGCCTTCAGCCCAATGTAAACGCCTTCTTGACCGACCTTTTCGCCTTCTTCGAATCCGACCCCCAACCCATCAGCCCGGTGCTCACGTCTCCAGTCCAACGACGCTTCGTCCCCATCCAAGGGATCCCGGAATTGAGGGCTCACAACTTGGCAACCCGGCCAATTCATCCACCCAAAGCCAATCGAAACTCATATGGAAGTAGCCAGAGGGATAGAAGTGAGTGATTTTAATTATTTTTTTTTTTGGTTTTAGGATGATTGAGGGTACTTCTAATATTGAAATTATGAGAATGGTGGCTTGGCAAAATTTATTTTTATTTTTTTCGGCTCTTTTTATGAAAAACGCCTCAAGAGTCCATTTTTTGTTTGTAAAATGATTATAAATTGTGTACCACGTTATAAAGGAAGCTATGAAAAAGTGCAACATGACCAGTAGTATCCTTGATTTACACAAGGATATTACTTTTCCATGTTTTCCGGGTTTTTGAACAAGAGGAATTGATGACTTTTATGGAATTCACGAAAATTTGGGTGCTGATCTCAAGTTTAAGGTTGTAAACATATTTTGCTAGGTGCCTAAGTTAGTTTAGAGGAGACTTTTATGGTTTCTGATGTCAAGTTTGGGTGATTTTTAATATTTATCGATGTTTTTTTTGCAGCCATGTCTGTCGCTTCGGCCGACTCCTTAATGACCACAAGATCTGGCGATTCCTTCCGATTGAACCAACAAAAACCGAATCATTTACCGCCGGGAATCCCCACGACTAATTTTGGAAATTTGAATGTAAGGTTTAAGTAGTGTTTGGAGATTTCTGATATTATTTTAGGCCGATGCACCTCAACTTGAAGAGCCGACCAACACCCCGCCTAATTTCAAAGCCATGGCCGAAATGCGCCTGGCCTTTGAGGAAAAACGAAGGGAGCACGAGAAGAAATTGGCCATGAACAGGTAAGAAAGATCTTGAAGGGCTTTTTTGATCTTATTTTAGACATGAATAAGGTGATTTTTGATGAAAAGTAAAAATTTTTGTTGACGTTTTGACTTTAGTGCCATGAAAGAAGAAGAGCGCATCAAAATGGGTAAGAACGCGTTCTTCAAACTGATGTCCAAGTCCGGCCATGAACAAACTCCAATTAATGAAGATCCGCCAAGATACGAAGGGGCCTCAACAGCTCGAGAAATGGAACTCACTGCCCAGCTAGAGGACATCAGAGAGGAGTTAAAGAACCTCAAAGTCATGCAACAGCAGTCCATGTCCAATTTGACGAACGTTGGGATGTCCCACGCCACTTCCCAGCCATCATTGTATAATGATGCCTATCAGCAACAATTATATGGAACCCTACCTCACAAATCACCTCATCATCCAATGCCCCAAGCCGTGGGACAACCAGGCATGCCAGGCCCCATGGGACAACCAGTTGGACCGAATGGAATGCCTCAAATGGGATTAAATCAAAGTTTCGGTCAGCCGAGCATGGGTAATATAAATCAAAACCTCCCACCCTATTATCAAAGCCCCGAGGCTAACAGAAATTCGAGTTTTGGAATGCAGCAACAATTTGCCCCTTCTCCATACGGCGGCTACCACATGGACCCGAGCCAGCATTATGCTATGCCCAATAATATCGCGCCCCATATGAATAACATGCCAAATTCCCCGTATTATCAGCCACCGCCGCAGTATCCTCAACCCGGCTTTCAACTCCATCAATCTAACAGCCAAGGAGCTCTTCATATGGCCAGTCAGTATCAGTCACCCTACCAACAACAGCAGGCATATTATAATCAAAGTCCGCACCCATCTATGAGTTACTCGATGTACGAACAAAATGGAGCCATTATTTCGCCGCAGGAAGAGCATTACGCATCTCCGCAGATTCCAAATCCCAACACGTTCCGACTGCATCAACCATTCGCATCGTCGAGCAGATTGGACCCTCCATTGGAGCTAAATCGAAACCTGACCAATTGGGGAATGACCTATCGGGAAGAGAGAACTCCGAGAAGACAGTGGGCTAATGTTAGTCAGGAAGAGGAGCGGAAGAATGAAAATGGAAATCAGGGAGATAATGGTGAGGGATTTTTTTGATTTTTGGGTAGATTTGGGGTATGAAGGGGATGTCGGATGTTGTAATTGGGATCAAGAGTAAGAAATTGATGTTTTAGTGGATTTTTGAAGGTTATTTTGTATTTGTCGAATAAGAAAATTACATATTAAAAATAAATCTCTATAAATTTTACCTAAAAGGATGTCTGGAATTGTATTTTCAGCCGAATCGATTCCTCAGCCCCCGGCCCCAGCGGAAAAGAACCCAACCCCACCCCGGGATCCCCACCGAAGTTCGGAAGAGATCAGCCAGCAACGCGACCCATCGCCGGAGAAACCAGTCATTCCTCATAACAATAATAACAAGTCTGATGTGACCCCAAGAACTGAGGTGAAAAGGGCCAACAGTGGATTGGTGATTGCGGACGTGGGAGCCAATGGAGGATCAGAATGGGTAAGATCCTTTGTCAGACTTTTGGATTTGAATTTTATCAAGGTTAAGGCGCAAAAAGCGTTTTTTCTCTGTCTGTCTCTCTTCAATCGGCATAGTCTCTAATCATTTCCCAATTTCAGACCGCCGAAATGGAAGCCCGTCGCCAGGCCTTATTGATGAATCAAATGCGACGGAAAGAGCAGAGCAAAGTGGCCACGGAAGACAAGAAAAGTGAGATTGATGTGAAGATTCGAGAAGAACAACGACGAAAAGACCTGGCCGAGCAAAGAAAGTTGGATCGGGAGATAAAAAGACAGCAAGTTTTGGAAGAATATAAGAGGAAGAAAGCAGAACAAGAGATTCAAGAATTGAGTGGAAGTGTCTCGGCAAGAAGTTCTACCGGCTCCGTGGGCACAATCAGTCGAGGACATTCGCAACCGCCTTTTGGGAGACCAAAAAGTCAAAGCAATGTAAGTAAAATTATATAGTAGTTGAGAAAAGTGGATGGATATCGGGGAAAATTGAGTGATTTCGAGGGCTTAGGATGTAATTCGGCAGCTTGGAAACATTTTGAACTTGATCTTTGGATCAAATCTATATCAATTTATATTACACTAGGCAAAATTTTTTTATATTTTTTGTATTTTTTTATCGAAAAACTATATCATTGGGCATTTTTTTAAAAATTTTATGTTTGAACGCTCGATTAGAGAACGTTTTCATGTAATATTCTCCATGTGCCACTTATTTTTCCGTAATTGTTTACCCAATATTCGATTGGAAAGCATTCCGGAAAACACATTTATGCCCCCAAAAAATATGAAATTCGAAGAATTTAGAACGAAAAAACGAATTTGCGATTGGAAGTTGGGTGCTTTATCATAAAACTTTGGCCAGTTTTTGGGCGGTTTTGCCATGGATAATATAAAAATTGAAAAAAAGGTTGGAATTATTGGGTGGGATGGAATGGATTTAGATAGTATTTAGAACGTATACCTCGTTAAGAAAGTTACTTTTGAGTTTTGAAAAAATTTGGATACCTTTTGATACTTTTCTAACACTTTTGAGTATTTTTGGCTGATGTCTTTTTGCGAGCCTTTCTGAAGTAAAAATAGGTTTTCAGATTGCTTTTTGGTATTTTGTCTTTATTGCCAATGGCCAATTAGCGTGATATTGAGATTACGAACCCCAAAAAAAGACCTTACACCTCACGAAAAGACCCCAAAACGGGGCTCTTTGGGGATTTTTCGGCGATTAACATTTTATTCTTTCTTTTTTGTGCCAGGGAGTTCCGAATGGGACTCTCCGTGTGATTTCCGGCTTTAGTACGAAAAAAGCACGAAGAAAAGAAGCAAAATTGCCATGCGAGTGTTGATAAAGCACCCAGCAACCTGCCGGCCAGCCTTATTTTGTAGCCCGGAGGCACTTGGATACTAGATTCCGAGCTTTGAGACTGTTCTCGAAGCTTTTTGATTGCAGAATTGGATATTATTTCGATTTTTTCTACTATAATATTGAAATTTTTGGAACTTGGCCGTATTTTAGCTGCTATTATTGGCAGCTAAATATTCGGAGGACTCCTTGGACCGCATTACTGCCTAATATAGTTGTTTGAAGAGAATTGCATTGATTTTCTTCCTAAACTTAAAATTTCAACCCAATTTTGTGTTAAAAAAGTGGTGATTACACGCAAACTAGGACCCATGATGATCATCAACAACTGGACCAACTTTCAGATGAGCACCCTTCAAATGCGCACAATGCAACGACAAGGTCGCGCCCAGAGCAGTGTAACTGATGAGAATTCGCTTCCCAAAATTACGGTGCCCGCTCTTGCAGATCCAAGTAAGTTTTTTGGGTGTTTAAGAAAATGGGTAAAAATTTTGGAGATCAAGTACGGAAGGAGAAGACTTTTTGGCAATATTTAGAGCATTTTTAGTTTTTCAATCGATTTTTTGGGGTTTCCGGTTTTTTTGAAGGTCATAAAGTTTCCAGTAGATAAATTGGGGTAAAAGACGTTCTATGAATACTGAGTTAAGATATCGTACAGATTAAAGACGGCAAATTGTTAATTATATTGCTTTAGAAGGCTAATATAATTGTTTGTAATGTTTTTTTGAATATTAATGTAAAATCTTTTTGCAGCTCTCAAATTGTACGCAAAGGCACAGCCCAAGTCCAACCGGTCTTTAATCATGAACGCTCTCCAATACTCTGTTTTCCCTGGCGCAGTTTCCAATGATCAAAGGAACAAAGTGAGTTTTGGGGGTCAAATAAGACTTATAGTTTTTACATTTTGAGAAAATTTTGGGGGGGGGGGGTTGCATACTCTAATCCAGCTGATCAAGTACAGACATGGCAATCGGGCCGGGCTTTTTGCCCCCCGGGTCCCAAGCCCGGCCCGATGAAATGTAATTCCTTTTCCGTCGAAAACAAAATCTTGTTTACGCTGAAAAACAAAATGCCAGGCAAAAAATTGGCATCTAAAATTTTGTCGGGACCAAAAAGTCGGAACCGGGCCTCGGGCTTTTTTTTCGGACCTTGGGCCCGAAGCCGTGGCCCGAAAAAAAACCGTCGAGCCCGGCCGGATGAAATGTAGGCCCGGCCCGTTTTCGAAATTTCCAAAGCCCGGCCCGGTTGCCATGTCTGATCAAGTATGACATAAATTTTCTCATCTTCTCTTCTCAGGTCCAAGCTGCCTTAGCTCAAAGCGACTCAAAACACTTCTTGGTCCTTTTTCGCGATCATAAATGCCAATATCGCGGACTCTACACCTGGAATCAACAGGACGATACTGTACATCGGATTGAAGGAATGGGTCCAAAGATATGCAAAGAAGAGATGATGCACATGATGTTCAAGTATGATTCAGGCGCAAAGCACTTCAATCACATCCCGACAAAGTCTCTTTCTGCTACCATTGATGGCTTCACAATTCAAGATCAGTATTGGCAAAAGGCGAAAATCCCGCATAGCAGAGCTGTCTAAGGAGAATTAAGGTGGGAGTTGGGATTATTTGATGATTGGAATGGACTTGAAGAAGAGTTATTGGGGCTGGAAAAGGTTGACGAGGCTTTTTATGGGGATAAATCGGGGAAGGTTTAGAAAAAATCTTTTCCAGTGTAGTGCAATGTAAAAAAACATGATTTTTGGAACTAAAATTTTGAGATTTTAGCCTAAATATGCCTTTAATTATATACGCATGCCCTTTAGACACTCATCAAGTCCTGAACATCCCAAATATTGACCTATTTTCCACCTTGATACCTAGTTTAATATCAGAAATGAGAAATTCCCTGACCATTAGTAAAACCCCTTTGTTCTCTCACTTTTTTCACGAGTTTACTGAATTTTAATTTCACTGGGTTATTGTAATCAATTCGAATTCCGCTTCCCGTCTCTCTCGATCTTTATGTTAATTTCTGAAATTGTCAATCATTTTTTAACTTTTAATTTGTCCTTAAATAGTATTACTAACCCTTAATTATCTTACTGATAATCTTGCGAGAAGATCCGTCCAAGAAATCCGAATACGAGTCCATATGAACATAACTTTATAATGGTGTCATTTTAAGTGCTATCTTCACCGTTCAATAAAGAATTCTTTGAAAGAAATCAGCTGAAATTATTTGGGTCCACAGGGTTTGTAATCTCGAGAGTCCAAGAGTTTTGGGGGTCCCTTTCCATGCTATTTTGAGGCACTTTGTGAGTTCAAAAAATACCGTTCATTTGTAGTATATACTCTGGAGTTATGAAGTAGAATCAATCGCTTGATGAGGACATTGCGAATTGAACGATTGAAAATTAGATACACGTATGGGGCACAAGCTAAAAATTTTGTGTCAATTAACGTAAGCTAAAGATGTAGTTCGTTTTCAAAACAGTTTACCGTTCGCTCCCAAGTAGCTTCCGCCGGCAATTAAACTTATTGCAAGGCCAGTTGAAAACCAATTCTCAATCAGAAAGGATAAACTGGCAACCAACTCAAACAGACCGATTATAAAAACTTGGAGGCACATCTGCAAGATGCTATATTCAGCTGAAACGACGTTGAAACATACCAATTTATCATTCCTGGACATTGTCGACTCATGCCGTTTCACTCTCAAAAAGTACAGTAGGACAAAGGTGGAGCTCAGCGTAATTTGAGTGAAAACAGTCAGTGTGTTGTTCAGTGTGTGGATATAATTTACATACACCTTTCCCTCGTCATCGAAGTACCCGTAATGGGGATTGAAGAACCAAGAGTTGCCAATCCCGTTGAACAAAAGAGGCTTTTCGAACATAACACAATATAGGAACAGAGAGCACGGTGCGATCATCCAGAGATAGACTTTCTTCCCGCTGAACAATGAGCGTGCCAGATGACTACTGTACATTTCACAGCAGCGGTTGAAACTGAGGATTGTCCCTGCGACTGTGGAACCCATCCAGCCGGCTGAAAGTTATATCCGTGTGTCGATACGTCAATCCAGCGCATTTCCTGAACCGTTTCGAAACTTCTTATCGTTTTCATTGGCACTTTTTCTCGCCCGAAATAATTGCTTTTTTTCGAAAAGAAAGAAGAAAGATAAGAAAATGCTTTTTATCGGATTGTGGCATTTCGTTTTGAACGAATCACCAAAAAGGGGCGGGAAAATTTTTCTTCTATTTTGGATGACGTGGAGCGCAATGTCGTTGCGCCGATCGCGCCGCTGAAGTGAAAATTTTCTCGGCGGCGATGAAATTTTCAATGCGAAATCGTTTGTTTTGTTGCCACATAAAATAGATTGCATAGCTACTCGCTCTTGTAAACGAGGATTTCTTGGCAATCAGACCAACTGTTAAATCCTCTAGCTAATCATACCGCACAATACTAATCATGTCTTACAGTAATCTTAAATTCTGAAACTCTCTCAACTGAGTCATTTTGCCGATCAATTCTCGTTCAAAACACCGGTCAAATGGGACAAATAAATAAGAGCATGAACACTAATAATGTCGACTCTTAGGCATTCAAATTACTCAACATTAAAGGGTCATAACTTTAAGAGGTTTCCAAGCACTTACATGTACCAAACGTGCCAGCAAAATAAATAAACGTGGGATTGTCGCAGAAGACCGGGCCATAACAAAGCAGGTAGGTCATGAAAAAGCCGCCCAAAACAATTCCGTACAGATGATAAAACGCCATGAGTAACATCAATCGGTAAGTTGAATGTTTCAGGAGCCCCTTTTCATATATTGCGTATATGCAAAAGATGTACAGGGTAATTGAGAGTAAACCGCAAGGCAGGCACAGAGCTCCGACCATCGGCATTCCACGATCTTCTGCCGGAACGGTGTCCGGATCGTAGAATGTGCAGTTGTACAGTAAATTAAAGCGATCTCGTTCGAAGAAGAGGAGTTCCATCGCTGAAATATTAACAGTCAGAAAGAACGGGTTGAGAGTTTTCGGCCAATAGTACTGTCCCGACTTTTCCTGAACCTCAAAAACAGGCTCAGAAGAAGGAGGCGGGCCTCCAAAGGAGGTGGCAATGTGACTGTTTACTGTTCCTAAAGCTGAATGTACAGACAACTCATTGTGTTCTAAATAAAACGACATAGAGACTAATTTCCACCTTTATCTAAAGAATTGCCAATTTGTTTGGCCAAAGAGCAGCAAAAAGCTTGTTTTTAGAAAACTACGGATGAAATAAAAATCTACAGAGTGTGCCAATTTTGTGGCCGGATTTTAATTGGCTATAACTTCTTTAATTTTGGGCCAAATTTTAAAGAAGTTAAAATCGGGCCAGAAAATTCGTACACCCTGTATTGCATTAACCTTCTGTGGCGTACAACATACCACAAAAGTGCCGAGCAGAATTTAAAGAATTTTGAAAGACAACCCCGAGACAAGTTAAACACAATCATGCAGAAAAAAACAAAATGCAAACCTAAATCTCAATATGAACATGCATTCGGGAGCTTACAATTTATAAGCATTATTTCGCGAGATTATGAATGTCACAATTAGCACATTTATAATCACCTGTTTACAACGAGTTTCTGTGTAATGCCGGCGAGAATATTATACTGACAACTGCCGTCAGCGATGTCATTTTTGAGGAGTTTGGAAATACGATCTGCAAAAACAACTGGTCTAACCCGGTAGACGTCTGTTTAGTAATGATTACGCAAGAATGTTCCGAAAAGTTTATATCCTGTATGATATAAAATTGAATTTTGACAGGTGGCTTTGCAAAATCTAAAATATTACAGTAATCAGGAGGACTTCGTCACGTAGCCTGCAGTAGTGTGGGCGCAGCTCGCGGATTACTTCTTTTGTATTAGTTGTTGCAGCGCGCTGCACGTCAAGAAATTGCGGGCATTGCAAAGGTTCTCACAGCGAAAAAAAATTCATAAAATCTGTCATCCAAATTGCACATAACAACAATGTTTAACCTAATTTTTTTTATGGGAGCTCTAGGGAGTACTACAAGTAGTATACAACTGTTTTTTATACCGCTGGTACATTCTAAATGGGTGTCATCGTGACGCATTTTCTGAACATGGTTCGAGCTAGGCTAAAAATAGTGCAAATTTCAAGGCCGAATATCAAAAAAACTGTCCCATCAAGCGGGACGAGACTGGTGTAGATACTCGAAGAACAGTTTAAGGATTTTTTTGACGTGGAGCGTATACCTCCTTCCAGTGCTCTCTGACTCGGTATCGTCGATACAAACTTTTATTTAGACGTTGTATTCTACGCCTTCGAAGACTGTCAAAATACTACGATTATGGGTATATTTTGGTTCTATAAGCTTAAGCAGCTCTCAAGCTTTCTATTGGTATCAATATCTTGTGATTTACTATTAATCTTTATGTCAAAATATTGCAAACCATTTGGACAAAAACGGATTTGCACAGGGCAGAATGCCAAAAAAAATTCTAGGCTTTTTCATTGGGCGCCCGTTTTTCTTTTATTTTTTCTTGACGTGCGCTGCAGCCAGTTCTCGGATGAGAATCGTTGGGATTCGGGTGTACCTTTGAGTAATTGTGCTGTCTAGTCATGTCAGTAAGCTTATTTTGATTGTGGCGCATGTTTTTTTTCAAATCCGGCATCAATTTTAGGTATTTATCGTTAGGGTAAATTCTCTCAATTCACCTGAATTTTGCTTCGCCTTGCTTCATCGAGGTGTAATTGGTTCGAAGAATGCCATTTGTAAAACTTTGTCCGCGTAATCCGCATGATCTTAAGCATTTCCTATCCATCTGTTTTCTATCATAGATAACATTATTTTACAGGTAAATCAAGTTCTCGATGGTTTCCCACTCTCTCTCCAAGCCCAACCAGAAGCTGTCTCGCAACTCCCGACAGGTCGTGAATGAGGTATGTCTTTTTGCAGTCGCTATTTTGTTTTAGGTATTAACGAATATTAGAAGTGTTTTGATTATCAAGACTACTATTATTTGTTAATTTTATCACACTTCTTTCAGCCTTTTTTTGACGATTTTGCATGTAAGCTTACGTCAGATTTCAAAGTTCTGGCGTAATAATGTCTTTTTTATATTACTGTAAGTTTTACTTCAGACCTCTTCCGAAGCGTTTGATGAACACGAAAGTCCAACTGGAACAGAATCATCTGTTAACATTCGTAATACCACAGTATTTGTCTCGGATTCGCAGAGCGATGATTCGGATTCCGGTTCCACTTACAAGTCCGGAGAAGAACATGGTGAAGACGATTCTGAAGCCACCGACGGCTCAGGTGATACTTCTAACGAGTCCGCAGACAGCTCAGACGGGTCTGATGCCACCGTCGATTCATGTGATACTTCTAACAAGTCTGAAGAGAGCTCAGCGTGTTATGAAGACGACTCTGCTTCCACGGACGGTTCAAATGATGCATCTGATGAGTCTGAAGCCAGCTCAGACGATTGTGAAGACGATTCGGACATGGATTCTGATCTCGAGGACGAGGGAGAAGACTCCGACGAAGGAGAAGATTCTGAACCGGAGTATGAAAGTCTCAGTGATCTTGAAGGTAGTGTTTGTTTTTAAAATATTACTTTTTGTTGTTTAGAATTGAATCCAACGAGAAATCCTCCTGCTCGAGCTGATTCGAACATGGTGGTCAACGCGGAAGCTATCCAATACCTTGGCGAGGACTTCATGAACTTGTCGGTCCAAACAGCGAGTCCAATCAAGGCAGAGAGTTCCACCGAATCGTTTGAGAACATTGATTTACATGATCCACAACTCCAAATTGAAGACAATGGATTTTTCTGAGCGGTTTAGCTTCTTGATCTTTTTCTAATCTCCTAACTGATCTTTTTACTTGTAATGTAGACCTTTTTATCTTGCAATCTTAATTTTCAAACGGGTTTCTCTGTGATAAGCATGAATAACAACGGATAACTTAAATTTTCATGAATACCTCATAAGTCTTATTGTCCTCTATACTGTATTTTCCCTGTATATTAAAAACATAAATCTAACGACCATGTAGAATATCGGGGAATTAAGTTTGTTCCGCACTGCACGGGCTTTGGGCGTTTACACGGTGCAAAGGACGTTTCGTTGGAATTCGGAAGGGTTTTTAACGTTCGGGATCGTCTTTGGGCATGCAACTGCAAACTTCAAAAGGCTATGGACAGCAATATTACAGGCTTTTCCAAATTTGAGTTTATTATTCGACAAAAAAGTGAAGTAATTAATGTAAAACCAATACGTCGTGAGCATAAAAATATGTTGTGAATGAGGGCGGGGGGTTTCAAGACGTTTGAACCTCTTTATTATTTATGACAAATCCATCCATATTTGCATTAGAAACATTGGGAAAAGAGACGAAAAAAAAATGGAAACCAGTATTCACGGAAATATAACGAAAACGGAGAGAGTGGCAGAGAAAAATTACAAGACTTGAAGCGATGTTTTACTCGATATATTGGACAACGAATTAACTGATGACAAACCTACTACTACTTACAATATAGGGCGTGGGTGAAGTTGGAGGGTGTGATGAAAAGAAGGGGGGATCGGGTGTGGAGGGGAATACAAAACAAACGAAACGCAGTGTTCTTGAGGGGTGTGAGGGACCCGTAGCTCGATAAAAAGACGAAAAATATCATCAGCGGGGTGTGTAGCTAGTGTAAGGGAAGTACAGTAATCCTATGGAGTTGTAGCCATTCTCTACAGGATAAACTTAGAGCTCTTCGAAATTCAAAACAATCTCTAAAAAGCCCAGAAGAGAATAATGGACACCAAATAGAGCGCCACACTTCCAAAAATTACAGTAAAAAGGCTACAGTGCACTTGATGATATCAGATACTAAGTAGTGATTATGTACAAAAATTATTCGGAGAATCTACCAGTTGGAGAGACCGGGCTTATTCAGCGTCATAAAGTAGATCTGGGAGGCTCCGCCGCCCTTGGCCGACGAAAAGAAGACCTTGTCGTTTCTTTCACACAAGAACTTCAATTTTTGCGCCTTCTTATGCATGAAGACTCCGTCCAGATGACCAGTGTCCACATTCCGAATCTCAATGGCCTTGTTTCCCCAGCCCATAATTTGATTCGTCGAAATGTAAGCTAAAAACAAAAAAATATATTACCCTAGGCGATTCTGCAGGCAAAAACAAAAGTTTAACCCACCAACTGAGCTCGGGGGTTCTCCCCATTGGAGTTGCACGTTCTTGGTCACTTTTCCATAGGTATTGACGTAAACTCCCTCATCTGGAAAACAAACAATAACTTTTCCAAGTATTTTTAGATTATGTTATGTAAAACAATCACTTACTGTCATAACAAAGTAGCAGTTGCATTCCAGAGGTGTTCGGAAGGATAACAATACAGTGTGGAGTGATTTGAGGATTATTCTGAAGAAGGACCATAAGATATTTACAAATTTTTATATTGTCGAAAGATACCCTAAGAAACTAAACTGAAAACTATTCAACGTTGAGATATCGGGAAAAAATTTTTAGTGAAGTTGCTACACAAAATTCTAAGACTTTTGGCATCAGCGGATAGTTGAAATTTTTCCTTTCCCGCGAGCTGCGCCCTGTTGAAAATGAAATTTTTTGACTTTAGATCGCCTGTAACTTTTTTCTTACAGAGAAAAGTTTCCGAGCTTTTTACATGATGCTCATCAACTGTTCGTGACGGAACTTTGCGTTTTTTCGAAATTTTGTCATATATGCCCTGAGGGTTTCTGACCTATGGGTGGAATTAGCGGGAATTTTTTGATTCCATCGTATTCAGCACGAAATTCTAAGACTTCTGAACCCAACTTATAATTTACAATTATCGACCGGTCGAAAGTTATAAGCGATTTTCGGCATTTTTCGGATTTTTCCAGATTTCACCATCAAGATGACGGAATTTCTGGATTTTGACAACGGATTCTGATTCAGCATGCCTGATATACCCTAGAACCATGTATTGCGTTACTGTGTCGTATTTCGTATTTTAGCTATTCGAGATTTTCCGAAATTTCCGAAAAAAGTCCAAATTTTCCGGAATTTTTTTCAGGAAAACTAGATCGAAATTCAAAAATCGGGCGTCGTGTAGGTCTTCGGGCTACATAGTAGTGTCTACTACATTTTTTTCAGCTTCTGAATCCGACGTTCCGGTCCGGCGTTTTGACCGGCGCAAAATTTTCGGGATTTTTTGCACAAAATCCGCCCTCAGGGCTCAGACTTCAAATTTTTCGGATTTTCGAGATAAGCCCCGTAATCATCACGTCAAACTGCCCTAGAAACAACTTTCACCTCCCAACATACGACCATCTTACCCCGCCCGCCTAGCGACAAAGGCAAAAATTCGAAATTTTCTGGATCCGCCCTTCCAGAACTCGGCTGCCAGTGGAGCTATCGACACGATTTTGGTACCATTCGACGCAGAATCAAATTTTGGGTAATATTCATGTGCGCAACTCCGACTTTTCGTAAAATACGACCGTCCAGACCAAAATTAAATTTTTTCAGCGAACTAAATACGCCCCGAGGGCAAAAGTGTAAAATTCAAAATTCGGCTCGGGTCAATTTTCGACAAATTCCACAAGCTTCAATCGTGCCAAATTTCAGCCCAATCGCTTTCGAATTCAGCGAGCACTGGCCAAATTTCGGCCAAAAGTGGGCGTTTCGGCCGAAAATTTGCCCTGCGGCCGCTAAATTCAAATTTCGTGAATCGAGACTTGGACCATCGTGTTCAGCGTGAAAAACCGGTCCAGAAACCACTTTCATTTCCTAAAATACGACTCGGCGAGGCCGGAGGCCGAGCCGAGTCGTCCCCAACAGCGGTGGACTTTGTATTTTTTTGTGCGAGACCGAGCCGAGAGAGGGAAATTCCTTTGCTTTTACGCAACTTTGGATTTTTTTGTGCGAGGCCGAGCCGAGAGAGGGAAATTCCTTTGCTTTTACGCAAGTTTCAATTTCGAGAGAGAGCGAGAGAGGGAAATTCCTTTGCTTTTACGCAAGTTCGAATTTCGAGAGAGCGGAGAGCGAGAGACCGGAAGAGAAGACAGAGAAAGAAAGCGGAATTCCCATTCCAAGAGGGCGGGGTAAATTTGGGTTGGCTGGGGTGAGTGATTGTGATTCGAAATATTTGCTCCGGGTCGGAGCGGAGCATGTCTTTCTCGCGGGCTTGAGTAAGTAGAACGCGCGTTAGCGCGTTTTTCTGGCCGCGCGAAGCGGGGCCAGCGACTCCAGAGGTAGTGCGCGATCAACAGTAGAGCACGTGTGGCAACCTTTGCGCGCACAGCGACGTCAAGGCCCCGCGAAGCGGGGGCTTGTCAAAAACTACTGAATTTGCTAAACCGAAAAATACTCAACGTGCACTTTTTTTCGAGACTTTTTTTTTGTCAACTGGTGCGGGGATTCGATGACTTTTGGCATCAGCACTTAGTTGGAATTTTCATCCTGGCGGGAACTGCGAGCGTTTGAAAATGGGATTTTTTGATTTTGGATCGGCTGTAACTTTTCACATTTTTTGAGTTGCCCTTAGCTTTTATACATTTTTCATCATCGACCGGGGCCAAAAATCTGCGTATTTTCGAATTTTTCACATATATGCCCTGAGGGTACCTGGTGTTAACGCTATCCAGCGGGACGAAACTGAGTTCCATCATTATCTACGCAAAATTCTAAGCCTTTTGAGCTAAAGGTCATGAGTGTGGGATCGACCGGTCGAAAGTTATAAGCGATTTTCGACATTTTTCGGTTTTTTATAGATTTCACCATCAAGATGACGGAATTTCTGGATTTTGACAACGGATTCTGAATCAGCATGCCTGACATGCCCTAGAACCATGTATTGCGTTACCGTGTCGTATTTCGTATTTTAGCTATTCGAGATTTTCTGAAATTTCCCAAAAAAGTCCAAATTTTCCGGAAAGTATTCCGGAAAAACTAGATCGAAATCCAAAAAAAGGGCTTCGGCATTGTCTCGGCAATAGACTGAAGTTACTCTGTGCTTATTTTCGGCTTCTGATACGGTGCCGGAATGCTCATCGAACGCACCGTAGCGAATTTTCGGGATTTTTTGCAGAAAATCGGCCCTCAGGGCTCGGACTTCAAATTTTTCGGATTTTCGAGAAAAGCCCCGTAATGAGCACCTCAAACTGCCCTAGAATCAACTTTCACTTCCCAACATACGACCATCTTACCCCGCCCGCCTAGCGACAAAGACAAAAATTCGAAATTTTCTGGATCCGCCCTTCCAGAACTCGGCTGCCAGTGGAGCTATCGACACGATCTTGGTACCAATCGACGCAGAATCAAATTTTGGGTAATATTCATGTGCGCAACTCCAACTTTTCGTAAAATACGACCGTCCAGACCAAAATAAAATTTTTTCAGCGAACTAAATGCGCCCCGAGGGCAAAAGTGCAAAATTCAAAATTCGGCTCGGGTCAATTTTCGACAAATTCCATAAGCTTCCTTCGTGCCAAATTTCAGCCCAATCGCTTTCGAATTCAGTGAGCACCGGCCGAATTTCGGCCAAGAGTGGGCATTTCGGCCGAAAATCAGCCATACGGCCGCTAAATTCAAATTTCGTGAATCGAGACTTGGACCATCGTGATCAGCGTGAAAAACCGGTCCAGAAACCGCTTTCATTTCCTAAAATACGACTCGGCGAGGCCGAAGGCCGAGCCAAACTGACTTTTTTTTGGAAGCTTCGGCGGCCGAAGGCCGCCGTCGGTCACGGAACCTACTGCATATTGTTGTAGAGTGCTGCAGCGCACTGTGCCGAGGCCGAAGGCCGAGGTAAAGTTCAATAACGATGGAGTAAGACAAAAAAAATGATTTTGCGAGGCCGAAGGCCGAGCCAAACCGACTTTTTTTTGGAAGCTTCGGCGGCCGAAGGCCGCCGTGGGTTACGGAACCTTCTGAATGTTGCTGTAGAGTGTTGTAGCGCACTGTGCCGAGGCCGGAGGCCGAGGCAAAGTCCTAAGAACAGTTGATTGGTCAAAGTTAAAAAAAGGTAGCGCTGGCGCGCGGCCCTTAGCTAACAGAAGTGCCGGGCTTGAGGCAGTATAACGCGCGTCAGCGCGTTGTTGGCCACGCGAAGCGTGGCCTGGACGATCAACTGTAGTGCATGCGATCAAGTCAACTTCACGTTGGGCAACCTTTGCGCGCACAGCGGCGTCAAGGCCCGCGTCAGCGGGGCTTGTACCAGGTGTTACAAAAAAATCTATAAAAAAATCAAAGAACTTACCATAGTTGGAGCATAAATATCATAGATGGATGCTGAATCCAGATCGATCGCATGGAAACCTTCATGAGATCCGTAGAGGACCTTGAGCCGAGCGCTTTCCTCTACGGTGAGGTCCACAATCAGTGGCATATGGCTAAGTTGTCCGAAAGATTTGAAAGCCATGAACTTGTGGTAAGGCTTGGGGGCCCATGCATAAATCGACACTGAATTCTCCAGTCCAACCACCAAGAACTTGATTCTGTCATAACGGACAATCTTGAAGTGAATAGCGCCCTGCAGATCGCCGACATTCACCCATCCGTTGCGCTTTTCTTGTTGTTGTATCTGAAAGTGGGTATATTAGCAGAAAGTTCTCAAATTTTCGGTTTAATCTTAAAAAAACGTTAAAATTTCTTCTTTTCGCTACTTTATAGTCCTTATCAAGTCCCAAATTTACTTACTCCTTCAGTTCTGAGGATCTTTTGCTTCAACCAGCTCAAATAATAGACTCTTATCCTTCGTTTTCGGCCCGAGATGGTGACCAAGATGTTCTGTCCCTCCAGGACAGTCATCTGATCGAATCTTCTTCTGGTTATCAACTGATAGACCTTCCCTTGTCCCGACCTGTCCAACAGCATCAATCCCGAGTCCGTTCCGATCAAAAGATTTACTCCCCAAAGGGCGGCGCATAGAATTTCTCCGCTGAATTTCTTCTTGTACTTCCTGATCTCGGGGGCATCATTATCCAAGCCGGCTCCAGCGCCAGGATTCGGATTCACATTGACTTGGACTTGGTTTACATCCTGATTGACTCTGCCTGGTCGGTTAATCGTTCCAGTCGACCCAAGGCCGTTCGATAATCGGGCTCCGGGCTTTCCAAAATAGGCCACAAACGATTTCTCTCGGTCTCTTTGGGATAATGGAGTTTGAGGTTTGGGTTGGAGATTGGATTGTCCATTTCCATTGGATCCGACGGGGAACTAAAAAAAATTGTTATTATATCAACTACTATAACAATAAAGACCAATTAAAACCACATTGACAAAAAATTTCTACCACTTTTAACATACTACACCAAAACTCACGTAGAAGCTGCCAAACAACGAAGCGATCTGTAGATATAACACAGATTAGACCCGAATGCTCACAAAAATTTTATCTAACACCACCCCATTTGAACCAACCCCCAATAAATTGCAAATTTTCCAGAAAACTTGTGTTTTCCCACATGTCTAATAAAAAACCATACCTCTTCAACCGATTGAGAGTCCACCGAGCGTTGCTGGATGATTCTTCTTTGCGGAATCGGACTTTCATCGTCATCATCGTCGTCATCCTGATCATCATGATCCATATCCTCTTCCTGTGCAAGCATTCGCTGCTGGATCCTCGAGTTCACGGGGCCCTCGCCTAGACTGGAATGGGATCGATTTGCGGCTGGGCTTCCTCCATTTGGCTTGGCCGACAAGATTCCAGAGCCATAAAGTCTTCTGGCATCCGTTCTTGGGGATTCCGACGGAGACGGGCCTTCGTGGCTGCTTGGAGAGGACGGTGAAGAAGATTCGGCCTCGCCGGCGGTCAAGATATTATAATTCTCGGCCTGAAAACACAAACATATTGAACATAAGCATACTGCCTATGAAATGCGACCGCCTCATCAAGCAAACACCCACTTACATCCGGAACACTCGCGGCTTTCCCCACAATACTCAGCCTCTGTCGTGATACCGAAGCCGGAGAATCTGCCCTTCCGCTGCTGTTATGTCTTCTCACACTGCTTGAACTTCCATTCCGTCGTCGGTGGACCATCAGTGTGCCCTCTTGATCATTATCAGAGTCCACTCCGTTGTCTGGAGTAGGCGGAAGAGGTTTATTCGGGCCTCTTAAGGTGCCTTCAGCCGGCTCCGAGGCTAGGACTGTGTCTTCTGGACTCAGTCCATTACCAAGACCATTGTGTGAGGCCATGGAGGTGTCGCGCGGCGGTGGGGCTGGTGGCGGAGGGCTGGTTGAGCCGTTGGCTTGGCTTGAAGACGAGTTTGGAAGACGGTTTGCCATTCGGTTTAGCTCACTGGCAAGTACATCAAGGTCCTAAAACAATCATAGCGTCATCTTCCGTCAGCATATCAAATATGTACCCCATAAACAATATAATTCTCTCTCTTACCTCTGGTCGTCCATTTAGCAGCGGCTCACTTAGTTTCCTCAACGGAGAGACGCTAGATGGGATATTAGCACTAACTCTGGCCATATGCGGGGCCTGGACACCATTGGAATGACGGCTTGATTGACGGTCCCTTTCCGAGGCACGGTGCCGTCGGCTTTTCTCCAATTCGGTAAGTTGAGGGGCAGCTGGATGGACCAGAGCGCCTTGATGATGCGGGGAGGCATGTCTTTGAGGCTACAAGTAGACAAAATTAGCTAAAACTCAAAAAAAAAAACTAAATTTTAGAATTTCTTCTAAATCATCATGATCAATTTGAAATAAGCAACTTTAAACCCGATTTCTGATGTTTCTGTAACTCCAAGGCTTACCCCATATTGCGAGTGAGGCCTTGACTGTCTCCTGTAATCAGGAGCTGGCTGTCCGGCGACCCCAATTCTCTGAGGTGGGCCCAGTCTACTGTCATGATTCCTCATTCGGATCTCTCTTTCTCTCGGACTCTGATTGCCAATTTGCTGGTGTCGGAACTGGGGCTGAGGTTGTTGTTGTCTGTAGGCTCTTTGCTGCTGTTGTGGTTGGGATCCGCCATTTCTGACACGATTCAGTTGTTGTGGTCCGGCGTGTTCGAATGCATTCAAATTGGACTCTTGAATGCGTTGGAATCCTCGTCGGAGTGTGTCACCGTACGCGCTTTGGGACATGTTGGCTAAAAAAAGATGGGAATAAACTTTGAGTTCGAGAATAAACATTATTGGTTACCAAAATTTCACATTACTCATGATGATTAACAAAAAAATTTTTTTTGAAACCACCTACCGAGGTCTCCATGTCTGACCTGTCCATTTGGCACAGCATTTTCTTCGTCCTCTGAGCCAGAATACTCGTATTCGGTCTCATCCTTCTTGTTCATCCTTCTAAACCGGTCAATGTGATCTTTGATCGAACGTCGAACTTGATTGACTGGCGGGATATCCCTCATAAATTGATGTCTCAGCAGATCATGAGTCAGTGGCCGGCGGGTATAATCTTTGACCAGAACTGCTTCAATGAAGGACTCGAACTTCTTTGACCATTTCTTTTTCCGGAGCCTTGGCGGGTCATGCCTTGGGATCAAAAACAATGCCCGCATTGGGTGCATCTCACACAATGGCGGATGTCCTTCGGCCATTTCCAACGCCGTAATACCCAAGGACCACAGATCCGAGCGGGCGTCGTATGTTGCGTCTGGGTTATCATCACAGGCAATCACTTCCGGGGCCATCCTATAACAAATGGATAATATAACGAAATCCATATATTCAATCATAAAAAAAAAGAAATAAGTTCACATACCAGTATGGGGTTCCAATAAACGTATTTCGCCTTCCAACAGTCCGATCCAACTGAGCGCTCACACCGAAATCGACTAGTTTTACTTCGCAGTTATCAGTAAGCAGGACGTTTTGACCCTTTATATCACGATGAATCACTTTATGCTTATGCAAATGGTTTAACCCCTAAAATTACAGAAATTACTATCCAACAAAGCATGTGGCAAGCGAATTAACACATTCTATATTACATTGGGTACCTAAACTTCAAAAACAAAATAAGAAGCTAAAACACTCACGTTACTTATTTCCCGACAAATATAGGCAATCCATTCTTCCTTGAGACTATTCCCTTTCGTTGACTTAACCAGATCCGTCACCGATCCACTTCCACAAAACTCCATTACCAACCATAATTGGTCGTGTTTACCCGTCGAGGAAGGCAGTTTCTTGATGAAGGAGCCGTAATAGGTGGCAATGTTCGGGTTATGCGAGTACTGAAACAGAAATTGGGCAATTTGAGAGTAATTTCAAGTTTTAGTTATGTTATCCAAATTTAATTATTACCTAAATTTCCAAAAAAATCAAAAAACGAAAGAAAACGTACAACTTTTAGCATCCGAATCTCCATTTTGATCTCTTCCTCCTCATCCTCGTTGACGTTCATGATCTTAATGGCGGCCAATTGATTGGTTTTGACATGGCGGCCTTTGTAAACCTGTCCATAAGTGCCATTGCCGACCACCTCGATCAGTTCGAAGATCCCCGAAGGGTCTTTGAGATTAGAGAGGTCAATATCATCCAGATCTCTGGACATTTTGTTCGTTTTAGGCGGCTACTGAACTTGGGAACGCATCAGTGGAAGGGAGCGCAAAGGGAAATTGATGGGGTTCCTGAAAAAAAGAGATGATTCACAGGGAATTGGTGGGTAAATGGGGGTAATGAGAGCGGCTTAATGATACTTTGAGAGCTTAACCAACTACTCAATGTCTATTCCATATATTATTCGCTAATATTTATTACCTAAAATCTTTACCTTATAGAATGTTAAAATTATATCCGAATTCTAAGAATTACGAGCAATGCATACCGAAATATACACGAATATATTAGTATCATGCCTATCCAACCGGATGAGGCATGCTTTTACCCCTCATTTTTCGGTCATCACATGTCTTACTTATTTATGCATGTACATGCAGCATTCCTTAGAATTACTAAACCGCATTATGATAATATCCTATAAAAAAGAGAGCAGGATCTTATTTTACACTTCCTGTTTTTTACGTCAACAAAAGTTCAAGAGGTTTTGACGTTTTTCCGACATCTACTCCATGAATAATATAATAGGTAAGAATTGGAGCCAAAAACACTCCAAAATTCCTAGAAAACTGCTTAAATATCCTTGATGTTCTATTTGTGGTGTGTCAACTAAAACCCAAGAAAAAACGTTCAAAAAATGGAACTTACAGTGGTTTACCAATAAATCCAATGATCAAGTGCAATATCGGCGATTAGGGCAGTGGAAATTCAACCCGAATCCGTGGGATTTGTCCGGAAAGCTGATGATTTGCTGGTATGTTGTTATGACGGGAAGAAATTTGTTGAACGAATGGTGGTCGGGGGGCGCGATTGACCGCTTCTTTTTCTCCCGTTCCCAACTTTTTTCTCGCGTTTTTCTTCGTTTTTCGTCCCTTCGGGTCGGGTGGCGGCGAGGAGGAGATGAGCGAACGCTAAAAATACGGGATGGGTATAGTCAAAATGAAAATCAATTCTTATTCCATTCAACATTTAACATGACACGACATCTTTTTTGCGACATGGAGAAGAAAACAAAAAAATGGAAGGAGATTGCGGGGATCCGGGGGGACTTTGAGTTGAAATTCGGGGCTGGATGGGCGAAGTAAATGGGCGAAGGTAAAGCAACGATTGGCGAATGAAAAATCAAAAATATTTTTGAAAATGAAATTGTAAATTACAATTGTAACAGTAACAGTAATGTGAAAAAAGTTTGTTTCAAAAATACATATTGGTTGTATTTTGTCATCTTCTGAGATGAACGACCAAGTGTAGATGTTAAAAGTTTCACTGTAAAGTCATCAAAAATTTTGACTGCACTGTGCAGCGCATAATTTTTAAAAAAAATTTCTTTCTAGTATACTGTAAAGAAGGAATGTGACTCTGCGTACTCTGTCAGTAGCCCTCAAACCTGACTTTGACCATTATTGGCTTAGTAATCACCAATCCTCATATTGTACTTTAATAATTACGATTTAAAAAATAATATTTTTTATCCTCCTAATACGATTACCGTTTTTTATTCCCCCAAAACCCTTGATTAAAACGACCATGGTCCCTCTTTTGCTACTGTATAACATCATGTCGGATCCCTCTCAAAATCGCAACAGGGCCTCCGAAATCCCGAAGGTTGGGCTCTCCCCAAAAAGTTTGTGATATGAATCATTCGGAAAAGTGAGAAACGGGCAAATTGCCTGTTATCAGGTGGAGGGGGGAGATGGGATTTCTGACCAAACGTTCTGAAACAGTCGTAAATCACGACGAGTTTCTGGATTCGGATAATCGTTTTTACGGGAAAATTAAATATAGCTGGGAAAAGCGGAGGGAAATGGGAGAATTGCCGCAGGCGAAATTGTTGTAAAACACGGATAATCAATAAAATTTACATTTTTTATTAATTTTAATTCTCATTTTTTAATGCTCAGAAGTATAAAAACGAAAATTTTCAAAAATCCAGGTATCTGATGGTAAAGCAATATGATTTTCCCTTTCAATTCCGCAACAAAACTCCGCATTATCCCCCGCAACAATAAACAAAATAATGTGGCCTGCGGGGCGACCCGTGTTTCTGTGTAACACGGCTGCCAACTTTATGAAATTACAGCGGAAACAGCAAAAAAAGAGAGGGACCCAATGACCGAAACAAATCGCCGGCGCAGAAAAGATGGGGAGCGAAGATAAAGCGATATAAGGTGATCGGCGTACGAGAGGATCATCATTCCGGTGATACGAAAAGCGATTCATTTGCATGGGGTAATTAGGGGCTACAAATTTTTGAATTTTTTCTCTTGACCTTAGGGATTTTTGACTCATATTTTGAACCAAAATAAAAAATTGTAGCCTTTATTTTAGCGTTGTAAAGGTCTTTTTCATAGTACAAACAGCAAAAATATTCATCACGCCGTAAACTATCTTCTTTATGCTACAATGCAAACCAAAGAAAACAGAATTCTAGGACCCTTTAAAGGCTAAATCAAGTGCATCATCGAAAAATCGAAGCAGTTCAAAAATGGCTTCATAAAGAGGGCTTGTAAAAAAGTATTTTACAATATACAGTTGTGGCATGCGACCAGCCAAATCTCGTCCCAAAATTCGTATTTTACGAGCCCCCACCGACTGGAACAAAGCGTTGGGATTGGGGGGTCGGGAAAAGGCTGAAAACGAAAAAAGCGAATGGCCGAGACATTCTCCGGTCCTAAGAATTTTGACGCGATCCTCTGTTATATGGAGGAGAGGAGGCTGAGGGTGGAAAAGAAGGGGCTTGTTTCGGGGGAAACCCATTGGGCAGGGGTGAAAAACCCCCTCAAAAAGTGCGCATCGCTCCCGCGTTTTGGCATTTGCAGTTTCCGCAAAAGCGGTGTCTTCAAGACGTTTAATTCGGACCACACTTCAGGAAGAGCCCAACTTTAATTTATGGCAGAGTGAGGGGAAAAATGAGATTTTTTGGGAGGCAAGATGAGCACAGAATTGAAATGTTCCGATTTTTTAATAAAAGTTTTATACAAAATTGCTCCCAAAAAAGCTGAATATTGCTAGTAATGTAAGTTCATCGTGTAGTAAGCATCTGTAAAGACTGGTCTTGTAATTTTCGGCGGGGTAAAAGTGATTTGGACAATTTTTATCTTATCCATAAAAAATGATGACAATTAAAAATTATCAATTTTGAAGTAAAATATCAACAGAAAGGAAAGCTCCAATCTAAGGTTTACACCGTAAGGTATGTAAAACAATACTTTAATTGACATAATTCTATTAAATTTCATATTAAAAAATGGATTTTCGAAAAAGTCGAAAATTTTGGATATTGATAATTTCTTGATTTTGACAAAAATGACCATGATTTTGATCGAAATTGTATACTGAAATCGCCGTTTTCACTTTTTACATTCTGATCTGTTTCCGAAAATCAAGTCGTTTTCCCACTTCCTCATCCCCTTACTGTTTTCTCCCTTCTCCCCTCCATGTTTGTCCAATTTTCTCTCGGCCTCCATCGATTGTCAAAATGAAAAATCGACGGAAAACTTCCCCCCACCCAAAAGCAGAGCGGCCATTGCGGCGGCCGAAAGTTTTTCGCCCCGCTTCCAAACGAGAAATTCAAACTTTCGGCCATGAACTTTTAACTCGATTTGACTTTCCTTTTGCGGGACAACGCCCTCGGGGCGTCATTTCATGGACCGCCCGAATAATTGTGGTCCTGTTGGGATTTGGGAGGGCCTGCCGAATAATTAAACTCCCAGGCCAAAATTGTTTGTGCACCGAAATCTTGGGTATGAAAGCAACTTTTTTGAAATATGAAAGTGGTCCGTCTCAGGAGAACCATGTCCTAACGACACCTTGGGGAATTTAGGTCGAGAATTGGCGAAGAGGCTTCGAAAAAAACGAAATTTTAAACTTATCAGACGTGGCAAACACAACATAAAAATTGAAAAAAATGGCTCAAGTTTTCGAAAAATCCCGGAACAAAAATCATGCAAAAGATTTTGACTACAAAATCTGCAAGCAATAGTGCAAAAAAGCATATGGTTCAAAAGTCGTTCGAAAAAAAGCATAAAAAAGTGGGGAGAACAACGGATCAGGGCGATAGATCGAGTATATGGATCGAATTACATCCATCCTCCCCTTTTTTCTCACCAAATCACTTGTAGTTCCCTAGTTCAGATTCGTTTTTGAACAAAATTTCAAAACAGAATGCGTAAATTTTTTTTATTTTACCGAAATTCCCAAAAACGAAAAATTTTTGTTTTTCATTTTTTCCGAAGCAATTTGAAATTTCTGCTCAAAAATTCTCCTTCCAAACCCATAAAAAGGGCCTAATTAGAGTCTGAAACGGGATCGGCGAATGGCCATTACAAGTTGGCCACTGACGTAATTCAATATGTTTATTTATGTCCATTCCAAGCTGGCCCTTACGGCCTGGTTCAGGGTTTAGTCATAACCGAAAAAAATTATGAGAAATGAGGAACTTTTAGTGATTGGGGAACGGGATTTATTGGGATTTTGAAATCTAGAGGGTTTTTCTGGCGAACTCAGTTTTGAAATTTACAAAGGACTATGCAAAATGAGGAGAGGCGGCCACAGAAAAAACGGCATTTCAGCAAACAATCAGCCAAGACTTTTGAGAAATTCATTACCCAAAACCCCAACCTCCCTCCTAAAACAACGAGCCAAACGGTTTTCCCCGCAACGTCTGAGCCAATTCCCACCGTGCCAGCCCACATTATGTCCATTAGCCGGTTCGGGAAGGCGGCGAAATCCAATAAAAATTAATTTTTCCCCTCTTCTCGATGACAATCCTCCTCTGCCACTTTTGGGATCATTTTGCGAACATTTGGGCAAGGTCATCACCCGCAAAAACATTCCAAAAAAGGAGTGAGGGAAATGGGAAAAGGTGATTTTCCTGTCTAATATTAATTTGTTAGGAAAAAAAAACTGGTTCCGAAAAAGCGAAAAAAAAGGAAATATCTGAAGGACATGATAATAGAGGGGATTTGAACAGAATTATGCGCATAATAGAGGGGGATCAATACGATCAAGAGGGAAATCAAAAGTCTGCAATTTTTGGAGATTTTTTTAAAGAGAATTTCTTCATAGACCCAAAAAAATTTATTTTAACCCAAATAACCTCTCCAAAAACGGAATAAGCCATCATTTTCCCCATCCCAAGTCTTTTTGTTATCCCCAATTCCCATCCCCCAAAGGAGTAATGCTAAGAACAAAGTCTTATTTACCCTCAGGCTCTCCACAATTCCAAACCAACAATTGTCCCCCCTATAGACAAGATCTTTGACCCTGGGCTGACCATTCGGCCGAAAGGCTCCATAAAATTTGGGAAAATAAAATTTATTCCGAGAGAAAACCCGGGAAACGGGCCAGAAATTCAACCGCAAAAAAATGAATTATTTCGCCTCGAGGCCGAAACGCGTCCTTTTATCCAAATATTAGAATTACGGCGGAATGCCCTGGGGGATAAGGTAGGCCGGGAGGGGGCAAGGGAAAGTGCCAAAGGGGAATCAAACCGGGGAAACGGCGAGATCATCAAGTTTTGGCGAAAAGTGTGAATTGCAAATTCTTTACGCCCCTTTTCCTGGCAGTGACAATCACCTTCGAAAATCCAAAAGTTCAAAACTAGGACCGATCACACGTGCCAAACAACCTCCCGACTTTTTAAGTCCCTCTCCTCGAGGCCCATCGATTTATGACCGCAGGCCGAAACAACTTTTTTATTTTCGTTCGGAATTAGTGATGTTGGAGGGCAATCAAATCCGAAACGGCCAATTAATCCAAACCGAGGGGAAGGGTAAAAAGGTAATGGTCAAAAAAGTTATGGGAGGTCAAGTATCTAATAAAGGTGTGGGAGGGGCTCCGAAAATCAGGTCCTTTTGTATCTAGGTCTTACATGGAAAGGAAAGCTGCGAGAGGAAAGATTTCTTGGCCTAAAAACGTCATAAATAATTTTAAGATTCATTTCGAACCTATAATATCGTATAGAGGCGTTAAAATTGTTTGTTATAGAAAGATCTCCTTCTAAAAAGATTTGTTATACAAAGACTCCACCAAAAAAATCAAAAAGTCACCCATTTCCGTTGTTTATTACCCCTTATCACGCCCCTCTTTACAACAAACCGGATGTGAATAATCCGCTGATATTCGAAAAATCAGAAAAAAAGACCTTGATCAAGTGTCAAAAGCCGACTGACAACACCGAAACAACACGCCGTCTTCACAGTTGGAAGTGATAAAAAACGGAACCAGAAAAAGTAAAATCTCAGCTGAGAATGCGAATTTATTTTCGAATTATTCCCATTTTCCGACCTTGAAGACATCTGCGATGTGGATTCGGAAAACGGAAACCGGATGAGGGAGTGGGGAAATGAGGGAGAGGGGCAGACAAAATTTGTTGAGATTTAAATTGAAGGGATGATGCGACAAGACTGGTTCCGTGAGAGGCGGATAAAAAGCGGATATTTGCATAAATGGCAACAGATTGGGGACAGGTGGTGGAGTTGTAGAGCGATGCCGTTAGTGAAACTCACGCAGCATTGGATTTGACAAGAAAAAATTCCGATTTTCCGAGGCTTGGGGCAGATTTTGATGATGATTGTATAATCGTAAGCCTACAGTTTGAGGATATTTTTAAAGTTCAAATTTTCCGAAACTTGATATGAATATTAACGATGACAATTTTGTAAAATGTTTACCGCATCTTATAAAGCATTCCAGCAAAAAGTTGTCCCAATTTTCCGTAGTCTGTGGCCTGCAAATCTCGTTAAAGTTTTCCCTACGCAGCCCAATCTCCAATTCTCATCGATTTAAACTTGCAATGGATAGACAATTCATACCAAAAGAACATCTAAGCGTAGCACTTCAAGAATAAGCAAATCTTACGGCATCAGGAGAGAAAATTACAAATCTATTTCTGCTATGTAACACCTCAAAATCTGATAACAAAGATCGGTAAAAGGTTCAAATAAACACTCGGGATGACTAGAATCACCCTTCCTTCCCTGTACGTCATGTGTTGCCCAGTCAAGTGACCCGAGATTGTCAAGAAAAATCATTCCAGTGCGTACTTTAGAATCTCAATGGCCTCTAAACTTGGATCAAAGATTTTTGCTCCAAAATTTTCTCTTGAAACTTCTCCATGATCTCTCGCTTCTACTCAACCACAAGCTTTCATTTGTGGCCGCTTTAGCCCCAAGATGACAAGTCACGTTAGTCACGGATTACTCAGTAGAATCCCGCACGGATTATTCATGAAATGGCCATTAAAAAGGGCTTCAGAATTCTGTGGTCATTCCCTTTTTCGACCCCTCGTTTCTCGCCCTTTTCGAAAACGGAAAATTGTTTTTTGGAGGGCGAAAAACAGAAAATGTAATGTGAGCGAAAAAGACGAATCGGCCCTTGCAAAATGAGTCACCCTCGGGGAGTTTGGGGCTTACAAACTCGGAAAAGAAGTAAATTTGAGGGGTAAAGGGAAATAAAATATTGAAAAGAAGTAATTTTCATAGCTGCTGGGAGCTGTCAAAACATTGGGAAGCCGAGAAAACGCGCGCTAATGTTATTATGAAAACAAACGTCAGCGATTTTTAAGACCAATAGGACGTGAGGCGAGCAAAGACAACATTGCACAAAGTTTAGGTCTTCACACGTCAAATGCTAGAATCAAAATCGTTTGTGGAGAAGTGAGATACGTGTTTTACAAGGTAAATTCGTACAAGGTAACTTTTCAAGGGTCTATCTGCATTTCAGGAGTGAAATTGAACTTTATATTCAACACAAATTTGCCATAAGAAACTGATTTTTCATAGTAGCCACCTAATGGTTCTAAGGCAGCCATCTTGTCCCATTCCCAGCCTCCTAACATCCCCATAATCTCCCATCTTGCCTGCTGCCCATTCAACCCCAAGTATAATATAAAATGTCATCTGAGAATCCGACGTCAGTCGATTTGGATTCGATTTACGATCCAAAACATTCAAAAGGACGAGACAAAAGCCCCAAACATATAACGCCCCTCCTCAGCCCCTCAAACCTTTTGTTCTTGATCTCGAAAACCGATCTATAACCGACTCTTCTCGAGGCTATAAAACATCCACGCTTTTCCCACGCAATTCCCATAAATCTCGAGGGGAAAAGGGATTTTCGAATTAAGCCGGCGATTTTGGAGAGAATAGGTTTTGCGGTCACTACTACTACTACTTCTACTACTGCTACTACTGCTCTAAACGGATTAAAAGAAAGGAATGGGTTTGAACGAAAGGATGGAAAAAAGGAGCAAAACACTTTGGAGTTCTGGTCAATGACGCTTGGGGACTTTAATTTAGCTTACAAGGAAATCACGCGATGAACGATGCTTTCATAAAGGCCCTTATTGACTTCTAGAATTATTCACAAACAGACCGAGCCTTCAAAAACTATAACCCTTTGCATTTTTAGGGTCAATTTAAAGATTTAGGTCATTATGACCAAAATAGAAGGCTTCTTCAGATTTTGGGTCGGATTGCACTTTTCGTCAATTAAATCAGCGACAAAACACATACAGGATAGAAAATTGGGGTGTAGAGAAGCCTTCAAAATAGAGCTGCACTTTTTGCAAAGTGAAAACTCGGAGAAAGATGACTTTCAAAATGCTTCAAATTTTGATCTTTTGCGATTCGTTGCACACAGTTTTGATTATGGGAATAGGAAAAATCGTCAAAGAATAGCTAATGAAACCCTGGGAATTACCGAAAACTCGAAAACAGCTCAAGGCGTCGTCCGATCAGACCGATTAAATAAACCTCTTCGTCGCTTCTAATCCACACTTCCCACTATTGAATAAACATCCTCTTATTTGATTGCTGATGAGTATAAGTAAGGTAGCCTTACAAAAATTATGCTGATTCAAAAATTTGCGTTTTTTCGAGAAGCCTAAAATTTCCGTGATGACATTCTGAAACCATATTGTCTCGGTCAAAAAATTTTTTTTAATTTCGAGCTTTTTCCCGCTAGATTCGCCAAATCCAGCAGATATCCCTTTATTTTTACCCTTTGCCGCCCCGACTTTCCCGTGATAACAGCCCTGCGTCTCAGCTGAATTGTGACCTCAAAACCCGAAAATTAATTCCGTTCGATCCCCCCTTTCCTTCCTTCACACTCCCCCTCGAGCTGACCGATCGCGAAAAAACAGAGATTGAAGGGAGAAGGGAGATGCGATATCCGGTACTTGTATTACACAATGAATCATTAGACATCGTACGTATTGTAAAGAAAAGAGGGAAGCGATCGAATTCGGTCTAAACGATCCAAACGCAGGAGTTTAGCCTCGATTTTACTTTGGTAATTGGGGGGAAAGTTCGGAATCAGATTTTGAAGGGATCAAAAAAGTTGGCGACATCCTTTATGTGAAGTCAAAAGGCCGTACGAAATAATTTACATTGTCGACCTGGAATTTTACAAAAATTTTAGCCGGTGCTTTGAAGGTATGACAAGAAATTTAGCGAATATTTAGACCGAAGGCATCGCAAAAAAGAAGAGATATCAAGACAAAAAAATTGGCAGCATCTCTTCAAACTTTCCAAGGAAAATTCCGTCCTTTTTAGAAGCCGGCCTAACACATCAAATGAAATGTTACTTTAGAAAATGTATTTAATACTTATTCTCCAGTATAATATCAAATGATAATATTCAAACATTAATCCACGTTCACCTTCTCCCCTTCAGCATTTTGAGTGTTTTCTGCATCAATGCGCCCCTCGGTTGGACTTTCTGTGTCCTTGATTGGTATGAAGTTGTTGCTTTTCCCCCTTTCAGAGCCGATGGAAGAGCGTTGATGGCGCTTTTGTTGCCCGTGAATACTTGTCGCCGGGCTTTCGAGACCTCCAGGGCATCGGGGATGCCGACAGCGTTGGATGGGGCGATTCCAGAGCGGATCTGGCGTTTTCTGGCAAACGAGGGATTAATTACATCCACCATGGCCGTTCGTTTTTCTGATTTCATGATTTGAGTAGATTTCTGCTTGATTCCTTCGGATATTCGATGCAAACGGGCTTCTCGTTCCTTGTTCAGCCGCTGAAAACAGTTTACTTTCGGTTTTCAAATCAGGAATTTGTAGTTGTAGCCTGTGGCTCAGAGAAATTTCTTCCGGCAAAAAAGTGTCAAGTCTTCCTCTCAAGACAAACAAGTCCAAAACAAACTCAAACTGCAAAAAAATTTTTACATAAAATCCCAAAATTATCTAAACTTTGAAAAATTTTAGGTAATAAAACTGTCCAAAATTCCTTACCGTGAAGCACTGATACCAAGTCTCCTTTTTCTTCCTCTGCGCCTCATTTCTAAAGGTTTTCTGGACAATGTTTTCCCATTGCTCGTCCAAATCGCTCCATAATTGCGGATTCCTGGCCGAGATTCTGTCCAATTGATCCGTGGTGCATCTATCCAAAACTGGCTTCAGAAGCCTGTATGGAACGTCACCCAGCTCCTCGATACTATCCAAATTGTTCATGAGGTATCGCTGACAAACCAAGAGCAGAGATGGCACTTCGTTTGATTCGAAATTGTTTTTTCTTCTTCCCGCATAAACTTTAGTCCTCTCCTTTCGCTTGAACACTGTCGGATCGAACATGGAATCACCTGAAAAAATGAAATTGATCCTTCCTTGTAGCAATGTCAAATCCTCAAACTAGATTTTCAAAAAATAGACAAAAAATTATATTCTCCATGATGGATAAATCTCAAATAAAACTTACTTATCATCTCAACTTGGGCAGTGCTCTTGCTTGGGGCAGGTCTCACAGCCAACGAGGGAGCGGCACAATATTCCATGGGACCAGTAGTGTGAACCACAGCTGACACAATATCTTCGGCATCTGGAGCAGCAATTCCCGACCTTTTCTCTGATGTTTTAGCCTTTTTCTTCGGCTAAAATGACATAAACCTCATTAGAAAGGGATTTGATGCCGAAATCAGCAAAATACCTAAACATTAAAGACAAAATTATATTCACCACGATGAATAAATTAACTCACCTCAAAATCCAGATCCGCAGCCATCAGCTGAGCTTCGAATGGATCTACAGCTCTTTTCTTTGCCTTCTTCTCCTTCTTTTTTCTTTCGTCCTCTTCTTGAAGGACACTGGGACTAAGCTGTCTGAGGAGGCGTGCAGCTTCTGAAGCCATGGCTCTCCAACGATCGACCAAGGCGGCAGCTCGCGCGCCGAATTTCTCATGATCTCGAAGCTGATTCAACACTCTTCCTACTCCCGTAGTTTGGAGGCAATCAACCGTCATGTCGACGGATTCCAGCCGATCAATCGCATGCTCGACATGAAGCTGAAGAAGAAAATAAAAACCTCTAGTCCTTAATCAAAATCGACGAAAAATCTGGCTTTCTTCGTACCAGACGTCAGTTTATGACTTCAGGAATTTCCTAAACACTAAGAAACAGCAAACAACCGTGCAAAGTACTTACTGGGTCATTCGTTTCGATAAGTGTAATATAACGCTGAACTTTTTGGCGGAGTTTAGCCACTTTCTTATCCTCCGCCATTTCCCGTGTTGTTTTCTAGATACGTTGAGACTAGATATAAAATAATACCCTCTTTAGAATGGACACGTAGGAATATTAACCTGAAAAATAGAGAAATTATATTACACATGCCAAAAAAAGTTCGAGGACGAAAAAGTGGCGAAAATATGTCAAAGCGACTGTTAAACCTCGTCTGCGGTATTCCACAATCTTCAATAACAAACAACCGAATGAAATTGAAGGTAAAATTACGGTTTTTAGCGAAACGCAGACAAAATAATGTTCGGTTTCTTTTCAAACCCCCTCAAGGTAATCGATAGAGAGCAAACTGAAAAACAAAAGCGTGAAAAGAACTGATAATGCTTTTTGTGAACAAAGGCAGTAAAAAATAATTAAAAAGCGAACGTTTTCGAAAATTTATTCCATTATCCTTTATTTCATCTTGTTTTCATTCAAATCTTTAAAACAACCTAAACTTAGAAGAAATTTACGTATTTACGTTATATTATTTTATACTACCTAGTATAATATAAAAAACGCTAAAGTATAAGGATAAAATAAATTTTAAACGTTTCCACATCCCCGAAAACACCGCTAAAAATTACGCGAACTCAACAACACCATCAACTAGTCTGTTCGAGGTCTAAAACGCATGCAATGTTTCGATTCCACCAGACATTTTCTCTCTCCTTCCACGAAGCCGTCCGATTTTGAGAGAGAAAATAAAAAAAGGAGAGACGAAAAGAAAGATAGAAGACGAACTGAAAGGTCTTCGGAATTATAATGTAACCTGATTCAAAGCTGTTCATCCTCCGCTTTCGTATACGGCTTCTTTCCCAAAAAAATTTCTTTTGGATTGTCGGGCGCAGGTCGCGGCAAAACTTCCGATCGCTGCGCGCTGCAGCCTGCAGGGAATGCTGACAATTTTTAGATCGCGTTTTGTATTTTTTCTGACAATTTTTAGCACAAAATTCGCAAAGCTATGGCGAAAAAAATTTTTGCTCCGACCGTATGGCCAGTTTATAAAAATTTCGCCAAATTTGAGATCAAAACTGGATTTTATATTTTTTTATAAAATTTATTTCTCGTAACATAACATGAGATATAATAATATGGATTTGTACAATAACCGGTTGTCTTGAATGGAACATTTCTCTAAATTTTATAAAAATCACTCTTTAGTCGGCGACGCAATTATCCGTCGTTTGGGTCGACGTCCACGAGCCGTCATCTTGGCATAAATATATCTGAATGGGCGATGAAGTCCCACTAAATACGAAGCCAGAGTTGCAAACATGCACAACAATGGCGCCTGCTGCCGAACGAGAGGATAACGCTGTGTCGTTTGAGGCGGGGTATAGTGAGTTTGTCAGGTTTACACTGAGTGCTGGGCAAGTGGCCGAAGCGGAGGTGGATGCCGATACGAGATTTGAACCTGAAAGAAATTTGATTATGAATTTTAATTTTTTACTTTTTCAGTGACTTTGGGGCCTCTGTAATCGGAAAGAACCAGATTTTTTTAAATGATGAGATATTTCTTGGGCAAGAATTTTGCAGAGTGAATTCCTCAAAATATACGCGCTCAGATTTTGTATGAGCTAAAAAATTTCGAAATTGATACGACCTAGGTAGAATATGAAAAATTTAAAGTAAATTTGTGGGTTTTCTCTTATTAGTTTAGCCGTTCTTTTACTCATTGTACAAGAATTATCGTCCGTATTTTACCCGAGCATCCATAAGTCGCAGGAGTTCGGTCCCAACTTCCTCCACTTTCGCAGGTATAATTGGCCAATGTTTTTCCATTCCGATGCACATTTCCATACAAACAAGCTACCATCACTTGTTCTCCGGGCGAGAACAAGTACTTGGTCGGTTTCGGATAATAGGTCTCAATATTTGGGTCGATATCAAATAAGATACAATCGCCGGTACAGCCGGGAGGCGCAGTCCCAATACTCACTGTAGCGCCATGGGAATTTTGATTCGTTACAGCGGTTCCAGCTCCGCTGGCGGTGTCTGAAATGATATTAATTTTGCGTCGAGCGAGAAAAAGTTTTGAGATTTTTAAAGCAATATTTACCAGCGCAAGTCAGCACACTGGCAGTCGAATCCCAGCCGGAGGAGGTGCAATTAAACTGCATGATAGTTTTTCCGTTGGAATGGACCCGCCCATACAAACAGAAGACTTGAACCGACTCTCCAGGGCTGTAGACTGTCTTCGTAGCGGTCGGGAAGAACGTCTCCCTGCTCTTATCGATGTCGAAAAGAATGCATTGACCTCCCTGAAATTTTATGTTTGTATGAGATATATGAGAGTTTTTACACACTAATATATACATCGTTTGCGCCGCCTATGCGCGTGCCCCTATGAACAGTAAAAGCCATGGAAACCGTGGCCAATAACGAACGCTGATGTTAAGTTTTTCTTACCGAAGTGGTCGCTCTTGTGGTGCCTCGACTTGTTCCTGTATTACATGAAGTTGTTCCGGTGCTTCGGGAAGTAGATGTGCCCGAAATCGTTGAACTTCTTCTTGTTGATGACGTTGAACCAGTGCGTGTTGTAGCGAATGTCGTCGAGATTGATGATGTTGTGAATGCGGTTGTGGCTAAAAATAGTTAATGATGACAAGATTCCCAGCATACCAAATTTTAACTTTAACTCGTCAACAGTTTAGATTTTGAAGTGCCCCTTTTTACTGTATTTATGTATATCAAAAAACAGTATTCGGCATCTACTGGGGCATAAAACATCCGAAAATCATTTGATTTGGCAAAAATTTTATACAATTTTTGCAAAAACTGTTAACCTGTTGACAAATGAATAATTAAAATCCGTAAAGAACTTACTGTGTCGGGTTGTAGTGCCCATAGTTGTCGTTACAGTTGAGCCGGTATGAGTCGTGGTAGAACGGGAACTCCTAGTGGATCTTGAGGCCGTTGACCGCGTCCTTGATGTGGTTGTTGATCCCGTAAAAGGAGTCGTCGATCCCGTAAAAGCGGTCGTTGTTCCCGTAAAAACTGTTGTTGTTCCCGTAAAAGGGGTTGTTGTTCCAGTAAACGGAGTTGTTCTTGATGTTCTGGATGTTGAAGTGGACCCAGTTCTTGTGGAAGTAGAAACTGAGGTAGTTGTGCTTCCAGTGAAAGCAGTTGTGGTTCCGGTAAACGCAGTGGTCGTTGCACTTGTTGTGGAGCTTGTGGATGCAGTTGTTGTGCTAGCCGTTGATGTTGAGGTTGAAGATGACGTGGATCCGGTGAAAGTTGTTGTTGATCCAGTAGTTGTACTTGAAGTTGAGACCGTGCTTGTTGATGTCGTGGAGGATGGGGTTGTTGTTGAGACGGAGGTAGTTGTTGATCCAGTAGTTGTGCTGCCAGTGAAAGTCGTGGTACTTCCTGTAAATGGCGTTGTGGTTCCGCCGCTCGCAGTCGATCCAGTAGTCCCGGTGGTTGTACTGCCAGTGAAAGGGGTGGTGGTCCCCGTAAAGCGGGTTGTGGTGCCTGTATTAACCGTGGTGGACCCCGTGAAAGGAGTTGTGGACCCAGTAAAACGGGTTGTGGTGCCTGTATTAACCGTGGTGGAGCCGGTAAAGGGAGTTGTGCTTGTAGTACTGCCCGTAAACGGGGTAGTAGTGGCTGTATTGGCCGTTGTGGAGGTTGTACTCCCCGTGAAACGAGTTGTAGTCCCCGTATTGGCGGTCGTGGTTGCAGTATTTTTGGTTGTCTTGCCTGTATTTACTGTTGTGGGGGTAGTAATTCCCGTAAAACGGGTTGTTGTTCCAGTATTCACCGTTGTGGAGGCTGTACTTCCCGTGGAACGGGTGGTAGTTCCCGTATTGGCGGTTGTGGTCGCAGTATTCTTGGTTGTCTTGCCTGTACCGGCTGTTGTAGTAGATGTATTCAAGTGGATTGTGGTTCCAGTCTTTGCCGTGACGGCGGGCGTACTCACCGTGGCGTTAGTAAACAGCCCCGTGACCTTAATCGTACTCCCCGTACTGAGAGTGATATTTGCGGTGGTCTTAATGTCAGTGCTAGAGGTGGTGGCAGTAGTAGCACCGGGAACTAGCGTCGGGATCGTCGAGATTGTAATATTGGATAGACTGCGAGTGGTTTTACCTGTGGTCGACGGAGTTGTGGTTGTACTTGTACTTGTCGTTGAGGACGTGCTGGTTGATGTGCGAGCCGTCGAAGTTGTAGTACTTTGACCTGTAGAAGTAGTTGTACTTGGTTTAGTGGTTGTGGGCCCTGTGCTGGTTGTTGTTGCGGTTGTTGGCGTTGTTGTGGTCGTCGTGGTTTTTGTGGTAGTCGGAGTGGTCGTAGTGGTCGTTGTGGTTGTCGTAGTTGTCGTCGTAGTGGTAGTTGTAGTAGTCGTTGTTGTCGTAGTCGTTGTGGTCTCCTCAGTGGTTGTCTCCGCCTCCGTAGTTCCTTCGTCATGTTGCCCAACAACCACGGACACAACCAGCAACAGGGCAAGTACAACTTGAAGAACCGTCTTCAATTTACACCCCATTTTTGGAGGACTTTTTGGCCAAGTCCTGAAGGTATAGCACCTTCAATATCAGGCAACACAATTTACAGTTTATCTCCACCAAACTTGCACGGGAAATTGATCGAAAGTAAGAGCAAAGGAACGGCCGGAGAACCCGTTTAATCCGTGGAATCCCATGGCGATATGCAAAATCAGCAAATCGCCATGGCGCTCTCCGCCGATTAAATTTCACGTTTTCTGTTTTTATTATCAAAACGTAGCAACACGCCCTGAATGGCGGGGTTTCTTCAAATACGTGGACATTGAATTTCCGGGGAAAACGAACGGTGGAGCGACTAGATGTAAATCAGGTTGTCTGACATCTTTTTGACAAGACGGTTTATGCTGAATGGGTGTTCCAGAAGTGGAAGGGGATTGACAATTTTGCCGGAGGGATTTTGCATTGACTCTTGAAGAAATATAATTTTGCGCAATAGCTCTTGAAAAATATAAGATGAAAATTCAGAGAAAAAAACTAAAAAATGCTTTGTATAACTCTGAATTGTGCTTGTCTGAATGATTTTCGCATTGAAAAAGTTTGTATTTTATATGGATTTTATAGAAGCTCTTGACTCAGTGATGACTTAGGTTGCTCTGTTTTTTGGAAGCCTGTCTAGTGTTGGTTACTGTTTCCAAGGAACGGAGGGAGAATCCTCGGAAAGTCTGGAAAATTTAATTTTTTCCGCTTTGAATTAGATATAGAATTCAGAGAAGAGAATTTTACAACTCATCCTGTTAATTGCTAATAAGAAAAATTGCAGTTTTTTATTGGGGTTTTATAATCAAATATTCTGGAACACCCTAGCCTAACCGTTGTCATCAATAGTTTATTTTTACCAATTAAGACATCTGAAGAATATTTTCGATTATAGAAAGCACACGCCCGTTTTACAACTGAATTGTAAAATATTCCTTTAATAAAATGACAAGCTTTCTTGTGGATGACCTTGAAACGAAGGGTCAAGTTTTAAAGTTGTACAGTGGGGGACCTGATCCAGTGGCAAAAAACGTACCATTTTGCATCCGGGAAGCATCAACAATGTGGCAAAATGCTTCCCTCTCCAAGTGAAAAAACTTCGTTTTGAAGGGCGCGCCCTTTCCCTTACAAAAAGAGCGGGCGCGCTTTTGAAATCCGAGTTTTTTCATTTGGAGATGGAGGTATTTCGCCACATTTTTGATACTTCCTGTGTGGAAAATGGTACGTTTTTTGCCACTGGTTTCCCCACTGTATACTGAATACCATCTAGGAGGCATTTTCTTTTGTAGAAAAAATTGGTGAGTCGCACTGGTGTCTCATAAAAGTATCGCCGGGTTTTTGTTGAAAGGTAACAGTCTTATGAAGGATATATGTTACTTTACAACAGCAAATTTAGCCTCAATTTGATTTTTTTTCGGTTTTTTAGCAAAAGTGCTCTACAATTTCCAGTCATCCACAAAGAACACTTGCCACTCCACACAAAACTTTACATTACCTATAGCGAACTGCACCATGACAAGCAATCTGAGCCAACACAGCAGATACAGAAAGTAACACATCAGCAATATGTTATTGAATTAAAATGCAGACTGGCAGTACTCTCCGGGCAGTGCTGTTTTTGTGTTTCGTAGGCTTATATGTATAACGTTTTGTTTTGGCTCCCGGAAATTGGCCCGGACAACAAGCTTACAAAGAGATGGGCCATTAAAACTGGCCCCGCAGAAACACGAATACAATGCCGTTTTCGTCATGGCCAAGGTGTGTCCAAGTGCACAGTGATTAAAAATTAGCACCACAACAAAGAACATCAAAGGAAGAAGATCGGGTTCAAAAAAGGGTTAATTTCTAAAAAAAACTTGAAAAGTAAAGGCAAATTAGCCTCCGGGCTTCATGAAAAATGTTCGTTTAAACGCCAGTTTTTTTGTTCCTCGCTTTTTCAAAGTTGCATTCACTAGCAACTTGACAAAAGAATTCATTTTTTTGGCAAGGAACCTAGGTTACGGTAGTGTGTGGGAGAAGAGGGAAATGGAGAGGAACGGCAATGAATTGACGGCTAAAGTTATTGTTTTAGAGAGAAGGTAAGAGGACAGGGGGTCGGGTGAGTGGATGAAATCACGGGGAAATTTACAGCATGATGAGTGGGGGAACTGATCCAGTGGCAAAAAACGTACTATTTTGCATCCGGAAAGTATCAAAAATGTGGCAAAATGCTTCCTTCTCCAAGTGAAAAAACTCTGATTTCAAAAGCGCGCCCACTCTTTTTGTAAGGGAAAGGGCGCGCCCTTCAAAACGAAGTTTTTTCACTTGGAGAAGGAAGGATTTTGCCACATTTTTGATATGTACTTCCCGGATGCAAAATGTTACGTTTTTTGCCACTGGATCGGGTCCGTCACTGTATAACAGGAAGATTAGGATTGACGCGACGACTTCGTTAGTTGTCCGGTCCATTAGATGAAAGAATTTGTTGATGTGCTGGAAAGTTTCCCTGCGGGTCTAACAATGAGCTATCCGGAGTTGATCTCGCGAAGTTTTAACCCGCACTTTTCAACGATATCGAAGCTTTCAATTATGTAAATATTAGGTCTTCTTTTTGACAAAGCAGGCGAAATGGAGAGGCTGGGCTAGACATAAGACATTCTTTATGACTCTGTGTTTTTTCAAGCAAAACATGTCCACTATTCATTTATTTATTATCACTATTTTAAAACTTCAGTCCGAAATCTCATACTGCCTTCCAGCGTCGATCCACCAACGGTATGCGTCCGTAGATTCGACTAAAATCCTCGATGCATTTTTCCCGCTCAGTGTAATGGGATTTTCTTCCATGCAGGTTGTTTGATGCAAACTCAAACTTGCCCACCGACTGTGATTTTCCGATTTTGATCGCAGCAGATTGAGGATATAGATGGGCGACCAGGAAGTTCATCGCAATATCCTCGCAATTCAAAATTTCGTCAATCTTGGAATGAATTTCAGAATGCATTAGAGTAGTATAGGCAATGTTGAGGTCCTGTAAATTTTATGATTTTATTGGGAATGGTAGTTTTAAAATTGCGGAAGCGGAAAAAGTTCCTTATTCTGGCCACAAGAAAGGTACTCTTCGAACTGCGCCCAAGCTTGGGAACTAAAGTTAGGAAAAAAGGCTTCGACCTAGCTATCACTGAATTACATACTATAATAATTCTATAGCTATAAGGGTACGTACGAAGGCCATGACGACTCATCTAGTTCTATACGGAGGTAATAAGTTTAGTTCCGGACAGTTCTCATCGTATAAAGTGTAAAATCGCAGGCTGCAGCCGTTTTTGAAGGGTAAGGTGGTACGTCAAAAAGAAGGTACCTCACTAACTAAATCCACTGTCTGGGCATTGGCAACGATGAATTGAGCCCGCACGCTAAATTTGGGCTATTTCTGACCAGTTTCCGCAAAGTTAAAGGTTGTGGCCACAATAAGGAACTTTCACGGCGGAAGCCATAACAAACCACAAGTTATGATCAACGAAGAGTTTGGCATTAAATAAAATTTTTTCTTACCCGATGAATGAAAGCCCCACTTGTCAGCACCATGTTGTAGAGCTCCTTCTTCGCCCTTCCATACTCTCCTTTTCCCTTTGAATTAACAGTTCCGTACCTGTGGTTTGGGCCTACAATTGCTCGCCGATTTGATTTCCAGACACTACAGAACAAAGCAAATTTAGATTTAAAAATGTGACATACTCAAACATGAGGTCCATAACACTGTGTTTTACATTGAAATCATCGTCCATATTGAGCACCGCCTCGGTTTGAATAAGATGAATCGGGAGGAATCTGTTGTTCAAAGAGTTCTCCATCATTTTGAGGACCACTATTGGGACATGGATCACCTAAATTTAATTTTTAAAATTTGTGATGACAATGATGACTTACCGGAATAATATCTTTCCTAACAGCCCTGCTTATGTCATTCCAAACGACGATAATTTTGTCCAAATTTGCCAGACCGTCCAATGAATTTAGCGTGTAATTTAGTTGATCATCCCGTTTGTAGGCCAGAATTACAACTGAATTTGAATAAGTTAGAAGAGCAGGTAGATACTTACTTGTAAATTTCTCATCGCTTGTTTGACTTGAAGACTGAGTCTTAGCTGGCTTTGTTTTATTGAAGAAGACGGCTTCGTAGAGCAAGGAAAACGGCTGTAAATCATAAATTGTAAATAAAAATTTTTTGAGAAAGTTTAAAAGCTTTACGGTTAAATTTTTACAAAAAAGTAAACTAGATATTTCATGCTCAGCTTACCTTGTAATTGAAACTTTTCACAGTTTCCTCCACTGTCTTCGCATTGATCGAAGCTGCGCTTGAATTCCCTCTCTCTGCATCTTTCTCGCCGTAAGTGCCAAATTCCGCTTTCGAAGTACTCAAGTGAATATAAACAATCGTAATCAGGACCACATTGAGTAATAAGGAACCAAAGAAGAGCACTTTCGGGGCATAAATTGTAGCCAAAGCACTGCAAATCGAATGCGGGATCGAATGTTTGGCCATAAAAGTGTTGTCGGTTCGAATGCAAAAAAAAATGGTCCACCGAAAAATCTACAGTCGAAAATTTGAAATTTTTCAATGGACAAAATTTGAATTGGCTGAAAATAAAAAATTTTTAATTTTTTTTGCATTTTCTCTGAAATTTTATTGCAAGAAAAAACGTTTCTTACCCTTTTCTTCGATCAAATAATGACATTTTGTCCATAGATCCTACTCAAATCCTATACATTTTCTCGCTCATCGTAATGAGCCATAAAAACTTCAAAATTTTTAAATATACTTTAATTCAAAACAACAAACATTTTCACATATTATTTTACACTGCTTTCCACCGTCGATTGACCAGTGGCATATACCCGTAGATTCGAATAAAATCCTCAAGACATTTCTCTCGATCTTTGTAATGCGACTTTCCCCGTTGATGAAGCCCAGTGGATGCAAATTTGCCCACTGTATTCTCGTCTGTTGTCACTTTGATCGCTCCCAAAGGAGGATATAAGTGAGCGGCCAAGAAGTTGATGGCAATGTCTTCGCAATTCAACATCTCGTCGATTTGAGACCGAATTTCAGGATACATTAGGGTAGTGTAGGCAATGTTGAGGTCCTGAAAATGTAATGGTTGGGGATTGAGGCTGGATTTCTTCGAAATTATGGACCGATTTTTTATATGGGCCATATAAATTGCTGATATTTTAAGCCTTTACTTTATATTATAAGTATGGCCGAATAATTCAACGACATTTGGAGAATTCTCGTAATAGAGAGAGGTCAGAGAAAAGACATTTCTATAATAGTTCAGGTAAGAAAATGATCACTTCTTTGACACTTTAATTCATGGCCAAAATTTAATAGTATTATTTTTTGGAGATTAGCTATGACTCATTCTTACCCGATGAATAATAGCTCCACTTGTCAGTACCATGTTGTAAATTCCTTTCTTTGGCATTCCGTATTGTCGCTTACCATCTGGATAAACAGTTCCGTATCTGTAGTTCGGCCCAACTATTGCTCGTCGGTTCGATTTCCAGACTCTAAAAAAGTCATGATTTGAATTATTTGACAACGATTTTCAGAGTAAGGAAATGTTGTTACAGTAATATAAAAAAAGAATTTAAAGTGACTAACTCAAACATGAGGTCCATAACACTGTGTTTTACATTGAAATCATCGTCCATATTGAGTACCGCCTCGGTTTCAATAAGATCAATGGGGAGGAATCTGTTGTTCAAAGAGTTCTTTTTCATTTTCAGCACCACTATTGGGACGTGGATCACCTAAAATCAATTTTAAAATTTGTGATACAATGATGACTTACCGGAATAATATCTTTTCTAACAGCCCTGCTCACGTCATTCCAGATGACGATAATTTTGTCCAAATTTGCTAGGCCGTCAAAGGAATTTAGCGTGTAATTTAGTTGATCATCTCTTTTGTAGGCAAGAATAACAACTAAAAAGTTTATTGCTCAAAGTTTTGTCGTTTCTTTACCCACCTGTATATTTTTCATCGCCGGTTTTAGCAAATGGATCAGAAGTCACCTTTGATCGTCTGGTTTTATTGAAGAACACTGGTTCGTAGAGTAACAAAAATGGCTGAAATTGGATTCTTTGTTCTCTCTGCTTTTTTTGAAGTTCATTTTTTTATCCGTATTGCGGTCACAAAACAAAGCCCAAGATTCAACAGAAATTTGCTTTTTTGCCTTGTTGTTGCTAGTCAACAGAAATGGGGGATTCTAGGCCGCCGACGCGGAATTTTAAATCCTTCAAAATTGTGCTAAAGTCTTCGTAAATGAAGCAAGTATTGCACCAAAATTATGGTATTAATCCCCCAAGGCGACCTTAGAAAAAAATCGGATGCAATCTCAATCTTGTCCAAGATTATAAGCCAATCAGACGCTGTATTTAGAGAATTCAGGGTGTTGGAAAAGCTCTAAAAACGTAATTTTTTTTGCCTGTTCTCGCCCTTCGGCACTCCCTTTTTCAATTGTAAAAAGATCTTTAAAAATCGACGTAAAATTTGGCATCAAGCTGCATTCTCGTCGTTTCCCTCGTGAGTCAAGCTTGTTATCTCTACTGGGGAGTCTTCAAATGTAAGCATTTGCTAAAACCAGCTCGCCCAGTTGAAGCAGCCTTCAATTCGGAGATAACAAGAGCCAGCTGTGAACACTTTTTAGATTTTAGAAACATACTTTATAATCAAACGCCCTCACACTCTCGTTGACGGTCCCATTATTCATCAACGCGAAGCTGACATTCTTTCTGGCCAGACCTTTAACATTGTAAGTCTCCAACGTGACTTCCTCATCACTGGTCAACACATACATAATGGTAATCAAAAACGCGTTCAGTAGCAATGAACATGACAGCAAGACTTTCTGTCCAGAAGTAATATTCGAGACCGGTTTTGGCAAAGCTCCATCGTCAGTGAGCACTGAGTATTTAGCCATTTTTAATAAACTTATGTTGTACCAGATAATGTGCGCATAATTTATTCAAATATGCACAAATAACGTCGTTGAAAACTGCTCTAACGACTCAATTTGACCAAGAGCAGGTCGTCCTGGAGAGAAACGAAAGAACAACGGCTCCTGAACAAACGCCCTGAGGGGAAATGGGCCAAAATGAGTTTGAAATCCTGATACTAAAAATAAACTTTATTTACAGAGCTGAACTCTAAATAATTTGGGATGAAATCGCGGAAAGGTTAGCATTATTATGTAAATTCTTTTGATGTTTAGGCGGGGTAAGTGAGGTGGCTTTGCTCGGAAAGATTACACGTTTTTTTTTGATGAATAAGCTTTAAAAATTGGGAGCAAATCGAAATTCAGTTATAAGAGGATTAACTTCAGCCGGTCAGAACGCTTTTTCTGTCTGATTTAAAATCAGTTCACGGTATAAAAAGTTGGCAATAACAGAGGGAATGTAACTTGTTAAAGCAGAGAATTTGAGAGGTTTAACAGACTTGATAATGCCTATAAAAAATAAGTCTTATAAAATTGGTATGCCTATATAAAATAAGTCTTAAAAAAATCTTCCGCCGTCAACACAGGAATAAAAACTTTTACAATATTTTAATATTACAATTTTTATATGGAAAAAATCGACTTTCAGTAAGAGAATTGCACATCTCACCTTAAAATCAAAGCTTTTAAACGTTTTTTACAGCTCGGGCAAAAACATTTTATCCCCCTTTATTAATCGCTGCAAAAAAAAATTAATCCGTTTATTACAAAAAAAAATCTATATTTGGTTTCCAAAAAATGTTCATATAAGGTTCGCGGCTGTAACAAATGGGAGTGGCACGGTTAATTCCTCTATATCACAAGGAAAGTACTTCTATGGGGTGTGGAGTTACAGGTCGAGATATATATCAAAAAATTCGCAAAAATTTTCTGATTCAGAATATATAAAAATTAGCTGCCTAATTTTGGTCTATCAACGAGTTTTATCAATAAATGTATTTCTCGAGGAAAAAAATCTGCGGCGACAAAAGCGCGCTCGGTCTCTTCCTTCGGAAGAGAGCGGTGTGGCCGAGTGGTTAGAGCGCTAGATTGGGAATCCGAAGGGAACGGGTTCGATTCGTTTTGCCACACTAGAACCCATTTTTTACATTGGAACTACTTCTAAGGTGTAGTTGTAATCTAATTTGATATTTTAAGGCTTGTCAAGGCCTCAGAATTTATTTTAGCACAAAACAAAAATTTTTTATTGGTAAAAACACGGTCAAAAAGACACTTGCATGGTGTCGCGAGAAAACTTCTGAGGACAAAAACATGTCATTAGACCAAAATTAGGCAGCTAATTTTTATATATTCTGAATCAGAAAATTTTTGCGAATTTTTTGATATATATCTCGACCTGTAACTCCACACCCCATAGAAGTACTTTCCTTGTCAGATATTTTATAAATTCTTGAAGTAAGTGGTTTGTCTCATTTTGTTGTCGACCCCGAAATCTCCGAGGATCTCCGGCTCTCAGACGAGGGAAGATCAAAAAACCGGATTGAGGTGATATGCAAGTAAGGCGACCGCCTATTCCCCCTTATTCTGGGAGTTCGAGGGCCTGCTGGACCTTCAAGATGCCTTGCTTGCTTGTTATCGCACCCGGGTCAAAAATCTTGCTCATTTTTTTGGTTTGAAAGCAGCACCATCGAAAACCCCCAAATCGAGCATTCACGAAAGAAATCAAAAAATTACTATTTACTTTACAGTACTATTTAACGTAAGAAAAAAATAACAATAAAAAAATAAACGTCATTTTCGAAATCAGCACCCTTGATTATCATAATTTCGACACATCGAAGAAAAATAATACTTTTTAGTTTCCCCAATCGCCATAGTTCGGTCTAGTTGTAAATAAAACCAGGAAGCATAATCCGATTGCTTGTTTTCGAGGTATCTGGCCAACTTACTGTGCAACGTTTAATCGGCTAAAGACTTGCGCATAACCCTCAAATTTGTGATTAAAGTTGTGTGAGTTGATGGTTTAAAGGTGATGACATCGGTCTGTCCTCATCTTCAACTAACGATCGAGGCCATACTCACCCCATGTTCAACTCAAATTACAAATGATTGGTCTGAATGCCTAAATCTTTGAGGTAATTTTTGTAACTAGTGTTTCGAATCCAAGCCTCAATGTGATATCGTCTGCATCCCCTCCATCCATTTGGCTGCTTTTTGTGTGATTGCGCCATTAATTCGATAAACTCGGGATGGGAAATAAACAGAGCGAAAGCAGATCCATTTCAAAAAGTTTTCGAATCGAACGGCCAAAATGTCTAAACTATTGGTTTGTGTTTTCGTACTCTACGTTGTCGCTATATGGAGGCTAACTTGTGGCGCGAGCCTAGAGCGGCGGAAACGTTCCGCGGAGGAGGAGAAAGGTAAAAAAAATTTGTGCAACTGATGCATCATGGTCATCATGAATGCTTTAAAATTACTAAAAATCAAAATAAATTGAAGAGTAACTCGAGTTTTATCATAAAATTTTCACTCACAATTCTAAGTGTAACACACTTTATGCTTTTTCAGCTGAGCCTGTCTCTTGGTGGTCAAGGAACTCTGGGGAGAGAAACAGCTCTAATGGCGAGGGAACCGGCTTCTTCAACAAGCCGGTAAATGAGATGACAGATGAGGAATTTTTGTTGTATCAACTCCTCAATCCAACTCAATATGTCTTGATGGATCAGAGAGATTTGATTATTCGAAAACCTGATGAAGATTTGGTTAAGGTAAGATCAAAGGATCAAGATCAAAAGACCTGAAATTTGCACTGAATAGCTTTGAGGAGTCTGTTTGAAATCGGAAACATATTGGATATCTTTAACAAATTTTGTAGACGATCACGATGGAAAATGAAGGGAGATGTTCAGATTAAAGGTTTTTTAACCAAAATTTTTCAAGTCTGAAAATTTAAGGTTAAATTACTGGGTCGGAGAGCGAAATGTTACAAAATATACAGTGAAGTTTCCGTAAAACGAAACCCCTTTATAACGAGCAACTCTAGAGGCCCCAAGAGTCCTTTTGCGACAAGAAACCTCAGCAAAACATGCCTTTTTTTAGCACCTTCCGGTCTCTAGTATGAACTCCATGTACAAAATTTCAAGAGAATGATCTCTTTTTTTCGTACTTCACAATTAATTTTTTTTTCAGGACTACGCCAATAAAGCCATCAAGAAGTTCAACGCCTGGTCGCCAGGAAGCGAAGTCCGTCTGGTTCGGGTGATCAATGCCACAGGCGAAAAGACTGGCCAATTGAGGGAAAGATTGGAATTGGAAGTGCAGAACATCCGAACACAAAAGACCGATTGTATATTTGTTGTCGTGTTCTCGGTCAGCCGCAAATACCTTGATTTTTACTTCGAGATGTGCAAATATCCATGGGAGAATGCGAAACTCGATTTGAGTTGATGCAATAAGTAAATAAAAATTTTGGATTTGAATTCCGTAAAAAAATATTTTTTGTATAGTTTTTGATGCCCTTATGACACAATTGCTTTCTATTTTTATGCGATAAACACCCGTGAATTTCCCCCGGAAGGCCGAAAGCGCGATGATACAATCAAATCCCCGAACGATGATTTATCATCTCGACGTGAAACGGCCGTCCGCACCCGGTTTTGGAAATGGAGAATGGGATTTGCCCATTCCACTGTGAATTTGAGGGTTACAATAAGTTGCCAGAGGCGGGGAAAGTGCTTGATAGGAAGTGTTTTGGTTGTTGAAAGGTGACTTTAAATTGCTAATGATTTTTTTTTGGCTGTTGTCGTTAATCGATAGAAAGATTTAATTTATAACTTCTCACCGTCATCTTAGATATTAATAATTTTCTATTGCGTTGAATGTGGAGGCTCGGGAAGACAAAAAAAAATTTTTTTTCAATAACCCTTTGGCTTTCTTACATGAAAGTTTATCGTTTTGTGGAAAAATTATGCACCCCACAAGTAACTGTCGCTGAAATTTTTAGTCGCCATTGGCAAAGTCAGAAATACTTGCTCTGTAAACTTTAACCGATTCTAATCCGATGACATTTTTCGCCCAGACCTGCTCAAAACTTTTGAAATCATATCTTACGCATGTCTGATCATGCCAACAAAGTTACACCTTGATAAAACCCCTCTCCTTATCCAATATCCCTTTCATAATCTCCCAAGCTTTTCTCCACATTGATATCAATGTAAAATCTCTTCTTCATCCACATTTCACTGCCTTCATCACGTTTCATCGCTGTTTAGAAAACCCATCTCTTCCATAGTTTCATCTGTTTTTAGCCGCGAATTTCACAAAACTCTGTAAAAATAAAACATCGACGTCCCTTCCTTTTGTTAATATTGGTCGACAATTAGGTTTCTCGGCTTTTAATTCTCCTCTCTTTATCCGATATCCTCTTATAATCCCTATTTTCATCTGCCACATGGCCAGAATCGGCCATAGGACCTGTTTTTTGGGGTTACAGACGTATTTTTAACGAGGATTGGGAAATTCGGGGTGTCTAGAAAAAAACTGGAAGATGAGTCAAGTGAATTTTTAAGACAAAAATCTGAACGAGTTAAATATTCCACATGGTCTTTTGTCTTCTGTGGGGGAGGAAAGTCCAAAAGAAGTAGTTTATTGTACTACTGCTTGTTGTGAAAGCGAAGGACACTGCTTATTTTGTAATTTTTTTGGCACGTTGGGGAGACCGCTTTACTCGAAACTTTGCTCTGTCTGAACCATGACTAAGAAAGGTTTAAGGAGGACCCGATCTTATTCATAGTCGAGGATTTGTCATGTTTTTTATTGCTATGGGTTTAATTTTGGACTTCTAGCCTCTACGGACCAAAGTCTTGCTGTAAAAGCAACTTTACAATTTATAGGTAAGCTTGGATTGTGCGACGCTTACGTCTTTCTAGGCGAAAATAAGACTAGATCTGTTTCCTAGACCACTGTAAGAATTTTTGCCTGGGCTTTGCAAATAGCTGTAGAGAGGTTTATTGGGCCTAAAATCAATCGTTGCGGTCTCTGAAGTTGCTGGTTAAAGATATGTTTCGTTGACTTTCACAGTGGAACCTCTGAATTCGTTGCACAGAAGTTCTACTGCAGCGGCAAGATGTCATTCCCTCCAACGGTTCCCCTCATTTTACATGTAGTCATGTGGGCAAAGATTGATGAATATTACACTTTTTTCTCTTATTTTACACTTGCTTTACCACTCCCTTCCAAAAATACATTTTAAAAATCTTTTTAATTTTTTGTCTCATAATTGTTTTATGCAAAATGTCATGACCGTAACTTTTTCTAAACAATTTCCAAAGACTCCCATTTACACCTAATTAAACCTTCAATTCAAATAACAAGTTGGTCACGAACATTACAACACTTGTCATCTTGTTTATTCATTTTTACAAAGTGGAGTTGGCTCGAAAATGTAATCATTCGGACGTACTTACAACCAATGTTGCGTTTATTTTTTCTGTTTTTGTCGAGTCTCTGTTATGGTAAATCTCTGTATGATCTCCGACAAATCCCCCGGTACTTTGTTCTTCTATGATATTACTTGTTTCACGCGTGTTACTCACGAATGACATGAATATTTCATACGAAAACGGTGATATCAAATTGTAGGTTCAGAATGGTCCTTGTTAAACTGAAGCTGGAGCAATTCTCCACTGATGCCGTTGAACTTGTGAAGAAAAGGATGAAATTAGTGATGCAAAAGGTATGAATTTCTGTCTTTAAAAAAGTTTTTTGGATGATGATTTAAGAGGATAGTAAAAAAAGTCAAAAAATGTCAAAATGATTGCTATAATCAACCTCAATGTTGGTTAAACCTGGCAAATCTGTGATGTTCTCTCTCCTGACCTCTCTGCTCTTTTCAGAAGCCCAAGCCAATCCCACTGCAGCCATTGGATCAGCCCTCGCCTAGCCAATCGCCCCTTCCTTCCCGGCCCGATCCCCATCTAGAACCCACCTCTCCGTATTTCGTAAAAGACTACGGCAAACCTCAACCAGAGAAGGAGAAGGTCGAAAGGAAGTTGAGCAAGGAAGAATTGGCCTTTCAAAGGACCCCAACAAAGATTGTTACCGAGTTCTGGGTGGTTACATTTTACGGCCGTTGCATTCATATTCGGCAGGAGTCCTCGGTATACGATCTGCATTCGTTTTTGGTCGGCTCAAATTGAAAGTATAATATTTTTTTGTCTTTCCTGTTTTTGTACACTTTTACAGAGATCTGTGTATATATCCACTGATTTCGTTGAATTCAACTTGTCAATCACGTTTTTGAATGTTTATTTTCTTCGTATTAACTACTCAATCTCATTTTCAACATCATTTCCACTACAATCGTTGTAATTGGTACCATAAAAGCAATAAATTTCGCGTCAAACCTTGCAATCTTTGTTTAAATGAATGTAGATGTATGCTGAACTTTCAAAGTAGGTAAAATATTTTCATATAGAAAAAGCCTACATTCCAAACATACTCTAAATTTGTAGCGTCTTATGAAGACTTTAATCCGAATAATCTTTTCAAATCCTTTATTAAGATTACAATTTATTGCAATTACAATTACACTTTCAGCTCCACACTTGAAGAGCCAGATTATGTGGCGTCGCGACACTTGCGGGCAACCACTTTGCGGGCAACCAGTTTGCGGGCAAACTTTTTGCGGGCAGCCACTTTGCGGGCAAAATTTGGGGGGTCACATTTGCGGGCAGCTGAGACACTTGCGGGCAGCCTGGGACAATTGCGGGCAACCGACACTTGCGGGCAGCCGACATTTGCGGGCAACCGGCACCTGAGGGTAACAGGGTGGAGGTGGAAATATTACTTCGATATTTTGGAAATTTGCCGACATTTGCGGGCAGCCGACATTTGCGGGCAACAGGAAAAAACTATCATACAGACTGTATTGGCACTTTTGGAACTGTTGCCCGCAAATGTCGGCTTCCCGCAAGTATTGCCTGCCCGCAAATGTCGGAAAACTTCCAAAATATCGAAGTAATTTTTCCACCTCCACCTTGTTATCCTCAAGCGCCGGTTGCCCGCAAATGTCGGCTGCCCGCAAATGTCGGCAAATTTCCAAATTATCAAGTAATTTTTCCACCTCCACCCTGTTACCTTCACAATCAGGTCTCGGTTGCCCGCAAATGACGGCTGCCCGCAAATCTTCCAGGCTGCCCGCAACTGTCGACCCTGCCCGCAAATGTCCCAGGCTGCCCGCAAATGCCGGTGCTGGCCGCAAATGTCGGCTGCCCGCAAAGTGGCTGCCCGCAAAAAGTTTGCCCGCAAACTGGTTGCCCGCAAAGTGGTTGCCCGCAAGTGTGCGCCCGCCGATTATGTCTTGTTTTTGGATCTTTAAATACAAAGAGATTCAGTCAAAATTTACAATCAGCAAGATACAATTTTGTACAAGGACTATAAAATTTACATGTAGTTGAAAATTAAAGTTGTAGTAAGTATAAAAATGAGGTAAACCGTTCCCAAAAAATTTTTATAATCGCAGTAAAAATGTGGAAGGAAATTGTGGAGGTGAGATAAAAAAAATGCAAAATTTTACTATCAAAAAAGTAGAAACAAAAATTTTTTTTCCGCACAGTGCGGTCTTAAAAACTTTTGGCTGCACAGTGCACAAATTCTAAAAAGTTTCATTGGGCGGTGCAGAGGCAAGTACTATTCCAAATTCTATTGCCAATATAAATTTTATAAAATCTGTTTTTGCCCTGCATAAAATTCTTCCAAACTTTTTGTCTTCCGCGCTGTGAAATTCCAAAATAATTTTTTATCGCACAGTGCAAAAAACTGAAAAGTCTGTAACCGAATTTTCTCTGTTTGCAAAAAAAAATTAACTGTCTGTTTCTAAGACAATTCGAAATTTTTCATATTCGACTTTCATCTCCTCAAACTCCCCCACATTATTCACCCATAAATACAAATCTCGCTACGCGACCGGCGGACAAAGGTAATTCGGGGAATTATTGTGCCTCTGCGCCGGCGGTACCACAGCAGTGCCATTCGGAGTGAGACCCTTCGCCTCCGGACAGTTCGTGATGACCGTCGCCGTCGACGTGTTATTATTTCCATAATTGGAAGTCAATGATGTCACTCTCTCCCGTTCCGCGGGCAAATCGAAAAAGGAATCCGATTCCGGGATCACGGTGAGCTGATCGTATTCCGAAGGCGTGTCGCAGTAAAAGTGTTGATGACTGCCGGTGGATAACATCGAAGCCGAGCGATTGACTCCCCGGACTGATAACGATGAGGCATTTCGGTTTTCGTCCAGCATACAACGGCCTGAGGAGCGGCGAGACGAATCGTAGGGGGTACCACCGCCAAAGGGAGTGCCGTTGAATCCCCGAAGAGTGGATTTGGATCTAAAAAAGAGAGATATAGCAAAAACTTTCGATAAAAATTTTTGCGGTTACTTAAAAATGACAATGATTTTTAAAAACCTCAGGCTAAAAATGTCAAAATTCAGATCTAAATTTGCCCCAAATGTCATCATTTTTGAATATTTTTTTAAGGAAAAAGCCTGTTTTAACTCACCTAGCATACACACTGATCGGATTCACAGGCTGTCCTTTCACCCTGGCCGGTTTCCCCATCTCCTGGCATTGAATTATGTGCAAACATATCCGTCGGATATCTGGGTTGATCAGACAATAAAAGTAAAAGTTCAAGGCAAACTTTGTAAACTCCAGTAAATTCACTATTGCTCTAATTATCTGAAAAACAAAAAATGGTAAAATACGGAAGTTACAGATATGTATTAATACAGTATTGATATAGTATTAACAAAGATTTGATGTCAACTGAAAAATAGTTACCTGGAAAGTGAGATTCTGAAGTCGATAATCCGCGACGAATATCGTTAGGGGCGCTGCTGGGATGGTGCAGAGAAAGAAGACGATAATGATGGCGAAAAGAAGGACAAACAACCTTCGTTCTTCCTAAAAAACATTTTCAGTTATTTCGATTCTACTGTAACAGAAAAAAATTAAAATTTTTCCATTTTTTCAAATTGTTCCACACTCCCAAATAGGATTAAAAAATCTCTTTTTTTCAGCGTGTCCCTGCTTTTTTGCAAAAGACCTGGCCAGAGAAAGACTTGTCTCCAAAAAAGTCAACTGTTTCTCTGTTCAAAAAGTATTGTAAACGGAAGTCAAACTACTAATACGAACAAAATGAAATGATTTTCTCAATTTTTTTAGGCGAAAAAATCGGTCATTACGACGGACCTTACAGAAATTATCAGAAAATTTGACTAAAAAATTGAAATCTTACCCTTTCACTTTTCTCGGTGATATTCCTCGTCTTGCAGGATGCCAGCCGTTTCATCCGATCTCTCTTTGTGCTCCGATAAGTAATCAGTATCATCGTATTGAAGTAGGCAATCAGAAGAAAAGGAAAAACCCGTGTGAGAAACTCCCGAATCCATTCGTAAATCTGAAACCAGGGCTCGATCTTCCTGTCGCAAATCACGTATGGACATTGAAGCATGCCTGGTGGCACCTGAAAATTTCAAATTGATGAAACTTGGTTTTAATGAGCATCTTTTATATCCAAATTCTCCAAAATTGCCTCCCACTTACAACATGAACACTTTTCTTGGTCGCCCACGGAGCATATATGCAAAAGCTGAAGATATATGCGAGAACAAAGAGGATGAATGACATTTTTCTTGTCCTCAAAAATCCCTGTCGAAACGGCTGACAGACGGCCATGTATTGGCTGAAGGTCAGGAACACAACGATCCACACGGACGCGCCCATTAATGCGTTCGCCTGAAAAGATTATCAAAATTTACTTTAGATAGAACAATTCAAAATTTCATTTTATTCGTTAATTTTCTTACCAATGGAAATCCGATGTGTGCATAGTAAAAGGCGGAAGATTTGGAGCATAACCGGAAGTCGAGGATCCATAATAACATCGGGACCACTGAGACGTGGGTAAACTGAAAAAATACGGTAATCAAATTGAGTAATATTGGCGTAGAAGTGCGCGAAACTGACGCATTTATAAAAGTGCATTGTTCTATATAATCTTATGAATAAATCTGATAAACAAACTTCGAACCTACCAAATCAGTCATGGCGAGTAGTGTGAGATATGTGTAGATTGTCGAGGACCTCCGTAGCAATGGATGAGTAAGCGTGGCCACTGTCAGAATATCCCCAATCACTCCGATGGTTATGATTACCGGCGCGATGTAGCCGTAGGTAATTCGATTTAACCGCGAGACGGAGATCTGTGACTCGGCCGTGAAAACAGTCCGATTCCAATCGTCCGCGTTGTGCGGCCGATCCGACATCGACTGCAAGTAGGAGCAGATGCCGGACATTGTAGAGGGAACGGTGGTCGAGGAGAGGGAACGGTCAGGTAAAGTGGAAAAAGAGCAAAATTATGGACATGGAACTTATTGAAGGGGGGCTGGTAGAAGTATCTAAAAAAGATGCGTATAAAAACGTTATATCAGAATAGATAAAAGGCTGATAAACGGCTGAAAATGACCACTTGTAAGTCTCAGAACAGCAGCTAATATTTACTACGAGGTAGATGAACCTTGCATGTTCTACCTAGGCTTAAATCCCAAGGCAAAATTAAAAGAAGAAACAAATTTTTAGACTTACAATTAAAACCGGTCCAATCGGACGACAAAAACAGAAACGTTATCAGAAGTGCGTCGACTGATGGCAAGTCGAACCAGATGCTCGGCGACGTTAAAATCCCCGAAACATGAAGACGGGCGCCGGATTTTCGAAGGCTCTTCGGCCTCCTCTTCAAAATTATGGACCGAAACTTGGGCGGAGAGCAGGGTCACCACTGAAAATTTGTATTATAAAAAAGATTTTAGGGGTTTGGACAATACTATAATACATATTTTGATAATGATTAGTTTTTAAAATACGCTTTCCTTCGTGTCGTCAAAAATTTAACTCATCAAAAAAATTTTTTCAAAAATTTGCATAGTTTTTAAAAATCTCAAAAATTGAAAAATCTAAATAAGAATTTACATAAAAGAATATGGATATTAAAACAAGTCCAACTGAAGCCTCTGTCTCTCAACTGACAGTAAATTAATTAGTCAGAAATTTTATATATGCGCCAAGAAACGTGTGATTCTATGAGCTTCTAAAAACAAAAATTCTGGGGTTATTACAAAGGCTCAATAAAATACGACATAACGTAAACAATAGATTTTTTTTGATGATTATGTCTTTAAATTCTCTTACCCGAATCTTTTCTGTCCTTCTTTTTCCCAATCTCTCCAATAGCAATGCTCTCTGTCTCTTCCTTTTCGGACACTTCCAAGTCGCTGATTTTGGACCAGTCTTCAGTCTCCAAATCCGATTCCTCGACTTTTTCCAATGGCTTTTCAAACTTCGACAACTGATAATTCACCTCGTTCACTGCCTCCAGATTCGTGCAGACGTCCCAGAATCCGTCTGTTGCCAGAATAATATAGCGCAATGGGCGCTCGGCCAAATCAATTGTCTGGATATCGGGCTGGGCGTTGATGTAGCCGCCGCGTTTCAGCGAAGAATCACCGAAAGCTCTGCAATTTTTGGAGCAATTACTTTCCGTTATATAGACTTTTGAGCGATAAAAATTTACTCGACAAGCTTGTTGTTAGTCAGTTAGGATAAAACATCATCATTTTTTGAAAAGAAGAATATGCAATCAGAAAAGGCAAACAGAAAAAAACGAATTTTTGGCGACAACTTTGAAGTCTCGGCTTATAAAAATTGACTTTGATAAAAGAATATAAGCTACCTATTTTGGACAATATGACCTACTTTTGTCGAGTGACATTATCAATGACATCTGATCTTGTTTTCCCCTTTTCAACCCGTCTGATTTCAACACACATATATATAATAGTAATTTCACAAGCTCCGTCCCAGACTGCCTAAATCTTCTTCAACGCAGGGAGTCCTCAAAAACCCCGCTTATAGCATATCTAATCCGATTAAGCCTAATTGTAACCCCGAAAAATATCGAAAAAACGTTCGAAAATAATTTAAAAGTGGCCAATTTTCAATTGGTTTTATTTGGATAAAATTTGAAGATGTATGATAATTACAGAGGCAAAGGTAAAATTTGAGACAGTAAAATTATGGGGGTAACATCGTATCATTTTAATTTCGTTAAAAGAAGGCTGAGAAGGTCTAGCTGTAAGATTTAATGTAAAAAGAATAGTTTTAGGGTCTGCAAAAATGCTACAAATTGCTATCTTTTTGTTACAGCAAGATGTTGTTGTGCAAAAATAAAAAAAAAAGAGATTTGAGGTTTCTTTTTTTGCAAGAAAAACACACCCATAATAAAGCTGGAAGACCGCCAATAATGTGGTGTTCTGCCCAGTTAAGACATTGCGACTGTAGAACGATTATGTCTTCATAGGATTATCGGCCAATGAACCTGTACACACGCAATAAACACCGTCAAAACCCGAATCTTCCTGAGCACTATTAGCCCCTTCAATTTCCCTAAAAATCGCAGTAAACAATCCCCGTTCCTCAGCGCATCCCCAAATATCCATTCTCAATAATTTGGGGGCTCATTCCGGCCCAAAACCCTCAGAGTACGAAAGGAATAATATCCCCGGGTGTGCTTATGAACGTAATTGAAAGAATGAATCTCTTTTCCACTTTATGAAGCGAAATCCGATTAAAATCCCGATTAGGGCCAATTGGGCTTTGGCAAAGCCCCCTGGCCAAGCGCGACAAATATTAGGGAGATGATTAGAAAGGAATGCAAATGGGGACAAGGTGATTGTAATGATATTACGAGCTCTCGGAGAGTGCATGTTACCGTTGTAAATGTAATTGCAAAGATTTATGGACTGAATTTGCAATACAATGAAGTGTTCCTCGAGCAAAATAAATGTGCCTTTAAAGAAGATCTCATATAAAATCGCAATTTTAGACTGCTAAAATTGTGATTTCTGCGAAGTAAAGAGAAGCACCGTAAAGCGTCTTATGGAGCTAGTCCATAGAACACGCTGTTTTTGGACATAGGTTCATTCATCTAGGCCGAAATAAAATATAGAACATGTGCAGACAAACTACTATTTTTCATCGTGCAGTCCGCTCTTCATCGCTCTTTACTGTGCTAGCCAGTACAGCCCATAAACAAGTGACATTTTGTCAACAGACCTATCGCAAATTCCCTCATCATAAGCCGACTTAAAGCCCTTGTCCAAGAAGACTAAAGACGATGACTCCTTCTTTGCAAATCCATCTAACGTATCCAGTAGGTCTACTAGGACTAAAGTAACTCTATTAAAAAAAAGGTTCAGCAATTTTCTCATGTGAGGGCGTTAGACATCCCCACCGTGAAATTTGGTCCATGAGAAATCGAGGGTGGATCTTCGTTATGAGGGCCGAATCTCGTTAAAATAAAATAATATTTCCGCGAGGGCTTGATTCAATTTTTGGGCGATGAAAATTACTCACATCTGAGGATTGGCCGGGATTTACTTTTTGGCCACAAAAACGAATTTGTTTTATAAAGCCAAAGCTGGCGGCCGTAAATGAGAGCAATTTTAAGCAAAATTTATACAGCTTTTAAGACGATGTAAAATACGATTAAATTAGGGTGAAAAAAGTAGTATACAGCAAAATCAAATACGGCACATAAAGGCTTCCAAAGAGTTCGGGTTCAATTATGCCCCTGCCCCCAATCCACTTGGCAATTCCGCGGGTAAACATTCAAAATACACAAGTCCACTTGCAACACGGTAGCTGGCTTTCCCAATTTAATATGGCCAAAAGTTTAAGAAACATTCGGCCGAACTTTTTTTTATTTTTTTTATAAACTATTCAAAGGAATGGACCGGAAATTCCCCTCTCAAACTTGTTGCCTTAAGGGCCGAATAATCGAGTTATTAATAGAGGTCACAGTAAAAAAATATATGTTAAACGATGGAAAGAAAGGTGATTTATAGACGCTAACATGTAGTATGTATTCAACCTGCTTTGATTCGCTCAATTTGAAATGATTTTCATGACAGAGGGACACATGGCAGACATGTTGTTTTGACAATTGCCAGACCAATCATCGAGGCTCAAAGGCTTTAAAATTCAGGGAAAAAATTTGCGTAAATGTTTATAGGAAAGAATCCATGCTTTAGAAATTGCTTTCAACTGTCATGTTGTCTTAAAAACGCTTTCAAGACTGCCAAAACCCAATTTTTTGTGTAGCAAACTATATAAACAAAAATCCACATCATCTTCAAAAATAGGCACCAACAAATATTTCTGTAACCGGCTGTACAACAAAACCCCTAGTAATCATTATTTCATAACCCTCATGCCCAAACTTCCTCAGCCCCACCAGCCTCCTTTCAGCACTTGAGTCATCAAAAACTTCCCGGTCAGACCAAACGACATCATCGCCCACAACATCCCCCGAAGGCACTAACCTCCCCAAAGGACGCCGACATCCCCTGAGGGCATCTTTTCCATATAACGGTAATCGAAATACGGCACGCGACCAATCCATCCATCTCCGTTCTCAAGTAGCCGAGATTCAGACGAAAATTCGGGAAATTATACGAAGCAGAGAGTGCGGGAGAAAAACGAAATTAAAAAATTAGAAAAATTACAACTAAAAATTAGAGGAGATTCCGAGTAATCTTGAGTTGCCCTTAGTAAGGCGTACTTACATAGTGAATTGCTTTTTGAGTATCTAAACTGGATAGATTGAAAAAATGGTTCTTGGAGTGCAAGGAGCAAAGATTATTAATATTTTAGAGCAACAGGATGAGATGCTGGCTGATAAGAGCTATGCTTTTCAGGCCAAATTAGTTACTTTTGCACCGGAATTTTTCAATGTTGCCGCAAATTTGGAGCGTTTCTTGGGTATTTGGGTAGCGCCTGCAAATCGCTAGCTAAAATTTGTATCAACTGAAGACACGCCAAGGCAGAACAAAACTGAAAAAAAAGGATTTACAAATCGTGGTAGGGCAAGCAGCTCAAGTTTTCGCGCTATTTTCTCTATTAACTGTTGCCAAAATTTGGATATCAAGCAATAAAATCTGACTGCAACCAGAGATTGCCACGGTCAAAATTTCGGCTCCGGCTCCGGCTCTTAGCTCCCAGAGCCGGAGCCGAGGCCAAATTTGCAGCTCCGGCTCCGGCTCCCGGCTCCGTGCAAAATTTAAAAAACGTCTCCGTCTCCGAACCTCGGCTCCTATGCAAAATTTTTTTGAAACATTTCTTCAAAAGTAAAATTTCTTAGTGCCAGAGATCATACAGCCAACGTTTTTGCAGCCAAGTCACATCCTCCGCAGTCTTTTTTTCAAGTAATTTGGTTTAACAAGATCACGAAATTTTTACTTTTCTGACCGCTGGGAAGCCTGGCTCCGACTTTGGGCTCGGGAGCCGGAGCCGACCCCAAAATTTCCGGCTCCGGCTCTGGCTCCCGGCTCGGAGCCGGAGCCGCTCAGAGCCGGAGCCAAGAGCCGGCTCCGGAGCCGTGGCAATCTCTGACTGCAACCCCGCCACAATATCTCCAGAAACAACATTCAGTATAAACTCTTATGCAGAAGACCACAAACCGCTCTTCAAGTCAGCCGTCCAAATCCCTAAATCATCTAAACCTTCCAAAAATCTGGCTTGAAATTTCCATCTCTCCACTGCCCTTACCAGAACTCATCTTCTCCCTTTCCCTGAAGAACCCTGAACACATCAATCTGCTTACACTCTTAGAAATGACATAACTAATCCCTGACATCCGAGATTCCTGTTACATCCGAAATCTGTTTATTGTCGACTGTTTGTAAAGAAGGCCTTAAATGACGCACAAATGGACGTAGTTGTTGAAAAGGGGGATCGAGAAACAATGTCGGGAAGTAGAAAATTTACCATTGAAAAATCAAAAATCACAGTTTTCAAGGAGAAAGACACATGCTTTGGCAAAAAAGCTATTCTTCATAAAACATATGTAAAAGTGCTATGGAAAAGGTCGCCGAATAAATCGACAAGATCTGCAAAGTACAAGCTACGATCAAAGAAATTGATACGTAGACTAGACGGACGAATAAAGTTATACAAACCCTTCTTAAACCAGGCAAAGCACTGCAATCTACCCACAGCGCAAACCTTACAAGATTATAACCAAATGCACCACAGACGTCTGAATATTGTAAAGAGAAGATTACTCCTCATATACATCCAAAGCAGATTCGTAGTCGGCGGATTAAAAACTCAAAGCCGAAAGTTAAGTTTGAGGAGATTTGAGTGCTTTCGTCACGGATTTTTCGTCGTCTCATCAACATACTTGAACTTATTTCGCGGCGAAAGAACCCAATGAAAAATAGGGGTCAAACATGCGTTTACAATCAGCCTTATGCTAATTTTTAGACAGAGGGAAAATAAAATGACATAAAAATAATCAAGTAAGAAAAAAACAGTTTACCACTGTAATCTTCTATTGTTGCGCAGACCGATAGAAGATACTTCTCTCAGTAAAACAACCGTTTTTAAAATGATCCTTGAGATATATTCTACTAGTAAACAGCATCATTCTACTTCCTCAAACGCCCCGCCAATCCTGTCCCCCTTTTCTTCGAAAGCAGTACTCCCCTTCGCCAAGATGCGTAAAAACATTTTGATCGCCCGAAAATTGAAATTGCGTCACAAAATTATCTGATAAAGGCGCATAACCGAATTATTGGAGATCCCCCGACTAAACGAATTACTCGCGACAAAAGTAATCTCTTGTAAATTTTATGGCGCTCCAAATCCTCGGCCCGGAGGGCACTCAAAGTAATTTTGGCAATTATAACGTGGATTACATCACTCAAAAAGGGATGGGAACAAAAGATGAGCAAAATTAAAAAAAAAAGAATATCAGACTTGGGAGGTAAGTGAAAGGAAGGGATGAGGCCAAGGCCATTGAAAAAACATGGCCATTATAATACATAGTTAATAAAGAGCCACTGCAATACAGTTCCACATCGATACAAGAATCGCATTGGATCAAAAAATTTATTCTTTTGTTGTATTATAATTTCAGCCTAAATGGACATTGAAGGTTGATTTCCTCATTTCAAAGGCAGTACTATAGATACCTCCATTAGTACATTTCAACATAATGAAATGGCCAAACACAAAAAGAAATCAAAAAGGTCAAAAAATGCGATTAACTGCGATTAACGAATATTTGTAATTGCACTAACATTTTAAGCCTGTACCATCAAAGATCTCAAAAAAATGTGCTAAATGTTGAGTACCTTCATTTTTGTAATGAACAATGTGAAGAAAATTGAACAGTAATTGCTTTGGTAATATGTAAAAGGTTTCTTTGCCATATTGGTCCTTAATTTAGGCTTCAGTTTTGAAGTCCCGCAGAACAGCAACTCTTTGAAGTAACATATGTACATAAATAATATACAAAAAGAATCTCAAGATCCCAACTTCCCAAAGCCCTGCCATTCTTGAAAGAAGTCGCAAAATCATCCCGGACGTATTAAACAGTCCAATTTCAGAGCCCTATTATACAGTTACACCACGAGGGCGTCATTATCCGCCTAGGGGAAAGTCCAGGAAATCGCAGAAATCCGTAAATCCCAAGCAGTTCCGGCTTCATTTCCTGGGGGCATTATTGAACTCGAGCTTGGAAGATTTCAAAATAAATTTTTTGGCACAGCAAAATTTAAGATTTTTTTTTCCAAAAAGCAATTATTCTTCCCGACATTTCGGAAAAGATAATTGCGTTGTACATATGTACAAGCCATCATATTATTTGTAACACATCAATCATCACCTAATCCCTCAAAAAATCCCGAATTATGTAGATTATTGGGAAGCCCTGGTATTACATTTTTAATGCTTCAGACGACAAAAACACGACTAGACTTCTTCACCCCCAACTGCTACGCTTTTTCAAAAGTGCGTATCCTTTTTTCTCGGCGTACAATGCATTCAGCTACTCTGCGATTTTTCCATTGCACCGTGCAAAAAAACATAAGACAAAACGCCTACGCACATTTGAGAAAGCGTAATATTAAAATTTGTGGAAGTAATAATTGAAAATTATGCGTTGATCATGGTAATCCAAAAATAATTTTTTTGATTGATTCGCTGTGATCTTTCATATTTAATCTGTAATTTTTTTTCAAAATGACATTTCTTGAAGAAAAAACTCTATGCAATAAAGAAAGCATAACAGCAAAAAAAATTCCAGATGATGACCCGGAAAAACGCAACTTTTTAAATTGCCTGAGGGGTGGGATTAAGGAGCGAACGAAGGGCGCAAAAGATATCTCCCCCGGCCGTTGTTTTGGCCAATGTTTTTTGGGACATTAGGGAATTTTATTTCCTTCCCATCCCTTCTTTATTTCCAGCGGCGGATTAAATTGGGATGAAAAAGGTAACGACGTTAAATCGGTCAAATTGCACGTGCTCCGCTGCTGCGTTCGCTACCGCTCAGACAGACGGCGCTCGTACTTTGGAAAGGCGGGGGTTCAGCAGGGCGGATGACATTGGAAATGAAGGGAACTTGGGAAGGAGGAGGATTTCGCAATATGGAAATCTCAATTAACCGTTTCTAATTGCGGCAAAGAATCATTAAAGATCAAAATTTTGCCTTGCCCTTTCTCTGAGCAGCCAAGCATAATACAAAAGGGCGATGATCACTCGTTTTTGCAGGGATTGCTTTCAACTGCCAATAAAATACAGCAGATGTTTTATCACTGCTTCTAAGCACGTGAATTGATTTACACTTTTTAATTTTTTTGTCACAATCTTTTGACTTGATAAAACTCAAGCTTGCGTAAAATCGAAGGTATTTTAGACTCTTTATTGGACCAGTTTCAGCATGTTTTGGGCTTATAAATAAATTAAGCCTTTCCTTGAAACCCCAAGCCAATCGTCCAAAGTGGCCCAGGATTCTGACTTTAATCTGTGCTAGATATCATCAAAACTTTAATTAGTCTTCTTGTGCTATACATAAAATTAGGAATCGTTGCAGTAGTGAAGACCCGGAACTTCTACCGAATAGAGCACTGGGATAGGCGTTTTCTCAAAGTCATAGATAAACTGCAAAAGGGTAATTCAGAGATCTCTTTTTAAGACAAAAACAATTGATGAAGAAAAGATGACCTTAAAAAACGGAAAGGTGCAAACGATACGACTGCCGCAACTCATCTAGTAGTATCTGTGTAGGAGGAGCACCAAAAAAATTATTTGTATTATATGTTGTTTCCTACATAAAGCCTTGATTTTTTTAGAATATCATCTTAGAAAGAGATAATCAAATCTAAACATTAATTAAACAATTTCCAGCCCTTTTTCAACGTTATGACAATATCAAATAGCAACTTTTAGGGCCAACAGAACAAAATCAGCCAAAAAAAACTCGCGCTCCGTAACAACTTCTTCTGCTGCATAACTAGACAGACGAAGGAAAAAAGCGAGGATGACCAACAATTCGCGGAACCCCTTGACAAAGCTAATTTTCTGAATCCCACTCGTGTTCCTTCGAGGGCATTTAAACGATAAAAACAAAAATGATAAAATGTCCTCAGAAGCCGAGCGAAGACGAAGAGATCCAGAGATTAAAGGGAAATGATATTACTTATGGCTATCTAAACGAGAGATTGCCTGAAATGGTCACTGTTTTGGAGAAAGAAATGCAAAGTGCAGAAGGAGGAAGTAGGGGAAAATACAGTAGAATTACTATTTGAAATATTAATTGTCGAGTAAAAATTGAATAAAGCCTGGAATCTTCTTTAAAAATGGCCTGATCAGAAAAGGAGTTCCCTTAATTTACGACTAGAACTGTCTCTGTATCAATTCTAAGCTAATGGGAACGTGGTTACATTAAGCCTCTTCTACAGCTTACCACAAGCGTCTACAGAGGCTAAAATTCCAAAACTTATCGCTGTAAGTTATGTAGGAGGGACGCAAGAGTTGGCGGCGTCTTCCAGGGATTAATTTGAAATTAAAAAGAAAGAGGAAATCCTAGGCAACAAAGAACAACCGTTGGGATTATACCAATTATTATTTTTTCACTAATCTGGCCCCCGTTTTGAGGACCTTTCCGGTAGATTTCGGCAAAGAAATTTTGAAGCGTTGTGTTGGAAATGGGTTCTTCTGGAATCGAGAATCTGAGTCTATAGGATCAAAGTTGTGTTTAAAGATCTTGAAAAGATAAAGAGGACTTCGAAATGATTATACTTCAAAGGGAACAATCTTCTTGAAAAAAATGGATTTTTAAACAAAACAAAACAATTTAAGCAAATTTTCAACCCGGAGCGTTCACTAATTTCCAAAAATCTTAGCTCATGCTGTGCAGGGATGCCCAATATATCCAAAAATCTTAACAACTGAGAGAAAGAGAATAGGAAAAATGTAGGAACTACAATTTTCACAAAAGATTAGCTCGACATCCCCCTCCCATTTTGCTGACAAATCCACCGTTGAAAATGTAAATGAGCCGGAAATTAAGACAAAATTAGTAACAATTAGGACTGGGACATTTGCAAGGTTATTAATAACTATCAGGCGATGAAAACGGCAAAAAATAGAGTCAAAGGGATGAGAAGAAGAAATGGGATTAAGAAAAAGTAGCGTGAGTGAATAATTGCGGTGCGATTAGAAATTTTTTTGGCAAAAAGCGTTGCACAAAGGTGTTTAAAAATGGTCGGGAAAAATGTAGGAGAAGGAATGTAAATGACGATGGAAGTTTATAGAATATCAACAGGAAAAATGTTCTCTTGGCTGAAAAGCATAAGCTAAGAATATAAAAAAATTCTAAATTCTTGTCTATGTAAAATTAAAAAACACAATTTTTGCTTTGAATCGATACATAGGAAGTGTAATTTTTATATTGTATCGAAATTTTTGAAAGAAAAATTTTTCGAGTCAAAAAACTACATTTAAGATTATATCCAAAACATTGCCATCTCCTATCTAAACTCCGACTGTTTTCCGAACTTTTGCATTGAAGCCCTTGAAAAAAGTGAATCCGAAATCTGCAGAAAATCCAAATAATTGCTGAAACACCGAACGCCTCAAATCCCCCAAACAATCCGCTGCATTTCTCGGCCCAATTACGGAGATTCGGTCCCAATTGGGGAAATTACCCTCCGGCGAAAATTCCGAGATTATAGCGCAAATTAAGACAGGTGCTTTTGGACATCAACAAAAGCACTTTGCCCACCGAAAATATTGGATACGTATGTCTAGAGGTCGGGCACAAGGTTGGCCCGGAGCAAAAGCATTTCGCTGAACTTTTGAATGGGGAAGATGCGTTGTTTTGGATGATAGGGAAAGGGCAGATGCCGCAGGGGTTATTGAATAAGAGGCTTGAAGCGAGTGAATTGTTATGATTTAAAGGGATACGAGTAATATCAAGAAAAGCGTTTAGAAAATCGTTCATAGTTTGTTGCATAGACGTATTTTAAAACAAAAAAAAATAAATTTTGTACCTGCAATAGATTTTCACCGCGATTTTCAAATTTTGCTTCCAGTAGCACAAAAAATGAAAACTTTGAAACCGCTTTTTCAGAGGTGAATTTCTCAAAGACCGAAGCTCGCACTCTTTTTCAAATTTTGCACGCATTATTTAGCTGGGCCATTAAAAAATTCCTGGAATTTTTAGGTCATATTGTACAAGGATAATGAGGAGAGGCGGCCGTGAATAAATTTTTATCCATATGACAGTAGATTTAAACAAAAAATCTATTTTCGATCTGACAAAACGATGATTTTTATATTTGCATAGCACAAGTTAAAAATCTCAAAATTCTTTAAAAATTTGCATCTTTATTTGAGCCAAATTTCATCAAAATCTCAGAGCTGCATCCTCAGCAATCCGCATAGTTACATTTTTATCCAAAACCAAACTTTTTTACTGTGCACTCAAACTCGCGAAATCGGATAACCTAAAACAATAAAACACTCCTCCATTATCCTTTTCCTCCACAAAATGTAATTGTGACTGTAACAGAATTGCCAAAAATTCGGTTAGGCCCTAAAGACGTATGAAAATTTGGGGATGAGTGAATGAAAAAAAAAGTAATTCCCATATGGCCATCCGTTCCATTCGAGCCAAATTTCCCCCCTCCTTTCTCCTCCGATATCGTCCCAAAAAGCAATTTGGACTCCTTGAAAATCAGATGGAATTCCCCGCAATTCTCCATTTTTTTCAATTTTCTGCTCGGTCAAATAAAAAAAAAAAAAACTGTCCGCGAAATTCCATGCTGAGTGGGTTGCAATTTTGGGAGGTGTCTGGGATGTTTTTCAAAGGAAAATCTGGCAATTAAATCGGTGAAAAGGTCAAAAAATATTTACATCAAAAGTTTTTATTGTCTGGGAAATGGTAATCTTACAGTAATTTTTTTATAATAAAAAAAAATTTTTTTTTCAAAATTTTAAAGCTTCCAAAAGAACAAAAAAAACGTCATTGCAAGTGATGTTAGAGCTCAACGAAAAAAATTCAGATTACTGTAGTCCAGAAAGCACTCCAAAAAAAAGTCTGAAGCCTACCTCGACACAGCCAGAACCCCTTGAACTCTGTGAACACCGTAGTATTCGATGAATCCCCCGGCCTTCTCGACGCGTTCCCGTTCTTCCGGCTGAAAAACAAAAGAAATTAATTCGCTCGGAACACTTCATTATCAAGTAGTAAGCAGTATTTTTTCGATATTAAGTAGTATCTTTTAGAGTCCGATTGGTCAAAAATTCGAGAATTAAGAGAAAATGATGACGTAGTTGGGAGCTGTGTTTTTGAGCGGGAATTCCACTTCTTGGGGCTTTATTATAAATTCGAAAAGGTTATACGACAGAAAAATATGCACTTCTAGACGGGTTTACTTTGGCAGTGATGTCTCCAAAGCTGTTTCCAAATGGCATATTTTTTCGTACAACATTTTTCAGCAAATTTTTTAATTCGAAAAAAAATTTCACAAAATTTACCTTATTTTTTTTAGAAAAAGTACAGTATCCCGCGCTAAAATTAACTCCGCCAGTATTCGGCTCAAAATTGACGATTTCTCCACAGCTCTGCAAAGTGCATACAGATCATATGTTATACTAGCTTATAACTTCCAAAAAGTTTTATCCTATCAATCAAGCCGCCTTAAAGACTTTGCCTTCCTACCCTGAGGGGAGGAAAACATCCGCGCAAAAAATGTCTGCCCTCCGAGCAGAAAAATAATTGCAAATTTATGAAAAAAAAATTTTCCCTCAGTACTTTACGGACAATGTCTAAATTCCCCCGCAAAAAAATTTGTTTACAGGCTAGCCTGCATTCAATGATCTGTTTGGCAGAATAATATTCTCAAAAGAAAGAAAAAAGTTGAAACAAGAAACATCAGGAAGTGTCATTCCCCGTGCTTCCGCTCTCCACAAGCTCAATAATGGTGGGATTGTCAACGTAATTATGTGGACGAAAGGGAGGCCCATGATATATTGGAATGGGTTCAAAAAAAGATGAAGGGTTGGCAAGAAATGACGAGGAATATATTGACGTTGCAACGGGAGACATTCATTTTTTTAAATTTTTATTCTTTGGCTCAAATTTGGAGTTCAATTTTTGTTTGAGATACACTTGATTTTTAGCGAAAACTTTGCAAAAAATAGTGACGGTTTGATGCTGAGAATTGGCAAAAATAAAAATATTTATCGATTTTTTGAGTGGAAAGTTCAGGCGTCCTTTTGAGATACAGCAAAAATTAAATTTCTGCACGCGAAATTGGAAAAACATTGCTCGTTTCTGTGCCTGACATTCCCAGTACAAACATACGCCTACATCTTCAAAATCAAAAAACTAACAACAACTTCTGCCCAGCGATACGAACTTACATTGTCAGCCTTGTGATCAGTCGACAGCACAACGCAATTTCCCTGCAGATCGCAGCCAACAGCCCTTGAATCCCCAACGTTTATAATGGTCAGGTATCTGTTCTGAGTGATTAGCGCCGATATCAATGTTGAGCCTGGAAAATACCGATTTTAAATTCTAACACCAAGTGAATAAAAACTGGCTGTCCAGGTTATAAAAGTTGAAAGATAAGAACAAAAGTTTTGATTTAGCCCCGGAGGGTCCCCGATCAATTAGGGCCGACAAATTTGCCCACGGCTGTGATTGACGGCACGCAATTGAAACGTCAAAACACTCAGAAAGAAGTCGGTAATTAGGGGGTTAAACATCAATGGGGGTCGGTCATGATTTGACAATCAATAAAAAGTGAAGAAAATAGAGAGTATAGGATTAAGGATAACATCGAAAGCGTTCAAACCTTCGTAAACAAGACGTTAAGCCTCAGTCTTATACTTTCTAATGTTTTCGTATACAAAGTTATTACCTTTTTTTCAGCCTGAAGGCAACACTTGACCCAATGAGTCAACTGTTCCCCTCAAAAGTGTCAACTCTTTCGTTCGTTAAAAACCGGTCGACAATTCAGTTTTCTTAACTATAAAGGCCTCTAATACTGTCCAAAGGACCCTATTAAATCAAAAAATCCCACTCTTGTTAACAAATTTTTGTCTCTTACCAGTATTGCAAGCTTGTTTAAACCTCCTCTTGACCAATTCATTATCCAACTTCAAGCTGGTCTCTTTGATTACTTGTCCCATACTCAGACAATCCAAGTGTTCCACGTTCATTCGATCTTCTTCGTTTGATATGGCGTCGTTCACATTTTTATTGAATTTTCGCTCAAGGTAGTCGGCGACATACTAAAATTTCTTGCAATGAGGAAACTTTAGAAAAAGTAAATTTCGCATAACTTTTTTCGTTTTATAACAACCTAAAACTGGAGAAAAATACGATAAAAAAGCTAGTTGTTCTTACCGATCCACCATGTCCATCATAAATTGAGAAGAATGTCCGATTCTTGATCAGATCGTGCAGATAACTCATCCGATCCTCCATCTGCTTCCGCTCTCCTCGCGTCGCATAGAAATTGAAATTATAATGCGTGTAGGTCCAGGTTTCTGCAAAATATTAAAATATAAAAGCTTTCGAAAAGAACCTTCAATTTAGACACAGTTTTTAACAACTCCAGCAAATCTTACTCACACTTTGCAGCTGCAACTTACTATTAATCTCGCATATTTTCTTCAAACTCAGCGTCTGAATGTTGGGTCTTGCTGGACGGAATGAAATGGCAGTCATCATATCGTTTTTGCGTAAATGTTTGGCAGTCAACAACGGCTGGTAATGATGATTCAATAACCAATTGATATACCGATGCATGGAATACGTAAAGCAAAGAAATGAGCAAAAGTAGTTCAACAAGGATATTAGACCTGAAAAGAATACAATTTGAACAAGAAATGGTTGATGGAATTGTATTTTTAAAACCTCTTGGCTTACTGTAATAAATTTCCGGCCGTTTTATTAGCAAGTCGTGGAATTCCTCGAGCAAATCGGAGTAGGAATCCGCCATCATCGGCACTAACATCTAAAATAATATGTTTTTGTTATTTTGTTTTGTCTGTGGTATTTCAAGGCATCATAATCTAGAGTTCCGGTTTTTGACAAGGATTTTCACGGATCAAAAAACACGAGCGATCACCGGCAAAAATATTGGAATAAGTCAAGAACAATTGCCATCATACAAAGGAAGAGGGGGGAGAAAGATAAAAGTGCACAGATCAACGTGCCGCCACTTGTGCAAACGAGGGAATCAGGTTCAAAGAAAACTGAACAAAAGCTATAAATAGGTGAGGGTGGGGAGGAGATCAAACATCAAGTTATAATGTGAACACAACAAAATTGATATAGTTGATATAGCCAGAGAGGTTAGGTGATATATGCAAATTTTTTTGAGGTAATCAGGAAAATCCAAGGAAATATGTATGTACAACGCATACACCCGGAAACTGGATGAAAGATGACATAAATTGCAATCGCAGTTTTAAAAGGTTACCGTAAGGTTTTTGTACGAAATATACACAGATAAAAAGGGTAGGTAAAAATTGTCAAAAACTCAAAACTTAGAGTGGATGAAAAAAGGAAAAGGTAAATTTTACAAAGCGTATCCAAAACCTTGATTATCTCACCAATTCGTCTCATTTTTCATAGCTCTTTGCCCGTCAAAGATCGTTGAATATATTATTACATGTGCCTACAAAGCCAGATCCAAAATACCGTAAATTAATCCAGGGCCTACGTAAAATGCGCTTCCAAATTTTAAAAAGACTTTCAGGTTCTCTATAGTGAAATCATTACCATCTTATGATAAACGTGAAATCACTAAACTCAACTAAAATTGCATCATTCCGCAGCCCCACAAACCCCACTTGCGATTTCAGGTACGAGTGGCCACTCGTACCTGAAATCAAGATGTCTGCGAAAATTATGAAATTTCAACGCACAAACGAGGGAAAATCACGTTTTCTGTCAATCTTGTTGGTGCGACGTGCACTCGACAACTGGTATTTTGCCCGAGGGCCGAACGGTGTTCAGAGAAGGCCGTGCCACGCCTACAATCGGCCAGACAGAAAGGGAAAACAAATGTTTTTTCATGAAATCGGTAGAAATAAGGGAGGGCACGGTGATTCATCGAGATTTGCTGTTATGGCAGTGGGGAAAAAAGATGGGCTATTAAAAATAAAAATGTTAGAGGAGGAGGCAATTTAAAAAACTTGGTAATTGGCTTCTTAGAGTTCAATATTTTGATCAGGATAGATCTAAAATTAAAAAGTTCTGGTGGACTGAACAGTTTTCTCTAAGCAACGACCTCACGTGCAGGAAAACCCATTTATAACGGATTATTTTAGGGATCACGAGCGTCAACTTTGGATAAAAATAAACCTCCCAAGAGCGAAATTCATATATTTCATGTAGTTAATTAGCAATTATTTTTTTGGGCCTTTGCGATTGGTTGAACAAAATTTCTACTCTATTCATTGTCAGATTGTCGAAAGCTATTTCTCTGTAAATCTTCCTCAGATTTGTGTTGGATACTATGCATTTTAAAAGTAAATACTCTGCCATGTCTGTAATTTCTGAAGATGCAATGAGTTACCGATGAGACTCTTATCTACAGGGTGGGCCGCTGCCTTCCGTCCTCTTTTTTTACATTTCTCCGCGGAGACTCCGCCGATTTTCATAAAGTTTAGATTTTTCTTCGGTTGAAAGTTGAATGCAATTGGTTGAAAATGGCGAGTCTCAGCTCCAAAAAAATCCAAATTTCTTGGAAATCGACGGAGTCTCCGCGGAGAACTCTAAAAAAGTGGACGGAAGCTTCGAGTGGCCCACCCTGTACAGTCATCACAAAGAAAATATCCCGCATCGTTGGATAAAAGACTTTTTTTCAAAATCAATTTTGGATAAATCATCTTATAATCAGCTTTTGAAAAACCTAATGACGTGATAAAAAAAGAAAAAAATCGAAATTTGTGGACATTACAAACTTTACCCCTTATTTCTATAAGGACAGGAGCTTTGAATATTCCTTGAAAAGCAATACACAGAAATTGCAAAAATTTGAATGTGGCTGCAAAGTAATTCCCCAAGATAACGTCCCCGAAAAGCACAAGATCTCGTTTGCCAGCTTTGCAACATCTCATTAACATCTTTATCCTTTCAAATAGCAATGCAATGTGTAATGTGTCTTTTGTGATTTCCCTTCCCCATCATTTCTCACATTGATCACCGCCTTCTCATCCGGTTCATAAATCTTGCGAACCCAATGGACAAGTGATCCGTTTACGCCTCGTGTTCTCCACTTCCAATAACACCCAGAGATCCCTCGATTCCGTGAGATCCCCAAAGAAATCGGGAAACGTGTGCTCGGCATTGAGCCGTTCAATCTTGTCTTGCCTCGGGGGAAACAAAGAAAAAAATAGACACGTGGTGTCAGTTGGTTGTGTAAGATAAACACACCGTACAACACGAGGCGATCCGGCAGAACAAAGGTCGGCCCAATTTGCAGGGGAATTGGGAAATAATGATGATATTAAATGGAGCAGATGTTACTCTTAAGTACTTGCAACAAATCCGAAAACAATATGGTAAGAAAATACGGAAGAAATCATAAGGCTTTTTGAGGAAAAAATCTGGTAAAAATGTTGAACGCCGCGTTTTTACTGCTTTTTGAAATATACCCCGCCGATAAAGACCAAAATTCGAAAACGGTGATAAATATGACGTCTTCAACAAGTTTGATCATCAGTTGATTCTGTGCTCTACTGTAGAAAACATTTCCTTTTCCGTGAGCCCTAGCGGGCGCAAGAAAAAAATTTTTTTTGAGTTTTTAATTTTGACCGCGGCTGTCGGAAAAGTTTGGATCAGGGCAACAAAAAAATTACATCTCTTTGTCACGAGGTAGGATAAAGTCATTATAATTTGAGAAACTAACCGTAATTTGCTTCAAATTCTAATGGTACACCTTCCAAGATCCAAATCGCTATTATAAAAACGCAGGCTAAAATCTCGAATGTGCCTTGAAAAATTATTATGCTTTATTTTTTTCCAATTTTCATCAAAATATGTTCGTACAATTTTTTCGCATTTTTAGCAATCAAAAAATAAAAAAAAAATCAAGAAATTGTTTTGTTTATTCACTCAAATTTTTGTCCTTTTTCATAATGTCATCTTCATTGTCATTTGTGTCATCGTCATCATGAACAACTCGATCATTGCTGTCCTGAGTCTTGTCCACATCCAGCTCTGCCACCGGAGGATTAATACAATTGTCCGAGTCTTCATCGTCGTTCTTCGCGGTCTTCAATCGCTTCGGTTGGGGCTGAACTTCCGACTTTTTAATCGTCCCAGCAGATATTTGAGTTTGCTCCAGGGAAGTGACAATTTTGACTAAAGAAACTCCGACATTTTCACTTGCAATCTTCTCCTTACCAGGTCCAGTTTTCGCCGGTTTCTTTTTGCTTTCATCCTTTTGCTTTGCCGGCGATTTTTTACTCCTACTTCTCGGCGATTTCCGCGACCTCTTTGATGGGCAAACACAAGTCTTTTCGGATTCCAAATCAATCCCTTTGGCCGTGGGTTTGGTGGAGGGAACCTGAGCTTTGTCAGATTTGACTGTTGCAAGAGCACCTTGGACTGGCGGCACCGGTTTTGGGGAGGCCTCTTCTGGGATGCGGTTTTGATTCTGGGCAAACTGGGTAAACTAGGATGCAACACTTCCGGTTTACGGTAAAATTCAAAAAAGAAATAATTTTTTGCAGGCTGCGGAAAAAGTTTAATTGTAAAAATGCGGCTTATAACATAAGATGACTCAAAAAACGTTACAGAACTGGGAATTTAAACGTAAGATCTTCTTCTATCTACCAAAGAATAAAAACTTGAGATCTAGCTAAAAACCGCTAAGTAAAAGCTCGGGCGCAGGTCGAAAAAAAAACAAATTTTATACAGTAGGTAGAAAATAAAAAAAAATTTTTATTATGCGCTACAATCGTACCTGTTTTGCTCCCCTCTTCGCACAGCTATACCCGATGAGAAAGACAATCAAAGGGACGAAGAGGATCCCAAACGTGTCCTCAAAAGCCCTCATGGATAACATGTCGTTTCAAATCGATCCAGTTCAAAGGTGATGGGGCGATGAGCAGGTTGGATATCGAATATTCCAACCGACCGAAGGCTGATTTGGATGAGAAATGAGCAAAAATTGAAAAAATTTTTACAAAAATGCAAACTCAAAATTTTTTAAAGTTATTTATTCCAAAACTCGGTAAAAAATCTTATCATAATGCTCTATTACCATAATTTTTACATAGGAAAGGCTTAGAATGAAAATTTTATTCTAGTAAGTAGAAAGAAGGGTGTTGATAGTCGGGAAGCGGGTCATTATGACGACAATTCATGTTTTCTAGGCCAGAAACAGATGGATATCACAAAGTGGGTTATTAAATTCATTGATTTACGGGTTATTACAATTAAGTATAGGTTTAAAATACAATTTACAGGTGCAATTGGAGAATACGACTAATTACAGTAAGTAAAAATTTGGTGGACTATTTAGAAATCGATAGAAATGGCTATTACAAACAAATTACAAACATTTCCAAAATCTTCACCCTTATCAGCCAAACCTGCACAGTGCGAAAAATTTATAAATTGCACTGTGCTACCAAAAGAAGATTTTGGCCGCACCGTGCAAACACAAAAAGTCTTTGCACTGTGCAATCGCAAGAAAAAATCTCCGCACAGTGCAATTTCGAATAAAATTTGCACTTTGCGTTCCAAAAACCAAAAAATCATCAAAAAACTACAGCATAGAATTGTATGTTATGGCGGATATGAGGCTATGACGTGTTCAGAGTGCCAAAAATTCTCTTGATACCACGAGAAAACTAAGGCTGACGATAAAAATGTCAAAAACTCGCAAATTTTACAATTTTCGCCTACAAATTGTGAAATTCGCCGAATTTCCTGCTCCGAACATTAAGAGATTTTCGTGATAACTGTTGAGTGCACCGTGCGTTCAGCAATTGCACTGTTTGTTTTCTCCCTGACCAGCAGCGCCATTCCTCGCGGTTAGCTGTTGTTTCGGTTGGACTCCGGTGTCGGCTTGGTTTAGGTCCAGGCTGAAAATAAGTGTTATATCATTCATTATTCGTATACTGTTCAATTCTACTACAATATTCAAAAATCTTTTGATTTTGAAAGAAAATTTAATGTTATCCTACCTTCCATCCTGGATGTTTTGGAAGATCCGCCGGGCTGTCTCCAAGAAAGCATCTTCGACATTTTCACCGCTGAAATATTGACAATACATTATTCTTTCGGCTCAAAACAAAATTTTTATCAAACTCTACTATACTCATATAAAAAATACGGTTTACTTCAAAAAATCCGTCAATCGACCTAAACTTCAACAAAAAAAATGTCTTAAATCTCACGTTTTAGCTGAGCATTCCATAAATAGTAGCCCATTCTCATCCGCAAAGGCCTTGGCTTCTTCATAAGTCACGTCTCTTTGAGCATCCATATCAGATTTGTTTCCAATCAAGAATATTACGGTGTTGGGGTTGGTTAAGTTCTTGGCATCAGCTAGCCATGAGCTAAGATGGTTGTATGTCGATCGTCGGGTCACATCATACACCATTAAGGCACCTGCGGCTCCTCGATAATAAGAGCGAGTCACAGCGCGAAACCTGGAAAAAATTACGTTGTACTTGACATCTAATGTTCATAATGTTCCAAAATCAGGAAACAAAAATCATACCTCTCTTGTCCAGCAGTATCCCAGATTTGCAACTTTATCTTCTGGCCGTTAACTTCGATGATTTTGGTCCCAAATTCAACTCCAATCGTATGTGGGCAGTCAGCCATGACTAAAGTCAAAATAAAAAGAACTGAAAATAAAAACTTACATTTCTTTTCGGTGAACTGATGGAGAAGACAAGACTTCCCAACTCCCATATCACCGATTATGATGTACTTGAAGATATAAGCATAGTTGTAAGGTTGATTCGACATGACGATTAAGGGTAGTTAAACTGAGATTATTAGAAATCTGATAGATCTTCGAGAAGCAACAGGAAAGTCAAGGTTTACACTTGGTTTGAGGCTGAAAAAAATACAGTTAAAAACAAGTATTTTCAATGCTTAAGGCTAAAAAAAATTACGAGATCTCATCAATATAAACTTTTAAAACCTATTCAAAAAAAATTGAAAAGCATTCCGTTAGAGCTAATCTTCCATGAATCATACATTCCACAAGTTTTCGAAAAAAGATTTCTGCAAAAAAAAAATATTTTTTTAGAGATTTTAGGTAATAAAAATAAATATTATCGTCAGCTTCTCCCTGAACCCAAAACTTTTCAAACAGTTATACCGCAATAAATTTCTCAACTCTATGTAACCAATGAGCTATCAACTTCCCGAAGCGCGAAAAAGAAATAAAACTTCCCAAAAAACATAAAATCCGAAATCAATAGGACCACGCCAAAATTAACTCATCCAAAAAGACCTTTGCGATTTTCAAATTTAGACTAATCCTTTATCGACCCGATAAAAAACGAAGAATTTGGCCCCATAAATCATTCGTCAAAACAAAAAAAGGCGAAAAAAGGATTTCGAGGATTTTCGGCTCAGGAAAAGGCCATTTTTAAGGTCTCGGAGTCTTTTTTAGACACTTCAGTAGCGCTGGGTACTTGTGCCAACCCTGAGGCGGGTTATATGGGTAAAAAGTGTGGGGACGGAGGTAAAAACAAAGGCAATTTTCAGTAATGAGACTCCAGTAATGAGAGATGGATAAGGTATGAAAAATTGATGAAAAAACAAATTCCATCCAATTTTTAGACAAAATTTGTATCAGAAAAGCAAGATGAACCTTTCAGCTAATTAATTTGTGAATTTGCCAACAAAATACCTTCGATAAGCTCATCTGCTACCTTAATCTTAACCATCTTCTACATGATACCAAACCCTATTTTAGATCGAATTTTTGCATCCAGTTGAACGAACCATATGATTCACAATATTTAAAAAACCAAGCCAAACCCGAAAACAAACGATTCCCTGCCTTTTTCCCACCAAAAAACTTCCAAAACCCTCGAGATTCACCTTGACCAACTATTTCTAATCTTATTATAGCTAGAGGAATGATAGAACTCTATCGGATCATGTGATTCCTGAACGTGCACGCTCCATATACCCTGTAATAACTGGATGGAAGTAAATTTCATCAAAATTTTGATAAATTTCCCTTTTATCAAGAGCACGTGAAACGTCAGCTGAAGTGCCAAAAGAGCCGTCAGAAAAGACAAATAATCAAGTGAAATTACTTCGACACTTCACTAATAACACGTAAAAATTATCGATTCATCGATAAATCTAACTAATACTTGGGTAAATACATCTAAAACGGCAATAAAAACTAAAAAACCTATCGTTACCTAAATTAATGTCTAGTACAATATAATTAACAATTTCCAATGAGATACCCTTCGGAACTCATAAAAACCAATATTACACTACTCGATTACACGGTTAGAGGTCAAGAAATCCATTCTTCTCCAAGTGGAATGTTATTCTTCTCACGGCGAGCTGCGCCCCACCTTCTGCGGGAATTTGAATCGCAATTTTCCCTTATTCAGGGCTTTTCGCGTCGGGACTCCGTAGTTTCGTGGCATTCTGTCATTACGCCCGATGCGGAGGAATTCTTGTGCGGAAAATGGGGGCAAGGTGAAGATGATGCTGGTGACCTGCAGTCAGCGGGCGCCTTCATCTTTTTCGGCGTATTTTTAGCGATGTCGCCGTTTTTCGCAGCCGTTTTCTCGCTGTTCTCGCGGTTGACCTGAATTGCAAAGGGGGTGGAAAAGCGGTTTTAGGGCTGGGAGATTCTTCTGGAAATAATTGGGTTGTCTGTTTGTTTATTCATGAGTCTGTTTTCCACGATATTATACATGTCAGTTAACTGCGGTCGGATGGTTAATATAATTATTTTTCGTATGGAAAACAAGGTCCAATCAATCGGAGTTTTCGATTGTAGATGGGATAAATAACATTATTTTTGATGGAAGAAATGTCTTGACCAATTTAATCAAGCTTCAGTGAATTTTTTGATATTATTCGTGATGATCAGAATAAAAGGATTTTTTCTCAAAAAAATCGTCGCCGTTCCGTGAATTTTAATAAAGGCGCATTAAGGTTTCCAGGTTCTCGCTAATCGCTTTGTTGACAACGACTCTTCCGAGCAGTTATCGGACACGGAAACCTCCAGGATACGTTTCATAATTCTGTTTTATTGTTTTTTATAACTCGTGACGAACATCAAAGAGAAGTGTTCAGATGGAATATCGGAGAGCGCTTCCATTGCTTCAGGCGATCGAAACCATTTCTATTTGTTCATTTTGGATACATTTTAGTTGCGTCTGCGATTGATTGACACGTGTCTGCGAGAAAACGGCTGCACCCTCAGGGCATTAATGAACAGAGTAGGGTTGATGGATGATAAGGGGTATCATTAAGATGTGGATTGAATTTTGGGGTTACAATTTCCTCAGATTTTTCGTGTATTCTCCCATTTTTTTCTCGTGACCTATTACAATGTCGTGGGTCTTAAAACTTGGTGTAAACTAAGGTTTCTTTTTGCAGTTTTATTCAAATAAGGGATACTCCGATCCATTCAGCAGCCATGGCCCCAAAGCAACGCATGAACGTCGCCAACAATGCCTTCAGCAAAAACGTTACTACCCGCGGCAACATCCCCAAGAGTTTGGTGAGTCGTTATTTCTTGTTCTGTCTTTGGGTTTAGAGATTATCAAGGTCTTAAATGTTGATTTTTGGACCTTCAAACATTTGCTTGTATTGTTCATAATATAGAAATATAAAAATAAGACAACAGCTGATTTTTGACAGCGCGTTAACTAATGGCTAAGGGCACCGATTATATTGATGCGTTATAGTCACTAGAGCTAACTGACTTCTTTTTCAGACTAAGCAAGCTGACAAGACGAACTCAACCCAATGGTTGGTCGCTCTTTTGGTGTTTGTCGTCTGTGGGTCAGCTGTGTTCGAGATCATCCGAGCCATCAAAACGGGCTTCTAATTCCTCCCACCTAACGAATTACTTTGTTATAACCGCCGGCCCGGCAGAATATATATAAATTATTTTGTTTTTTAAATTATACAGTAGATATTACTCTTTACTTGTGATTACAGTACTCTTATTGTTTGTTATGCAGTATCAGTACATATTTCGTTGATAATAGCTAGTAATGTATTTTTCAACTGTATTTATTAGAAACCCAATAAATGGCTAATGTTGAAGGAGTTTGGAGAGTTTTTTTGGGTAGTATAATATATACAATATGTGAATTGATGAAAAATAAGTGTTTGATTATCAAATCTGGGGGTTTGGTTAGGATGCGGCCGGCCTCTAATTGTAAGAGTTTGCACGCTAAAACTCCTCACATTTTACCGGTTTTTTGGAAAGATATTTTTTCGAAACTCCACGTAGATTTTCAAAATGGGCCTCAAAAATATTTCTACTTTTGTGCGAAATTCACCGTCGATTAGTGGCTGTTCTATTTGGAATGACATACAGTGTTCATCTTCAAGGGGCCGGAGACTTTTACTCACCGCACAGTGCGAAGGAAAGCAATGAATATCAAAAGGAGGGAACTGGAATCAAGAGGATGTTGAACTCGTTTGGGAACAAGTCTCAGCGTATTTCAAAGGCATTTGTAGGTTTTCTGCTGCAAATTACTGGGAATAGCTCCTCTAGGAATGACGTCATCCTAATAACTACAATTTCTCGCACGGTGCAATCGTCTTTTGTTGGTAACCCATAAAAGGGAATGCTATTGTGCGCGTAGAATAGCTATTCTTTGACGACTTTCGTAATCGGAATGGTCAAGAGAACCGAAGGCGCTGACCAGTTTCTGTTCGTTTGTTTGCTTTTGAGGTCAAAATGCGCGCAGCGAAACGGAAGTGCACTCTTTGACTGTAATTTGTAGGGTCTAGCCGGGGTTTTGAACAGACATTTGGTGTTTGCGAGTAGCTTTTGCATCACTCTTTGTTGTACAGCAGCTATTATATAGTTTGTAAAAATTAACTAGCGATTAAATTTTGTCATCTATATAATTTTAGGTCATCAAAAAAAAATAGTATATATTTTGAGGCCGAAATGACCTTGTTAGTCCTTGAAAACATTATATTTTGGACAGCATTTTGCACCTGCTTTCCATCCCGATGTCTTGGTTGCAGTTCTGTCAGCCAGTTTTTGTTACAGAGCGAAAGAAAAGCTTGGTCAGCCATCCAAAAAAAAGGCGTTAAATCTTCGCTTTTTTCTCTGTCTTTACCACGAATGTGTCTGAATACAGTTAAAGCCTTGTACTTTGTTCCGTAATACGTGGATTTTTTTGGGTGATCGCTGCATTATTTTGTAAAATTTGAATATTTCTAACGTTTAAAGTAATATTACCTATATAACTTTTGAATTTTAAGTGTAAACTATGTTAAAATTTTCTCCCGTTTATTTAAAATACTCCATATTACCTTTTACCCTTTGAAACACCTTATCTTACCTTCAAATCCCAGCTTTTTTCCCTTTCGTATAACATGTCCACTCACGAAAAATAGAAACTCGGGCGCGAGCCGGAGAGATAGCCGAGACGCGTGTTCGGCTTCAACTTCTGTGCCTTCAACGACGTTTCTTTTCTCTTTACGTGATATTTTTTGTAAAACGGTTCGTCTGATAACAGACAATTTTTTTGCACGTGGTCTGCTGATGTTTTTAGGTATGTTTGAGTGGAAAGTTTGGGTTAATGTAGGTGTGCTAGGAGCCCAAAGTGATCTGGAAGCTTCTCAAATTGCATACGTATGATTTTGCAAATAAAGGCCAATGATTCAGAGACATTTTTGATTGTATTGTACTATTGTAATAGGCGCGAAATGTGGGCGTTGAGGATTGATGGGACCATACCTGACAAAGGACTAAACGGCTGTGTATTTTGTCGGAGAGGGTTAATGAACTCTTACCGAAGTGTTTGAGCAACTGTGTTGTAATTTTTATCGTCCAGCTTATTATCCTTCTCATCAAGTTTGTTGTTGACAAAATATTTCCTGTTTGTCACGAATTTCTTTTGAGGTTTGAAGTCTTTATTTCCATTACCAGGTCAGTTGATCCTTGAAACCCTCCACTTGGATGTAAACACCAGTATTTTTCTTTTAATTTATGTCCAACCAACTGCAAATTTCTTTTTCACGCTTTTTATTATTTTTCGGACCTTTTCGTCTCTTTTTCAGTTGTACTCCCCGTGGCCTAAAAAAGGCCTTCGATGTTTGTGGCTGGAACGAACCGGCCTCAAGCCAGTAAACCGAAGCCCGCTCGCGCATTTATTATGTGGTGCACGTTTGACTCAGGTTTAATATTTCTTTTTTTGCAGGGTAGTACCATGGCTTCCTACGGACAGCCACAAAACCAATGGCTGGGCTTTGCTGAAGGATACGCCGACGATGTAAGTTTGTTTGCCATTGATTGCTTGAGATTTTAGTGAGTTATGGATTAAATTATGTTGTATTTGACATGAACCCTGGTCTGTCTGTTTGGAAAACTTCTTTAGAATACCCGGTATTCTCCCCTTTGGCTGAAATTTGTTATGATGATACATGACGAGTTGAAAAGCCGTCGAATATACATTCACGTCAATAATTCTCTATTGTTCAGGTTATCCGCCACACGAAGCACTACCTTCCCCATGTTGCCCGCCTCTGTCTTGTCTCCACTTTCATCGAAGACGGCTTCCGTATGTGGGCTCAATGGGAAGACCAACGTCAGTTCATGCAAGAGTCTTGGCATTGCGGATGGTTCTTAGCCACCTTATTTGTTGTCTTCAACTTTTTCGGTCAATTCGTTCCAGTTGGTATGGTAATGTTCAGAAAACGAATTGGAATTGCCGTCGCTCTCCTTGGAACTGTAGTCGTTCTTCAAACCGTTGCATATCATATTTTATGGGATCTGAAGTTTTTGGCTAGGTAAGGAATTGCTAAAACCATTAGATTTTTCGTGTTCTTTTACGGTTTATCTTTTATTGTTTAGAAACGTCGCTGTTGGAGGAGCCTTGGTCCTGTTGTATGCCGAAACTTTGGAAGAACAACGTTCCCTCTTCGCTGGAGTCCCTCAAATCGGCGACAACAACAAGCCTAAATCTTATATGCTGTTGGCCGGCCGATTTCTTTTGATCTTCATGTTCTTGTCTCTGCTCCACTTTGATATGACTTTCCTCCAAACTGTAAGCCTTTTTTGATTGAGTTCTTTTGTTTTTAGGCAGATTATGAACTGAAGCGACTGTGTTATGCAAGGAATCTTCTAATCTTGTCGTTTTCAGATCGAAATTATCGTCGGAGTTGTTCTAATGACCTTGATCGCTGTTGGATACAAGACAAAACTGTCGGCTCTCGTCCTAGTTGTCTGGCTGTTTGGTCTGAACTTGTGGCTCAATGCATGGTGGAATGTCCCATCTGACCGATTCTTCCGCGACTTTATGAAATACGACTTCTTCCAGACGATGTCAGTGATTGGTGGTCTTCTCCTTGTCATCTATTATGGTCCTGGTGGTGTCTCGGTCGACGACTACAAGAAACGCTGGTAGAGCGCTAATAAAACACGATCACTGTTATCTTTGTCTTGAATTTCGACCGATGAGTTTCACATTGTGTTTTAGGATTCAACAAGAGAGGAAGACTTGAGTCGAAGCAATTTTTGGGCAAAGTCTTCCTCTCCGACTTGAAATAATTTGTTCAGAGAGTTTATTTTATAGCTAATTTTACAGTGTAAACTTATCCATCTTATGTGTGCTTAACCTTGTTTCTACATTTTTTCATGACTCGGCATAGCCTGTAGGCCATGCCAAAGTTTCAATTTTCATTTTTTAGCATTGAACGTATCCAAATTTTATATCAGTTCTAACTTTTCTTAGGCCCTAACCCCCTAGTCTAATGTCTATCAGAAAAATAAAAAATAAAGTTCAGTGAGTATCCCTTTCAAAGTTTTACGACCCTGAAATTGTTATGCCACACCCAGTCTTACTAGATTTTTTATTTATTGCTGACAAATAAATTATTTGAAAAAATTTTGGGCTAGTATAATATAATTTTAAATTAATCGGAGGAGATGGTCTCTAGATTGTTGGAAGACATGCAAGGCTTACTTGAGACGTATAATTTACTGTATTTTCAAGTCTGGGTCTGAAAGCATATTTCATCGTATAACAGGTTTGGGCGCAGCTCGCGAATCATGGAAATGTTTTTTTCATGTTTCTTTGGAAATTTGAAGTAAGGTTGTTTCAAAATGGACGAAATGGAAGTCGATGATCAACAAAAGTCGCCAATTCAGGGCACGAAAGCTAGCGGAGAGACTGATGTTGGTTTCTTAGCTGAAGCGAATCTCCCGAAAGGAAAAGCCAAGGAAGACGAACGGTAAGAGCAATTTCTTTAGTATTTCTCTGTTATTTAGGTGGAATGGGTTCTTTGCTATGGACTTACCTGGCTAATCGAAAAGACTATGTTATTCTTGAGATAAACTATTTCTGCTTTTTAGTTTCCGTTACGGTAATTACAACCAGTATTATGGTACTCGTCTGGATGGGAAATTCGTCAAAGATCCGCGACTGGATTTGATGAAGGATGAATGGTTTGCCAAGAAAGCAGTTTTGGATATTGGTTGCAATGCTGGGATGATTACCTTGTACATTGCGAAACACATGAATCCACGGAGGATTGTGGGCTTGGATATTGATCCAAACTTGGTGGGCATTGCGAGGAAGAACATCCGACATTACTGTGATAAAGATGTTAAAGTAAGTGAGAGTTTGTGGTTTAGATAGCGGTCATACATAATATTTTTGGGCAAATAATGTAATTTACTGGCCTTGCTGTGGGATTTCTTGTTTGGTAGTTCTAAATGGGGTGATAAGAATGTTGCTAGATCGAAATTTTTTTATTTTTTATTGCTTTGCAGCCTCTAAAAACCATTTATTTTCAGCTAGCCGGTAAAATGCCAGCACCCAAACATTTCGAAGAAGACGAGGTTCCCACCTTTCCCCACAATGTCTGGTTCATCTGTACGAGTTATGTGTTCCCAGATGAAGAGATGTTGGACATGGTAATTCCGGAATACAATACAATCTTGGCTTTGTCGATCACCAAATGGATTCATCTGAATTGGGGAGATTCTGGGTTAAAATTATTCTTCAAAAGGGCGTATAAGAACTTGAAGTCTGGCGGTTGGTTCATTCTGGAGCCTCAGGACATCAGAACCTATGGAAAATCGTGTAGAAAGATTGTGAGTTTTTTTAAGGGAAAATTGAAATCTTTTGAGAAAATTTTGAGGTTTCGGTGAAATTTTTGGTTTCTGAGTTACACAGTGCTGTTGATTGCCAATAAAAATAATAATTTTTTATTTTCAGCCCTCCATGAAGTCCGTTTACAAGTCCATTGAGCTCACACCAGACAAATTCTCGGATTATCTCATAAATGAAGTCGGCTTCGTCGAATGTCTTGACCTCGGAATCCCCAAAGCCAAAAGCAAAGGATTCCAACGCCCAATCCTCGCATTCAGGAAGAAATGATCTCATTGTTCTCAGCATCTTTTCAATTTTACATTAGTTTGTTCACTTGTTAAGTATTTTTTTTTGTTATCCATCCCAGTTTTTTGTTTGAAGACCGGTAAAATAAAAAGTTAATTGCAAAATTTGTCAGTTAAAATTTGTTTTACAGAGATTTTGGGCTAATGAAATAACAGGATAACTCAATATAGCCCATCCCAGACCATTTGGACAATGATTTATTCATTTTGTGCAATATTTGGACCCCATTATCATCCCTCTTCTGCGGCCACGTTTCCGAAAATGGGAAACGATTGATCATAAAGCGAAACGACATGGATTCGGATGGGTCCAAGGAGCCGTTGTTGCCCAGAATGCCAATGGCAACCTATATCCAGTTGTTCGATAAATCAGAGGGAAGCGGGAATAAGGTGAGAATTTTTTAAATAAATAAATAAAAATGAAAATTTCACCTTTTGGGCCATGTATGCCCCTATTTTAGACCTCCCTCTTCCGTCGACTCCTCCCGCATATCGCCCGACTTTGCCTCGTCTCCACGTTCATCGAAGGATCTTTCCGGATCTACAGTGAATCAACCCAACTCACTCAATATTTCCAGCATGTTTGGCATACATCTGAAGGCGTTGCCTCTGTTTTGGTGGTCTACCAATTCCTCTCTCATATAGTGCCGGTGTTTTTTATCATGTTCAGATATTATGTTGGTCCGGCTGTAATTGTATTGGGAGTTACGGTCATCGTCCAGGTCATACTGTATTACATTGTGGTCACCTTTACTTTTTTGGCCAGGTAAGAAACTCATTGTTGGCAAGTACGCGCATACATACACTAAATATTATACTACAAAATCTGGGGAAAGTTCTTGTACTACTTAGTGTACGTCACACTTATTTCCTATGACTTTAGGGACATCTCAGTCTTTGGAGCTCTGATTTTACTGTATGCCGAGACCTTGGAAGAGAAGAAATACTTTCTCTCCGGATCTCAAGAAGTCACCGACAACAACAGGCCCAAAGGATACATGTTCTGCACTGGCCGATTCTTGCTGTTGTTCATGTTGTTTTCACTGATCGAATATGACACCAGCTTCTTGCAGTTGGTAAGCTTTTTAAGTACAGGGGCTTTTTGTTCATGCTCAACATAAGTCATGCAGATGGATTTTAAGAAGCCCATGTCGCTGGATCCTTAGAAGCGTTTGAACGACATTTTCGGTCTAAGAAGTTTTCGTGGTGGTACCCAAAATTCTGTTTTATGTTGAACTAAATACTATGTGCCTAAGATCTCAGCACGAATATTCCATCCTGAATATGAGAAAAAAATGTTCCAGATGTAGAAATAATTTTTCAGCTGGACATAGTAATCGCCATAGTTCTCCTTGTTTTTGTCACCATTGGCTATAAGACCACAATCTCTTCGATTATTCTGGTGTTCTGGCTGTTAATGCTCAATTTTATTTTACATCCGTATTGGACGAGCCCCGGCGGATTCGATGACTTCCAAAAATATTCGTTTTATCAGACCCTGTCCGTCATTGGAGGATTCTTGCTGCTGATTTGTTATGGGCCTGGTGGAGTCTCAGTCGACTATCATTATAAGAAAAAATAATTTTCTGGCAGAAATAAACTTTAGAATGCGTTATAGTGAAGCGCTTGTCAATTTATTGATTTAACTATATATCTTCTTTTAAAACTCATCTACATGAAATGATCGAAGAAGGCGACAGTGCCATTATTGTAATTCAAACAGACCCCAGTATCAATGTAGAAGGGGCTTCCCAGAATAAACAGATCTTCATCAATGGCCTCCAGTTTCAAGATACATACGTCTCCCACTTTTTGAGCGTAGCTGACATCTTTAATCTCGACGGTAAGATCTTCAAATCCCAGTTTAATGGAAGGAAGTGGACTGGCTTCAGTTGGGCATCTCACCTCATATCTTCCGTCCTCTCTTTGCTTGGCTTCAGTGTTCTTTACGATGTAGGTAAAGTGAGCTTTCGGAAGTTTAATGCCGTCGAAAGTTGTGGTAAAAATAGCAGTTGTATCTCTTTCTCTTTGGTAAGACTGGAATGAGAACTTGTTGACGTTCAATTCCCATAATCCTTCTGCATTATCTTTGGCGTTGAGGATGCCCCGGAGATCCTTCTTCTGGTACATGGGCTTGGGAAGATCGAGAGCGAACCAGTACCCGCTGGAAATGAGGTGTAATCAGCCTTAATAATGAAGGATATGTTGAGAAATACAGCCCATCAACCTCCTTTGGAACCAGGGAGAAGCCTCAAGGCAAATTTAATAAAAATTTAAGCAATGTCATCAACTACGCCTACACTCTAAACTGAAAACCAAGATATTTCCAAAACAAACTTACTCATCTCTCCTGTAGTAGTACATGCACACATTCAGATCCTCATAAGTCTGAAAGATCTGCGAAACCAACCCATACTTATTCTTCTGCTTTCTGGCCAACCCAATTCTTCCTCCAGTCCAAGCTCCATTACTCTGCAAGACTGGATTGTTTCCTTCAAATTCGCTGACAATTCCGAAATCTCCCAAAAACCAATAAGGCGGCTTTACAAACACCATATCTTTCCCAACAAATCCATGCACAGTACTTTCTCCATTACTGTATTTTGCTTCGTATTTGAGAGTAAATTCGGAAGATCCTTTGATGAAATTAATGGAACTGTTGGGATCAAAAGTATTGTTGCGACCGGCTTTATCGGCAAAGTAAGCGGTGTCGAGGACGAAAGAGTCTTGAGCCGTTATATCAAAGAGCAAGGGAAGGGCGTGCCAACGCTGGTCGTTGAAGCCTAAGGCAATGCTGAGATCACCTTTGTCAGCCGAGGTCAAAGAAGTGGTTGAGAGGAAAAGCAACGGTAAAAGTAGATGGTTGTTCATTATCTATAGAATAGACGGGGTAAGAGATCACACATTTTCTTGAAGATTTCAATGAGTGGTGGCATGTTTTAACGACCGAATTATTAAAAAACGGGCAAAAGTTCAAAGTTCATGGGAAAAAATGCTTATTGACAGGGGTTGTAGACCACGGCGTGGAAAAAAAATCACCCCAATCTTTAGAAAGAAAATTTCATCACGAGTAATTCTCCGACAAATTTACTTTTTAGCCAGTTTAAACACCCCAGAATCTCAGAAACAGTCGCATCTGACAAGACTTCCCTTGTGAGCCGCAGCCAGCTCTCTTAAATAGCTGAAAAAGTTGATCAATATAAGTTTATCAGCCGTGGTTACCACTTAGATTCTGCTCAATTGGGATGGCATTTCCGGACGATTTGAAACGTACGAACCCCTAAGGGAACGACTGATAAACAAATGCAGAGCAAAGAGATATGTCTTGTTTTGTTTGGGCACTGAGTCATTAGACTACGAAATAAAGTTGAACCTTGAACGCAATAAAAGTGAGAGGGGAATCCTCAACGGTCGCCTTTTTTTGACAGTGATTTGTATGATAAAGATATGATATCAAACACAGATTAATCCGATTGCGGAATATGCAATGAAATCTTGAACTATATTTATTATGTTGTTCTACGCACAACACACTGATTTCTTTCACATTTTCTCGACATGATGAATATAATCTTCACATTACATTGAAAAAATTTTTTTTATTCTCTGCGCAACCGAGCTTTTTAACGATCTTTGACAGCGATATACAGTAACAAATGTTGTTCACCAACTCTTTATTTCTTCCGTTATCACTCCTCGCCGGATCTTCTCTACCGAACTAATATTTATGTTGTTTTTCTCGACCCCCACTTCCTCCACCGGATACCCTCTTCTAGCCCGACTTGGCTCGTTTTTCGGCTTTTTCCTCAAGCAGGCCTTTAATTAGGAACGAGGGGTTCGGTTTCGTCTTAAAGACGCAATAAGAATGAGAGAAAAGAGATTTGGCGGCCAAGTAAGCGATATGCAAATTTATTGCGACAACCGGGTTGTGGATCATGGCGGGAAAAAAGTGGTGACCTGAGGGCAAAAGCTATTTCTGAGGATTTTTTGGTCGAAAAATGAGAAATTGAAAAAATTTTTTGATCGTTGGGGTTTTTAAAGGATATGCTTCGATTTTGCCAGACACAAAATTTCTTCCCATCCAATAACTTATAACTCCCATCATTAACTTTTCGACTTTTATGATTTCGTTGCGCTTTTTTCGCCTCCAAATAAATCTGACCGCAGCGTTTTGGCCATAAAACTGCCAAAAATCCACTTACCCGCCGCGGGTTTTTAATGTAATTTTCGTACATAATAGGCTTTTCAAAGTTTGCGGCCATATTTCATGACCCAAGTTTACTGCGCTCCATAACTTTTTTTTGACTCGAAAAATCCGCGATTTTATAATTTTTGAGTCAATTTTCCAGGTGGAATACTAATTTATGCTCACCGTGGATTTTATTGGATTAGGAGGCGTTGAAGCGAGGGGCGTTTTGAATAAGAGGTTTAGAAATTTCATGGCAAGTTGCCAGGTCAACCTTATAAATATTAAAACTGTTATGATTGGAGGAATGGGTGAATGAAAAGAGCTTGTTATTTTAGCATCTGCACTTGATGTACATCTGCATAATCGGAGAGAGATTATTGTTTCTATAGAGTGGTCAAAAGAGGTGTTGCGCAATTACACTTCGTTTTAGGCTTTTGTAGGGCGGTTAGGAAAGGTTATGGCCAAGTAGGAGATAGGATTAAAGATACAACGAAGCATTAGCGCTGGAAATAAAAAATTTAAAGGCGTTTCTTTGCAACATTTTTTTATACTTACAGCTATAGATTTTGTTAAAAATTTCTGCAAATTCAGGCTTATCTCTGAACGAGCATTTTAAAAAACCCTTCCAATGTCATCCCTTTGTCTTTTTGATTCTCCTCTCATCATCTCAGCGCAACCTTAATCCTCAAGTCATCCCGCTGTTCGGCACCCCTTCATCTTCCCTCAAAAAACCGTTGTAACTCTTGAATTGACAGCGGTTTCAAGTGCACTTATGGCCGTTTGCATAACATTTGTGACCGGCCTCGAAATGGAGACTTTTCCTTCCGCGCGCCGGAAAAGGCCAAAGGGCCGCGTGCGGTGATTCTAGGTGAACCTAGGCACAGGGTTTGACATCGAATAGGGCCAAATTTTCTCACGAAAGATTTTGCGGGTATTTTGGAGGGAATTTTACAGGGTTTGGCATCTTGGGGCTTTGCTGAGTTTTGGATTAGAAACTTGAAGACATTTTAAAAAATTTTTAATTTGCGCTTGCCCCGATAAAAGTACTTTTCTTGTCAAAGAATCGATCGCTGCCTTTTTATCTTTGTATTCCAGTGGCTTATACAGTTTCTTTTCCCACAAAAACATGTTGTTTACCCATCGACCCTCAAACATACGGTAATTACTCTTTAAATTACCTCAAAAACCGCCGCCTGCCCATCCTTGTCCTGGCCACTCCTTACAGGCCTATGCAAATAGATAATTGTCATTCTGTTTCTCATTGTTTCCCTTTAAATTACCATCGTATGTCATAGCGGATGTGTCCTTTGAAAGATCTTTTGCACAATATGTTCATGTAGAGCTCTTAAATAGGCGGCGTAAATTATTCAAATTGTTCTTGAAAGCGGCCGCTTTTCGCCTTTCGGCCCATCCCAGGTGAATTGAGAAGGTTGGCAAGGAAGGGGGAAAACGGCGTGTTTAATGGGTACTTAACTTGTTTTTGGCGTATATAGGGCGTATATATAATACAATACTCTCAAATTGCGCTTTGCAAAAAATTTACGAGATTTTTTGAGCCGAAATTTTTCAAAAATATTATATTATTTTTTTCGAATTTTTTGTCATCATTAGGTTTGACTGAGAGTACACAGTGCCTAGAATTTATCTTTTCCTATGCAAAAAGTCCTAAAAATGATCGGAAAACGCTTTACCATGGATCTTCTCGACACGTCCCATTTCGAGCTGTACCCAAAAAATCAACGCGTTTTATTTTTCAAATTTACAGCACCCCAATAAATAGATTTTATTTTCTCTTTACCTATTCCAAGCCTCCAGATGTTTTCTCACTATCCATCATGTCGAATAACCTCCCAATTTTCCGCCCCTCCAATAGAATCTCCATAAAACGGTCCATTCAGTTCGGGGGGACAAAAGCCCCTCTTCTTTACAACACTAATTTACTGTAGAAATCGTAAAAAAAATTGCGGATAAGAGCGTTATAAAAGGTCTTCACTTCCTACTGCGCGCATCCATCTGGCCATAGGTAATTGGGCCGAGGCGGACGGGGAGTCGAGATATTATAATTTATATGCAAATTTTACAATGCTCGGGGATCTTGACCTTGGTTGTTGAAAGAAGTGTGAAGGAGTTGGAATTACGGCAACATAGAATATTTTTTAGTTTAGAGAGGGTAGTTTTATGGTATTGGAAGTGATTTTTCGGAGATAGGCCTGGCTCAGAGCCAAAAAATTTCCCGGCCCGGGTCGGGTCGGCTAATTTTGTGACGAGCCCCCATAGAAGTACTTTCCTTGTAGGAAGACAAACAAATGTCTGGTTTGCTTCCAGAAAAACAAAAATAAAATTTCAAGAGCTCTTTGGAATCAGGGCCCGGATTGCAGCCATTCTTAAGGAAAATAATTTATTCAATGGTTCGAGTTTCAGGGTGATTTGATAACTATTTTTTATTGTACTCGGTATTTTTCAGGCCTTCAGTTGCCGCGTATTTTTTGCTAGAGCTTTTCTTGTCCGTCTAGTTCGTTATAAGTTGGTTTCGTTCAGTCCAGATCACAAAATTTTTGAATTTTCAAATCTTCTGACATAATAATTTTCGAAACTTTTTTGGCATTGTGTTGCAAGTGCTGAAAACGATTCCTGAATCTCTCAAATCGTTTATCAACTTCTTTAGAATGATTTTCAATCTTCGTGTCGTTTTTAACATTTTTTTAAACAAATTTGCCCTTTCCATTATCCAAATCCACCAAGCTTACTTCCCCATATCCCCTTCTTCTTCCTTTTTTTCTTATCTTGCTTCGGATATTTGGGTGTGGCCTTGAAATTAAGATTCCTTCAACGACGCGCTTAAACATTCACAAAGCGCGAGGATGCCGCACAAAAAACCCCTCCGCCAATCTTCGCCCAGAAGCAGCCGGCCGGAAAAAAGAAGTTTTTTCGGCCGAATTTTAATGTAGCGGTGTAATGTTGTATATCGAACTGAAATTGACTTTTCCGATTCCGTCTACGGCCTTTGTTTTTTCCGTTTGAGGCGCCTACTTTTGACAGGAATTGAAAGGAAGATGGAGGAGGGGAAATTGTCACAAATGTTGGGGCCAATGTAGGCGCTTAGATGTGACAATGGCATTAGTGGTCGGGAAATGGAGTATAGTTCATTTTCAGACGTCAAGATTGTAACATACGTGAGCGGAGAAACGCCAGAAAAATTTGCGCTGTTTTCAGAATAAAACGTTAAATTATCAATTTATATTCCGTTTAGATATCGATGAAGTTTGATAAAATTTCATGTTATTCTAAGCTATTTAACCTAAAGTTTTCATCAGCTGATTTATGGCTTATGTAAAGGTGTACGACTAATTTTAAATAAGAAAATCAAATTGTTCCACATCTAGCTACCTAAAGGTCATCATGACAATAAAGACACAATTTTTGGCGTGCTGCAAATAATACTTGTACAGAATCTTAACTACTGTTTACTATCTTATATCACGCATTCTCTGCACTTTTCTTCCCTTCCTCAATTTAATTTTAAATTTTTATCTCCCCTAATTTGGGTAATTTTAATTCGAAATGAGCCGTTTTTCATGCCAAGTAAGATTAGGCCATGTTAAAAATAGGGAATGTCCGACATTCCCGCGATCTTTTATCCCCAAAAAACGCCTGAGACCAACCAGTTTTTTAGGCGTTTTCCGATGAAATTTCGGCCGTTCAGCGCCTTTTCCCATTGTTTGTATTGGAGAGTTTTGGGTGACCAAATTGGGTTTACATATTTTTGGGGAGCAACAGGAGACAAGTGATGTCAAAAGGAAGGTCTGTGTAAAATACTAGGGGGACAAGGAAGTTTTGAGAAGTTTTCAAAATGGTAGGGGACCTAATCGGCATCTAAGATAAAAAAATGGGCAGCTGGAGGAATTGGAAGTAAATTTAAATTTTAAATAGCTCGGCTATAAAAAGGGCTGGAGAAACAGAATGACGATTTCCTTACTGTTTGTTGCAATTTTAGCAACGGTGATTTTTGTAATTTTTAGTCCTTTATCTTCAATTATTTTTGATTCCTTTACTTCCCTATTTATCTTTTGTTACTAATATTCACCCTCTTTTTATTACACTTGGTCTTATCAACAGCTTGAAATTTTTTCCCTGTAAAATCTATATTTTTTTCATTTATACCCCTCTCAGTTTACCCATCCCTCAACTTATTAAATATTCCAAAGACTTTCCGTACGCAAATTTATTTCCATTTCCCTTCTCGCTCTCCGGTTGCATGATATTCTTCAGTGACATGACGGATGAGTGGAGGTCGTGACATTTCGCCTCCAAATTCTTCGAACGTTTTTAATATAACCCTCGAGGTCCGAGGATGCGAGTTTGTTCGAAATTTGTGATTTTTGAGGTCTACCAAAATACGTCTTTTATCCATAAAATTCATAAAATTTAACGTTTTTTTCGAAATAGGTTAAAAAACGGTAAATTTTTATAATAAAAGGGTTGCCCATAAATCGACCATTTTTTTATGTTATTTTTCCTTTACTATGAATCAAAGGTCTGCATTTCTAAGTGTATTTTGAGTATTTTTTACGTCTACCATCTGAATGAATGGATCATATTGCCTCATAATTCCCCCTACTTTTTAATAATTTACGTTTTTTCCCATAATTCTCAACGGTTATTCGAAACTTGACCCTGCTCTCGAGTTATGGACTAAATCAAATTTCTCGGGCATGAGACAGATTTGGCGGAGTGACCGCCGTTTTTGGCACTTTTCCATTGGCGGCAGCTAATTTGATTAGGGACCGGGCCGAGGCCCATTTCCCCGAGATTTATGAGTCGTTTTTGTTTGGTTATTACCAGGAGAAATTTAGTAATGTTATTTTTATTGACCATCAGGCATTTTTGGAGCATTCCAGAAGGGCTTTGTAAAAAAATTGTGGGCTTTAGCGGTGCTTGATTTTCCCGAGCTGCGCCCTAGGCGGATCTCTAAACCTTGAGCAAATTGAGATTTTTTGGAACAAATACATACGAACTTTCCATTAATTCAATTTTTTTGATTTTTCTCTACAAATTGAGCATTGTTGCACAATGCCAAAGTTTGGCGGGAAAATAAAAATTAAAAAATTATCCACCAGAATTGAATAAAATTACATCCTGCTGGTTTTGCACAATCGTTCTCCACTTCGCAATGCCAAATAAATTATCGACTGGTCGTAAATCCCCTCCTTTTCACTTAAACGAATTGGTTTTAATTTCCAAAAAATGCCCGAATTCTTTCGCCCCATTCATTCATTGCGCTTACCGAAATTAGCATAGTTTACGCGTGCTGCGCGGAGCGAAACTTTCGCGCACCACGCACTCTTTAATTATAACTGATGAAAATGTGTGGGAATTGGGTTGGGGCACGCCATTAAGCAGATTTTATGCAAATGTTTCGGGCCAATGGGTTAGTTTTAAAAAAAGTTAATCGATTTTTAAAGCTCATCATGCTATTGTGCGTATTTTACTATACCTTTCCATATTTTATTATGGCCGCGAATTTTATAATTTTTTTTGCTTTTTCGAATTTTAATATTCAAATTTTTTCAGACTTAAAATTTCCCTCCAAAATCATTTTTTTCCAATTTTTTGTCATGAAATGAAATGTCATATCCATCGATGAAGTCTCCCTCATCTCGATGAATGCCATCCTCCTCTTCTTTCTGCTCTACTCGGCCTCTGGCCAAGACATTGAGTTTGTGGACACTCCCCGTTTGTTCGAACCGATCAGAGTTCGTCCGATTGGTCTGGAAAGGGGAAGATTGTATTATTTCCATTTGGAGATTCGACCGGTAGATGTGCTGCCCGGGAAGGAGGAGAGCGAATGGCGGAGGATTCTCACGAAAAGCGAACATATCGGAAATGAATTCGAGTTTGGTTGTGAATGGGTCACGGCCACGGGAATTTACAGAATCAAAGTCAGTTCTTTTTTTTTGGCTTTGATATTTATTTTTAACTTGACGCAACTTTGGCAAAAATTAACAAAAATTTTTGCAGGCAAACGAAGAGAACTCGACCACCTCAATAATCTCCCCTTCATTACGGTTACTAAAGCCATCTGCATACATCCGCCCACGTCTTGCCCTCAGGGAAGATTCCATTTTTCCGAATTGTGATCGAGATTATGACTTGTCTTGGACCCTCCCCAACTGCTCATTGGCCTCCAAATCCGACGAATTTCGGGTCCGAGTGTCGGCGGTTGATTCCGCCGGCGCTGAGCTTTATATGGGCGAATTCAAAGCGTTGACCGAGCCACCAAGAAGTTTCGGGATCTCGTGCGGCCAATTCGACATCATCCATGAGAAATTCTGCTTTGAGCTGGTTTCGCTGCATTCGTTCAATCAGCAGCTGGATTTGTGGGATCGGAAATGCGTCAATACGGAGCCAGGTATGGAATTTGAGAGTATGCTATCCAAAAATAAATAAAAATAAGAAAATCGCCTCGTTCTAGTCAAGTTGATAGCCTTCTATTTTAGTGGATTTCCATCCCAAAATACCCTTTTTTATCTTCGACCTGCCATGTTGATTCTTCCCGACAATTCTTTTGAGCCGTAAAATTCGCGGCTCATTTCCCTCGGGAATACGAAAAAATTTTAATTTCGACGGCAATTATAAAACAAATGCCGTTCGCGGGCAGATACGGAGGCCAATATTAGGCTAGTCAAGATGGACATACGAGATTGTTGGGAGTAATGTGATTATGCATTGCATAAAAAAGATAATGGAAAAATATAGTGGAAGTATGAAAGTGTAATTTTTTTTGGAAAAAGCTGAAATTTTATTATATAGGGTATCAAATTCTATGTTTATTATATTCTAAAAACAAGGAGTTTCCTCGTATTTTACCCCCTAATCTCTTCAGTCCAACGAATCGACGGTGCTTGGTCGCAGTGGGCCGAATGGTCATCTTGTAGTCGCTCTTGTGGAAAGGGCCGGCGAAAACGACGCCGCGAATGTAACAACCCAAAACCCCTGAGGGGAAAGCCCTGTCCGGGCAAGTTGATTGAGACCCAACAATGTAACGAACACAAATGTCCAATGGAAGTCCGAGCGCCCCCAAACTCCACCATGAATCACTGTGAGTGTGGTTGTGTGTTGACGGAGATGAGTGGAAGTCTGTTTGCGAGGGCTTCCAGATTCTGTTTGAATCAGACGCTGCATTGGGTGGTGCCGGCGAGGTATTTGGCCAAATTGAAGTTGGTTTTTGTGGATCAATTGGCCGAGGATCAGGCAATTCGGGTGTTTGGAAAGGAGGGAGAGGCAAGCGATTTTTTTTTGAATATTCTTTTCATTGTCAAATGCCTTGGTAAAGGCTAAATTAAGCAAAAATATCTCTAATTTTTAAATATGCCAATGTTAATTTTCAGGAGTCTTTCTGGCTCAACGGTGATGCCCAACCACTCCCAACTGCCATCACATTAAGCCTTCAAAACGATGTAAATATTGTGTTAACAGCAACGGGTCAATCGGCGGACAAAATGACCGGAGCTTTCATTGATTACCAAATTATTCCAGGTAATATTATTCATTGATATCTTCAACGTATTTTACACTAATATCTTACAAAAAAACCATATATTTTTTCCGTATTTTAGAGCCCTCAATCACGCCCAATGGAATGGAATATTCGGCGTTTTTGGGCAATCGCTTTGTCAACTGCCAGACTCGACAATGCCATGCGTTTGTTACGGTAATGTCGTTGCTTGTTTGTCTAACAGCAATCGCTACTTTCGTGGTGGTACCACCACTAATTTGCTCGTTCGTGACCAAATACAAAAAGAAAAAGAAGAGCAAGTCAGCACTTCTTGGGTCATATCAGTAAGTGCATTTTTATTGGTTTGAGGTTTAGAAAGCGGGCTGTAAAATGAAAACTGTAGATTGACAGCTGAGACTGGAAAAAGAGAAGCTTATCGCAAGAGTTTAGAAAAAAATACGAACACTTTTTTGTTTACGATAGCCATAAAAACCTTGAACTCAAAGATTACTACAAATTTGACATTTTTTGCAATTTTTGAGCTAAAGCAATGCAAATTCTGTTGGAAACATTGGCTAATCCGTTCAGTAATCTATTTATATTTTCAGCGCGGATTCTGATATGATTCGCTCAGGCGGCACCGACTCCACACACGTCTCCTCCAATCCCCCGACCGGGAAGCCCCCTCTTCCACCAGACCGTCAACTCAACGGCGGCACTCAAGTGGTCGTCGCTCATCGCTCAATTGGTGTTCAACGTTCGTTGCAAACAACTCCGCGAACTCAACGATCGGCCAGAGAAACTCCAATGCCGAATGCTTCGATCGCGTCGGTCGATTTGGAATATGATTATTATGATCCGCCGATGCCGGGGAGTTTCATTAAACCGGCGCTTCCGGAGATCGACATCGATGATATTGTTCATAAGGAGACTAGTGGATGGCTGGACAGTCCACCAATTAATGGGATCAATGGAGTTGGAAATGGGGTCAGCTTGGGCGAGTAGAGGACATTTTGGTGTAACTTTAGAGGCCAAAATTACGCTTTAAGACACCCCTAAAATGTCTATAAAATATCGTCTATTTTGTGATAATTTTTGTCTTTTCTTCCGATTATTGTATGCATTATTCAGTGTAAAATACGGTCGCTGTGGAAAGTTTATATTTTAAAATTACTTTTTTGTTGCAAAATTTCACGTGGTCATCCCATGTTTTAGTGCATTTTCGTTTCATATATTCCCATACTTTGAGTTTTATCATCTACATACAATGGTTACCACATTTCTCAACACATGTTTTCCTCGGTTTACTGCCGAGATAAGCCTTCATTCTTTGATTCTTTGCGTCAAAGTTCTTTGATTTTTTCGCTGAAATTTGAAGACTCCAAAAATTCAATGAATCAAAGTGGGTTTTTCGAGGGGTTGTATTTTACAATATATGTCTTTAGTTTCGTATTTTGTTTTAAATTTCACATTTAATTATCCAATTCCCTCAAAATATCACATGTTTTTCTCTTCGGTCTATCAGAACTCCCTCGGATTTCACGTGAATCTCCTTCCCTTTTCCTACCGTACCTGCACATACGAGTATATTTTTATCTGTACAAAAATTAATGTAAATTTAGTTTCTAATAAATTGTTATGTAATATGATGATCCCAGACGGCAAAAGCACAAGACAATCTTCCTTTTGTATACAAAATTTTTCCAGACAAATTTTAATTGGATTTTTTTCGAAACGACAAGACGCTGATTAGAGACGGTAGATGATGAAGTGCTGACCAAGTGTCAGGCGTTTGTGGGCTGAGGTCAAGTTTTAAATCGTGAAAAATAAAAACAGTAAAAAATAGAAAAATTGCACTACCATTCAGCCCGCTCAGCATCATGGAATTGATTTAGAGGTCGGCCGAAAATGTGGGTTCAAAGCTGACATTCTAGCATCCACTGATCATACCGTATCGATACACATTTCACTTAAATCGACATGAAATTTTCCCGAGGGTTTCCTCTAATCAAAAATCTACCCAAGAGGTCATCTATGCCATAGAAACAAGATACGTTCCTTCTGCCACAGTCGAATTATATATCGTAAACAAATAAATTCTTCCATAAAATTTGCAAACGTTAGATAAAAAGCAGTCTTTTGATCAAACTCTCACGCCTCCAACAGTTAGATAAGCCTTGGGCGAATCGAAAGACTATTCCAGAATGGTAAGACATTCCAGCTGAGCATGTTTGGGAGGTTCTCATGTGGAGGGATCACGTGCTGAAGACTGTCAATCTGAAGGCGCCAGGGGAGAATGCATTTGCTTTAATCAATGGTGTGATGCAATTGTTTCTTGAGTGTAGGACAGTAATTTTTAAGTAAGCCTTAATTGCGTTATCGCCAAATAACCAAAAGTTCAAAACACTTGGATACTGTGCTAAAATTTCGATTTAAAATACAAAGTTGTTACTTATGTAGCAGTTGCAAAAATATGACAAGCCATACAACTACTTCAAAGTTTCAACCTGCAAAAATGGACAAAAGTGATTACGGCTGCCACTTAAATATCAGTTAACGCCATGGCGTTAGAAACTGTAGCTCCACCCAAATCAGAGTGGCCTAATCGTAGATTATGAAAAAGAGCCGCAGGTAAAAGAAGATATTGCCACAGAAACTACACAATCACATCAGGTTGAAACCCAGATCAAGGATTAAGTTGCCAGAGAAAATGAAATCACAATTAAGCACGTTACCCGGAGTCTAAAGGTTTGGGTCCTTACATGCAAAGCTTAGCCTTTGGTCATTCTCAACAAACATTATCCAGCATTGACGTATAAAAGACGTTGCTGACCTTGAAAGCGCATCCTCAAGCCTTGATTTGCAACGCATCAATGTACTTCACAAAGAAATTGAGGTAATCTTGATCAACGCCGGGCAAGCCTTCAATTTCGAGTTTCGTTTTCAAACTGAAGTAGAAACATGTGTGCTGTTGGCTAAATTTAGTTTAATTTTTATCAATAAGTTTTTCAAAAAATCTGTGGTTCTTATTTTTGATAAGTTTTTGCAAGAGTGCAAAAGTGTCCTCTATAGTGTAAAAAGATGATGTCTGCTCTCTTTTCAGTGCGTTCTCTTTACTTTAGAGCTCATAGTACCCGACTGCAAATCAGCAATCAGCATTGATCTGCCGAGAAAACAAACAATCTCCAAAAATAGCCGGCGGCTATCAAAATTGCTTCTAAAAACGTTCCAATTTCACGTGAACCCCATTCTCAACGTCTTCATGAACAACCATCTCTTTCTCTGAACTCTCTAACCTACCAGTTATTACTTTGGCCTTTAGACGAGGTTATCAACGCAAAACGCGTCGCAATTTCCATAAACCCCGCCCCAAAGCGGACTGATTTTAGGTGTGCTGAATGCGTGTTCAGACCCCATTTCTAGGCCTGATCATCCTGATCCTGGCTGTTTACTCCCTACTTGTCTACAACAATTGGCATTTGTGGCTAGTAGATTACGATAAAGCGGAGAACGGGGCCAAGCAGGAGCTGATCCGGCTGGCCAAACGGGTCAAAATCCAAGAGGACAAAAAGAAGAGTAAGTGGCAAAAAAAGTACGGTGGCAATTTTAATATAAATAAAAGTCAAAAATTTTTTGTTTAACTAGCAGGTTAAGGAACCTTGCATTTTTTATAATTTGTCTTCATTTGCGCCACGTTTCATCAAAATTTGAAAGAACTTTCCTTTTTCCTAACTTTGTTTTCGAAAAATTTGATTTTACAGCTTTCATTTCGAATTCCAACTACCCTAAACTGGCCCTAAAACACTTTGACCTTGACACTCCGCTAAATTCTAAATTCCTTCCCTCGGTATAACTTTTCTCATGACTCATTTTCCATCTCATTATTCTTCTTTTATTCAAACCCATGATGATATAAAAAAAACCTCCTCAAGATTTTGAACTGCATATTTTTACTCGAATTCATCTGATTTTATCCAAAACCGAATCCATCAGTGACGTCGCCACCTGCGACGTCATCGATGGACAGGTTTTTAGGCGACGAACGTTTTTCGAACGGGCGTGGTTTATAATTTTAAAAGGCGAATTTTGTTATGAAAAGTGTTATTTTGTGATAAATTAAGGCTCGTCTCAGAGGTAACTAGTGATGCTTTATTAGGTTTTTATCTGAAAATGCATAAAAGAATAAAAAAAAGTGTTTATAGGGTTCCCAGAACGTGAAGACATCTTTGCGGCCTTTTCATTGGACCGAGCTCAAGTTGAATCGAATAAAAAGGCTAGCGAAAGCGTTGGACTTAACAAATTTCAAGGGTAAGTAAACCTAAGCTACATAAAATAACCTTTTTTTACAACATGTTGCAATAGTTGTAAGAATTTTTTGAATAGACGTCTTATTTTACCATTTTTTTGTATCCCTTTTGAGACGTCAAGGATTCCTTTTTTTAAGCCAGAACCCGTTACTTCCTTGTACTCAGAGTGCATTGATCATCAAATTGTTGTCGCTGTAGCCTCATTACGCTTTTAGACATACCTAGTTTTCTGTACTACTCTTCCATCACGCTTAATTTTTGTACTTTGTCATCCTGACCCCCCAACCTATGATAAGGTGTATGTGTGGCGGCTGATCCCCAACTTATTCAGTTTTTTTTTAAACTGTAAGCTGCTTAAATCCCATACGTGATCATCACCAAATTTCCGACTTTTCAAAGCGTCTGTATTAGGGCACTTATAATCGCCATATCAGACGGGTATATAAAGTAATATTTAAGACAGAAGATTTTTTAAGACCTGTCTCTTGGTTGGGATTGCGGTTTATTTAAGCGCATGTGGTATTGTCGACACACTGAAGAAGTTATATTCGATATTGTTTCAGAAAATGTGCTCAATTCGACGTGTTCATGTTCCCGCCCCCACCGAACTCCTCCACCTGGACGCGAGCCATCCAACAGGGCCTGCACAATTCGCGATACCGCACCGAGCGGGCGCTCGATGCCTGTGTTCGCAGTGCCGCAATCGACAATCTCGACCAGTTTCGGTCCGCGCCGTCCCGAGTCGCGCCCGAGGATAAGATGGTCCTCTTTGTGCGAGAGCCGGGCAATCATTTCCCATCGAATTTTATGGTGTTTAGCCAGCATACATTGTAAGTTTTATTGCCTGGTTACGTTCAATATACAACAGCAGATCCTAAAAATTAAAAATTTCACGTATTTAGCCATAAATCGCCGAGTTATGGACAAAAACGTCAAATTTTATGCCTTTTCAGATCTATTCATAAAAACGTAAAAGTATATTTACTCAAGAAAAAGTAAAACGCGCAAATCGTTTTAGAGGTCCTAACGGCGTTTTCCTCGACATTCCAGCCATATTTAACTCATCTCATCTACCCGATCTCGACTACTTTAATCCTAATGTAAGTCCATCAAATAATTTTTTAAATATAAAAAAATTTTTTTTAGTACTTCCTACAATTTCATATCCCCAATGCCGATCGTAATAAAACTATTTACAAACCGATAATTGAAAAATGCACAACAAATTCTACCTATCATAATATAAAATGCTCGCTTACTCATGATCCGGACGATATTGATGCAAAGCCAGGTAAGGAGGGGTAAAATACGTCTAAGTTTCAAAAATATTCATTAATCATCAAAAAAATTTCAGCTAAATTCACTCTGATCACCTACTCAGAACCCTACAACTTCCTGAAATCTCTCTACTTATCCCTCAAAGTGGGCTCCATCCCAGTAATAATCGCTGAAAACTACCGTAATCTCCCTCTATCTGATATGATTGACTGGTCAAGAATTCTCCTCAGACTTCATCCTAATCGAGTCTACCTTTTATTTGAATTTCTTCGCGATTTAAAGCCAGAAATGATCAAGAATTTGCAAAGGAATGGGAGATTCGTCTTCGAAAATCACTTGGCTGATAGTCATGGTAAGATAGACTTAACGCAGTACTATGTATATAATAATTTCTTTAGTTCTTGTCAGAGCTGTCTTGTCAGCAGTCCGATATCGGATGCAAATTCCAGCATCGATAGAAAGCCACGAAGTTGCGAAGGAATTTTTTACCAACGTCCCAAAGAATTATATCGTTAAGGAAAGAGTGAATGATGATAGACAATTGAGCAGCGTTTTGGTAAGCGATTTTTTATAGCATCTAATACAAGGTATTAGCCTTTTAAATTAGGGCCTAAACATTATTTAAAAAAATCAAATCTAGTTTTAGTCATCGCTTTCGACATTTTGAGTATTTTTGGTTACACAACTTGGAAACTCAACCTTTCTCGATCCATATTTTAAATCTCCGTGGCTTCTGCCTTGATTGGACTAATTTTCCAGCCCGGGTTACTGTATTTTTTTTTTTTTATTTTTTCTTCTTTTAGAATTATCACTTTGCCTTCAATACCAACCCCACTTATGTCGATAAGCTCTCAAAATTTGACACTCTCTATGAACCCGTTTGGTCATTTTCTTCATCTTCTACTACGACCGAGCAATTTACCATCATCCTCAACGCTTTCAATCGAGATGAACAACTTTTTGTCGTCCTTCGAAACCTAAATGGTTTGAAGTACCTTAAGTCAGTCATTGTGGTCTGGTGTGATCCTGCTCGAGAGCCGTCAGAAGGCAGTAAATGGCCGCAAATTCATGTGCCAGTTCACTTTGTTCAAGCCAAGGAAAACTCGTTGAATGAGAGGTTTCGAGCGTTGGATTTGATTGAAACTGAGGCTGTTTTTAGTATGGATGATGACTTTGAAGTGGATAATGAGATCATAGAATTCTCTTATCGGTAAGTGGTCGTTTTATACGTCACAAAACTCAACAGCCCATATTTTTATTAACGATAAAGGTTTCGCTGTTTTTGGCCTTATTTTTGCTATTTTTCTCAATCTCTTACTTTTTTTCTCTAACCCAAGTTTAATTCCAGGGCATGGCAATCCAACAGAGAAACGCTGGTTGGTCCGAATTCTCGTCTCGCCATATTTAATCAACAGCAAAAATCAGTCAAATATTTGACCGAAAATGAATGCATGTACAATATAATCTTGACGAGTGGCGCCTTCTTTCATCGAAGTTATTTGACCGCCTATTGGGATGAAAAATACGCAGAGGTCAGAGAAATGGTCGATTCGAAGAAAAATTGCGAGGACTTGGCGATGAATTTCCTGATACAGCATTTGTCGCGGAAAGGAGTCATCAAAACAACAAATCTATTGAAAAGCAGGTGAGAATAAAAGTTCAGGGTCAAGAAAAACTAAACCAGGGAAATCCTAACCCTAACAAATCATGAATTTTTCAGTGGTCGCTTTGAAAAGTCGTCCAAACTTTCCCTCCGATCCAAACATCTGACTGATCGAATTGAATGCCTCCAATTCCTTCGGAAATTCTATGGTTACAATCCGCTTATAACTTGGGAAACCCGCATCGACTCGCTGCATTATAACCATCCGGATAATTTAAAGTGCTACAACGATGTCTGAATTTCATATTTTTTATAATGTTGCATATTTACGGGTATAATTGTGCTTTTAATGATTAAAAGATGGAAAATTTTCTTTTTTTATTTTTAAATTTCTGTTCATAATAAACAATATTGTCGTAAAAATATTCGTCAACATCTGAAGAACGTATTTTACAAAAAAAATCCCTGGAAATCCATAAAATACCCTTTTTTCAAGCTTGTTCCTAAAAAGCAGGCGCTTTTTTGTTTGTCCCTCTCCCTTCGTTTGTGCGTCCGACCCCGAAGAGAATTTGAGAAGTAAAGAAACGAGCGAGAGAAAAATAACCTGTGAGAGTGCACGTTTTCTCGCTCTCTCTTCCTTTTTCCTCCCCAAATTTCGGGCGAGTAAACATTTTTACGCGAGGTTGGAAAAAGAAAAGTTAGACATCTCTGGGGTCCATGCATCCTCAAACGGACAAATCTTTCGCCTTTTACTAAAGATTTCCGTGCATGGGCTCGCTTATGAGTTCTAACAATTTTTGGGAGTCCATTCTTCGGAGTGGACTGATAACGAGCATCCAGTTTTGGATTAGAATTGTGAGAGAAAGTATGCTGACAAGGTCGTATTTTACCATGAAGCCCTGTTAAAAGTCGCAAAGTTTATATTTTAAAAACTGACACTTTCTTTGTAAATTACTTTACAAATTCAAGGTTTTTTACTGTCTCAACATCCAAATTCCATAATAAACAACAACAGTTTTAAAAATCGCCTCCGGTCCTCCGCTGATTCTGATTTCTGGCTTTTCGTTTTTGGAAAACAATGGGTTTATCTTTCTTGCTGGACTTGACTTTGAGGACTTTTTCTCCGAACTGGGTTTCCGATGGGTCTTCTTCGATCTCAAAATCGAGATCTGGTTTGGTCGTAGTGTCCGGTAGATCATCGTATACTGGTCTGAAATTATTTGGTAAAATTTATTTTTTACACCTATGCGAGCTCAACGTATTTTAAAACTACCATTTAAAGTATAAATACTCTACGTTTAACTTTTTTTCAAAATTCCACTTACTGAACTTGTTGTTCTAGCTCAAAATTCTTTGGGATTTCGGGCTGCTTTACCACTGGAGTCCATTTCCCGAGTCCATACGCTGATTTCTTTGGCTTCTCAGCTTCTTCTTCCGCCAGTGGATCATAAAAGGTGCATTCCGGCCTTGGTTGATCTTCTTCTTCCTCTTTTTTGACCTCTTCTTCTTGAATTCCCTGATCTTTTATTTCACTTGGAACCTCAATAAGTCCTTCCGGAGCTTCAAAGTTCACTTTCTCAGCATTTCCACCATTAGTTTGTTCTATCCCCACATTTTTTATATTATCCTTGGATTCAGCTGGTGGCGGCGGAGGCGGAGCTTGTGCTGCATATTGTTGCATCTGAATTTGGTATTCATACCATTGTTTGTAGTACTGTTGGTACTGTTCGTTGTATTGTTTCATGGCTTCTGCATTCTCGGCCTCCTTCTTTTTCCTTTCCTCTTCTTCTTTTAGGCGGTTCTTTTCATCTTCGATCTGTTTTTGGATTTTTTCATAGTTCTGACTGTACTCCTCGGACGTGTAGAAGATCGTGGGGACTTCCCAGAGGGTCTCTAAAAATATTTTTTAAATGCGAAATTTTCTGAATTTGTCATAAAAATTGCATATTCAAATTTTCCGATCTCATGTAAATTTCAAAAAAATCTCACCTCCAGAGAAGATATTCCAATAATAAAAGCCTCCATTTGCCTCGGCCTGGACCCATTCTATAATTTCTTCTTCTTCATTCCGATTCCAAAACTCCGAAGTGGCCGCTGTCTTCTTCAATTCCTTCAATTTCTTCTTCCTCTCCTTCAATTCTTCTTTTGGATCTATTTTCGGGGCTTTTCGTTTGACTGGAGCCGGTGTTCCACTTCCATGTGATGGCGCCGACGTTGTTGGGAGAACCCCAACCATTGGTGGGGCCATTGAAGCCGGCGTTGGAACGGACTGTCCATCTCGCTCCATTGCCGCTCTGGCCGCGGCTTCCATGGCCACAAGGGTCGCATTTAGGTTGGCTGTCTGAAAGAAAGGTGATTTAAAAAAATTTTTTTTTCAGCAACAAATGTGCTTTTTGAGCTCAAAACCAAGACCGAGGAAAGTTCATGATTGAAAAAATTTTTTGGCCAATTAAATGTGTCTAAATTTGGTATCAAAAAGTATCACAGACACCTACTTCCTTATCCTTCTGCTTAGTCTTTTGTCCCATTTCTCGAAGGCGTTGTTGGACCATTGCTTTGTGTTTCTGACCCATTTCATGATGTTCAATGGAGGCTCGGTTGTCTCCAAACCATACTTTACAGATCTCACAGAACTTCTTGGCCGATGACTTCCAATATTCTGTCATTTTGAGGGATTCTTCTCTGAAATATAAGGGTAAATTAGCTAAAAATGACAAAATTATTACACAAAAATACCAAAACTTGATATAAAATGCGGATAAATTAAACCATTCTTATTTCACAAACTTTTCAAATGTATAATCCTCGGGAAATCAACCAAATTTTTTTCATCTCCATCAAGTACAATATAAATTTTTTATTTACATATGTTCCATAAATTAATCACAATGTTAGAAAAAAAATGTTATTTAAATAACAGTCAGTGTTAGTAAATTACAATACAAAATTACTGGTAAAAAATGATACAATATTACACCAGGAATCCCATCTAAAAAATACCTAAATATCGGCTAAAATACGGAATGTAAATAAAGAAGAAAGTCCATTTTTGAGTGATATATCAAACGAAAAGACTTTAGCCATCCATATAATTTCTGCATACTTATTACCCTCAGGTAAAATGAAAAAATATCGCCAAAAAACGTTATGCATTAGAAAAAATCGACTAACTTCCACAAAAAATCGCTAAAATACGTGGAATACCATAAAAGTTTCTCAAATACAGCCTCCTGAATACTTATCACACCAGAATTTTTGATTTTTTTAGAAAAAGTTCGACTAGTCCGACCCTATTTTAGACATCAAAATCTATAAAGCCTCATAATCTCCTAGGCCCAAATCATCGGGATCATCTTCCACCAGCATGTCATTCCTCTTTTCCTTTGATTTTTTGGTTTTTGTCGTTGATTTCTTATTTTTCTTTTGTTTTCTTGGCTCCGATGGGTCTTCGGCCGATGTTACCGTAGCATAACTGCTGGATTCGGGGCTATCGTCAAAGAAATCATCGAGGGTCTTTGGTATTGAAGGGGATTTGGGCTTCTGCAATGAACACAGGATATAAAAATAAAAAATTTTTTAATCAAAAATCCAGTACAATATAAAAAAATTTTCAAAAAATTTTAAAAAATCCATATTTTAGTTTTCCCAAACTTACCGTTTTGCATTCGACAACTTCTTCATGCCTCTCCTCAACTTTAAACACGGCTTTCATCCGTTCAATGATCACATCCTCTTCACTTTCATCAGAATCAACATCAATTTGTGTTACCAACGGATTTCCATCTTCGTCCGAGCTCTCCTGTCCATTCTTTTCTCCAGATTTCTGCTCAGTTCTTCTTTCTTGTTCCTCCAGCCACTCATTCAGGCCACTTCTGAGGTTTTCCTCTTCCTTTTTCACCAATTCCTCATTGAATTCCAATTTTAATTCGGGAACTTCAATTTTTTGCGTGAAATCCATCGGGACCTGCGGGAAATCCTCATCACCCGACTGGAAATCCTCTTCAAACATGTCGACCATCTTATTATCATCGCTAAAACACGAAACTTTTACGTTTTATCCACAATCCTCAAAAATGCATAAAATTTAACGTTTTTATCCCTAAAACTTCACAAAATACAAAATAATTAAAATTTCTCACCCTGAGGCACTGCTAATAGACTTTTTTCGTCGAAATTCTGGAGTGGAATCCACTTCTCTCTCATCCAGTTCTTGTTTTGGTACGAGTGGTGTCTGCTGATGGGAAGGTGAATTTGATGCGGATTGGAACTGATCCAACTCGAGCAAAGCAACATTAATATCATCTTTATTCGCCTCCAGGGCGTTTTCTAGTTGTTCTCGCTGAAAAAAAAACTTTTTTGAAAGATTTTTTTAAGGCTGCACCTGTTGATGTCATGTATAACATAAAAAATTGAAATTCTACTCTCTATTTCAGCAAAACTTAAGTTTTCACAACTCCGTAATCCCTTTTTTCACCTACCTGCACAAATAAAAATGGGATGTTCAAAAAGTTGTAGAGGTATTTCAATCCATTTGCATTCATCATGGAGGATTGCACCAGCCGAACCGGTGCTTTCAATTTCCCTGCCAGAGGTTGTTTCCTTTTGAAATTCCGGAAGAATGATACAATCTCGTCTTCGGTGACCTCTCTTTTCCCTGCTAAATCAATCTTGTTGGCCAAGACGAGGACTGGAAGATGTGCTGGGATCCTTTCCAGCTCTTCCTTGACGTATTTAAAGGTCCAGGACTTGGTGATGTCGAACATTAATAACACTCCATTGCAATTTTTATATACATCAAGGAACGCAGCATCGCATACCATCTGAAATTTTTTGATATAGATTTCTATCTTACCAGAAAATAATTTTTATTTTTTTAGGCAATTTTGTCATGGATAATATAAAAAGTGACCAAGATGAACAACTCACCATATCCTGAGGTCCGCCATTTGCTTCTTTATGATCTGCAGGCCCATTGTCTAACTTCAGCCCGCTTGATCGGGGTTTTCTCCTCCGACTTTCATCCACCACATCCCAAACATCAACCTTTACAATAAAGTCTGAGCATCGATAATTCCAAGTGATATTCGATACTTGAATCTCATCTGTTGGAATGTATTCTTCGCTGAATGGTTGGCCCTGGAGTCTCTTGAATAAACACGTCTTCCCGACATTTCGATCTCCTCGGATCACCACTTTCACTAAAATATTTTTTGGTTGATACCGTAACTTTTTAGACTCTAAACTCAAAAAAGACAAATTCAAACCACTTACTGTTAAAATTGACGCCATTTGCGTATCGGCGTTGCAGATCGGTCTTGACCACATTTATACCCGGTTTCGTCCTTGTGCCCTGCGGATTTGGACTGGGCGGGCCTGCGAATTTCTTCCGCAGGGCCGTTATCATATTATAAATTAAATATAATCTACAACATTGGATTAACAAAAAATCTGCTGACGTGGTACAAGGTCCAAACCTCAAAATAGTAAAGAAAAATAAAATTTCATTCTCAATGCTTCTATTTCACAAACATAACAAATTCAAAAACAATGAAAACCTGATACCAACCGGATTTTTTTGAGAAAAACGGTATCTAAAACAATGTAACTGAAGTTACTCCTGCTTCCTCGGCTTTAGCGCCCACATTCTCACTTCATACATGCCCTTAGGGAAGTTTCTTTGCTTCCTATCCATAATAATATCCAAATCTGCGTCTTCAAATAGCTGGAGGAACTCTTCTTTCGTCCTCGTCCAGCTGTGATCTTCACTATCAAAATCCCTCGTACTTGATGAAGTTAGGTTTTCTTTGACGACTATTATTCCATTGGGCTTTATTCCTTCCTAAACTTCAAAAAAATCAACTAAAAAGGTTCGACTTACCACGCATCTCTTGAAATAATCCAAACAATCTTCATCCGTTAGATGACTCAAAACCCATTGATTCCAGATCACATCATATGTCGCAGCCAAGGGCTCAAACGTCTGCAGACCTTCTACAAACTTCTGACCAACTCGTGAATTCTCAGGGCCAATGTATTTCGCAGAGTTTTCAATAAATTTGTCCGTTACATCCACCATGTCCACCCTTTTGAACATCGGCAAAAGAAGATGCTTTGTTATCCTCCCAATGCCGCTTCCACAGTCCAACGCCGTGTCAAAGGAAGTTAAGTGGCCCTGGAAAACAAAAATTATAATCTATTGCGTTTCTTATCAATTTACCTTGTTTTAGGTGATAGAGAAAATGTTTTTGGAAAAATTGTAATAAAAACAAGACCCGACTGATTGAAAGACCGTGAAATATTATCAATAACGGACAGGTTTCAAAAATTCTATGAACTAAACGTATACTAATTAAATTTCGTAAGAGTAAGAGCACATTAGGCCTGCATTGTTTTGAAAACAGTGTTTGCCCTCAATATCCCGTTCAATTCAAGCCAAAATCAAACAAATAGCTCATCAAAGAGGTGACTAAATCGCAAACAACGGACTTTCACGGAGATAACCTCATTTTTAAACATAATTTCGACCTTATTCCACTCCAGAAGTGCCTAAACTTCAAGCATAACACCAAAAACACTTACCGAACTTCGGAGCGCACTGAGAAACGCCTTGGATTCGTTAATATCTGGAATATGCAACTTCTCAAAGCCTCCAAGCATTCCTTGGACATCGGATGCAGTTTTCGCCCAGTATTCCTCGGCCTTCAGATATATTTCTTCAGCAGGCATCTCCATTCTGAACCTAGCAAAATTTATAGAAGAATTTAAAGCTGTTTTAAGCAGTTTACAGGAGGTTGAGCATCTCATTCAAGATGTAAAACAAGCTCACATCAAAAAATGTAAAATAAATTTTTATTGATATTCCGTCACGACAATATTGGAAGAATTTTTCGAATAATTCCAATAAACCTGTGGCTTTCCGTCTAATCTTGAAATAATTTTTTTTTCCGTAAAAATTTTTTGTTTGGATTTCGTTATTTTTTGTTGAAAAGCTTTCATCCAGCATTATGAACCATAAGACGAAGATCCGACTACAGAATGAGCTGAATGAGAAGGAACTGAGCTTGGGTTATGCTGGAGATACGAGTAAAAGTTGGCACAGCGTCTACAAGGAGTCTGCTTGGATTCACGTTGGTGGATTGGATTATGGGCTCACCGAAGGAGATCTTCTGGCTGTGTTTTCTCAGTAAGTTAGTTTCTGCTTTGTTTTTTCTTTGATTTTAGGAATTTTTGATGTGGTTGATGCTGAAGTTGTAGTTTTGGGTGTGTTTGATAGGTTACGAGTTAAATTTTGGTGCGATTTGCGTATGGTTAGGTTTTCTATGTAGTACAGCAGTTTTCGGTTGTGTGAGAACTTGGAATTTATTTTTCACCCTTTTTATTTTTCTTTATACCTATATTTTGGCAGAAAATTATTAATTTGGTTTGATATTTCTTGTAAAATAATTTTTTCTTTCTAGATATGGCGAGATATGCAACGTAAATATAATCCGGGATTATAAGACCCTCAAGTCAAAAGGATTTGCTTTCATCTGCTATCAAGATCAGCGCTCGACAGTCCTAGCCGTCGATAATTTCAACGGGATAAAGATAGCCGGCCGAGAGATAAAAGTGGATCATGTTGAGAGCTTCAAACCTCCAAAATACAAGGAAAATGTGCCAGAAGCCTTGATGAAGATCTGGCGAGAAGGTTGTGCACCTGTCCCTATTAATATCAGCAAGGGTAAGGGATTTTTGGATATTACTTTAGATTATATTGTACTTGATAAATTTTTTGTCATTTTTTCACTAATTTATCACCCATTTCAGAGGATATTGAGCGAGATTACGAACGCCAGAAGGCCGCTCAAGCGCAAGCACTTGCCGAAGCTGATCAGTTGAAGGAATTAGAGGACGAAAAGGTTAAGAAACTGTTGAAGAAGATGAAGAAGGAGGACAAGAAGCTCAAGAAAGAAGCAAAGAAACTGAAGAAAAGAGAGAAACGAGAGAAGAAGCGGCTAAAACGATCACCAACACCTTTGGAAGAACGAGGAACGGCTGATTCTGTATCAAATTGGGATCAAAAGAAGAAACATGTCGATTATAGAGAGATGGATGTAAGTGTTTGTCTTTTTTGTTTTGATTTTAGATGATTTGCGGGCTAAAGGACTGCTTTGTAAAGGGATTTTTGGATAATCGACCTATTTCAAATTCTCCGATACTAACGCCTAGTGCAACATAAATTTTCTGTCGGATTTTAAGAAATGATTTTGCAAGAGAACAGATATTACGCCTTATGTCAGATTCTTGAATCATATGATTGCTACTTATGACAAAAATATGCAATTTATTTATTGGATACCAAGTGTAATATAATTTTTTTTCAGGATGAAGACTTTTATGGGTCCAGCAAAGCTTTCAACTTTGGAAAGAAGAGAAAGGAGATCCCAGATGGCCCCACACACAACATTCGACCAGATTTCGACAAGGCTGATTGGCGAGATATCGAATTATTCAAAATTATGCGAGAAAAAGAAAAGGCCGAGAAAGGAGAGAAGCCCAATAATTTCAAGGAAGAGGAACATTATCTTCCAAATCGTTTTGGATAATCATGGTTTGTATAGAAAGGGAGTGGTCGTTTTGTTGATGTAAATATAAATTTTAATATTAAAAATACGGATTTTTTGAATTGAAAGTTTTTGTAAAGGTGATGAAAAAACCATGTTAAATTGATGGGTACTTGCTCTCACGAGAACCCTCATCAATAACCAAGTCGATGGACAGCAGACGTTCCAAGCTTTACAACACGAGCAACTGTTTATTTGTGACGCCTCAACTCCCTTTCGTTTAGTTGAAATTAGTTTGATATTCGTAGCTCTCGTAACTTTTTGTTACTTTGAAAGATGTATTAGTCTGGGACTACTTTTTTTAGGCAAAAATGAAAGATTAGAACGTTATCTTTGATTTTCTGTTCAAGTAAAATTTTGAGTCATCAAAAATTAATGAAATCAGCCTATGTCCCTGAGGTTTTGTCACGGCCATACATAGGTTAAATATGACGATTAACTTTTGAGAAATTCCCCAAAAAATTTTTATTTTCAAATTTTTTGACTTCTAACTTTTACCACCGCCAATTTTCCAACTCACTTTCGTACAGCGGCCGTTACATGCGTCACTTGCCTCTATTTTCGTATTACTCACCACTTTTGATCGTTGCAAAAAACATTCCCTCATTTATAACGGCCCTCCTCTCGTGTGGAACAGTTTCGCGAATGTTGCTAAACTATCAGAGAAAATTATTACACTCATTTCTGTTCGCCCCCTCTCGATTTACACCCCTTGCCAATGCTCACTTCTTTCAGAACTCGGAAAGAAAACGCGAGTAAAAAATCTCCAAAATTTTTATTTTTTTTATTTTATTGAGCGAATTAATGTAGTGCTTTTTTACCGTCGACCTTTTACTTTTCTCAGAGACGAGAAGGGTAGTTATGACTTCAGTTGTTACTTACTCCCTCTAATGGGTTCAATTTCCAATGGCGAAAGTGAACTTTGACAAGCAATGGGAGCTTTCAAAGTTGAGGGAGCCTTATTTTATGTAATTTGAGGTCGTGAGGAAGTGCCTGACCTTGGGGTGTACAGTTTTTTGGGCCTTTGGACTTTGTGATTGGGGTTAGAAGGCATGATTAGATGTGATGGTGGTGTTGATGACATTTTTTTTGGGTTGCGGCTAGAATATATCCTATTTTTACAAAACATAGAAATTTATATGTGGCCTATACGTATGACCACCTATTCAAAGTTTACAGAAAGTTTGAACGTCAAAATGCCTTTGATTTTGTCGAAGTAGAAAATGAAATACGTAATTTCATTTTCCCTCGCAACTATTTGCAACGATACGTTTGGAAAAAAATAATATACTATAAGTAACTGAAAGTTATATAATTTGCTCTCCGACTTCCGTTTATCAGTGATCAATTTCCGCGTGAGTTTAAAAGTGCTGCTGCAGATGAGGTTTACTTCGCCCCGAGGGTTTTTTTGAGTAATTCGTTTGTTTACGTAAAATTCTCGAGTGTTTTTAAAGTTGATGAAGATTATATAAAACATTAGTGATCAAAAGTAATAAAAAGATGTTCACGCTTTGTTTTTCGGCAATTTAATTCATTTGGAAATCTTTTGAATTTTATTAAATTCGTTTTTTTCAGTGTACGGCAAACTTGGGTTTGTAACTTTATGTAAGTATGATCACCATGACATCACAGAGGAAATTTTTGTGTACACTTTTTCTCTTCTTTCAAACGACTTTATTGCTAGTCAAGGCCGGAGAATGGCTAGGTAAGTATCCGCTTCACTGTAATCTATATTTTTTGTATTTTACTACAAAAAAACATTTTTTTAGAGCCCCGGCTCGAGTTCTCTCCTCAAACGGAGCGAGGCTACTCCCGCTTCACGAATGACCTCACTTCCGCCGAAACTGAGGTATTCTTGGAAGTGGTGAGTAACGAGCACGGAAAGGCCGACAAAATGGTTCATGAAGCCGTTGTGGAGCCGAGGATTGTGAAGAAAATCATGCGATTACAGACCGAGAATTTCAGGAGGCAAGGGATGAGTGAACGACTCATTTCATTGTATATGGAGGTAAATACGTTTGTTTTTTTAAATGAATTAGTATTATATATGGATAATATGTAACCGTCTTAATAAAGAATCAGATAGACTCAAAGAAAAATGTTTCAGATGGTCCGCCAAGGCTCTGGGCTTCTGCATATGCGCTATCCTCAGACCTGGCGAGAGCAGGCCGTGTGGGAGCAATCGATGAAGAAGATCTACGACAAATTCGACCGTCTTTCCGTGACAGAACGAGCCTTCGTTCAATGGCAAAACCCGGATTGGTATGCCCTGATCATCAAGAGGAAGCCCGTGCCGTTGTTCCGAGCTCGTCGAAGGAGTAAGGGCAGGGAGGCCCATCGAAAAGCCAGACCATAGATGATGACATTACAGTATATAGGTATTCAAATACGGATCATTTTCGGACACTTTGCGGGTATTTTTAGCTTTTACTTTTATTTTTTTTTTACCGGATCATTTTTTTAATAACATTGTTATGCGTTATTATTAATAAAATTGAAGCATGAATACGCGGGTGTTGTTTTATGCTTCTTTATAAACCCCCGCTACTCTTAAAATACAGAGTTTGAATTTTGATTTTTTCCGAACGAAAGGTTGAAAAATGTGGCCGAGGCTGCTCAAACAATTCAGATTTCCCGTTAAGCCGTTGAGAATAATCAAAACATTCAGTAAATGTAAATAAGAACCGTGATATGACCCTTTTTAGAGACAAAGCACGGATTTATGGGGAATCTGAATAAATATAAAAAATAATTATATAATCAAAACCAATGGGATTGAATGGAAAACGTCAAGCTTCCAGACCCAGTTGACAAACATTTCAGCGGTATAAATCTCAGACCTGATGGTTCAACCGATGAAAAATTGGGGCTTGAAAAATGGTTCGAGTATTAGTTCTGACGGCTTTGTTGTTCGGCCAAATTGCGGCGACCAAATTCAGCGAAAGCCAAAAACAAGCCATCCTGGATGCCCACAACAGCCGGCGGCGAACTTTGGCCAATGGAGAGGCTGAAGCGAAGAATGGCACCATGGCCAAGGGAGCTAATATTCGAGAAATTGTAGGAATTTCAAAAAAACAAAAATTTCTTCTACAGACTTTTAACTCCCTAATCCAAGGAATTTTTACTTGTAGACCTGGGACGCTGACCTTGAAGCCAAAGCCGACGAATGGGCTCAAGCTTGCAATTTTGAGCACCCAACTAATGGCGGATATGGCCAGAATTTGGCCGCTCAAATGCCTCATGTTGGTGTGGATAGCGCCGTCAATGGCTCCGCTCAAATGTGGTGGGATGAGATCAAGGATTATTCGGGGGACGCCAAGTTTGAATGGAGCACAAGCACCGGACATTTCACACAGGTAGCAGAGTTTCTACGGCGTAGAAGGATTACTTTGGGGAAGAGTTTTATATAGTGAAATACGAAATTTTCCTTGGCCTCTGTTTTCCTCTCATAATTTCCCTTTTAGATGGCCTGGGCCGAAACCGACAAGATTGGCTGTGCCATTCAGAACTGCACCAACGGTGACACCCAAGGCTTCGGGGAATGGAAGGACTGGACTTTCACCGTCTGCGACTACATGAACCCTGGAAACATGATGGGAGCTGACCTTTACATTACTGGAGAACCCTGCTCCAAATGCAGCAGCCAAGGATCTTGCAGTGACAGTTTGTGCAGTGCCTGATTCAGTGGAAAAGGAAACGAAAAATTCTATTATTTTAAAAATATATATTTTAAAATAAATCCAGCGCTTCAAAAAAAAAAATAATAATAAAATTTCGAGATTCGATTAATTACAGTACCAAAATCTTTGGCGATTGACAACAATAATACAGTGCATATCGGTTTTTAATTAAAATTCTTTTGAAATCTTTTGAAAAAGGAAAATCAAAATATTTGATCCCAAAGGACAATATAAAACGAAAATTAGATGCCATTTTTGAAATTGTGATATGCTTGCAGAATAGCATAAATGACATTTGAAACTGACAAAACAGTCGGCAGTATAAATAGTCGAAGGTGGTCCTCAGAGTCATCATCAATCAAAATGTTCGGTCTACTGTTAGTTACTGTTTTTTTGGCAACTCCGATCACTGCTGACAGGTTCAGCAACAGCCAAAAACAGGCCATCCTAGATGCCCATAACAACCTTCGGAGAACCTTGGCCAGAGGAGAAGCTCAAGCAAAGAATGGCGCCATGGCCAAGGGAGCTAATATTCGAGAAATTGTAGGAATTTCTGGAATGTTTTCCTTTGTATCATAATAGCGTTTTAAATTTCTAATCCGAAAAAACATTCTTGCAGACCTGGGACGCTGACCTTGAATCCAAAGCCGACGAATGGGCTCAGGCCTGCAATTTTGAGCACCCAACTAATGTCGGATATGGCCAGAATTTGGCCGCTCAAATGCCTCATGTTGGTGCGGATAGCGCTGCCACCGGCTCTCCTCAAACGTGGTGGAATGAGATCAATCGTTATTCTGGGGACGCCAAGTTTGAATGGAGCACACGCACCGGACATTTCACTCAGGTAGCGCAGTTTATGCGGTAGACGCGAGAAAAGGTTTCGGAAATCGGGACAAAGCCTTTCATGAACAAACAAGGGCTAAACATAAGGTTTTCTACATCTCACGTTGCAAAGGAAAAGAAAATTTCTGTGTTTCTTAACTCTTTAGGATGAAAAGCTGGCCACTGTTTTTCTACCATAATTTCCTTTATAGATGGCATGGGCCGAAACCAACAAGATTGGCTGTGCCGTTCAGAACTGCACCAACGGCGACACGCAGGGATTCGAAGAATGGAAGGACTGGACTTTTACAGTCTGCAACTACATGAACCCTGGAAATGTGATGGAGGCTGACCTTTACATTACTGGAGAACCCTGCTCAAAATGCCAAGGATCTTGCAGTGACAGTCTGTGTAGCGCCTGATTCAATGGAAAAGGAAACAAAAAAACAAATAAATTTTTAGCTATGTACCTTTTCTATTTCAAAATAACTGTTTGCAAATAAATTCAGTGCTTCAACCAAAAAATTAAATTTGGAAATTCCATTAATTACGTAACAAAGTTTTCGGCGATTTGCAACAATAATAGGGCATATCAATGGGAAAAGCGCTGCTACTCCAACCGATTCACAGCCAATTCTCCAAGACAACTCAAGGTGGTCGAAACTTGTGTTTGGGGCCATCCAAACGATCTGAAAACCGGCCAAAACCTAGCGGCTCAGGTGCCTCACAATAGCCCCGACAGAGCCATTTCGAGGTCAACTGATTCGTGGTGGAGAGAGATTAAAGGGTACTCAGATGGGACATCGTTTGGACACTTTACTTAGGTAAATACTGTACTTTTTGTCTTGTTTCGAAACTGAAGTGATAAAATTTTTCAAGGCATTCTTTGTATAGTATATTCGCCTTGAATTTCAAATGGCCTGGGCTGAGACCGACAGGATTGGTTGCGCTTTAAAGAACTGCTCGAACGGCAAGGCACAAAAGCTCGATTACGACGATTGGACTTTCACTGCGTGCAATTACATGCCTCTAGGAAACGTAGCTTCCTACGATGTCTATATTCCTGGCAAGCCTTGTTCAAAATGCGGCAGCAAGGGGGTGTGCAAGAATGGACTCTGCGTTGCCTAAAACATCAAAATGTATAAGCTAAACATTCTGAATTTTGGAAAAAAATAAACAGCTTATGTTGCAGTCATGACATTTGAAAAACTTGGTGGGCGCATACAGGGGTAAGCGGGCAACGTCTTTGCAGATTTTTTGTGGGTAATGTTGAAGCTCGACACAACTTGTTTTCTCATCTCTCCAGCACAATTTAATTTCTCAACAAGTCATGTAAATGTAATACAATCAGAAAAAATTTTTTTGCGCCCTATTCGGCACTGCAGAGTGAATCATTGCAACCTTCTTCTTCCTCGCACTGGGAGCACGGATCCCCGGTCTGATAGATGTCTTCTCCATCAACATTTCCAGCCGGGTCGTAGTTGCAGACGGTGAAGGTCCAATTGTCATCCCCGAGTCCCTGACTCAACCCGTTGCTGCAGTCCTGAACAGCACATCCGATCTTGTTGGTGTCGGCCCAAACAACTTGAGTGAAATGACCAATGCCGCTGGAGTATTCGAGATGCGGGTTCCCCGAGTACTTCGAACTCTCGTTGTACCATTTCTCGACACGTGTCAGATAGTTGTTGGTATGCGGCCATTGCGCGGCCAGATTCTGGCCGTAAGGAGCGTCGGAGGGGTGATGATAGGCGCAGGCTTCGGCCCATTCAACCGCCGAGGCTTCAAGGTCATCGTCCCAGGTCTGCAAATATAAATTATGAGAGTGTTGTTGTAAGGGGGATTTATTTGTAAGTTTTTACAGTTTTTTCTCCACTTACAACTTCATTGATATTGGCTCCTTGCGGCATTGGGCCGTTCTTGGAGTTGGTTTCTCCATTGGCCAGTTGTCTTCTCAACCTGTTGTGGTTGTCAACGAATATTTGCTTCTCATCGTCGCTTAACCTGGCCTCTGCCACAATAGAGGCCAGCACAGAGGTAGTCAGGAGAACTCGGAACATTTTGATAATGACAACAGTGAGACATTGCGAGTATTTATACTCGACTTCTGTTTACAATTTCAGATTTTATGTTGATTCTGAAGAACTATTTTGAATATAATATTTAAAAAAATCCAAGAATTATGAGACTGTTCTCTGAAAACGGCTTTCCACTTAGTGATCTGCAGTTTGTATTATATTGATTTGAGATTTGACTTGTAGCCTTACTCGGAAAGAGTGTGTGAAAAAAGGTCGAAACCTGGACAAACGATGGCTACTCACAAGGGAAGTCACTTTTTTCGCAGATCGATCCATATTGGTGACCTAGTGGACTGTGAAGGCTTCAGGCTGTGTAAGAATAATCTGGCGTCCAAAAGTGTTTACGGGCCCTGAGGGCAGAGTTATGGCTCATCAAAGTTCGCGCAAAAAAGGTTCCGAAAAGACCCTCCAAAAAACCGGGGTTGGGGAAGTGAGCTTCGGTAGCAGAGTGGTTCGCAGATTTTTCTTTTGTCTGGAAGGACCAGGGTTCGATTCCTCTTCCCGGCAACAAATAAAAATAATATTGTAAGAGTAGCGTAAGTTGCAAAAAAAAATATTTTAAAATATTTTTTGAAAAATATTATTATCCTGACGTTAAAAAACTGACGATTTTGTTCATATCGTCCCTAAATTTATCATCTGCCCAGACAGCAAGCGTTTGACTCAAACGCTTCAGCATGATATCACAATCACCAAGGGCGTCTTCTAAAACATCAGAGGTATACATATTGAGAATCCCAGTCCTACCTTTATGCCAAAGTTCCCGCAGTTTTCTCCAATGATACGGCGTCTTGATCCACCGTAATTGCCGCATTATTCCAGAAATTGGATGCGGTCCTCGGTGGAAAAATCCCCTCGCATTCCTCACTGTGTCCAAGCTCACAACGACTTCCCCAAATTTTAACGACAGGATAATAATATTTTTCAAAAATTATTTTAAAACAATTTTTTTTATAACTTACGCTACTCTTACAATATTCTTTTTATTTGTTGCCGGGAAGAGGAATGGAACCCTGGTCCTTCCAGACAAAAGAAAAATCTGCGAACCACTCTGCTACCGAAGCTCACTTCCCCAATGCCGTTTTTTTGAAGGGTCTTTTCGGAACCTTTTTTGCGCGAACTTTGATGAGCCATAACTCCGCCCTCAGGGCCCGTAAACACTTTTGGACGCCAGATTCTTCTTACACAGCCTGAGGCCTTCATAGTCCACTAGGTCACCAGTATGGATCGATCTGCGAAAAAAGTGACTTCCCTTGTCAGCAACTATGCAACACAAAAAAAACTTTTTTTTTCAATCTGTATAGACAATTCAGAAGTCGTTGAAATTCCGGGAAATTTAATTTTGGAATTATAATTTTTATTGCCCTTTTTGGTGCGGAAGTTGATGTCATGCTTTGTCTTTAAATCCTCCTCTTTTTCCATATAAACGCCAAGCAGGGCTCAACTGATCAGTTGAACTCTGGTAAAATAATGGAGATTCCGCGATAAAACATATTTAGTATGCAAAGCACTCTATTAGAGTTTGTCGAAAAACAATGTGTTTGGAAGTCTGAACAGAAATTATTCCCACAAACGTTGAAAATTTCTGTATTTATAACCAGAAAAATACATAGCAAGAAACTTCTAGCTCTCTTTTAATTTTTTGTACAGAGGTTTGACTGCTTTTTTAAGGCCAAAGCCAAGTCCTAAGAAAGGACTCCCTCAATGGTGGAGCGCGCTACACGTTACAAAAGTGCTAGTATCATCGCTCCTACGATGACATTTTAATACCAAAAAATCTTTCATTAGTACGGTGCAAACGAGCAGCCATTGGGATTTTAGAGCTAAACTGAATTCAATTATTTCTGGCATCAATAATAGAAGAACAGTTTGAACACAAGAATTAATTGAATCAAATGGCTATAACAATTGTGATTTTCAGTGATGACGGAAGTGCAACAAAAGCAGTTCTTCATAATAGCAAGAAAAACTAATTAAAAATTCAAATCAAGCACAATGGCCTACATAAATTGACAAAAGGTCAATGCAGCTGCTCGTCTATAAAAATGGGTAAAATTCGGCGGTTGTTATCTATATGAAAATGCATTTTTTGCCGCTTTTGGTAGTTTTTACAATTTTTGTGTGTGTTGAAAGCAACCCTGCAGTTGATGAACGCGAATTTGTAAGATATCACAATAGAATGAGGAGTGAATTGGCGAGAGGAACGAAATGGCGGCACACAATACAGCCACCAGCGAGTAATTTGAAAAAACTGGTAAGTATTATAATGTATGTATGTATGATGTAAGTAAAGAATACATCAGGAGCCCTTGGGCATACATAGCATATATATCCAGTTATCAATTACTCTGTTATCAACTTACTTATAATTTTGCATATCTGCTTCCATTTTTAGAAATGGGACGACAAGTTAGCAAAAAAGGCGGCCAGATGGGCCAAGAAATGCAAATCGCCCAAGAAGCACCCAAAAAACATCAGTTATGGTCAAAATTGCGCTGCTCTTCCGATAGAAGAGGGATATCATGACCAAGCCAACCGTGCCATTGAAGAGTGGATGAATGAAAGCGATGATTTCAATGGAAACCTCATCTATTCTTTGCCAGAACATAAAAACTCCAAGAGATTTGCTCAGGTGCGTTTTTAGATGTCATAGTTGTACTTTTGACACGTTTACATGTATATGTACAAATCATAACATGCTTATATTTTAGCTAGCCCTGGCTAATGCTCGTAAAATTGGCTGTGCGATTCAACGATGCAACAATGGAGACGAAATTTTCAAGGGGAAAAATAAAGCAAAGGAATACGATTTGGTGGTCTGCAACTACAACAAGAAGCCCAAGGTTGGAAAGGAAATCTACAAGAAAGGAAAAGGATGTAGCGGCTGCAAGAAGTGCTGGGAAGGGCATGATCTATGCTTACCCGCATGAAAAATTAAATTAACGCTTTTATCAGTATCTTACTTGTCAATGCTGTATGATTTATACCGCAATAAAAAACAAAATATAAAAAAAGTAGTTTTTACTTTGTAGCTAGAGTATAATATCCTGACTCATCAAATAATCGTTTTCGACCCAAATGTAAATCCCATTGTTGAGCTAGAAACGTGTTTATAAGTTGTTGTTCCAGACTTGTTGGCAGCCTTGTGTTTTTCTTCAATATTAAAAAATGATAACTAAATTCCTGTGTATTGTCACAGTAGTGACTTTATCGGAGGCCGAAAAGTTGAATAGCGCTGAGCAAAATTTTGTGTTGAATCTGCAAAATAGTTATCGTCGACAGTTGGCCAGTGGATCCGCAGAGACTTCGAATGGATTCATGCCTGCCGGCGGGGATATTTATGAACTGGTAAGTCTTGTTGGACATTTGATGCTCTTGTTGCAATTAGCTACTGCGCAGTCGACTGTTGTCTGCAAAGCAACAGAAAAATATCCGTTTATCACTTTCTATGAAAATTTAGACATACGACTCCGACCTGGAAGACAAAGCTGAGCAATGGGCCGAGAATTGCAAGTTTGAACACCCAACTAATATCGACTATGGTCAAAACATTGCCATGAGAGCGCCAGCATTTGGCTCAACAGATGCTTTGAGAGAAGGAGTCAACTCGTGGTGGGGAGAGATCAAGGACTACACTGCTACGAACAAACTCAATTTCGCTTCAACTACAGGGCACTTCACGCAGGTACGGAATACTAGCGCTTGAAAAATCATTCTGAAACGTCATTGAAATCTCGATGGCGGCAAGTAATTCAGCTCCATAGTTTTTCTACCGCAATATCTACCCAGTTTCATTAGTTTCTCATATGCAGAAATTCATCCCTTGTAAATATCCCATTTTTAGCTGGCAAAAGGTCGTGCTTCGAAAGTCGGATGTGCCGTCCACAATTGTACCACCGGGCTTATCGGATTTGACAGCTGGACATTTACCGTTTGCAACTACGATGTTGGCAATATTGTTGGCCAAGACTTGTATACCTTGGGCAATCCGTGTAGCAATTGCGAAAGACGTTCAGCTTGTCACAAGGGATTGTGCGTCGCTTAAATATATAAATAGCTAAAAGTACTATGTTTCTAAATAAATTAAAAATAACTTTTGCATTACAATAAAATCTACACTTTTAGCTCATTTCCGCTCCAAAAGACACCATTGATTGCTTTTTACTGCCCTGCGTACTTTGGACCGTCAGTTGGGAGTATTTTTGTTCGTTTTTACCAATTCCAAAATAGAAATTCTTCTTTTTTTTGCAAAATTCTTGTTTACCTCGATTTGTAATAGATTCGGCTGCAAGTGACGAGTTGTAACAAATAATTGAACATGTAAACAGAATGCTTTCGCGTAGCTTCTAAACTCGCACAGCTGATTGAAAATTGAAGAGTCGTTTACGATAAGCATGAGGAATGTTTTTGATAAACAGGCGGATATTGTAAAGTTGTACGGTAGATGTTTGGAAAGGAAAATGTATTTTACTGCGACTGGCTAAGAATTAGATTATGAACTTAAAACCTAATTTGCAGCCATTACTGAGAGTTGAGGCCAGAAAATTACATGAGAAAACAAATTTATTATGTAGCCTGTCTGAAACAGTATTTTGAAGACCTTGGAGGTCTGTAGTACTTTCAGGAATGGGTATACAGCCTTGGACAGTCTTTAGTTACAAAAATGAATGTTTCTTGCATGTCCTTCATAGATAAACTACAGCAGTTAGGAATTTGGCAATTTCGTTGTATAATATTAGCTGTTAATATTACTTTTTTTTGTTCGCTAAATTCCTCTCCTGATTAACATTAAAAATATCGCGACATGTTAGCCCGTTTTGCATGTTCTCTTTTGAATAGATTCTTGATTATCTCGGCTACGGCTGCAAGGCCCAAATTGAGGTATTGAAAGGTTTAGGTATAGTATACATATAGTATATAAATCTTGATGTCCAGGCACCATTTGTCATCGTTTACGCAAAATATAATAAAAAACCATGCCTTGTATCGAACCTTTTTTATTTCCTGCTCTATCGATGTCACGATTTCATAACCTTTTGTACAACATTCCAACTGATCAAAAGCAATGTTACACCACATTTATGGGGAAGTCTCCTTTATTTTGGTTCTTGCGCACCGATTCATCATCCCCAGGCAAAACCTTTTCATTTCGTTGAAATATTTGGGAACTAAAAAATCTATTATCGGCTTGCATTCACGTGCCCCTCGAGGTTTCAATGTGTTTTCCACATTTGGAGACAATCGCGGTCCGATAGCGGCATAAAGAACTGCCCAGGGGCTTCGTTTTTGCAAAGGAAGAATGGGAAAACAACTTTATTTTTCTTGGGAAAAATGCAATTGGTCTCCAAAACAATGTCAATGTTATGGAAGCTGCCCATAGTTTAAAGGGTTTTCAAACAAAAAGTGCAAGGTTACAATAGATCTGAAAGGAATGCCGTTAGTTTTAATGGGTTTTAAAGGTAGCAAAGAGCGGATCAATGTTCTGCGCAATGGTCCAGCAGATTGCAGATTTTTGCTACAGAAGAAATGATAAGAAATACAGAGTTCCTAAAGTGGAAAATACTGTATTATCGAAGGCTGATATTGATAATATTTGAAGCGAATTAAAGCTGAAATTTTTAGTAATTTTTTCAAGTAAAGCTTACACAAATAAAAAATTTTTTTAGCTATTGCAATGCACTTTCCTTCCATGCTACACATATTAAGCTATAGCATTTTCTGTAGCTTTGTTTGTTTATTTACTCTCAACATCCATGTCCATGAAATTTGGCGTTTTTCCAGCCCTTTTCCTACAGCTGAAAAAACATTCACAAACACCAACTCCATCGCTCAACTTACAACCAATGTCCAGCGTTTTTAACACTCATCAATCCGATTAGATAGCAGGTATTTTCCAATCGGACTCGTGACCCGAGGGCATGGGGAAGAAATCAACGGACTTCTTTGTACTTTGAATCCGAAAAACAGCGAAGAATAATGAGTTGGGAAATTGGAAAGCATGGTAAAAATAAGACAAATAGGACTATTTTGCAATGGGGGAAAACAAAGGTGTCGGGAAATAGATTGGGCTAAAAATAAAGGAATGTAGAAATAGGAGTATACAGTAGCAAACTGAAGAGATATAATTAGATGACGGCAAAAGCAACGGTGAAAATATTGCCAAAATTCAAATGACAAAGGCGTAAAAGAAATTACAATTTAATTTTTATTTTCATTGGGCAAGGCAACTTTTTTCAAATTAAAAAATTGATATTCCAAGTCCTTGCCCAACTCTTACTTTCATTTTTCAGAGATCTCTTCAACCCGATCACTGTTTCATCCATGAAAATCTATTATGCTTTGTTTACATAAACATTTTGAAGAAAGTGTTTTTCATAAGGGACGTTCCTAATTACGTGACTTTTGCAATGCGCTACGTGATATTTCCCAACCGTAGCCATATAAAATACATTCGCAGGAGCACTCGCTTCACTTTGAGAGTCTACTGTTCAAATCAATGGATCTGCCGAGAAAATAATTGAGTTCTTGCTTACGGTAGGTTATGGGAACAAGAGTATTGAGTATTACTGTAAAAATTTCTTTTTTAAAGCTTATCTTACTTTCGGTTTCTCTGGTAAAAATTTCTACTTTTTCCATGGCCTAGCGTAGTCAGAAACCCACACTCTAAATACAAAAATGACGTCATTATAATAAACTTTCGATACAAGAAATCTTCTTCTCTCCTTATCATTTTCGCGACGCTTCCATTCTCGATCGCCCCGAAAATTTTTATTTTTTTCGTTTCGTATACGCATTGGGTCATTCTCGAAGATTCCAAAGCATTCCCCTCTCTTCTTCTCCTCTCCTTTTATCTTCGAAAGAGTCCCCTTTCTCTGACCAGGGGTCAGTCTTTTCATAACGCCCCAGTCTTTCGAAATATTCGCTTGCGAAATACGGCCTTATCCCACCCGATTTTCGTGTTCGCTTCGTATTTTCGGCTTTTGTTTTCGCTGATGGGCAGTTGGTTCAGTTGTTGTGTGAGGAGATAAGGGGAGTTAAAGAAAGGTTATTTAAGCTTCGGGATGATATGATAGTAGTATAACAGAAAGATGGATAAAGGTCATGATGCCTGTAATGCCGGATGATGAGTTTAGTGCAATTCTAATAAGACTGTCTGGCCTGTGTTGCACAGCATTCATGTTGCAATGGATAGAGGATACATCCGGACGGCTGTAGACATTCTGTTTCGCTTTATAAGGTTACTATCGCTAATTGGGTCTCAAATTTCGCTTGAAACTCCTTGTATGACGCCTTATTTGGCTGCAGAAGCCCGATATAGACATCTATGTAACTAACCATCAAAAACTGTAGACAGTGTCACTTACAGCGGGCATTTGTTTTTCCTCATAAACAAATTTCGACACATTTCTTTGCAACATCTCTTCCAAGATTTACAAATGTCAAAAGTAGCAAAACTAAGCCAATTTATCTTGTAAAGACGGATAAAAACAACGAAGTCCCCAGACTTTTTTATCGTTTTAAATTTCTTCTTTTTTGGGGATAATTAACTTTCGTAAATGTTCTTTTTTCGCTGTCAGAATTTTTAATATCAAGGAGTAATATAAAGAGACCACTAAGGGCTCAGACATTGCTTTAAAGACATGTGAGGAAGTGATGTTATTAAAGATCTCGGCAGGAGGGAAACGGCAGGGAACGGCACGTTTTTAAAACCTTTGAAGGGACTAGTTTTTAATAGACCATTCCTAAACTTTAAAGGCTGAAGGGTTCATTTTGAATTGCACTTTTATATATTGAGCTCATGAGCTTTGAGACCCATACACTTCTCTCACGTGCAGCAACGAATCTGTAAGACCCTCAAACACCGTTTTTCCGGCGATTTACCGTTGTTTTTGTGGAATGTATCTTTTGCGCAAACAACGTTTAAAGAACGTGGTTAGAGAACACTTGACGCAAGAAGAAACTTCTCACATGACCTGCTGTTCAAATATTGGCCTACGGAAAAACAATGGGCCATGTGGGCTTTGGTTTCATCTTTAATATTTTTTAAAAGTTTCAAACGTTGAAGCTTGGAGCTTCGAAGTTTGATTTTTGTGGTTGTTTGGGATAGAAAACTACTCATAATTTTTTCCTATACTTTTTTTCAGCAAGAAGAAAAGTCATCAAATCTTCAAAAAAAGCTCTTATTTTATGTAGATGTGTTTTGCAGTGTGCTTATTTTTCGTTAATTCTTCGTAAAGCCAAAACAAATTTAGCAAGACTAACAGCAATTTTAAGCCCATTGCAATCCCCGAACACCACAAATCCCCTTGATTATTTTCCTCATTTCCTGCCACACCTCTTTCTTTTTCCTCCCCTCGTTTAGTGCCTTTGAAAAATTCAAATAACAATTTTGTGCCTAAAACAAAGTCCCGTCACTCAATTGGCCCTCTAATCTCAAATGTTCTTCCATTGGAAACACTATAAATGTAGTTACGTCAATGCTGTGACGTGGCCCCTTTTAGGCCTTCCCCTCTCTGGCCGTTCCCATTTCATTTTTTGCGTTTTCGAAGCCCGGGTTCGAAGGCAATTTTGTCTGAATTTCTGGGGCCATAGGTGCCCGTTCGGGCGTCGAATTTAATCGTCCGTTCTTGTTGAATATCCACGGAGAGCATTAGCTGTTTTGGTTTTCATTTATCCATAAAAATCGATTTATTTCCTAAATTTTAAGTACTTTTTTCTCAACTGAAGGCTCAGTATATAAACTTGCACTCTTTACACTAGTTGTAATGGCAGTTTCCGCTGTAAAAAAGTTATTTTTATTATTAAAACGGATTCTTTTCCCACTCATAACAAAAGTTGTTTAGTACTTTGTTGTAAAATGCGGTTCTTACTACATAAAAAGTAGGAATACATAGTTGTAAAAATTTTGGATGATTTTTGATGACCCAGAAAATATTTTTCATGTTTTGTAAAATTAAGTTTGGTTGCTGAATTTGCAAAAATTTGAAAAATTAGGGGAAATTCGAAGTAAAAAAAACTTAAATCAAGAGCAAAATTCGAAGTTTGAGATACTTGATTTTTTCACTTGATATTTGTTAAATTCGTATTTTACAATTGTTGCCAAATGTCTGTGGTCTTATTAGGAACGTCGAAAATCTCCGTAAACACTCAAAAATGGTGTCGCCAGCTGATTTGTCTCGTAAACACGACATAATTTCATTTCGAAATCGTCTTCTTTTTTCGGCTCCGTGCAAGACCCACATAAAAGCGGACTTTCATCGCTTGTTTTTTTCGTGTTTCAAATTCTTCGGAGCACATGTTCGAACTCTGACATTCGGATCTTTGGAAACCCCACCCACAGGCTTTCGGGAATCCCCTGGATCTCTTCGAATATAAATTGCCCGAGGCTTTCGGGGCTATCGTAATCTTTTTGAGCTCTGAATTTACTGTTTTTTGATCTGCAAACCCAAGGCCTTTATTATTTTGTTTTCAACACTTGATAAGCCAGGTATTTTGAAGGACTTGCCTGTGGGCATTTGCGTGTTTTGCACTTTGTTTGATTGGTAATTGATTTTGATCAAAACATATAGGTAAGAGATGATTTGATCCCGAGTGTTCAAAAAATATTTTGGAGCAAAGGAAAAAATAACGATTTTTTTGCAGAAAAAAATATTTTGAAGGGTGAAAAAAATCAAAAAATATTACAAAATCTCACGATAATTTTGGTTACGATAGCCAGTATTCACTTTTTGAGACCAAAAATTCTATATCCTGTCGAATAAGAACAAAAATTCCTTAAAAACTTGCGTTTGCCTCTATGTACAAAAAACCATTTCCCAGCTTCCAAACAGTCAAAACGCAATTATTGAGAGTAATAAATCCACTACTTCCGTTCTAATCCAAGGAGTGAGACCAATTTTTTGTTTCTGAAGTTCTTTCCAATGTTTTCCCTTTGCGATTACGCATGCAGAACATTCCAGAACATCAGCTGGCTTCTTTTTCTGTCGTTTAAAATGGGATCGTCCCTTTTTGTGGCCGATTCTGTGCAGAGTTTTTCTACAGACTTATGACGATTTTAATAGACCCTCGATCTATGAGATCGAAGCATCAAAAAAGATCAGTTTTTTTGCAGTATGGACTGTGGTCCATTGTCAAGGGAATAGGCGTAGTTGCAGCGCTTAGATTTTGATGAAATTTCGTTTACGTCTCGGAAAGTCTGTGGAGATTTTTGGGTCCAAAATATTTCTTCTTTTCAATTTGTCGTCTCCCTTTTGTAATGTATTTTCAACACTGCCCTTTCATCTCGATTATGTCCTAATTTAGCAACTTTGAAATGATCAACAATCCCTTTGATAGTCAAAAACATTCCCATTTAGTCAAAACACCCTTGCAGACAGCTGACATCCCTTCTGGCAACATGTTGTTGCTCTCTTCCCTTTTTTTCTCATTCCCATTTTTCCCAAATTGTGAGCAAAACGCGGCTGTCACGTTTCCCGTCCACCCACAGCAGCGTGATAAGCGAAGGAAGGGCCGATAACAAGCCCGCCCCTTATAAATATCAAAATCGGCGGTCGATGTGGTTCAGTCGGTACCCTCGAACGGATCCCTTTTTCTCTTGCATCCGCAGGGCGTGGGCTCTCCAATTGTGGAATGTGTTGCGAGCAGGGAACTCTTCCTTGATTTGAGTGGCTGGGAATCGTTTGTTGATAACGAGTAGCTGGAAGCGATTCGTTGAAATAAAGTCAGCGCGCTGACACCGGGGTTCCAAGGGGAATTCGTTTGGGTTTCGTTGATGGGCGAGGCGCTGCACTCGAGGGGTTCCTTTCCAAGTGATAACGTCGTGAATTATCAGTCGTTTTCGGTCACCCATTCATTTGTAACGCCGTTGGGTGGAGAGTATGATGCGTCATGCGAACTTCATTCTGGTTTATGAACGGTGGTTTGCGGAGAGGATACTTGATCTCTTGGTTATTTGTGATGGGTGATAATGGTGTGATTTAGACATACTTTGAGCGTCTTTACTGTTACAAGGCTTTATAATGCTTGAATTGGATGTTTTCTGTCGAAAAATAACTTTTATGCTATATGTGTTGCTTTACTTCGCGTATGATCGATTTACAGACGTTCCTTTTACCACAAACAGACTGAAACCCATTTTTTACAGAACCCCTTACACTTACAACCCCCAGAACTTACAATGCTGACCAATCGCCGTCGCCCAACCCTAAGCCAAAAGGAAGAACTGGTCCCCGGCCTAAACGGTAAGCCCCATTCCATAACCCCAATTTCCGGTCGCTCGCGATTACAATTCCCAATTGCTTTATAGTAATGACCAAACTCTCTCTGATGGCCGACTAAGATACTACACAAATGAGTTGAGAGTGAGAGAGAGAGCGGCCTAGGGCGTCGTAAGTATTGTTTGAGAGTCAGTTGGAGCCTACTAACCTTTCCCTTTTCGTTTCAGAGGCCCTTAAACAGAATTTCAAGCGGTATGCCGATGACTTGGATACACAATCGCAGAGACATTTGTGCGAATTCCTTAGGCTACGCGGAGACAATGTGAGGCCGAAGAGCGAAGCTTTCGCCGCTGTGCTACAAGATATTGAGCTGATGGAGGTGTGCAAAGAGATCACTGCTGCTGCTTTGTGGGAAGTCGGAGCTGACGAAAAATTGGCCGATTTTTGTCTTGAGGTAAGCTAAAGCTTTTTGGACATCCTTGAGTCATCGTATTTATCTTACGGTGGATAAAAAATCACCACCAAAATCTTGCACTTTTTTCCTATAAGCAACATTCAATAATATCAATATATTTGCAGCTCATTGATGTGATCCCTCAACTTGTTGTACTCCGAAAACTCAGGCTAAATGAAGACGTTGATGAAGTAGAAATGACCCCTTTACTCGACGAGTTCATGGACCTTGGAATGAAATACATGAACCTGAACGAAAAGGACAAGCTCAGGTTAAAGATGATCGGCCCCAAGGTCCGACCGCTCTTCCTAGACTTTGGCTTCGCCAGCAGCATCAAGTTCCTCTTGGAGCATTTTGAACGATGATTTCTCAACGATTTACAAGTCAATTCAAGGCCTTGATGCGACTTTCTGGTGCCTTTCTTGTTATTTTCCAAACCCAGGGCTTTATTGTAAAGATTGAGGATACCAAAAACAAAAAATCTCTTAAACAACGCATGTATGTACAGAACACAACTATCAGTCATATACATATACATTTCCATTACTAGTAATAGTCTATTTGTTGAGTAGTGCAGGTGATATATAATTCTGTGTATTTATCAGGTTTCGTTGCCAAATAAACATAATAAATCTATAGAGTTTGGTTTTTTTATTGACGGAATATGTAGTTTTACCGCTTAATTGGGGGCAAATTTGGGAAATAAAATTATGTGTTAAATTACGGTACAAGTAAAACCTCTATGTCCTGGGGATAGGCCCTACAAAAAGCTTAGCGACATGTTCAACATTTCACACTTCGTCTTATAAAAGCTGCCAGCCCGACACCGTCATACATAGTCTACAAAAGGTCTTTGGTCAAAGTAACAATAATACTTTATATTAAATTAAAATGACGTTAAAATATTGCGTTTTTAATAATGACGGAATCTTCTGAATCCCAAACTTTGTGCCGCCAACTTCTTCATCTCCTCAAGGGTTATGTCAGGCTTCAGAATTGGAATTCCCTCAGGCAATTCTTGCGATTTGCTTTCGACCACACCAAAGTTAATAGAATGCGTTGGCAGATTGGTGGCCTTTTTCTTCGGTTGGAACTCAGCACCGTGCGGGATTCGCTCAAGTTGTTCAAACCCTTCTTCTTCTTGAACGGCTTCTTTAGACACCGGAGTGGCTTTAGAAAGTGGGGCTGGGACTCCCGATGCATCTTCTGGAGTTTCTACGGCTTCTGGAGACGCGACTTTTTCAGTCTTTTCGATAATGATCTTCTCGTTTGACTCGCTAGAGCTGTTGGATTCAGATGACTCGCTGGATTTGTGAATTCCGGAGGCAGCCGAGGCTTCAGCCAACGCGCGGAGTTGCTTGTCTGAAAGTTTAGACGGATAATGGAAGAACAATAAAATGTAAGACAACAGTAGTCTCTTTTCGGTTGACAAAAATTGACAAAGTAGGACAATGGAGTTGAATCAAAACCTACCCCCAAAAAGTCTTCCGGCAGATGGATCAACCCAAGCGATCTTTCTCTTGGTTGCTGGACTCAGCTGGTCAAACTTTTCAACGACCGCCCAGTAGGCCTTCAAAGCTCTTGGGCTTCTCTCGCCGAGCTCTCGAAGAGCTTCTTGCTGCTTCACAACCTGGAAAGTAACCGTCAGTAGAACTTCTCTATCTCAAATTCATGCAGAGCAACAGAGATCTGTAAAACAGTAATTAATAAATGCCACATACCTCGACTAAATATGACGTCAAATGTGGCTCAGCGTTGGCTTTTTTCAACGAAGCTTTGAGGAGCTTGACATAGGCCTTTTGTACATTCTTGTTGGCCAAGGCTTCTCTCATTTGACCGGTTGAAGAGCGGACCCGGTTTAGGACAAGGACCCGGACTAAGCTGGCTTCATTTCTCGTGAGGCCGATTGTGATTTCAGGAAGAAGTCGTCGTTGGGCGGCTGAAAACAAAGGGGTGTTTGCAAAGAAAATCAGATTTAATAAAGACTTCAAATTCTCAAACGGTTCATAAAAACCGAAATTTTTTCTTATGGCTGGATCTTCGTTAGCTTGTTTTACAACATGAAAATAAGCGTTTTTCTTTACATCTCTTGTCAAAGAAAATGTCCTGAATAATACTCACCCTCAAATCCGCTGACCAATTTCTCGATATCTCCTCCGGCGACATTCCCAACTACCGCCAACGCAAAAGCAAAACTCAACAACCGCATCATCGCCGACCCTCAACAATTCTACCAGTGGGCTCGAAGAAGGCCCCACATTTAAAACCTCGGGAGTAATTGACCCACTAATTGTTAAACGTTTGAAGTCATTGTCTTCAAACATAAACGCGGACCGAAAACAAGTTTGAACTCTGCAAAAAAAGAGTAAAAAAGTCTTGAACGGATACCTTTTGAACGCGCTGACTTCTTGGGACTGAGGAAATAACAAAAAGCTTGGAGTCAATTGGTGATTTCGAAGGGAGGGGTGGTTATTGATGGGGATATTATCAATAATAAATGGCGAGATTCGTGGGTTTTGGGGAAAAGCATATCGGGAAGTAATTACACAAAAAAATGCTAGAAACGCTCGATATGATTAAACATTGCTTTCGTTACTTTGAAAACATCTTCCACACATGCTTTTGACTCTAATATTACACAGTAATATCTGCACTTCATTGGTTCACTTCCGTGATGTCGACGGAAGATATACTTGATTCTAGGTCCAAAATTGACCAAAATTAAAATTTCAATTTCCAAAAATCGATAACAAATCCTATAGTGGTCCAATTCGGACAGTTCTTAGATGTAACAGTACTAGGACTCCTCGACTTTAATTTAGGGGTAGTTTCCGACCTACAGCTTGTCACAAAAATTTTAAAAGTGATATGTCAAATGGGGGTATGTTTTAGGACATTTTTTGTCCTAAGTCCCAAATAACGCTTCGATGGGCTGAACCACTATTATGTCGTTACTCAGTAGGGTACCCTCTTTCATTTTTACCAGTACGTACCGACTCGTCCGGAAAGGGTTAAAGTTGAATAGCACATTTTTATACCGCATGACGCCCGACATGTGATTACGACATTCTACACGCCCAAAACTTTGGATTTTGGGATTGACTACAGGTCTGTTCAAACAATTGTTTCTTCTACGATAGATTTTTTTAAACTCTTCCACAAATTTGAAGAAAATTTTTTTCCGGCAAACTTTGAAATATGCTCAAACTCAGAAGCACATGTGACATGGATAGATGTATTTACTTGCATCAGAGACGGTAACCTTCTATGTTTTGAGTTCAATTTACAGTTTGGAGAACTATGTATTGAAAGTGCAGCACTACTCCTAGAAAAGTGAACGAAAACAAAGCCAAAATCTCGAAAAATTCTACAATTGCTTTAATTGCTCTTAAAAAAATATACACTCTTAAATAATCATCCATTTTATTTGTCCTCGAATCCCTCAAAAATGACTTCCACGGTCACCGTCACCATATTTGCATATATGAAGCCTTCACTGGGGTCTCTGAGAAGAGGCAAAGGTGCCATTGAGTTCGCAGTGGCATCATTCTCAGCTTTTGTAAATTTCTGGTCAACATTTTTCTCAATGCTTCTCGCTTTGCCCTTGTTGTTATTAATAGTAAATGCCACATGTCCCTGCGCCAACCAGTCATTTTCTTTTCGATACGTGGCCTCAAGGTCTATTGTCATGCAGCCCATGGGGTCTTTGCAATCTTCATACTTTGGAGTTATTTCAAATTTGACTCCATGAACACAGAGATGACCCTTGATATTCCAATCCTCCTTTCTTTGACTGACCAAATCAAAGTCTTTGATTTGGAGGAATCCTCGGCCGGTCAGAGATGTGGCTAAAACATTATCGAAGCATGTATTCTTTTTGCAAATCTCTTCTAAACCTACATTCAGCACACTTTCCATCAACAAGTTCATTAGGATTTTTCTTCTTCTCCGTTTGCAAGGCATCCCCCATTTGCATCTCCAGCGGTGGGATCTTCTCCTCCCAGCCAATTTTCGCCGTCTTCAGCACGTTATCCAACTTTTTCGCAACCTTTGCGACCTCAGCATTCTTTGGGGGATCCTTCTTCGGAATCCTGGGCTTATCGGGACAAGTTCCACAAGTTCTCGGACACCATCGCAAAATAATGTCACGATCGTATTTTGTTGTCGGGTTGCAGCCGCCAATCTTTTTAATTGTGCCGCATCTAAAGGAATACTGTTCATAAACAATGTAAATTTTGTCAGACTGTTTTTTGCAGTTTTGAAAGTCTAAATAGCACGGAAATTGCATTGAACCTCATAAAAAGACGATATCACAGTAAAAATCGAATTCTCTTACGCCACGAAATCCTTGCAGTCCGTATCGCACTGCTGGCAAGTGTATTGACAATTCTCTCTCAAATACTCATGATGAATAAAGGAAGTACAGTAGTCGAACATATTCTTACAAGTCAACGGCAGCTTGTCTTTGCATTCAGCCGCATAACTTACAGTAACTGTTAGAGGTAGTAAATGTACAATGCAAAGCAATCTCATCGCTGCACACAATCCCAATGATACCGCCACCCACCCTACCCGGCCTTAAATACGAAATAGAGTCAAATTTAGAGCACTTTTGTACATCTGCCCTCATGTATAACAAAACGAAGCTGGCAAACATTTCGCGGGCGAATCAACCAAAAACATCATCACAACGCACCCTTGGTCCTTGGCCTACAATTCAAGAGGGACGTTGAATTCTACGGGAGGATTTGGAAGAGTTTGACCGAATTTTCGTAGTTGTGACAGATTTCCAGAGGATATGTCAAAAGCATGCAGAATCACCGAGATTTGTTTACATTTTGTCCACCCAAACTCCAACCTGGATACAAACTAGATTCATCCACAATTTTTCCACATTCCCGTACTTGTCGCACAACGCCCCCATGGCCTGTTCATCCAATAAAAAGAGAAAAATTTGGTTGATTTGTGTTAGATCTTGGGTGTGAGTGCTATGATGACATAACAATTTTTTAGCGCCTTTATTGTGCGGCAACTCTCTAAGACCGTCTCTAACCCCTTGATGATACCAAGGTTGGAAATATCGGCCTCAACAATGGGTATGATGTACTTCTTATTTCAAAATTAATTTTTTTTCCAGATCAAAACCAAGTATGGAAATAAAGTCTTGTCATTGAAATTAAAGTCTTTAATAAGGCTCAAATATGTTTACAGAGTATATACAAATGCATTGCTGATTGATTGTTTTATTGCAACACACATCCACAAACCCGTTCACGTTTTCTTAAAGTCTTTGACATTTGCTTCCACCGAGAACGTCAATGATTTGTCGGGCTGCATAAATCCCAGCTTCTCATCGGTCAGAAGTTTGAATTTCTCAAGTTTATTGCCGCCCTTTACGGTTACTGATGGAGCAAATTCCTCAGCCAGCTTCCTCAAAATATTCTTTTTTGTGTCACTGTTGACAACGATGTATTCCATGTCAACAGTGGCCTTCCAATTTTTGCTTTTAGGGTAACTGGCGGTCACGTCGATCGAGAAACATCCATCAGGTTCGGCGCAGTTCTCGTACTTCGGAATCACCTTGAACTGAATTCCTTTGGCGCAGAATGTGCGCTCCTGCTTCCAATCGCCCTTTTCTTTGGCCAGTTTATCGAATCCTGCAAGGTCTACCTTGACCTTACCGGTTGAGTCAGCCGCTGAAAATATTTTTTAAATCAACTTTTTTTGTAAATCAGGTGTTATTCGCTGGAAAAAATTTTATTCGCAGTCTACAGGGGCATCCGTAATTTTGGCTAAAGCCTGTAGGACATTGTAAACAAAGGAAGACATTTTCTGTTTTTGTTGTTTGATTAGCTTTCGAGCACTTTTAAAAAATATGAGAAATGCTATTTTCTAAAACTCCTTCATCTTTTCCAATTAAAGTTTGAAAAATGACCACTTACAATCTGGGCATTCCTGGTCATCTTTCCCCGTATCATCCTTCTTCTGATCATTGTTTCCCTTATCATCCTTCTTTGTGTCATCTTTCTTTTGATCATTCTTTCCATTGTCATTATTTCCTTTATCGTCTGACTTCTTCCCCTTCACCGCATCGTCCAGTTTCTTCTCCATGCCTGGCATTTTACTCTCCCAACCCCCTTTTGCCTTTTTCACTAGATCATCCAACTCTTTGAGGACTTTGGCCACTTCTGCATTTGTGCTGGCCGTTTTCTTCGGGGCTCTAGGCGAGTCCTTGCAGCTTCCGCAGGTTCTTGGGCACCATCTCATTGCAAGATCACGATCGTAAGGTGTGTTCTCGTCGCAGGCTCCAATCTGTTTTACCGCCCGACAGCTGGAATAGTCGAATACAGTCAATCTTCGTTGCAACGAAAGCTGTTTATACCGAATAAATTATAAAAATAAACACGAAAAGCTACAAAACGCTTACCCTATATAATCCTTGCAATCATCCTTGCACTGTTGACAAGTGTACTGGCAATTCTCTCTCAGATACGCAAAATTTCTAAACGACGTACAGTAGTCGTAGATGTTCCCACAGCTCAAAGGCAACGTATCTTTACAATCCTCCCCATAACTGCTAATAAACAGTAGGGAAAATATAAGACCTAAAAAACATCTCATTTTGATATCCCGCTTCAAAAACAATGAGCCCAATTTATACTGGATCCAGTGGTCTGGCTACAACTTTGAACATCTGCAGCTTCCGTGACGCTCTTGAACAAATAGGCCAGGCGTGGAAAACGACTTATTTTTTCCCACAAAATACAAAACTCAATAAATGTCGACATAAATTACAGAATACGTGACTTTCCACACGTTCCGTGGAATCAGTCTGTGGTCTTAAAAAGCTTCCAACATTCACCGTCAAGTTTATTGATTTAAAACATAACATTGATGTAAGACGCGTGCGTTCTACATACCGGACCTCCTCGCAGAAAACCGGACTTCTTATCTGTGAACCCTGTAGACAAGGATTGCTGTTTTCCGTCCAAATTATCGTCAGTTCAAACGGGAATTGCCGATTCTTGCCCAAAACCAGAGAAGTACGCAAAAGTTGTCTGGGAAGCAGACAATTTTTTCTGGACTCAAGACATGTAATGCTAAATCCTGTAAAGAAAACGTTTCTCCACAAAAAAGTTTCGATTGGCGAAGCATGTCCCTCCCTCAACGCGATCGAGGGTCAGCGACGACGGTCGTTGACCTTGAGTTCGGACATTTCCGTCGTAGAACTTGGGCTATGAAATGCAGCTCGCAGGTCCCAGCCAGAAGGGAATCGAAGCTTTTTTGTCGACAAACATTTTTACAGGATTTGGCTTTTCTGGTCAAACAAACTTTCTCGCCTGACTACCAGACAGGATTACGCTTTTCTTGTCTGGAGTCCAGACAACATTTTGAAGCTTTCGTCAGGGCTAACAAACAGGTTCATTGTCTGTTATGTTTTCCAGACAGAAAATACGCAATTCTTGTCTAGAGGGCCCACAGACCAGAAATCCGGGTTTTCTGCGAAGAGGTCAGACAAGATGTAGGGCGCATGTGCCATATAATATATCAAAGAGGGAATCGAAAAAAAAGTTTAACGGTTGACCAAGGTTGGATCCTCCTCTTAATTGATAGAGCAGTTGGTGAATGAGTTGCACTGAAGTCTTCGGCCTTATCTTTTCTTCCACAGGCCCGAGCTATCTACAATATTCTTTGTGAAACTCAACAGTTCGTCCGGAAAGTCGCGGGAACGATTTCGGCGACATGCACTGTGACAAAATCTCTCTTTGCACTGTGCAATTTATGGCTTTTTGCACTGTGCAATGGGCTTTTTGATTGTCGCCAGCGCTCTGCCTTTTCTTGCATAATGGAATCGCCTCGCGCGCGTGGCCATGTATATACAACGCAAAGGAGGAATCAAAGGAGCTGGTCGGTGCAGCCGGAAAACAATGTTTCGACTTTGTTAACTGGTTAATCCACAAATGAGGCTACTTAGTCGATGGCGAATGGATCGACGTTCAAATTTTACGGGTTTCGGACCTCAAAATGATTCCAGCTGTTTTAGATACACCTCACATATCAAGCGATGATTTCTGTCCCATCTGCACCTGCACCCGTAAGCCAGTTCGAGCGGCACCCCAATTTCGACCGGACAGATAGTATCCCGACGAACGGCTTCTTCACATCGAACCCGCAAATCTGGTTATACTTCCTCTTCACGTCTTAAATGGCATGGCTAACACTGCCTTAGACAAGTTCAAGGACAAGCCACAACATGACGCGATGCTTAAGAAGACCGGTTGCCTCTTCAGTTACCGGCAAAGTGCATTGATGGATGGAAGAACCTACGGGAGTAGGTTCTTAAAATGGGCAGTTGAAAATCCAGAAGAAGTTCCGGCATATCAGCAAGTCTTCGCAGCTCTACAAGAACTCCAAAAATGGGCAACCGCCCAAGATTATGTCATCGACCAGCCGTCCGTTCCCTGACGAGAGACATTGAAACATTCACAACAACACAGAGGCGTCATTCACTGCCTGCGACCAACAAATTGCACATGTTGAATCACATGTTAAAGATTTCATTTGCACCTTTGGAACCTGGGGCAAATTTGGTGAACAATATTTGGAGTCGATGCATCATGTTGGAAACGTACTGGCAGAACGTTGCTTTGGCATCGACAGTGCTGACAAGGCACGACAGTTCTTCATGCGGCGGAATCTTTTGTCAGCCTTAAGCAACATCAGTCAGTTTCGTCGAAAACAGTCTGCTAACAACTCCAGACTAAGTCAACAAAACCAGTCTAGTCAAGTCGACAGCAGCGACGAAGATGAAGTGCATGTTTGGTTGTAGTTGAATTCTCCATTCGGTAAGTCATTTTAGGTTGAAATTGTTAATACATCCTGTAAAAGGGTTGAAATTCCTTGCCCTTAGGGATAAAATCTATCAGTGCAAATACCTTGACGAGGTCTAGAGGCTTTTCACCAAAGTTTACACAAAACCGGTTTTTTACGGAAAAAATTGGTTTAAGCCTGCCTTCGTATAAAAAGGCACCAACATTTGCAAAAGTCTATAGAAAAATATATTTTTTCCAAAAACAAATTGGCGTACTCGCGACTTTCCGGACGGACTCGTATAAGCGACAGGGAAACCCACTTCGCATGAAGGTTCTCCCCCTTTTCCCTGTTCGCGTGAACGCAAAATTCGCGAAACCCGGTATATCCCAGGACGCTGGCCTTGAAATCACCGAATTCAGGAGCTTTCAGTACACCGTGTAAGAATTCTTTTCGAATTGCTTAACACTCATTAGCGACGACCGTATTTTTCGGATATGTGTTTTTCGCAGTGCGTGGCCAGACTTTTTTAGCCCGCTTAGCTTCAAATAAAACTGACTAGTCGACGCAAACTTACCCTCTGGACATTCATCCTTTCCTTTGTCGTCTGAGTTTTTTGTTTTCAGCGCATCCTCCAGTTTCTTCTCCATCCCTGACATTTTGCTCTCCCATCCCTCTTTTGCGTTTTTCAGCAGATTCTTCAACTCTTTCAGGACCTTGGCGATTCCTGCATTTGAGCTGAATGTCTTCTCCGGAGTTCTGGATTTGTCCTTGCAGCTGCCGCAGGTTCTTGGGCACCATCTCATGACAATGTCATGGTCGTAGCGTGTTCTTTTGTCGCAAGCTCCAATCTGTTTTAGCGAGCGGCAACTGCAATCATCACAGTGAAACTTGTGAATCATAAAGTTAAAACTCTTTTCAACAAAAAACTTTTTATACCGAATAAATTCTTAGCATCCGGCAACACCGTAAGGCATTTACATCAAATGGCAACCCCCCATAATACAGAAAAAAACCCTAAAAATCTTACGCAACAAAATCCTTGCAATCATTTTTGCATTGGTGACAAGAGTACTGACAATTCTCCTTCAGAAAGGCAAAATGTCTGAAAGACGTGCAATAGTCGTAGACAGTTCCACAAATCAAAGGCAACTTGTCTTGGCATTCCTCCGCATAACTACTAATAGTCAGCAGCCAAAGCATGAAACCTAAGTAACAGTTCATTTTAATGTTCCACAGCCTAAAAAAGCCAATCCGCTTCATCCGGGAATGTGTAGTTACTGATACAATTTTAAACATCTGCCGCTGTTGTGTCACCCCTGAACAAACACACCAAAAAATATGGTCCGTTAAAATTTTTAACGGCCCATTGTAGATGGGGGCGTATTTGGAACGCGATACATAATTCCAGATAGAAAACGCAACAATTATAAGTTTATTCTTTCACACAAGGTATTCAGTGTAGCGCTTCAACATTCCCTTGCCCTACTCTCTCTTTACCGTTAAATCAATTTTAACAAAACCCTCTACTTTGTTATCCTTAATAAATCCATTTTTTTCGTCAGCCAAATAATCTAGCGCTCCCAGACTATCGCCATCAATGATGGTTGCGGATTCATTGAAATTAGCGTATCGTTTCACCAATTTCCCAGAAAAGATACTATTTTTGTTAACAACTATGATGTCCAGACCACCGGTAGTAGACCACTTTGCACTCGTATCATCACTAGCGACAACTGCAATTTCAAGGCATCCATCTGGCCCGTCGCTGCATGCCATCTTTCTCGGGATGATTCTCAGTTTAATTCCCTTTATGCAGGTCGTTTCTTCAATATTCCAAGCACCGTCTTGTTTGATAAGTTTGTCAAAGTTTGGCAGGGCGTAATCAACCATATCGGACGCTGAAAATATGCTAGACGTTTTCCAAATTGGTGGTTTAAAAGAAAAATGTTTAAATTCCCAATGTGCTTACATTTTTCACAATCCATCCTTTCCTCAGCCTTCTTTTTTTCTGCTTCTGCTTTTTTCTTGGCTTCATCTTCCTCTTCCTTCTTCTTTTCTTCTTCTGCCTTTTTCTTGGCTTCTTCCGCCTCTTCTTTCTTTTTATTCTCTTCTGCTTTTTTCTTCTCTTCCTCTTCATTTTCCTTCTTCTTATCTTCGTCTGCTTTTCTCTTGGCTTCTTCCTCCTCTTCCTTCTTCTTTTCGTCGTCTGCCTTTTTCCTGGCTTCTTCTTCCTCTTCCTTCTTTTTTTCTTCTGCTTTTTTCTTAGCTTCTTCCTCCTCTTCTTTCTTCTTATCTTCTTCTGCCTTTTTCTTGGCTTCTTCCGCCTCTTCTTTCTTTTTATTCTCTTCTGCTTTTTTCTTCTCTTCCTCTTCATTTTCCTTCTTCTTATCTTCGTCTGCTTTTCTCTTGGCTTCTTCCTCCTCTTCCTTCTTCTTTTCGTCGTCTGCCTTTTTCCTGGCTTCTTCTTCCTCTTCCTTCTTTTTTTCTTCTGCTTTCTTCTTAGCTTCTTCCTCCTCTTCTTTCTTCTTATCTTCTTCTGCCTTTTCCTTGGCTTCTTCCTCCGCTTTCTTTTTAGCTTCTTCATTTTCCTTCTGCTTGGCTTCTTCAGCGGCCTTCTTTTTCGCTTCCATATCCGCTTTTTTCTTGGCTTCCTCAGCTCGCTTAAGAGCGTCTTCCTCGGCCTTCTTTTTACTTTCTTCTGCCTTTTTCTTGGCTTCTTCCTCCGCTTTCTTCTTAGCTTCTTCAGCTAGCTTACGAGCTTTTTCATCGGCCTTCTTCTTACCGTCTTCGTTTGCTCTTTTCTTGGCTTCTTCCGCTGCCTTCTTTTTTGCTTCCGCATCCGCTCTCTTCTTGGCTTCCTCAGCTCTCTTTCGAGCTTCCTCCTTCTTAGCATCCTCGGCCGCCTTTTTCTTGGCATCTTCAGCCTTCTTTTTGTCTTCTGCCTCCTTCTGTTTCTTATTTGGATCCCGATTTTTGTCTTTGCATAAACCGCATGACCTCGGGCACCATCGTTGGATTATTCCCCAATCATAGCGAGTTGTAGTACGGTCGCAACCACCAATCTTTTTAATCGCTGCACATCTAAAACATGCAAAGTAAAATTTACATATCTTGTGACGATAACGTTTTTGACTTATACAAAAAAACTTACGCGACGTGGTCTTTGCAATCATTATGACATTGTTGGCATGTATACGGACACATCTCTCGAAGATAATTAAAGTGCATGTGCGATGCGCAGTATTCCTGCATGGCCTCGCAAAGGTTGGGAAGTTTGTCTTCGCACTTTTGAGAGTGCCCATAATTGATCAGAATAAAGGTAAACAACAAAATAAAGTACTTCATTGTTAATATACATCCCGAGGGTCATCCTACCCTTATATAGTAGCATTGTTGAACCGGAAATTTAAGACTCCGCAACCAATTCTTGTTGTTGCCTGAGCCGCAGCTTCACAAACAATTTGTTACAATGTACAGGACTATTGCCATATCGAGACATCTGTTTACAATCCTTGTATCCATGACCCCCATTTTAACACGGCTTTGCTTCACATTCCGTAGCCCAAGGCAAGAACATCATACAAACTAGAGGAGTCTGAGGGAGAAGAAGAATGTTTATGATCCCAGTTTTGAACTTTCTGGAGTCTTAATGAGGGATATGTAAACATGACAGGTGAGTAAAGCTATTTAATTTTTCAAACTACATTTTAGAGAGCGGTGGACTGATTTGTGAAATCGTCGTCACAATAAAGTTGCTTGGTCCACAGTAATGATGACTAACGCAGCTACAAGGCCCGTTGAAGTATCTGGGCGCTGTAGCTGCCAGCATTATTTAACCCAAATATATAAGAGACGAGACAAAGGATTTCCCAAAAATGTTTGAAACTTTTTTGTTTTTGCTTTTTTTTAAGAAAGTAAATTTCAAAAATTTCGGGAAATTTTCGGTTTCGGAAAGTCAAAACCATTCTTAATCCAAACTTTAAAATTTTGGAAAGTTGGAACAAAAATGGCTCGCCGAGTTCGCTGGTGAGTAGGAGGCCGTTTTTGCTCACCTGTTATGTATTCAGTTATATATAAAATTTACAACGCATTTACCGATCATTTCTTTTTCTTTTCCGGCCAATCGCCATCGACGATATTTGTTATTTTAACTTATTTATTTTCAAGATCAAGGAGAACTGTCCAACGAGTCTAATAATTCTTCTTAAATGTTTCCAGCTGCAAAAGATTGCGAGGAGGATTGCACGGAAAAAAAGAAAGGATGGCTATGATTTGTCTGCTTTTTGGTGGCCTAAACTCTAATCGGGCTATAAACTAGATTCATCTGCAATTCAAACTCCTGTATCATGTCGAAATACATCCCTATTGTTTTAATTTTGAGGGTAAACGGTATTTTGAAAGGGCAGTATCGGTGCACCTGGCATTTTCGGGATGCTGACATTTGCCAAAAATTTTTGGCTAATGAAATAATAATTTCTATACAAATTTGTAATGACCCTACCCTGTTTAATGATTGTCAAAAAAAACTATGAAAATTGTGGTGACTGTTGCAATCATGGGTCAACTTTTCCTACTGCATTTCTAAGATCTGTTCTAGAAGCTGCCGCTCGTACTTCCCTTAATGTCGGCTTCGTGATCGCGACAAAATGGGGATCATAAACATCATCCGTTTCAGCCACAGACTCGTCTAGTTTTCACGGTTTTCCTCCCTGGGCCTACGTCAACAGTGCTATTATATAAAGGCCGGACACCCCTGGAAGATATATTAACAATGAAGTATTTTAATTTGTTGTTTATGTTTGCTTTTTGCATAGATTATGGGTCCGCTCAAAAGTGCGAAGACAAAATTCCAAGTCTTTGCGAGGCTATGCAGGAATATTGCGCGTCGAAGATGCACTTTAATTTCCTCCGAGAAACATGTCCATATACGTGCCAGCAATGCCATAATGATTGCAAAGACAACGTCGCGTAAGTTTGTTTGTATGTTGAAAACATTGTTGTTACAATATTTATCATCATTTACATACTTCGCATTTTTTAGGTGTGAAGCGATTAAAAGGATTGGTGGTTGCGACCGTACTACAACTCGCTATGATTGGGGAATAATCCAACGATGGTGCCCGAGGTCATGCGGTTTATGCAAAGATAAAAATCGGGATCCAAATAAGAAACAGAAGGAGGCAGAAGACAAAAAGAAGGCTCAAGATGCCAAGAAAAAGGCGGCCGAGGATGCTAAGAAGAAGGCTGTGGAAGACGCTCGAAAGAGAGATGAGGAAGCTAAGAAGAAAGCCGAAGGAAAAAGGAAGGCCGCTGAGGAAGCCAAGAAAAAAGCAAAAGAAGGCAAAAAGAAGGAAGAGAAAAGTAAAAATTGCGAATCGTGTAAGTCAGTGCCTCGGAAATCAGGATTTTTTCTGATAAATAACCCATTTCTAAAACGTTTGGTGTACCTTCAGCTTCCGATTTGGTTTATGTTGATATGCCAAATTTTGACAAACTGATCAAGCAAAAGGGTGACTGGAATATCGAAGAAACGACCTGCATAGACGGAATCAAATTTAGAGTCATCCCAAGAAAGACTGCATGTGGTCAACCAGATGGATGCTTGCAGGCTGCCGTTGTCGCTAGTGATGATAGGAGTGCAAAGTGGGCAACTGCCGCGGAAGTGACATTTTACGTGATTAACAGTGATCCGCTAAAAACAATAGAAGTTGGACGAGAGGCTACTTTGAGTCAAGACGCAAAGAGTCTAGATGGAGATATCCTGGCTCCATTGGATGACCTGGTTGATGGAAACCGTGGGTTTATCAGAGATAATACTGTGACGGTGCTTGTTAAAATCGTTTTGTCTGAAGTGAAGGGTGGCTAGTACGGGGAAAGTTGAAGCGCTGCACTGAATGCATTGTGTGAAAGAATAAACATTCGATCCTACGATTGTCCTCAATTGCCCATCTGGAAACCCATTGACAACGTTTTGCGCGTTTGGTGCACTAGAGTCTAAGTATATGTATGTGTGGATTTTAGGATCAAAAGTTTCAGTATACCGGGGTTACGGTATCTCTAATTTTTTGGGAAAATTGGTATTGGACTTTGTTTGTTCTTTTCGTAGCCCAAGGAAGGAATGTCAAACAAAGCAGATAAGTTTGTGGGTGCGGAGGAAGGTTTATAATCCAAGTTTTGAATGTTCAGGCCTCAATGACGAAAACGATTGAGTACGGAAAGGTCCGCTGCGGAAAGGTCCGCTAAAAAAAGAAAGAGGAGGGCGGGGAGGAGGGGAGGGGGGAGGGGGAGGTTTTCGATGGCGCTGATTTCGAAAATCATATCAATTTTTTCTGAATTTTACAATTTTGCTTAAGCAGTAGTGTCATTTTCGTTGTAAAGACGAAAAAAGCGTCATAAGTTTTCTTACAATATCATACAATTTGACCAAGTTTTTACCAATTAAAACATTTATTTTAAAGAATTGAGGAAGATAGGCAAAAATTCCCTAAATCCATTACTCAAAAAAAATTTTTTTTTAAAATTACTAATTAACACTACTGCTTAAGCAAAATTGTAAAATTAAGAAAAAATGGATACGATATTCGAAATCAGCGCGATCGAAAACCTCCCCCTCCCCGCCTTCCTCTTTTCTTTTTTTTAGCGGACCTTTCCGCAGCGGACCTTTCCGTCCTTCGTAGACGAAAACATATAGGAACACGAGAGATAGAAGCTATTCCATTTTTCAAATTATATTTTAGCGATTGGCTGAAAGATTCGTGAACTCATCAAATATATATATATACAGGGTGACCCAAAATAACGGAGACAAATTTTTGAAGGGTCCCACCGCGAAACCCGGGCGTTACAAAAACACAGGCGCAGTGGGTAATATTCTATAAGACTTTCTCTATAATTCACGAAAATTTGGCGGAGTCATCATGTCGCAGTAAAAAGTTACAGCTTAACAAAAATGCCTTGCGCCGTTTTTTTGGCCCTCAATTTTGGTTCCTTTGTGTTGTGTAAAGCCTGGCTGTGCTACAGCCGCAGAAATGGCAGGTTCATTTGTTTTGCTAGACTACTACGTCTCTAAGCAAGCAGTTATGTAGGTTTTTGGGCTACGGTTTTTATTTCTACGGTGGTACCGATCTCAACATTGAAGATCGCAATTTTTTCCAAATTTTTTCCATAAAAAATTCAGTTTTTTTAGAATAAAGCTAAAACCGCTAGAACGTATTCTATTCATAAATACAATAATTCTGGAAAACGCTGTGATTGCTTGCTGGTTGCAACAGATTTTCCTTAACAAGTTTCTCGCCCAGAACTACCCCATGGCACGCGGCTTTGCGAAAGATGGGTTATCGATAACAAAATGACAAGATAGATAAAAACGGCGCATTCTGCTCCTGTACACTTATGAATACGACTCTTGAGAATCAGCCTAGGGCACTTTCGGTCTTTATGTGTCACCGGCTCGACTGGTATTCCGCCTACGGCAAAAGTAAGGCAGAATCCTAGTGATTACCAAATAGCATTCCGTAGAAGTTACAAAATGTTTCTCTTTTGGTTCTATGGTGTTCCTTTAATCATGTTCTAGTAACTCATATTACATTTTGCCTTATCAAACACTCAAACTCCTTCTTACGCTTACATTTTCAAAAAAGGCCGATTTTTGCACTTCAACTGCCTGAAAATACTCGGCTGTAACTTTTGAACCATCGATAGTTGAGCTTAGTACGATGGCCCGTTTTTAAGGCCATATTATGATAATTAAGCACAGCAAATCTCAAACTATTCCGAATTTTCTTTTTTGAGTAAGGCAGCTTTATTGCAAAAAGACCCCATGGGCAGAAAGCTCCGAGTCAACCGGATATATTGATGTGGTTCAAGGCACAAGAGCGTCGTACAACAAAACTTCCGGTATATAAAACTACACTAACGTGGTACTGTAGTATAAATAAGGAATCACTCATGAATCTTCATAAGTCGCAGAAAAAACGGGAAATCTTTTGTCTCCGTTATTTTGGGTCACCCTGTATATATATATATGCCAAAATGTATATATATATATATATATATGTTTATATATATATATATATATGCCAAAATGTATATATATATATATATATGGGAGGTGCTTTATAAATTTCAGCGCGCTAGTCCGTCCGAACCCTGCGGATTTAGTCCAAAGTTAAAAGTTGCGCAATCTTACATAACGTTGCGCAATTTCTCTCTTTGTAAAAATTTCTGCCTTTCTCTGTCGGCTCCTCCTCCCCTCCCTCTTTTTCGTGAACTTTTAACTTTGGACTAAATCCGCGGGGTTGGGATGGACTAGCGCGCTGAAATTTATAAAGCACCTCCCATATATATATGTATATATATATATATACAGTCATTCGTTGCACAGTAATGATGACTAAATTTTTCAAAATTAGTCATGATATTTTCGAACTGATGGTTTCAGTTTAGCTGCAAACGCCTCCACTAATTCGCAGGCGTAAATAGTGGCCTTGACGTTCTTTCAAACCCCAAATGCCCAATTATTTTAGTCCCAGTATTTGAGTTTACTATAATATTATAATTTTATTCTTGTTATTTCTTTTATTACTTTGAGATTTTCTCGTATTGTAAAGCTTTTATCCTTGAGCAACAGCGCTGTTTGGGCGGACATTAGGGGCGGCACGGGCTGCAGCTTTTGGCGCATCTCTTAGAAATCCTTTGGACTGGACTGGATTAGCCGCTGGCTTGACTCCCGGACGCCGGAAAGAGCCGGGACCCTCTTTGGCGACCTCTGGAAATCAAAATCGTTTAATTATTTCTAATGAACCTGTTGCGGATGAGACAACTAAAGAATACAAAAAACTTGCAGTCAAATTTTTGCAATATCAAAACTTACTTTCCAATCCGGCCAAAGCATTGGGGAACTTAGCATTAAGTTGAGCTTGGGTGGTCTTATCCAATGCCTTCCATTTGGCCAACAAAGTTTGAGCCGTAGATTGAATCCTCTTGTCGTCAGGATTCACGGCAATCAAAGATAGAGACTGAAGAAGCTCATCGGCGTACTTTCGGCCAGCAGGAGTGAAACTCTTTACAATTCGTTGATATTTACGAACAATGGGAGTCGCTTTAATCGCCAACGCTGGAGCAGTATGCTCAATATCTTTGATAATGGCCTTGATATTGCCTGGATGACGTTTATTTGCAGCGTTGATCGCAGCCACTTCATCGGAACGGAGCTTCTCAACAAAGGCCACAATATCGGCGGGAATGAGGGCTAAAATTGAGGAAATCGTATAACAATGGACCTGCATCGAAAAAATGTTTCAGAAAACGCTTCAGCGGAATTTTTCTTGTTTGGAAAGCGTTGAAGAATGCGAAGAAAAGAAAAACTCACATCTCGCATTCGGGTAATCCTCAAAAAAGTAAGATTCGGCAACGCCGACGCAGAGAACAGCCAACACCAAGACAAATTTCATCTTCGACTCTGATAATCTCAATTATGAGCTGACTTATATAGCGTGATCACGTGCCTGTCCGTTCCGTTCACCACATTTCTGTTTTTGTTACTTCTGTCAAAACACAAAAATCGGCGCAAGGACGAAGACTTCGCCGAAATCCGAAAACTAGGTTACGCGCTATAAAGAGTAACATTAATTTATGGTCCAGCTAGGCAGATCAAACTAAATTTCACGAAAATTTGAGCATCGCACCTTGCGAATTTTTCGTTATATCGAGTTTTTAGGCCAACTCTAAATTCACAACCAATCTTTTGTTTAAAAAATCCGACGGTAATAATCGCTTTGAATTCAAGGTTATCTGACGCAATCATTTGTGTTCGTTTCCCTTTTACAACTGATCGAAAAACATGCCGAAAATGAGCAGGCTTAAAGCCGAATATGTAAATTAAAAACGTCTGATCGGAGGGAAGTTCAAAAATTGTGTACATATCAAGTTTATTTGCATATTTCAACGCGGAGTCATACTTTTAAAAAATTATCCGTTTTTAATTCTTTCGGCGAAAATGTTAGTGATATAGCCATCAGTTTTGCTGATATGAATTTTCTTGTATTCGGCAGCTGGGTTATTTACCAGGTGGTTAAATTTGAACGCACAGTCCAGGCCGTTGACGCCAAGTCCCAACTGTTTTTCGCTGTACCACTTGATCTCCAGCTCAAACGGATGATTGCCAACGATGGTCTTCAGCCCGCAGGCGCGTTCCGGTCGCCAAGCGCCATTAGCGAAACTAGTAATGCCGACACGTTTAAACTTAGGATTGAGGAGCACTGTCAGTGGGATCTGGTCCTTGTCATTGAGAATGTTGAATACCATCGTTTCGTTGCTCAGTTGGCCTACGATTTTTAATGCCTTTCCTGAAAACGGTGAGTTGATTTTTTCATGTGCGAGCTAACAGGCTGAAATCTTTGAAAGTTCATACAATATTGTGTGTCTTCTTTTGCGAGAAAACTCCCAGTCAACCCAACTTACCAATACCCCAATGAAGGGTGTTGGTGTAAGGCATCTGATACTTGTCCGTAATGACGACATCCTCCAATTTTTCAATATCTCCAGTGACAGTCCACACATTAAGGAAAGAATAATTGAGGTCGAAAGAAGCAAGATTTCTTCGTTCGCCATTGGCGTTCACCAGAATTACGTCGATTTTTTTGTCTCCAGAAAACATAATCCGCAGATCAAAATCAGTGTTCGGTGAAATCGCATAATCAGTCGGAACGCTCTTCTCAACATATTCTGGCGGCATACTAACTGAAATCGAAGGGATCAATGTTTTCGAAAACAGTTAATTCTAAAATTTAATGTAATAGATTACAAGGTGACATCAAGACGGTGTTCAAGCCAGGTTTCTTCTGTCTGACGGTTACTTTCACGCCTTTCCTCGTATATGGGATGAAACTGTTAAAGTACATGAATGTCACTACTATATTGCATGGTAAAACATCCATTGAGTGGCCTTTAATCACAACCTCATTGTTCGCTGCAAATCCCTGACGGCGTGGACGGGATCGTCCATCTCCCGCTGTCATTCCAATCGTTAAGAAAATCCAGAAAACCCTCATTATTGCAACAACCGACGATCCCAGTCGTCTGAAAGCTAACAAACAATCCCAACGATTTGTAAGAACATTGGTTGAAGCTTGACAAGAAAACATCATAAATTTTAATCAGAAAACCTTATATTATAAAGAATACCTACGCATTATTTTAAAGCCCCACCCAGAAAATTATAGCCAAGCATAAAATTATCAAAAAGTGGGGACGCCACAACATTATTATTCCTCCAGATTAACCCACTGACATGCGGAATCCTGCAGGAATTCTCTTGCTAGCCGTTTGTTTAACGGCTGACGAACACTTCGAGGTATGGCAACAAAGAGTCCAACATAACACGCACCGATTTAAAACAGTGAATTTTCAGCGTGGGCCAAGCGAAATAGTCATGTCTGAAGTAAACTAAATATTCACATTTGTTCCATGTAAAACAGACGGGAAGAAGAAAGATACGGCTAAAAAATTTTTTATCTCTGACTTCGTGTACTCTGAGGAGAGATTTTTTTGACAATTTTATGACTCAATCTTTCACATCTAATTTTTGATCCGTTTTTGGACTTTTGTATTCGAAATTTGGTGGAGAATCTACCGGTGGGGTCTTGACGTCATCCATACGATTCGACCAGATCTCGTCCATATCGGAGGGAATCGAGCTGTAATTATGTCTGGGAATGAGAATATTAATCTTTCCTTGTTGTATACAGTATTATACATTGTCATGCATAAATAGTCGTTACAATATTCACGATATTGTGGACATTCCTCCACAAAATGCATAATAATTGTGAGAAAGCAATGTAAAAATTGGAAACGCGGGTAAACAGTCGCTTTCGACGCTTCCTAATCAGAATCTCGTTGTTTTCTTGAGAAAATGGTAATAAGAGGTAAAAATCACCCTCTTTGCTTGGTTTCGTATCCAAATGCCTTTCTCAACCGCTTGTTCGATTCAACGATGGAAATAAGACGGTCGGATCGAATACCGTATACATCAGCGATTTAATAATTTGTTCTATCATTTTTGAGGCCGCGAAAAGGCGAGCCAACTCTCTCTCGTCTAAGTTTTCTCCCATTTTGTCGCATCCATTTTGAATTCCGTCATCATCAATTTTTTGCCGATGGATCTCAAAGGCGTTCTAGAAAGAAGTCGTAGGTTTTTCAAGTAGTTATTATTGTTGTATACTGTGAAATTGAGTACTGGGAAAAAATAGACTTCTAAGGCTATTCGTGGGAGGTTATTAGCGTGAATTCAACTTCGGTCCGGTTGCGACTTTGTTTGCTAAGGCAAGCTTTCTGTTGGACCTTACAATAGTGTCCATTTGTACATTGCGTCTCTCTTTTAAATCAATAAAAACGATACAAACTTTCGAAACGGTTCAGGAAATGCGCTGGATTGACGTGCGCGGCCTTTAAAGGGTTGATACCTTATCGGACGTAAGTTCAAAATTGTGTACACATTGAGTTTATTTGTATATTTCAACGCCAAACAATTTAAAAAAAATTATTCGGCTTAAATATTTTCGGCCGAAATGTTAGTGATATAGCCACCAGTGCTGCGGATATTAATTTTCTTGTATTCGGCAGCTGGGTTATTTACCAGATGGTTAAATTTGAACGCACAGTCCAGGCCGTTGACGCCAAGTCCCAACTGTTTTTCGTTGTACCACTTGATCTTCAGCTCAAACGGATGATTGCCAACGATGGTCTTCAGCCCGCAGGCGTGTTCGGGACGCCAAGAGCCATTGGCGAAATTAGTAATGCCGATACGTTTAAACTTGGGATTGAGGCGCACTGTCAGTGGGATATGGTCCTTGTCATTGAGAATGTTGAAGACCATCGTTTCGTTGCTCAGTTGGCCTACGATTTTCAATGACTTTCCTGAAAACGGTGAGTTCATGTGCGAGCTTAGCACCGCGCGTCTCAAAAAAATTCTAAGCGGTAGTGTAACCCTAAACAGGCTGAAATCTTTGAAAGTTGATACAATATTGTGTGTCTTCTTTTGCGAGAAAACTCCCAGTCAACCCAACTTACCAATACCCCAATGAAGGGTGTTGGTGTAAGGCATCTGATACTTCTCCGTAATGACGACATCCTCCAATCTTGCAATATCTCCAGAGATAGTCCACATATTAAGGAAAGAATAATTGAGGTCGAACGAAGCAAGATTTCTTCGTTCGCCAGCGCCAGTGACGTTAACCAGAATGACGTCGATTTTTTTCTCTCCAGAAAACATAATCCGCAGATCAAAATCAGTGTTCGGTAAAATCGAATAATTTGTCGGAACGCTCTTCTCAACATACTCTTTCGGCATATTAACTGAAATCGAAGGGATCAATGTTTTTGAAAACAGTTAATTCTAAAATTTAAAAGATTACAAGGTGACATCAAGACAGTGTTCAAGTTAGGTTTCTCCCGTCTGACCGTTATTTTTACGCCTTTCCTCGTAGATTGGTCAAAACTGTTATAGTACAGGAATGTGACTTCCACATTGCATGGTAAATGATACGTTGAGTGGCCTTTAATCACAACCTCATTGTTCGCTGCAAATCCCTGACGGCGTGGAAGGGATCGATCATCTCCCGCTGTCATTCCAATCGTTAAGAAAATCCAGAAAACCCTCATTCTCGCAACAACCGACGATCCCAGCCGTCTGAAAGCTAACAAACAATCTCAACGATTTGTAAGAACATTGGTTGAATCTTGACAAGAAAACATCATAAATTTTAATCAGAAAACCTCATATTATAAAGAACACCAACGCATTATTTTAAAGCCCCGCCCAGAAAATTATAGTCAAGCATAAAATTATCAAAAAGTGGAGACGCCACGACTTTCTTATTCCTCCAGATTAACCCACTGACATGCGGCAACCTGCAGGAATTCTCTTGTTAGCTGTTTGCTTAACGGTAGCCCAAAAGCACTTCGAGGTGTGGCAACCAAGAGTCCAACATATCAACGATGGAGAACGCTTGGTAATTGGTATGAAAACGAAAAAAGGGCCTCCTGATGCTCAGATCATCTTACTCTCACAATGTCTTGAGAAATTTTACATCAAAGTGGAATCGGTGAAAAGATGCCACTATTTACTTGGAATCCGAATTGACTCTAAATCGATCACCGTGATTGATGAAGGTAGGCCGCGCATTTGTAATTCATTTCTCATTTCCACCTTGTGTCTCACGCCCCATTTTCAGTAAACTACAGAGTCACACAACCCCTTAAGGCCTCTTACACTAACTCCAATTTAACAATCACACAGGTGATGGGCCTAGTGACGGTTATCTTTACCTCTCTCGACGACAAGCAATCCATTACATTCAACACGACAAGGATGGCAACCACATTAAAATTGGTGGATTTAATTTATATGGACGGAAATTTGGCGGCACCGCCAAGCATCACCGTAAATACCGCAACCCGAGACCCTTTATATGAACCCCTAACGATGGCTCACGGTAAGTGCGTGAGAAATGCCCGTGCTGTAAAAATAATAAAATCTATACAAATTCAAAAATCCATCGCTCCATTCATCGATTTAAAACGGTGGATTTTTAGCGTGGGCCAAGCAAAATAATTTTTTTAAAGTAAACTACCTATACACGTTTTTCCATGTGAAACAGACGGGTATAAGGCAAAAAAATGTTTTTTCTCTGACTGCACTCTACTCTCTGAGCCGCAAATATCAATTAAGCCTTGCTAATGAATTTCAGGCGATGCGATAAAACTAAAATTTCAATTCCATGACGCGAGCAGCGAACTGTCTTTGCTCGCGGACGAGGATGCCGTAATCTTCTACCTAAACCCAAGAGCTGGCAATCATTTAGCCTTCAACCAAAACTTCGATGGTAACTGGAAGGCCGAAAGAAGCTGTGTCTATAACGGGTCAACAACGGACAACGTATACGACCTACTTATCAAATACAACAGCAAGCAACAAGGAGGAGGAGTAGATGTAAACTTCAACGGAATGCCCTGTGCCTTTTTCGCATTCAGTCCACCAAAAAAAATGGAGATTAGGAGACTTTATATGGCAATGCGAAAAAACACCTTGCTTGACTTTCAAGTAATCCCGCAGAACAAGCTGGTTGTATAATTCATATTTACTGTGAGATCATATGTTAACAATAAATCAAGTCGCAAAAATTATGGAGTCCCATATAAATCAATTTCGGAGAAGCCCGCTTTGCTTTCGATGTGTTCATTTTTAAGGATAATGTCATCGTCGGTCGAAGAGGAATCCAGACAGAATTGAGATTGCTCATGAAACAAAAAAAATTAAAATACAATCTAAAATTTCGAAGTTCACTGAAAAAACATCTATCTCACAAAAAAGTTCCTTACTAAAACTATATTTTCGTTTTTGTTATGAGCTTGACGAGGGGAGATGTTTTTGATAATTGTAGGACTCAAATCTTTCACATCCAATTTTTGATCCGTTTTTGGACTTTTGTATTCGAAATTTGGTGGAGAATCTGCCGGTGGGGTCTTGACGTCATCCATACGATTCGACCAGATCTCGTCCATATCGGAGGGAATCGAGCTGTAATTATGTCTGGGAATGAGAATATTAATCTTCTCCTGTTGTATCTAATATTATACATCGTCATGCATAAATAATCGTTACAATATCCACGAAATTGTGGACATTCCTCCACAAAATGCATAATAATTGTGAGAAAGCAATGTAAAAATTGGGTAAACAGTCGCTTTTGACGCTTCGTAATCAGAATCTCGTTGTTTTCTTGAGAAAATGGTAATAAGAGGTAAAAACCTCACCTTCTTCGCTCTGCTTCGTATCCAAATGCCTTTCTCAACCACTCTCCGATCAAATGGAATCCATTCTCCAGCGATTGACATCCCAAACATGGCTGCTGACCAGCGAAATTCATCGTCTTATGTTACTTTTGAACAGAAAATCGACCAAAATGGAATAAAAAAAAAGAAATTGGAAAAAAGAACATGCAAAATTATGCAACAATATTTTTAGTAATCGCCGGTCATTCAGTGTTTGCATCACTGTTCGATCGGTGGTTGTCGACTTTGGCCGGCATTCTACGAGCGAAACCTTGAGGGGATGGGAATTGTGAATGGTTTAATGAACAGCTGGCTCAAAGGTGGTAAGCTGATCGGTGAATATGGTGGAGAATAGTAAGTTTAAGCTTATAAACGTCACGGGCCGGCCCGGCCCACTGACCACCCCTGGCCGAAAATTTTTAAAGAAACAGTTGGCGCAAAATATGTGTCATCTCTTTCTCTAGACTTCCTTTTTTGACCGGCGCTTGGTATACCACCGGTAGTCGTTTAGATTATATTCCCCTGGTATTGGTCATCCACGTTCTTGCCGCAGCTTGTTGTGTTATTAAGTATTTACTCAATTTCAGTCCAAGAACCTCCAGCCCGACTTCTTTCTGTGAAAACCCCCAAGGCGAAGGGTCTGATCCAAAAAATACGAAGAGCGACAATCGCGAGCGTACCCAGAAGACTGTGACAACTGATTTGGGAATCTCAGTTGGTCCTCCACCTATTCCGGCGTCTTTTCATTTCAAAGTAAGTTTACATCGTCACTTTTTGGGTTTGTGTTGGGTTTTAGGTATACATTGATTTTTTCAGTCCTTCATTGCCAGTTGCCCACTCGAACTCGGCGGTCTCGAGGATCCTGGTAAAAATGGCCAAGGGAAACTTTTTAAAGACGAGGATTTTGATTTTTGCGATTTGAAAACGAAGTTTCCGCAAGTCAAGTTCAAGAGACCAAGTGTAAGTATATCTTCGATTTCTTCCTTTTGTTTTTAATACTCCCTAAATGTGATGTCGTTATGAATGTCTTCAGGAAATCGTTCCGAACCCTCAGTTCTTTGTAAAAAACTTTCCATCGCAACCCTGTGGAAAAGCTCAAGTTGGAGATGTCTGGTTTCTTCCGGCTGTTAGTGTCGTTGCAGGCCGCCATGAATTATTCGAAAAGGTTGTGAATATAAGCCAGACCTTTGAGGCTTCCACGTACACCGGCACGTTTCGTTTTAACTTCTGGTGGTATGGAGACTGGGTGAACGTTATTGTAGATGATCGACTCCCCATGGATGGGGAAGTTCCGATGTTTTCTGGATGTTCTGAGGAGGGTTTCTGGATGGCTCTGTTGGAAAAGGCGTATGCTAAGTAAGTCCCGGCCTTTTTGGATGTTCAGGGTTTGAAAAGCAGCAATTACATCAACTGGCGTGTGTTGTATAAAATTATTGCGTATTCTCGTAGATTGGTTGGATCTTACGAGCCAATCAGTTGCGTTAGCTATCCGTTGTCTCTTCTCTGTCTGACGGGTGGATTAGTCTCGGAAGTTCATCGCTCGGAATACAAAGAAGAAGAGTTTGAACAGCTGCGTGATGAACATTTCCGTGGCCTCTTGTTGTTGGCCTTGACGAGTTACGATCTCCCATTAGCTGGAGTCAACGGTCTTATTCCTAATCAGGCTCAAGCCGTGACTGGATTTGCTACGGTATGTGCGCAGCAAATGGAAAATATTTTTTGATACGTTACAGCTGAATATAAAGTTTTATAATTTAAAATTGACATTTAGTTGGAGGGTAAAGACGGAAAGCCAATTCGGTTGGTCCGGTTGAGGAATCCATGGTCTTCAGGCGCATGGAAAGGCGATTGGTCCGATAAATCGGAGAAATGGCATGAAGTTCGAGATGAAGATCATGATAAGTTAATCAAGGAAAAAATGCCGTTGGAATATTGGTAAACTTTCAAAACTGGACTGGTTTATTGTCTTTAGGATCGAATGGAGTGATTTTACCAAGTATTTTGAACGTCTGGCCAAGTGTTTCATTTCGCCGGAGGTTCTGATTGAATGTGCGGACAAAGAGAAGGCCAAAGAGATTCCATTCAGCCTTATTCCCATCCAAAGTCAATGGAATTACAAGAAGAAGTCTGCTGGAGGAGCCCCTGGAATTGCTGGAAGTATGTCTGAAATGAAGTTATCAATGTGTAGTGTTGTTTTTTAGATCGTTTCCAAAGGAACCCTCAATTTGTTCTGAATCTGTCAAATTTATCGGATTCGCAGCCCGAGGAGAAGATTCCTGTGATTTTCAATTTACTTTTGAAGTACGGAGATAGCCAGACAAGTCGATGTTTTCCTCTTGGCTTAGTGGTCTACAAGGTGCCTGAAGAAGAAACTGGGAGGTTCCGAAAATTCGATGCTGCTTTCTTCAATGACCCGACGAACCCTGCGCATTATGTCCAGAAGATCTTCAAATATTGTGGAGTGGGTTTAAAAATTGTGGGCTATTGCCTAGTGCAATGTTTTTGGTGTTTTTCTGAAGTCGTTTTTTTAGGGTAAAATTAGGAATGAGTTTAATTTTTGGTTCTAATGTCAGTGGTTTTATATTGTACTTTGGAAATTGACGGTTTTTTTTATGAGATTAGTATTATTTTCAGTCTTGTGAATACATAAAACTCGACCCAGGCGTCTATGTGTTTGTCCCAACGGCTTACGAAGAAGATGATGAAGGAAGTTTCTTCTTGAGATTGGCCGTTCAAGGAAAGGCCATTGTCTCGTAAGTTTTTTACAAATTTTTTTACGAATCACATTTTTTTGTCGTAAAAATGTCCTGTGTCGCGTACATAGGTCCTTCATTCAATTGCTTTCAGCGATCTTGACTAAGATTCCGCCTGAGTCATCGTCTATTATATCCCACTTGGTCTCGATTTCATTGAATTTCCTAAATGAAAAGTCTCGATTAAATTCTTTAAATCCGATTTTATTGTCGAATAAAGATGTGTGAGTAACTTTGGAGGTATTTGTGAGCGTTTAGAAGGATTTCTAGACGAGATTAGTCATGATGAATACAAGGTATATAAGCAAGATTTTATTGGAGAAATTTGAGTTGGATCCCTATTCGTAATATCGATTATGAAGTTCATGGCTCTCTTGGTCGCCATCGCTTGTATCTTGGCCATGTTCATGGTCAGCGTGACTGATTTCATTGGCGTCTCGGTAAGGTTTTTTACATCATGAGATAATATATTAGGTTGTCCCACAAATAATGTCGTTCTTCAAAAGATTTTTTGTACAAAGAAATTCACCGTAATAACGAAAATATTTTTGATCAAAATAATTACCATGTGTTATACCACGCTATTGCAACGCGTTGAAAGCATTTTTTTGCCAGCGGCTTTGAAACCCCGGCTTCTGGAGCCGATGAAACTTTCGAAGGCCCATTCAACAGCGTCTTGATTGATAAATTCCCTACCACGAATGAAACCCATTAGATTCTTGGAAAGGTAGCAATCTGTTTGAGACATGCCTAGCGAGTACTCCGGACGAAGGAAAGTCCCTTATCTCCATTATCTCAACTTCTGGAGCGTCATCTTTACAACGTGGGGTTGCGCATTGTCGTCTTGAACTTTTGGAATTACGCGGCGTGTTTTTAAAGGCATATTCTGCCATAAGCTGTCTATCTGAATACAGCAGGACCCAGCATTTACATTTTGGCCAACTTTCAACGAGCTGTATTGTGAGATACCCATGCTGCATCATCCAGCAGTGCCCATCACCTTGTTTATGGGGAGTCGCTTTGCCAAGTGCCGTGTTGGTACCCTCGGTGGACTCCATTGGGCACATCTGGTTGTCGTACAGGATCTGCTCTTCATCACGGGTCACGATCCGATCTAGAAAACCCGGCTCTTCGGATTGTAAAAGCAACAAACGTGACACCTCGATTCTGTGGTTCGGTCCATTAATATGGGAAAAAGCTGCCAAGCATTTTGTTGAATTCCATCGACTTCCAACGGTTAGCCGCCGATTATTTCAACACCCAGACGATGTCAGAGACGCGTCGGATGTTGATTCTAGGATATCTGACAACTAATGGCCCCAGGGTAAATTCATAAAGTTCAGATCCTGGACTTTATCTTTGGGTCCCTCACCGTCAGATCGAAATTTTTTGAACCATCGTTTCACCGTGTTCAGACTCACATCAGACTCGCTGAACACGCCGTTGATATTTTGTGTAACTCCTGTAACTTTCATACCCTGTTTTTGCAGGTACAACACGGCGACACGAATCGACTTTTTTTTCATAATTTTGGATTAGGGCTAAAATATTTTAATTTGATCCAAATTTGACAAATGATATATCGAACGAAAGCTTGAGTTCTCGACTACAAAACGATGCAATATTGCGAAATTTTATTGTCGTTTACCTTTTTTATAGACTTTGGAAACTGCCCCTCTCGAAAACGACATTATTTGTGGGGCAACCTAATAAAACTAGTTTGGTGAATTTGAATACATTATGAAATGCGTTGAACGAAATTACAACTCGTCTAGTACTTTTAGGCCTGCACGTCAGTCATCACCAACCACACCACCACCACTACAACTCTTGCTTTCTGAAGAGACCAGTAGAGGAAAAAGCGGCAAAATACTGTAATTTATTTGGAACGCGAATAAATTTTTTTATGAATTTTGTTGGGCCCAATTTCCTATTCGAAATTTTTGGTCGAATATAATTCGACTTTCAAAGTCGAAGAAAGTAAAATAAATTTGACTGGAACCCTGCTGTTTCTCATCCTGTCGGCCTATGGCCTTCAAACTGAAGCCTTTCCGCCCAATCACAAGGTCAACGTAAACGGCAATTACGTCTTAGCGATATTGAAAAATCTACAGTAAGGGACCGGATCCAATGGCAAAAAACGTCTTATTTTGCATCCCGGAAGGGACCAAAATGTCTCCAAACCCTTCACGTCAAACTGAGATAAGCTAAAACAGTCCGGTGAATGGATTGGCAACTTGCCAAAAAAAGACGCGAAAAAACGTTTTGTCGGGGAAGAAATGGGGAATTTTTGGGGCGAGAGAGTACGCTTTTGCGCGTCTTTTTTCTCTCTTTCTCTGGAAATCAAGACGAAATGTAAAAAACCGATAGCGAAGAGTCTATTCCGGTCACCGGACTCCTCAGTTTGACGTGCCCTTCCCTTCTATAAGCTAAAAAACCCCGCTTTGAAGAGCCCGCCTTGAAGGAAAGGGCGCGCTTTTCAAAGCGGAGTTTTTTAGCTTGGAGAAGGGAATGGTTTGGAGTCATTTTGGTCCCTTCCGGGATGCAAAAGGAGACGTTTTTTGCCATTGGATCAGGTCCCTCACTGTAGTCTTAAGCCAAGCGCCAGCCCCAAAAAATAGCTTACGCAAACTTCCAAAACTCCCCGTCTTCCCTTCTGTATCTCTCGTGTCTCGAATATATGTTTCCTCTTGAATTTAGCATCAAAACGTCAAATCCAGCGTCAGCAAAGACACACCTTGCGCTTTGATGAGGCAGATTCAGTATCCAATTGTCGCTGGAGAATCGAATTCCGTGTTGCAATATGAGCACGGGCTTTGTCTTGTTGCTCAACTTTTCGTTGACTCCGTTTGGAATCCTGTGGAGATCGAGAAGCCAGCCGTCTTCTGTCCTGGCTATGTGAGTTTCTATTGGATATCCCCAATGCCTCGCCATCCCGACCTAAAAGAGAAGGCGTTTTTACTGGATAAATAAATAAAGCGCAATTTTGTTTTTTGAGTTCATGATTGCGTTTCATTTTGAGGATGAATTTTCAAACCGCTTTATCCTTTTTGGAATCGGGGTTTAAATGTGCATTGGTGGTTCAGTGGTAGAATGCTCGCCTGCCACGCGGGCGACCCGGGTTCGATTCCCGGCCAATGCAATTCCTTTTTTGTAAATACACAGTTAGAAAGACGCCCGTCAATTACATGACATCGTAATAGGTTTGTTTCAAATCGAAAGGTGTGGTATTGTTTTTATTTTGGAAACAAAATATTTCTTTCTTAAGGGAATCAATAAACTCTTACTGTATCCAAAGTCTCCTCCAGATCATGATACGATGGCAAGCTGTGAAGATAATGGATAATCAAGCAATAAACCAAAATGAAAGCTAAAAACTTCAGAACGAAATTGAGAATCTTCTTGAACCATTTGTGAAAGAGCACTTCGGGTGTAACCAACAGTTTGAAACTTAAGACTACGAAAGGATTTAAAAAACAAGGCACATACAAGTAAATTATTATTACAGTCATCATGAACACTCGTTGTACATATACGTAATTGACCTTTTTTTGGAATAAAATTTGAATGACAAGGAAAGTACTTCTATAGGGTCTCTTACTCTTCGACGGGAAATATCTCAAAAAATCCGAAAGATTGTGCTGATCAAGAATTTACTATAAAAATTAGCTGCCCAATTTTGGGTTTCAGGGTCGAAAAATCCCAAAAATGGCGTAATTTCCATACAAAAGGCGTAACTTTCCTTGTGAAACTTTCCTTAATTCTCTTGAGCAAAAATCTTCATATTTCGTTTTCCCGCGCTGAAAGATGGTCGGGTTCAATTTGTCGCTGCTGTTTGTCTTCATGTCCATGTACTTCTTCCAAGTTGGTGCTATTTTGCCATCAACTTACAAGGTCACTGCGAATGGAACGTTCACATGTGAGGGAAGAAAGCTGTTTGGGCAGACTAAGGTTGTAAGTTTGTGTCTTCCTTGCTATTTAATGGAAAGATGGTCTTTTGAGAAACTCCGGCATACAAGGTTCTACATTATATTTTGTACAGTAAAGTAATGAATAATTTTTTTTTCAGCGTGTCGAGATTTGGGAGAAAGATCCGCTTAAGGATGACCTTTTGGCCAAGGGAATTGTAGGCGTTGATGGAGGCTATGATTTCACTGGCTCCGAAGCCGAATACTTCGGTATCTCTCCATACGTCTATGTGTAAGTCCGACGATTTGGTGTTAGGTCTAAAAATTTGTTTTCAGATACCACGCTTGTGGCGGAAAGTGCAGGAGAATCAAGTTTGAGGTGTGTTTTATAGATATTGCAAAAAATGGAACTAATTTGTTAAACAAAATTACAATATGTAATTTATATTTATTTTTTAGGGTAGCCATGTAAACCCTGGAAACTACGAGCTGAAAGACAAAGGCCAGAGTTCTGACAAATGTTCTGCCGGCAAATACCCTCGTTACAGAAAGTGATTCGACCTCGAAAACATCTAAAAATATCATGTTTGAGCTAAAAAATAAAGTTTTATAATTCCGAAAGTTTGCAATTTTATGAAATATTTTTTTTATTTTTTCCCTACGAAATTTTGAATTTTCATTTTCCAAAATTTCGTTTCACTGGTTTGGTTCGCTGAAAATGGTCGGATTCGATGTTTCCCTGCTGTTTCTCATCCTCTTGGCCTACGGCCTTCAAACTGGAGCCTTTCCGCCCAATCACAAGGTCAACATAAACGGCAAGTTCACATGCCAGGGAAAGGCGCTCTTTGGACAGAAAAGAGTTGTAAGTTTTAAGTGTTCTTTTTAGTCTGATGGCCAACGAAGTCAAGCTGAAACGATTTTAAACGGAATTGTCGCAAATTTTTGCAATTGTCGCCTCTCTAATTTTTGCATCTCTAGCGCGTCGAGATTTGGGAGGTTGACACATTCCGCGACGATCACTTGTTCTCGGGCTGGCCCCTTGTTGATGGAACCTACCGCTTCACCACCTCCCACAACGAGTATGGTGGAATAAAGCCCTATGTTTATATGTAAGCAGGCTATCTCCATTAAAATTACTTTACATTCAGATATCACTCCTGCGGCGGACATTGCAGAAAAATCACGTTTGAAGTGAGTTTTATAATCGAAATTTTCTCCAGCTTAATATTCTGCAAATGTAATTTATAATTTCCCACAGGGCGACTACATCAACCCGGGAAGGACGTACGAACTTAAAGACAAGGGGCAGATTGCTCAGGGATGTGAGGAGCAAAGGTTTCCCGCGTCGTACGGGACGAAGCCCTCCAAATAAAATATTATTTTATCATGCAATTTGCGGAAAAATATTAGTAAAATACGGTATAGGCTTTTATTTTCTTTGTCCAAATATCAAGTTTTGAAACATCATTTATGTCAAAGTCTGCATAAAAAAGTCATTTGCCTCTTTGAATAATTCGAAATGGTCGGATTCGAACTCTCATTGGCTTTTCTTCTTCTTTTCCTTGTATCCATTGCGGAGGCTAGAGATGCGCATATCAATGGGACCTTGACTTGTCAAGGGCATGATCTCCATGATGAGCACAAAGTGGTAAGGATTTTTTGTTGTTTTATTCAATCAATTTTTCCCCTTTTAGCGTTTGGAGATTTGGGATGAAGATAGGTTCTCCGCCGATGACAAACTCTCTGAAGTGATCGCTCATCCGAACGGCACCTATGATCTGTGGGGCAAGGACGCCTACGAATGGTGGAGTCGGATTAGCATCAAGCCATGCACAATTTTGTAAGTGAGCAAGACATTTTTACAGGGGATGCTGTGTTGACGGAAAAGTTTGGTTTTTGTTTTGAATATGAGGCTAGGGAACCACTGATGGTAGAACATTGTAGAAACATGATTTTTTCCAATACATTTTCAGATACCACAAATGCGGCGGTGCTTGTCGCGTAATCTATTTTCAAGGCCAAGTTTACAACCCTGGGAACTATGAACTCTTCAAAAACGGACTGCCGTCGAAGCTATGTGAGAAGGCAAGATACGACGACCCAGAAGTCTAACAATAAGGTTCCATTTTAATATTCGATCTAAATAAACTACGTATTGTACATTTATTACATTTTCACTTATGCTCTGCTAATTTTTGATGACTAATATCTTCATTCGAGGCAAGCTGCGGCCACGATTTCAATTATTTTTTACATCTTCCCTAATTGTCTTTATCATCTTGCTGTAGACTAGTTCTGTTGCGTTTAGACCCCATAAGAAGTCCATATGACTGAAGCCGGGGAATCGATTGTCTTCTTTGATAATGGTTTTGTTGAGCTTTGGGATTAGAAATCCATCCAAGTCTTTCGGATGAGTCACTGTGTCATCGGGCGAAGAGTAGATGTAGAGAGGGACGTTCACATTGGAGAGGTTGTACTCCGGAGGATCGGGCTGAAACATTAGGATGAAGTGTGTTAAATGTACGAAGGCCAAAGACCCCAATTTTCAAAAAAAATCAAGCTTGCAAGCTTGACAAAAAAAGTTCGGAATGATGTGGCTTGTATTTTCGGCGATTACTGCAAAAGACCATGCACCAAAGACGTAAAAGATATATTAGTTATGTTGAAGCTTCTAAAACTTGCAAATCCCTTACGGTTCCGTATCTCTTCAAATTGTCCTTTTTGTCCGGATAACTGTACCATTTCATTCCGCCATAATTCAGCGATTGACAATATCTCTGAACATTCGCAGTTGAAGTTCCCGCCGGAATATGCGTCGTATAAACAGGCATCCGGCTAATATTTGTGGTTGTACTGGGTCCCAAGACTTGATAGTAAACATGCGCACAATACCATCGCTGCAAGCCGGTGGTGCAAGTGTATTTTGTCAACGTATCGATCAAACTTTTGGACATCAGCACACTTCCAAATGGACTTCCGTAAAAGGAATTCCAGGCCTTGTTCCCCAACGAGGACGAATCCAGTTGACAGGCGGTCCGAAAAGGACCTTCCAGATTTTGGAACGTCGCTCCTGGAGCCAAAGCGAAGAACTTTTTGATACGTTTGGAAAAACTGGGATCAAACGAAAGACGGGAGAACATAATGAAGGTGCCTTGGCTGTGACCGGCGTAGTAGAAACTCTTCTGGCCGGTAACTTGTTCAATTTTGTCAAAGACGGCGGGGAGATCGTATAATTGCATGTCGTCGGAACTGAAAAATAATGTTTATCCCATCTAAAAATTATTAATAAAATAGCACATTCTCAATACAAAGATTCCATTGCTAAAGGCAGCGAACTTGCGTTAAATTCTGACATTAAAATTTCGATGGTTCCTCCGAAATACAAGCTATATTCCAAATGCCGCCTTAACTTACGTAAACTTCCAAAACTCATCGTCATCCCTTCCAAATCTCTCGTGTCTTGAATATATGTTCCCTCTGGAGTTTGGCATCCAAACATCAAATCCAGCGTCAGCAAAGACAAACCCCGCGCTTTGATGAGGCAGATTCAGTATCCAATTATCGCTGGAACATTGAATCCCATGTTGCAATATGAGCACGGGCTTTGTCTTGTTGCTCAACTTTTCGTTAACTCCGTTTGGAATCCTGTGGAGATCGAGAAGCCAGCCGTCTTCTGTCCTGGCTATGTGAGTTTCTATTGGATATCCCCAATGCCTCGCCATCCCGACCTAAAAGAGAAGGCGTTTTTACTGGATAAATAAATAAAGCGTAATTTTGTTTTTTTTAATTCATGATCGCGTTTCATTTTTTTAGAATGAAGTTTCAAACCGCTTTATCCTTTTGGAATCGGCTTTAAAATGTGCATTGGTGGTTCAGTGGTAGAATGCTCGCCTGCCACGCGGGCGACCCGGGTTCGATTCCCGGCCAATGCAATCCTTTTTTTTGTAAATACATGGCTGTACACAGCGCAAATTATTGTTTTTTAGTTCATAATCGCGTTTCATTTTTTAGGATGAAGTCTCAAACCGCGTTATCCTTTTTGGAAACGGCTTTGAGATGTGCATTGGTGGTTCAGTGGTAGAATGCTCGCCTGCCACGCGGGCGACCCGGGTTCGATTCCCGGCCAATGCAATTCCTTTTTTGTAAACATTTAGAAAGGTTATATGGCATTGTAATTGGTTTTCTTTGGTTCGAAAATTTCTCCTTTTCTTATCTTCTTGTTTCCTATTTTGGAAAAAAAATATTTTTTTTCTTAAGGGAATCAATAAATGCTTACTGTATCCAAAGTCTCCTCCAGATCATGATACGATGGCAAGCTGTGAAGATAATGGATAATCAAGCAATAAACCAAAATAAATGCCAAAAATTTCAGAACAAAATTGAGAATCCTCTTGACCCTTTTGTGATCCTCTCCGAGCCGGTAATACAACTCATAGCAAATGACTCCGGAGGCCAAAAGCTCAACCCACATTTTTCTGAAAAACAAACGCTTTTTTTACGGAAGAACGTAAACAAACTGTGTTTCTAACAATCAAAAAACTCATTGTAAAACATCAATTCGGGTGGAACCAACAGTTTGAAACTTAAGACTATGAAAGGATTTAAAAAACAAGGCACGTGTAAGTAAATTTGCGAACCGTGAAATTGGGATTACAGTCATCATGAACACAATGCTCTCCTTGTACATATACGTAATTGAGGGCTGCTTGAATGGTTTTAAATTCATATGATTTAAAAAACACACATTGTGATAATTTAGCTAGAAAACATCTCATTACAATACTTTTGCAGCAAAGGGGAAATTTACAATTTTGATTTGACAAATATAGATGTTCTTTGAAGCAAATGGGGGGTTTGCAGGAAATGGCAACAAAACAAGGAGAAAGAGAAGCTGCGAAAGATAACATTTTCGGGTTTTTAAGTCATCATAACGCTATTATTTATTATGATCAAAAGTTTTCTATAGACAATAGTGATGACAGTTTGCGCGGCATTCAAATGAAATCCTTGTCCAAGCCGAGCCAGGCTTTCGGAAATTTCAAAGCAAGCCGGACCTAAGTTTGAAGCGGCCAAAGGCTTAAAAAGTGGTAGCTGAAGTTTGTGAGACTTGCAGCATTCATTTACAAGTATATGAATGTACATGACACAACAAACGAAAAAATGAAGGCCTGATATCATTGGAGGTCTCACTCAGGCTATAACGATTGCCCACAGGAACATGGAAATCCCAGAAACATTATCCGTGTTTTATACCCTGAATGGCAGCAGATGTTACGCAAACACCCACTTTAGTCAAAAAATATTGCATAATACATGGCTATCTGTCTGGAGAAAGAAAATGGATCGCAGCGGCAATTTTAACCAGGAACTTTTGTGACGCAATGCGAAGTGGTACCTTACTTCTGTTACACTAAGTGTTAATGAAGTCCCGCCTTTATGAATTTCTATACTGTTATAATCTGCCACAAACATCGAGCAAAAGATGAATTCTCATGAAATCTCAGCAGTCATAACATTATGCGTATAACAAGCCATTTGATGTGCCAAATGTGTTCAAAAATTTTCTCAAGATCCGAAATAAACTCCTCCCATTTCAATGACCACGCGGAACGGAGAACAGATACGTATTCGCTCGAGTACAAAATTAAAAGTGCATTGCGCGAGAAGATAAACATAAGCTCGAGAGGTGCTGTCTGGAATCCAATTCGGAGCTGGATGAAAAGTTGTTGACCTTTTTTTTGCTCGGATGCAGGCACAGTATGAGGGCATCTGACATGCCAATATGAGTTAAAATAAGGATGCAATTGCGCTCAAATCCCTTTGAAACAGATAAAAAACATATTATTCTACTTATCATGACTTTACCTACGATTTTAAGCCCAATAAAGTTGCGAAAAATCATAACACTATGTAAATATTTTGCAACTGACTCAAACATGGTATTCTACAATTCCATGTTTGAGACCACCCGTAAGGTTTGTAAGGATCGCAAAATCCAATTACCCAACTCAAACTTCAGTAATAAAACATTTGAAAAGCGGAAAGGAGGGTCATAGGCAGACGTACTATTGTTGCGTCGCCTCAAGACCTTTGTTTGTTTTCTCAAGTGCTTACTGTAAGTAGTTCGGTTCTTTGAAAGAGTTGGCTGTACTTTGAGGTTGACATGAGACATGGAAAAAGGAACACGCGCGCCTGGACGAGGTGTTCCTGAGTTGAAGAGTGCGATGACAAAAGAAATGCCAATCTGTGATGGTACTGACACAAGGACCGCAAAATCGAGAAACTGATCTTTGTAAACTAAAAAAAATTCAAAACGCAGATCATTTGAACGGTAGTATAATCCATAAAACATAGTCAAAATATTTAACGATCGCTCCAAACAAAATACCATGAAAATAAAGACAGACGACCATAAATTTTTAGATCATGTTACTTGTATACGGCAGTACTTTCTTGTTAGAAATTTTGTACGATTTAAAAAAAATTATATAGATCGCGCTTAACCAGTCATGAGGTTATCCGTTACAAGGTGACTTCAAGAAGTCTAAACCTCAAACAAACATCACTCCCAGTTAGTGTGGTATCCTTCCTCATCCCGTACCGTAGCCATTGACTCCTTTTATACCTTTAGACTTGTGTAACAATCAATCAAAAAACCTTGTAGAGCAATCATTTTTCGTTCGTTGCTCCCGAGATCAAAGAGAACGTCTTCAGGAAGAGGAACTTGTTTTGTTTATCATAAAAAATTTTCCTTGTTCTAGTGTAATTTACATGAATTAATGACGAATGTTTTGTAATTGGAACTACGTTGACGAATGAAGTTTGCAAAAAATTGTCTGAACGTTCGTGAGGGAATCAGAAGAAGGTTGAACTGCGGTCAAAAAGTTGCATTCGTAATATCAGAAATGGCTATAGATAAAAGCTTCTGTGAGCGTACTGTCTTAATTTGGCACGGAACTCTCTAGCGATACCTCACATCCCTTATCACAGCCTACTGTATGCATAAAAATTAACTATAAAAATTGAACGACTCCACAAACCTGTACCTTTGTTTAAACCATCAACAGTCATCATAAAAGCGTTTATGCCCTGCGCACAGTCTACTCCTTTATACGTCTTTCTCATTGACCAAAATTTGACCAATTTGGTATAATACATAAGTTAAAACGCGGGGTGGGTTTCCGGTCTCAGTAGACCGCGGCGGATCTTGCTCTGAAGTATCAGAGCCTACACGGCGTAGTGCAGTGGAGGGACAAGGAAAACCCACAATATATGGCCAATATTTTATCTCGAGCTCGGCTAACAAAAACACAATAAAACAAAACACAGTAGTACTACAAAACAATACCCTAGAGGTTATCCTCTGGGTGGACGTCCTGGCAGAGGCGCTGATGCCGGCTTATATAGTGCTTGATCCTGGGCGGGGCAACTGGTGATCTTGAGGCCATTCCCATGTGCTCTGTGCTGCGCCCATCGTAGTTTGGAGTGGCCGCTAATTATGGAAAATTATGGAGCTTCCAGAACCTTCCTGAAAGTTCTGCCCTCAGGCCTCCTCGCAGGTGACTCACCAGGTGTGAGGCCTCGGTGTCCTTTTTTGACTCCTGTAGTTTGTAGGGCCAAAATGAGGGCCAAAAATAACCGGCCAAAATTAGCGCCCGGATCACGGAAGGGGAGCGCGGGTCAACCGCGGATCAGGGCTCAAAAACCAGGCCAGATATTCCTCAAGACATCCAATGTCTTACTCCTCCACCCTTTTATTTTAGGACCAGAGCGGGGATGGAGTGGTGTACTGATGAAGGTGTTTTGCGGTGATCTGAAAGTAGAACAAAAGTGATTACTGTGAATTGCCAGAGCAACGAGATATGCAAATGTAAAATATTGCCGATCGAGAGGAACATTTGAGACATTGACATCAAATGGTGTGAAGGGTAATATGCAGACATGACAATAATAAAGGGACTGTATAAAGGCAAGATATAGGAATAATAAGCACTCGAAAAAAAAAATGAAACAGAAAATTAAATGCGAGCGTATTCCAGGAGTTTTTGCAGCTCGATGCTGGCGTGATTGATGTACGAGCGACGTCCAAGGATCACTAAGGCTTGACGCGCCCTTGTGAGGGCCACCGTGGTGCGTGGGGAGTATGAAGCAAAATCGTTCTTACTTTGCGTCGCGGTTCGAGTAGTTATGAAGAAAGCGACCTCGGCTTCCTGTCCTTGATACTGATCAACGGTTGCTGCGCGAACTCGCATTGCCGGAAATTTCTGGAGGACTTCAGGCAGGACTTTGGAACGTACCTCAGTGACGGCTGCTGCATATGGAGAGAGTACAACGACAGAGGCTTCTCCAGACTCGACTTCAGGGCGCAACGCAGCCAGCTGTTCCAGTAGTTCAACAGCTTGATGAACTTGACCATGGTTCGTGAAGGACTTCTGAACGCGAGATTCCATCGTTGAGCATTCATGAAAAGCAATTGGGGCTGCCATTGAACAGCGCGGAAACTTGGAAAAATTCTTGAGTTCGGGTCGGTCTCCAGCGCTCAGTAGATTGTCATTATAACAAGCATGACCCATGGCCAAAGCCAGACGTTCTGTAAATCTGAAAGAGTGGGCTAAATCGAATTTCAGAGTCTGTGGATGAGAATTGGCACTCAAGAGCGAGCTCTGGAGTCCAATATTCTGAATTAGCTGCAGCTAAAATCCATCAGAGAGAGTCGGTTGCCTTTGGCAGCGGATATGGCCAAAAAATCGCAGGCACTTGGACGGAGTCGGAAATTTTTGGTCCCATAACGAGCATATTGTCAGAGATTTTCGTTGGTGGCCTGATTACGAGTGCTCGTAATCATTATTTCGGGAGTCTTCTGACCGTTTTGACCGTCTTGTGCTCCTGCGCGAGTTCGGAGAAGATAGGTAGGCCTCGGGACATTTGAAAAGCTTTGGCTGCTGTTTGATCTTCTTGGTTCTCGAGGTGCTGTAAGTCGGAGAGCTGAACGTAATCACCAGCGCGGACATCGTCTTGATCTGGATCAATAAGAAAAACCACCGGATTGGGCGTTTTTCCGGGGGCGGTTTCTAAACCAGCCAGGGTTTGCGAAAAGTCATCGTTTCTGAAAAAGAGTGACATTATTCCCTTTTTAGTGTAATGCATAGTAAATGTACAGTGCGCGAAAAGAAAACGCGTTAGTCCTTCCCAATTGTGTTGACGGCTGAGACCACATCTCGATACACCGGGCCCTCGTCGAGCTCTCGAAACGACCAAATGATCTCCTGATCACGTCGTTCCCTGCGGCGCTCTCGCCTCAGGCGGGCGTAGTGGCGCGCGGCGTTCCATTTCGCAAGAAAATAGGTGCCAAGTAGACTTCCAATGGCGTCACAGGTGACCAGAACAGCACAGGCATAAAGCCATATTTGGGAGACAGTCCAATCCGGCAGCAACAAATTCAACAAGGTTGGGCTTCGAGTTTCAACAAAGAAACCCTCGTCGTCTGGTTTTGAGCCGCCTTCTCCAGTATGAAGTTCCGGCCTTGCTGCAGCTTGCCAGTGATGGAAGCTGATTCCAGTTGACAGATTGGCGGCCATCGATGAGCTGAAAACGACCAAAGGTACTTTATGGTTTATCTGCGGCGGGACCGCCAAAAGTTTCAACCAACTAACTTGGTTCAGGTCGAAGTTGCTCACCGCGGAATCATGTTGCTCTATCTGGAGGAATCCATCTCCTTTGTTTAACAGAAAAGGCGGAGCGGCATCGCATGGCACGGTGGGGCTGTGATCAGTGATAATGGCAGTCATCGGGTCCAAAAATGCCCCTTTCGACTTCGAGGAGTCGGTGGGGTCAGTGAGGTCTATGGGAATGTAGCGGGTGCATCCGGTTTTTGGACCAGGTCTTGGTCGAATGGACTCGTTTCCGATCGGTCTACAAGGGTAGATCTCAGCTATGCTTTCAGTGAGCATTGTGGCATGAATATAATCATCTCGTAATAACTTACGAAATACAGCTGTAGGGTTCGTCTCGGCCAAAAGTTTCCATTGCGCGGCTGCGCTCTGGTGGGCGAAGCAAATGTGGTGTATAACATTCTCGAAATTATGCTGAATGATCTGGATCATGCTTTCTTCCAGCCCTTGTAGCTCGGCAGACAATGTGTTGCTAGCGACCACCTTAGTCCCCCTTTTTGCGCGGGCTGCGCTCAGCGGAATAGCGAAACCTTGGGGAGTCTTGACCAGCGTCCTGTTGCATGACTTAAACGGCACAGAGTCATTGCTGATGGTTAATGCAAATTGTCGGCTGTCAGAGAGCCAAACATTTCCTAGCAAACGACCCAAGAACGTACCAACCTTGATGAAAGGGCAATCCAGGGCAGGATTCGGCTTCCAGAGAATGGCTGATCCATCTTGGAGGTTGCATTCTCCAGAAGTGTAGTTGCATGCTTGAAGATCACCGGCCGTTGCCGTCAATACGTGCGAGTTCGAGTTGTACTGAACATGAGCCCCAAAAGTGATACAATTCTTGAGTGTTTGGGACTTCCAACCAAAACTTCCGAAGAAAGGCCAGGGTCTGTCCTTCTTGAAGACGTTGGACGTGGCCCAGCCGTCCTTCTGTGGAGTCAGAGGTCCATGAATACACCTCCCGGATCTCAGGATGTCTCGACATTGCGCAGGCGTGACCAGCTCCTTAATGGGCTTGGCTGGCTGCTCCACATAAACCCCTGAAAGCGTCGTGAAGTAGCGAATTTGGCTCCGAACCACTTGACATACTTCAGCTGGCGTTTCACTTACTTGCTCATTCTCTCGAAAAATATCCAGTAGAAGCGTTGCCGGACGAACTTTTGGCTTGACATTGACTTGTGGGCATTCTGGAGGCTCGGGCAATCCAACGAGTCTTCTGCCAAATTGATGCTGACATATCATCGGTTGGATCGCTCCTACTGAAGGAGAGACCACAGTTAGACAGGTGACCAAAAACATCACCGATGCAAGGGCATTCACCGGGTGTAGAGATTGAATCGATGAGGAGGAATGAAGCTTCAGAAGGTTGGCATGCTTTTGTCTCATCAACTCAAGGGACTTCTCCCTCTCGGTCTTTTCCACCACCTGACCTTCCTTCTCGGGAGCTTCTTGAACCGTCAACAGGTTCACCGACTCCCTGGGACTTCGGTCTTCTTCATCATTCCACCAAGACGATGCTCGTCCACGGTTCGGCGGCCTCTGAAAGCCACCTTCTCGATGCTGACCGCCGCTGGGGCGGTAAAAAGCGGCCTGACCCTGTTGAATTTCTCGGGCCCTCTGTCGGCATTCTCTAGAAAAGTGCCCTTCTATCCCACAATAGAAACATGCGCCCTTTTTCGGGCTGTTGTTATTACCATTGGCATTGACACCAGCAAGAGCTTGCACCATAGTGGCGAAGCCATTCGCCATAGAGTCCCTCGAAAGCAGTCGGCTGGATGCATTGACGGATTCGATGGCCAAGGCCTTAGCTCGGGCTTGCTCGAGGTTTTCAGGCACGGCCAGTCGAAGCGGGTTAGCAATGTCATCACGGACACGTGACATAAATTCCTCGAACACTCTCTTCTCCCGAATCGGAGCTGGTATATCGGGGTCAAGTCGGGCAACCAGTCGTTTGAGCCGCTGAAGAAAGGCATTAACTGACTCGTCATGTTGCTGTCTCAAGACAGTCAATTCGGCTCTCGCAATTGCTTGTCCTCCATCCTTATTGAAGGATTCTAACAATTCCCTCTTAATTTCTTCAAAATTTTTAAACTGATTCCCACCTTCAGCTGGTGCGGTCGCTGGAGCAATTTTGATCAGCCTCTCCCGAGGCTCGCCATTCAAAAACATTCGGAGCTTCTTGACGGCTACATCATTGGTCCAGGGCGTCGCTTGCTGATCTCGGAAATCCTCGAATTTCTCCAGCCATTCTTGAAAAGTCATCGATCCATTTGGGTTGAACGGCTGGAGCAGGGAGTTGCACTCCAGACTTGCTATGATCGGTGGCTCTTCCTCTGGAGCATTCGCTGGATTATGGGTTTGTTGGTCGCCTGATTCACCAGCCAACACGACTGGCACATCATTCCAGGAATAACTTGGACGAGTCGCATCATCCAGTTGCTCTTGATGACCAACAGCTTCTGATTGAGCTGGTGCGGCGCCCCCAGCTAAAGTTTCAACTGTAGCCCGAAGTTCGCGAAGAACCCTACCTTGCTCAGCGTAGAGTCCTCTGATGCCAGCGAGGTTTTCTTCCAACTTTTCGAACCTGGCCACATCGTTGCCCTTCTGGCTGGCAACTTGATCAAGTTTGTCTCGAACTGATCTGAGAACCTTCTTATTGGCTTCAACCGCGTTCCCAAGCGATTTGATGCCACCAACTTGATCTTTCAGATCTCGGAGGTCCTTGTTTACGACTGAGGACCACATCCCCAGTCCCAGATTCATGGTGTCAATGTCGTTGAGGGATTTGCAAACATTATCCAATCCTTTTTCAGCTTTTCCTGTCATCGTCGCAGTTCGGGTTTCCGAAAGAGCGCGAGCCCGCTGCTCCCGGGCTAGATAAGTGGCGAGCTTTCGGCAATCCTCGACCATGATGACCAGAAGCTTCCTGACGTCGTCGGAATTCGGACGTCCCATGAGTATGGAATCGCAGGTACGGTCGAACAGCTTGAGGACGGGGTCGGACCCGGCGGCGGGCTGCTCAGGCTGGCCTGGCCCCATCGGCTGCTCTGTCGGGGCGGATTCCATGACGAATCTAAAAACACAATACAATTATAGATGATACTCTTATCACCGCTGTCGAAAGCGATGATACCTCGAGTACTCCGAAGAGTACGGATTAACTGTCTAAAAACCTCTTGGAGGTATAATAGACAACCACTCGCTGCTACCAGTTAAAACGCGGGGTGGGTTTCCGGTCTCAGTAGACCGCGGCGGATCTTGCTCTGAAGTATCAGAGCCTACACGGCGTAGTGCAGTGGAGGGACAAGGAAAACCCACAATATATGGCCAATATTTTATCTCGAGCTCGGCTAACAAAAACACAATAAAACAAAACACAGTAGTACTACAAAACAATACCCTAGAGGTTATCCTCTGGGTGGACGTCCTGGCAGAGGCGCTGATGCCGGCTTATATAGTGCTTGATCCTGGGCGGGGCAACTGGTGATCTTGAGGCCATTCCCATGTGCTCTGTGCTGCGCCCATCGTAGTTTGGAGTGGCCGCTAATTATGGAAAATTATGGAGCTTCCAGAACCTTCCTGAAAGTTCTGCCCTCAGGCCTCCTCGCAGGTGACTCACCAGGTGTGAGGCCTCGGTGTCCTTTTTTGACTCCTGTAGTTTGTAGGGCCAAAATGAGGGCCAAAAATAACCGGCCAAAATTAGCGCCCGGATCACGGAAGGGGAGCGCGGGTCAACCGCGGATCAGGGCTCAAAAACCAGGCCAGATATTCCTCAAGACATCCAATGTCTTACTCATATTAAAAAATTGGCCAACTGTTACTGCAACAAGATACACAAGTATTTTTGACACAACATACTCTGGCAACCCTTATAATGATTGCAAATCCCTGCCTATAAAAAGTTAGCGCTTACTGTTTGGATTTGAATATTGAAACAACAGTTTGCGTTAATCTTTTCATGAACTTTTCACCACACGTTACTCATACATACTATTGCAGAAGAAGAACGTGAAAATCAAAGTAAAATATGGCAACTAACATTTTTTTGACTTGGAAGGTATGAAATTTTTTATATCGGCGTTCTGCGAATCGCCAGGAGCCTCGCAGATACTTTGGAAAAAATTACTCTGAATATTACCAAGCAGCACATTACAAAAATACGTAGACTCTACCCCATTTCAGAGTTAATGACCATATACGTTTAATTACCATAACACTGAGGGGTGATGACCCAAGAACCAGACGCAACACTCCCATGTATCGAGATAAAATAACTAGACAAGAATTTCATAAAAAATATTGATAATTTGCTACTATCAGAAAGAATTTTTAAGCCTCTTATGCTTCCTGAAACTACATTAATCGACTGTGTAAAATCACAAATTATTGTATGACTTCGAAGGAACTGGGACGATTGGGGAAAAAGACGATTGGGGAAAGGGACGATTGGGGAAAAAGACGATTGGGGAAAAGTACGATTGGGGAAACCGAAAAGTATTATTTTCTTCGATGCAAATGTCGAAATTAGGATAATCGAGGGTGCTGATTTCGAAAATGACATTAATTTTTTTTTGATTGTAACTTTTTTTCTTAAGTAGTACTGTAAAGTAGTAATTTTTTGAATTTTTGTCATAAATACTCGATTTAGGGGTTATCGAGGGTGCTAATTTCGAAAATCGTGTTAGCTTTCTTCTTTATAGTACTATCTGGTACTATATAGTACGAGGTGAAAATATGGCTTTTGGCGTCAATGGTGTTGTTTTGATGCTTGGTACTCCTCAAAAACACGTTTTAAATAACTGGTACTGTTTAGTACTGTCTGGTACTATGTAGTACAAGGTGAAAAATTTGGCCTTTAGGGGTTAGTGGTGTTGTTCTGTTACTTAGTACTCCTGTTTTCACCTTGTACTACATAGTACCAGACAGTACTAAACAGTACCAGTTATTTAAAACGTGTTTTTGAGGAGTACCAAGCATCAAAACAACACCGTTAACGCCAAAAGCCATATTTTCACCTCGTACCTCGTACTATATAGTACCAGATAGTACTATAAAGAAGAAAGCTAACACGATTTCCGAAATCAGCACCCTCGAAAACCCCTAAATCGAGTATTTATGATAAAAATTCAAAAAATTACTACTTTACAGTACTACTTAAGAAAAAAGTTACAATCAAAAAAATTAATGTCATTTTCGAAATCAGCACCCTCGATTATCCTAATTTCGACATTTGCATCGAAGAAAATAATACTTTTCGGTTTCCCCAATCGTACTTTTCCCCAATCGTCTTTTTCCCCAATCGTCCCTTTCCCCAATCGTCTTTTTCCCCAATCGTCCAACTCCGGACTTCGAACTTTTTCTGGTTTATGACGATCGGAACAGTATCAAACGAACAAATTGTATGCAAATCTTTATCGATTTTTCCAAAGAGTTGACAAGTTGGCTCAATTTGAAACAGAGAGATTTGCATATGAATCAAGCTGTAAGAGGATCAATTTGAACACTGTAAAAGGGAAGAGGTTAAAGATTGCGGATATAAAAGCAACTCATGTAACATTGAGACCAACAGTCAGTTCTGTTTGAAGATGCAAACAAAACTCTTGTTGATAGTCAACATTGTACTCGCCAGTGCAGCTCTTTTTGATCCTGAAGAAGAGCTTGATTCGGTAGGAAATAATAATCATCGAAGATTGGTTTTTTCAGGTCGGGCTGATAGAATATTTTGGATATCCAGCTGAAACTCATGTCGCCGAGACCGAAGATGGCTTTCTTCTGGACGTCCATCGTATTCCATATGGAAAAAACGACAGTAGCGCTGCAGATCGACCGGTCGTAATCTTTCAGCATGGATTTGGAGTTGCTAGTGACAGCTGGCTTGTCAATCTTCCCAACGAAAGTGCTCCATTTGTCTTTGCTGATGCTGGTTTTGATGTTTGGATAGGGAATTCTCGAGGAAACAAATATACAAACCATAAGGAATACACCAGAGCGAATCCGGGTTTCTGGAAGTTTACGTAGGTGTTCAATTGGCATTTAGAGCAAAATGATGACATTAAACATAAAAAAATGTTTTTAGCTATGACCAAATGGCCCAATACGACCTTCCAGCACTCTTCGACCTCGTCGAAAACGTTACCGGCCAATCCTCTGTCTACTATGTTGGCCACAGTCAGGGTTGTTTCATGATGTTCGCCCGCCTCTCTTTTGATCCCACGTTTCATCAGCGAGTCAAAAAGTTCTTCGCTTTAGGGCCTGGGCCACAAATGAAGCATGTTGGTGGCCCCTTCAAGGTTCTTTGTTCCACTGACGCAGTTCCCGTACTCCACGAGGTCTGGAACGCGGCTGCTTACACCGAAATGGGACTGGGACTGACTGATCCAAGAATCATTGGCTTCTTGACTGACGCCACTTGCAGACTGCAGCTGGAAAAAGAGTATTGCCAGACTGTGGAGTATGTCATCGTCGGCGAAAGTACAACCGAGAATGTGACGAGAATTCCGGTCTATTTTAAGCACTTTCCGGCTGGCACTTCAACTGCGGCTTTGCAACATCTTTGCCAAACTTCTAACTTTGGAGGCTTCAATTACTATCAGTACCCAACCTCTGAGGAAAATCTTGAAGCCTACGGACAGGTAACCAAACCATGACTGTACGAATCTCATTTTTAGCTGACCCCGCCAGCCTATGATGTGTCAAAGATCAATGCTCCAATTTATCTCTACTCTTCCCCAGCTGATATTGTCACCACCACTATTGACCTGGACGAATTTCTGCTTCCCCGCATTAACAAGTCCGTTGTAATTCAAGACAACAGAATCACCGGATTCAGCCACATGGACTTCCAATGGAGCTTGAATGCCACTGATTTGGTCTACAAGCCAATCATCAAGACTATTCTGGAAGATTTTTAAGACAAAACTAATACTTGCAGTTGTATCTACAAATCTATTATATCTTCCACTTGTAGACGATAGAAAAATTAGAGACTAAATAAAACTTATTTATTACTTTGCTTGTATCACAACCTTGTCTCTACTGGTCCGTCCGTAAAGTCGCTGGGGTGATTTTGGCGGCTTGCACTGTGCAAAATCATCTATTCTCATAAGGTAGGGGCACATCATTATTCTCAGTGCTATATCTCTAAAGCTGTGATACGACGACACCTGTTCCCCACAGTTTTGAAATCAGGACATCAGTAGCTTACCGACGGTGGTAAAATCAAGGCTCTCCCTCACCTTCTTCATGACGATATGGAGTAACATTTACTTTTATATGGTTCTTGAGGGTACTGCAGTATTCTCAGTGCTATATCTCTAAAGTTGTGATACGAAAACACCTGCTCCCTACAGTTTTGGAATCAGGAGATCAGTAGCTTTCCGAAGGCCGTAAAATCAAGGCTCTCCCTCACCTTCTTCATGGCGGTACAGAGTAACATCTATTCTCATAAGGTTTTTGGGGGTACTGCAGTATTCTCAGTGCTATATTTCAAAGCTATGATATGAAGATCACTCGTTCTTTACAGATTTGAAATCAGTTGATAGGAAAACAGGGTGCAGGCGACAGCCGAAAAGAACTATTGCGCTGTGCAGGATGCACTTTTGTTTTCTCGCCGTGTGTGTCGCGGACTTGCACGACATGGGGATTATAAGATCTACAAAGATTGATTAGAGGCTCCTATTGCATCTGAATACCGAACAGCCCGGAAGGGAAACCATATATACGACAACAAGCTTTCATAATATATATAATAATAAAAAGTTGCTATAAAATTTTTAGAGCCTCTGTAAAGTACCAAAAAAACTATAGAAGTTTTTATTAAATCTCAAGCTAATTACATTTGATTCTACGGTGGTTTTTATATTGTGTATAAACATTTTTTTTTCTCAGTTTCCAGCCAAATCTTCGTTGATTGTGTTGACAATCTTGCTGAAGATATCAGCCGTGGCGTTGAGACCCCAGATCAAGTCCATATGGCTGTAGTTGGGGTAGCGGTTGTATTCAACGATAAGACTGTCATTTAGATGTGGAATCAAAAAGCCATCAAGATCTTGTTGAGTGGTGAAATAGTCAAGTGGAGTGGTGTACAAATAGATGGGGACATTGACGTTGGAGAGATCGTATGATGGCGGAGTGGCCTGAAAAATGTGCTGGTTAGATGTTGTTCAACTCTTTTCAAAAAATGAAGCCTTTGCTTTGCAAAGCAATAGGTTGGACCATATAATCTTTTCTAATTTTATTACTTGTGTTATGAAATATACCGCTAGATACTAATATCCGCTTTTTTCATTTTTTTTCTAAACCTATAATATTTACCGACGGAGACACCCCTCCCCCCTGCTTTTAACTAAAAAATGCTGTTCACATACACTTCCATAATGAGCAATATTCTCGGCTTCGGTTGGGAATTTGTACCAGTTGAAGCCTCCGTTGTTCAACGACTGACAGTACCGTTGAATGTTGGCTGTTGAAGTTCCAGCGGGAATATGTGTCAAAAAGACGTTCATCCTAGTAACATTCGTTTGAATGCTTTTTCCTCCGATCCAATAGAAGACATTAGCGCAATATTCTCGCTGAATGTCCAATGTGCAAGTTAATGCAGCCAAAACATCAACAGTTTTTTGGTCCAACAATCCTAGAGCAAACTCAGTCCAAGGAAGAAGATCCCAGATGACGTCGCCAAGAATAAGGCTGTCGGTTTGACAGATTAATCGGAAGGGACCTTGAACGCCTGTGAACTGAACTCCAGGGCCGAGAGCGAAGAACTTTTTGAGGCGACGGTTAAAAGAAGGGTCATCGGAGAGCTTGGCAAACATGATCACGGTGCCTTGACTGTGGCCAACATAGTAAACGGAAGATTGACCGGTAACGTTCTCGATAAGGTCGAAAACGGCTGGAAGGTCGTATTTTTGCATGTCGTCGGCGCTGAAATTGGGTATGAAAAATGATTTTTCATCCTTTAAGATGCCTGTCTAACAGCATCAAAACTTACGTGAACTTCCAAAAATCGGGTTGAAGCCGGTTGTATTTGACATGATTTGTATAGGTGTTCCCTCGAGAATTGGGCATCCAAACATCAAAGCCAGCATCCGCAAAGACGAATCCGGCACTTTGATTCGGAAGGTTCAGAACAAAATTGTCACTGGCACATTCAACTCCATGATGGAGGATAACTACCGGCTTGTTCGTCTTTCCATCATCAACTTTGCCGTGAGGAATGCGATGGATGTCAAGGAGCCAACCATCTTCAGTCTCGGCGGTGTGGGTCTCAGCAGGGTATCCCCAATGCTCAATAATGCCGACCTGACAATATTTTAAAGGTAAAATATACTTAGCATGTCATTTCATGTATGCTATAAAGCGACTTACCGCGTCCAAGCTCTCTTCCACGTCGTATAGCCCACTGCTTGCTACAGCACCGATTCCAGTCAACAAGGTCATTAAAAGCAGCCCACGTGCCCTCAAAGTCATCGTGAAAGCTTTTCGAACACTTATTGCTCTGTGCTTCTCCTACATATCAATCGACCTTAAATACCATTAAATTCGTTGCACAATACAGCCAAAAAACTCTTTTGTTATTCGATTGATATGCAAAACTCCGCGAGATGGCAACTTTCCGTTGACAAACACTGTTCGCAATTTCCCGAAGCCAAAGCAAAGATTAGGGAAAACGGTTTTTTTTTGATTTTAGGATAAACACGAGGGTAGGGGGCAATTAAGGTTTCATGCATGACCCGCGGCAAGTCTTGATCGGAAGATGATGTAACTTGTCGAATTTCCTCAATTCTCATTTTTTACAAAGCCAAAAATATTTGTCTTCGTACCCGAATTGTTGGCCAAAATATCCGGATAATATCAGTGTTTTTATCTATCCATATTGATGACAAATTGATACATATATTTTTTAATGTGAATCACTGGGCCGAGCTTCAAAGATAACCTGTTAGTTGCACTTCAGAACCATTAATTGTGAGGAAAAAGCCCTTATTTGGTAGATCCTTTGTCAGTCCCGTCATGCGAATTTCTTACAGTGCTTATTTATGTCCTAGAGGCACATGATCCATTATGTAACGATTCAGTTGACCTCTTGTTCTCTCATCAAAACAGTTCATGAGTTTTTTTGACCAAAGAATCCAAAACGAAACATTCAAATAAAAACGCAAATCCCATGTTCACTCTGAAATTTACATTTTAAGCTGCCAACCGCGGGTTCAACGGACTCCATTTCCATTCTTTCTGTAGTAGTGTCAAATGCTTACACCCAAGTCTGAGCAGTCCGTTTAGACCGAATAGTGTTCAGATCATTATTTATTCACAGTTTCGTTAATGCTTATTGAATGGCATGACAAACAGACCCCGTCATTCTTGAAATATTATAGTTATGGCACAGTTTCTTCTAACGTGAGGTAAAGTAAGTATGAATAATGTTTTCAGATAATAGTTAGCGTTTTTGCAACTTATTCCATTGACTTTCCAGCTGCTGGAAATAGTCTTCGGTCTCTTTTTGGTAGTCCGTAACCTTTGAGCTGCGCAGCACGATGAATGCCGTTTCCTGGGAGCATTGATTGGGTCGTATTCGGTTGTAATAATTTCTCATTCGACTGCGAAGAGCTGGATGGACTTGGCAGAAGATAACGACAATCGCGATACACAACGAGTCAGCACAGGCACGGGAGATCTGAAAAGAAAAAGTGAGGAAATAGACAAGGTAAGTGTAGAAAAAGTTTAGCTGAGGCTTTACAAAGGCAGCCGAGATGTTAGGAATAAGGAAATCATGTCAAAAAATGGTCATGTAATTCAAAAGCTTACTCGAATGCAAACCTTCATTGTAATCACATAGTCTGGCGCCACCACCGACAAAAACGCCGACATCTCCGACGTCCAGAACCCAAGGCTCCCGATGATTAGAAACCCAACTATGAAGACTGGAATAAAACACCGCAAAATCATGATGTTCTCGGCCAACTGAAAGCGGGCACTTAGAGACTCCATCATGACACGGTTATTCATAAGGCGCTTGTTGTAATAGTAGAGGTAGATCATGACTGGCGTCAGGCACATTGTGACCGTTCCACAAGCAAATAAGCCGATCCCATCGATCACCGGATATCGGTCAACAACACAGCAGCGATTGGGAAATGTCGCTGAAATAGGGAGAAATTAGATGAGTGTAAATTCAAACGTCTTGAAGGCAAAGACACTTGGAACAACCGAATTTTGTAACAAGCAAGTGGTTGTATAATATTTATAATCAGATTATAGTTGTAAAACAAGTGTTAATCCTATATAAAAAAACATTGTTGTTCAGCTAGTAAGTCTCACGGGCGTAAATAAGGCTCCGAAAATATGTTCAAGAAGTTATTAAAATTTACCGTCTACTGAGATTGAGGTACTTCTTTAAGGTCATTGATAATTTTTATTGAAGTGTAACGTACGCCCACAAAAAAAGAAAAAAAAAAATAATTCCCGTCATGACTTGGCTTCAATGACTCTACTGAATGCCCCAACAAAGATATTGGTTTAATCAATTGTCTTCCTTTTCCAACAGCGTATCCTCAATGACTTGATATTTCAGCCTACTAAGCCTTCAGCAAACTTTGTCTCATTTTGAACCCACCTTTGAATCTAGTTCCAAAATAATGCACCAGAAACGAGTAAGCGACCCCGTGGGCAAAGATCCCAACCGCATATGTCTTTGCCTTCCTCGTTCCCCGATGTTCGTAATATTTTCGATCGTACGTCGCGACCCATCGTTCTGTCAAGATCGCTGCAACCATCACCACACTGATTCCGACAAAAAATGCTTGCGAATAACTGAGCAGGCGGCAATAAATGTGATTAGTGTTGAGTTTTAAAATGTACTCGTTGACGTCATCCAACAGACGGCATATTCCAACGAAGGTCAGGGGAATAACGACAAATTTCTGGAAAGAAGAATAAGCATAAAAATAAAATCTTTGGTGACAAAAAAACTTTCAAACATTATGGAAAAAAGTCAGAAAATTTCTTACCAAATAAAGCCTCAAATTTGGATGGAATTGTTTGCATTTTTCAATTGTGACACAAAAAAACAATGTAAAGCATACGGCAGCTACGGTGGTTAGTCTATTTCCCCATTCTACAAAGACGAGCGCATCCATGGCACCTGAAAACAATATTAAAATGCATAGTGTAATAAATTAGAACTCAAAATTTGCAAAAACCCGAAAGTTATTTTCCAAAGTATATTGTATTTAGTTCAATGAACAGCAAACGAAGATTAGAAAACGGTAATTGGGAGAAATAACAAAACCATTTTTTGTTTTTTTGGCTAGCCAAAACAGGCATGACAACCGGGATCTTTGTGCTGTGTAAAGATGGCCAAAAAAACTTTTTTTTGGCTAAAATCGAAAAAGAAATAACCGTAGTTTTATTAAATAATGTTTCAAGAATGTCACATGGACAGGTGGAAACAGCAGAGCAGTAGCACGCAGTGAACTTTAACAAATTCTAAAAATAGAATTGTTCTTGTTGCGAAGCTTAAATTTTAATAACACTTTTCATAAATTTTATAGCAAGTTTTTATGATAAAGATAAAGTAAAATTCAGGGGTTAGACTTCTCCTGCAAAAAACGACCGAGCTTCCTTGATCGAAAGTTGAAAAAATTGGCACGTTGTTTTAAGCCTCCTATGGAAATTCCGTTTACTGTGAAAAGCAATAGTTTTTTCTCTTGAACACTCATTACGGTATCGTCCGGTCGGCAAACATTGTGGTATATCTTGGTTATTTCTGCAAAATGCAAGCTAAATTTTCAAAAAAGTTGTGCTTCGCACCTCCTTCTAAGCCTGAATCGCAGTTCCGTACTCAAAGTATCCACAATAGTTTGTATTACAAATTGGTACCTATGGACACTGCTAAAGCATAAAGATAAAACGATGATTATACATGCCATCAACTATTATACTTATAAAATAGAAAGTTAATGAACAGAGAGAGGTGCTTGAAGTGATGATCGAAATTCGGAAGAAATTGAAACTTTTTTGGATACTTTTGGCATAAAAAGTTTCAGAGATTTCCCTACCGTTGACGGAAGTATTTGCACAAGAAGTCGACGTTTTCCACGCCAAATTTGCAAAGATATGGCAAAAAAAGTGTTTTACTCTCTGACCGCTCTCCATGTTTCGCGTAATCTCTCTCGGCCGCAGAAATCTTTGAAAAATTCGAATGGCTCAATTTGAAAAATAACAACAACCTCTTGTTCATTCATAATGCTGACATGAGTACTAATTGAAACAAGTCATTCAGAAGTGGGCTATATCTTTAACCCTTTCCGGACGAGTCGGCACCTCCATGCAGAAATGAAAGAGGGTACCCTACTGAGTAACGGCATAATAGTGGTTCAGCCCATCGAAGCGTTATTTGGGACTTATGACAAAAAATGTCCTAAAAAGTACCCCCAGTTGACATAACCCTTATAAAATTTTGCTAACGACCTGTAAATTAGAAACTACCGCTAAGTTAAAGTCTAACACTCCTACTACTGTTACATCCAAGAACTGTCCAAATCGGACCACTACGGGATTAGTTATCGACTTTTGGAAATTGAATTTTAAACTTCGACCAATTTTTGGCCCAAAATTGAGTATATCTTCCGCCGGAATCAACCATTTCAGTCTAAATGTGGTTTTTCTGAATCTAGAGTGACGCTAGCTTCTTCCCAGAATGTTTCCAGAAAAAACCTATAGAGCACGTTTCTGTAAAAAGCAAAAAAGTTGAAAACGTAAAGGTTTCGCCGTATAAAATGTCGCCGCAAGCCGAAAAGGGTCGGGCGCAGCTCGAAAGGCGAAAATAATATTTTTTCTTCGAAAAATATTATTTTAGTGTCGACAAGCTGAATTCAGATGAAATACAGACAGACAGAGCACGCAAACATTAACTCAATGTCATTTTAATATTTTTAATGCGTTTTCAGGCAATTTCATTGGATTTTGCTTTAGTTTCACACTAAAATAGTATTTCTCAAAAAAATATATATTATTTTCGCCTTTCGAGCTGCGCCCGACCCTTCTCGGCTTGCGGCGACATTTTATACGATGAAACCTTTACGCTTTCAACCTTTTCGCTTTTTACAGAAACGTGCCCTGTAGGTTTTTTCTGGAAACATTCTGGGAAGAAGCTAGCGTCACTCTAGATTCAGAAAAACCACATTTAGACTGAAATGGTTGATTCCGGCGGAAGATATACTCAATTTTGGGCCAAAAATTGGTCGAAATTTAAAATTCAATTTCCAAAAGTCGATAACTAATCCCGTAGTGGTCCGATTTGGACAGTTCTTGGATGTAACAGTAGTAGGAGTGTTAGACTTTAACTTAGCGGTAGTTTCTAATTTACAGGTCGTTAGCAAAATTTTATAAGGGTTATGTCAACTGGGGTACTTTTTAGGACATTTTTTGTCATAAGTCCCAAATAACGCTTCGATGGGCTGAACCACTATTATGCCGTTACTCAGTAGGGTACCCTCTTTCATTTCTGCATGGAGGTGCCGACTCGTCCGGAAAGGGTTAATAAATGTCGTTAGAAACCGAAATGTCAAAATAAATATTAAAAACTATGTGATGTCAAAGGCGGCAAATAGTGGTCCGTTTCAAAATTTTTTGGCCAGAAAATGCGTTAACGGTGGGCTGTATATGAATTGTAAATAAAACGAAAGCAAAGTATTATTAGAGCTCCGTAGTGCTACATGACGAAAGCGGAATACAGTGGCCGGTGAAAAAAGACATGTGCTACAGTAAAATGGAGACAAAGTACAAGGTATAAAGTAAGCAAATTTCGTCTATCAGTAGGTTAGATTCATTGTATCTCTTGAAGTTATTAATACAAAATGTAGGCATATGCTAGACTCAACTTTCATAATTACACGTTTCATTTTAAAGAGATGTGACTACAATTGTAAAGTTTCAATGGTTACGAACACATTATATTCATATTTACTTCGGGCAACTACAATACGAGGGCAGGGCTTTGTGTTTCTCCCATTTGAAATAGCAGAAAGCGGATGGCCTACCTCCTTGTTTTCTGGTACAATTTCTAAAACTGGGTGGTAGAAAAACATAGTAAAGACGTTGGAAAAATAACGCTTTAACTACATATTTCAAATGACTTTATTTCGAAGTAGAGGCAGCTAAAAAGTCTGACGCAAAACCAAAGAAAAACATATATTTTTTAACGCTCTTTGAACGGTTGATACTTGGAATTTTGGAAAGTATTACATAAAGTAACAATACACGGAAAAGTTATGAATTTCAACTATTTCTGAAGTAAATGCCACGGTTTTTTATACTGCTTTTCTCCAGAAATTCCTTTCAAAAGAACGTTGACTTTTTACCGTACTTTTGCATGTGCACTTATAATCCGGCTGCCAAAAACCAAAATGCGATTATGTTCCGTAACTAGGTTAACAGTCATTCCAGCCTTTTTCGAATAATCAGATTGCAATAACTCAATTGGGAAATATGACAAGAACGACAATCTGATACTCTTAACGAATTCTTAGTACAATGCAAGGGCAATAACTGTAGAAAGAAATGTTGGACCAAATTTCATCCGAAAGGGCTAAAAAATGGAGCGAGAGACAAACTTGATTCAAATACCCTTTCATAGACAGTCCTGTGTAGTTAAATTGGGCATAAAATTGAAGCTGACTATCCCATTTTTCCGGCACTTTCATAGCAACTTTAAATATTCAAAGCGATCTTTCGGCTCCTCCTCAAAAACTGGAATAAAAGGTGACGCGACCAAATTTCTCAAAGAAATGTAAAAATAACAATACGAAAGTGTGTAGTCAGCAAGAATATCAAATTAAGACCCAGCGCATTTTGAAGAGACGAAAATAAATTGGATTACCAAAACAGAGGGAGGTAATCAAAGTCGATATGGGTTCACATTTTTGTAGTTTTCAAGAGACTAATAGCCAAACATCCCAGGCTTCGTTAGGACAAACTACTGGGAGTGCTCTTGGCCTGCCAAGCCCTTTTCAAGCCTACATTATTTTCCAGACAGAATGATTTTTATTCAAATGAACATGTCATGAGCTAAATAGCATCTCACCTCAGCTTACAGAAAACTTCCTTGAAAAAATGGTGGAACCGCAAAAAAATGCGGTTAATTTTTCACAAGGGTCATTACAGATCTTTGGTCCTAAATGCCTCTTAAAGACCCATCCACCCACGGCCTTTATTTAACTAAAAAATGCTTTTTAAGAGTATTCAAAGCCTTGCGATACCAAATTTAGGGTTTCTCAATTTCCATTTGTACACTTGTGTTTATACACATAAGGCGTACAATTCGAACAACCTCAACATAAGAGGTATTTTTGAATATTTTAGGGCCTCTTTAAAGTACATTATATGTATGTACGTACATAGTTTAGAGAAAGATGTAAAAACGGCGGACGGGAGGACTCTACTACATACAGAGGATATCCTGTGTATTTATCATCACAAAACGAGCGTCTTAGCCTTAATTTTGAACCTTCACTCCAAGGTTCTCAAAGACGAGACTACTTCACAACCTCAAGTCATGATATTTACGTATGTTTAAGTGAAAGAATATTAACTTAAGATCGATAGAAAACTACAAAAAAGAAACAAACAAGAGGGAAGAGTAAGTCACAGACAAGCCATCACGTTCCCTACAAGCTATAATTAAAACGGTTATCCCAAAACAATTCATATTGTCTGTAAAAAATGCGACGTACTTGAATACGCGCTCCCACAATAGCCAAGTGTTGTTTTGTCGGGTTTCAAAGTTTGAACTCGAAATAACAGGTGTTTTGTATAATTTATTCAAGATTATGATAAATGCTCTTGTTTTTGGCGACGAAAAAATTAATCAAAAATTGAGGAAATGAGCAAGATTACCTGACAGAAGATTGATGACGAAGAAACGAATAATAAATGAGTTAAACTACTGTATCAAAGGCCTAAAGGCCTGGCCAGGGAAGCCTGCGAGGAATGCGAACGGGATTTTTGCACATATGTCTCTTGATTGAAGTAAAACCGACCTAAAAATAATGCTTAAGATTCTTCAAGAACTTCTGGGATCAATCATCTTCTAAATGGCATGGGTCCAAAAATCCTGAATTTTTCAAAAAAAGAGTTG